ATTTATCGATAAAAATGTCAAAAATCTGACAAAAAATCGGAAAATTTAAGAATATTTTCCGTCTCCATTTGGACTGACAGTATTATTATCTAGTCGACAACCTGTCGTCAATTATTTAGCTAAGGGTATCTGGTAATTAAGTCTGGGTGTCATAAAAACAGTGTTTCAGAATTGACAGACATTACTTCAGTATAGTATGAAAACAACAGTTTCCCGCTCACTTCACAATAAAAACTGAATATTTAATAAATAATGACAACAAGCTTTGTTTCTCTTCCTCAGCAAGGAAGCATGAAAGGGCAACTGGATGTCAGATGTTGTCCGAATAGCGCAGATCCGGATGAAATGTTACGGACAATGAGCGGGGCAAAAATAAGCTCCCTAATCCAGTTTTTCCTTCGTTACAGAAATCGATTCAAAAATGTTGCTAGGGGAAAGACAAGTGTATTAATAAAAGAATTAAGATAATCATAAACCGCTAAACTTCCGTTTCTTAACCCTTTCCGTCGAAGATAAAAAAAGTCGGAAGCTCATTAAATGTTTATCAAAAAAATTTTTTCTTTTAGAACTTTGTGAATTGACGTCAAACTGCTTAGATGTCTTATGAAATTTTCACGAAAAGGGGATTTCTGACGATAAAAAATGCAATTTTTTTGATAAAGAAAAATTTGCTTACATCGAAGTTCTTCTGATGTTTTTCGAGGATGATTTGCAACCGAAACAAACCTGTTATTTGGTCGCTAGATTAAGGGTGTTTCGTTACTTTTCGTAATTTGAGAGGCTAGTTCAACAGCATCAACGGCCTGCAATCACGGATTCTTCTATCCCCTCGTTTGTGGCAAAAGAAATGCAATGCTACTATTCTCTTCAAAAAATAATGATGATGAAATTGATTAACGTCATTTCGCGGACCAACAAGATTTCTACAATTAGCATTAATTCCTGTTTTTCAAACGAAAATAAGAGCTTTTCCACTTGGGGGTCCTCAAGTGCCTGTTATCCAAAAAACAATCCCAATTATGGGATTTGGGATTTGTTGATAAGCAGCTTAGGAATTTGGCGAAAATTTCGCAAATTCTGGATTTTCAAAATCATCGAGCCATGGCGAGTTTCGTTTGAAGAAACACTTCAGACGGAATTAACCGATGCGCATTGCTTGGGGATTTTCATACAGATCTTCGGGCTCAATTTATGCTAAATATCAGCTCGAAAGTTCAACTTGCGTAGAGGCTCCCTTAGATAAGGTCGTCACTGTAATAACTCCTAAAGAAGAACGCCCTGAACTGATCTCCCTGAATTATCAACCGCTACTGTAGCAGATACTTTATCTTCGTGTCGTTGAACCTTTTTTATCATTGTCTGCCAGACAAAAAATTATAAAAGGGCTTTTTCAATATAAGAGGATACTTCCGGTATAATTGACGTCAATTTTAGAGCTCAAAATCTTCAATTTTCTAAAAAAAAAATTTCTCTCAAACTCATTTTGATATAATTATCATAAAAGAGTTTAAACTAAAGAGCATCTAATGCTGGATTATCCCTTTGGATTTCCGCCCGGGAGAAGGATGGGAAAACGGAAGTTTAAATGATAAGCGTCATTTTTCTCAAAATTATTTAGAAAGACAACTCTAAAAAATGATAAAAGATAAAAATATTAAAAAAGGGCTCCCCTCCCTTTATTCAGAAGACGATAACCTCGTTTGAAAAACCGGTGTGCACCCCCTTAAATTTCCGTAAAGACCAAAAGAGTTCCCCTTTTTTGCTTATTGAACAATCATTTCCTCGTGCAAACAAAGAGTTACGATTTCAAACACCGTATCTGCCAGGGAACTGTCTTTTCGGAAAGCCGATACTCGGAGGATGTCAAATGTTTTCGGCGGTTTTTTTTCTGTCAATTTTAAACCTCCGCCGCAAAGGATTTCGCCGACACAGTCTATTTTCTTTTCTTTTCCTTCGAGTATGCAAGAGTATTCACACAGGATGCGAGCTTGAGCAAATGGCGGTATGCATATCTGTGGTGTTCAATTTTGACAAGTACTGAAGTACCCAAAACTGGGCGCCGCTCAATAATACCAAAATGACAAGTGAAAAGTGCTTCAAATGCACTTCTGAAAGCCCTTTCAGAAGTACAGAGGGGACGCCCTTAGCGCTAAATTACGTGAACCCTCAATCATCTTATAGAATTTCACCTGCAGTTCAATCGCTTGAGAGAATCTTCTTTTTGAGACAGAAAAACTGCTAATTGCTTAACGGGGGATTCCCTTAAACCCTCCTTGGCCTTGATTTTAACTCTCAAATACTCAAAAAAATATCAAAGAAACCTGCTCTTCTGCCAAATCCGGTATTTGGTCTGGATCCAGCGGATTTATCGACAAGATTTCCGGAGTTAAGACGATGCGATCCAGCTCACAGAGGGAGAAACTTTTTAGTTGATTGATATCGATAGCAAGGTTGGATTATTTTCTGCACCAAGGAAGATCGATAGCCTCTTTAGTTACGCAACCCTCGTTTTTTGATAAAAAATTGATGAAAATCGCCATTTTAGACAAAAAAGATCAAAAAAATTTTCAAAAGAAAATTAAAAAATCCTGAAAACTTCGCTGGAAAATCGTTCTTTTAGAGTGCGTATACCCTTAAAGAACGAAAACCCGCGTTAGGTTTCCAAGAACTACAGACAAAGGGCCTAATTCTCGGCACCCTGTCGAGCCACTTTAGATATATCCGTCCGGTCCCTTATGCAACTCTATTGAGGCTCGTCGCCGGATATGATTTGTATATTCGTCCTTTAATTTCTGGCAAAAGGCGAATTTCGAAAATTCCGGCGGAGAGGACATCCGGTTTTTATTTGCGTGACCTTCTGCTTGGCATCTGTTTCTTGAGCTTTTTTGAAGTTTTTACTAGCTACGCTTCGAAGAAAAACGATGTTCTCAACCTTGCTTTTCTGTCTTTTTGATTGTCAGAATGAAGCTTGTTATGGTATTTTTCACTTTTGTCGAGGGAGAATTTCCGAAGAGTAATTCGAAGAGTTGCTTGATTAGAGATAGAAATGATGATTTAAAAATTTCTTCTATAAATGGTCATTATCCAGAGCCGCCTCTTTGGTGCCTTCCTGAAAAGATCTTCTGGACAGTTCCATACGAAAATGATCTCTTCTGTGACTGGGTAAGGTTATGGTTAGGGTTAAATTAGGGGGATGGTGTCTGGAACCAACAAAAAAAATTCGACAAATTTTGCGTAGGCGGCTACTCGGCTGCTTATCGGCCGCTAAGCCGAATCCAGGCTTCTGATTGGTTGAAAATTTCCATGCAAAATTTGTCGAATTTTTTTGTCGGTTCCAGACACTTCCCGAAATTCGGGTTAGGGTTATGGTTTTTTCTTTTTAGAAAAATTCAAGAAAAATTTTTCTTATTATCTTTTCAGTTTATTTATGACGACTTTGACACTGGCTTTCAAATTTTCATCGAAAAATTCGCCATTGAAAAATTCGACAATTGCGGACTAGATTCTCTTCAATTCACAATTTCAAATGAAAAGTCTCAAATTTACGAATTCATCATTTGCGGCTTAACTGCTCATTTCTTCTCAGAAGCGAGCATCGAATTTGTGGAGAAGAAGAACGAAGAGTTGAGAATTGACGTTTTTAGGCTGCCGATGGGTGGGATCTTTTTTGAAGTGCCACGAAAATCGATGCTGCGGATTTCCTTCAAAACGGACTCCAGTGTCGGATATCATGGCTTCTCGGCGAATATTTTTGAGAAGAAACAATTTCAATTATGGGATGATAGTTGGAAAATAATAAATGCTGGAATTTGACTTAAAAACTAGAACTTTTTAAAATCTTTCTCAATAAAAATTATTATATTTTTCTTCAAACTTTAGTTTTTTTTATTTTTTTACTGGTTGAAACCCTCCAAAACATTTTTATAGCCCTTTTCCCGCAACTATTTCCTTCTCCATTTCCTAGAAATTCCTCTCCCACCCAGTTCGCTTCTACCCTTCCCGCGCTAATAAAAATGCCAGCAGCAGGCTCCATGAAGCCCTGGAGGAAGCAACTAGAGCTTAAACACCCTTTTGATTCGACAAATCGTAAAAATTTTCACGAATTTTTCCTCGTCTCTCATGTCAAAGGTCGACACGTTATTTTCGGAATCGTTTGATCGTAATTACGCCTTCAAGGAATTTTTACCACAGCTCGCGTGAAAGGTTTATTAGAACAAAAAAAAGTTCCGTCGAAAAGTTGACTTTTTTGACCAAAAAATATAAAATTCCAATTTCATAATTGCCAAAATTTTAAGACGATTTGAGGAACCTCTCTAAATAAATACCATAAGAGAACTGTCAATGTTATCTTTTTTAAATTTACTGTATGTTTTCGCTGAAAGAAAATAACATGTATTTATTTTTTCTGAATCAGAAATTCTGAGATTATTCCTTCCGAATCTTATAAATACTCGTAGCTGCAAATATGACATCAAAAATGAAAATTTTACAGATCTATCTAAAAAAAGATAAAAAAAGTGCATTATGGCCCTATATGGCCCGTATGGGACCCATAAGTTTGGCTCTTCGGGATTTTATTTTCAAAGAGAAAACTCTTTGATTCATCATATCCATGCAGCAATTTAATCTTCGAGTCAAATTAAAGAAAATCCCATTTCTTGTTATAAAACTAATCATCTTTCGTCGACCACAAGTTTATCTTCCTCAATTAACCTGGTCATCTTCTTTCCAGATGGCTTCACCGCTGCTCATCATTTTTCCTCCTCCGGCTCTCGAGCTCCCCCGCGCTCCGCCAAAAAGACCAGACAGCGCTCCCTGTGCCGACTCCGTCCGCTTTTCGTCAACTCGATTTTCGAAAATCAGCTTTTTCGCGGCTAAACCTCCAAAAAACGAACACGCGAACGGAAAAAAGTTGAATTGCTACATTTTTCGAATCCATTAATAATTTGCTGACTAAGCCGAAAAAATAACTAAAGAGATAGAAACGAAGAAAAAAGAGGATGACGGTGAAAGAAGAACAAGTAATAAAGAAGAGGAAAGCTCAACACGCGCTGGAAGAGATTTTTGAATCGGAGAAGAAATATGTCGACAAGTTGAATAGCATCGTTGAGGTAAGAACAAAAACCATATTATAACGATTTTTTGATTTTATTTTGATTTATTTTCCTTAAAAGATTGACATAGAATATTTTACATTTCCAGTGACTGGGTCAGAATCATTTAGTTTTGAAGAACGACTTTCCCTCAAATTCGATCAAAATTCAAATTTCGGAAACTCAAAATTTCACCCCAGAAAATTGCAAATGAGTAGAAATTTATTGGTCAAAAAACAATTTTAGGCATATTTTTCGGGGGTCTATCTTGACTCTAACACCCTTAAAATCGCGTTTGAAGTTTACATCTTTTTGCCAAAAACCGATGACTCATCGGCGATAAGCTAAAAAAGAAAAAAAAAAACCATTTTGCTGGATTCTGAAAACCTCTATTTTTGTCAAAATTTTTGGACTGATTCTATCCATCGAAAATACTCACAATCTCCTTTTCGATTTTCCACGGCTCAAAATAAACCATGTCGTCTTTTGCTTCTTTTTCTTTGTTTCCAATCTGTTTTTCCAACAAATCATCTTCATCATCCACCGTTTTTTCTTTTCCAAGTAATTTTCAATTTACTCGATACGTTCCATATTTGTTATTTCAATATTCTATTCTATCGCGCTTCTTCTTTTTTCAATTTTCAAAACAGCATCTTCAGCAAAAAAAGACGAACTAAAACGATTAACTGTCGAAAATTATGATGTTGCATGAAATTCGTTTTTGAGTTTTTTTTTCTGAGTTGGGAGCTGCTTGCTGGTTGAGCATATAAATGCATATTATGCAGGATGACGCGAGGAGTTAACCTTGAAATTAAACCGAGAGCTTAGGGCTGAGCCCCGTTTTACATGTTCTACGAACCGCTGCTTTGTTTGATCAAGGATCATGTGATCAGAGTCTAAGGAGAAGAAAGTTTATTATTACATGAATTCGAGCCGAAAAAAGTGATAAATTTTCTGTTTTCACATTGATACTTTTAAGGCGGAAGCCCTTAAAAATCCACATTTTCAAACGCATTTTTTGGTCAATATAAGGACGTGATACCCTTAATTTTACCCCTTAACAATGTCGAGACTTCTGGAAATGTTTCTTGAGCCTTTTTTCATATTTTAATAATGAGACACCCTTATTTTTTTCTCAAAAACTGTTCAAAATAAAGTTTTTTGGCACGTGACAAGAAAAGATGAATAAGGGGGTAGAAGCAAATAACAGCTGAGAACTGTGACGTTCCGAAAATTTCAAGGGCGGCGAGTTTTTTTCATCCCAGGCACCTTGTGATTACTCTAGAATTCTTGAAACAAGCAGATTGTACAAAGTGTATACATATAATTTCACGGTTAGGGAGGGCTTTATTGGAGGGATAAGGCAATAAAATAATGATCTAAGGCGGAAATTGCTTTTCAAGGCGAAAAATTCCAGTGCAAACCAATCAGATTTCCAGCTTTTTTTTGGTCTTCGCGGTAGCTTTCCTGACTTGGCTTGAAACTTGGCATAAATTTTCGTTCGGAAAGCCGAGTTAATCCTCATTGGATCATATTTTACGTTCACACGTCCCCAGCGTTTTCCGTTTAACCCAAAACCGACTGGTGGCTCATCCTCTTGGCTCAGAAATTTCGGCCGTCAAGTGTAGCGCTCTCCAAAAGCTCGTTTTGGTGACGAGCCCGGGTAATGATCATCCCGTTACCGTAATCGTTACTGTTCAAGAAAACTTATTCATTTTTTGATTACGTAAGGGGTAAATTATGATCGATATTAAATCATGCGAAACGCACGGTGACGGCCTTAATTGACGAAAATTTCGACGGCGCAAACAATGACAAAAAGACTCGTGACGATCTTTCTTTGGGAAAATGTATTTTTGGAAACATTGAACTTGTTCCAGTTAAAAAATAAGGGTGTCACTATGTAAAAAAAAGCTTGAAAACTGGACTTTTCCTTCGAAACCGCTATTTTTCCTCAAAACTTTCTATTTATTTTTTGCACACGAAAAACGACGTCAATTCTGTGTTCAACAACGAACTTCGCTCTGACCAATGTGACACTGACAATGTCAAAATCGTGTCACCAAAACTTGACTTTCTTTCTGCTCAACCTCAAGAGTCAGAAAGCAAGATCAAATTTAGAAAAAAAGAAACAGGTTAACAAGCCTGTTTGTCGTGTTTGGGAAGTGATTTTTTTACAAGGGGGTCAATAAAGGTTGAAAATTTGGGTTTTCTTTTTCGATGGGTAAATATATAAATATTTTGCGAGGAAGGTCAAGAAGCTTGTAAAAAACTGAGTTTTTGACTATCAAGATTCTTGATCGGCGGCCTAAAAATGCATTTCGCACCTGTTCCTCGCGCTGATGGGTTAAGGTGATATCTCCCAGTTCCAGTGATTTGGTTTTATCATTTCTAGCGCTGGGGCTGTTTAGATTTGAAACAAGAAGGTATTATTTCTTGGACCGGGAAAGGGAAGTGTTTTGCGGTTTTCGTAGGGGCTAATTTAATGAATTTAGTTATTAACCTGTTCCGTAAACGCGGTCCAAAAAGACCCCTATTTCGTAAAAGCTCCGTTTCAAGACAAAATTGAAACTTTTGAACTTTTCTTTAGAAAGACCCAATTACAGTAAAGAATTATGTGAATATTCCCGTGAATTATTTGTCTCGCCGCAAATCCGCTTCTCTGTGATTTTGATCCTCTTTGCCTCGCCACGGGAGTTCCGTCGGCACATTTGACTTCAAACACGTGTGAATGGTGTTCTTCCCCAATCGCCTTTATATTTTTTATATTTCGATTTATGCCCCTCTTTTGTTTCATTAAAAAAACAAGGTTTTCTATCCTTCCGGGACCAAAAAATAGACCCAATAGAATTGGAGTTTGCCGGACATGTAAGGGTGTTTCCTCAGTAGAAAAGGGGCTTGTACGCTTGTAAAATCCTGTTTTGGGTTTCCGTGCTCTCTCTTTGCTTACCCCTTACGTCTTGGGTTCAACGAAGAGCCAGGGTTACCGCCATAACATTACGCTGGGGGTTTTTGACTTACGAGTTTCGTCAGCTCAGCTGAATCACCACTGTTGGAGGTTTCGCGGTCCGGGAAAAAATCGACCAACTTTTTTGTCACGGAGCTTGTTTCCCCACTCGAATTTTGATTCATTATTCTAGATGTTTTTATTATAAAAAGTACTGTCTTAGTAAAATCTTAAGAAATGCGAAAAACACCTTGATAAGGAGCGAATTTGACACTTTTGACAACCTGTCAAGAATAAAAAATCATCAGCGAGGAGATGATACGATCTATCGTTGAATTCAATACATGGAGCGTATTAAGGGGATACACGTTGCAAAAACAATCACTTTTTTCAAAGTCATTAGACTCGCACAATATAGATCTTTTCTTTGCTTTGAGATTTTAAGGGGGGACACCTCGTTAAGCTCATTTTTTAAGAGTTTCTTAAAGCAGTGACGCCCTTATTCTTTTCCCCCAAAAATATATAAGGGCGTCACTTTCTTAAATTTCCCTTGAACTCGACTAATACGATTGTGAACTTCCGACTTATAAAATTTCATTGAGCAAAGCAGTTTCAGATTTCCTAATCGACCATAATCGCTCTGGCGGAAAAGCTGACCGAAAACTCCGCCCGCCAAATGGGCCGGAAAATCGGGCAGAAATCGCTCAGAAAATGAAAACAGGAAGTTCCGGTTGGTTTTCTTTTGGACGATATTATGCAAATAAGGTTCACTTTCAGATCCATGCTTATCCGGCTCATTGCGTAATTGCTTGGTCGATGTAGAGGGTATATCCTTAATTAATATGCATGCGGTCTGATATTCGCATTCTGTTGAAATATTCACGCAATGAAAAAATGCAGAATTTCTTCTCAGAATTGCATTTTTCGATCTAAGAACGAAAAAGGATTGAAATCAGAAACCGCCAGAGATTAATTTTCATCCCCTTGATTTGAATGATTTCAAGTCATTTCAAATTCAAGCGGATTTATTTTGCAAATTGTTTCTGTTATTTCATGATAAACAGAAACGACACCTGTTTCTTCTTATTTTTGAATTAGCCACGTGATCGTCGAAGTCGAAACTATCTCAATATTCGAATCAAGAGATGGTATAAATAATAAACCATCAAAAAAAAGTGGAGTGACAACACACGTTGGTTTTTTTCGAGGACGCACATGTGAGTTGCCACATGTTGCGTCTTTTGTATGGGGATTTTTGCCCAACAAGTAGGCGCAAATACTCGACTCGAGGGGAGAAAGAGTAGGTACTTGGAGAGCTGGGCATAATGGATGATTACATAAGTAAGGGGGTTTAAAACAGCTTCCTTAGCTCATTTTACCGGGTTTAAGGTTTTAAGGGGGTGGACATCGATAACAAAAAATTTCTAAAAATTTGTATTTTTAGCAAACTTACGCCCTTAAATTTGACAAAAATGGGAACACATCATCATTTTTACATTAAATCCGCATAAAATACTGTCAAATACTGTATTTGAAATACACGTCGGCAGTATCCTTAAAAATGCTTCTTTATTGCCTTATCACCTCATTTAGCGATAACACACGTACGGCAAAGCCGCCTGCCTTTAGCGTAATACCTTTCGCTCGAAAACCAATAGTCCCTATCCTTATCGCCCGTATTTTTCTCGGCGGTGCCCTTTTCCAGTGTCCTCGAGAGAGAGCGAGCCCAAGATTTGCGTCGACGCGGGTCTCTTATCTTTCCGCGAGTTTTGACAGGCGCAGTCGAGTCCGGATATGGGACCTATATGTGGCTCGTTTTCAAAGAAAGGATCGGGGAATTTGGGGCAGATAAATATTGATATTTTGACAAGCTCTTTCTCTTTGATACTTTTTTCAAAGAACAAAGTCTTTAATTAAGGGTGTATCTGTCTAAAAAGAAATTTGCTTATATTCATAGTGATACCCTTATTTCTTCTTTCAAAAAGAAAATTGGTCAAAAGAAAGGACTTTTGGCCGTAAAAGTTAAAATAAGACATAATCCTTCCACATTTCAATTATCGAGTTGGATACCCTTACCTCACGTTCCCCCTAACAGTGGCAGCTCCCTTGTCTGTCTGTAGACTTGTCTTCTTATATCACGTGACGATAATTTCGAGCTCAAGTCGAGCTCAAATTATCAAGTGACCGATAATTTGGAAATCCCCTTCTGAAAAACAATTTCGCAAATCATCGTCGCCAATTTACCACAAATCACCCATGAAAAATGCAAAAATAAGTCTTTAATTGAGAAGCCAAAAGATTTTTAGACAGCCGGACTTCCTTTTCGCAAATTTGCGCGTAGCCGAGATTTGTTTTTTTTTCGTAGATTTTTATCAAAAATTCAAACAATACATTTTTAAGAGATAACTTTCTAAGCTCGACTCTTTTCTGAAACAGTGGTCATGCTTATCCACCGTGAATAATGCATTCATGCAGGAAGTGGGGATTTCCCACGTGATATGTATAAAAAATTGAACCCCACTTTCCCCTGTGTTTATTTAGCTGGGTCACCAAAATACTCAAGTGGTTGGTTTCCGCGGTCGAGAGTTTCATAAGGCCTGAGATTTTCTTCAGAAGGGGGGTAAACAAATTTCAACCCCTGTAAACAAGTAGCGTTTTCTCTCGAAGTTAACGTAATGATACCCTTATTTTTAATCGAATCGCCTCTAGTTCATCTGATAAAAAAGGGATAGGCGAAAACCGTAACACTCTAATAAGGATAAACAATAAAAAAGCCCGGCTCGATTGCAATCTGAACCACGTATACCATACATAAAACAAGATTAAGGGCGTCAGCGTTGTTTCCTCCACAATACAGAACACGTGTTCTATTTATTGCATCTAAGTAACTCCCAACAAACGCTACTACCGGTAGTAGAACTCCTTATTTCTACATTTCTATTTGAAGATTTTCGCTTGTTCGATGTTTTCGCGGTAGATGAGTCGGAATAAGTTTTTGTCTTGTCTTGGTTGAACGCAAAAACGTGGGTAGTACGATTGCGGGATGATAAATTCGCGAGAGCCCGGGCATTACTGTTACCGAAAGTATGTTTTTAAAGGTGCGCCAACGAGGCCAATTTTATTGATAACTATTCTTTGTTGAGCATTTTTGTCCTGACGTATCATTATCTTCATCAAATGTTTCTTCATCTAACCCTTCATTTTAGTCATTGATGATGCCCGCCCTCCAGAACTCCTCCGTCTTCTCTTCTTCCGAAATCGCCCTCCTCTTTGGCAACATCGTTGAACTGCGCAACCTCCACTCAAAGATGTTCTCTAAATTCGCCGATTCCGACTCCCAGCAGCCAGAAAAGCTGGCGAAGATCATTTCCGAAGAACTCCCTCAATTCTCCATCGCCTACCATCAATACTGCTCCAACTTTCCCCGCGCAACTCGACTTTATTCAAAAATTCGAAAAAATTCCAAAATGAATTTTCAAAACGCGAAATGCGATTCAAGCTCAACTCTTCGCCGGATTTCCAAGAGCCCGTCTGAGTAAGTCATTATTATTTCTTATTCATATATGCTCGCTGATTATAAAATTGATGATGGGGTACTTTGAGAGGGGATTTTTCTTCGTGAGAGATCGAAATAATCTTGCAAAGTACCCCCTGCTTGAGGGTATCAAGTGCGATTAAGAAGGGAGAACATTGCAATAACGTTTTTTCTTAGTCAGAGTAATTTGATTTAGTTCGAACAAATTAGTTCATCAGTAAACAATAAACCTTTGTCAGCAATAATTCGAGGAAAAAATAAATTTTTATTTAAATTTTTTCGAATAATTTATTCTCAAATAAAATCTAAAAATTCTATTCCGAAAATAACCCTCTTGAAAATTGAGTCAGAGGTTTTTCCCTAATTTTTGAACACTCTCTCCTTCTCTCGCACTTGATAATCTCAACCCAAACCGCTTTTAAATCGCTTCTTTCAGTTCCATCTCGAGTTCCTCCCTCCCTTCTCCCTCAGATCGCTTGGAGAACTCATCCTTTCCCACCTTGCGCCGGACAAATACGCTTTTATTCCGCTCCACTTCTGCAGTTTTTCGCCGCCACACGCTCACATCTGGCAAGTCCGTCCAAAATCTCAACGAGGCTGGGGCTGGAAATACAGTCAATTTCTTGAAGAGAAAACTATCGCCGAGAAAGTCAAGTCCTGGAGGACTTTTTCCCTTGAAAAAGGAAGATCCTGAGATTTCACGAGCAAATCTGCAGTGCGAATTTCTCCAAAAATCGCTGGAATCATCAACGACTCTCGATTCGGCGTTGCCCCTCATCGCATTTTTACTGGAACCGATTCAGCGGGTCATGAGATATCCTCTTCTCCTAAAAGGGCTTTCAACAGCTCTAGAATCGCCGATTCCAGAAGTAAAAAAGGCAATAGAAGCAGCAGACAAGCTCGCCAGCATCACCAACATCACACAGCCCAATTCCACTCGCCCGGGGGCAGAAGAAAAAGAAAACAAGGAAAACCGCTCTCCAACAGGATCAGAAGTCTCGATCCCCGCATGCGTCCCAAAACCCGATAAAAAGCGAAAAAGCTTCGAAGTCGTCTGCCAAGCCGCTGTCAGGCTTCTTCGATCAAGATAATAGCTCAAAATTCATAAAAAACTGTGAAAATTTTAAATTCAAACTGTATAAAAAGAAACAAAAACGAAAGTAGACTGGGTTCAGAATTTTGCTTACTGTACTACCGCACATGATTAAAACTGTAAATTAAATAAAATTTCTTTAACAAAAACTTGCCATAGTTCCTTTTTTAACCTGTTGGCGCATGAGGATCATATTTTGCCAGGGCAGCGAGAAAAGAAAAGTCAGCGAGAGTTGAAAATCCAGTTATCAAATTTTGACTTCTGTTTTGTAAATGGGCAGATTTATGGACTAAGACGGAGATTTGCAAAAGCCGGATATTACTAATCTTTTACTTATCCTTCTCAGAAAGCACGTGTAACGGAAAGCTAAGACTATCGCCACCATACAAACTAAACTTTACTTACAGCCTATTTTTTAAAACTTAATCTCACTTCAACAATGTTGAACTTGTGCGTTTGTTACAAGAAGGAAGAGAAAAGTCGTTATCAGCTCCTTTCAGAATTCTAAAACTCTAAGCTTGTTCATCAAGATCATTTTGCCGAACGCTATCATGTCGTCTTTCTGTCCGTCTCAATCCGTTTTTCAATTTCCTCCGCGGCGCGTTTACCAGATTTAGATCTTTCTCGGCCGATCGAGCTTGAAAAAGGGCAGTTTTGATAGCCTACAAGTAGCTATTGAATCGATTTCAACCTGTTTACTTGGAATCACGTTCTCTTCGGAAATAAACGCCGCCCTGGATTGAGAATTTTTCTAAATGTGGGCTGGGCAATGACCGTGCATGAATTTGGAGAGGGCGGAGTTTGAGCCGCTCGAGTTTTATGCATGAAAATCGGAGTGCTTGTTATCAACTTACTGAAGTTTTTTTTCTAGAACGAGCTTTAGGGGGTTAAGATCGTTAACTCGACTTTGCACTAGTTTTTTTGGGAAAAAGAAACCAAGATTTGCTTATTCAAGAGGTTAAAAAGTAAGACAATTTTGAAGAAAATTTTGTGAAAATTGCTTGCTCTATGTTGATATTTCTAATTTGCGATGACATAAAATTCAACCAGAGTATTCCTTTTTAACTCGATTGGAATCGTATCTCGGCATGTCTCAGGTGCTCGCTGAGGTCATCAATCAACCGAAACGCGGGTTGAGAATTCGACAAAATCAGCACCGTTCCTCTATCCCCTCTTTCCATAGAAACCGCCAGACAGGGTTCATTGGAGGACTAGGTAAATAGTGATTACTAGGTAAAAATCATGCTTCTTTCCTGCCAGCGATATTCGCCGATAACGTGAACCGGTTCCACGACGGGCATGTCGTCTCTTATCGCGGACAGCTGTCAACCTTTTTGCGCGCAATATCACGGCCGTGCGGACTTCTAAGACCCGACGAAAAGCTAACAAATTCAAGTAGGGTTACAGTAATAGTTCAAAATGTAATTCCTCTAATTTATTCTTACTGACAGTCGTTCAAACAGTAACTGGGCAGTCTAAGACTCCCTGGAAAACAATCGGCTTCATTGTTCTATCGTATCGAAGTTCTCCATCATCCAGCATTTTCGTGCTCTCCACAATTTCCTCCCCATTCCAGACTGTTCGATAAGCGGCTTTGCCAACTTCGCCGGGATACATCATAATCGTATTATTGTCAAGAGGTAGGGCGGTAAACCAAGAGGCTTTCACCGGGAAACCTCCGACTTCTGACCACTCAAAGTTTGAGAAGAGCCAGACTTTGCTGTTGTATGCGCTGCTGTAAAGAGGGATGAATAACGAAGGAAAAAAACAACTTCTAAAATAAAGTTTTGATTCCTGTCCTTCTGGAAAAGAGCAAAACTCCTTCATCAACAGTGACACAAGGTGCATAAGAATGTCCCTCTGGGTGTGGAATAGCAGGATTCCATTCCCAGCTGAACATCTCAGTGTAGTTGGCATCGTCATTTGTCCCACCGATAGCAAGTAGTTTTCCGTCGTAAATGCACACCGACCCATCTCTGTGGGACTTTCTTGAAGTGCTAGAGTAGACGGATTCTGTTCCATCGAATCGCTCGCATCGTTTTCCGCCGTCGAAGCTTCCGAAACAGATGTACACACCTTCGGGCTCCCATTTGCCACCGTCCCAAACACTTGAAATAATTTCATTTGAAAATTTCTTTAAGAAAATGAATACGTACGCAATAGAGCCGTATGAAGTGGAGAAGTCGTATCGCAACTTCGCGGACTGAACTTGGAATTCGCAGCCAACGAGCTTCAAGATTCTTGTTTTAGGAACACCGTAGGTTGTGTAGCCACCGAAGGCGTAGACTTCGTTTTTATAGACTACGTAGCCGGCTCCGTTGAGCACAGTGAAGGAATTCGAACCCGACTCTAGAAATTCATTACGATTCCGATTTTTTTAAATATGATTTACCGGGAAGTTGGATTGACAGATTTTCAAAAATCTCGCCCCACTCATCGGTAGCAAAGAACACAGTTTTATCCGTAGACTCTGGATCACCAAGGTGAACAATTCTTCTAGAACCTCCTGAGCCCCCATCGCCACCGCAGATTGGAGCATCGCAGCCGATAGCATCACATCCACTTGGGCAGAAGGCGTTGCAGGGACAGTGGAACTCACACGTGACAAAGTCATGGTAGCAGTCTTCCTGGCACTGGGCACCGCTGCAGCCGCTCATGCAGATTTGAAGAGTTGAATTGCAGTTTGCCTCGCAGATTTCCAGGAGATCCTGGTCCCTTAAAATGGGTTTCGGCAAACATTTATTATGAAAACTCACGGGCAGGTTCCGTCGCCACAAATTTCATTGTCACATCCTTCACATCCGTTAGGACAGAAAATATTGCATGGGCATCGGAATGAACAATTATTGTACGAGTTGAAGCAGTCTTCTTGACAGTCGGCACTGGAGCAACCACTCAAGCAGCTTCCAAGAACAGCCGAACATTTTCCCTCGCATTCGTCGGCGAGGACCTGATCTGGGCAACCGTCCTCAGGGCAGATCGGGTTATCGCAATCCTTGCAGCCCTCGGGGCAGAAGATGTTGCAGGGGCAACGGAAAGAGCAGGTGTTGAAGTTGTTGTAGCATTGCTCCTGGCAGGAAGCATCAGAGCAGCTAGCAAGACAGGTCGAAAGATCCCCTTGGCAATTTGAAACACATTGGTCTCCTAATTCCTGGTCACTAGTAAAAAGTTTGCTGGGAGAAAAGAACAGACGAGGACTTACGGACAGGCTCTCAAATCTTGAGAAGCATTGATCACCGACAAAAATGCGAAAGTTTTCATTTTCCGAACTGCGAGTTCGATTCTAAGCAAGATTCTGAAATTCGAATAACGCTAATTTCGACAGCTGATAATTTCGTTGTTCATTCCCAAGGCCTACTAATTACAAGAAATAAAAGTTTCAGCTGATATTGAACTTATCCGGTAACAGTAAATATTTTCGCTAAAAAGTTGTTTCTAAACAATCAAGAGCTCCTTCAAAAACGATTGGATGCATGACATTATCGTGTCTTAGTTCTCCATTGGTCAGTATTTGCTGAGTCTTCTGAAGGTCAATTTTCTCGCCGTCCCAAATCGTCCGGTACGCAGACTTTCCATATTGCCCGGGGAACATCATGATGGTGTTGTTATCCAGTTTCGCGGCGGTAAAACCATACGCGCCCTTTACAAAATTTCCAACTTGTGACCATTTTAGTTCGCTAAAGAGCCAGACTCTCGATGTGCTTCCTGAAGATGCTTGGGTGAACAGCAACACTCCTTCATCGACACTCACGCATGGCGAATAATTCGCCGCGACAGGAAGATCTGTGGTCTTGTTCCACTCCCAATTAAAGATCTCGACACTTTTTTCAGTAGCTGTGATTCCACCGATGGCGAGTAGCTGGTTCTCATAAACGCACATTGCTCCATGTTGATGGTAATCTTTTGCGGTTGCGATTCGAGTAGAAGAAGTTCCGTTGAACCGCTCACAATATTTTCGATAGTCCCAGCTGCCGAAGCAAAGGTAGACGCCTTCCGGCTCCCAGCTTCCACCATCCCAGATTCTAAAGAATTCAGTTTCTTCTCATTCCAAATCATTTCCTAAACTTACGCAATAGATCCATAATAAGAATTGTAGGGCTTCACCAATTGATTGGAGAGAGCTGTAAATGTGCAGCCATTGAGTTTCATAATCCTTGTCCTCAGGTCCTCTCGAACTTGACCTCCAAAGGTGAAGACTTCGTCTTTGTAAACAGCGAAGCCTGCGTTTCTGAGGGCCGTATTAGATTGCCCAGAAGCTACCGAAAATATGTCATAGTTTAGACGAAGATTTTACCTGGAATCTGGAGCTTGAGCTTTTCGTAAATTTCGCCAAACTCGTCAGTATTGAAGAAAGCCGCACCAACTAAGTCGTTTCCTCCAGCATCGCCAAGATGAACGATTCTTCTCGGGCCATTGCCTCCATCGCCGCCACAAATGAGCGCTTCATCGCAACCCTCACACCCGTTAGGACAGAAAATATTGCAAGGACAGTGTAGATCACAATTGACAAAATCATTGTAGCAAGTTTCATGGCATTCTGCGCTTGAACAACCTTCAAGGCATGTTTGAAGAACATCGTAGCAGTCTAACTCGCAGATTTCCTTCAGCTCTTCATCTCTAAAAATGGTTCCAATCTGGCTACTTTTGATTTTCTTACGGGCAAGTTCCATCATCGCAAATTTCATTTTCACATCCCTCACATCCATCTGGGCAAAAGATGTTACAGGGGCATCGGAATGAGCAAGTGCTGTACGAAATGTAGCAGTTTTCCTGACAGCTAGCATCTGAGCATTCTCCCAAACAGGTTCCTAGCTCCTCTGAGCATGTATTCTCGCAAATGTCGGCCAAATCCTGATCCGGGCAGCCGTCTTCGGGGCAGATTTCGTTGTCGCAATCTTTACACCCGTCTGGGCAGAAGATGTTACAGGGACATCGGAAGGAACAAGTACTGTAAGAATTGTAGCACTGTTCTTGACAAGAAGCGTTGGAGCAAGCTGCAAGGCAGGAGGTAAGGGTATCGCGGCAATTCGCGTCACAGAGGTCCCCTAGTTCTTGATCTCTAGAAAAAAAAGGATAAAATAGGTAATTAGACAGTGGACTCACGGGCAGGAATCATCAGCTTTTGTAGCTTGGATAACAGATAGAAAAGCAGAAAGCTTCATTTTCGAGAGATATTTTCTCTTGACTTGACAGTAGAAAGTAAGAAATCAACGCCAGCTGCTAGCGAAAGATTTTGCTCCCAAGAGCGACTAATCTGGTTGTTTTGGAATATCGAAAATGCGGAGAATTTAAAAGCTCACGTAAAGTTGCCTAATCAGCTGATAAACAAGAACGGTTAGGTGAACCAGCTGAAGAGCGATTAACCTGGATAAGCCTCACCTTGCCGACGCTAGAAATCATCGCTGAAGAGTAAGAATTATGAGAGTATAATCAGAATGATTTCGTCAGCAAAGATTCGATTTCTAAAAGCAAGCGAGAATGGAACCCCTTCCGCCCGGAAAGGTCATATTTACGAGGGCTTTTTACAAACAAATCAGACCAGCATAAACAGTAACGAGAACGAACAAGATTTGCAAAACCGCTTCCTGTTTTGTCCTTGAATTCCGTTCGAAATCAAGTGCGGTTCTTTTTATACATCAGGAATTTAAAAGTTTTGACTTTGTTAGATGATGGATTTTTTTTTCTTTTCTAAAGACGGAAATCCATTTACAAAGTTCTTGACCAGTTTTGACAATATTTTCTTCCGGCAAAAATGTACCCTGGTTATTTCGTAAAAATACGGAACGCCACGAAAGCCGCAAATTATTTTCATTTGCGCCGTTTGGTAAACAGTTTAAAACGTAGATTTACTTCCTTATTAGAATGCGCATAAAAATGTTCTCGAGCGAGTTTATTGTGGCTCATGTCATTGAACGTGGGCTTCGGAGCTAAATCCCATAAGCGGACTTGAGATAACAACGAACGAAAAAAGGAATAAGCAGCTGATAAAATGCGTAAAGATTGTTGATTTGTTGGTTGAATCACGTTTTTGGCAATGTTTTGGGAAGAGTTGTTTTCAAAATTTTATTAACAAAGAAGGAAAATGAGCAGAGCAGCTGAATGATAATTTATCATTGATAAAAATTAAACCCTTTGATTTATGCTTTATTATAGCCTTTGATGATAAGAAAAAATGGTCGGAAAACAGGTTTGCTCGTAATTATTTCAATATTCGTTGAAGTGGCCGTGGAGTTCGCGCTCTAGAAAAGAACCGTAAACCGTCCAATTCCGTATTCGTCACACTCAGCCCACTTTGCATTTTTGTTAACGGAACAACACTTTTTTCTCTCAAGAAGGTTGCCGCATCTTGAAAACACTGAAAAACAAGGGACGCGTTCTAAATCTGAATAAAATTCATTCCCTTCACGTGACGTTTTCCAGTACACCTGGAAGGGCTCAAAAATGAGAAGAGTGAATTAAATCAGAGTCGGATGGAAAATATTTTGATCAAAAATAACGGTTTCTCGAACCTTGCTGGCGTTGGAATCAACGAGGAAATTTTGGCCTAGACTCCAGAATTTGTAGAAATTCGAATTTTGCCCACGCAAAAACGAAGACAGAACTTATTGGCCAGAAAAATATTTGCTTGAATTTTGCGAGTTTGATTTCAAAAGAGACAAAAAAAAACAGTAATACAACTGAAGAGATGCCCACGAAGCCAAAACTTTTAATTGATGAAGCAACAACTGTACTTGGTACGTTTCATACTGTGCTTTAGTTCTCTCTTTAGAAATCATAAGTTTTTCTTTCATTTCTCTTGTTTATATTTAAAATAAAAGGCAAAATGCGATTAACATCATTAAGCATAAAAATAATCTTGAATGGCCAGGTATTCAATCTTAACACCACAACTTTAATTTTAAAATTTGATATCATGTAAATCTATTTCAGACAATTTTTACAACATCAAAACTCAATCAATCAAATCCCTTCCGAGCTATGATGACCTCAACTTCCTCATCACCACTTCAACCTCAACAAAAGTCGTCCTGAAAGTCTTCCACGAAGAATTCTCCTCCGATGAAAACCGCGTTTCCGAACAAGCAGAACTCCAGCAATTTTGGTTCAATTCCGGCATCGCCGTCCCGCAGATAATCAAGACAAAGGAAGGGCTTTTGCAGAAGAAGCTCAAGACAAAAATGGCGAACGGAAAAGATGGAGAGTGTTACGTCCGGCTGTTGGAATTTATTGAAGGAGAGATGTTGCAAAAATTGCCCGTTGAGGAACAGTTTTTTTCGGAGATCGGAGAAGCTATTGCAAAATGCCACTTGCTAATGGAAAGAAAGGGGTCTTCAGAGAAGTTCCCTTTCACTTCGAAATTAAAGGTAAGAAAGGGATCTGAAAATAAGTTCGTCTGGGTTAAAAGTAGACGCCATAAATTCACCTTGAAAATTGGAGTTTCTGAGAGCTGAAACTCCGGGAAATTATGTAGTTCGACCCAACTAAAACCCCCCAACTTTTTGAGCGCTTTCTTTTGAGGTATGAGCTGATCGACCTTGATCAGGCGTTCAAGGTCGTCAAGCTTTTTTAGCTTTTCGGAGGCCTGTATCACGTGACCACGTGACCTGACCAAAAAATTTTCAATAGCAATTTTTTTAGTTGGGTCGAACTACATAATGTCCCGAAGTTTCAGCTCTCTACGTTGATGCTTTCTTGGGGTTGATTTTTTGCGCGTCGGCCCTAGTTATAGTTCCTCTTCTTCTCACCCAATTTTATTTTTATAAGCACATCTGGTCAATCGAACGAGTCGTGAATCCAGAATGGGAGGAAAGAATCGCCACTCTTGAATCAGAAGAAACAACCGCTTCAGTCAAAGCGGCGATCAAAGATTTCAAAGAGATATTGAAAAACAACTGTGATTTACCAAGTGGAGTCGTTCATGGAGACTTAAATTCACTCAACATCATCGGAGAAAAAGACGAATCTGGAAAAGGTTCTCGAAAGTGAAAAAGGTTTTTGCTCATCATGTTTTTAGCTGCGCTGAAGGCTTTCATTGATTTCGGTGATGTCTGCGGGAGTGCCTTAGTTTTCGACCTTTCCATCGCTGTTCTTTACCACATGGTGGCAGTCTTCACCAAAACTTCATCCCTCGAATCCGTCTACCAGCCAATCAGCTGGCTTCTCCGTGGATATCTTCATTCCCGGAAACTTACGGAAGCCGAGATAAATGCTATTTATTATGCAGTGCGAGCACGAGCAGCTCAAAGCGTCTTAGGTAAATACGCTTGTTTCACGGAGCAAAAAAACAACATAACTTCTCTGTAAATATTTTTAAGGAGCTTATCACACGTTGAGCACCGAGCCCGAAAACAGGGAATATCTGCTATCGGAAGCGGGCCCGGCCGAAAAGCTGCTCAACGAAATGCAGAATTTGACGAAAGAGCAGTTTCTTCTCAGAATCATACCCAAACTTTGAACTTTGATACTTGCTGTTTTTATTCGATTAATGCGAAGAATAAATATTCACGTGGAAGAGTTACTGCGATAATCATGTTTACCCTCGAAAACAATTGCTTGTATACGGTTTTTTCAATTTTGAAAAAGAGAATGCTCTACCAGCGCTTTTTACGAGTATGAAATTTATATATATAATAAAATATAATTTATATATACTACGATTTTAGGCGACTGGGGGGACCCTTATTCTTTTTGCAATTTTCCTGATAATCAGCGATGTGGGAATTTTGACCATGGATTTTTACTTGGGAACATATGAATGGGGAAACACGGATTGAGTTGGCCCACTCCGCACGTGAGGCCAAGGCACAGGCGGTGTCAAGCCGAGAGTCAATAGATGGAAGGGACCACGCCGCCGGTGCGAACTCCTGCAGAGTCCAGTTCTGGGCCAAGTTTGGAGCAAGTCTCGGTGTGAGACCTTGAGTAAACAGAATCAAAGGTCACGTTGAGCCCGAGATCAGGATCAAGCTCATCCCCGGATCAGCCCTAAAAGTGAAGATATAGATGACCGAAAAATAGAATTTTATGAAACTTGGCCCAATAGGGTAATCAGGGGCGTTGAATCCGAATCTTTGGTCGAAAAAGACTTTTTCGCGAAAATCGCAATTGGCGAATATTTTGCGATTGCGATGCGAAATTTTGCAGAAAATTCGCAATCGCAAGAACTTTTCTGACCGAATCGCAATCGCATCGCAATCGCAGCTCAGTTTTCGTCAAGATTTCGCAAAATGCGATTTTTCGCGAATTTCGGTCTTGTCAAATTGCTCCCACGATGTTCTGACGTAAGTTTTGTTTGATTCAGAGCCTTTTTTCTGTGTTTTGAAGGCCCTTTTACCCTATTGAGCCAAGTTTCATCAAATTTTATTTTTAGGTCATCTATATCTTCACTTTTAGGGCTTATCCGGAGATGAGCTTGATCCTGATCTCGGGCTCAATGTGACCTTTGATTCTGTTTACTCGAGGTCTCACACCGAGACTTGCTCCAAACTTGGCCCGAAACCGTACTCTGCAGGAGTTCGCCCCGGCGGCGTGGTCCCTTGCATCTATTGACTCTCGGCTTGACACCTCCCGTGCCTTGGCCCCACGTGCGGAGTGGGCCAACTCAATCCGTCGTCTGCCCATATGAATATGCTGCTTCAATATTTTATTCTTACGGAGTCGGCATTTTGATGGGCATTTTGACCTTGATTCCTTCGATTTGTGGATGCTGCCTTTCCTGCGATGATGAACGCCGATTTCGGAGAAGATATCGAAAAACTTGTGGGAAAAATTTTTCGCTTTGAGGTTAGGTTTTAACGGGTTTTAGCTTGCTGGTCGAATGTTATTGGTTCTTTCTCGATTCTGGCATTCTTGTGGCTCAGTCTTTCGGTCGGAAGCCATGTCTACTACCTTTCTATTGTGAAGTGGATGACGTCTTCCGACCCTTACATTTTCGCTGTCTACTGTGTTTTATTTTTGATGCAGATGATTTCTATCAATTCCCTGGTCATCATTCTGTTTTTTCAAGGAAATGTTCTTGGCTGTTGCTATTGTTGTTCTTACAATCGAATCGGTAACACAATCTTTAGCGAAAAAAAATAAGAAAAAAACTTTTTTAGACCTAAATGAGCCAACAGAGGTTGAGTTTGATGCAGTTTCTAGAGCTCCTTCAACAAGAAACGCTTATCATCTTTGAAAAATTCGATGTGTTTTAAAATTTATTCACAGTAAAAGAAATGTCGCTCAATTGTGTTTTCCACAATCATTGTTTTTCAAAGTATTTTGGTTTCTTGTTGTGCATTTGCCACAAAGTAAAAATGTACTCGTCGCAGATTGATTCAAGCTCGCTCATCGTTGTTTCCGGGTTGAGGTTTTCTGTTGGCATCGACATAACACCTGAAAATTATTTTTTTCTCAAGCTTTTTTCAATTATTTAGACTATCGAAGGACAAAAATTTCGGAAAAATGCGCTCTGATTCGTCAATTTATAAAAATTTTGGCACCTATCTGTCGATTTGAGTCGGAAATTTTGGAAAATTCGCGGATTTTCAGCGTCAAACTAACCAAAAATTACCTTGCATGCATTCAAATCGAAATCTGTGCAGTTGATATATTCCGAAAGCCGAGCTCAATCCTGGCAAAATTGTATATATTTTAAAAAGCATCTTAAAAATTTTCTGAATATCTTAAAATCGAACTATGTTCTTCGAAGAAAGAAGAGAGTTCTTAAATACGCCGTTTTGAATAATTCTTGACCCCTGATCAAACAACTATATCCGACTATGAGATAAGTATTTGGCTCCGTTTAATCATCAATATTCGCCTTGTACAAGAAGTGATCTGGTTTCTTTGTGAAAGGTTAATGAAGGACCAGGTCTGCAGAGCGAGGACACGCGAAGAAACAAGCTAATAAATCACCGATGTTCGCAAAAGAATCGTGTCTGTCCGCCAAACACACAGATTTCTAAGGATGAGAATATCCAGGAATATTGAAGAATAAGACATAAAGCTCTCAGTAATGAGGATCGCCTGGAATAAGGTCATAAACAAACAACAATCCGCTCCGATCCCCTTTCCCGCTCAGAATATACACATGCAAAAACGCTATCATGCCAAATTTAATAGGATTCAGAAGACACTTGCCCAAAAAAGGATGAGTGCCTTTTAAATCTGATTATTTTATAAAAGTTAAGTGCACAAGTTCTTTTTTTAGTCAAAAAGAGAAGCTTCTTTTTATATCTTCAGAAATATCCGAAAGGATCGAAAAATAAGGTAAAAAAAATTGAGTTCCTCTTCCTTGATTTCATTTCCTGTTGGTGATATTTATGAAAAAATATGAACAGAGTTCAGAATTTTTACACAGAGAAGAAAATGGACTTATATGATTTTTACTTTGATTTTGATTTTTCCTTGGAGGTAAAAGTTTCAAGAAGTATTGAAAAAATTAATAACATTTTTTGTTCATAACAACTTGTTATTAACAACATTTAATTAAGGGGACAATTAAGTTGCTGAAAAATCAATTCAATCAATTATGTAAAAAATAAAATCTTATGCCCTAAAGCCTCCCTGAAAGAAAAGAAAGCTGACAGTCAGCAAAAGTAGACAGAGATTGTCATTTGATACATAAATTATGGACGCTATACGTTCTTTGTAAAAGATAAACTGTACGGTTCGATTTGATCCAGATGCGGGGCTCTTTTTTGTCACCTCTTTTTTGGAGATCCAAGGAGTGGTTTAGAGTTTACTCTTTTCAAGAGAATTTTTATTAGAGGAGATAAACGGATAAGCAAACAAGTTCGTCTGTATCTCAAATTGAAGGTCAGTTCTGCTGGGTTCTAACATGGACGAAATTAAAAATACACGACTCGAGGTTGATCATCATTTGATTAAATATATCCTCATCAGAGCTTGAATTTTTCATCAGAGAAAGAACAAGATTGAAATTGAGCTTTTCGTTGCCAAAAGTGTTTTTACTTCAATCCGTCAAAGGAACTTTTTCAAAGATTATTTTTAGATGTCGCCAAATCCGTTCAAGTCAATTGGAGATAATGCTGGAAAAATTTTTGGATTCGGTCAGCATCGATATCGACCGCCTGATTGCTTCTTCAATTTAACAGGTAACAGAGACATTCCCCTAAGAAAGTGACGATAAAATATTTTATATATAATGAGTCATAAATTATGACTCATAATAGATTTTATCAGAGTGTCGTTTTGAGCCAATAAGATTTCGCCAACCAACCAATCAGGGGCCGGAAAACTACGATTAGCTCAATTTTTTCGGCCAGTCAGAGCTTCCGAAAGTCGAACTGTTTATTTTCGATCTTCGTCAGGACTTTTTAGTCGGCAATCTTTGAAAATCCACTTTAACCCTCCAAATTGAATTAATCCAAATATCCTGTTGTTCAATTAAGGAGGTGACCCTTGTCAGGAGAGCCTTACAGTATCAAGTGACTGCGAGGATGAGACGATTTCAACTTTGCTATCGTTCATCCAGCGCAACGAGACTTCAATGTCGACCGGATTTATCGTCGTGTACTTTTTAATATTCATCGTCGGCCTTTTTGGAAACTTGGTCGTTATCTTCACCATTATTGGGAATTTTCAAAAGCTCAATCGCTCCGCTAACCTATTTATTCTCAATCTTACTATAGCAGATATTCTCCTCATCATCAGGTAAAGGCTCCTGGGCCGTAGAAACGGTGAAATCTTGAGCTTTAGCATTCCAAATACCGTATTCGTCGAACAGTTCAATATTCGTACCAATTATTTGGACAAAGCAGGGGTCAGTTTATGTGGCGAAAGGTTAAATATTCCAGTAATTGGACTGCCAGAAATCGATCTGACGATGGATTTGTGGAATAAGTCGGGATATGCTGAAACTCTATGACTCGGGCCGATCAAGTTGATTGACCATTTGAAGTCATTACCAGGATTATCCTGGATAATTTATCCACTTTACATTATTGATCCGAGATAGTGACCTTTCACCTTCTGAGCTTCAGAGCTTCAACTCGGCGCTGAACTCCCACCGTAGCAAAAACACGATCTACGGGCAGTGGAAAAAGTTCATGTACTGCGTCAATTTCATTTCATTTTTCGCCTCTGTCTCGTTTCTCACGATCATGTCTCTCGACCGATTTTACTTGATCGTTGGTTCTCCTTCTTTATTCACGAAATCGAGGGAGATTTTTCAAAAGTACACGAATTTGATTTGCCTTTTTGCCTGGATCTTTTCGATTTTTGGTGCATTCCTTTGTTTATCTGGTACACTGTTGATCCGAGAACGAGTCAAGTCAGCCTCCAGCTCGATGGGGAAATGGTCAAGTCGACGAATTGGTCGAACTGGGAAGTACCTCAAGCAATTGCTCTAGAAAAACGAGAGCTTTGTGGAGCAGGGTTCTCTCTTCATGGGGGCTTTAGGTAGAGGGACAATTGAGAATCCTGAGAAAGAGTGCACCTTGGAAACTCCGTCAATTCTTTTCTAGAGATAAGTTCTTTTAGAAAAAATTGCGGAGAAAGCATAGTTGAGCATTTGAAATTCGACGAATGCGAAAAATTCCAGTGCGAAATCGCTGACAGCTTTAATATCGGTAATTTTTGATAGAAGCAAAAAAGCTCAGATGATTCTAGAGGCGCCTTCGAGAATGGAAAGTGCTGATGTTTTTGGCGATTATGACGATTATCCAATTTATGATGCGCAAGTTTACATCGAGGTTTTGCAGGAGAAAAGAGGCTGCTTCTTCTGTGTAAAAGCGTATAATGACTATTTGATCTGCGTTGCGTCGATTTGTTTCTTTTTGCCGCTGATTTTGATGACCATTTGCTACATATTGATTTGCACCAAGCTTCAAGAGACGAGTAAAAGGGTGAAGGTAATTTTTGAGTCGAATTTAAAAGGATTAAAAAAATTAAGTTTGCTCGATCGAAAGAAGCACGAAAACGATTCGATCTTCGAAAACGAGTGATTTTGATGATCATCGTCATTTTGGCGAGTTTCGTACTTTGCTGGCTCCCATTCCACGTGGATAAACTTATCGAAGTGGCGAATTATGAAAGATCGAAAAACGATCCGAGCCTGTATCTTGGAGACAGCTTTTCAAATATCAACAAAGATCAAGTGCCTTGCTCGGGGGGAAGCTTTGAGTTCGAGGAAAATACAGTGGTGAATCCTCGATTGGGAAGGACGCGCTGAATCCTCGATTGGGAAGCGGCAGCGCATATAGCAAGCCAATCTCTAGAGAAGTGCGGTGCGGACCGAATCCTCGATTGGGAAGCGGCAAGTCAAAGTGACCTTCCCAATCGAGGATTCACCACTGTACTGCCTCTTCAGGTTGAAAGCCAGCTTTTCATCAGCAGATTTCTTTATTTTTCAGGATTGAAAACAATCGCTGAATTACTGATCTTCTTCAACGCTGCTCTCAACCCCTTTATCTACACATTCATGAGTTCACAGTTCAAACAAGATTTTATGAACGCTGCCAAATGGTACGAAACCATCAGTATTACTTATTCTGACTGTATTTTAGCATGAGCACAAGACTCGACCACACGAGGGAATCTCTCAACTCCAGGGCCAAGAATTTTCAGTTCAACAAATTATACAAAATGCGCTTTTCATCTACCGAATCAGGTAACTTTATGATAAACCTCGATTACAGTAATTTTTCAGTTAATTTTTCAAATGTTACTTCAAAGCGAAATTCCCTCCAGTTTTCTCCAGACTTGGCCGTCATCCCTTCTTCCGAGTCAACCATTTAGCCAATGTATTAAATTTTCAAGCACCTGTATAACTTTATGAATAAAAACAGAAGTGACCACTCTAATGCATCCTGATTTTCGTCATAAATATTCATAGCAGATGCTTGTGAAGTGCTTTATCTGCGCCGTAAAATCCTTTTCAATTAGAAGCTTAATAATTAAATGACAGAAAACCATTCGAAAGTGAAGTAAAACCAAATAAAGCGGCGGTTGGTGACGATATTCCGATACATACAGAGAGAAGAAGAAGAAGATGAAAGTTTTTTTCATGTTTTTCTTCGCGCTAGGGTACTCCTTTTCTGTCCATGATTTCTGGTGAGTTCATTGTACTGTTATGCTGTATCCTTATATCCTGAGCTTAGCAACCTGTGCAGAAAGCCTGAGTCAGGTAAAGAAGAGCTCAAATGAAAAGCTGCGTAGAGTTTTTTTTTCTTAAAGAACCCCAAAAAAGCCACTCCATAGCCCTAACCCTAACCCTAGCTATATGCTAGCAGGACGCTTTGCTTTCGTGATTTATTTCATTATTTTATTATTATGTTATTTTTGGTTATATGAGTTTGCTCGTCTAGAAGTACGTCAATAACCCTCTTTTTTAAGCCCGAAGGTTTGCGTTGCCTGTTCGCCCCATCTGCTTGGAAAACGAAGTGTCGATATGGATGAACTTATGAAATCAGAAATCAACGAAGAAGATCCTCAAGAAAGAATCAGCAAGCGCGGCTGGCTCGATTTTTCAGACCACAAAGATATGATATCGTCCGAAAAAGGTGTGAATGATATGGTTTATTCTTTTTCATCGACATAAGTTACTACGATGAGCCCTTCAGGGACCAAGTCGACCAATCAAAAGTCCAAATGCATCGATGGTGCGAAGCCTGTGCCGACGATTGTGGCTTGTAAAAAACTGAAAAGAGGAATAAAACCATCTTCAGCAGTTGTTTCTTTGTATGACTAGTAAATGAACAATCAATTAACAATGATTTCCATCAAATAATTTTGTCGATAAAAATCGTTAAAAGACGCTTCTTGCTTTAGGAAATGAGCATCAGATAACAGTTATGGTCGCGCGCCGATGATTTTTTCTGATAAATTTTGCTGGTATAAAGAAAAACCATCGGGAGAGCGTTGATCAGTTTGTAAGAGATGAACGGTTTTTCGCTTCTTTATATCATTCTTCCTATGATCATGTAAGTCGGGAGAGACTTTACTTGACTCGATGAGACGTTTTTCAGAGGTTTTAGCGGCTTGTATCTCCTATTTTTGGTCAATCAAAACCAAGCAATAAAATCCTCCCGATGATGGCGTGAAACTAACAAGCGAAGATATGAGAAGAAAGATTCTCTTTTCTAGTTTTTTCTATGGAACCGATGAAGTCGATCCGAGACGCAAAAGGTCAAAGGAAACGCTGCTTCCCCTCGAGATGGATGTGAAAGTGAAAATTAACGGTGAAAATTGGTTTGGAATTGCCTTTGGAAAGCCTGCTTCTTTTAATAAGGCGAGAAGTGAATGTGCGAAAAGAAATATGTCGATTCCGGCTGAAAGGTGACAGTTTTTTTTTGTGCTTTTTATCAACGATTCTAGCTTCGAAATCGTCGATTTTTATCCTGAAAGACCTCTTAAAGAGCATCATCTTGATCGAATTTGGTGGATCGACCCGCTTTTCTATAACGACGATTCTATAAGTTCTGAAACTCAGAGACGAGTCGATGGTCTTATAAAGGAGCAGGAGAGCAAAGACTTCGGGATAATGATTCTACCAAGAACGGACGGGGAAATTTGAGAAAAGGACAACTTGGATATTGCTTGACTAACAACCGAATAAATGAAGGATTTACGATGCGATACATCTGTGAAGATCGCGTTTTTGACGACTTTGGACGGTTTGAAAGGGACTAGATTTTTCTTATTTCTGATTCTAGGGTAATTGTTCATGAAAACAAAACAATCCACTGCCCAATCTTTTCTCTTTACCCATCTTTTATTGAAAAATACAATCTCTTCCCTGCTTCCGTCGCTAAATCTACCTTTAAAGTACGCTACGAAAAGAAGAGTCAGACCGAATTAATTTTTAGGAGACGTGGATTTTAAGCTCCCGACCAAGATCATTTTCAAGGTTTCTCGCTGGAATATGGGATGATTACGAATCGACAGAAAGGCTTCCCTGGTGCGATGGGTATCCTGTTGAAACGATGGAATTTGCATACAATACTGATCCGGAATCAAAGGATGTGATGCTTTTCGAAGGCCCTGATGGCAGTCACAAGTAAGGGACTCGAATTTCGAGTCTCGAAATAACGGATTAGCTTTGTTTTAGCAAAATATTTTTAGCATGACATTCATCTGCCTGAAAGAATAACTCAAATACTAGCGATTCAACATGAATTTCGACTTTTCAATCATCGCTCTGAATAAAATACTTTATGCTACTGTAAATGAAAAGATAGAAAAATTCCTTGAAGCTGATTCTAGTTGGCAAAATAAGTTATTTTGCTAAAGTCATCCTGACTGGACGGTTTTCGTCGAGTTTTCTTCCAGAAAGTGGAGCAGTAACGATAGACCCGGTTCGGTATTTTAACTTGTTCTCCCGTTCAGGGCGCTATCAACTCACTGCCTAATTTTCTGAAGTTTTAAAAACGCTCTCTCGGAAACATCGAAATCGACGGAATCTGGTTTCGCGTCGAAAAAAGCTCGAAAATCAAAAGAAACTGAAAAATGAAGCGGTTTCGCGTCTCTATGTTTGGCTGTGATGTCATGGTCCGAACCAAATAAGCCAATGGGAGGGTGGCGACACCCTCGCCCACGCAAGTTGACGACGCGGCGATGATTTTCGAGCCGCACATGACCGACAGACACCGCTCAAGGCCACTTGATTTTTATCGTCATCAGCTGACTCATCTTATCAACCCATTTTTGGTCCTTCATATGTATTTTGTAGGCATAAGTTATTTGAATTGAAAGCATTCGATATTTATTGAGTACAGTGTGAAGCACTTTTAAGGCCGATTTTTAGATGACAGCAAATTTCAAAAGTGGCCTTAAAATGGATATTTTTTGTCTCGAGTCGGATGACAACAAATTTTTTCCTCTCTTGCGAAAAAAAATAAATGAGGGTTCATAAAATTATTTGGAACTTAACTTTCTTTCACTGTTTTTGGAATATACTTTCAACTTATTTCCTAAAAAATAGAAATAGTTTGATTTTTCACGGCCGAACAAAGTATGAATTGTAGCCTCTTTCAGAATGTGTCCTTTAAATTGAACTCAACATGATTCTTTCTTTTATTTTTTCAAAGATCATATTCTTAAAGCATGTCTTAAAAAAGAATCAACATGGCAAATGCTAAGTAAAAAAGATATGTAGAGATTCTAGTGAAGACGTCAAAGAATAGTGACGTGAAGAAGACCATTGCTGAGCTTTTTCGAAAGAAAAATGGTTAAGACATTCCTCTGCGTATTTTTACACGCCTATATAATGATTATAGATTAAAACAATTGGACTCAAAATCAAAGTGAAAATTCAAACAAGACCGTAAGAAATTATCGTTAATTGAAAAAGTCAAGAAAAAACATCCAAAAATACCGAAAGAAAAATAAAGATAAAAACACAAGGCATCACGCAGTCGATGATAAAAAGCTTTTTCAAGAGACACTGTAACTTTCGGATTTTGAACTGAAATTGAAGGGAAAGTGGCCTTAAAGTGGATTTTTTTAGGATGACAGATTTTGGGAATTTTTCGAAAAAGTGGCCTTAAAAGGGTCGGCCTTAAAAGTGCTTCAAACTGTACATGTATCATGAAAAATCGTATGGTGACTTCTTCCAAGTTATGACTCGTACCATATGTGATATCTATTATTACAGTACTCATTGCATAAAGCTCCACAATGACCTGGATTGCAAACACATGTGAACTCTCCGTTATCTTTAACTTCGCACTGGCCATTACCATTAGCTTCACATTTAGTGGGACTGTCATAGTCGCAAGGAGTAATTTCGCAATGATCACCGGCAAAGTAATCCAGGCACTGACATGCATATGACGTGCTTTTTTTAACTTAAAAAAACCTTAGGTTAACGAAGTTTTCCAGCCCACTTCCGCCTTATAGACCCCCAAACACTATCCCTTTTTAGAATCAGTAGAAAATTTAAAGAACTTTGACGGTTTAAAATTCTAGAAAACTCCACTTCCGGTCGATTCTAGAGCCGGAAGTTGACGAAATTTACGTATTAGGGTAAAGTCTGACCTATCAAAATGATGCTCAAACGATTTCCTATCATTTAAAAAAAGAATCAAGACCAACCGCGGTCATACCAACCGGAAAAAAACTGAAAAAAATCATCAATTTATGCGTTTTTTACATAATTTAACCGGTCGGTTTGATCACGTTTGGGACTGTTTCTTCTGATAAATTGATTACTGGATGAGTCAAAATCTTCTGAGCATCAATTTGATAGGTCAGACTCTAATATTAATCCCAAATTTCGTCGACTTCCGGCTCTAGAATCGACCGGAAGTGGAGTTTTCGAAAATTTTAAACCGTCAAATTTCTTAAAATTTTCTGCTGATTCTAAAAAGGTATAGTGTTCGGGGGTCTATAAGGCGGAAGTGGGCTGGAAAACTTCGTTAACCTTAAAAAAAGCACGTCATATGTACTTCCGATAATTTGACAATAAGAACCATAAAGATATCTATTTTGTGAACAAGGTGTTTCATCGCAAGTGTCTCCAGAATATCCTTCAGCACAGGAACAAATGTAACCATCGCCAGCAAGAACACATGTCCCACCATTCAGGCAGTTGTGATCATCTCATGGTGTATTTTCGCAATTTTCCCCCCGAGTATCCATCTTTGCAAGTACATAGATAATCAGGTGATGACCCATCTTCAAAGTAGTCACATGTCCCTCCATGTTGACAAGGTCCCGGAGTACAAGGATTTTGGTGACATTCTCTCCCAGTAAAACCAGGAGGACAGTCACACTGGTAAGCTCCGTCCTTTACCCAACATGTTCCTCCATGTTGGCAAGACTGGTCTGTGCATGGTGTTATCTCACAAAGAGCTCCTGAATAGGCAGGAGGGCAATCACATCTAAATGTACTTCCCGTTGAAAAGCAGATTCCGTCATTTAAACATGAGTTCAATGAACAGGGATCAAGCGCTAACGTTGACGATAAATTTTGAGAGCTTTGGGTAGAAAGATGCGCGCTTGTCGTTTCATCATCAGCTGTTGCGAAAATTGACTGTGTCGTCGTTGTTTCCGAGCTCGGAATTGTCTTTGATTGATTTTGGACAATAGGGATCGAAATCAAAGCTCCAAGACAAAATACAATAACTGTAATTTTTCAAAGATAACCTTTATACCCTCGTCTTTCTCTCTTACCTAGGATGAAAATTGTTATAATTATCGGTCTCTTTTTCCGTTTCATAAAGTCAACCATTTTTGCGAGAAGCAAAACTGTTTGAAGAAAAAATAAGAAAAGTCTCTTGCAATAGACTGGGCTTGATACCGTCGGAAGCACAGGTGTCCATTGTTTGAGAAAATGCCAGCTCAGGGAACTATCGACACGATAATCGCTCCTGATTGTTTCTTACCGTAGTTATTTCTTTCAAAAATCCTACAGAAAAAGATTTTGAATATTTTCTTTGAATTTTATTCCCATTTGTCTTTTTTCGTAGACAGTTTTATAACAGCTTGATATTCAATGAAAAATTGTGCAGGGATTTCTAACGATGACTGAGATCGGGATCGCTCGAGGCTTTGGTTGCCTGATTTTGTGATCTTCCTCAATGTGCAAAGCCTTAGAATATTCATAGCGAAAGTTTCGCCCGCAGAGTTCGCATTTTAGCGGCAATTTGAACTGAAGACCCGATCGTTTTTTGAATCCACTGCGCTTCTTTGAAGAATTCATCATTGTTCTTTCCCCTTGTGTGAAGTATGTTGTACCGCGAGCGCTTATATTCGCTGTATAAAATACAAATTATATAACTGAGTTATATAACTCTGTCGATTAAGGATCACTGGACCGGGAAAGAATGAAGAAATATTATGTTGAATATGGCGAATAAGCGGTTATATAATTGCCTGATTAGAAAAAAAGAACTCTCAAAATCAATTTTTTCTTCAATGTCCCCTCAGCAAAAAATCAAGGGTTGCACCTTAATTTTTAAGCAGAAAAGCAATCAACAATAACGAGCGTATCTAGGTCACTATATTGATTTTTCTGCAAGGGGTCGTAATTCTTCGCTTTTATTACGATATCTCACTTATATCTGGTCGTTTATATATCTCTACGAAGGATTAGATAATTGACCTAGAAATTGGACATTATATAAAGCTTGTACAATCTTATATGATTCGATTTAAATTTATATCTCTGTCTATTTCTTAATATACGATAAAAATTTGGTTTTTAGTTTTATTAAAACTCAAATTCTCTTTAGCAGACGAAGATATATGTAAAAAAAGGATGATTTCTGACAGGAAAAAATGTTTCGCTAAAGGTTTTCGTTTTCCAACATTTCGATGAAATAATTCAGCTGTCGCTTCTTTTCTTCTTTCTTAATTTTAATATCTTCAAAAAGGGGTTGAAAGAAGGTATCGAACCTGTTGAAGTTGAGATATTAGGCTGCTTGTTAATGATGCTCGTTTTGAAATTGATTTCGCTAAAGTGGATTTTTTAGAAAAAAAAGGGAAATTTTTGCTAAGTTTGTTAATTTTTTGGAAGAAAACTTACGTTCAGGAATTCCAAGAGTAATTTCAAGCGCCGAGGTAACGAACAAAAGCATCGAAAAAAATTGAATCTGTGAAAATCGCATCCTCAATATTCCTTCTCAATCTAAACAGAAAGCCCCTGATTGAGCTGTTTTCCAATCTCGACTTGGATTTGGTAAGGAACGAGAGAAGGGGTTTTATAAGAAAAGCCCATCAAAAAATCATTTGAGGACGTGTTGCGAAAATAAGAATCAGCGAGAAAAAAAACAAGTGTTCTTAGAAAAAAACGATGTTCATGTTCCTCCTTGTTTTTTGGCTCAATACCCAAATTCACTTCGGCTTTGCTTCCCGGCCCCCGAATATTTTGTTTGTCATTACAGGTTCGTTTGGTTATATAAGTAGTTATATAAATCCTATTTTCCAACCCAAGGGAGCGTAAATTAAATTTGCTAATCGAGTTTCAGAGTGCAATAAATAGAACTATTCAACGTCGTTTAGTTATATAATACTCAGATCATCTATCTCACAAAGCTATTAATATCGTAAAATTGATGATTATTTGAAGACGCTTTTGATGGAAGAATTCTCAGTGAAAAAACAAAGCCAGTTGCTCTACCAAATTTAGGAAAATCGGACTAAAAAAGATTCAAATAATTATTCAAATACAAGATAAAAAAAAGTGACTACGGTTCATATAAATACGGTTACTGACAAATCCGATAATGAAAGAAAAACTCCAGCGCGCCGGTCAGTTGTCAGATAAAATTTAACTGAGAGTTTTTCAATAATCTGACTAAAACTTTCCTCTGGTAGGCACGACTTTTACGAGGACCTACTGTGCCTCGCCCCTGTGTGTTCCATCAAGAGCAGCTCTGTTCTCTGGCCGGCATATTCATAAAACAGAAAGCTGGGTAAAAATTTTAATAGAAAAGAAAGCCGTTATGAAACATGTTTTAGAATAATTTTCGAGGGCTTTCAAATGGTGTTGGAAACTGGACCGAGGACTTGAAAAAAGAATTGTTTATCAAGAATTTTTTCTTCCAACCCGAAAAATAGTCTTGAACAAAACTTAGTTCGTTACAAAATTGGTCTATTTGGTAAAATTGATGATCACTCAGGAAATATTTTTCAATAAGAAATCTGTTTTTTCTCTGTCTTCAGTTTTCAGTTGCCCTGTTTTTATAATCCTTCTTTTGAAAAATATAAAGGCGACCATTCAGGTACGTTTTTAATATTCCAGAAGAGAGAAATAATTTCCTCCTCCTTCGATGAATACAATTTTAATGACCGCCTTCAGAATCAGAGCGGATAGAAGCCTGGACATCTAGGGTACAGGTACGCCTCTTTTTGAATAACTAATTTGCTTGTTTTACGTATTTTAAACAGGGATTGACGTTGAGACAGGAGCCTAGACCGACAGTCGAGCTTCTTGGCAATCAAAATACCAAAAAGTAGCACTTAGTACCTCCTCTCCGCCTTTTTCTCCTTCAGAGTTCAACTCAAAGATTGGATGCGACTGAAAAAAGTGAGGTCGTTCATCAAAAAGGCGTCAAAAAATTCATCTTCTCCATGGCTTGCCTACTACGGAATTAACCTCCCTCACCCTTATCGAACCAATTCTGCAGGGCCCAATGCTGGTGGATCTACATTTAAGACTTCGCCCTATTATTTGAAGAAAGTGGACAAATCAAAGATCAAAGCTCCAGTTTGGAAGAAATTCCAAGACCTTCATCCTGTCGACCAATACGCGGTCGTTACAAAAAACTGCTCTGGAAGCTGGTCAAACGAAGAAATTCTCGAAATCCGCGCGTACTACTTTGCGATGCTTGCAGAAGTGGATGCGATTCTCGGCGAGCTTTTCCGTTCAATTCCAAATTTGAACGAAACCGTCGTCTTTTTCACTTCTGATCATGGAGATCTCGCGATGGAGCATCAACAGTACTACAAGATGAGTTTCTATGAAGGCTCCGTCAGGTCGTTCATCAAAAAAATATTCGAAAATCAACATTTTCTTTCTTGATGTTCAGAGTTCCACTAATTGCCGCTGGGCCGCCATTCAAAAGTGACATGAGAAAACATGAGCCACGAAGTCTTTTGGATATTTATCCGACTTTGTTGTCCTTAGCCAATACAGTAAGTCAGCTCGAGTCAAGAATGGAGTTTCAGTCAATATCAATTAAGACGACCGAACATGAAATTGACGGATTGAGCCTGTTGCCGGACAAGAGAATCAGTTCAAACCGCCCTGTATTAGGAAACGGATGAGTTCAGTAGAACAAAATTGGCCATTAATAAAAAATGCCTGCAGAAAAAAAAACACTGACCAGAATTAAATGAAAAAGCGGGTCAAAATCTTGGTTTTGAAAAGACCTGTCTTGATTAAAAATTTACCTTGTTCTGGGAAAAATTGGTTACAGTAACTGACATCTGTCAAAAAGCACAGTACCATGCAGAACATATGAACGCGTCTGGTTACATGATCGTACAAGGAGACTACAAGTTCATTTTCTACAGTCAGCATCGATACCAACTTTTCGATCTGAAAAATGATCCCGAAGAACTTCATGAAATTCAGGATGAAAATATTGCTCGAAAACTCCGTCGCGGTAAAAAAACGCTTATCAATTTGAATACAGAATGAATTCTAGAGCTGCTGAAGCACCTTGATGTTCAATCAGTGACTGAAAAAGTTGAGCGATACAACAAAGAATCATTCCTTCAGTGGAGAAATCAGAAAGGAGAGGATTATGAAGATGCAATAAGGTCTGAAATTAAATTTGATGGAATTCTGAAAAATGCATTCTAGCAATCTTCGCTGGGCCGAGCATTTCAACGAAAATAAGCATAAAAATCTCGCCCTGATCGATCGCTGGCTTTACGACTTGCCGACAATTTCACTTGAAGTTGACAATAAAAACCCACCAAAATAAATGAGAAATCCTAGCAAGATGTTTATTTTCGTTAAAACTTTGCAAGGAAGGCATCATGAAGATTATTTCGGGGGGAAAATTGGTAACGCGCCGATTTTCCTACAGTTGTTTTTCTTCTTGTTGATATCTTTGATCACGTGAGTAAAACGGCGAAGCCAGGAGCCGCGTTTTCCGCAGTTTTGATTGAGCTTTCATCGAGGAGTTTTCTCACATCTAACAATAAACCGTCACGTGATTAGATTTCCGAGTTACCTTGAAGACAAAAGTTGCCCATTTCTTCAACGATATTCTTCGGAACATTCGTTTTCAAAAACTGCTGTCGTTGAATTTGCCCCAAAACTTCTTCAAAACCATTTCGCTCCTCAATTTCCTTCAGTTGAGCTGGAATAAGTGTGCACTTCTTTTGTTCAATGTGATGAATTGCGTCGAGAAAAACTTGACTCAACCGGTGGGTGTATTTTCGAATGAGCCCGCCACGAACAAACCATAAACTCGTCGGTTGCTCGAGAAGGCCGGTTTTTTTCAATGGAGCTTATGTGAGTTTATTTTTCGATGATATTAAAAATGGCATACCATGATATGAACTAGAGCCTCTAATTCAAATGCCCTAAGGAGAAGCTATTTTCATGAAAAAATTTTTATAAAACTCTTCCTGTCGGACATAAAAGCGCAAATTCCATGAAAAACGAACATTTTTCGATCGTTTTCTTCAAAAAATTTGTCTTTTTTATAAAAAAAGTTTGTGATTACCTGCATTTCTTGCAATAAACTCTCTGGTACTTCACTTGCTTCCATAAAACTCGAGTTCAAAAGCACTAGAATTGTTAAAACCTTCATTTTTCCTAGCCTTTTTTGATCCTGATTCGCTTATCAGGGCTGGTTATAAAAGGATGAAATGTTAAATTTCATGCTCCGATGTTCTATTGATGACCCGTGCAGAAATTGAACACGTTTTTCCCTTTTTCGTTTTCGATTTAGAAATTATCTTCTATTCAAAGTCGATTTTATTGATCAAAGAAAGAACAGGCTCTACATTTAATTTCCACGAATCCTCGTTGAATGGAACTTTTTTCAATGTCATAACTTGCTCTCGCCGGTCGCAGAATTTGTCGATCTTGGGGATGAGATCGTTTTTGACGCGGAAAATGAAGCCGACCCAGTTTTTGGCGCCGCTGATTCGAGAACTTTCGGTGAGAATTTCAGTCTGTGAGGAGAGGATTTCGCCGTATTGTTCCAAGTTGTTGTCCAAGTTGGTCAACTTGGACTTGGCTTCGCTAAAATGAAAATTTTGCCCCTTGAACCAATCAAAATGCAACATGCTTTGCTTTGACCAATCATAAAACGAATATTTACTTGTCAATGGACTTCAGCAAAGCTTTTTTCCGCTTCTCTAGAATCTCGAAAATCTCATGAAAAGCATTAAGAATCCTCTGATTCTCCGAGAGCTGTAGATTTCTCGATGTTTTGAGCGCTTCTTCGTACAGTTTGCAAATTTCCCTAAAACTCCCTTTTTTTTTGAAATTTGAGAAACTCGAACCTAAGTTCTTTGAGAATATTTTTCGATCTGTCCAAGCTTTTTTCGAGCTCTTCTTTTTCGAGTTGAAATGAGTCCTTGACGACAGTCACGTGGCAGTTTTTATGAGCTCCGAAGCACTTGCACAAAGTGCATGTGAGTTCAGAACAGTCGTTACAGTAGATGTTCAGCTTCTGGTTCTTGTGAGTTTTGCAGCTTGGAGGGATGTACTTCAGCGCTACTGTTTTTCGTGATCGGGGTGGAGGAAGAGTTTTGCCTGATTTTTTTCTAGAGAAAAATGGTAGAAAGGAGGATGAAGGGTAAAATTACAGTTTCTCATGCTTTTCGAAAGTTTCGATAAATTGCTCAATGACGAGATTTCGCGTTAGTCCATGAATTCCATGCATGTCAAGGACGACTTCTTTTCGGCAACAGGGACATCTGATTTTGTGACGATCGCTACGAGCATTTCGCATCACGATTGCTATGGAAAAGGGTTGATACATGTTGACTCGTTGGAAAACCTTTGTTGTCGAAAATATTCTGGGCACATTTTTGGCAAAGATTATGGGCGCATGGTAGCATAAGAATCGGTCGTTTCAGTCGCTCTCGGCATTCTTAGATTGGCTTGGAATTTTCTCAGAGAAAGTAAAGAGAATAAAGATGGTTTTTCAATGAAATATCGAGATTAAAGTTTTTTGTCTTGTTTCTTAACAAAAACCATAAGTGAGAATTTTGCCTCATAAATTGATATATTTTTGCCTGAATACAATCGAGATAAATAAAAAATATGTTTGACATTCCTCCGGTAAAATTTCTTCTGATCTTCTTCTGATATATTTCATAAATAAATCAAAATTGAACCTGATGAAATAAATCAAGCCATTTTCCTGGACATGAGATCGCCCGATCAACTTTGCTCTCAGTCGTCTCTTCTGGAGGTTTTTCTTCTTCTTTCTTTTCTTCTGGAACACCGTGATTTTGCAGATCTCTGATAAACTGATCCATGACAGTGCAAAAATCGATCTTCTTCTGACAGAAAAGGGACACGTGTTGACCCTTTTCAGGCGTTAAGCTTATCAACTGTGACCTGGCCAAATCATGAGCAGCGTCTCGCCATCGAAAATAAATGACTTGCCTTTTTTGCCCAAGAAACTTGCAATTCAGATGCCGAGACAGAAAACTTCTCTGATATTCCATGAGGTCAATAATAATTTTTCCAAAATGAGAATGGGCTGACTTACTCTGTATAATAAAGGAATAACTAATTATGTGAGGAAAACTAGCTAGCATTACACTCGCTCAACTTGCTTTACTAAACTGACTAACATTACAGACTGTTTGATTCTCGAAAAACATAATCGCTGGAGGATTTTTCAAAGTCAGAATTTTTAGAATGACAGAATCCCGAAAATATTCTCAAAAAAATCACCTTGAGATGAAGAAAGTATATTTTCAGTAAAAAGAAAACCTAATAATCGTCGATGATCATTTTTTTCCCGTTCTTATTTGTAAAAAAAAACGAGTAAACATTTCAAATGTTACATTTGCTTAGTGCTCAAGCGATGACTTTTCCTCTTTACAAGCAATAATTCTAAAAATGAAAATACCATTGCATCCAGACGAATTGACAAAAGAGAGCGTGAAGAAATGGCTTGGATGTTTCACGAGAAAACTAGAAAGATGGACAAGTCGTAATGATTTAGACAGATTGATTTTATCAGTTGACAGGATACATGAAGATTTCAAGATCGCGATCAATGGGTCATTGCAGAATATATACACTGGGTGGGACAAGATTATTTTCCGAGACGAGGAAGGGCAAGTCTTTTTTCCTGGCCAGGAGTGTGAGTCAGCCGACCTCGGGGGCTTACGATGGACCGTTACTGAATTGCAGAAAATAATTCTTGAGCGAAATCCTGATTTTAAAAATAAGACAATTCTACGATCAGAATTGCAAGAAGAATTCGGCGAATGGACACTTGGTCGTTCTTTCGAGGAGAAGATCCTTTCTGTTGGTGGAGAAGCAATTGTCTTTCAAGAGATATTTGGAGAACTGAAAGTCGTTGTTCGAGTTCAATGTTTTGATCCAGCACTTTTTGCAGCGAAACAGGATCTTTTCTTTTATATTCATCTTTCAAAAGGTTTTTTCCGTTTTTATTATTTACTAGAACCTGAAATTTAGATTATGAAATTGCTGAAAAAATTAACTCCGAGAAAAACAAGTTTCATATTATACCAAGGGCAATTCCATCACACGAAAATGTTATAAAAAATTTCTGCAATATTCAAATATTTTTAAAAGAAGATGAAAAAAAGGAAGACTGTCTAGGATGGATAACAATCATGGAAAAATGTGATTCTGATTTGAGAATAAGGCTCAAGAATGAGGATTTGAGTCTGGACGAAAGAAAATTAATATCAATAGGCGTCTCGGAGGGATACAAGTATTTGACGGAAATCTATATCCATCATATGGACAGAAAACCTGAAAATATCCTTCTTAAAAATGGAAAGCCAAAATGGACTGATTTCGGCATCGTAACTAACGAATCAATGAGAATAAGTTATTGTGAAATGGGCTATGCAAGGAAAGGATGCAAGTACGAAGATGTTCATTCTCTACGTAAGTTAAACCTTAAAATTTATAGTTTATCTTATTTTTGCTTTCGAACAGGCGCTGGTTCTGCAGGATTTTCTAGTATCAGCCAACTTTGCGAAGGCAGTGGTGGTTTTTTGACAAATTTACATGTTTTGATTATTTGCGACTGGAAAACTGCATGGAGTGTTCTTTATAATCCTTTAACGACAGAAGAAAAAGAAAATATCAGAAAGAAAATAAACGAGGTAAAACATAATTGAAAATTGCAATCATTTAGATGAAATAAAGAAAAACTTGCAGCACAGAATTGACCAATCTTTTTTTCCGCTCAAAAGCTTAGATTATACCGATTTTCATGGTTAAAATTATGCAAAAAACAACAACCGACGACACCAAAAATGATCTGATAAGATAGCAAAAAGGGCCATATTGAGCGAATTTTGAGCCAATTTAAATATTCTTTTCGCAAGATTTCTTCTATATTAGCTTCTATTTGACCCATTTTAAATAACGAAAATTCATCGGAAAGATTGCCTAAAAAAAATGACGTCATTTTCTAGAAAAATTTTCCTAAGTAAAATATATTTAAGTGTATCGTTTTTTCTCTTGAGCACAAACAATTGACATGTCGTTATTTCTGCTGTTAAAAATTTTTAATTATAATTTTTGTAATCGCCATAATTAGGACGAATATTTTGATGAATATTGGGTTAACCCAAGCTACGGTGAAGATCACGAAAAAGAAGTCTCAAAGCTGACCAAAATTATCTCTCTCAAAAAAACGTCATTTTCCTCTTTTGATGATCCGAATTTGACAAAATCCTCTGCAATGGCGAATTTAAAACAGCGATTCAAGAGAACCATGAAAAACGAGTTTACAAATGTTACTCAAAATGTTCTCGATCAGAAAGGAAGCAATCTCTGTGTTCCAATTTCAGTCAGCGTCATTTTGAGATGGGCGATCAAGAATGATTTGAAAGTTAATGATAAAAGAATGAATGATGATTATACTCTTGAAAACATTCTCATAGTTCTGACGATGATCATTTTCCCTCGAAGTTTGGCTGGATTTACTCTAAATCCGAAAATGGAAGAGCAAGAATTCCAGGATAATGATATTGAAATGCTTCTGAAGAGACTCAAATTTGAAACATTTTTTCATAAAAGTGGATGGGATATTTTGCACATTGATACTCTACGTACAAAATCTGAGTTTGACTTTCAAAAAGGTTGTTTTATCTTTTTAGGAATTAATTATTTATTCGAAAGTTCTGCTTCACGAAAAATTCACCTTTCAACGTCCCTTGGTGGTTACCGGCACATTTCTCAACACCGACGGAAGTTTAATTTTTCACCAAATGGTACTTGACCGAGTCGAATACTCCGAATATATTCTTCAAAATACTTTGATCGCTCATTCTTCTTCTCAAATAAGAATCCCTCTCAAAAGACCATATTACGCAAGTAACAGAATGATGGAAGAATGCCACAACTGTTTTTATGATTATATTTATTACGGAGACAAGGGAGAGTTTTTAACACTTACTAATGAACACGTCAACAAAATGAAAGAAGAAACATGGTATCTTCTTCCTCAAGCATACTCAGTAACTCTTACGCCAAAACACAATGTTCGCAATTTCTAATTCATTGTTCTGTACATTTCGATGCAAATAAAATTCTTTTGTTAAACAAGGGTCGGAAATTTCAGGGCCATGATCACGGTAGGCGCCGATATTTTTTTGGGTGAACCTATGGGAGGTACTCTTCCAGAACATACACATGGCCCTCGCTTAACCCAACATCGACGAGCAAAATTTAACCTGTTTTTGAAAATTGCCATCCTTGTAGTCAAAATCTCCAAAGCCTTTGCCGAGAGCTTATTCTTTGAAATATTTCAAATGAAAAATAAAAATTTCGAGACTGAAACAAAATTGAACATGGCAGTATTCTTGACCTTCCATGGTCACTCAGTTCAATCGCTGGAATTTCTCAATAATGAGAAATGCGCATTTGGAATAAAAAACAATTGAAATAATTCTTCGTGAAAGAGCTCAAAAGATTCAAGCACCCTTGAAGTCAAGACGAATAAAAAACATTATCAGAAAAATTTGTTTCGGAAGAATTAGCTCAAATAAAATGAATAGTGATAATTTTGAAATCGACACGAAGCTAAATTTGTCAGTTCTGAGAGATCCAGATAGTCCTGAAGAAAGCGATAATAATGAAACAATCGAAACAAAATCGGAAGATTCCGAGTTTTCATCAGGGACGACCCTCAAAACAGCGTATGCTCATGAAAAGGAGCCGTTTACCAATATTATCGAGGGCGTACTGAATCAAATCGAAGTTCAGGAATCGAGTTGTGATAACCTCTTTTGACGATTGGAAATTCTCGAACTCAGTAAAAAGAGCGCAAAACTAGAGCACATGAAAAACAATCTAAAAGAAAGCTTGGTCGCTCCAGAAGAGCTCACAGAAATCCCGGGATCAGAAGAAATCGAAATTCAAGCGGCGAAAACTGCAGAAAAATTCAAAGATATCAAACAAGTCATTTTCGAGGTCCAGTCTCAGGCGGAAACGCGCGCAGCTGCTTTCAAAAAAGTTTCAGAATAGGATTTTTTTCTCGGTTGAAAATTTTTATTCTGGTGAAGTTTGGAGATAGAAAAACGCTTCGTTGACATTTTTGAAAGCCAAACTCGCCGATTTGAGAAGATTCAGAAAGAAAATTTCGACAAAATCGCTTCCCAAACCGCTGATCTTTCAAATAGAATCGCGAGTTTCTCCGAATTTCTGGCGAAAATGGAAACGAGTTTGAATGAAAGCCGACTTCGAGAGAGGCAGAAAAGACAGCAATTGAGATTGATGGCGACTATGTTTGGCGAACCACTAGGTTTGTCCGATCCGGCAGTGGTGAAAGACCGGCAGTTCGGGCTTTCTAGCGGCAGAGGCGGAGATCTACCGAGGCTGGATTATTCAACGTGGCAACCCGAGCTTGTTGATGACCCGGAGCCCTTTGTAGAAGTCGATTTTCAAAAGCCCTTTGTCGTCCGCGGCTTGCTGTTACGGTAAAACATCGTTTCTAGAGCGCTTCTGCATTTCTTTAGCTCTGAGAAAGGAGAGCACTACGAAAAACTATGCCTGATAAAAGATGTAAAAATTGAGTTCTACGATCTTTCTTGCGCGAGAAAGAATTATTATGACGGAAGATGGCTGGTTGGAAATTCTAGAGTTGCGACAACGCAACTCGTGGCTCTGCCTTATCCGATCAAGGGACGGGTTGGGAAAATTGGTTCTTTGACCAATCAGAAGGCACTATTTTCTTGATTATCCAATCAAAGGAAAACTGTCTTTTGATTGGCTTAGACGACAAAAACTAGGGCCTGATTGGCTAAGAAATTTTGAAAAAGAATTTGCCCATCCTTCTTCAAGGGAATGGGAATACGGATCTTTCTGAAAGGCAGCTTATTCATGAAGTGCTCGCTAGAAATCCTCGGCGATCAAGTCAACCTCGGCGAAGATCTCGACCTCGACACAGGAATCTACAAAAGAAGAACGGTAGACAATCACCGAACAAGTCACATGATTCAGCCGTCCTTTCTGACCGGAGTGAGGATCAGAATCTCCTTTCTAACGGACGAAACATGCAAAGTCCGACAATTCTCATTCTTCGCGAATGACAAGGAAAACAAATCAAAACACTTGGCGACTTTCAAAGCGCCAAAAACAACGAACACGTGGGTGACTTATGCTTTTTCAAAAGTCATGCATACCTGGTCTGTTCAGGTATTTCTTAACTTCCTCTTTCTTCGAAATCAAGAGCTTGCTATTCTTAATTTTATCTCTAGGTCGAGCCAAAAATCGACTTTAAACTTGGATCAGACGCTGTCGTCAGGATAAAATACCAATTTCTCGGATATTTCGATAAGGGTTACTCTATTGGAGAAAATACTGAAGGAACAATTAGACTTGAAACTTACTGAGTAACGACTACTGTATCAATAAAATATCTTGATGACTACTCAAAGACTTTCACAGAGGGCGAAAAACATGGTCTCTCTGCCAAATCAATCGGCAAAAAACTTCCTAGAAAGTGCTTATTTAACCGGTTATCGCAGGGCTCCACCGCCAGCTGCTTGTTTTGAGATCGATAAAAATCGGTCAGGAGCAAGCCCTTTTCTTTCATTTCTATCGGATCCCTCTTTCGTTTCTGAAAAATGATTCGTTTAATTTTGGGTCTCTTTACTTTGAGTTTCGCAGATAGAGAGAAAACTTCATGCACTTGGGAAAAGCACGATGGTCAAATACTTCAGGGTTCGCCGTTGAAAACTTTCACGAGCTTGGACAAAGCCAAGGCGAGATGCAAAATGATGGGAGAGGAGTGCGCTGGGGTAGACATTGTCACGCTTCGTGGAGTAACGAAATTTCGCGTGATGGGAAGTGATAATTTAATCGCTAGAAATGGATCTGAAGCATGTGAAGGGATCCTAGCTTCTGCTGAATCTCCCACTTCTAGCGTAGTTTGCCTGCTCTCTATATCTGGACGAGTGAAGAAAACGAGTAAAGTATCTTTGACGTCTGTATTTCGAGCTGGAGTAAAATAGAGGTTAATTCACGAACTGCGTGAATTACCGAATGGAGAGAAATACACGGCGGCGACCGAGCAAAGCTCGATCTAGATAAGCAAGTGACCTTAGGGGACGAGGGAGTCTAACGAATCTAAGATCCCAATACCCCCCATGAGACTGAAACGTCCTCTAAGGCCAAAGTGTGTGATTTTTGCAGGAGTATAAGCGTAAGATGAGTAACATGGCAGGTTCGAAACGTCGAGGCAGTCTGATTCGCGTTAAAAAACCCTTTTTTGGGAAAAAGCTTGAATCAGATGCGAAGTTTTCGTGATGTCCGAGCGGTGATGACATGAAGGAGTAGCTGCACATGTAGAAGAACTCAAAATACGTCGGCGACGGTAAACTGTGATAATTTCCGTACCTTTTCAGGCCCCGGTCGATGAATAGGGGACCTGAGTGGGGCAGTACTTGCGCTTAGTCGTATGACTGACCCGAGTTTGTGCCGATGTTTAGAGGTTCGACGGGCCTCGTTTCACGGTGTGCTCGTTTTGTATGTTTCGGGAGATGAGCTGCTCCAACTTCGGTTAAAGTCGCATTCGGATCGGCGCCGGCTGAGTATTGACGATCTGGTGAAGACTTTGGACGGGTTCTTTTCTTGCTGTTTTCAGTTGCTGAGCCCTCAACTACTGTTGAATTATGTTTATCGACTGACATATGGCTATTGTCGGGCGCAGCAACCTCCGAAATCACTGTAGCATCAGCTGACATGTCCTCGGCAGTTTCATAAAGAGTACCACCAGAGTACCAGCGATCTGACGGCTCGGCTGGAGCTACCGACGAGTCCAAAATAGATGTAGCGGTTGTATCTCCCAGATTTTCCATGTCCAATCGGCGTCTACTTTCCAAAATAGGTGATAGAGATGATCTTGGCGGTTTTTCCATAGCAACCATCGGAGTCGACGCGACCTGAGAAGATTTCCTCCCCCCATGCGACTTCGACCCGGACTTTTCCATCGGTTTGGAAGTAGGAACAGGCGATTTTTGTGGGACTTTCGACTTAACGATTTCGGTTAAATGTGGGAATACGTACTCGGCCTCGTAGTAATCAATCCAGCGTAAGTCGTGATTTCGTTCTGCGGCGTGAACCACGTGTTCTCGATGGATGAAATCACGTTGTCCTTTTTTATCTTCGACCATGACGACCCAGTCGTTGCTCGAAACGGCTTTCAGGGGACCTACCCAGCGTTCCTTCTTGCTTTTAGCGTCGGTCAGGTTTTCTCGCTTAATGTACACGACAGCGCCAGCGGGGATTGGTCTCGGCTTAGGCTCGTTTTTCAGCCTGTGCTCCATGGCTCGGTCAGCAGCTTCCATCGCAGTTTTCACAATGGCTTCCGCCGATTTCGCTAAAGCTCCCACATTGAGACCAAACACCTGAGGTGTTTCCGCTGTCATTTCTGCGCCAGTAGAGTGGGTGAAAGTACTTTTTCGGCCAAACCAAACTTCTCGCGGTGAAATTTTCGTGCTTTTGTTTTTCACACTATTGAGCGCGCGCATCACGTGGGGAACGCAGTCGGCCCAAGTTTTTCGACCGGAAGATGAGTTGACCATGCAGAATAGACTGTTTTTGATAGTCCGATTCGCTCTTTCTGCGAAAGCGTTTGATTGAGGGTGAAATGCGGTACTTATTGTATGTTTTATCTGGTTAAGCTTACACATTTCGTCAATCACGCTTGCGCAGAAGTGGGTACCTCTGTCACTGTGTAGATGTTTCGGCAAGAAATCCATGGGAAGGAAGACCTTGTAGATGAGCGCTTTTGCAGCGCAGATAGCAGTGTCGGACCGCGTCGGAATGCACCAAGTGTAGCGAGAGAAAGTGTCCGCCACCACCAAATAATACTTGAATCCGCCAGCGGGAGGCATACAAGCGAAATCGATCTGAATCGATTCGCCAGCTGTTTTTCCACGACGAAGGGTTCCAAGTGGCGGTTTGGTACGAGTTCCAGCAGATCCTTTTCTGCGTAGGCAAGGGACGCAGCTGTGGACGTAGTTAGAAACATCGTCTTGAAATGAAGGCCACCAAACGTCCTCTAATCGCTCTAAAGTCCGCGGCTCGCCCAGATGACCGGACAAGTCGTGAGCTAGAAAGAGAAAGTGACTTTTTACCGCTTCCGGTACCACCGCCCGCGCGCCAGATTTGAATTGACACATCAAGCACCCGGTAGTGTTATCCAGGAACAGAGCTTTTTCCATCTTGAGTAGAGACGATTGTCGGTGGTCGGAGTCCTTCACCAGCGATTTTATGTCCAGTGGCTCCTTACCAGATTCCAGAAAAGTGATGATTGCACTCAGAGCAGAGTCCTCCCTTTGATAGTCCAGAATGTTATTATAATTCGCTGACACCAACGGAATCTCCATTGGCGCCGCGATAGCCTTGACGTTTACCTTATGTATCTTCACCTCTGATAAAGTGATTTTCTCCGGAAACTGATTTTCGTTCCAGAAAGGGACGAAGACACGTACTGGTGAATTCTTGTCGATTTCGTACTCGCGACCAACGGGAAACTCAGAGTCGTATCCAAGTGATTTGTCGTCCTCGCCAGGTCTGCGGCTCATAAAATCGGCGAATTGATTTTCTGATCCCTTGATGTAGACAATGTGAAAATCGAATTCTTCCAATCGGCTTTGCCATCGGCTTATTTTAGAATTCTTGAACTTCTTTTTGTGTAGGAAGATCAAAGATCTGTGGTCTGTGTGAATCTGAAAGAATCTACCTTTCAGGAGCTTTTCCAGTCGCTCGCAGCACCAGACAATGCTAAACATTTCCTTTTCTGAAGTGTTCCATTTTCTTTCAGCTTTGTTGAAGGTGTGGGAAATCGCGCTTACTAGGTGCACTCTCCCGCCATACTCTTGTAGCAGGACGCCACCCGCTGCGTACAGGCTCGCGTCTGTGTAGAGATGAAAAGACTCGTCAAAGTTAGGAAAACTTATGACTGGAGTCTCGGAGAGTCGTCGTTGAATTTCCTTGAGCGCCAAATCCGCTTCTTTGGTCCACTTGAAACAATTTGTTTCGTTCGCCGAATTTCGAACATCGTTTATGGGCTTCATTCTGCTCGAGAAGCAACCGGATGAAATAGCTTCGCCCATTTTCGTTTCTAGAAAACCTCGGATCCAATTCAATGACCCGATTAATGAAGCTAACTCCTTTTGGGAGCGTGGGGGTTTCATCTGACGAAGAGCGGAGACTTGCGCAGGGTCCGGTTTGATTCCATCTTCGTTGATGATTCGGCCCAAAAAGTGAGCTTCGGATTGTAGGAAAGAGCACTTTTCGCCCTTGAGTTTAGCGTTAAACTTGCGGAGCGCGATGAATAGGTTTCGGAGAGTGTTGTAATAGCAGCTGAAAGTCTTCCCAAAACACACTATGTCATCGATATAAGAAAGCATCTTTTTCCTGGTGGGGCTTGAGTCGAGAATTGTGTTTACGACGCGCGAGAATATATTCCCCGAGCATCGATAACCGAATGGTAGTCTGCAGAAGGCGTAAGATTTCCCACCCCACTGGAAGGAAGTCTTGTACCTGTCGCTTTTCTTTACAGGGCACTGCCAATATCCACTTCGTAGATCAACTGTGGCGAAAAACTTATTGCCCGGTCCAATGTTCGCAATCGTATCCTCCATGCTTGGGAGATGGTAAGGGTCGGATTTGTCGGAGAGGCATTTGTTCAGGCTGTTTTTGTAGTTGATGCAGAAGCGCATTTCCCCAGATTTCTTAGGAATAGGCAATACCGGGCTGTTAAACCCTTTCTGGTCTTTGATCTCTTCTATTATTTTCGTTTCGAGCAGTTCGGAGATGTGATCGCTGACCTGACCATGAAAAGCTTGCGGAATCGGGTGTTGACTGATGTTTCGACTCGTACCATCAGTCGGGATTTCGATCTCGAACGGGAATTCACCCATTTTTTGACCGTCGCAGCCGAATCTGTCGTCGAATTCCAAACACAGCTCGGCGACCACCTTCTTTTGCCCCGGGTCGGCGTTTGCTGGTAGGGTAATTCCGAGTTTTTGCTTCGCTAGCTGAATGGGGCACCTGGCTGCGTTCTTGTTAGGTGCGTCCAGCTTTGGGACTTTTGGTGGCGGTTGAGTGCGGGATCGATCGCTATCCTTGACCGCTGATCTAGTAGTCAAGTATTTCTTGATTTTGGTCCGCTTCACTCCGTCCAGCTTCACCACTTGAGTCTCAGTTTGTGTGAAGGCTTCGTTGTAGCAAAATGAGAGAGTACGATTCTTATTGTCGACTGTGAAGCTGTCCGTCATCGCATTCTCTAGTATATCGCGGCCCAGTAGACTTGGGTATTTACTGCCTGGCATAATGGTGAGATTCAGGGAGAATGCAGGGCCACCATTGAATGATAAGCGGCAGGGAAGGATACCCATCGGCTGCTCGGCGGGAATATTTGGGCTGAAACCGGTGACCTTGAAGGGACAGGGCTTCAGCATCTGGAGAAATTCGTCGGGAACGTAAGCAGCGGACAGACAGGAGGACTCGGCTCCGCTGTCGACTTCCATCGATACGTCAAAACTTTTAGAGCCCGTAATGATGGTAGCCGAAGCGAAATAAGCCTTTCCTGGTCGCTTCTTCTTCACTGTGTAAAAGTGAACGTCGAATGGTTGGAAATCTTCAACGTTCTTAGTCGTATTTATCTTCTTGGATTCTGGTTGTTTATCGTCTTTCCCATCCTTAGAATCGTTGCTGGCGCGCTTAGCATTCTTCTTCTTTTTGTTCTTATTTCTGTTGAAGTGCTGGGAGACGGTCGCGCTGTCAACTCGATTCTGTCTTGTGGATTGGGCGAGACGGCAGAGTTCGTTGATATCGTAAACTTTTGATAGGCTTGGAAGGATTGCGTTGAAAACGTCTGGTTCTTCTTTCCTAAGATTCAAGTACAGCATCATCGTCGAGAATATGTCAAATATTTCATCGACCCCGGCGTCGGCTGACTTCTCTTGTCGGTAAGAGTTCAAAGTCGCTTGCTTCGCCTCGTTCATCTTTTGCAAGACGTTGGCGGTGTAGTGTGCAAACGGCTTCGAATGGTCGTATTCGACGTCGAAAACTTCGCTTAGCTTCAGTAAGTAGTGACTCTTCGCGGCGAATGATTTCTCTAGCAGCGCCTTGGCCGATTTCCAGTCTTGACAATTCAGAAATTCGGTTCCAAGTGAGCGTTCGATGTTCAAGTCGAAGTGGCTGTACACTGCTGCGATGAAAGGCTGTTCACGTGAAGGTCTGTCGCGGACGTAGGCGCGGTGATAAATGTCGGCTCTGCCCAAGAAGGTGTTGAAAGATGTGTTGCATGCGGCGTCCAGCTTCGGCAAGTCTTGGACGTGACGAGACCAGGTAGTGGCCACCCATGCTTCTTCTCTCATTGTCGCATTCGTAGAGTCTTTTCCTTGATCGAGCTCGCAGGTAAGAAGCGTTGTACTGAGCTGTTCTAATTTTACTCTGCTTTCTGTGATCAAGGGCTCTAGGCTTGGCTTTAGTGATTCGTCATTTCGCACTTGTTCTTCGAGGTAGTTTACTCGATCGTTTATGCTTCTTATTTCGGTGACGGTTTCTAGCAGTGATTTGTTCGCCGCCATAGCTCGAAATATATCGGCAGTAAGGGTTTATGGGCCTTGGATTACCTTTCAGGCCCTCAGAAAATACTGCGACTAAAAGTCGCAATATGATGAGCTGAGGTGCCTTTTGCGCAAACGCCCGACGATTTCTCTGTCCAGCGATTGTCGAAATTTCAAGGTCTGGTCCAAGGGTCGATTCTTCGTAAACTTCTCTCGATTTTTGGTGAAAAGTGGCGAAAGAATTATGTTTTTCTCAGTATTTTAGGTTTTCCCCGGCGTGCGTGCGTGGTTGCGTGGGCGCGACTTTCGGCGCGTGGGTCGTGGCGGCGCGGTGGCGGTTGGTGATTCGGTTCCCCTCGACTCCGCTGACGGCCAATCAGCGTCCAAGTTGCGAAACTTCGGTTGTCGATGGCGGCAAATTTACCTTTTCTCCAACGGGACTACTCTGATACCACTGAAGGGATCCTAGCTTCTGCTGAATCTCCCACTTCTAGCGTAGTTTGCCTGCTCTCTATATCTGGACGAGTGAAGAAAACGAGTAAATTATCTTTGACGTCTGTATTTCGAGCTGGAGTAAAATAGAGGTTAATTCACGAACTGCGTGAATTACCGAATGGAGAGAAATACACGGCGGCGACCGAGCAAAGCTCGATCTAGATAAGCAAGTGACCTTAGGGGACGAGGGAGTCTAACGAATCTAAGATCCCAATACATGGATAAAACGATGCTTCTCCTGCCAAAGTCTTCATTTGCGTTTCCGACCTGAAAATGGTCAGAAAACTTTCTGGCAGCACCAGCTTTCTGGGCTTTCAAATTCAACCGCTGTCAATGGCTGCTTCTGGGTGCAGTTCAAGCCGAAAGATCGGAAAACTCAGCATGAGCGCCTCTTCGCCGTCGACGGTCAAAATTCGATCATCGTCAATATCGTCCGAGACGAAGGCGCAGTACAGGGATTCGCGTTGGAAATTAACGGGCAACGAAGCTCCGTAAGCGCCAGGGACAAAATCAAGGCGTTTGATTGGAATTTGATCTGTTTCTCATTCTCCGACAGTGGGTACTTTCGCTTCTCCCTCGGCGGCGTGACGCTAGAAACGCAAAAGTTTCGGTTCAAAAATGAAAAGAAAGAAAGCGCCATCATCTTTGGCTCAAACGACAATAATCTGAAATCTTTCACTGGCGACATCTACGACATCAATATTTTCGACAAACTTGTTCGGGAACAAGAAGCCGCGGAGAAGATTGAAAACAAGGAGGAAAACTGCTCGTGTGATCGCGGCGAGAAGTTCTGGATTGACGATGTCGGCTCGCCGCTTAGCAACGTAGAAAATGTCAATCAAGAGGTGTCTTTCGGCCCTTGGGATAGTTGTCCGGTCTTGATGAAAAATGGTTTCGAGAATGTGCCCACAACGGTTCCGACAACGGCGGAAATGACGACTTCAGAGGCGCAGACAACAACTACAACTGAGCGGACAACAACCACCACCACAACAACCACAACTACGACATCAACAACCACATCAACTACAACTACAACAACATCGACCACGACATCAACCACTTCCACAACAACGACAACAACAACCACCATAAAACCAACGACAACAAAAGAGAAAACTACTATAATGGATCTTGAAGCTCTGATTAAACTGCTCGAAAAGGGGCCCAGTCCAACTCGCCCTCCTAGCACTACCCAAAAGACTCTTCCAAAGTATCTTTTCGACATCCTCAATGTATGTTTCTACTTTTCTTACAAATGTTTACCATTTATTCTAGGCTCACTCTACGAAACCACCAGGTGAAGATCGAATCACAACAATCGAGCCAATGAATGAAGAAGAAACTCGAGAACTGAAGCAATCCGCAGCGACAATCGTGATTTCAACCCTTGCGGTTCTTTTGATCCTCATCGTTATTTTGGTGAAAGAGCTTCAAATGGAATTTGTTAATTGATTTATTCAGATCGTGCTTTGGATGGTGGTGAAAAAAATGAAGCTCCGGCGGGAGCGAACTCGCGAGGTAGTAAGAGTGAATACTCAACCAGTGTACGAGGGCATGTACGACCGCCCAGTTGGCCTCAGAAAATCCAACTCAATTCAAATAAGCGATATCTACAATTTTTACTAAAAAACCTTCTCAAAATGCTCCTTTCTTTATTCTAGCGACAAATTCTCACTCAAAAACACAATCCACACGATTGGCTCGACTATCATTTAAATATTGCTGTAAGTACAATTTTTCATCTTTCACAAAAGTGCTAGAATAAGTTTAACTCACACGATAAACAGTAAGGTTTTGCGGGGGGTGAAACCGAATATCACGCGTCCTAAGGAAGATGTTAGACCTACAAACTACTATACCAACGACGAGCTCTACCAGAGGCCAATGACGGCAGCAGAGAATCGAATCATCCGAACACTCAGCAAAGGTAAAATGAGTCAAAGGGTAATTGAGAACCATCCCTTTTTCTTTAGGTCCAGTAGACATGGCCAACACATACGAAACAATGTCGAAGGTAATGGGCTCCAAGGAACGGTTGACCAAGTTTTTGTCTAAGAAAAACCCTGAGAACTTGTTTTGACCGCCGAAAGAACCCGCTGTACGTGCAGGACGAGGACATCTACGGGGTACCACCAGCGAATGCGGGAAAGGGAACAGTTATCCCCGTGCACATGCCGGTGCGCGCAAGGTACTCCCTCGAGGGCCACGATCTCACCAACATTTGGTGAACCGTAAATAACTCTCGGAAATCGACACTGTATATTTTCATAGCTTTAGGGAATTAATAACTGAAAACCCCATACACGAGAAAACCGACGTCTCTTCCGAGTCTGAAACTAGGTAACTCAATTTTGAAAAATATCCAGTCCAGCAACTGATTTTCTAGCGATTCCATAACAATTTACTCCTCTTCATCCGGATACACGACTACTGAAATCCCAGAGAAACTATCGGAATGGGTCAAAATATGAGAAACTATCGACAAAAGTCCTCTTTCAGGACTCTTTCTTTTATCATTAATTATGGGGTTGATCCGTGATAAGAAAAAGCTCAATCTCGACGATCTTCGATGAATGTTGTCTTTGGGATGAATCTTTAAGTCTGTTGCTCCAGTTCTTTACTGTACAAATTTTCATGCTTTCCTTCAATAAAATATACAATTTTTTATAAAACCAATAATTTGATGGGTTTAAATTTGATGATCCGGGTTTGTTTACGACAAAATCAAAAGTGGGTGTGAGATTTTTTTTCTCAAATAAGTTATCTCTAGATACATTTTCTCAGAAATATACGTTTGGGTAAAGAGAAAGAACCATCGTTTAGTTTTATTTTTAGTTTATCAGTATTCGTCCAAAATGAAAAGGAGATATTTTGTGACACTTATGGGAAGTTGGTGCCTGGCTTGTTCTTATTTTATGATGAATTCGATGTTTATTGCGATTTTAGTCATTGTAAGAGCTTTCTTTACCGCTCATTTATGGCGTCCTCTTAGGTTCCGAAGAAAACTGCATCTTCGTCGGAAGAGTCGGCGATTTGTGTTGAAGAAAGTGATAGTAGTGGAAACTCGACAGCTGTTTTGACAAATTCAACGGTTTTTCAAGACGAAAAAGATGTGATAGAAATGTCTGAGGATGAAAAGAGCTTGCTTGTATCTGCTTTCAATATTGGCTATGTTTTGACGCAACTAGCCGGGCCATGGTTGGCGACGAGAATTGGTTTTAAAAAAGTGCTTTTGATTTCAACCCTTTTCTCTGGAATATTGGTAAGTTCTTGCGAAACAAGAATATTGAGCATTTTTGTCATAGACACTTGGTTTTCCAGTGATTCTGAAAACAAGCGTAACATTGGCCATCATCTCAAGAATCGTTGCTGGAGCCCTCTCAGGCCCAGCCATACCAGTTACCAGAGAAAGCTTGTCGGGGTGGGCGCCATCGAGTGAAATCGGTAGAATGGTATCCCTTCAGATTATTGGCTGCCCTGTTGGCATCGTTTCTGCTCAGTTTTTCGGAGGACTGCTGAGCAGATACAGTTGGCAACTGTAAGTCAACGTTGATTTTAATATGTTATTAATGTTTCAGGGTTTTTTATTTGTCCGGTTTGATGTGCCTCATCTGGGCGGGAATCTGGCAATTCTTCGTTTTTCCAACTCCAGAACAAGACAAACGCTGTTCCAAAGAAGAAACAGATTACATAATCACAAAACGAAATGCATCTTGCGATAGAAAAACTGCAAAGAAAGTTCCTTGGGGAGAAATTCTCGAGTCAATACCTTTTTGGGCGCTGGTTATTGGTCAATTATGCGTTCAGTGGACCATTTTTTTGATTCTAGCGAAGTTTCCAGAGGTAGAAAGGTGCTAGAATTGCTTTCGCGCTAATTTTTTGTTAGTTTCTCTCAGTTTCTTACGGCCTGGATGTTTTCACAATCGGAATAATTGGCACGACTTTGGCGCTTTCCCTCATCGCTTCCGGATTTTTCGGCTTCATAAGCGATCATCTTGCAAAGAAGAAATCCCCGACTTTCTCTAGAAAAGCTATATCGACAACATCATCAATGGGGATTGCTCTGTGCCTTGTGCTACTGACAAGGACTGCTTGTATGTTTGAGCTGAACATTGCTTTCGCTCTTTTGATGGCTTTTTCTGTCGGAATCGGTTCGAAGATTCGCCATTTTTAATTGAAAAATTATGAATTTAGGGTCATTTCTAGCATTGGAGCCGAACTCGATGGATTTGGCGCCCGATTACTCTGGCATTGTTCAAGGACTCGTCAATACAGTTGGCAATTGCGCTGGTTTCGGAACCGATTGAAAATCTCTTTGAATAATTCAACCGTTCTTCCTCTTCTTTTCAATCGAAAAAAGCCGTTCCCCTTTTGGTGGAACAGATTTTGAAGGGGTCAAAAAGCGCTGCTGACGGGTGGAAGAATGCTTTCTTTATTTCAGCAGCAGTCTCTCTCGTTGGCGGATACACTTTTCTAGGGCTTGGAAGTGGAAAGAATCAAAATTTCGGAGCATCTGAGCAGCCAGAGACAGAAGAAGATCTTGTTTCGTTTGATTCAAAAGATGAAGTTTTTATCAGAGAGAAAAAGGGTTCAAAATGAATCTAAACTGTTAATAAAACGCGATCGTTTGTAGCTCTTCGGAACAAATTGAGTGTATTCAGCAGTGATAAAGGAGAATTTAACCTAACAGTCGTTACTGTAACATGTGATTTTCTGGCAGTTTTTCTTTTCGATTTTTCAAATGACATGTTGAACTGGTCTTCCTTCTGTATCCATCGGGAACGCCTGCCGTATCTAAAATTACCATCATTTTCAAGGGAAATCGGGAAAAAGAGGTCTTACGGAAACTTTATCTTTTGGAATATCCCTGGCATTTGTCTTCACCATTCCCATATTCGCCACGACTTTCATCCCTTTCGCCACTCGTCCGAAAATCGTGTGTTTTCCGTCGAGCCACTGAGTCGGAGCCAAAGTTATAAAAAAACTAAATAAATCCATTTGACGACAACGAAGCTCGAAATTTCAAACCTGCGAGCCATTAGTATTCTTTCCCGAATTCGCCATCGATAAAATTCCAGCGCCAGTGTGTTTCAGCTCCTTTGAAATTTCATCTGCAAATGTTTTTCTGAACAATTTTTTTACACTTTGCCACAACACTTTTTTTTACCCATAAATAGAGGCTCCGCCGCGGCCAGTTCCAGTTGGATCGCCTCCTTGAATCATGAAGTCGGCGATGATTCTGTGGAAGATCAAGTTGTTGTAGTAGCCTCTTCTTGCCAGTTCCGCAAAGTTACGACATGTGTCTGGCGCGTGGTTCCAGTACAGCTCCAGTACCACCTGAAATGAGAGCTAGTTTGGGTGGAAAATTGGGGTTCTTACGGGACCCATGGATGTTTCTAAATGGACGAACGGTGGCTGCCAGCTTTTTCCAGGAATTCCGCTCATTTTGACTGCCTATCGTTCTTTAACAATTTTCATAAACTAAATTCATTCGGAAATCTTCTCTTATGAAAGTTTTCGCCAAGAGAAACGGGTATTTCTAGAGGTTAGACCAATTTTCTGGCCCTAATTATTTTTGTGATAAATATATCAATCCATGAAGATTGAACACTTCATATTATTTTGAAAATTTCCTTTTTCCCTTCTTCGCCAAAAATGGATTTCTCTCGAACTTGCGCTTCCCTTTGGTAATTTTTTTCGCGGCGCCGATTGGCCGAGCGCACCAAAGATGAGTCATTCTGAGGAAAAAAATGGAAGAGAAAAGAAAACTGCGCTAGAATTCGTCCTTCGAGAAAATATCAAATGAGAATCCCAACTATTTAGCCCTTTGTCTCGGTCTTCGTCAAAGGAATATCTTGGATACTAAAAAATGATAATATAATTACAAATGATTCACAGTGCTGTTGGATTTAAAATAGATGGTTAACGTCTGATTATGTCGTGCTCATTGAGAATTAATAATGAGAATTATCCTCATTTTTTATTTATTTAGAAAATGTTCAGTCGATTGGCTCCCGGTCGGTCGTCTCGTACCTTCCGGTACATGATCAACCAAGAGTACCGCGCCAGCGGCTTGACCGGCAAGTACCAAATGGACAAATTCAAGGTCAACTCCTTCGAGCGAATCGACCCCACCTTCGACGCCGTCTACAATCCTCAGTCGAAGAAGAACAACATGAATCTCTTCGACACACCCAACACTTTCAAACTGAGAAATGCCCAGTCGGAGCGAAAGACGCACGATCCAGTCGGATACAAGAAACTCGAAACTATGCAGCTTAACTTCGGGTAAGATAATCGAGCAGACAATGGTTTTTAACCCGAGGCCTCGAGTGATCTGGGATCACTGATCCCTTTAAACTCTAAATATCTTATATTCTGTTCTCTAGCCCTCAGCATCCAGCTGCTCACGGAGTGTTGCGATTGATCCTCGAGCTCCACGGCGAAAACGTCATGCGATGCGACCCTCATATCGGCCTCCTCCACCGAGGAACTGAGAAGCTCATCGAATACAAAACCTACAACCAGGCGCTTCCCTACTTCGACCGACTTGACTACTGCTCGATGATGGTCAACGAACAGTGCTTCTCCCTCGCTGTCGAGAAATTGTGCAATATCGAGGTACACATCCTTAACTTCTCAATACACGGGGTCGGTAAAACCGACCACGGCGACTTTGGCCCTCAATAACTTCGAAGTTGGTAATCTGTTTGGCCTAATTTTTGGAATGTGCACTTATATGAACAAATCGAACCACTCTGCGAAGTTTCGTGAAATTTCTCAAGAGGAATGGCGCTTTGCACCAGATTTCTCTCGCGCTCATTATCGAAAAATCTGAAGGTTTTTCTTCCTTGATAATAAGATGAGTAAATAGCTCAGTGTTCAAGCTTTCTAACAGTATAATTTTGAACTCAATACCGAAACGGAAATATGAATAAGAGGTCAAAATAGTCGGCGCGGTTTTTCACACCCGGATTCGGCGCCCCGCGCGGGCTGAATAATGCTTGGTGGTCGGTTTTCCCGACCCCGTGTTTTGAGCGCTTAGTCGCGCGCCCGTGTAATGAGAAGTTAACTCTGATCCAATCCTTCAATCTTTAGGTTCCCCTCCGAGCCAAATACATCCGAACGATGTTCGCCGAAATCACTCGAATCTTGAACCACACCGTTTTCGTCGGCTGTGGTGCTCTCGATCTCGGCGCCATGACTCCTTTCTTCTGGCTCTTCGAAGAAAGAGAGAAGCTTTACGAATTCTATGAGCGAGTCTGTGGAGCTCGAATGCACGCTGCTTATGTCCGACCAGGTAAAATCAACGATAAAGATGTAAATTTTCCATAAAACAAGTCCATTTCTCTTCACATGCCGGTGTGGCTGAAAGTAGGTCTGAATCCCCCTCTAAAACCCGTAATCCTCGATTGCATTTTATCAGAGAAAAAATACCAAAAATCAACGAGTTTTACACCCTTGGGTTCGCCCCCATCGTCAGCCTTCCGGCCTCGGTCAGAGTTATTGACGTTCACATACGATTCGATGAATACTTACGTTCTTAGGTGGTGTCAACTTGGATCTGCCAATCGGTCTTTGCGACGATATCTACGACTGGGCCAAACGAGTAAGACCAACTCTTAACTTCTCCCTTCTTTAATTCCCTTTCTAGTACTCTTCTCGACTCGATGAAGTCGAAGAAATGCTGACAGAAAACCGAGTCTGGAGAGCGCGAAACGTCGACGTCGGCATTGTATCCTACGATTCTGCCCAGGAGTGGGGCTTCTCTGGCTGCATGCTTCGTGGATCTGGAATCAAGGTAAGTCCGGGAAGCAAAATTGGGGGATAACGAAGTGTTGTAGTGGGATATCCGAAAGGTCGCTCCTTATGATGCTTACGATTTGGTGGAGTTTGACGTGCCAATTGGAACTAGAGGCGATTGCTTTGACAGATATCTTTGCCGAATGGAAGAGATGAGAGAGTCTATCCGAATCATTCACCAGGTAAAATATTTGGCATAGCCATCTACCCGATCCCAAAGGCCGAGTAGAAAGGCGAACCTCCTCTGAGAAGAATGGGGCCCCCTGAGAAGCTAGCAGATGATTGCTTTTGAAAGGAGCTTCGCCCCCTACTCCGCCTATGTCCTCGACTTTCGGGAATACCGATTGGACTCCTCCTTATCTTCTTTTAAAGTGCTTGAATCAAATGCCAGAAGGCGACATCAAAGCTGACGACAGAAAGTTCACTCCACCAAACCGACTCTCGATGAAGAACGATATGGAAGCAGTCATTCATCACTTCAAATTCTGGACTGAAGGTTACCAAGTGCCTCCCGGAGCTACTTACACTGCTGTTGAAGCGCCCAAGGTACATTTTTCTAGCGCTTGAAAGTTGGCAAATGCGATTTTAGGGTGAATTTGGCGTGTACCTTGTCTCTGACGGAACTTCTCGACCTTACAGATGCAAAATCAAGGCTCCCGGCTTCGCTCACTTGGGTGCTATCGATCACGTGGCCACTGGAAACAACTTACCCGATATTTGCGGCATTGTCGGAACTATGGACTTGGTGTTTGGAGAAATTGATCGTTAATTACCGACATTGCCAGCTGTTCTTTTTATTTATTACGAAAACAACAAAACTAAATCTATCTGTCTAATAAAATTAACCCTGTTCAAGACCGTTCAAAAACGCTCTGACTGAAAATCATCCTCTAAGAGATCACTACAATACTATGAATAAAGTAACCGATCATTCCGTATTGAAATTGTTTCACATACCTATTTGTAGACTTAAATACACAATCACGACTTACTGCGGTACCTCGTGTTTCATATTTCAGTAAATTCTATGTATGAAATTTGTTTCAGAAGGTTTGTGGTTTCTAGAGGATGATTTTCTATCTTGTTGTATTTTCTTTCTTTATAAGAGCTTGATACTATTGGGATCTTAGATTCGTTAGACTCCCTCGTCCCCTAAGGTCACTTGCTTATCTAGATCGAGCTTTGCTCGGTCGCCGCCGTGTATTTCTCTCCATTCGGTAATTCACGCAGTTCGTGAATTAACCTCTATTTTACTCCAGCTCGAAATACAGACGTCAAAGATACTTTACTCGTTTTCTTCACTCGTCCAGATATAGAGAGCAGGCAAACTACGCTAGAAGTGGGAGATTCAGCAGAAGCTAGGATCCCTTCAGTGGTATCAGAGTAGTCCCGTTGGAGAAAAGATAAATTTTTCCGCCATCGACAACCGAAGTTTCGCAACTTGGACGCTGATTGGCCGTCAGCGGAGTCGAGGGGAACCGAATCACCAACCGCCACCGCGCCGCCGGAGAAACTCCACTCAGAGAATTTTCCGCACCACACCAACACCACCCCGAGCGAGCGCCACCGCACGAGCGCCACCACGACCCACGCGCCGAAAGTCGCGCCCACGCAACCACGCACGCACGCCGGGGAAAACCTAAAATACTGAGAAAAACATAATTCTTTCGCCACTTTTCACCAAAAATCGAGAGAAGTTTACGAAGAATCGACCCTTGGACCAGACCTTGAAATTTCGACAATCGCTGGACAGAGAAATCGTCGGGCGTTTGCGCAAAAAGGCACCTCAGCTCATCATATTGCGACTTTTAGTCGCAGTATTTTCTGAGGGCCTGAAAGGTAATCCAAGGCCCATAAACCCTTACTGCCGATATATTTCGAGCTATGGCGGCGAACAAATCACTGCTAGAAACCGTCACCGAAATAAGAAGCATAAACGATCGAGTAAACTACCTCGAAGAACAAGTGCGAAATGACGAATCACTAAAGCCAAGCCTAGAGCCCTTGATCACAGAAAGCAGAGTAAAATTAGAACAGCTCAGTACAACGCTTCTTACCTGCGAGCTCGATCAAGGAAAAGACTCTACGAATGCGACAATGAGAGAAGAAGCATGGGTGGCCACTACCTGGTCTCGTCACGTCCAAGACTTGCCGAAGCTGGACGCCGCATGCAACACATCTTTCAACACCTTCTTGGGCAGAGCCGACATTTATCACCGCGCCTACGTCCGCGACAGACCTTCACGTGAACAGCCTTTCATCGCAGCAGTGTACAGCCACTTCGACTTGAACATCGAACGCTCACTTGGAACCGAATTTCTGAATTGTCAAGACTGGAAATCGGCCAAGGCGCTGCTAGAGAAATCATTCGCCGCGAAGAGTCACTACTTACTGAAGCTAAGCGAAGTTTTCGACGTCGAATACGACCATTCGAAGCCGTTTGCACACTACACCGCCAACGTCTTGCAAAAGATGAACGAGGCGAAGCAAGCGACTTTGAACTCTTACCGACAAGAGAAGTCAGCCGACGCCGGGGTCGATGAAATATTTGACATATTCTCGACGATGATGCTGTACTTGAATCTTAGGAAAGAAGAACCAGACGTTTTCAACGCAATCCTTCCAAGCCTATCAAAAGTTTACGATATCAACGAACTCTGCCGTCTCGCCCAATCCACAAGACAGAATCGAGTTGACAGCGCGACCGTCTCCCAGCACTTCAACAGAAATAAGAACAAAAAGAAGAAGAATGCTAAGCGCGCCAGCAACGATTCTAAGGATGGGAAAGACGATAAACAACCAGAATCCAAGAAGATAAATACGACTAAGAACGTTGAAGATTTCCAACCATTCGACGTTCACTTTTACACAGTGAAGAAGAAGCGACCAGGAAAGGCTTATTTCGCTTCGGCTACCATCATTACGGGCTCTAAAAGTTTTGACGTATCGATGGAAGTCGACAGCGGAGCCGAGTCCTCCTGTCTGTCCGCTGCTTACGTTCCCGACGAATTTCTCCAGATGCTGAAGCCCTGTCCCTTCAAGGTCACCGGTTTCAGCCCAAATATTCCCGCCGAGCAGCCGATGGGTATCCTTCCCTGCCGCTTATCATTCAATGGTGGCCCTGCATTCTCCCTGAATCTCACCATTATGCCAGGCAGTAAATACCCAAGTCTACTGGGCCGCGATATACTAGAGAATGCGATGACGGACAGCTTCACAGTCGACAATAAGAATCGTACTCTCTCATTTTGCTACAACGAAGCCTTCACACAAACTGAGACTCAAGTGGTGAAGCTGGACGGAGTGAAGCGGACCAAAATCAAGAAATACTTGACTACTAGATCAGCGGTCAAGGATAGCGATCGATCCCGCACTCAACCGCCACCAAAAGTCCCAAAGCTGGACGCACCTAACAAGAACGCAGCCAGGTGCCCCATTCAGCTAGCGAAGCAAAAACTCGGAATTACCCTACCAGCAAACGCCGACCCGGGGCAAAAGAAGGTGGTCGCCGAGCTGTGTTTGGATTTCGACGACAGATTCGGCTGCGACGGTCAAAAAATGGGTGAATTCCCATTCGAGATCGAAATCCCGACTGATGGTACGAGTCGAAACATCAGTCAACACCCTATTCCGCAAGCTTTTCATGGCCAGGTCACTGATCACATCTCCGAACTGCTCGATACGAAAATAATAGAAGAGATCAAGGACCAGAAAGGGTTTAATAGCCCCGTTCTGCCAATCCCTAAGAAATCTGGGGAAATGCGCTTCTGCATCAACTACAAGAACAGCTTGAACAAATGCCTCTCCGACAAATCCGACCCATATCATCTTCCGAGCATGGAGGATACGATCGCGAACATTGGACCGGGCAACAAGTATTTCGCCACAGTTGATTTGCGGAGCGGATATTGGCAGTGCCCTATTAAGAAAAGCGATAGGTATAAGACTTCCTTCCAGTGGGGTGGGAAATCTTACGCCTTCTGCAGATTACCTTTCGGTTATCGATGCTCGGGGAATATATTCTCGCGCGTCGTAAACACGATTCTCGACTCAAGCCCCACCAGGAAGAAGATGCTTTCTTATATCGATGACATAGTATGTTTTGGGAAGTCTTTCAGCTGCTATTACAACACTCTCCGAAACCTATTCATCGCGCTCCGCAAGTTTAACGCTAAACTCAAGGGCGAAAAGTGCTCTTTCCTACAATCAGAAGCTCACTTTTTGGGCCGAATCATCAACGAAGAAGGAATCAAACCGGACCCTGCGCAAGTCTCCGCCCTTCGTCAGATGAAACCCCCACGCTCCCAAAAGGAGTTAGCTTCATTAATCGGGTCATTGAATTGGATCCGAGGTTTTCTAGAAACAAAAATGGGCGAAGCTATTTCATCCGGTTGCTTCTCGAGCAGAATGAAACCCATAAACGATGTTCGAAATTCGGCGAACGAAACAAATTGTTTCAAGTGGACCAAAGAAGCGGATTTGGCGCTCAAGGAAATTCAACGACGACTCTCCGAGACTCCTGTCATAAGCTTTCCTAACTTTGACGAGTCTTTTCACCTCTACACAGACGCGAGCCTGTACGCAGCGGGTGGTGTTCTGCTACAAGAGTATGGCGGGAGAGTGCACCTAGTAAGCGCGATTTCCCACACCTTCAACAAAGCTGAAAGAAAATGGAACACTTCAGAAAAGGAAATGTTTAGCATTGTCTGGTGCTGCGAGCGACTGGAAAAGCTCCTGAAAGGTAGATTCTTTCAGATTCACACAGACCACAGATCTTTGATCTTCCTACACAAAAAGAAGTTCAAGAATTCTAAAATAAGCCGATGGCAAAGCCGATTGGAAGAATTCGATTTTCACATTGTCTACATCAAGGGATCAGAAAATCAATTCGCCGATTTTATGAGCCGCAGACCTGGCGAGGACGACAAATCACTTGGATACGACTCTGAGTTTCCCGTTGGTCGCGAGTACGAAATCGACAAGAATTCACCAGTACGTGTCTTCGTCCCTTTCTGGAACGAAAATCAGTTTCCGGAGAAAATCACTTTATCAGAGGTGAAGATACATAAGGTAAACGTCAAGGCTATCGCGGCGCCAATGGAGATTCCGTTGGTGTCAGCGAATTATAATAACATTCTGGACTATCAAAGGGAGGACTCTGCTCTGAGTGCAATCATCACTTTTCTGGAATCTGGTAAGGAGCCACTGGACATAAAATCGCTGGTGAAGGACTCCGACCACCGACAATCGTCTCTACTCAAGATGGAAAAAGCTCTGTTCCTGGATAACACTACCGGGTGCTTGATGTGTCAATTCAAATCTGGCGCGCGGGCGGTGGTACCGGAAGCGGTAAAAAGTCACTTTCTCTTTCTAGCTCACGACTTGTCCGGTCATCTGGGCGAGCCGCGGACTTTAGAGCGATTAGAGGACGTTTGGTGGCCTTCATTTCAAGACGATGTTTCTAACTACGTCCACAGCTGCGTCCCTTGCCTACGCAGAAAAGGATCTGCTGGAACTCGTACCAAACCGCCACTTGGAACCCTTCGTCGTGGAAAAACAGCTGGCGAATCGATTCAGATCGATTTCGCTTGTATGCCTCCCGCTGGCGGATTCAAGTATTATTTGGTGGTGGCGGACACTTTCTCTCGCTACACTTGGTGCATTCCGACGCGGTCCGACACTGCTATCTGCGCTGCAAAAGCGCTCATCTACAAGGTCTTCCTTCCCATGGATTTCTTGCCGAAACATCTACACAGTGACAGAGGTACCCACTTCTGCGCAAGCGTGATTGACGAAATGTGTAAGCTTAACCAGATAAAACATACAATAAGTACCGCATTTCACCCTCAATCAAACGCTTTCGCAGAAAGAGCGAATCGGACTATCAAAAACAGTCTATTCTGCATGGTCAACTCATCTTCCGGTCGAAAAACTTGGGCCGACTGCGTTCCCCACGTGATGCGCGCGCTCAATAGTGTGAAAAACAAAAGCACGAAAATTTCACCGCGAGAAGTTTGGTTTGGCCGAAAAAGTACTTTCACCCACTCTACTGGCGCAGAAATGACAGCGGAAACACCTCAGGTGTTTGGTCTCAATGTTGGAGCTTTAGCGAAATCGGCGGAAGCCATTGTGAAAACTGCGATGGAAGCTGCTGACCGAGCCATGGAGCACAGGCTGAAAAACGAGCCTAAGCCGAGACCAATCCCCGCTGGCGCTGTCGTGTACATTAAGCGAGAAAACCTGACCGACGCTAAAAGCAAGAAGGAACGCTGGGTAGGTCCCCTGAAAGCCGTTTCGAGCAACGACTGGGTCGTCATGGTCGAAGATAAAAAAGGACAACGTGATTTCATCCATCGAGAACACGTGGTTCACGCCGCAGAACGAAATCACGACTTACGCTGGATTGATTACTACGAGGCCGAGTACGTATTCCCACATTTAACCGAAATCGTTAAGTCGAAAGTCCCACAAAAATCGCCTGTTCCTACTTCCAAACCGATGGAAAAGTCCGGGTCGAAGTCGCATGGGGGGAGGAAATCTTCTCAGGTCGCGTCGACTCCGATGGTTGCTATGGAAAAACCGCCAAGATCATCTCTATCACCTATTTTGGAAAGTAGACGCCGATTGGACATGGAAAATCTGGGAGATACAACCGCTACATCTATTTTGGACTCGTCGGTAGCTCCAGCCGAGCCGTCAGATCGCTGGTACTCTGGTGGTACTCTTTATGAAACTGCCGAGGACATGTCAGCTGATGCTACAGTGATTTCGGAGGTTGCTGCGCCCGACAATAGCCATATGTCAGTCGATAAACAAAATTCAACAGTAGTTGAGGGCTCAGCAACTGAAAACAGCAAGAAAAGAACCCGTCCAAAGTCTTCACCAGATCGTCAATACTCAGCCGGCGCCGATCCGAATGCGACTTTAACCGAAGTTGGAGCAGCTCATCTCCCGAAACATACAAAACGAGCACACCGTGAAACGAGGCCCGTCGAACCTCTAAACATCGGCACAAACTCGGGTCAGTCATACGACTAAGCGCAAGTACTGCCCCACTCAGGTCCCCTATTCATCGACCGGGGCCTGAAAAGGTACGGAAATTATCACAGTTTACCGTCGCCGACGTATTTTGAGTTCTTCTACATGTGCAGCTACTCCTTCATGTCATCACCGCTCGGACATCACGAAAACTTCGCATCTGATTCAAGCTTTTTCCCAAAAAAGGGTTTTTTAACGCGAATCAGACTGCCTCGACGTTTCGAACCTGCCATGTTACTCATCTTACGCTTATACTCCTGCAAAAATCACACACTTTGGCCTTAGAGGACGTTTCAGTCTCATGGGGGGTATTGGGATCTTAGATTCGTTAGACTCCCTCGTCCCCTAAGGTCACTTGCTTATCTAGATCGAGCTTTGCTCGGTCGCCGCCGTGTATTTCTCTCCATTCGGTAATTCACGCAGTTCGTGAATTAACCTCTATTTTACTCCAGCTCGAAATACAGACGTCAAAGATACTTTACTCGTTTTCTTCACTCGTCCAGATATAGAGAGCAGGCAAACTACGCTAGAAGTGGGAGATTCAGCAGAAGCTAGGATCCCTTCAATACTATCTAGGGTCTCCGGACAAAAATTATCTTTCGATCCTCAAGGGGTTTTTTGCATTTTTATGGGCTCTATCGATAGCTTAGAAGATACTGAGGAAGAATGTTGGTCAAAAAGGGGATTGAATATTCGTACTTTTTAACATTTTGGCATTTTTGACCAACTTTCGAAATTATACAACTACTTTTTTATTTCATATTCTTGCTTGAAATTATCTAAGCTATCCATATAGCCCATAAAAATGTAAAAAAAAAACCCTTGAGGATCAAAAGTAAGCATTTTTTCTACCGGAAACCCTACTTATATCAGAAATTAAAGCAGAAAATATATTTATCCAGGTATAAGGACAAAATTGTATGGTCACATGATTGTTTTCATGTCTGGCTCGCATCACGGTTATTTTTGTCTGGCAAAAACAGAAATTTTAAATAATCCATATTTTGTTCAATCAGGAGCATTTAACGCAGATAAAAAGAGACAGAATCTGACTTATTGTATTGCCAAAAGATCAATCTTGATAATCGCCAATTTAGAATGATCATAAGTGGATAAAAAATGACGCAAAGTGAAAACAATAGAGCAAACCTACCCCCAGAGCTTGAGAGCGAGAGCCCTCCCGCATCCTATTACGAGCAATTCTATCAGACAATAAGGTCTTTCTACAGTTGCATTTCTTTGATAAATATTCTTAAGCCATCAAAATATGGTACCTAACACTATCTTTCAGTGATACAGCTTCAGCAGTTTCCAGCTACGCGTCAAGTCGAATTCCGGTAAGAAAATAAGCTTGAGACTATGGCCCATAGGCCGAGGAAGAGGGAAGCCCCCTCTTTAAAAAAAAGGCGAGGAAGACGACACCTTTTTCGGGCTTCGTCCTTTCTCGGCCTTTGGCCTCAATAACAGTTGAAATTAGTCCATTTTCTCACTTAAAAAGAGCTTCCATTATAGAGCCCAGAGATTCCAAAAGTTGCTCTCCCTGAAATCCCTTCTTTATCAAACATCTCCGAAATGTGTTTTGGAAGTGGTGAAAACAACGAGTCCGGAAACGCGCTGGAACGCGTTCAAGGACGAATGGAAAAGGTCAAAGTCGCTGCGAACCCAAAACAGAGCTTCGAGATGGGCCATGTCGAGGCGGGAAGGAAGGGCGAAGAAATGGTGTTGAGGGAATTGCAGAAGCTGGGCAAAGTCAGACAAGCAGTGCGAATTCCTGGAACAGAAGGGAGGTTCGAAATTGATCTGGTTCTCGAGCAGAGGAATAAAATAACGCTGTTCGAAGTGAAGAACTGGACGGGAACTCTTGAATTGACGCCGACTGGAGAATGGAAGCAGATCAGAAACGTAAGGGTCACCCTCCTTCTTCCCCTTGACTTTTTTATTTTAGAAAAACTCGACGCCGCCAGAATTAATCCACGCAAACGTCCTCGAAAAAACGCGTCATAAAATGTGCCTCTTTCGCGAAAAACTCTCTATTCCCAAAGACAAGATCTCCTGTTTCGTCATTTTTCCCAAAGAGAACCTGAAGATCACCTACGCCATCGGAATCCAGCCAGAAGTTCTCTCGGCAAAAGAGTTTATGAACTGGGTTCATCGTCAAACGCCATCTCCGATGAGGGTGTTTTCGGAGTTGGTCTTGCCAAAGTCTTGGACTGGCTTTGATGAAAAAACAACCGCTCGAATAAAAGGTACAATCCCTTCACGACTTTCAGTCGTTTGCCCATTTTGGTCAACATCTTTTTAGAATCAATCGGAGAATGCGGAACCTGGGATGAGATTCATCTCGAAGGCGGTCGAGTTCTTACTGGCGATTTTAAGGCGGGTCCTGGCAAGCTTTCCAAGCTCAAACGAAGCGAAACTGCTTCTGCATCCTTCAATCATACACGAAACCAGCTCATCGGCGGAATCAAAGCCATTTTTGGAAAAGAACCGAAAGTCGAAATCAGCTTTTTTCCTCGAAACTCCGAAGGGTTTTTTGATTCAATAGTTCCACAGGTAAATGAAGCTATCAGCCTTCCCCTTTTCATCACTTTTCAGCCACATGATACGTTCGAATGCGCAATCGATTCCGTCGTCTTCTTTCGAAAAGCCGGCGATCGAATAGATTCAAGAATCCGGGTCAATGAAATTGTTCGGATCCAGTTTTCCAACTAATTCATCTTTTCTTTCTTTTCTGTAACAGCAAATACATTTTTACTTATTGTGATAACTTTTCTCATTCATTTCTCTTTCAATTCATATTCAAGAATTCTGTTCTTAAAGTCTTTTCTAGCAGAAGTGACGATTTTGATGAGGTTTTATATGCTCTCGAATTCTGTATTACTACCTGTTACAAACTATAATTCAATTAAAATTTCGAAAATCTAGGTCTCATTTTTACGAAACCGATCTTTATAGGGGATGAAACGGATCGAGTGCCGCGTTATTTCCTCCACTCCCGCTCCTAGTCCTCCCTGCTCTCCCCCCGCCTTCCTTTATCGAAGAACAAACGAATCACCCAACTCCAAATCCATGCTCCCAGCTTCTTCAAAACCTTCGTTTCGCCATTGAAAAGCGAAATATTCCACTGGCAATGAGCGTCATCAAACAAATGGAGCAATACGATAAGAACTTCTCGGATGCTCAGTTAGGCAGTTCACATTTCGAATAAACGATACAGTTAAAAATTGAAAATAATGATGAACTCAAAGTAGAACATTGAAAACTTGGAAAAAAGCTGCAAAAAGTCGGCAAAAATCGCGACAGAGAGCATCTCTAAAGTCGAATCGCTGAAACGAGAAAACAGTCAGCTTGATAAGACAGTAGATAATCTGACAAACGAAAATGTTGATCTCTCCTCAAGGCTGGAAAAGGCCGTAGAAGAAAAGAACGATCTGCAGAAAAAGCTTGAAACAGAGCAAATCCGAGCCGGTCGGCTGGCTGAATCTATTTCTTTTGTAAAGGTACCATTTCAAGGCATCATTTGTCGCTTATTAGAAATTTAAGAGTGAAAGCGAAAAAGACATGCGAAGCTGCCAAAAAGAAATCAACCAGCTCCGTTCAGATTCAACTGCAATCAAGGAAGAAAACAAGTCGCTAAAGCAAAACTTAGCGCTCCAAAACAACGTCGGTAGAAACCTTGAAGTCGCGAAACACCAAATTGAGGCATTGAAGAAAGAAGTCGCTAAATACAAAATGATGGCAGAGAGCTACAAAGCAGAATTGGAACACACAATAACAAAGCTTCAACAAGATAAGAAAGTTGACGCGCAAAATCAGCTTGGACAGATTTTGTTGGAAAGGATCGAAATCATGCTCAAATCGAAGGAACTCAAATCGCCAGAGAAAGAGGCAGAATGGTACGTTTTCAAAAACTCTTACTTTCTTAAAATTCTGATTTTTTCTTCAGCAAAAAATTGAAGAAACGCCAAAAAATCCTCAAGAAATACCTTCAAACTCCAACTCCATCTGCTGGTCAAAGTTCTAGTCCTCGAAATGAACAATCCTTCTCAGATGAGGATGATCTATCTGATGATTCTTCGACAATGTCTCAAGTCGCAGCTGCACTTCAAAAGCTCGAGCAGAATTTACTGTAGATACCCGTGTCTTTTTACCTTTTCTCTATTTTTGCAACACAAATAAAATTTTTCTTTTGATAATCGAACGAAAAAGGTTAACCCCTGCCCGCATGAAAAATTTGTCACCCCTGCCCGCATATCGACCTACGCGTAGGTCGGGCCTTTTTGGGGTCTTTTAGTCGGAATAAAATTTTCCAAAGGACATAGATGGAAAGATTAAAGGCTGAGCTTTCTCCTGGACATGATCAAATGTCAAATGTCAGATGTCAAATGTCAACAAATGTCATCTTTTCAAAAGTACTCATTTTTGATAAAAGAATAAGTCGTCAGCGCTCCAAATCTCGTCCAAAATAAACTCAAATATTTTCATGCAGTCATAAATACAGTAAAATAGAATAGAATTAGAATTCCGAACTTTTATTATCTACTGAGTATTAATTTGATCAAATAGATCTTGCCGAGAACAGTTGAATCAAAGTTGGGTTTTGTCATGTTGACCCGAGATCAAAATTTCGCTCAATTGCTAAAATCTTAAATCTTTAAATAAATTTTATTTTGACCTCAGATCCTGATTCTCCATTAAAAAGTAGCCCGATATGTGGGGGTCAGCTTTATAGAAAATATTTACCAATCGCGAGATAATCGCGTTTAAAAGTCAATTTACCTACGCGTAGGTCGATATGCGGGCAGGGGTTAACAAAGACATCTTTTTTGCCTTGAATGCGTATTTAATTTGATTTGGTCAAGTTTAAAATTTTTAAGTGTTTATTAATGTTAAAAATAACAGAAAAGGGCAAGAGAAAAAATTCACCAGTCTCTTGAAATTGGATCGATTCTGAGCCGTTCGCACTTTCTGCATTTGCATTTCTTCGAACTCAGTTCGACATTTCTGCAGGGGCAGAGTTCAGATCTGCATTCTCGGTCAGGTTGTGGCCAGTAATCGTGCCATCGTCGTTCGATTCCGCGTGGTGTTTTGCCCCACATGTACATCGTCCCCATTCGGGTTATGTGCTTGTTCAGAACTTCTAGGGCCTTTTTGTCATCGATTCTGTATTTTCGCAGCGAATTCTGAAATTGTCATCAAAACAACCTTTCTCCCCCTGTTACCTTCACTCCGGCTCTTTCCCATTCTTCTTTTCTCTGCTGGTCTTCTTCTTCATCGCTTGAACTTGGATACTAAAACAAATACTTCAACCCTTTTGTCCCCCTATTCTATCTTACCATATCCTCAGGAACAGTACCGGGCTCTGGTTGTCCATCTCCGATCACGCCAGTTGACGAAGGTAGAATCGCCGGAGGTTGTTCTTCATCAGGAAGATACTGCGGGCCTTCGAATTCTTCCGCTTCCTTTGTTTTCATCAGTTTATGAATTATTTAAAAATATAAATTTACCTCTCCTTGCTCCATTGGTTCAACATCAGTACTTTCTGCTTCATTTGATGGAGGGTTCACTTCTTGAACTTCTTGATTTTCCTGGGCGGGCGAGGAAGAGTTGGAGCTTTCATTGTCGACCTCCATCTTTTTAGAAAATTTTCACTGACGTAAGTTGTTGGTAAACTTCACCTTACTGATTTGATTCTAGAGAAATGTCCAAGATGCGTGTTTTTTCGCTAATTTGTGTATCTAACTAAATTTCAAATTGACCGCCGACAGCCGCAAAACCAGCTGACTTTCAGTCTGTTTTCAAGCAAATTCTAGCGCCGAGAAATCAGGAAAGAATTTCTTATTGCTGATTAGCTAATTGAAAGAAAAAATCTCAGTCACTTTTGACTCGGTTTCCTAGTATCTCTAACCGAGGTCTAGCGAAACTTCATTACATGTCCGAGACTAATCTGAAGCCGTCTTTTGGCGGTTTTTTTCCACGGCGCAAATTCGAAATTTCCCCTCGGAAAAAAGGGTGAAAACGATCATTAGAAAAATTTGATTTACACGATATTTGATATTTAATATTATCGTCGCTGCGTGGACCGTATTTGCGCTAGAATCTGCTGCAACTGAAGATATTTAATGAAAACGTGTGGGGTATTCACAACAACTCATTTGGGTTGACACTCAACGAATAAAGTTTCGCGCCTGGTTGACACCATCACTACCGCGTTTTCGTAACTGTTCAGTTTACTGTAAATTTCGGCGAAGATCATCAATCGCTTCTTTCATTTCCTTGAAGACAAGACTTTCAGTAACGATCGTTTTTCTTCGCTAATAAGCTCATAAACAGGTTTGTCAAGGGAAAAATAAGTGACGTCCGTTGGGATCTCGGGGGGTTAAAAAAGGGATTAATTGATCGAGCCCCTCCATATGGCGCTGCGGTTTAAGATTTATAAAAAATATTAAATCTCAATAAATCCTGCTCTTTAAATTATTGAGATCTATTTTCGGCCTTGGAAAAAAAAGGTGGCCTTTGGGAAATGGAAGTTTTGAGCGCAAATAACAACTCATAATGGCGTGTTTAGGACGGGATTAATATTTTTGGAAATGGTTGCTTCTTTTCCCCTCTTTTTTTTCTTTTCAGGATATGTTCAAAAAAGAACCAATTTGAAAGTCGGCAGAAAAACGTGAACCTAATGAAAAAATAAGTCCTCCGTCCGGGAGAAAGATAACATCGATAATTATGTTTCAAACTCACCCACTGATATCATTAGTCCTACGCGTAATAATATTTTTGTCGAGTCACGAGGTGCTAATCAAAATCATTCTAATTAGATTTCAAGACGTCAGGGAGGCTTAATTAATGAGTTATCTGGGTTGACCTTTTTTCAAAAAGCAACAAGTCAAATTTTAAGCTTTATGACTAGAAAAATGGATTTTCTAGGGTGGAAAATTTTTGAGTCGAATTTTTTTTTCATTTTTTATTATATTTTTTTATTTTATATTTTATATTATTTAAGATACAGTGGGTTGCGCAGGTAGTTGCCCCTTTGCGATTGCCGCTTTGGTTGCCCCTTCGCCCGCGCTTTTTCTATTGTTTCTTTCTAGACTTGCTCAAAGTGATTGCAGGATTGGTTGACCCTTCGCCCGCTCTTTAGGGGGCAACTACCTGCGCAACCCACTGTACGAAAAACAACCGTATCTTTCTAAAAAAGCCCTGAAATGTCATCGAATCGCAAAAATCCTCTGGAGCATTCGATTAAACCACAGCATAATCTATTTCCGCCGAAAAAGGTTGATTGAGCTCGCTGGGCCAACGTGGACGGACAAATTTCTTCACTTTGTCGAAAACTTGAAACTTTATTTCGCGACCTCAAAACGCTAAAAACGGACAAATTTCGGGTAGATTCACGTTACATGCCGATCACTAAATGCTTTCATTGAAATTGAATCTTCTCGTACATATGTAATTATTTCATATTTTAGAAATTTCTTGACGATAAAAAGGCCGATCCAGTTGAATAAATTTCTATTATCAACGATAATTTATCATGAAAAAGGGCTTTTAAAAATTTTGCCAGTTTGAAAAACCATAAATTTGAATTCTTATGGAACTATTAGAAATAAAAAAATCCTAGTTATTTTTGAATACTCAAATTAATTTGTTTCTGTACTTTCGCTTTCCCTAGCAACGTTCTATCAACAGTTTTCCATCCATTTTACCCTAACTTATCATCGCCAGAATCGGCGTTCTCCGATATATTCTCCCAAAAAAAAAGCGCGCGGTGGTAGCGCCGAGAAAAAAAAGCGCTTGGTGCGCGCTCCGCTGGGTGGAGCAAGAGAGATTGCGCTAGCAACGCGCGCGTTGTTTCACACCGCAAGCGCTTCTTTTTTGCTCCTAAAATAGCTATTTAACTTTTTATAGACTTTGTTGACACTTTTATCCTGAACTAAAAATAAACAGTTGGATATAAAGATACTTTTTATAATAAAGAGATTATGACTTGAAAAAGTAGAGGTTTTTCTGAGAAGAAGAAGAAAAATTTAAGAAAATTTGACAGGTAAAAACTCATCCTCTTTCATTGTGACACCCTTATTTATCGACTGAATGAAAGGCCCTAAAAGTGGTTTAAAAACCGAAATTTGAAGCTTTTTTATTACAAAAGACTCTTTTAGATCTCAAAAATCGGCAAATTAACCTTTTTGAGCGATTTTTAAGGGGTATCTTCGTTATCATTCAAAAATCCGGTTTTCTTTTCGCATTTGCAGCGCATTAATATCGCTAATCTTGGATCCAGGCCGGTGATTCGGGCAAGTTTGCCTGCTCATCCAGCCGGAAATTTACATTTGCATTATTTCTCCCCCTTTTTCTTCGATTTCTAAAAAGGGAGGGGCGATTTCGCCAATGCCAATGCTTTTTACAAGCAAGAATTTCAGGTCGGAAACTTCCGTCAAGTGAAATGAGCTGTAACAGAGTGTTCGATTGAACAAATCAAAAAGTGATTGAAAAGCTCTTCAAATCAAAGTGTGTCTTTTTCCAATTCAAGAAGAGGGGGAAAGAGCTTTAATTGAGAATTTGAACGAATTGATGATTTGGGATTTTTGGAAAAGCTTCTTTTGGAAAAAGAAAAAGGGTTGATCTGGCTTGGTGGCGTCCGATTGACCTTAGACGAGATGCAACGGGAAAATGGCAAATTAGACGTGGCCGAATCTCGCCGAATTTAGAGCGTTTCTGATTCATGTTCTTATGATTCGGACAACTTTTACAAATGAGCAGATTTTTCAAATTTCAATCATCATTTTCGGCCCGAAAATTTCGGGTAGATGCTTTGAGTCGAAAAAAACTAAAAATTAGAATTTTTTCCGAAAATTTTTTCTGAAATCTGATTTGCTTACCAGCCGAATTGGGCTTTCTGATTGGTTTACAGATTGACTAGAATTTTTGTCAGAATGATATAATATTTTTGTCGATTCATGCCTCCTCCCCTTATTTTCTGCTCCGTGATGAACTGCTGGTAACCGTATCCAAGTTTAATTACAGTTTTATTACGAGGAGGATCCCCAGTGGATTTGCAGAACAAACTTTCTTTTGACAAGAAGCTGTCAGTGAGGAGAACACTGAATAAAGATTTCATCTCGTCTCTAATCAATAAATTCTATCATATTCGGCTAAAAGGCTAAAGCCTCGAAAGATGAGCTGGGATCAGTTTGAGAGTTCATTTTGAAGGCTAAAAGTATTAACCTCTTGAGTAAAGAGAAAGTTTCTCTTTTGCCAATTTCGAACTTTTCTAAAAAGAATTTTTTGAATAGTTATTTCTTGATTGTTTATTCGAAAATTTTCTTAGAGGAAAATTAATTTTATCAAAATAAAAAGAAAGTGAAAGCGAAAAAAAAGCCCGCTGTGCAGGTGACAGCCTACTGAATAATTCCAGCAGGCTGTATTGAAATCTTATCTAAGCGGCACTCGAGAAATTTTCGATTTTTCCTAGAGCTCCTCTTGCCTTATCGATATTTTTCCATGAACAAAGCAATAGGAGGGGGCCGGTAATAAACTTTCAAGAGCAGAACAAGGCGTGAGAATTTCGACGGCGCTAATTGAAATTTCGAAAATTATGAATCTTTCATTTATTCCTGCTTTGAAGAATTTGAATTTTGAGCGGTCAAGATCGTAAAAATTATTTTTTATTCAGACTTTTTCTCCCAACGAAAGGCTTGTTTTACGATATTTACCTCGAACAACGAGCTCTATATTAAATTTGTTAAACATTTTGTTCTATTTTTAAATATAGATAGTGGCTATTTATAATGTCTATTCTTCACGGCAAGGCGGGTAGATTATTGTTTGATTATTTTGATTTTGGACCCATCGCGCGCGAAATTTACATTATTCTCGCGAGAAAGGGTTAAATAAAGGGTTAATTTAATGAAAAAAATAAGAAAAATCAATAATTGAGAAGCCAGTAAAGGCAAATTAAGACACTTCGTGGCCTACTAAAGAGGCGATTAGTCGTTGTACGGAGCTAATTGGCTTAGAATTGATTTGAGGAGTTGCTTCCTCAATTATTTTTCCTTTTCTTCTTTAAAATTGAGCTGTGACAGATGCCATCCGACAATCGCCATATTAGAAATGTGACTCGCTTGCCTTGTTTTTTTCCTTTTCGGAGTTAATTTTGCATCAATGGATTTAGGGTTAGGGTTAGAGTTAGGGTAAGGGTGAGGGTTAGGGTTAGTATTTTTATTTGGCTCTTTTTCTATAAGAAATCCTGACTCAGGTTTTTAGACAGGTAACCGAACCCAGACTGAACTTATCTGTACTCTTCTTCTTCTTGTTACATAATCTTCATCAGATATTGTCATAATCCCTGCCCGCCCAAATAAAATTTCCCTGATAAGCATCTCCCCCGCGATATCTGTATAGAACGCTCGAAAATTCTAGAGAGCGAAATTTTTGGATAAGAGGGTGGTTCAAAAATCTCAAGATAAGAGCACATAACAACATGATTTTCAAATTGGAAAAGTCGAATTTCGTGAATGTGAAAATTGTTGGTTTTGATTTTCAATTGATTGTCGCTAGAATCGGTTCAAATATGCCACGTGAGTATTGAATATACAGTCATTCAAGGCCTCAAATTGAGGGAAAACCGCAGTTTCGGAGTCCAACTTTGGGTCGTATTTAGTTTCAGGGCTGATGTGTTCCGGATCTTGGTTTTGATAACCGGCAGTTTTCTAAAAAACCTGACCTTGGAAATGGAAATGGAAAAATAAACCGCTTTGAATAAGTACCAAAAAGCGCGTTTGTTGAATTGAGGCTAAAAATAAAGTTGAAGGAAAAAGAGGTTTATTTTTACCCCGACTTGTAATGGAAGAGATTTGCATTTAGAAAAATTATCGAATTGGCGAATTGTAGAAATAAATTTTTTTATGAAAAATTGACAGAGAAAGAAAAAAGGATGATCGAGATAAAATCGAGAAGGAACAAATTCGGGAGAGTTTTTCGGCATTTGCAAGGGTTGAGAATTCTAGAGCTTAAACATTTTCTTCAAGGAGAACGATTGATAACGAAAACTGTCATCCGTCCTTCTTATTGGCCAATCGTGAAAACCGGAATTTCTTTGATTGGCCAATAAAAAGCCTGATGAACTTTTTCCTTATCAATCGTTGATGCTGTTGAAAATGAGATTGTTTTGAAGATTAAATATTTTCTTCAAAGAATTATATTTTTGAAAGAAAATTATTTAAAAGAATATTTACCATTAATTATCAAATAGAAGAAGTCTGTTTTCGCAACCCCGAAAAAAGCGAAATGATAAGAAAAGAGCAAATCGGTAAGAGTTTTGTCAACAGCTTCGCGCTTCCGGAAATATCGCGGAAAACGCGATTATATCACGCAATCAAAACATTGCGGGAAAATTCAATTCTCTCCAATATTTTAAAAATATCATTACTTAAAAATTATAAATGCGTAGACGGCAAACGAGTTTTTCAGTCTGCATAACTTGCTTTAGATAATCAGGTCTTTGTATCTCGATTTTCACACTTGCTCTCTTGATAAGATTTTTTCTCAATAACAATCCTACATAAGAACGACTGTAACTAACTTTAAAATTAGAATAACAGTTTGAAAATTTACAAAAAAGAGAAGGTTTCGAGAAAATTCCGAATTCGGCAAGTTTGATAATAAGACTGCTTATATGCCAATTTGAGAATTTTGATTGGCTGGAAAGATTTTCTAAGGATTTTGATTGGTCAAAATCGCAATGTCTTTAAAATCGGATTTGAATTATAAAAGAGAACAGGAGTGTATTTTTAACTCTTTTCATTTCTTCAATAAAGTCTGAAAAATGACTGTATTTATGACTATTTTCTCAGAATGGATCAATATTAAAGACAGGGAGGCACCGTGACAATGAATCGAAACACAACGGCAAGAGTCGATTTTCCTCTCTTTTTTTCTTTCTCTTGGGAGAGAATTCTGAATCGGAGGCATATTTTTATTTTTTATTAACCTTCAAAAAGAAGAAAATGATATAAAAGCCTTGGTAAAAGGGCTCAGCAGTCATTCTGAAGATCAGAGAATGTCTGAAAAAGAGTTGAGTCCCTAGTGCAAAGTATAAAGATTTTCGTAAGAATTTATTTTGCGAAAATTACAGGGGTTGAAAAAGCTAGTAGGCTTCTCCAGAACTCTTCGTTTATTTTCAGGCCAGGAAGATTTACGGACCCCACGTGGGATGAATAAATAATCAGAGTTTGCTTTTCCGAAATTCAGGATTATAATTAGGAAGATTTTAGTTATTTTTTAATCGTAAAAATTTTTAATTCTTCTTTTCAGAATGCGAGGATGGACAAAATTCACAGAAGAAGCAACTTCTGATTTCCAAGCCTGCCTAATTCAACTCTCAAGCTATGTGGATGGAACTATCAAGGAATGGCGCTCAAGAATTCAAGAATGGCTTAACCAATTTTAATGCGTCCAATTCTTCTTCCCAAGGTCACGTGGAAGGAGCAGCATTAAACGTGCTCACAGCTGCCAAGACTATTTTCAATCGCTAATTCCGCTGAATTAAAATTCAGAATTCTTGATGATGTCAGCGACAAACCTCAATCATATTCAACCAAATTCTTGAGTGCATTTTTTCGTTGCGTTTTCGCTGATTGGCGAACGCGAAAAGCTCCTCTAGAATTGGATTATTTCTGAATAATGAAGGTGCTTTTTTCGTTGTCTTTCGTTTGTAAGGGCCTTTGAGTGGAAGTGTTAAAGAATACACGCTTCTCATTGGCTGATATCAGTTATAGAAGCTTCTGATTGGCTAAGCCAAGCCTAACCCGGAATTAATTCTAACTTGTTTTTAATAAAGAGCCATATTTTAGGTTTTTTTGTTCGACCAATGAGAAAACTCTTCGTTTTCATGAAAAATTTTGAAGAAAAATTTCGAGTAGATGTCTTACTAGTCGCCTAATATGCGATAATGAGCAGGTCATGTGTTGGAACTCGCAAAACAAAACGAAAGATACACTGCCGACATTCCATGTCCCCAAACTGCACGTCTTCAAACTCTCAACATTCTTAACCCCACTGAACCCTTTTTTTCAACGTTTCTTTTTCTCAGAAGATCTTGATTCTTCTGATGATTCTACATAAACCCGAATAAAGGGAGAATGATCACATGATTTTCCAGTTTTTGAGCGCCACGAAAAGACTGAAAGTGAACTTCAAAAATTGGCAGCAGGATATGTTCATTTTATCTCGGGCCGTGATCGCAGCGGGAGATCATTGCTAGCACTCCCCAACGCGCATTCCAATTTGGAGAATATTGACTCGAAGAATTGGACTGAGATTATTGACTACGCTACGAGGAGGTAAGCAATACGGTTTGAAATATGAGCAGTAAATTTATGCAACCAGCAGTAATTAATGTTGAGATATCTTTGTTTTATCATTTCGACGATTATTGATTCCGAAAATATTTATATAAAAAGAATTAAAAGAAAGTTCTGGTGTTCAGTTAATTTGTATAAAATCTAGAAAATATCTTGTCTTTCTTATTCAAAAATTTAACCAGAAAAAAGTAACTCAATTGAAAGAAAAGAAAAAAAAAATTATAATCCCGAGATATTTCGGCTCCAGTCCAATTTTAAAACTTCTCTCGCCACCTGCTAGTTTTTCTAGTGGGAAGAAAGAGCTAACCTCGTTACTCACGTGCATCTTCGTCCGTTTACTGCTTACTCATCTTGTTATTTTTCGGACTTTGATTTTATTTTATTTTTCAGCTCGCAAGCCCCGTACGCAGTCCTGATTGATAGGAGATCTTCAAACTGGTCAAATGTGAAGGAAATTTTAGCAACACTACAAGGCTCGAAAATTGAGCTGTCTTCGATTCTCGTTCTTCGTCCCGGTGGCCTGCAGCGAATATTCTCCGAAGCAACAATTCGTTTTGTTGATCTGGGCTTTCCAGAACGAACGAACATCAAATTTTTGAAAAACTTCGAGCAGGTTCTACCACACATCGATCCTGAATTTATCTCAACGGTAAAAAAACAAAGTTCTTCAAAACGTGACACCTTTGAAAATTATAATTTGAACCTTGTTATCCGAGAACACGTGCTTTTTTCTTGTCAAAAAATATGCAAAAATACATGTTTTTTTTTGCTATTCTTTTTCGATAAAAATTTTTTAGGATATTGGAGGGAAAAATCACTGCACAGTCGAATTCCAGCTGAAATGTTCGGAGCGATTCTGCGATTTCAGGATTAAAGTTGCGAATTTTCTCGACAAAGTCAACATTTTCGTCAAAAAAATCAACCAAGTAGAAATGCCAAATGATGAGCATCAGTGTGTGGTGCAAAAAGAAGCTCAGAATCATCAGTTTCTCGGTAAGCCGTGAATTATAAGTGTGGGGGGAGTTAAGGGAAGGCAAAGGAAATAACCATTATCGCTTTTTTTTTGGTTGATAAGAATCAATTTTTTACTCATAATTTCGAACGAATCGACAAATATGCGACAAATTTCACAAAATTTTTATCAAATTTTAGACCAATCAAATTCTCTGATTCAATAGATTGGACAATCAGGTTTCAGAAAAATGTCGTTAAAAATTTTTGTTGCAATTTTTTGTCGACTCGAATACATTTTTCCTCAATTTGGAAATTAATGGAATAAGCTTAATTAAGTCCGTCACATATACGTATTTGTAAATGATTGACGAACGAAAGACACCTTGGTTCGGCGCATTAAATTATTCAATACGCGTCATTATCTTCAAAATTTTTCTTCAGTGATGATGGACGAGCTCTTGGACTCGATCAACGAAGGAGATCAGTTGAGCGATTCGGTGAGAGAAATTTGCAGCGCGAAATATGTCGCGGAACTGGAGAATTTGCTGCTAAAACTGAAGCACTTGAATTCAAATCTAAGTGCTGTTTGGAGCTCGCATTCTCAAAGGAAAATGGTTCATCACTTTTTAACCTCAAAAAAGAGATAAAAAAAAAGTTTAGTTTTGAAAGTTTCTGGAGCGATTTCAAGCATTTGGCTAAATATTTGCAAATTTGAAGTCACCAGCTAACCAGTGTCTAATAAGATCAAGGCGGCTTGTAAACCACATTTCATTTCGTTTCCGCTGATGTTTCACTTTTTCCGCTTCTTGGAAAAGCTCTAATCTGACTGTAATTGGCAGTGATGAACCAAGTGTAGAATGGACATTGCCTGCTCGTTCCGCAAATTTGAGGTCTCCTATCGTACAATCATTGGTAAGCCTCTAAAAATCAAATTGAATTAATTTCGGCGTGTTTGATCGGAAAACATTTTCTAAGCGTAATACAAGGGTGATACGGCCTAATTCTTCGGCTTGGAGGCCGAAGGATTGATGCGTGTAAGAACACTGATTCTTCGGCATAAACCGAAGAATGAGTGATAAAAGATGCACTGATTCTTCGGCTAAGATGAATTAATTCACAGATTCCTGTGCCCCTAACCACGGGGCTCCGCCCCTTAGGTCCTAAAATGCCGGGGTCTAGTCTATGGTTACTTAGGGTTACCTTCGGTAACCCTAACTAACCCTAGCCTATCCCCCTCGGGTGAGTTAGTTCTGTCATTTTGCCCAGTGCCCCCTAACACTAACCTCAAATCATAGAAAGTACTTATTGCTAAAATGTGTTTTTTTCTAGAAAATGCCTTTTTTCATAAGTGATGACTCATAGATTGCAATCAAAGATTTATCAAAAGAATTTTGATAATGGCTTCTAGAAAATTTGCCGAAGAATCACTGTCAATTTTATTATTAATACTTCGGTTCAAGGCAATTCTCAATTAGCCGAAGAATCAGTGTTATTGAAAGCATCAATTCTTCGGCCTTGCCGAAGAATCAGCCCATACCACGAATACAAGATACGATGAAATTATGGTTTCAATTAGGAAAATAATATAAAAGTACATTTATTACAAATTGGGGCAACTCCATATACAGTTGTAAGGCTCTTAATGTCTTATCAATTGTTTCGAAAAGAAAAAATAAAAAATTTGCTCTAAAAATTTTTTTTTTGTGATGTTCAAAAAATGAATCTAGAATCTCTGAATCTCATCTTTTTTAGTAAAATTAAAAGCACACGAGCAAAAACTCTCCTCAACCGAATACGGTCTCGGAACAGAATGGATCGAAAAACTCATCAGTCTGCACCGCCAATACCGAGTCGAAAGTCAAGACACCATCAAAGGACCAGCGTTGAAAACTGTTACTAACGTGATGAGCAACTTGCTTGGTTGCTCGATGAAAATTATAAAATTGGGAGGGGGCGAATTTCTCAGCCTTGTAAACATAAAAATGAGCAGATATTAACTTGCTACTTTTTTCAACGCGAAAAATCAGAAGCGGAAATTCTGCTCGACCAAGCCCACGAGATTTCGATCTATCTTTCTGACTCTGTTGCTCCCAAATGCGACGATGTCAAGGTAAGTTTTGTTTACAGCGCTCTCAAATGACTGGTTTTTCTAGCACCTAATCACCCGAATCGAGGACTCTTCCGAAGACCGTCGGTCAAAACTAGAACTCGGTTTGGCCGCCAATCGCGATATGGAAGCCGCCCTAGATTGGTGGGAATCAGCATCAAAGGAAAAGGACTCACTTCTGAGAAAAAGTCGTAATAATTCCAGAAAATGGAAATTTGTTTGTTCTTTTTTCCGATGCCCGCAAAATCCAGTTTTGGTGTCGTTCACCAAAGTTTAACGCCTTTTGGTGTGGCGACCGCATATTTGGTCACGTCTATTAGAAACTACCGTGTTCTGTAATTTCTAGAGTTCACAAAATTCAATTATAAGCACTTCAAAATTTATATTTTATAAAAAAAAAATGACTAAAAATTTAAAAGAAAAAATTCAAATTTTCGCAAAAATATTCATAAAAACTTTTCAATAAAATAAGGGTGGGGAGGCCAATAAAACGTTTGCCTTGGTAAATATTCTCAGGGGAAGAGGATCGGAAGTAGAACCGGGCGTACTCGACCACTTTTCAACCACTCTGTGCTTTTCGCCCTCTCTTTTTCTCCTTTTCGTCATAAAAACGTCAGCGTGGCCCAGCATGAGCTCAGGAGCTCAAATAGAGAGCCCTTGATAGATTCTTTGTCGAGCAGCGTCGGACGCCGTCCAGTATTCAGCTTCTTTCTTGGAACAGAAGGTGAGAAGCCAAGTGACTAAACGAAAAGAAAAACAATTATTTTTTAAATTAGCTCGAAGAGGGAAGAAAATTGAAGATTTTAAATGAAGATTATGATGCTTTCGTGAGGCTGCAGTATTCAACAAGGAAAGAAGTCAAGAAAAATTTTAATTATAAAAAGATTAAATCATTTTTGATAAAGAAAATCGTGATTTAAGGTCGTTGCCCCGCAAAAATTGTGAATAACCCTGATTGAGTCTGGGAAAAAGAGCTCAAGCGAAACACATGGCCACTTTAGTGCGCAGATTTTACCTTTTAAAATAATATTCTACCTTTGACTTCGAAAAAGACTTGCGAAAAATAGTGAGCAAGTAAACGAGCTGTGCGAGCAGTACGAAAAGAAAATTTTATTGGTGAGAATTGAAGAGAAGCCAGTTCCGATTGCGCCGGTGGAGCCAAGGATTGTCGTCAAAAATCCGAAACTTCAGGAGATTTCTAGAGACGATGTAAGTTTTCTCCCTTTGGCTTTCAGAGGAAGAACCTTACTTTCAATTATTCAATTTTGAAAGTAACATCTTCTGGCGAGAAAACGATAGGAACGTTTCATTGCATCTGTCAAAAAGAACAACAAGATAATTGGCTATCATTTTGTTCAAGTCGTCTTTGGGCAGGAGAACGACTTTTGCTTGTCAGAATATTTTCGGTTCTACGATAGCGAAATCGGTCTTTTTCAGAATGAAGACAATCTCTTTTAGCTTCACGATAATTAATAATTATTAATTATTGATTTTTTTTTATTGAAAGAGAAACTCACTGAAAGAAAAATCCATTATGGTAGGATTTTTTAAATGGAAAATTAAAGAGAATTTTCGAAACTAGGTTTTTCAAATTTCTCTTAGAAAAATCAGTCACGTGTCTTTCCGCGTTTGCGTGATTGAGCCAATTTTCTGAAAAATTTTAAACCCCGCAAAAGTTGATTTCGCGTTCTTTTGAATTTTGAACTTATGCAATAATCATTTTAAAAACAAATCTCGGGACAAGCGTATTCCACGTAAAAGCAGGTTTCTTACGGGTCGAACAGCGATCGCAAAAGCAATTAAAAAATTCGCAGCAGCTAACGGGATGTTTGATTTGACCGCAAATTGCGTCATATAATCAGAAAATAACTAATTTAGGGGAAAACAAGGCCTTCTTTCCAAGGAAAATTTTCTCGAAAATATAATGAAGTGACACCCTTATTTTTTAACAATTGTTCTTCAGAGCCAGGCAGAATCATCGGAGTATATTTCGACCGAAGAAAGTTCCGAAGAGTGCAGTTTATCAAGCTCTTCTCCCTCAAAAAGCAAAATGATTGAGGGAGAAAGTCGAGACCGCCGAGAACAGACAAATCGACTGACAAGCTCACTTCGATGCGATTGAACACTTCTCTCTCTGCCGTTGTTATGTCCAGCTCTGCCGTAAGTTTTTCAACAAATGAATCGAATTCAATCCATTTTCAAGAGCTCCTTATCCGCCGACGAAGACCTCTTAAGCCCTCAAAAGGTCGACAATGTCCTGAGCGAGCTGCTAGAATCCGAAAAGATCTACATTCGCGAAATCGAAGAAATTCTCCAAGGTTATGGAGAGATGATCGATTCCGAATCCTTCGACTGCCCTGAAATTCTCCGCGGAAAAAGGTATATTTAAGAATCAAGAGCATCAGCCGCACTTCGCGTTGGTTTTTTCAACAAAGTGCAATCATCTGTATTGAAATGACAAGGAGCGTGGCAAGTATGAGATTATGTCACGGAGGCCGACTTCACTCTCTCAAACCGCGCAGCTGACCACAAAGGCCCTTTTCTAACACGCCAATTTTCTAAATCTAAAAAATAGAAGCTCACAATTTATAAGATTTCTTTGATTTATTTCTTTCGAGTTCTAATTTTACCCGAACAAATCAATAATAGGTGTAGCTTTCAAATAGAAAAAAAAATAGATTTTTTGCTCAATATCGTAAATTCTAACGAGAATAAGCATTTTGAAAAACTGAGGATTTTCGGCTAATCAAGAAAAACTGAATTTTAGTGATTTCAAATTAATTTTATTTAAAAAACTTTACTAATATATATTTTTAATAAAACTTTTAGTCTTTATTTTATAACACCTCTAGAAAATTTTTCAAAATCCAGTAAAAAGATATCTTTAAAGACCTTCCGATTAATTTTATTCTTAGTCACGTGCTTCTTGGAAACCTGGACGTCATTTTCAACTTCCACTCCCAAACCTTCCTCCCTCAGCTGCAAGATGCTTTCCCCGCGCCGGCTAAAATGGCGCGAGTCTTCCTTGATTTCATCGACGATTTCGACATTTACTCTGTTTACTGCCAAAACTCCGCGAAAGCCGAGCAGATTTGCCAACAACTCGGGGTCGACAACGCGTTTTTGAAAAAGTGTCAAAATTCGCTGAAACATTCGCTGCCGATAACTGCGTTTTTGTTGAAACCCATTCAGGAGAGGATAGACAGCGATAATCTCATTAGGGGTGCCCTAACGACTCATGCTCATTTGAGCACCTCCAAAAGGGTGAAGGAGCCAGGAATCTATCTAGCTAACGAGCGGAAGTGACAGCTTGGCGATGTTTGACATCGTGTCGCTCATTTAGAAACTAATTAAAACTATTCTAGAGATATTTTTGTCAAAGAGTCATTTCTTTCGGAATAATGAAGACCGCAAAAATGATTTTTATCTCTTGAATTTTGTCTTTTCTTCCGCTAGAAGTGTGGTCATTCAATCAAACATAGGCAACTCGGTATTAGACAACAAAAAGACGTATTTCTTAATTGAAAGCTAAAGCTAAATTTATCTTTATCCGAATCAGCGCATCACAAAATACCAGCTTTTGCTCGACCAAATGGTCAAATGCACCTCGACAACCGAGGACGAGGCCGAAATCGTCCAACTCGCACTTGCCAAAATGCTCAAATGCGTCCGTTCCGTCAATGATTCTCTCCAAAATATCACCGGTTATTCCGGCGCGGTTTTCCAACTCGGAAAGTTGATAAAATTCGGACAGGTAGAGATTGAAACGAAACGGAGCAGGGTGCGGGTTTCGATGAGGACGATCACGAGGTTTTTGTTCCTGTATCAAGAAAGTCTCCTTGTCTGTAAGAAACAAGAAAATGGAAACTACAGGTACCGAAAAATCTCACCAAAATTTCTAGAGCATCAATTTTAGCTTCAAACTGGAACTGCCCCTTGAAAGTCTAAAAATCAATGAAGAAAAAACAAAGATGAATCGCTTCAGTCTAATGTCCGCCGGAGGGCGCTATTTGATGGTTTCTGTTATCAACAGGGAGACGAAAATGAGCTGGATCAGCCAAATTAAACGAGCTCTCCTCAACTTAGACGTAAGTACCACCCTTAAGTCGCACCTCTAACTATTTGCTAGAACCTGGAGATGGAGAAGGAAGACTCTTATCGCCAACCAAGCAGGAGGGAACTCATGGTTTAGACTCACTAAGCCGACTGACTGTAAAAAGAAAACCTGCTGGGCGAAAAGTTCTTCCTCAATAATTTCACTTCTCACTTCATCTAGCTTCACTTCCACAAGTTCAAAAGTTTCTTCAAAATTCATTTCTTTCGTTTTCGTGAGCTGTATTATTTCAGATGTAAATAAACGATATTTGACCGTTTTCTCTGAGTTGGAAGATTTTTATTAAAACGCTTTTATTATAAATTTAGCCATTAGAAAAGAGACAATATATAATATATTATATATTATGAAAAGGTTGACTAGCATTGAAATTTCGCCGAGGGAAGGTTTCCAGGAAGCCAGGAATTCTTCTTGCAGGAGAGAAGGACGCCCGTTTTCTTTGCAGATGCGCCGTTTTTCGGTGGGCAATAAATTTGACATGTCCACTTGAAATCGATGAAAACGATGAAAAACAAGACCACATACCTTCGATGGCATAGAACTTGGGGAACAAACAGCCTTTGCTCCCTGTGCTCTCAAATCCTTCCTAGTCTTCTGCAAGACGTAATCCCAGACCGAAGTTCTTCCGCAGATTCCATTCTCGACTCCAGCTTTAAACGATCGTGGCTCATCACTGAAATACAAAATCGGATTAAAAAAAAGATTAAAATTCAATGAATTTTAACCATGAAATATTCGACTACAAATTTTTTCAATCATAAAGTAACTTACTCAAATTCATCGAAAGTTTGCGATGAAAACTCGATCTTTGATGATCCAATAACTTTATTGTTAATCACCCATTCTCTCTTCTTGCACATGACTTTGTTCGAAGGTTGAATTTGGAAGACCCCATCGGCTGACAAAAAGCACGCATTTGGCTTGCAACTGACTTTGATTCCACTATTGGCTACTTCAGGGAAGCGGTCGAAGAATGCACCACAAGCTTTTGTCGTTGTTCCAGCAGCTGCAAAAATGATAAGAATGGGTCATTTAAGCGAAGACTTACGATGAGCTTTGACTGAATCTCCCTTGAAAACATATCTTCCACGCTGGCATTTGATGACATTCACACTTGGAGAAAAGAGCTTCTTGTTCTTCGCGTAGATTTTGCAGACTTTCGCGTTGCACTAGAAACTCCTCGTTACTTTATTTTTCTTGATGAAAGAATTACCTTGACGTCTAAATTTTCTAGATCTACATCAAAATGACTCGTGAGAGCGCCACACGCGGAGAATAGCTTGTTTCCAGGACCTGGATCTGGTGCGCAATCAATGAGGGTCGTGATTTTTGCCTCTGTGTACTTTTTGGTGAGAGTATTGCATGTCAGTGTTTTCAGACTTGGAGTCCAGTCGGGATCTTAAAACTTAGATTGGCAAGAAAATTAATCTTGATTTTTACTTTTGCAATGAACAGTGCATTTGTCCCAAGCACAGTCGATCAGCGCATTTTTGGTATTGATATCGAACACATTTTCTGGAAGCAAACAAATCGGGCTTGGCGATTGGGCTTTCTCGATGATCGTTTCGTGAATCCAATCGATGTAGTTTGACAGTCTGGCGTATACTCCTGGCTTCTCAAATCTGGCACATCCTTCTCCCCACGAAACAACACCTCTCAAAACCGGGTTCTTTCTTCCAGGAATGTTTTCTGAATCTTCAAGGCAAACAAGAGGTCCTCCGGAGTCTCCCTGGCAGGCGTCACGGGTTCCATCGGTGTGGCCGAAACAGCTCATTTCATCGCGACGGTAATAGTTGATGATTCTGCCGTTTTCGTCGACTTGCGTGTAGGCTTTGTCACAAGTCGAATTTGATAAGATGTTGGCATCAGTATCTATTTGCGCGTTTCAGAAAAAAAGTGGAACTATAAAAATGGAATTGAAAAATGGTGAAAGAAAACGCAGTTCCTTGAAGAATCGATGGGAGAGATGAACCTACTCCTTCTTGTCTGTAACCCCATCCAGCGACAAAGCACTCGACATCCTTCGTATCTTTTTCGGATAATGACGCGCCCATTCTCGGCAAGCACGCTAGAAATTCTTAAAAATTAGCTTTCAGATCGATTTCTTACAGGGCTCGACAGTTTCTGTGTACTTAATTTTGCTCCCGAGCCTGATGAGGCAGATATCGTTGAGGACAGTTTCTGATCGATCATACAGCGGATGCTGAATCAAATCGACGATTTCGGCACATTGTTCATTCGGCGCTGGAACTCCTCGCTCGTCCCTTCCGAAGCACAGTTGCTTTCCTTTGAAGTACCAGGCTGGAATTGTGCAGCAATGAGCAGCAGTGAGGGCCCAATCATTCGCGATCAGGGTAGATCCACAGCCGTAGAAATAACCGATCCATTTCCAAGCGTTTTTCTGTGCGTTCTCTCCTCCGATGATTCTGTCCTTTTGAACTGTTGTGGTGAAATGGGTGAAAGAGCGCTCCATATCGTTGGACTCAAGCTGGTGTCGAAATTTGAGCGAGTCAAGGTTGAACTTGTTTTTGCCATCGATGTCGATTCCTTGTTGATCGCACCAGTGCCCTTTTTGTTGATTTTATTTGACATGATCCTTTTCGCAAGTTTGGGGAAAAAGATGCGAGAGGGGTTAGCAAAGTGGTTCAGAAGATAAGAATCTTTTGCCGAGCATAACTGTTTAAAACCGTCCCTGGGTCAAGATATCCTTTGTCACGGACATCAGATGCGCCATCTGGAGTTTCAGTCTCATACAATGATACATACAGCTTCGTAATAGTCTACATTTGATACCTTGGATAACGAAAATTTCCATCGATCTTCAGATTGGTCAATTATATCAAGTTCTTAGCAATAATAAAATTCGCGAAATATAAAAACATGTATCACGTGATTCCTCAGATTCAATGTCCCAAGCCACCTTTTCTGCAAAATCATCTTCAAAGCCTCCCATCAGTCTTTGACCATTGGAGGCGCTGGCGAGCAATATCCCCTAAAATTTTTTCTTCGTATTTTTCTCTAGAATTCCACACTCTTACCAGTTTCATGAGGTCGATTCAGATTTTTATAGAAAAAAATTATTTGCAAGACAAAAGAATAATCCAGTTTCGGACGGAAATAAAACGATAAGAAAATAAATGGAACGAATCTCGATTTATTATCTTGTCGAAATGCATGTTCCACCATATGCGGCGCCATTTTTTGCTGAGTCTGAATTCCGAGGAAAAATGTTGACAGTTCATTATCTCATTCAAGACGCTAGAAACAGAGGTGGATTTGCCGAAATCCATGAACTTTAATTCTTTCTTCCCATAATGCTAAGATTTTAGTGATCATAATTTGCATTTTTGACGGCATTTTACTTGTCGCTAATAGAAGCTTCTTGTCAAGAGGAAAAGATTTTCGTTTTGAATGAATGTCATGCTGAATTTTTAACGAGATTATCGACAAAATCTTCGCGTCCTGCCGTTTTTCAACATGAACCTCGGTTTATCTTTTGAGCACCAAATTGAATTCCTTTGCAAAATTTGATTTGATTTTTTTGGACTCTGGAGCAGATCAAATATTAAAAGAGAGTCCGCAGCCGGTTGAAGTGCTAATTATCCCGGTGATGGGGAACTGCTTCGTTGGAGAGATGAGAAATGAAGAAAAGAGTGATAGTGGCGCTTTGTTTGATGGAAATGTAGAGAAATTGAATGTGGCGATTTTGAAGGCAAGGATTAAAGAAATCGCGGGAAAGTTGCCGGTAATAATTTGATGCTCAAATCAAGAAAGAAAAATCTTTTGGTGAATTTTAGAGTGAGTACCAAAGAAGCTTCAAGAAAGAGAATTACAGTGAGATGCTGACTTGCATTGAATCCGTAAGTGACGATAAGTTATCGTCGATAGTTGATTTAATTTTTAATTTGAGAGAGGGCTTGAATTTTTAAAAATTTTGCTTCAATTGTAGATAAATTTTTTACAGTACATCAACGATTTGAAAACCAGCTGCGCTCCTCCGCCGGTTCTTCGATCCCCTCCCTCCGTTGTTCCCGCCTTGCCTCTCCAGCCCACTCACTTTACGCCTCTAGAAGAGCATCGATTACAAGCAAGTCTTCAAAAGGGTCAAGCGTCAACCTCGATATTCCTGCCTACACACTCAAAGATCATTTATCGCCAGCTTCGCGAAGACGGCAAGAATTCAATGGACTCAAGTTTTGAACAAAATAGATAAACAAATAAACATTATCATGAACATATTGCTTGAAGTTGTGGTTGCAAACAAGATTCGAATCAGACAGGGCTTATAAGACATTCGTCTCTTTTATTACAGTAGAGAAAGAATCGCTAGAAATTTTCGTTTACAAAATCTTAGTATTTATAATAAATTGAAAGAAAATCTGCTTACTGGGGAAAATAAACAGGGCGGTTACAAAGTTCCTCCGCGGTCAAAATGCACTAGTAGCCAAAATTTAGCTACCACATTCTGGTAGACGAAATTGTCTGATGACCGGATTACCATGCGTAGCATGAGTGGTGGCCTTAGGGCCTCAATTCCAGCTTTCGAAAATTTAATCTTCGTAGCACAGGTTAGTCGATCTTTTGTCGATTCAAGAGAAGAACAAAAAGTAACTCAAAAGAGAAAGATGCTGTACAATATCGAGGTAATTGCAGAATATATATTTTCGAAAATAACTCGAAACACTCGTTTTGAACTCAAAATCAAGCCTTGACCTTCCACCAGAAATGACCTTTATTGACCGTGGGCGTGTCCATCCTATACTCCTATTTTTGGAACACTCATCTAAATTGGCTGATAGAAAAATGCGAAAAAATCTCGAAAATCTTTTTCAGAAAATTCTCTCTCACCATTCTGGACATGTAATTTTCGAGCGCGTCCTCCCCTTCCTCTCGGATTTCGAATTGTTGGAGCTAGAAAAAGAGCTTGGAGAAAGAGAAGATCTTCTGGAAGGACTCAATGCGGCGTTACCCTCGATAGTTTGGCGGCTCAGAGCGAAAAGAGACCCAAAAGGTATGAAGAAAGGCGCGAAGAAGGGGGCTAATTGCGTATTTTAGAGCTGAGGGTCACAAATGATTTCAAGAACTACTGCGCCGCAGTGCGAGAAAACTTGGAACAACGGGCCCTGACTTGGAATGACATTGATTTCAATTGAAGATTTAACAAGTTCGTCTTTCTTTCGCAAGATATAAACCCTTCAGCCCACTAAATGACACAAATAAACAAATTTACAAGCTCTCTTTGTTTATTTTTAACTTCAGTATTTAAGTTATTATTTAGATAGTAGTTTGAACTTTGAAAAGTCAGGATTTGCTACTGTAACAGTTGAAAATATTGCTAAATTTTAATTTAACCTAAAAGGGGAAAGGAAAAGCACCTAGTTTTTCTAAGACAAATCAAGTAAGAGATTATTCTAGAGGATTTTCCTTGAGCCAGTCGTCTTGGGAAGGGTATCTTGCCGCAACTTGTGCCCAGGACTGCCGCTGGCTGGCCATCTCATTGATCAAATTCGCTGTGTCTTGAACTGGCACTCGAATTTGATCGAGCGTGTCTCGATCTCGAAGGGTCACCGTAGCTGGCGTAATTTTCACGGTGTGGAAATCGACGGTGACGCTGAAAAAAATTTGTTACTTTATTTTCCATGCTTTTATCATGCGCTTTTCACGAGTAAGTAGCTTTTGCTTCTCTTGCAAAATACACTTTTGTCTGCAAAAAGCATGATTCGAACATGGAACATTCTAGTCCAGGAGTTTTCTGAAAAGTCAGCGAAGTAACGGAACTTACCCGAATGGAACTGCGATTTCATCTGTTCTAGCGTATCGTTTTCCAATTGATCCAGATGATTTGTCGACTTTGTGGGCTACTGACAGGCTCTAAAATGAAGAAAATCAGGAAAAGCTTTTGTCTGATACATTAGGGAGAGGTACAAGTGGTCTGAAATGGGGAGAGGAGCTCTTTTGTAGCTGAAAGAGAATAATTGGACTAAAATGAAACTAAATCAAAACGTTATTTTTGGTCTTAGTTGACAAACAGGGATAAAATTGGGGTAGTTTAAACTAACCTTTAGACCGGAAGAAATAGTGTTGATGAACGGATCAAACTCGGGTTTATTCGAAAGCGGCAAGACGGAGCATTTGTAGGGCGCAACGAGCGGTGGAATCGTGAAAACCTCCTCTCCGCATCTTTTTCTCTGCAATCGTAGTTATGTTCCAAGCAGGCGTAGATTAATCTTCCGATTCCGAAACTGGGCTCAATCACGAACGGGGTAAACGACTCTGTGTGGAATTTCTTGACGCTCTTTTTCAACTGGATCATTTCTTTGCTGATTTCGAAGCCAGCGAGTGTGATTTTTTCGCTGTTTTCGAATTGTTTTTCTAAATCGGCGGCGTCGGCTGAAACAATCGCTTCTGTCACCGCGGGAGTGTCTTTTTTGAACTGCTTGGCGATGAACTTCTTTACCGGAATCGCTTCAAAGACTTCTTTTTCGATTGGTTGAGGAAGAGTGCGCTCTGCTTGCAAATTGACTTTGGAAGCTTCGGCGTGGCATTGGAGATCGAAGCAGGAGCGGTCGGCGCAACCGACGCACTCTACCCAGCCGTAGGAGGTTCGGCATTCGAGATCCCAGCAGTCTTTTGCGTAGTGGGCCATTTCATTGTCCATGTGCTGTCTGAAGCGCATTTTTATATGTTCGTTTTGCAACAGGCATACCTGAATCCAGGGTCATGAAAAATTGGTGGAAGCGTGGTGGATTAACGCTTCTCGCGCCTCGCGCTCCACTGCGCCATGGTGGAAGGCAAGCAAAATCCACCGGGCCTGGTGGGAGAATGTCACTTTCAACTCGGGTAGTTCATTCCTGCGCTTAGCAGGAACCCACCGTTAGATCACCACACTTAAACTTTTCTTTCGCGTTTCGAAAAAGATTCAAATTTCCTTTGCTGGTGGAATGTTCTTCAATCAACGACTCTCTGGTGTGATAAAACATCCAACGCAATCGAGCGCGCAAATCAAAAATTTAAAACTGCTCTTGAGGAGAGTCGAAAAACACGCGCAATTGACCGAATTTTTGTCCTTCGGGACGAATTCTGGTATCAGCAATTTGATTTTCAAAATAATTTTAAATCGAAAGCAAGAAAAGTTTCCAAAGCATCCTTGCAACGCCATGAAGATACAATGCTTATTATTAGTCAGTTTCGTTTTAGAGGGTCAAAAGATGTTTCTTTTGATCGAATTATTCAAATTTTACTTTCGACCAATCTCAAATCTTAATCATTTACCTCTGTTTCCGTGACATTTGTGACATTCGTGACATTCCGTGACTGTTGTCTTCTTCTTTTTCTCCAAGTTCCAATTTAATCTTATCCTGCAAGGTGCTTATTCATGAATTTATTGAATTAACAGGATTATAATAAACTATTAATCACTAAAAAATTGTTCAAAAAATCTCCCATTTACCGCAGTTTTTGTCAAAATTGAACTGGGAGAAAATAATCTCCTATTTCACAAAAGTTCGAACTGGGAGATAAATCTCCTATTTCGCCAAAATACGAACTGGGAGATAAATCTCCTATTGACCGCATATCACCGTAGGGAATCTATCAAAAATAACACCGGGATTCCAAATATTGAAAAAGATTAGGCAGAAAATGTTCAATAATTAATGAAAACTCAAAATTTATTTTTCAAAGAGGCAAATCATATAGAGCACGTCTTGCATGTCATTAATTTTTCGATATGTTGTTTATCAGATACTTTTCTTACTGCCCCCAAAAATTTTCCTGGTTCTTCCTGTCGCACACAGTCGTCAGATAAGAGAGTGGAAGTGCTTTACGCGCCGCGCGGGAGCCCAAAAGCATTAGCGCGCGCCATAATCTCGGTGGGTGCTTACTGTGACCCTGTACTCAGAATCAGATGCAAATAACACCGGGTGATTAACACGAAAAGGTTCCCGGAAGTAGTAGGTTCATGTTGAGTTATTTCGAGAAGAGAATTAGCAGGTGCCCTTGAACACTTGGGTGAAAAATCACTTCACTTTATGTGAATTCTTAAGCCTGCCTTCCATAAAATCATGCTATCAAAAAGATTTTGGTATCGTTGGAATCGGCTGGAAAAATTATTTTATGAATAAAATTTTATTTTAATTAGGAAACTTCGCTGTTCCCGAAAAAACTCTAAGTATACGGTTTACTTCATACAGAGTGAGTACTCATGCAATTTCCGATATAATACCTAAGAATAATCCTTTGAGAATAATATAAATCATTCTTAGTCCCCGAAAAAGTATCCTCGGGACGATAAATTTATAAAAAAAAATAAAAATTTTCAAAATCCACCGGCCTTGGTAGATCCACCGGTGGATGGTAGAAGATTTTCCACCGGCCCGCGGTGGAATTTACTTTCACTCCCCCGAGGCGCAGTGGAGCGCGAGGTGCGAGAAGCGCTAATCCACCACGCTTCCACCAATTTTTCATGACCCTGCCTGAATCGCATTCTAGCAGGATCAATGCCGATTGCCTTCGCAAACAAGAAAATTCTACCGATAAAATAAGCCAAAGTTTCGTTGCAAAGAACTCCATTCTTCAGCGCTTCGCCGATCGAACATTTGGTCAATTTTCCACCACCCATTTGCGCATCTTTCGTGAAGAAAGGAAGGATTAGTTCTTTGACGCTTTCGAGGCTGGAGTGAGAAGCATCTGCTGGGTCGTAGAAGTGCTCGATCTCGGCCATTTGGAATTCTCGGCAGCGGATCAGACCTGAAAGCAGCTAATTTATTCTGCGTATTCATTTTATTTACCTGCTCGAGGAGCGATTTCGTTTCTGAAAGAATGCCCAATCTGCGCTCCAGCAAAAGGCAACTTTCCGTTGTTGAAATCCAGTAAGCGTTTGAAATTCAAAAAGATGCCTTGCGCCGTTTCTGGGCGAAGAAAAGCTGGTTGCGCCCCGGTCGGGCCGATTTCGCTGCGAAACATCAAGTTGAATTCCATCGGTTCGGAAATGTCGCCGCCACTGGAAGGAGACTTTACTTTGTACTGGCTCAGTTTGGCGCCCAGTTCTTCTTTTGAAAAACCTTCGATGAGGGGAGAAGTGGCCCGCATGTCGGCTTTTAGTTCTTCCGAAGTTGTTTTGTCTGTCAAGGCTTTTTCGATCGCGGCTTCCAGGAGGTGGTCAGCTCTTTTCGAAGGATAGAAAGACTGAGATGGTGACTTAGGTAAAGCCGTTTAGCCGCTCAACTTTAGCGGCTTGATTCCTAGGCTAGGACTGCCACTACGCAGCTTTTATTAAAGCATTTCATGACCATAACTCACATTTACAGTTGTTTGTGATAATCAGAATTCATCCGTTCCTGAAGCAATCTCCATTCGTCAAATCTTTGACCATCAAATCTGCAAATCTCTGCGCATGTCCCGACGCTTCCAGCACTTTTGATGGAGTCATCATCGTGCACTCTACTTCTAACATGTCATCGTTCGTGATGAAATGTCTTCTCCAAAGATCGATCACGTTGTTTTTCAGCATGCATCCGACCGGTCCGTAGTCGAACAAGCCCGCCACGCCGCCGTAGATCTCGAACGCTTGGCCGAAGAAAAATCGCTTCTTCAAACATGCTTCGAATTGTACTCGATCGAAAGGAGCTTCTGCGGCGACCAGTTCATTTTCCTTGTCTTGCAGCGCCTTCTTTCGCTTCTTGAGTTCGGCGACGGCAGTTTTGATGTCGAGCTCAGGAGCTTTTTGCGCCTTCAGTTCTCGGACGATATCACCTTGTTCTTTTACCGAAAGGCGGAGAGGCTCGAGGATCGAGTCAATATCTTCCATTCTGAAACGAACCATCAAATCTTGAAATTTAAAAATGGAAACAGAAACAAAGTGAAGAGGGCAACCCGTGTAGAAAACCTGAGAGAGGGTTTAAAATGATTAGGTTTTGCAAAATCGCTTTATAGGACCTGACTCAGGTTTTCTACACAAGAGCATTTGTGTTAGTCGGATAAGAAATCTTGTAAGCCACACTTTTTACCCCTCATTTTCACAGAAAACGGTCGAGAAAGAGGTTGAAAGGTTGTTCATGTATCGAACAATATTGGAATATTGAGAAAACAGGCTTTGATCCTTGACTTTTAAAGATTCAAAGCGCGAAAATCACCAGAATCCGCTTTGGAAAGCCCCTTTCCGGGCAAAAATAACGGTAAATCGACAGTTTGAACCTTTCATAACGCGGAGAAAAGAGCAATATCGCATAAATTAACACTTTCTCCCACTAAATAAGTATTTTTCCCGAGAATATCGTCGAAATTCTTCAAAATAAGCCCTCTCGATTGTTTATCTCTTCGAATTTCTTCCGCTAAACTGGAAAAGCATAAAATTCGCGATTGATTCTCTACGCTTTCGTCCTCATATCGCCGGTAAATATGGGCAAAAATGAACTTGTCTAATTTTTTCATTATTTTTTATTGCGCCTGGCAGGGAGGAAAAAGCGCGTGGGAAAATCAGAAAACTCCTCTGCTACTGGAAGATCCGCGACGCTGCTGGAAGAACTGGGTATTTTCCGACCGATCGGGCTAAAATCGAGACTGCTTGAATCAAAATAATAATCAATGTTTGATTTCAGTTTCCATAATTCGTGAAACTTCTTCACACTAACCGCGTGATAGCAAAAAATTCTCTAGAGAGCGCCAATGTTTTCAGTATTTTCAAGAAAAAGTCTCTAGATAAATTGTTGTTGTCAGGGCTCAACAAATGAATCTCTCAGTCTACGGATTTTTCCGGTCCGAGAAGCAGTAAAAAAAGGTAAATTCAGGTGAATTATTGCAGAATGAAGTCTAATCCAAAAATTTCTAGCAAACGGGAATGTCAAGAATGGGCGAATGGTTCTTCTAGCGGGCGGTTCAGATGGTGTCCACTACTGAAGAGAGAGATAACTTCTGAAAAGTGAAACTGCCCGTGTTCAAAAAGTTAAGCCTTCGCCTCATTCATTGTCCTGAATAAAATCAATTTCTCTCACAAAATATGTCTTGTCTCATTTTCTTTGCAGGAAACCTTTCGATTTCGCATTTGCACTAGCTTTTTCGCAGGAAAATCAACGAAAATGTACAGAAATAAATATTTTTATTAACACAGAAAGTAAACTTTACAAATCTTATAATTTATCAACGATAAAATTTCGCGGCGATCGAGGCCGACTTTGATCCACCAATGCGTCGCCGTGCTCGTCTAGCTGGAGAGTCGTGAAGACATTTCCATTCTCGCGTTTTGGAATGATCAGCTTTTCTGAATCCATTGAGGGGCTGGTGGACAAAAGATTGGAGCTTTCTTGCTTTGAGAATGGAAGATCGCGAAGAGGTAGTTTTGGAGTGCCAGAAGCACTGGGCATTGGACTCGGGCGATTGGAGAATCTGGTGTTTTGTTCAAGCTTTGAAAGGCGCAGAATTTCAAGGATTTTCTAATAATGGGGATTGATAAACGAGGATTTAGATTGTCAGTTAGAGTTCTAGAGTCAAGAATCGAGAGTGAGTATGAACAGTGCCTGGTGATCATTGTTGGAGATGTTTGATACTAAAAAATGAAGATGAAAGATCTAAATTTGCGAAAATGCGAATTCTAGTTTTACCTCTGGATCGAAGCTTTTTAGTAAAAAAGTCTGAATTTCGAAGTTCTAGAGAATCGCTCTAGAAAGGATAACTTACGTTACTCATGGTCGCCCTGGCTTCTATTTTGCCACTGAAATCGAACAAATTTCGCGCGTACTAAAAATCACTCAGTCCATTTAGATACGATGTTTTTTTTTACCTCTCTGACGTCGGAAAGCATTGAGCAGAAAACGAGAGAGTACAGTAATGGGACCAGGTAAAGACAGGACTGGACCCAGACTAAAATTAATAATAGAAAGGACGTTAGTTTAGGGAAAAGCTACTTAGAAGAGCTTTGCTGGAAGAAATTGTAGATGGATCGCCCCAACCAGTTAATAGCGCGTGCCCATAATATGGTCCGTAACAGAAGCTGAAGATAGTGACAGTAAAGAACGAAATCTAACATCGCATACCAGAAAGCAAAGATGAGAACAACAGCTAATCTCTCTAGCTTTCTTTTCGCTTTCGCCACTGATGTAACTGATTTTCTCGACTGTCCAATCATACCTGTAAAAAAGTTTAACTCATGACCGAATGGTGGTCATGTTTGTTTCCTACTAACTTCAACGGGTTAGAAAATGGAATTCTCAAATTCGAAAAATATTTTTTCGTTTGAGAAACAGGATGAGAAATAATCAAGATTCAATGGCGAGGTTAGTTGATGAAAAAGGGACTCATGAGATAGACGGGTTAATTTTTAACCCCTCAGTTTGTGGTATGAACAGATCTAGAGCCTGAACTAACTGAGATTGCTAGCACGAGGTCTGAAGAACATTCTGAGCCTGGCGCGTTTGAGCGCATTGAGAGACCTTTGCCGCATTCCGATTCCGAGAGCTTGGGTGAGAGAGGGTTAAAAATGAGCTGGAAGAATACTTACGAGTTGGAATGGATGTTCTTGCTTCAAAAAATGTTAAACACATTTGAATTTTATCATCAAAAGACTGTTCATTATTTCGCTGACACATTTTGTGCCCTTTCGCGCCGACAGGTTAAATTTTCAACAAGTACCTTTTTCCGTGCGAATCATTTTCGCCACTTCGTATATCAACAATCCCGAGCAAATGGTATTAACAACGGCTGATCGACAGACTCGTCAAAAGTAATTTAGCGAAAGTGATGGTATCAGAGCGAGTACGCGCCTGGAATGATGAATTGAAGTGTCATCAGAGCTGAATAATATCGATTGCGCTGCTCGATCGTGTAATTGCCCATGAAGTCGACGCATTGACGGTATCGCTCGATGTTGCACACTTTTCCGTCGTGGAGTTTATACAAAGCTGAAGTTAATCTTAGCCTCTCAAGTCTATTTTGACTCACCAAAAGCAGGAGCACAGGTCAGGAAATTCGCGATCAGCGACGGAATGATTATCAAAGCTGCTCTTTTCGTACTTCTACTGAACCAATAAATTCTTTTTCAAGTTTTCTTGGTCCTTACTTTGATCCAGCAAGAAGCGGAAAAAGCAGGGTAAGACATCTGTCCAGCGAAATGCAAGTCACTGCAGTGGAGCTCCAGGTCAGCGAAAACTGCTTGAAAAATTGGCAGATTTTACAGGCGATGTTTCCTGCATACCACTGGACTGTGAGGTTCCAAACTGCATCGAGGTTGTTTACAAAAAGAGCGAAGAAGATATTTGAGAGGCAGAGGTTGATGATGAACGCGTAGCTTTGAGAAGAGTTAAGGTTGCAGCTAAAGGTGCAGGTGGGCTAGGAGACGCCCACTCTACTAGGGTGGTCCTTCGAGAGAATCGTAACTCTCTGCCTTGGAGATTTGCGAAAATTTTTCCAAAGCGCGCAGATTGTCAGGATATTCATCGGAAGCGACAGGACAACGAACAAAAAGGCTATCGATGCTTTCGCGATATAAACTGGATTTGGCTTCGTCGGCGGGTCCTCGCATGTGCTCGCTAAAAATAATTAACTAGAAAGCTTTTTTAGGGATGAAGTCACGATTTTGAGAAAGGGAAGAATTTATCGCTCTTGAAAACCATAATTCTGAGATTTGTTCTTGCTTTATAGATTTTTTTTCCATCGTAAGAATCAATTCAACTTTACCCACATATTTACAAAAGTAATTTTTGAGGATATCGAGGAACGATACAGGTACTTTTTTGTACTGTATCGACGATATCAATTTTAAATATGAAAATCCTTGAATTGAATAAAACGTTATGTCAAGAACAAAACTGAGCTCGTCATTTCATTTTCTCTTTTTTTAAATTTTTTTTTTTGAAAAAAAAGTCTAATTTTTCATTATTTTTTCCATTTTTTTTTCAGTGCTCGTTAAAAAAACGACAACCAGGAGCCCAAAACAAAGGCTCAGAAAAGTACTTCCGATTACGTCATTATCTGAATAATAAAAAAACTCCGAAAACCGAAACTTACAAAAGTAGCTTTTGGCGATGTAATTTTTCAAGAGCCAGCGGAGTTCGTTTAGTTTTCCGTACAGTATATGTCGGAGAACCTGGCGGCTTGGCTCGAAGGCCGATTTAAAAAACTTTTCCATAAAAAAATTTCTTGTGTTATTTGACATGATAAGGGGCAAGAGCCCTTGTTCTGAGATCATCTTGGAAGTTCTGAAAAAGGGGGAGAAGTTGTTGGGCTTTTATCCTTGCTTTTGCAATTAAGAGCATTATTGATGAAGTCGTGTGGTTCATATGAATGTGTCCGGGAGTGACAGAATCATATGAGTTCAGTCAGAAAACTCATGAAAAATAACGAACTCAAGGGGAGATTATTGCTTGCACTTACTGTGTATATTCTGCATGCTAACAGTAACATTGTCCATTACTGTAAGGTCTCTCTCTCTAGTCTCTTTTTTTTATTGTGATCCTCTTTTTTTTTTGTTGTCAACTGGTCTCTCTTGTCAAATCTTCCAATACAGAATCTCCCTTTTTCTTTCTCAGTGTCGATATGAATAATTCGTGTCTGTTTCCAGGCGTAAAAGAATTGATCCGTACTTTTTGGAATTGAGAAAAATCGAAGTGGAAGACTGACCAGGGCACTTTCTGAGCCAGTTTAGTTCTTTATTGCCGAACGGCGAATTCATTTCTCAGATTAAACTGATCACCCCGCATCCGCCTTTTGTCAAAGTGAACAACAATGAACGACTCTTTCTGAAGTCTGAGTATTGTCTTACTATAGAACACGCGTTCTAGAGCGCATTTATACCTCGGCATTATGTATCCAGCTAAATTGTTTTATTGGAAATGAACTACTGCGCATAATTACCATAAAAACATATAAAAAAGATCCTTCTGCGCGAAGAATAAAACCTTTTATGTAATAACCTTTTTAAACAATGTTATTTTTATGTAATTCTGACATCTCGTATAAAAGAGTTTTAAAAGGTCCTGGGACTATTTTACCTAAGACAGATATCTTTCTCAAGGCTGGAATTTCTGAAATCTCGTAAAATTGATAAACAGAAAATTTCATAAAAAATCTTAAAACGAGAAAATTATGAGCCGGCAGTGGTTTTAAGTACGCGCAAAATACGTCAATCCACAGATTAATAATATATATTTACGCACAAAGAGCGTAATTTTAGATCAATTTAACATTATTTTCATTATGATATGAATACAATAAGTAGCTGATTGATAAATTGATAGATTGAGATTTTCATTATTTGTCGCACTTTTTCTTGCTTTCCCTTTTTTTCTCCTTTTTAATATTCTCCTTCTTCTTCTTCTCTCTTTTTGACAGAAGATCCCGGCAGTAATTATTAAAAAAATACGTCTGCTCGTTGCATTGTTTGGTAAGACTTTTGTAACACGCAAATCAATAGTAAGCAGCAGTTGCGGTTTACGAGGAACGATCATCTCGACGACTGTCGCCTTTTTCAATTGTTTTAAAAAGAAGGAAGCATTCGATTAAAAACAAGTTGCCATTTAATAATCTTTCTCCTCAAGTTCATGTAAGATGATAAATGGGCGGGAAACTGGGAGGGTTAATTAGGGCTCTAGCACTTTATTTTTCTTTTGAAAGTCAAGTGGGCTTGGCAACCTGTGTAGAAAACCTGAGTCAGGGTTTGGGTTTGGGTTTGGGTTTGGGTTAGAATGAACCTCAATGAACCCAATTGAGAGCATTTCAGTTCGGCCATAAATTTTTTTTCATTTCAACTTTAACAAGGTGCAAAAAGACCTGTCCAGAGTCCCCAACGGAAGGAGAAATCGCTTATCTGGCGAAAACAACTTGCGCTGGATCATTAAAAATGATTGACGTTCCTCATTTCAGCGCAGATCTGACTTGGAAACTTTCGACAATGCAAAAAAGCTTGAACAGAGGCTCATTAGAGAAACTGATAACTGCTTGACCAGATTATCTTTTTTGCATCTGTTGCTGATTAAAGACTTGACGAACGGAGATGCCAACCAAGAAAAAGGTTTGAGTCAAACTTCATTGAAAAAATAAAGCGAATAATTGATTTGTATATAAATGGTATCAAAGGTTAAGAACAGAGAAAGATCTGCTTCGGGAATGGATTTCAATTGGTCTCATTATAATTTTGACACCCTTATTTTTTAGGCGGAAATATGTATCATATTCTTGTTCGGAAATTTTAGTCAGTAAATTATTGACAATAATCGACGTTTTCGACAAAAGTTTATGCTTTTTTGATCAAAAAAATTGTTCAATCCATAAAAAGTGTATGAAGTTGTTCAACAACTAGTCGAAAACCGCCGAAAACGAGAGGGTCTACCGTCAATATCATTGAAAAGAGGTATATCTTTGGCATTTATTTTGAAACTCACCTGTCCAGAATTTTTTATAGTCCATTTTTCCTCTTTTTACTTTTCGAATAAGAATGCATTTTTGCTAACCGATTCCATTGCTCTTATTACGATCAATACTTGCAAGACTCAAATGAATGCTAAAGATTTTACTTCAATAACTGACGATGAAGCAAACTTGTCAATTCAGAGCCGCGTTTAAAAACATGGGGCATTTTAGTGTAGTTTAGTGCTGAGCTACCCCCTTAGGTAGCCCATTTAACACGATTACCTTGAAAATATTTAAAATACCAGCTTTCATGCAAAAACATCGCAATTTTTCTTTCGCCAAAGCCAAAACTAAGTTGTGGTTATATCTTTTTTTTCTTCACTTTGAGAAATTCTTTTTCTCGACTGATCTATTGGAGTTTGAATCAAATAAGCATAAATTAATGAGGCTGTTAGCATGACAATTTGATGCGAAAAACTGCCACTCTTAACTTGCCCTTCTCGGTCAAAAATAAGCTGATAATTGCGAGGATATAAAAAAATCAAAAAATTGCAAAAACAAAAGAGGAAAAAATAGAGTTATGTTAATGAGATCACCTCTGTGCCTCTTCCCAGGTGATAATATCTTCCCACTATCGAATTTTTAATAGTGCTCGAGTCAACTCACTCTTTTCCAAATCATCATTTTTAAACAGCGAAAATGTCGCTTTTCGCTGTTTCAGAGAATTTGAGAAGAGTGAGTTCTGCACCAAATGATCAGGACTGGGCCATTTTTTAGAATTTTATAATTGAAGTTTATAGAATGTTGTAACAATAAAATTCAAGAAGATTTTAAGACAAAGAACAATATCAATAATTCGTCAATTCTAACAAATCTTTAATTTTCTTCAAGTTTTGAAAATGTATCACTTTATGGTTCCCAAAAATGATAAAAATTCTTGTTAATCTTTAATTATTTTAATAAATTATGCCGGTTTCGGTTTATGTAAGTTTTCGATTATGATAATTATCGTAAACTTGCAAAAAAAATCTAGATTCGAGCATCGACAGCAGCCCAAAACAGAGTTCCGGAAGTGCCAACGCCCCGAGCCACAAAAAAGGCCAAGAGCAGCCAGCTCGATTTGCACTCGTCGAGGTCGAGGTCAAGGATATCAATACTGAGAAAACGCTATGCGTCCTCAACCGCGTCCCAACAACAACGACCACCAGGTAGAATCAGCTACTGAAATCAAGGAAGAAAATTATGTTTTTCTAGAGAGCTGAAGAAGCTTTTTGAACGGGAATTCCCGACCATTTATGTTGAGAGGCAGTCTTTTCATCTCGACAAAAAATCAAAAGGTAACCCCTTTCCCAGTTTTTCTTAAAAACCATCTTTCTGTAGCGCTTCCGAATAAGGACTGCCTATCATCCCATGGACTTACAAACGAGTGCGTATTGTACTTCAAAGACCTGGGCCCGCAGAGCAACTGGAAGACTGTCTTTCTTTGCGAATTCAGGAAAGAAGTCAGAGAATTTGCCCTTCACATTTTTAAGCACTATTTTGACTCGAAAAAGCTGCATGATCCTTGTCTATTCCATCTTCTTCCTTCTCCGATACATCCGAGGAGACAGTTACAACAGTGAGAATGATGATGATGATCAAGACGAAACAGAAGGAGATGAAGGGGAAAATGAAGAGATCTTTGTCAAATCAGCAGATGATTTCGCATGTTTGGCGGCAATGATTGCTCACACTTTTCATTATTTAAGGGTATTAAAAATAAGAAATGAGGATATTTAAAAACTATTTATTTTCAGAGAATTCTTGAAGTTTGCTTTTTGCACAAATTCAGCGGGAGCACTTTTGCTGTTCGAAATATCCCAAAAGTAAGCCCGATTATTTCTCTGTACAAGTAGCGACTTATTTCAGATCTGCATTTTCAACGGGATCATGACCGCCTGGATGGCTTACATCATCAACCACCCGCAGTACCATCCTCCTAGAAATCTCCAAGTCCTCTTTGCCTCTGTTATTTTTCTCCTGGCTGAGTTGGGGTCTTTATCGATTCACTATCAGCTCAAAAGTAACTTCAAAAACAGAACGATTCAGAACCCAAGCTGGAATCCTTTCACTTGGCTCTACTCCAGGTAAATTTTTCTTTTCTTCATTTTTTTAAATTATTTTTCAGAGTTTCCTGCCCAAACTACACATACGAGCTCCTGACATGGATCAGCTTCATCATCATGACAAATTGCGGCGTAGTGCTTATTCTGACTGTACTGAAATTTTTTCAACTGTCCATTTGGGCGCAAAAGAAGCATGCAAACTTGCTCAATCAGTTTCCAAACTATCCCAATTCTCGTGCTGCCCTCATTCCCTATGTTTTTTAATAAATAAATTTGATTCTACAATTTTTGCAAAAAGAAAAATTGATCGAACGGCGCGCCAGTCGTTTTCACCAAAAAATCGATCCATCAAAAAAGGGATGAATCAACCGAAAACACAAAAAAATCAAATCCTCTCCGCCCGTTTTTTTTCAAAATGCTCCGAATTTCAAGACAAGTCTGAGCTCATCCCGGGCGGCGAGAAAAGAGTGACCGTGAGAGGTGGCGCGTGAGAGAGAAAAAGAGAGAAATTTGTGGGCGTCCAACTGATCCTCCTCAATTGTCTTTCGCCTTTCATTTTCTCAAAACAAACCTTTAACGCGCTCGGTGAAAAAAGAAAGTGCGTGATTTTTTAATGACGAAGATTCAAGAGATTTTTCAAGTGGAAAACGCTTCAACGAAGAGCGAAAAGAAGAGTTGAAACTTTCAACTTAAAGTTGAGATTCGCCGTTGAGAGAAAATAAATAGAAAAAAAAAGAATCAAAGTAAGTCTTATTTTTTGCTTGTTCTTTTTTTCTAAAAAATGATTAGAAAGAAGCAAAACAAAATTCAGTTTTTTGGTACTCTATCGATAAAAATATCAGCTGTTTGTCGGGAAATCTGACCCCGTTACGCTTCGATAACAGTAATTTGCCGGTTTTACAATGTCAGCGGTCCGGGATTTGGGGCTTTCAAGGCACTTTGATTGTACATCCGACCCTGCTTTAATCTGACATGAAAATCTGACAAGATGACGGCACTCATTTCAAGCCTCGCGAAATTTTCGAATTACAAGTGTCTCTTTTTTTTCTTATAATAAAGAACACTGACAACGATGGTTTTTGCTTCGGTCTTTGATTATCGGCTTGTCCAACGAAACATGTCGAATAATGTTTCGATAAAAAAGCCGATAGAATAATGAGAATGATAATTATATTTGAAGAGCTCTATTGAAATTGTTACGTTTCACTAATAAAATGACCTTTTTAAGACGAAACAATAAAGCGATGTCAGACGAAATTCCACTGCTTCCAAATCAAAGAGAAACACCAGAACAGCGAAAAATCAGCAATAATGCCCATACTCGCGGAAAAATTGTCCTCGTTTTCATCATTATCATCCTCTTCGGTGCACTGTATCTCCCGTACAGTAATTTCACGATAATTGTGCCGAGTTATATTCAAGTGTTTATTCCGCCGACATCACCGAAAATGAGAGCAGATGAGCGCTACTATCCTCCACCAGGAGTGAATTTCGACCCGGATGAAATTGACAGTTCCAAAAGCAAAGAGAAAATTTCCGTTTTTCCAAAGCCAGCCGAAAATTTAGACCCTAAAAATATCGAAAACTCAGCTCCGAAAACCCCAAATCCAAAAGAAACCATATCATTACCTGAAAAACCCCTTAAAGCCACCAAAAAACCCGAAGAAAACCAGCCTGAACAGCAAAAATGGACGATAGTTATTTCTTACATTAGTGAAGAAATGAAGCTCTTGAATCAAGAATTCTTGAGTTTAACGAATTTCCAATCCTGCCCAGTCAAGTTTGAGTTCATTTTTGTGAAGAAAGAAGAAGGCAACGATTCGCTGATGATTGAGGAAATCTTGCCCAAAGTGGAGTCTGAAACAGTAGTCTTCAAAACTGAAGCAGATATTCTTCTCTTGCCGGAATTGGTTGCGAAGAAGCCAGATCCAAAGGAGGGTATTGTGTGCATCAAGGATGATTATAGGATCAAGCAGAAGAAGGCTGATCAGGAAAGGGATTGATTTTTCTTAATAAATATTAAAAATCGCATCCGCGAAATCTATCCCTCTAAGAACCCAAATGACTTCGTCAAGTTCACCTTCCGCGGCGAAAATCTCGGTCCATGCCGCTCAACTTCTCGCCAGGGGCCTTTTCTCCTTTCAAAATCTCGTTTTTTGAACAACACTATTACGGGCACTCTGCTTTCTCCAGCCATCACTCGCTCAAAACCAGTCGATTTCATTTCCGCCGAAAGAATTTTGCCGCAGAGTTATAAAATAATGAAACCACCGCCGAATTTTTACAAATTGGAAGAGAAGGATTACAACGTACCTCCAGCAATTCTAGCGCATCCGAGAAAAACTTGCGAAATGAACGAGCTGCCGATCTTCATCAAAAGCGCGATCAACAACAAAAAACTTCGATCCTTCAATCGCCAGATCCGCAACGAGTACCAGAAACTGATTCCCGATTGGAAACTCAAGCTCTACTTTGTTTTCGGGAAAAAGGACGCTGGAATGGATCTTCTCTACAAGGAGCTCGAGGAGTTTGACGACTTGATCATTGCTGATTTCAACGATATTTACAATAATCTGCCGCTCAAGGTAAAAAAAAATAATTTTTTTAGTCGCTCATGTATTTTAAGACTTTTGCTGCTCATAACTTCCTGAACTCCGATTATTTCGACAGCTGTAATGTTCAATGGACAATCTTCCACGATGATGATTCTGCAGTCGTTTATGACAAGGTGCCTTTTCAACCCCCTTTTTCCATCATTTACACTTTTTAGTTGATCAACAATGTCTTCAAAAGAGAATCGCCGGACACTGCCAAATTCCGCTGTATTTTTTCCAACATCAACCCTGGTCCCCCTATCCGTACGGGCAAATATGGCGTCAATGCTCACAACTTCCCAATGGGCTACATTTTTCCTGCTTTTTGCAATGGACCCGCTGCTTCTTTCACGAAAAAAGCTTCAGAGGACATTTTTGAAATTGCGAGGACTCATAGAAACGGTCGAAATAGCTTGTTAAAATTGTACCTTTGTTTTATTTTTGACCAATTAAAAGCCTCTCTGGGTTCATCCTCGAGGATGTGATGTTCACTGGAATCTTCCGTGAAATCGCTCATGACAAGGACATCAAAATGATCACTGGAATGGCCCAACACTTTGCTAGCAGCAAGGAAACTAATTTAAATAAGCAGTTGCAAATGGTCAGACACACTGTTTCTTCAAGAGGATAAACGATGGAACAACTAGAATTAATTTGTAAATATCCTGTTTTCTTCAATCTTTCTGTTTTTTTTTCTGTACTGGTGCTCAGAGCTGTAATAAAAAATGTAGATAACAAAAAACCCCTTTCGCGACTTTTCATAATTACTAATTAGCCATAATTAGCGGTCGAAAAATAAGGTAGCTTCTGATCCTGAGCTGTCGAAATATCTCCGGAAAACATTGATCTTCTAATGAAACCTTGGTCGTGACGCTCCTTGGATAATTTTTCGGCAGCATTCAATTAGGAATGAAAAATGCTGAGGATAGTGCAACGGTCTTCGACGTAAAAGATAGAGCTCATTCTTTATGGGATAATCAGTAAGAATTCTTTGCCAACTGCCGTTCTTTGAACATGAGTAACATTGACCTACGGCTTGTTGTCACCTTGTTTATTGATTGAAGCGTTGCGTATGCAGTATTTTATAGTGCTAAAACTCAAGATAGAAACTGCTTTGATGGGCATCCTGTCTTCTTTTTTGCTCTGAAGGCTTTTATCGAACTTTGAAGAGAGGATCAGAAGATGAGCGTTTATAGACAGAAAGATTACATTTTATTGAAGCTTCATGAGTGCCAAGAGAAATTTATTAAGCTGCAGGTATGTACAAATTTGACAAGAAAAGGGGCTCATCTGATCAAAAATAGGAGATATATGAATTTGATGATCAAAAATCGCCGGTAAATCTCACCCTTGAGCTTCTAGAAGAGGATTTTCCCGTGAAAGATGGCTCAAAAAAGTACCAGGAAATGATTTATTCGATAAAACAGTCTCTCTTTCAGTAATCCATTGATAAAATCATGAGAAAGCAAAGAGTCAGTTCTCTGAAAAACAGCTGCGATGCTCTACCAATGCATGTTGTCCTCGTCAATAAGAATTTTATGACGCAAATGAAAGAAACTGAAATTGAAATTGTTGGACATTGTCGACTTTTGTGTGTGGCTGGGAAGTCGAACATGACTTTCATCGATGATTTTGTCATCAGAGTAAGTTCGTAAGACGATTCTTGAGTTATTTCAAGTTCTAGAAACAATACAGAGCCCAAGGTTTTGGGCGATATTTGTTCAAATCTTTGGAAGAATTTCTCAAGCTTGAACTCGACCAGGACTCTTTTGGAATTGCTTCAAAAACTGAGGTACGTTTTCTTTTACCACGAAATAATGGAAACAACGAAGATTGATCGCTCATTTTTCCGCCACATGGGAATGAACAAGCTTGACGATGGCCAGAAAATACCTTACATTGACGTTCAAGAAGGACAATTGCTCAATAAACTGAACAAATTCTTCTCAGGGAGGATTCAAAAGACCATCTTTCCATCAAATAATGGCCATTTTTGATCAAAAATAAAGTCGCTAAGGATGCGATGGACCGAAAAAAGGATGAAAATCGGCTTTTTATGACCAAGGATCTCTTTCATTTCAATCTTTGCGGCACTGATGGATACAAAGCAAGACTAGAAGCGATCATGGAAGCGAATGAACGAATCCGATCAGAGGTTGAACGAAGAACCGCTGGCACAAATTTTAAGGTCGCAGAATATAAAGTTATCGTAATATCATTTCTTGAAGAAAACAACTGCGGATACGAAGACTCATGCAGGAGTTAGCGCTATCGCTAGTCGGTTCGCTGGGGCAAGAAGGGCGTCTGCGGCGGTCGTTAGTAGTGTTGGAGGCCTTGGAAGAAGAATGTCGAGAGCTTTGTTCAAAAGACAAAATACTGTCGGTTGATTTTTTAGAATAAAATTGAGCTTATTTTATAAGAAATGATTGTTGAAATTTTATTTTCTTGGTGTTGCTATTTTACTTTAACCACTGGCACAAAGGCCAAGTGGGCAAAGGACAGTCGAGAATGGACAGTGCCGAGGAATAATCAAATTAATCTTTCGTCTTTTCCATCTTCTCTGAATCCGAGCTGCAAGATTTCCTCGTCCGTCACAAGCATAAGCGTCAGCAAGAGCAAACAAGCAGGTTATGACATTTTCATGTCGTTGGCATGGAGTCATTCCATTAGTCCAAGAGCACTGCGCATCAACATCAGCTAGCAGTGAATCTCGATTTCTCAAATTACAAACTTCGCCCCTGCCGCCATTCGCAGCAACAATTTGTGATGCATACTGTTGTATTTTACTTACGTATCTATCGTCTTTTTTGTCTCCTGGTTGAAGTGGCAAGTTTTCAGCAAACCACTTTTAAAAATATTATTCGTAAAGTCAACTTTAAAAATACTTACATCAAAATGACCAAGCAGAATGTCCACTTTATCTTGCACAACACTCGCTCTTGATAGATTCAAGATCGAAGAGAGAAAAATAATTGAAAACTTCATTGTGAATTGAACTGAAGAAAAGAACAGACAATTGAGCTTTTAAAGGTTGAGAACGGATGTGGTCGCGGCTCGGCGGTCAAACAATTATGAAAACAACGGAATGACATTTAGATGATCACGTGATTTCTCATCTTTTTTTTTCTGAGAAACAATAATATATTTCCAGCAAAATATTATTCAATGATCGATTGTTGAATAGATTCCCTTCGATGAGCTTTCATCGACATTCTTCTTCCAAGAGTGTCTTTGCTCGTCAAAGCCAGAAGAGCTTCTCGTTCTAGTTCGGCCTCACTCATATTTGATACCGTCGAAGCTCTTCTAGAAGCTCCGCCAAATTTTTCTGCAACGACTTCGATTCCAGCATGGGTCGATGTTTTCGCAGAAGTTTTCTGAAAATAATTTTACTCTAACTGTTCATAAGCGAACCTTATAATTTGAGCCCACAGCCTTTTCCATAATCTCCAATTCCAGTTTTTCCTGAGCATCCTTGATCGCCAGAATTCTCTCCTTGTATCCATCAGTGCCGCAGAGATCGAAATGGATGAGATCTTTTGTCAGGAATTGCAGCTCACTGTCCCTTTTTCTGTTCATCGCTTCCCTCGCGACTTTTTATGGATCAAAATGAGTTTGAATAAACGGAGAACTAACTGCTTTTTCAATCATTCCTGAGAAAAAGTCGCTAAGCTTGGCCAATAATTCTCCTTCGTGGATATTGATGTACGCGAGTTTCTCGCCCTTTTCAAGTTTTTTCATTCCCATGTGGTGAAAAAATGACCTCGCATTCTGAAATTGAAATCAGTTCCAATCAAGAGAAGTGTGACTGAACCTCATCTTTAGTTGCAGTTCCACAAGCGTCCTGATCAATTTCAAGCTTGAGAAACTCTTCAAGCGATTTCCACAAATGTCGCCCGAATCCGTGGGCTCTGTATTGTTTCTAGAGATCCAGATGATCGATGAAAGATTTTCTTCGCTTACTCTGATGACGAATTCGTCGATAAAACACATGTTGACTTTCCCAGCAACGCATAATAGCCGAGCATGTCCTGCAATTTCCACCTCGGTCTCCTTCATTTGAGTCATGAAATGTTTGTTTACTAGGACAACATGCATCGATAATTGATCAGAGCTTCCTTCAAGAGAGCTGAGTCGTGCCTGTCATGTGATTTTCCGGGCAGATTGACTAGTTTTCATAAAAAAAGGAAAATAAAATCCATTCCTGGTGCTTTTTCGAGTCAATTGTCACTGGAAAGTCTTCTTGGAGAAAATTAAAAGTAAGATTTATTGGCGATTTCTCTTCCTCGAACTCGTAGAATTCCAATTTTATGAATAAGTTAACAGTTTCTTATCAATAGATCTACCTGGCGTCGAACAAATGTCTCTTGGAGCTCATGCAGCTTTATTAAAATATAATCTTTTGGTTTATAGACGTTCATTGCTTTCTCAAAGCTGAGTTATAAAGGACTGGTTTGAGTGGGGATATTTTCGAGAGTTATCTCAGTTGATTTAGGTGCTGTTACGGCATGATAAGAGTTTTCGTATAAATTATAGCGGTTAAGCCAAGCTCTGGTAGCGCCATGATATGGATCTCGTCTTCAAATGAAGACCCCAGAAATGAACTTAATTTGACGAGCCTGTAAGAATAAAAAGAATAAGATTTTTAAGGTTTTTTTAACGATTCGTGTTTTTTGACAGCAAAAGCAGGGAATAAAAATGGTCATTCATCGATGGATTCTTTCATGAGAGACTCTCTTCTGTGACTTTTGACTGACATTCTTCTTCCAAGAGTGTCTTTGCTGGTGAGAGCGAGAAGAGCTTCTCGTTCAAGCTCGGCATCGCTCAAATTTGAAACAGAAGAGGCTCGTCTTGAAGCGCCGCCAAATTTTTCAGCCATTTTTTCGATTCCAGCATGAGTTGATGTATCAGCACTCATTTTCTAATGATATTAATACTGAGGTTCATTTTGGTTAGTTTTTTGATGCCCTCAGCCAATAAGAGGCCTGTATCTGTTATCTCAGCAAATCAAAATGGGTAGTCCACAAAATTTCAAGGTAATAAAGAATCCTACCTCTTCCCCGGCTTTTTGTCAATTAGAGAAGGTACCTTGTAATTTGAGCCAACAGCTTTCTCCATAATTTCCGCTTCGAGCTTCTCCTGCGCTTCTTTTATCAGCTGAATTCTCTCTTTGTATCCATCCGTTCCACAGAGATCGAAATGAATTAGATCTTTCGTCAAGAAGAGCATTTCAGCATCTTTCTTTCGAGCCATTGCTTCTTTTGCAACTTAAAAAAGGTCGAAAATGTCCTTGAATCAAGATCGAAAAAGCATTTTTACGATCATTCCTGAGAAAAAATCGCTGAGCTTGTTGAGCAATTCTCCTTCGTGGATGTCAATGTAGGCGAGTTTCTCTCCTTTTTCGAGTTTGTTCATTCCCATGTGATGAAAAAATGATCTAGCAGTCTGATGAAAAGGTAAGAAACCTGATTTTAGGCGATAAAAACCTCATCTTTAGTTGCAGTTCCACAGAAGTCCTGGTCGATTTCGAGCTTGAGAAATTCTTCCAGCGATTTCCACAGATGCTTTCCTAATCCTTGTGCTCTGTATTGTTTCTAGCGCTTCAAGTAGTTAATGAATAGTCATCAAGACTTACTCGTATGACAAATTCGTCGATGAAACACATATTGACCTTCCCAGCGACGCATAAAAGTCGGGCATGTCCGGCAATTTCGACTTCGGTCTCTTTCATTTGCGTCATAAAATGTTTGTTTACAAGCAGAACATGCATCGATAATTGATCAGAACTGCCTTCCAGGGAGCTGAGTCGTGCCTTTCATGTGTTTTTTTCTTTCCAAATTCTCAGAATATTGTTCTATAAAAAACGTTTCTTGTGCTTCTTAGAACCTTCTGTGACTGGAAAATCTTCTTGGAGAAGATTTACGGTCAGGTTTACTGGCGATTTTTCTTCTTCGAACTCGTAGAATTCCTATTTTATGAGGAAAATCATGTTGTTTAGACTTTTTCTGTACCTGTCGCTGTTCAAATGTCTCCTGTAGCTCATGGAGTTTCACCAAAATATAATCTTTTGCCCTGTAAAGGCTCATCTTTGACCAACTCTGAAAGCAATTGTGTTCCGAATTCGCAGATCAGCAGATGAAGACAGGGTTTAGCACTATCAAAAAATGTCCATTAGGACCGCGGCGATGACACGAAGTGCACCCAATTTATTTGAGTCAGCAAAATCACACTGATTTGGATTGAGCTGTTGAAGTTTCTAGATTTCCGAAATATCGAGGATGTCGCTGAACAAGCAAAAAAATTCTGTATATTTTGGCTTTAAAAATTCTTATCTTTGCCAAAAAAATTACCCGCAATCGTCATTTCTGGCCTCTTTCCATCCCTGCCTTGGGATCTAACAAGCTGTTCAACCAATATAATCCCCAAAATTTTCTGCTTCTAGTCAATTCAATTTTGTCACCATGAAAATTTTCGTCGGACTTTTCGCTTTTTCTTCCGCTTTTGGCCGATTTTTCGATGAGCGAGCCGATACTGCTGAAGATATCATGCTCAACACACTCCGGCTTTGCGCAAATTCCGAATCTGGAATGACCGAATGCGCAGTGAAAATGAGCAAGAATCTTGAACGAAACTACAGCCAGCATTACAACTGTATTATTGCTAATGGCATTGCTGACGCAGAAGGGCGACACACAGCACAGCCAAGAGCAGGTTCTCTTCGGGCAGTTTGCGGGCCGAAATCAACGAAGACGATTGACTTTTCGTCTTTTGCTGTCAAGGTTAGGTTGAAGAATGACAATTCTTTAACCAACCTTATTTTAGTGCGAATCTTGCGAGTCCCGCTGCGCCAATGAGGAGGAATTTGCGACCTGTGTCAAGGACTGCATGATTATTGCGCACAACTCTTATGACGGGTTTGTTATTTGAAAATATGCATATTTTCAATATGATATTGAAGATTCAACATCATGGTTGCTGCAAAACTACACGGAAAGGGAGAGAGTGGATTTTACATGCACAAAACAGGTGTCTACTACGAGACGAGAAACAAAACCGAATGCATTGCCTTCCGACATTATATCGAGGAAGAAGGAAGTGGAGTTGGTTTATAAAAAGAGAAAACTTTATTCTGAAATTCCTGCAATTTTTGTTTCTCCTGATCAATAATAAACAAAATTTAACCAAATTAAGTTTTGAAACGCAAAAATGACTTGATAATAAAAAAATAATAAAAAAGAAAGGGGGAGAAAGTCTGTGGCAGGTCTAGCAACTGAATCGCAGTCAATAAATAATAAATTGCAACGAGTTGAAGCTAGACCATTTCTCATCGATATCGATTTTGTTCTCGTCTTTGATCAGTTCGCAGATTCTAGCGCAGTGCTTCGCCATGCCAGACGCAGAATATAGAGAAGGGAGAAGAAATGTTCGGCAAACGGAGATTATTCAAAATCATCTCATTTCTATCTTCATCCTTCTCTGCCTCAGGTAAGAATCAAGTCCAGAGTGAGAGAGTAGAAGGACTTCATCTCAAAAAAGGGGGCGATCTGACCAATCAGAAAGGTTTATGGGGACTTTCGAATAGTCAATGAATTCAGACCCCTGATTGGTCAAAGTTTCCCTTTCTTTGCATTCCGCTGCTTTCCTTCTGATTGGTCGAAAAATGTGATACCCTTAATCTTCCCCTAGTTAAGTTCCATGATTCACTGAAATTTCTAGCGTCGTTGGAATAATGCTCTTCAACTACGATTTCTTCTTCGGCTGGCTTTTCTTCTAGCGCTCAATCAAGAACCCAATAAACTTCTCAAAATTCTCAATAGACTTATTCGATTTCCAGCGCTCATCCCAACTACCACGTGTTCTCGCCCTCACGTTAGAACTAAAGTGCACTTATAAAATTCATGAGATGACAAATTGCCATCCCGTTTGCAAAAAACACTAAACATAAGTGACGATGTTTTTATTTACAGCAAGGCAGGATTAAATTTAAATAATATTTACAAATTCTACTCTGGGCCGGAAGTATTTTTCGCTTGGCAAAAGTGAAACAGTCTTGTTCTTTTCGTGAAAAAGGGGATGAAAAAGAGGAAGGAGCAAAATGAAAGAAGATTTGGACTTTCTTTAGGTCTTGATTTTTCGGAAACGGCCGTTTCGGAAACTGACTTGGCGGATTTCTTCCAAATCTTCCAGCTCGGGTTTGAGGTGGCGGGCGATGTTTTCAAGCGACTAGAAATAATAGGATAACGAATCTTTCTATAGAAGAGTCGACGCGCTTTGATTTTGTTGCGGAGTCTCGCCGAATGTCGCTAAAAGTCGGCGAATGTCGCTAAATGTCGCCGAATGTAGCCAATTGTTGCCAGTTTTATCGGCACTAGGCGATGTTTGCCAACATTTGGCGACATTCGGAGACATTTGGCGACATTTTGCGACCTTCGGAGACATTTTGCGACATTCGAAGACATTTGCCGACATTTACGAGTTAAGGCTTCATAACAAGTTTCGTCCGACAATTTAACCTCATTACAATCGAAAAATCACAGTCAATCAGTTCTCATAAATCCCCTGTCAGTGATTCATCTCGATTTCCCCCGAGTTAACGCTACTCCCGAATTACAAATGTAAAATGTCATGCTGCTCGAAAGCTTCCTTTCTTATGAACTCTCAAGATTTTAAAAAATTACCTGAGGCCTGGAACGGGCGAATTCGGGCATGAAGCAGCGATGACGAGTGATGCGGTTTTTCCAGAAAAAGACTTCGGGATAATCGGGAGTGTTGAGATTTTCGACTGTGACGATTACTGATCGACGATCGAGACGATCTGTTGACCAGTACTGTTGTTAATGGTTGATGATTTTGTCACTTTTAATTTGAATGAAAAAAAGGTTTTTCTCAAGAAAATCGATATTTATTGGCGGAGAAAAATCAGAAAAAATGATAAATCAGCCTTCTGAAAATTTTTGCCATCAATAAATATTATTGGAGAAAATTTTAGAACCATTTACGATTTTCATTGGTCAAAAATCAAATGTATGATCTTTGGCATATCAGATTTTCGATGGAAGAGCGTCTTATCTGTTGACATTGTTGTAGGTTTTTTTTCGAGAAATATCAACCCTTTTCCTTTGTATGAAAGAGAACATCCCTGTTCTCATTGTAGAATCCCCAGAACTTCAAGTTCCACGTCTGAATATTGTGTTGCCTATTCCCTCTTGCGAACCGCATCATAATCGAAGCACCATCAGCGTCATGCGCATCCGTCCCGAGAAAAAAAGCCGCTAGAAATTTGAATTGACAATTGGTCAAATAAAGCAATAATGACAATTAGCATAAACCGCCTCTAAAAAAGAAAGCAAGATTGTGTAAATAGAAATCTATGTCAAAGGCGAGCGCTAAATGCTGTTAAATGAAATACGAATTATGGTGGTATAACATGGCCTCTAAAAATAACTTCAAAACACGGACTCAAGTTCACTAATTTTGGACTCGACGGTACTTTTTGCAATTTATTCAAAAATAAAGTAGTCCAACTCTTGCGTCAACGAGCTCTCTAAAAGCCTGGATTTTAATATTCACGAAGTTTTTCGGAAAAAAAGATCAAGAATTTTCAAAAACTTTTTAGAAAAAAAAACATCACGAACATGATTTTCATTAGCATATTGACCTAATAGTTTTTTTCTTTAATTTAAAACCTGTGAATCCATAGTTGAAAGCATAAGTTCCCTGGTCCCGTTTTCTCCACGCATCGACGATTTGAAAGCCGCTACCGCCGAAACAAGACGGCGCCGGACATCCGGCCTTGGTCTCGAACGGTTCAACTCGATCGTTGTCGTTTTTCGTTTCGCAGCGGATTCCAGGAGCTGGCTTGGCAGCATGCCGCTCGCAAACGTAGCCCATCGAAGCGATCGTATGCTTGGAGCCGTAGCGGGAAGCGCGGCAGTTGCCATCGCTTTTTAACTGTTCATAAATGACTCTAAAAGGGGCGGCTTTTGTCCTTCCTGGTAAAAAAAATCGAACATTTCCTGAATTGACCGACTCTCATTCGGACACAAGCAGCTTTTTCTTCAGTCAAATTTGGTTCGCCCGTCGCCCACTGAATTTTCATAAAAATTCAAAATTCCAATTAAAATTTAGACTTATCAAAATTCATGAAAAAGTAATGCAGGTGTGGTAATCCTTAAATCTACTCGAACGTGTTCGATATCCCTGCTGGATCAGAGCGAATTCTACCTCCTATTTTCTTCATTTTGGATTATCGCACTTCAGATTTCTTTTTACCTTATCGTTGATGACCACTGGTCGGTCGCCAAAGACATCTTCAAAGTCGTCAGAAGACTTCGAAACTTCTCTTTGTACCCCAACCAAACACCAGTCGTATCGCAGTTCATGAGATTCATGATTTTTTCGTACTCGGCTTCTGTTTCGATCACGGCCAGGTCCCAGCCGATTCCTTTTTCTTGGCACATCTGCTGGGCGGAATACCAATTGAAGCCGTCGTTCAGATTTGTTGGTAGGTAGATTTCATAGTCTTAAAGAGGTTTGAGATCTTCTTTTTATATTTACACTTTTATGACGGAACTTTTTACCCATGCGGTTTTTGGAGTTTATAGATTTAGTCAATAAAGAGTGAAATAAGAAAGTTGATTTTAGTCACTCGAAGAATACAATTATGGTGTTTTGTTTTTGGAAAATTAGAAATGAAAGTACTATATTTTGTTATTTATTTTCATGAATTTATTTTTTCAGTTATCAAATTTTGTAATTGATTAAAAAAATTGTTGAAAAACAAGTATCATATGATGGTGAATAAAATTAACCTTTCCTGGATCTGTAGGAGGCGTATTTTTGGCGTCACAAGGAAAAGGCATGCAGTCTCTTCTGAAACCGCTTCCGCCAGTGTCTCGATGTCTAGAGCCAAAGCCAACGTAACCGTCGATACAATAGCACTCGTAGTCGTAATCGTACAAAGCGTCAAGTGTTTTGCACTCGGCGAAGGCACCGCACTTGTGTCGCCCAAGCCCGCAGAAGTCAGATGTACAGCTCATCTATATTAAGAAATTATCAAGTGTCTGACGTGAAGAACACGTTTTTTCATCAGGAGATGTTTTATGGCAAGAATTTGAGATTTTTTTCAGATGAGTCGTTTGTCCTTAAAAATTTTTATTTGCTCGATTTGAAATTTCAAAACAGGGTAACTTTGTTTGATTCGGATCGAAGTTCTATTTACGAAAAAAATTTCTTTTTCCGAATTCTTAGGAGCATGTGAAAAAATGTCTCAAGGAAGTTCAGTAAGCGAAAGTTATTGCTTTTATACTGATGACGCGAGCAACGGATTTTTTCGTAAAGGTCCATCAAATGAAGAAATAGAAAAGATCTTCGAGGGGAAAATAAAGGACCATGCTTACAAATCGAGCTTGCTTTCTGACAACCTAATGAATGCCGAAGCGAAGATAAAACAAATCAGAGAAGAGAATGAAGATCTCCATAAACGAGTTGGTTGGCTTGAACACCGAGTCGAAAATATGGAATTGAACCACAGAGAAATGCAAAGAATAATTGAAATGACGCATAGAGAGATGAGCAAGAAAACTGCAGAATACGAAGCGCTCAGAGTAAAATACGAAAAGGAAAACTTCGAATTTTATAAAGAAATGGCTGAAAAACTTGTGGCTTCTGCTGAAAGAAGGAAAAAATATTGCTCGTTCGTTTTTTAAATTACTGAAATCGCCTGAAGTTGTCACTGTTGTCTTGTCATTTTTCCTTGTCTTTTTATCTCGAAATTTCGGTGAAATCAACAATCAAGGATTTGACTCAAAAATCCTTAATGAAATTCGTGAGAGTCAAAAAACAATTAATGATCTTCAAAAAATCATCGAGAGGAAAGATCATTTGATTGATAGAATAATAGCTCATATAGATATTCTAAAAATCACCGTCTTTGATAATTCAAATTCGGACTATTTTTATAGAAAAATCATTAATAATGGACGTCCGTTAAAACTCAGTATGAAGAAAAAATCTGTAGGTATCGCCGATACCGTATCGGGAACCAACAAAAAAATCCCGACAAAATATCTCATTTTCCTTAAGAAAATTTTAATGGCCCAACTGGCTCAAAACTGCCAAAAATAACCAAAAAATTAAAATGATTATGTGTAACTCACTGTTCCGTCTCCAATGTAACCATCTTTGCACTGACAAACTGCTTCGTATTCGTTCTCATTATCTTCTTTCGGCAGAGCATTGCAATTTGCATTATTGTGGCAAGCATGACCGATGCATGGATTGACCACACAATCCCCAGCAGCGTTAGGGATGTAGCCAAGATCGCAAACTGTCCTTGCAGTCGGTCGACGACATCGTCCCCTCTCGCAGACTCGATTTCTGTGGCATTTCTTCCAATCGCATACCGATTCTGCAGCTATTTTTCCGACAAAAAGAACCGGCAATATCCACATTTCTCTTTCTCTCGATGAATTTATACAAAATATTTATAAAAAACAATAAACTAAAGTATTGATAGTTTATCTCAAAACTATAATTATGAAAATCGATAAGAAGGAGCGATAAGAAAAAAACCGTGGAATGCGCGGCGCAGCGCTCCCGCAAGTTGGCGCTACGGCAATTTTGCGCATAATGTGCGCGTAATGTTTTTTTCCCACGTGGAAGCAGTGATACAAAAACAGGCTTTAAATCGGAAGCTACTGTAACAATCCATTTTTATTTCTAAAATGATGAAAACAGAGGAATGCTGCTAGTTTTAAGCGGTCTAGGAAGTTCCTAGACTAGGAACAATTTTCAAGGTCACCTTAAATTAGTCGAACTAGAATGCTATAATTGTCACAGCACACCGCTAGATTCTAATTCTAGACCGGTTCGATTCACGGTCAAAAGCAGCCTAAAATAGCATAGAATTTCAAAATAGCAACAAAAAAAGTCGGGATAAAAAAGGATGAGCCGGAAACTTAGGCCAAGAAAAAAGCTTGCAGTAATAGGAGCCGGGGGACTTTATTCCTCACGTTTGACAACGTTCAGAAAAGAAGTGGATTGAGGAAAATGGATATGATTAAGAACTTTTTAAGTCAAGTTTTAAAGGCGATTCGAGCACTTTTCTAAGCTCATTTTGAAGGATTTAGAAAAAGATTTGATAGAATTAAACTCAAAAGAGAAAATCAAAATATCGAGATAAATTATTTTTCTGAGCAGAGCGAGCTCAAAATTCAGCTAAATAATTTTCGCCAAGGTAAAAAGATTTTTTATTTTCTTCGCGTTGAAACCGAAAACCTCGTGTTGATCCGTGTGGGATGATCCGCCTTGGAAGCCGCTTGGTGATTTTGAGCTTGATGGTTGAAAAATTGATGCCTCCCCGTGGAGAATTCCGATCGGAACATTGAAATTGTTTGATTTTAGAAAATTGCTCAAATAATCAATCGCATACTCTTTTTGTTTAGAACTTGAACAAAACGCTTGTGGCATGTTTCAGAAATTTTATTTGGTAAGAATGATGGATCTAAAATATGATCTTCAACGAAAATCCATCTTAGCTTCGGTTGAACTTTGGTGACCAGAGTCAATCCTAATTGAAAATCAATTTAAGATTTGGAAAAAAAAGTTCACGCTTCTTCTTGAACAATTTTTTTCTCGTCTTGTTGTCCAACTGAGGACGAAATAAATCGTAATTAACGTGCTCGATAAAAATTTTTCAACTCGAGTTAATTTTGCTTTTATCGGATTCAGCGTGTTCGAAAACCTAGGAAAAAATAGTACTTTTTGACTTCGGGTGTGAAATAGCGATAAGCGCGGCACTTCAAAAGTGAAAAGTATGTCACTTTTGGAAATAGATTTCTAGCGATGCGTCAATGATATAAAAATTCTAATCAAACAGACTTTTAGATAATTGTCTAATCTAGTTGGGACTTTTTTGAAATCTTTAAAAAGTTAATGTTTACCCTACTTTTCGAACGCTCAAAGATGAACCGTCTGAAAATCGAGTGGTAATCAACGTCCGCCTGGTCCCAAGCGGGACTCCCCAGCGTGAGTTCAGCGGACGAAAAATGAGAGCGGGCGCGCTGGGTGATCATAATCGCTCGAAAAGTAGGGTAAACATTAACTTTTTGAAGATTTTAAAAAAGTGCCAACAAGAATAGACAATTATCTAAACGTCTGTACGATTAGAATTTTTATATCATTGACGCATCGCTAGAAATCTATTTCCAAAAGTGACATACTTTTCACTTTTGAAGTGCCGCGCTTATCGCTATTTCACACCAGAAGTCAAAAAGTACTATTTTTTCTAGGTTTTCGAACACGCTGAATCCGATAAAAGCAAAATTAACTCTATTTGAAAAATTTTTATCCAGCACGTTAATTACGATTTATTTCGTCCTGAGGATGTCAAGACACGTGTCTAGCGCCTAAAGACCGTAACTCAACGTCTAGGAAACTACAATGAAATTACCGATAAAAGTAGGGGGTGCCCTTGACCAAAGCCCGAATAAGCGACACCGTGTGAGTGTATTCCACTTTTTCATGCAGGGCGGAGGACCCCGTCTGCTGGAAGATTTCTTCTGTGTGAGAAGAAAACGAAAATTAATTCATAGTCGAAGGCGTTTGTTTGCGAGACTTAAAATTGACAGGCTTGCGATACTGTGCGAAAAAACTGTAGAACGATATCTCATTCAAATTGTTCTCACGAAAAAATGAGACTGAGAATCCCCCGGCCGCGTCAAATCATCATCTTCTTTGGCATCTACCTTTCCACGTAAGAAAATAAACCCCGGCTCGCAAGTATTTTTTGAAATCTTTCGAAATCCGAAAGTTTTGAAGAGAATGAACAGTATTTATTTGCACAAGCTCGGGCCAGCCCCAGCTCGCCAACATCCCTCCTCGTTAATCAAATAAAATAAAATCATCAAAATTCAATTTTGAAAAAGAAAAATTGACAAGAGAAAAAAGAAAGAGAAAGAAAGAAAGAGGAGTCTAAAAATCCCTTGAAGAATGATGATTTTTGGTTTCTTCTTCGTTTTGGTGTCGGCCAAGGCATGTTCTTACAGGCGCGTAAAAGGTGCAGTATTTCTAGGGTTACAGTGAAAAAAATTGATTAGTCAAAAATACAAGCAAAAATGCTGAGAACAACCAAAAGTTTGATATCAACAACGAAAACCACGTGCTCGTCATTCTTCATGTCCAGAAAACTGGAGGGACGGGTTGTCCCCTTTTTTCGAATTATCTTTCTTCAAAAGAGAGAACCCTTTGAAAGGAACGACATTCAACAGAAAATTGATAAGCGACTTGGAAGGAAATCACTGTAGTTTGCCCCCAGAATCGATGCAGAAAAGGTCAAATTGGCACCATAGCTCCTGCAAGCATCCTGGAAAGAATTCGACTTGGCTCTTTAGGAAAAGCTTTCCCAAAGGAAATAAGAAAGTTACACCCTTAATAACCAGGGCCAAATTTGCTTGCATTCTCTTGCATTTACAAGTAAACAAATTGAGATTGAGCTTTATACAGTAGATACACTGTCGGATGGCCTTGTGGAGTGCACCCTGATTGGACCGCTTTGAAGGTTCAATTCAAGGTGTTTTCCCTAAAAACCGATTTAAGGACTGCGCAAGAAGAAAGCTACGATCTTTAGATGGCCCCTCGTATGAAGGAAGAAAGCTGTTTCATGTAACTGTAAGTACATTTTTGCCGGTCGCGACTGAAAGTGTTTCTAGACGCTGAGAGACCCAATAGATCGATTTTTATCTGAGTGGCGTCATGTTCAGCGTGGGGCCACTTGGAGTAGAAAGGGTTCATTCAAACGAGAGCGCTCTTCCTTGATTTCATCACCGAAAATCCGCCTTGAACTAGTTTTAGTAATTAAAAAATGTATGATCCCTAAACAAAGACAACATCTTCTCTGCGACTCCAGGAGAAACACGATTCCCCAGTGCTATCAGACTGAAAAGTGGCTGGGAGTAGAACTCGAAGATTTTATGGCTTGTGAGACGAACATGGCGTTTAATCGGCAGACGAGGATGATTGCTGATCTCGAGGTAAATTTTCTTCTAGAAAAAATAAAGCAGAAATCAAAAGTGATTTCTTTTACTTTTTCTTATCTTTTATTTACTTTTCAAGGATAATTTTGTTGATAACTAAACATTCTTAATACGAAGTAGAAATGAATTGATGTCCATAGCAGTTCAATAAATGTTTTAATGATCTTTAAAGTCGATCGGATGCTACGAAGGCTTCAAAAACTACGACATGCGAGTTCCAGACCAAAATCTCGGCCGGCACTTACTCGAGTCTGCAAAAAGAAACCTTGAAAATATCGACTTCTTCAGCATGCTTGAATATCAAAAAGAATCGCAGCAACTCTTCGAAGCAACTTTCAGGCTGAAGTTTTCGGAAGACTGGGAGTACCACAAGACAAAGACGGAGAGATTCAAAGATGATGTCGAGATACCCGATGATATTATTGAAAGAATAAAGGTAATGGGCCGATTGATTCTATGTCTAAGAAAATCGGGTATTAAGGTTTCATGAGTGCGGCTTTCATGTATGAATATTCCTTCGACTTTTAGCCCAATCATAAAATTCTTATACAAAATCATAAATGCTATCATTATGGTCTCTTTTCTAGAGCGACAATGCCTTGGACGTCGAGTTCTACGATTTCGCGAAACAACTCTTCTTCAAAAGAATATCAGAAAAACGAATTCCACTGCCACAAGAATAAAAAAAACTGAATCATCAACTTCAACATCAATTTGGGAATTTTTTTATGACTCCTTTCAGGAATGCTCTCTGGAGGTGTTATTCATTAACTGCTCCAGTGGAGTATGAAGATCATTAGCTTCTGATTCGGATTTTGAGTCTCAGAGGCGATTTTTTATTTTAAGCGAGAGGCAGAATTATTGTTTTTGAAAAGAAGAGAGAAAGAGATAATGATTGTGAATACAGGGGTTTTCATCCCCCTAGCGTAAGTTATAAGCATTCTAGAGCGCGAAAAAGCCATTATTAGGATCGCAACGATCATGACATGCTTTGGAGCTTTCGGGTTCTTTTGGTACTCTGGGGAGAATTTGACGAAGAAGGAAGATTTCAGCCAAGAGCTTTTGAACGTCCTCAATTCGAAAAATTTAACGACCGATTATGACATCAACATAAAATTCTCCGCTGGAATGTTGAAGAAACAAACGCTGATTTTCATTCAGGCACAGTTTTGATAAAAGAAAATCGAGGGAGAAATTATTCGTCGAAAAACTGAATAGACTCGACCAAATCCGACCGAGATCGACCGAGTTGATGCGCGAGTTGATTACGATATTGGAGTTGGAGTTCCTCTTGGACTGCTTATTATTTCCCTGGTCGTTGACATTGTCGCCGCAGTCTACTGTTTCGCTCAATGTGGTTTCAAGAAGGCAATTCATAACTTAAAAATCTCTTGTTTATTCAATCTAGGTGTTTTATTGGGCTAAAATGAGCTCAATCATCACTGTCCAAGTCTACCTGCATCTCTGCGCTCTGGAATGGCTATTCAAGAAAATAATTTGCCGATCATTAAATCTGAGAAAGCCAGGATAAGTTGACATTCGCCGCGTATATCCAGCAAACCCTGCGACTGGCTGAGTATCCATTTGGCGCAGAAAATTTGGGTTTTGGATTTTGGGCGATCATGATTTCTTTTTTGCTGCGATGCTTGATTTGGTTCATGGTTTCTTGTTGCCCAGCAGGTTCGAAAATCATAATTCAGATACAGAAGACAATAAAAATTAAGGTTGTCGACCATGCTTGACGATTAATGGAGATAAGTTGGAGGAACTTCAAGCTGAAGCAATTTTGAACCTAGGTAAAGACAGAATTTCTACCTCTGAGTTGAATTTCTTCTAGTCAAAGGAGCAGACGACGATGCAACGACTATCAATGATGATGTCAACAGTCTCTAGAGAACTATAAAATCAAGTTCAAAATTTCTCTCTTTCTAACATGTCATGGAAAATACAGAAAACAGAAACCGTAATAAAGTTTCGTCTTTTTTATTATAAGGTTCAGGCCTTTACCTCAACGGGTTCTTCGAAGTGATTTTTTGCTCGTCGGCCCTAGCGGTATGATTTCTTAAGAAAATAAGCGGGCATAATTTCTGCCGTCTGAAGATTGTTGTGATTCGCACAAAATCCATTTTGTTACGCGCGTCAGCGATATATCGAATAACCTCTTCGTAAAACAATATCGCCACCTAGCTGTCGCAACAGGTCATGTTCCGCATAAAAACCGGAGAATCTCGTGAAAATTTATCAGAATATCTAAAAATAATCGAGAAAATGAAGGTAAGTTTCAAAGAGATACGATGATGAAGATAACTCTTTATTTAAGCTCTTTTCTTTGATCGTCGCATCTGCCTACTCTTACGAGTATACTACTGAAAAACCCTTCGACCCAAATGACCGACTTGACGTCATCCAATACCACTTCGATGTAAGTAGCAAAAAATATGGTCGAAATCTCGATAAAACTAATTTCAAGAGACTCGCCGCATCTCTCCCAGACGCTAACTGGGCTGACCGATACGTCGCCCGATTCAACAAAGCTGCCGGCAAAGCCCGAGACTCCGGCATCGGCGAAAGCTGCTACGAAGAAAATGGTTTCCCTAAGGAAGATACCGCCGATGACGTCCAGGTCTTCGACGAAACCGACTTCTGCAAGCTCAACGGGCAGGTCAACGCCGCCCTCAACAGCTGGGCGCGAAACTACGCGTGCGACGGACGAGGCAAGGTCTACCGACAGGTCATTCGATCCGCTCGAAAGGCCAAAAAATTCTACAGCGACAAGATGGGCTGCTAATTTCGATAAAAGAACTTTCTGGTCACTAATTTATTTTCTTTCTGAGAATAAATTACGAAACGAGAACACTTACGATATTATTTTTTGTTTCATAAATGAATTGTATCATACTTTGTCTTATTCCGGATCGTTTCCTGCTGCCGACTCTGACAAATTGCACTTTGGGTCCAGACCAATAATCAAGTAGCAACAACTTGAAAAGTTGCTATTAGCACATGGGGCCAACTCACAAGGCCTTACTCGTTTGTTTATGCTTTTCATAAGTTCGCAAGAGGTTATCCTTTGCATAAGTTCCAAAATTTTACCAAGAAAGGTACCGTATCTGTCCGCGAAAAAAATATTGTTCCTCGCATCATTCAAAAATTTCGAGTCTAAATTAAGGGTATAGTAATCGCTCAGGCCTACTTTGAGCTTGAATTCCTCTGCACTTGTAAATTGTGAGAATGTCCTTAAGGGCTAGAATTGAAGATCTATCCTAGGTCTTACTTTTGAGAAGAGCTTTTTAAAAAAATCCTTCATTTTTACCACGTGACGACCTTTGACCTAAACAACCTCCTTAATTGCCCTGAGGTTAAAATAGAATAATTCTAAAAATATGTTTTCTATTCGGAAAAAAAACTTTCAAACTGAAAAGATGACCCTCTTCATTGATGATTTTACTTATTTTCGCACTATTATTTCTTGAGAAAATATGCAAGGATAATTTCTGCAGTCTGAAGATTGTTGTTATTCGTACGAAATCCGTTTTGTTACGCGCGTCGGCGATATAACGAATAACCTCTTGGTAAAACAACATCGCCACCTAGCTGTCGCAACAGGTCATATTGCGCATAAAAACGGGAGAAATACGTTAAAACTCATCAGAATATCTGAGAATAATCGAGAAAATGAAGGTATGTTTCAAAAAGATAAAATGATGAAGATAACTCTTTATTTTAGCTCTTTTCTTTGATCGTCGCATCTGCCTACTCCTACGAGTATACTACTGCTGAACCTTTCGACCCAAATGACCGACTTGACGTCATCCAGTACCACTTCGATGTAAGTAGCAAAAAATATGGTCGAATCTCGATAAAACCAACTTTCAGAGACTCGCCGCATCTCTCCCAGACGCTAACTGGGCTGATCGATACGTCGCCCGATTCAACAAAGCTGCCGGCAAAGCCCGAGACTCCGGCAACGGCGAAAGCTGCTACGAAGAAAATGGTTTCGGTGGAGAGGACAGCGCCGATGACGTCCAGGTCTTCGATGAAAACGACTTCTGCAAGCTCAACGGCCAGGTAAACGCCGCCCTCAACAGCTGGGCACGCAACTACGCTTGCGATGGACGAGGCAAGGTCTACCGACAGGTCATCCGATCTGCCCGAAAGATCCGAAACTTCTACAACGACAAGATGAACTGCTAATTTCGATGGAAGAACTTTCTGATCATCATTTTATTTTCTTTCTGAAAATAAATTTTATAAAAAAAGACATTTAAATGACGCGAAAATTTTGCTCTCTGTTTATTTCAACCGAAAAATTGCGAGTACCAGGAAGAAATATAGTCGATAGTTTCTTGACCTTTGGTCTTGATCTTCGCTACTCCTTCTGAAACAACTCCATTTGTGAAGATGATTCCTTGCTCCATTCCATTTTTGATGGCTCCGTTTGTTCCGATAATTGTATTTTTTGCATCTTCGACAGTTTGAGAGCCGACTTCGGAGATTGCTTTACTTCCTTCAGCAAGCTTGTCCTTTGAATACTGAACTCCGGTAGAAAACGTTTCACCAACTGTTTTAACAGCTCTTTCACCAGTCTCTACTGCAGCATCGATTCCTTTAGCTCCTTTTTTCACGAGCCAATCGACATTTTTGCCCTTCGAAATCTTATTTTTTCCTTTTAAGAAATAGACTTACGAAAACCGCCATATTCTTACACCACCAACCACCACAATCCTCTCTTCTCAACCGCGGCTCTGCGGAGATCAAAAGAAAAAGTGCATAAAAAATCTTCATTTTGTAAAATGCAGTTCTAGCCAGGTTTTTCGCCTCTGATTTGAAACTGTTTCTTCCTCCAGGGCGAATTTTCTTGGAATGGATTTGAATTAAGTAAAGCATGAATAGGCACGGGGTCTTTTTGTTGAGAGGCTTTTTGAGGATTCAAGTGCCCCGCTGATTTAGAGATATTAAAAAACTTAAGTTACATTCGAGTTGGTCAACCTTTTTTCTTTTTTAATGCAGTCAAATTAATTCACACTGGTCGCCAAAATCTATATCCAAAAATAATTATTCAGTATTGTGGTTTTGGAAAGATCATAAAGTTACTGCTACAATATAAATTCTAGAATGATTTTTAGCGGATGATTTTATTGAACAAAAACTTGATGAAGTAGCCAGTTGAAAACAAACATGTAAGCACATCATAAGTATCTGTCAAATATCAGAGGGGGAAAAAGGACATGTTTGAGAGAAAAACAATTGTACTAGCAAGCAGTTCTAGCAGTGCCACTCAGAGCTTAGTATTCTTCCTCGTCTTCTTCGCCATCGATGGAGTCAAGTCCGACCTCTTCGTAGTCCTTCTCAAGAGCGGCCATGTCTTCTCGGGCCTCGGCGAACTCGCCTTCTTCCATACCTTCTCCAACGTACCAGTGGACGAAAGCTCGCTTGGCGTACATGAGATCGAACTTGTGGTCCAATCGAGCCCAGGCCTCGGCGATGGCGGTCGTATTGGACAACATGCAGACTGCGCGGTTGACAGGGGCCTGGTCGGAGCCGGGGACGGCGGTTGGCTTCTGGTAGTTGATGCCGACCTTGAAACCGGTTGGGCACCAGTCGACGAATTGAATTGATCGCTTGGTCTTGATTTGCGCGATGGCAGCGTTGACGTCTTTGGGGACGACATCACCTCGGTAGAGGAGGCAGCAGGCCATGTACTTGCCGTGTCGGGGATCGCACTTGACCATTTGGTTCTAGAAATGAGAGGTAAATCCAGGAAAGAAAAGGACAAGCTTTACCTGTGGCTCGAAGCAAGCATTGGTGATTTCGGCAACAGACAACTGTTCGTGTCCAGCTCGGTCAGCAGAAATGATCGGGGCGTAAGTAGCCAAGGGGAAGTGAATTCTTGGGTAAGGAACCAAGTTGGTCTGGAACTCGTTGAGATCGACGTTGAGAGCACCGTCGAATCGGAGCGAAGCAGTGATGGAGGAGACAATCTGGCCGATCATTCGGTTGAGATTCGAGTAGCTGGGTCGCTGGACGCCAAGGTTGTTGCGGCAGATGTCGTAGATGGCTTCGTTGTCGACCATGAAGGCGCAGTCGGAGTGCTCGAGAGTGGTGTGGGTGGTGAGGATGGAGTTGTAGGGCTCGACGACGGCGGTGGAGACCTGAGGAGCGGGGTAGACTGCGAATTCGAGCTTTGCTTTCTTTCCGTAGTCGACAGAAAGTCGCTCCATCAAGAGAGAAGTGAAACCAGAGCCAGTTCCGCCGCCGAAGGAGTGGAAGACGAGGAAACCTTGGAGACCAGTGCAGTTGTCGGAGAGCTTTCGGATGCGATCAAGGACATTGTCGATGATTTCCTTGCCGACGGTGTAGTGGCCACGGGCGTAGTTGTTGGCGGCATCTTCTTTGCCGGTAATGAGCTGTTCAGGGTGGTAGAGCCTGGCGTACTCGGAGGATCGAACTGAAAAGAGTTATTCAAAATTGGAAAGTTTTTGAACAATTCGTGGATTTGTTTTAACTTTGACGCTCGTAAAAATCCAGTTTTTAACGAGCATTTCAACGACTTTTAGCGCGAATTTCTAATTTCAAAGAAGAAAAAACTTCAAAAAACGCAAAATATTTTGAAACTTAGTCATTTCCGCTCCAGTTGGTATTTCAAAACTTACCGGCATCGATGACAGATGGTTCCAAATCGACCATGACGGCTCGTGGGACGTGCTTTCCAGCGCCGGTCGAGTGGAAGAAAGTCGAGAAGGAGTCATCTTTTTGCGAGACGGAGTCGTCGGACATGGTTCCGTCGGGCTTGATGCCGTGCTCCAGGCAGTAGAGCTCCCAGCAGGCGTTACCCATCTGGACACCAGCCTGGCCGACATGGATTGAAATGACTTCTCGCTAAGAAAATAATGTTAGAATCATTATGAATCCAATAAAACCTCTTTCTGAAAATAAGATGAAGTCAACAAGAAGCTTATGATTTTACTTTCCCAAAAGCCGCACGCGGCTTTTTTTTTAATTTGTGTTTGAGCTATTCAAAATCTTCCTTATACCTTCGGCATAGTTTCAAAATCAATTTATTATTGAGAATCTTTCACAAATCAAATCACGCCGGCTGAGAGGAAAAAAGATAAGGCCCGGCTTCTGCTCAATATCTAACGTCATTAAAAGAGCTCGCACCACGGGGAAGAGCGCGACTCATGGATTTTCTTCTGCTGCCTGAGTGAGTAACCGGCGGCGTGTGCGTGAGAAAAATCAATAAGTTTCCGTTTCATTGACATGCGAAATGTGCGAACTTGAGAACATATGCTCAAGGAATGAGGCCTGAAGAATCGAATTCTCAAGGAGCCCTGTATGGTTTTTATGGAAAAAATGGTCAAAATCGTCTGGAAAGGGATCTTATATAAGAAAATTTTATGATGATGAAAAGTGATTTTTTCTATTTGAAAGATGAAAACGAAGTTCTGTCTCTGTACTCACCATATTGCAGGTAAAAAAGGTTGAAAAGTTAAACAGGAATGATTCGAGAAAAAGATATGTGACCTGTAAGGGGCAACTTTTTCGAATGAATGAGCTTTGGAGAGAGAGAGGATGTCGAGAGAGGGAGAGTAGCGCTCTGGGTCGGAGCGCCACGTGACCGGGCCCGAGCCCGCCCTGGCGCGCGCTTCAGTTCACTGATGCGACTCCAGCGCCCAATTGGACTCTGAAAATCGAAAACGATAAATGTCGCGGGGATGAGTTTTAAAATTTGAATAAAACTTTTCAAATGCTGATAAATCAACTTGAATTTAATTTCTTATCGTTTTTCAGAAAGATTCTTTTGGTGTACTAGGGATTTGCTTATTATTATTTTGCGGTTTGTTTATACCGTATAAATACCGTTATTGATTCGTATAAATTATACGAATCAATAAATATTTAATATTATAATGAACACTATTACGGTATGATTATGGTACTATAACTAGTGTTTCTCATAGTAATCAATGGACTTTCAGAAAAGAAATCTTGGTTTGTTTCAAATTCCTGATCAAAGAAGAAGATTTTCGCAGTCCTAATATTCAGATGATAATTATGGTTAAAGGTATTGATTCAATTTAATCGCATCATATTGACAGATCCTTATGGACCTTATTCATCTGTTCGAATTGTCCGAATGAACGTGACTTGAGAAAACGCCAGAACATAAACTTGATCTTAAAAAGGATGAGTCGCAAGCAGAAAAAGCCATTTATCAAATAGCATTCTTTTTACAAAGATCAATATTTTTATATTGCTAATGAAAAATGTTCTAGATGAATTCTGAAATCAATTGTCCTGAGAAAAAAAGCTCTGAGCTGATGTGGCCCGCGGCCCGCGAAGCCCTTCTGCCGGGTTTGTTTCGCTACTAGCGCGGAAAAAATTGCAAAAAACTGCCTTCCAGAGACAATTCCCAAAAGAAACAACCCGATAAGTAAAAAGATGCAACGGATTAGGGTGCGAATCCGCCATGAAAATAAGGAACGGGGATATTTTCCTATTTTTATCAAGCTTTTTTTACGAGTTTTCACCTCCAAGAATAGCATTAGTCTTTCAAAAGAGCTGAGTCATGTTTGTTTAAATTTGCGGCTTGTCAAGATTTTTGAGCATCCCTGGTTTAGAATTTTGACGGCGTTTTTGACCCATGCGATGAGCTGATTTTGCTGAAGTTGTTTATCAGAATTATTACTGGTCAAGATGTGACATTACCTAAAGGAAGAGTTTATCGAAATAGTAGTCTACCGTGTAACTGTCGAATTTCAACACAATCGAATTTTCGAATTGAAAAAAAACTTCACTTACAGAAGAAAAAATCACTTTATGACTCCTATTTTCAAACTCAAAAAGGTTCCTTCGAATCCGCCGGTGTCGACCCTGATTTCTATTACATTGAGTCTTCCGACATCTCCTGGCCGATTCAAAAATGGTTGAAGACTCCAGAAGCAATCCGCAAAATCTGCACCGATCGAGACTCGAAAGACCCTATTCAATCTCGATCTAAAACGAAGAAGGTTGCGAAAAGCAAGGACGAAAATGATAATGAACAACGAGTTCCGGAGATTCAGAAGCCAGATGACGAACCAGTTCCCGAGCCGGAAAAGGAGCGAGAAATCGATGCCAAAGAAGAATATCAAGAACTCCGAGTTGACGTTGTTCCTGCTCAAGAAGCTCAACAAGAATCAGTTGCCGAACCAAAGCAAGAAGATGAGCCGCCAGCTGAGCCCGAGCCCGAACCTCAAGTTGAAGAAGTCAAGACTGAAGAGCCAGGACCTGAAGAAATATCCGAACCAGTTGAAGAGGCAATTACTGAGGCAGAAGCTCAACCTATTGAAGACGAAAACTCTGAAGCAGTCAAGGAACCAGAGCCTGAACCAGTCGTCGAACAACAACCTGAGCAAGCTCAGGACGTTACTGAAGAACAAGCCGTTCCCGAACCAGTTGCCGAGCAGCAAGAAGTCCCAGCTGAGGAAGTTCTTCCAGAACAACCCGAAAGAGAAGTTGTTGAGGTAGAGCAAAAACCAGAACAAGAAGGAGTGAACCAAAAAGTTGAGGAAACTGCCGAACCAATCGAAGCCGCTGTTGAACCTGAACAGACGGAAGAACAAGCTCCTGAAGCAGCTTCAGAGCCAATTGCCGAGCAAACTCCAGAGCCTTCTGAGGAAGCGGCTGAGGAACCAAAAGAACCAGATTCAGAGCCAGCTTCTAAACCAACTCCTGAACAAACCCAAGAGCCATCTCCTGAGCCAATTGATGATCCCTCTCCTGAACCAGCTCCAGAACCAGCTCCTCAACCAACCCCTGAACCCGTTCAAGAAAAAGCCCCACCCGCAGCAAAACCAAAGGAAGAACCCAAACAGGCGCCAAAGAAAAAGAACAACAAGAAGAAAAAGAAGAAGAAATAATCCTTATCTCGCTTTATCAACAAAAAACAATCACCCTTAAAATTTCTGTAGTCAAAAATTCAACACTATAAGTAACTGCTAGCTCTCATAAAACTACCGTACTGATATGAGAGTAGAAAAACAAATATATATTTAAATATATCAGAGTCAGTTTGTTTCTCTTTTTTCATTTCCGAAACTCAGCCATCTGGTGATCTTCCCCAGCCCCGTCGTATTTGTTGTATTGCTGGAGAATATTCGCCATTTCTGGGCTTTTAGCGAGTTTTGCAAACTTGTCCGAATAAACGAAAAGTGTATTTTTGGAAAAAAAAAATCATCGAAAACTCAATTCCTGTTTATAACTTCAGCGAGCTCTGGATAATCCCGTTTCGCAGCGTTGCCTTTAAGCTCGAATAAAGTTGGCCAGGGAGGAAGCACAAGTGCAGAAATCAACGAGAAAAAATGGAAAACGAGCATCTTGTGAATGACGAAATTGAGTATAAACTATCTTTTAAAAGGGGCAGCTCGTTAATATGAATGAAGCAAACAGCATTCAAACTACCATATACTAGTCGAACTAGATGCCATGTTGTCAATTTTTCCGAGTTCCGCTGCGATGGTCTGAAAATTAAATGAATTCCTAACACAAAAATATTAAAAAAAAAATGGCTCGATTATTTTCTTTTCCAGAGCTCCATAGTCTATGGACCATAGATCAAGTCGGCAATATTCAATTTCTTTGTTTCATTCGCAAATGGACGTTCAACACTTGAATATTTTATGGCTTACTTTACTTGATGAAAAATTGCAGATATAAATTGGATGGAAGACAAAGGAAAAAAGAGCAAAAATGAAAGTTTTATATTTTATTTTCTTCGTTTGCACTTTTGCTGCCAGGAAAATGATGAAAGACCTTTTTTATTCAAACCCTTATCCTTAACCTGAGCTCAACCCTAACCCTATCTCGTGAATATTATTTGAATAGAAATGACGCTGCTTCTGAGAACTTCGCTGATAGCATTAAAAGAATAATGAACAGTGACGATTTTCGAGCACTTTTCGACTTCATCGACAACCAGCAGCCAGTTTACTTTACAAAACGATCTGCAGCCCCAAAGAAAGACTTCTGAGACGGATGAAAATATTATTTTGGCTTTTCAAAAAAGAGTTTTCTATTTTATCCTGTCAAAAGCGCATCACAAAATGGGCTCTACCATCTGTTCTGCAGCAACATCTTTAAGCCATCTTCTCTTAGCTACGTTTTGCAGTAAATTTATTGAATAAAAATAAAGTCGCTCAGAAGAATCTTATCAAAAGAGGTCCATTATCGATTCAAAAGAATCGTCGTTGTCTTTTTTTGAATACTCTTGAGTTCGATGATCTTCGTAGTCGCCTGAATATTTGTTCATGAAATTCAAAAGAGCAGTAATTTTCGGGCTTTGCAACCACGAATGAACGTCGCTATTCTTTAAATTTTCTGCAGGTGTGTTTTTTGTAGCTTCAATAAAGCTAAAAAGTAGAAAAATCTTAAAAATCTGCATTTTTTTAAATAATGATTTTTGCAACCCGGAATTATATCCACGAAAATTATCAATTATTCAAACTTTGTAATGAAGAAAAACAACTATTTTTCACTAATTATTGGCCTATTTTATGATGCTGTCAGCAAGAAAAATTAGCAGGCCACTTTTCAAAGCGAAAGAATTCTGCGAAAATTTAACGAGTTGTGACGCAAGATCCTCAAAGTTGACGAGTCAGTTTGCTGATTGAAGAAATCTGCTGATTAGGCCCAGCCAGATTGGCAAAATACTTTTCATCATTCATTACTTAGTTAGTCCTTGACAAAAATGCACAGTCCCTTTATCAAAAAGAGAGGAGAGAAAATCCAAAAAAGAGGAGAAATAAAGAGACGAGAAGGCTTTCTTTCAAAATACTGGAGTTTCTGCAATATTGTTATTCTTCATATTCTGAGATTTCTTCACCGATTAAAATCAAGCGAAGAAAATAAAACAACGAAAATCAAGCCTTCTGGAATCAGCGAAGAAAATGTCGACATAAAAGAAGATTCGGAGTTGTCAAGTTCAAATCTGTCAAATTCGTTTATTGAGCTAAGAAGCGGCAAAATTATCACTAAAGATTTTTGAATAAATACTCTTTCATTTCGGCATTTCTTACTTTGAATTGAGCCAAAATCGACGCTTTGATTGCTTGTTTTCTTCAATATCGAAAACCGCTGAAAATAACAAACCAAACCAAACCTGGCATTAATTGACTCAGTCTGAATTTTTCAGCGAACAAAAACCGCATCTTCCTGTTGCAATGTTTTTCAAAGTCATTTTAGGGCTTTTCTAGGTCGTAATGGAAAAAGTTTATTGAGAATTGTTGAGAAAACTCACATTCTGAGTGATCTTATTCTGTCATTAAAACTCTGTATCGAAAAAGTGTTGACGGGTGACTGATTCGTGGTTTTGAAGAGCATCCAATTTTGCTCTTTCAATTTCACCGCTGAAGCATTAATATTTCGTCGAACAGTCACGATCATTTTCATCCCCGTTTTACAGTTCATTTTCATCGAAATCTTTCTTGCGCCCATCTTTCCAGATGATGTTTTCATGTCTTCTATCATTTTTTCGCAAGTTAATTTCAGGTTTCAGATTTGCAAAAGGCAAGCAGAAGCAAGTTTTTTATCCTGAAGAAAGCCAAGTTCAGTCTTGGAACCTCGGAGGGGTATATTTATCAATAAAATACGTTCTTATACAGCTCTTATTAAAGAATTACTGGTTATTCAAGTGATTTCCTGAAGATAACCCAGAGCTGTCGGGTTACTTGGACTGAGACTGTTATTACAGCTGATCCATCATCCCCAGCCACTTAATTATTAATGTTTTCATCTATAAAAAGACGTCAGTGATCAGTTTAGCTCGCAAACAATTAAAATGCTTGTGAGAATCTTCCAAACTGCAATTTTTCTTCTCGCAGCGTCATTTTTCGCAAACGGTCAAGATTTCGAAAGTGACCAAAAAAGAGGCGCGCTGGACTTTTTGTCCAATTTAAATTGCCAAATCATGCCAGGTTGGTAAATTTATCTCTTAGCAGTTAAAATTTATGTTTCTAGCAAACTGGAGAGCGACAATGAGCGGCTGCCGGACTAAAAGAATGCCCATCACCTTCAAAAGTCTGCTGAACGATCTTTACAAGACTATGAATTAAAAATAGCGCGATATTTTTTGGATATTTTTATTCAATTGTAGCAGACGCATTCTTCGACGCGTATTTTTCGTAGTTTGACTTTTTTCCACTTCGGTCTTCCTGCCCCGTCGCGTAAGCCAATGATGATATCCACGGGGTAAAGTTTTTTGGGGTGGCTTTTTTCGGATATTATTTGATCAAGATAATGAAGGTGAAAGAAGGTCTATAGAATTTATGATAAAATCCGAATTCAACAAGACACTGGTCCAACATCTCTGTCACGGATACTTGCTATTGAAGATTTAAGACTAGATCGAAGCAGCTTGTTTTCATCTAAAAGCGGAATCAGTCATTGCATTGAATGAAATAACAGATCTTACAAAGAGAACTGTAGTCAAAGCATTCGCCTCTGCAGAAATTGACGTAAACTGGCGGGCTCCGAATGTAAAATTCTGTGATTTCCTTTTGAAGATTCACTTTTTCCTTGTTTTACAAAAAATCATTCAGCTGTAATAAAATCATAATGTTTTTGAAGAACAAGTGCCTATGAGAGGATGCATTTGACAAACAGCAAATGCCATTGGATCATTCTCCTCTTTTCTAGGGTCAAAAACTCTAGAAAAGACTAAAAATTATATCAACTCTGTAATGACCCGTTTCCCCGACTTCTTCTCATCCTTTCTTCTTTGTAAATCTCATCATAAGAAATCAACAATCTTGGTAAGTAAGATGCATCGTTTGCAGGATCTTTTAGCGTCCCGAGAATCCAGAGATCATTTGAGCAATCAGAATTCGATCGTTGAGGATAATTCCAACTAATTAGTTCGAGAGAGAGGTTTTCAAAAGAATCTTGGTCTATCCAATTTATCACGTGATCGGTTATCTTAAGAATTCAATAAAAACATACCCCCTTGAATTCTTCATACCTCGACATGATGCCACCCAGACCCTTCATCTTCCACATCAATCGTCTTCACAAGATCCCTTCGAAAAGGATGGTCGGATATCTTTTATCGGTACAAAGAAATTATCAAATCAACAAAGATTTTTTTCTTGCTTTTTTAGTTTATTCACTGTCGGCTCAGGATCGAGTCCATTTACGATTCGCGATCGGAGCACAGCAGAAAAATAAGGAAGATGGAAAAGAAAGGCGCGCTGTAATTTGCCCTCTCTCCGGTGGCTTTTCTATCAGAATTGAGTCAGGGTGGGGGTTGATAAAAATAATCAGCCAAGGAGAAAGCTCAAATTAGCATTGGACCGTAATCATAGTACAGAAGAAAAACAAGAAGGGCTGGAAGAATGGTAAGTTGTGGAATGCAGTCTTCTGTTGTTCTTGAGCACGGGATTGGTTCTCGAGCGCGCCAGGGCCATTTGAATCGGTTATGCGAGGATACCCTTGGCCACTTGGGTGTGGGGGTTTCGGAAGGCACCGTGGTACTGGGGCAAGTTGGTGTTGGAGCTCCAGTCCTTGGAGTGATCATTGGCGGGCCGCTTGAGGAAGATGTTGGAGTCCTTGACACCAGCGGAGAAATCGGTGATTTGACCAGCTCCGCTATCGACAAAGCCCTCGGCAGCGACGTGGTTGCATCCTTCAGCGTCGTACTCCAGGTATGGATCGCAACAGTAGTGGCAGACGGATTCGGTACCCTTGCCTCGTTGGAAATGACGTTCAGTTGCTCCGAATCGTCGATCGCCCCATCCTTGAGCGCTAGCCTTGCTGTTGCCGCTCTGAGTGTCGGCCTCCATCCAGGAGAACGCTCGCCACTCGTCGTCAACAGTGAAGGTACCGTCTTCGTGATCGTTCCAGGCGTAATGGTGTCGGCAAGCTCCGGATCTGACCTCGGTCTGGGAACCAACAGGGACGTACTGGGCGTCAACCTGTGTTGGGTTATCCTGATGGAAAGCAACACCGATCTGGATCTGGTAGTTTTGCCATTGCTGACGGAGGCAGCTCAGCGGCTGCTGGCAACCCATCTGGACTCGAACCTCAGTTGGGCCTGAAGCAGCGCCATTGAGAAGCTCTCCATGATCAACTGCGCTAACAGTTTGCCATGGAGCTCCTTGCTCGTAGTTCCACTCGTTCTCGGCGTGACGGATGATTCGTCGCTCGGAGATGTAGCAGAAGTAATCTTCACCTTGGCAGTAGACGGCGCCGTGTCGCTCGCTATCGCCTCGAACAGCGGAGGCACCCAAGCAATTGGCGTATGACTCCTCAAGACACGACCAGCAGATTCGTCCGTTTCCGAGGGCTCGGGCGACAGAGGCAACTTCGGGCGAGTTGGTATGCCCGGTGAAGAGAGCTCCTCCGGACTGATCGGCCTGCGACTTGCCGGTGTAGATTTGATCGTAATCGTAGTACGGGTATTGGGCAGAGACCCACCCGGCCAAAACCCCGGCGAGTAACTTCATCTAAATGAGATTCTTAGCAAAAATTGAAATCAAGGACGACAAATTATAAATTCAATAAAAATAATCTCTTATCTCAAAAACGTACCTTGATGTTAAGATGAAGTTTCCTGACTAAATTTTCATTCGCTTTCTTCTGAATTTTATGTCTCCAAAAAGCGCGCTGGTCTAAACCGCGCGGTCAGAACTTTAAACCATCTCTGTTTATAAACTTCTCTCAGCCCAGCGCAATAACAAGATTTCTCTCTTTTGCTTTCGATTTTTCTCATTTGTACCGTTCCTGGAAAACACTCACGGGAAATCGCTTTTGATGGTTGTTCGGGTTCGGCAACTTGTAGAACATCAAATGGGCGCTTTTCACTTTTCCTAGAATATGAGGCGGAAATCAACGAAAAAAACGCCCTACCGTGGCCGTTTTCGAAAAATGAGATGTCACGAGAGCTGAAACTCAGCCAGATATGGCCGCAGAGGTGGCCGGGAATTTCGGTTGCGAGCCGGGCGCTCGTAAATTGAGCCGATTCTAGAGTTAAATGAATGATTTAATTGATCTTTGCTGCAGAACTTATGATAATTTTTTTTACCTTGATATGATTTTTGCGGTGAATGAATGATGACTTTACTTTTTTCGCCTGTTTTAGCCACCTCACATTTTGAATTTTCGAGCTCAATTGCATCCTCTGCATCAATTTTCACCTCATGATCTTCCGGAGCCGGGCCAGAGTAATTCACAATCAGGTCGGAAAGGTTGTATCTTCTGCTGATCTCTTTTATGACTTGAAATTTCAGTGACTGAATTCTCTGCTCTCTCATGCTTTCGAGACTCATTTTTTCGGGGCATTTCTGACTGTCGTTTTTGCAAAATTGGGAGTTGACAAAAGGCAAGATAAAAGTGAATTTCATTGTTGATTTCTCGATTTAGTGCTAGTCATCAGGAAAGAGAGGTACCAGCTATTTAGCTACAGTAATTAATCAAGGTGCGATTAATTCAAAATGTCAGGGTTAATGAGAGGATAACTAAGAGTTCGCGCATCAAATCGGCGAACTATTTCATTGATTCTGAAGACTTTTTAAAAACATGTTTTTTTCTAAAAGGTAAAAAAACGTGTTAAAAATCTCCGATTTCAAAAATAGAGAAAAAGCTGCGCGGATGTGCATCTTTCGTGTAATGACTCAAGAGCCCACAACTCAAGTGGATAATTGTCAGAGAAGTTCTAGATCCACTTCGCCGCAATTAAAATTAGGTGGCGGTGAATCGACTCCACTTTCAAAGCTTTTCATTCTCCGAATATCTACGTGCAAGAAAAACATGCAATTAACTTCAAAAAACCCAGCAAAAATTTTTCTCTTTCGATTTTCCAATAAAGTATTTTCTATTTTTTTTTGCATTTTTTTATTTCAAGGAATTTTTATACAGTGGCAATTTTAAAAAGTAAAAAGAAATTAGCTATATAAAAAGAGAAGAGGGCATTTCAACTGCAGTTGTAGTTTCAAGTCGGTGTTCTTGAGTTTAGATGGCGCAGTCGTACTTGGTGTTGTACCAGTTTTTGACCTTTCGGAGTCGTCGGATAGTTCGGGAGACGTAGTTGCCTCGGCCAGAGCAAACGTAGTTTCGGACGTATGAGTTCAAAGCCCGGTTGATTTGCTTGTTCAACTGGCATTTGTCTTCCGGCGCGTCTCCAGTGTTGAAACTACAAATTTCCCGTTTTCTAAGTTCCGAAAATGAAGTACTTACGCAAAGATATCATCCCCTTGAGCTCCATCTCCAGATCCTGCTCCTGATCCTTCATCACAGGCAGTTCCCCAAGCGTTGGTGTTGTTGACCATTTCTTCGGTAAGCTTTGCGAGTCGGTTAACGAATTTGGCTGTGAATCGAGAGCCGCTGTTTACAGTTGGCATTGGCGCTGTCAAATTCTAAAGAAAAATTTTAGTAAAAATTTTGACTCAAAGAAATTTTCTTCAAAATTTGAAGGAATTTTTTGAAAAATTTTCAAAATATTTTTCATTTTAAAATTTGTTTTTTTACTTACAGCAATATTGTCCTGAATAACAGCCATTCGATCAGCAGCGTCAGTTTGAGCTTGAGCGGCGGCGAGGAGAGCAGCGAAAAATTTCATTTTGCGATTTTTTCTAAAGCTATTTCTTTCTCGATTTGGACCTGGAGAGTTTGATGAGAGCTAGAATGCTGAGAGCAGCTTAAATAGTGAAATTTCATGATTGCCCGCGCGCGCCCCGCCGCATGCGCATAAAATGCGCCACCAAGCGGTAGCGCGCGGAGACGGAGTTTTAAGGGGGTAGGCATCAGTTATCCAATTTTCTTATTGAACTCAGAGTTCAGCATTCCTCTGACAAGAAGCCGTCTATCTTCCTTAATAAACCTTTGTAGCAAATCTTAATTAACAAGAATGAAGAATGTTTCTTACTCCCAGAAGACTCAGATTTTGTCTAGCATGCGCGAGATTATTTATCTTGTTATTTAGCAGCAGAATTTAATTTAAACTCTGCTGAAAAATGATGTCTTCTGAGAACCACAATCGAAAACGTTCATTTTTCAAAAACCAAAAAGCCAAAAAAATGGGAAAAAGAAAGTCGAATCAAAAGAAAAACTCGTCGACAGGTAAAGTTCAATTTTTAAACCTTGAAATAAGAATAATGCAGAATAAACCGAATCATCAAAAAACACCTGTTTTTATCAAATATTCTGATTTATTTGACAGGCAGGCATTTTGTCGGTCATTCGTCGAGAGAAAATGCTTTTAAGATACCATCATTAATGATATATTTAATCACCTCAAAAAAATAATCATCGGCCCATTTTTTCCAACAGTGTCTGTTTTAAATGACAAAAATGGTCAGAGAAAAGGAAAAAAGACGAGATCTCGAGGAATCGGATTATCAAACTAATTCAGATTTTTTAAAATATTTTTTGTATTTTTTTGACAAAAATGGTTATGATTCGTCAGTTTTATTATAACCCCAATTTTTAGAATCTTTCCAGACCCCAGAAAATGGAGAATTAATCTAGAAGACGTTTCTGATTGGCTATAAGGCCGATAAAAAGCTTCTGATTGGAGTTGAAGTTGTCCGCCAATCAGAAGCCCTTTTTTGACCGGGCAGCCAATCAAAAATCTCTTTGAAATCTCTTATCCCCAATTTTCGTGTTATAAAGGGTCAACCAAAATTTTCGGGGAAAAATGAACCTAGAAATTTCTAAAAAATAAACCTTGCTTTCAAAGGATAAATTGCTAGGAAACAACTTGATGATCAATAAGCTAAAGCAGTGGTTACTGCTAGGAATTGATTGATTAAAAATATTTAAATCCTCTTTTGATAGTTTTTAGCCGCTAGCTTTAAATAGCCCATAATTAATGTCTGAAAGGCATGGATTTCTTGCGCCCGAATTCGCCAAAGAGAAAAGTGTCGATTCGGCTCGAAAAGATGAGAATTCGCAAAAAGGACATTTCGCTGAAGCGATTCCAGAGCATGCCGGATAAATTGAACACGATCCGCTCCCCGAAAATTCGTTCGCCCAAACCTTCCGCTTTCGGTTCATTCTTAATCTTTTGCGAAAAAGGGCATTGACTCAGCTTTTAACGAAAACATAATTCTAGCGCGACTCTTCGTCGAAATGGTTGGCGGTGTTTCGCAAGTTCCCTTTGTCGTGCCAGATGAACACAGGAAAGAAATTCTAGAGATAGAATTTTTGAAATTTTATTTTTGAAGTATAACTTATAGTATAAGTCTTATACTTTATACTGTATAAGCAAAATTAACGAAAATAAGGGTGTCACAATGATAAAATTTTAACAATTAATTTTGAATTTATAATTGTGACACCCTTATTTTCGAAAGTACCATAGTTATCATGGTTTATTTTTGTTCGAATTGGGACCCCTATTTTCTGCTCGAAAATAAGGGTGTCACAATCATATATTTAAAATTTATAGTTAAAAATTTATAATTGTGACACCCATATTTTCGAGCAGAAAACAGGGGGTCCCCATTCGAACGAAAATATACCATGATTACTATGGTACTTTCGAAGGCCTTCATAACATTGTGGAGAGCCCAGGGCCAGACTATTTGCATTCTCGAAAAAATTCACGAAATTTTCTTTGAATATTCTTTTTCGAAAAAAGAATGCATGCATATTCATTTTGGCCTATTCTCGTGCATATTCACGAACTTTTGAGCGGACAGGGACGGGGCTTCGATTTGGGTGGCGCCCACGAGCCGTGAGCCTAAGGGCCCGATTTGATTCCGCCGCCGGCTCGGAGCTCGACCAATCAGAGCGCGCAGCATTCGCGAATATTTGAGATATTCACGGATTTTTCAAAAATTCACGGAAGATATTCTTTTCCATTCATTTGAATATTTTCGCGTCGTGAATATTCATACAGCAATAAATAGTGAATCTTCGGCAAAAAGAATAACTTTGAGAATGCAAATAGTCTGGCCCTGGGAGAGCCTTAATTTCAAAAAGATTCAATCAAAAGCTCACATTGACAAGAAAAGTGAACGTTGATGAACAAAATTCCAAAGAAAAGCCATGTCTGCATGAAATCAAAAATCAGCTTGAAATCGTTAATTAAGAATTTCTCCAAAGAACTGTTTCCGCCTTGAGCTTTTCTCCCGACCAGCCGATTTCGGTCAGTGTTTTTATTTCGACGAAATTGAAAATTCGAAATTGCTGAAAATTATTATTTAGAGTGCGCCCGTCCCGATCCAAAATTCCAACGAGGAAAGAGGCTTTTTAAAAATAACAAAAACTAAATATGAAAATTTTTTTACAGTAGAAAAGAGCGTAAAAAGAAGGATGAAAAAGACAATTTCTTTCCCGAAAATGACGATAGTCTTCAAATTTTTCAAGAATTCGATCGAAATCGCGACGGAAAAATTTCAATTGACGAATTAATGACGACCCTAGGAACATGTTCCTGCTGTGATACACTCTGTCATCATTTTCAAGTAGAACATGTCTGAAGACGAACTCGGTCTGGCCTGCCATAGAGATGATGCGAAGCAAATGATTAAAGTCGCGAATAATTCAGCTGAAGGGAAAAATGAAGATGAAATTACTTTTGATTTGGTCAAGAAATTTTAATATTTATTAAAAAAATCATGACAAATTCGAAAATTTCTGAACCGAAAAAAGATTCTTTCAAACTTCTTCTGTCAGAAATCGATCAAATTGAAACCACTTAAAATATTTCTTTTTCAATAATTAAAAAAAAATACAGTGTTGTAAAGAATTGCCGGTCTTTAGAAATGACGTGTTCTTCTATTTTCCAAATTTAAAAAGGTCGATCAGCACTGAAAACAGGAAAATGGCGAGAGAAAATAAATTGCTCAGAACATGAAAGACAAATTAGATTCGGCGTGAAAACGGATGACCAGCTCAAGGAGGTTAAAGAGGTGTCAGCGTAAATTTCATTGTAATTTTTTTAAAAGCTGCGAAAATATGACGTTTTTTAACCGCGTGGGACGAATCCGCGCGTATGAGCGCGGGACGAATTGTACATTTCATTGTAGTTTAAGCGAAAACTTGAATAACTCGCGACTCGCCCATCCGATTCTCGGCAAATTTACAGACAATACTAATTCGAATATGAGCTTTAATAATTTCAACTTAAATTTCCGAAACAAAATCATTTTCATATTACTTGTAGCTCTCATTTTGACCGAGTGCAGTGATTGTGCAATGATTTTTTGCAAATATTATTCAAAATTTGAAATCTCCGGTATTGAAAACCTATATTTTCACTTTGAAAATAATAAAAATACCCAACTGAAACGAGAGTTATGAGTGAGAGAAAGAGCGCGGCGCGAAGTAGGTCAGACTTAATCCGGCGCAGAGCGCTGGTGGTGCGCGATAATTCGCTGAAATTTGAAAGAACGAGAGAATAAGGTTGTGCTAAGGCGCATTTCAATTTTCAGATTCATACGATCAGTAGTTTTTGAGCTAGGGCACTGCAAAGTCTTAAACTACATTGAAATGTACAATTCGTCCCACGCGGTTAAGGAGTTGAAAAGGACATCTTTTATTAAAATTTTACGCTTACGAAAACCGTATTCTTTACCGCAAGAAAAGGGGTTTGAAAGCTTCAACTTTACGATACAAGAAAATTAATTGATTGAAAATTCGGTATAAACTCTTATTTTCAAAACAGTGAATTAAATTTTAAGTTCACTTTAATCTAAGGTGGCGACGAAAAAAAGCCGCCAATCCATTCATTGAATGAAAAAATAGCTGATTAGATTAGGGCTCCATCGCCCGATGAGAGCCCCTCTTGGTCTCTAGAATTTCTTATCTCGCACGTTCCCTGATTTTATTCGCGACTTTGGACTCGATTCAGATTTCCAATCAAGTGGCAGCCAGTTTTGACAACTTTCGATTGAACAGAGACGCGTTTTTGCTCAAATTTCCGATAACAGAAAAAAAATATATTTTAACCTGTTCGGGAAAATGGCCTTTTTTGTGTATCAAACAGGAATTTAAAGCTTATTGATTTGAATATTTCGTCTGCTTTATTCTAAATTTTTGTGTATTCCAACCAAAACTAAGTATCAAAAAGGGCTTCGCCATTCAAATAAGGGTATCCCCGTGAAAGTCATGTGAGTGCAAAAATCGATTGCACAGCGAGTCGCTGAATGGTTAATATTTGCACAAAACGGTCGCACTTTTTCCGGCTTGCTCTTTTTCTTGCTTCAAAAAGAATGAGTAAGCTGAAGAAACTCGAGGGAAATCCCTCAAACTGGAATCTCGACAGTTTCTTTCAAAACTTAGAGAAGGAACTTGACGCGCTATCGATCGGGGAGGAAGATTACTTTCGAAAATATCCGTGGAAATGGACGGTTCCAGATGCAAAACACCCCGAAGTTGCGAATGATGATTTTGGAATTCCGGGCTCGGTCGAGGAGTTGGAGCAGTTGGTCGAGAAAAAAGCGTTTCGAAAAGCTGATGATCATACGAAAGAAGAATATTTTCAGGTAAAGGCTAGGGTTTGATGAAAAATCATGTGTTCAGTATTTGACATCAGCCGACTCACGAGCATACCTTGAAGCCCGAATGACCCATTACTTTGTCAACTCTGACAAAATCCGATCCGCCATGGCAGCTGGAAGAACTCTTCTGGGAAAACACGCGCCCAAGGAATTCGCTGGCCAGTTTTTGAAAGGAAAAATCGAGTCTTACCAGGTTTTCAAGACGCAGCTATACGCTCATGCTCAAAAAGCGCAGAATTTGAATTCCGAGGGGGCGAAAAATGCTCCAAATCAGACGAGATTGGGAAAATTAAGGAAAGGATATCAAAAAGCACGAAATTGACCTTGAATGACTAAATTTTAATTATCTTTTTGAGTATTCTTTATAAAGACAATTTTTACGAGAAATGATCTTCAACAAAAACCAAATGCCATTCGAAAAAGCCCGATCTTTCCGTGAAATCCTCGACGAATTCTTCATCGAAGACCAAGAAGGATTCGAATTTCCGGATATCGAAGGAGACGACTTGTTCTTTCGAGGAAAAGAAGAATTCACCCCGATTCTGAGCACGATTGGACTGTTACTCACGACGTTTGGACTCAGGTTCCTCATTTTTAATAAACAAAAAATACTTTTTATTAGTGAAAACGAATTCCGAAAACTAGAAGCAGATATCACCCTTCAAGTTCAATCACCTCTCGACTCCAAAACTCTCAATCAAAACAAATCCGTTTTCTACCACAAATCAGAAGAATTCATCAAAAAGAAAAATGCCATGATCAAGGAAAAAGAAGCAACTCTACAAACAACCAACTCTGAAAAGCCGAAAGCTGAAAAATCAAAAAACGAAGAGCCGAAAAAGCAAAAGGCCAAGAAAACTGAGAAGAAACAGTCAAAAGCCGAGAAATCGGACGAAAAACCAAAAAAGAAACAAAAAGAGGAAAAAAGCGAAAAACAAAAAAACGCTGAAAAAGAAGTTGAAGCTCAAAAATCTGATTTGAAATCAACCACAAAGGCCTGGGTTAGCAAAAATGCTATATTTACACATCGAACCCCATAAAATGCATTTGTAAAAACCATAAAAAGAACGACGAAAATAGCGGCTCCCTCCAGAAATCCGATAATTTGAACGAAACAAAGGCCAACTCAATTGACTCCTCGATTCCACCACCACCATCCTATGAAACCGCTACTCAAGATGGCAGAAAGTCAAAGAAAAAAACCCCTCTTCTCAAGAATCCTCCTCCCGGAGCGCAAATCTGCCCTCCAACTCACGATGACCAAATTGAATACAATCAGATGTTACAACAAACGATGATGGATTACCGCCACGGGCCGGAAGGGCAAGGGCATTTCCCTTACTATCATGGACCTCCTGGTCCTCCCCATCATCGAGGAGGCCCTCCTCACCACCGTGGAGGACCCCCTCATCATCGAAGAGGACATCCCCACCACTGGGGAGGGCCGCACGGAGGACCCCCGCACCATGGAAGACCTCATCATCGAGGAAGAGGAGGCAGAGGAAGATGCAGATCAAGAAATCGTGAAGAAGATTTTTCTGTTCGAAATTTCGAGGAATAAAAAACCTGATAAAGGAGAAAAAGGGGCTCTTGTTGACTTTGGCCAGGGAGAGGCTGGAATTCCCTCTGTTTGTGAATTTAAGTTCTTTTGTAAACAATTGAAAATTGTCAATCAGGGCAGAATCTTGTAGTTCATCGCAACTGAGATTTTTTCCTAGAGAAAAAAAAACAATGAAGCTTTCCTTCGGACTTCTAGCAATCTTTGCCCAAGCAAAAGAGGAAACTTGCTTCCACCCGAAATTGGCGCAGTTTGACAGAGTAATCAGAGGAAAATACAAACGAAAATTTGAGTTTGAGGTAATTAAGGCTTTACACAACAGTTTCAAGAACTCACTGCAGCTGGAATAAAGAACCCTGATTGATCGGCTTATGAATCATTTTTACTTCGTTTCTTAATTATTTTTTCAACGAAAAAGTACTTCCTCGAAAGGGTGACTCGGACGTGTCCCCTTAATCCATCGAATCTTCATATTTTTGCGGTGAGCTTGGAGATCTGGTTTATCTCTGAAGCCGGGATTAAAGATGACCGTATTTGTGTTAGCGATTATGATTACGCCAGTCCAGGAATTCGGGTTCGCGGTGTTTAGAAAGCTCACTAGAATCATGAATCGCTTCAAAAAGATAAAATTTAAGGGTGTCAAAATATTAATTCTTCTTCTTTCAAGGATCAAGCTCGCTACTTTTCTCAAAAATACAACGAAATGCTTCCAGTCGTCGGAAACCTGACCATCCAGCTCCACGAAATGGAAGATCATTACAAAAGCTGCTCAGGTAAATTTCCACTTTTCTCCTTAAAAAACTAGTAATTCTAGCGTTCGGGGCCCTTACGCATTGTCCTCCGTGGTGTTTTCTAAAGTCATGATTTCGGTTTTCTTTTTTTGTTAATTCCAAGGGGCCGGACTGCGGCAAAAACGTGTTCGCGATAAAATTACCAACGTAAACGGGTTGATAAAGGAGGGCTAGAATATCGCTATTTACTACAAGCGTGTGATAGAAATCCGCTTTCCAAGTGAACATATGCATTTATCGCGTGCCAGTCGCATGCTTTGAAACCTGTGTCAGGAGCAGAAAACCTGAGTCAGGGTCTAAAAACCTAAGTCAGTGTCTAAAAACCTGAGTCAGGGTCTGAAATCCTGAGTCAGGGTCTGAAATCCTGAGTCAGGCTCTAAAAACCTGAGTCAGGGTCTGAAAACCTAAGTCAGTGTCTAAAAACCTGACTCAGGGTCTGAAATCCTGAGTCAGGGTCTAAAAACAAGAGTCAGGGTCAGAAAACCTGAGTCAGGATCTAAAACCTGAGTCAGGGTCTGAAATCCTGAGTCAGGGTCTGAAATCCTGAGTCAGGCTCTAAAAACCTGAGTCAGGGTCTGAAAACCTAAGTCAGTGTCTAAAAACCTGAGTCAGGGTCTGAAAACCTGAGTCAGGGTCTAAAAACAAGAGTCAGGGTCAGAAAACCTGAGTCAGGATCTAAAACCTGAGTCAGGGTCTGAAAACCTGAGTCAGGGTCTAAAAACCAGAGTCAGGGTCATAAAACCTGAGTCAGGGTCTAAAAACCTGGGTCAGGGTCTGAAAACCTGAGTCAGGATCTAAAACCTGACTCTGAATGGTCTTTTAATTCAGGTCTTTCGAGCCCTGACTCAGGTTTTCTTCGCAAGCTGTCGAGAGGAAAATTGGCGGATTTTGAAAGATGACTCAATAAATATCAGATCTAAAGCGTTTTCGGATTTGCGATGCGTTTATAATTGCTGCGGTTAAAGAATTTCACACTCGAGACTTTTAAGAAATCCAATCCAGTTGGTGATGCACCTAAAAAATTCTTCTGATTTTTTAGAAACCGTCTTTTGGTTTTTTTGTATTTTTCTAGCGCCGCTAGAATTTTTTTCTAAAAAGATAAAATTTAGGAATGGTGCGCAGATGTCACGAACAAACGAATCTTCTACCGCGAAAAATCCACTCTTGGTATATAATTACATTGTCAAAAGCGAGAAAGACGATCTTGTCTTTTTAGCTTTTCGATGTTTTTAAAAAGTGGCTTTCAAACATTTTGAATTTTAGCTTGCAAGAACGTTGCGAGCAACGTTTTGGACTGTCAACGAGTTTGAGTTCGATGAGATCTTCTGGGCAACGGTTAGTTTTGTACTTTTAAAAAAGGGTGTTAAAACGATGATTAAGACGATGCTATGAGCAAAAGTGCCAAGAATGCAAAAAGTGCGACTGCCCTGTCTGCAGAACTGACTGTATTACGCCGTGGATGTCTGACTGGGCTCAGCAACCTGTGTTGAACTCTGACTCAGGGTCCTAAAAACCGTTTTTTAAATGAGAAAACCCACTACTGGTACTTTTGAGCCGAAAGAAGCGCCTTTTTTTCAGGTTCTTTGAGGACTCTGAGACTCAGGGCCTGAGTCAGGCTTTTAGACAGGTTTCTGAGCCCAGACTTTTGACGTTGCTCGATATTCTAGGCTTGGTTTTCAAGGATTTTTTTTTGATATAGTTTTTTGGAAATGATTTGAACTACCTGAATTTATCAAAATAAATTGAATTTATCTTCTTCCGGAAATTTAAGGCTCCACCATAACGAATGCATAATCATAAATCTCGAGCCGTTATTATCCGAATAATGAAATCAAATACGATCCCGGGATCAACCTAAATTCAGGAAATCGCAGCAGTTCGCCAAAGATGGCTCATTTTAGAAATGCGATAAAATTTCTCGAGAGGCGAGATTTTCGGCTTTTCACTTAGATATTCGTTCTTTTTCTGAGTTTAAAAAGTTCCCTTGAAAACCTGCGGAAGCGATGCGGAATGTATCAAATCCGAGTACAAGAAGCTCGCCGAGGAAAATCAAAAACTGAACGAGGAATTTCAGGCTCCGGTCGACACGTTTTCTAGAGCTGGTTCTAGAGCTCAAATGACAACCGGGATTAAAGACAGCGATTGAGAATTCTTGGGCGATTTCTCAACAGGAACACGGTTTTTAACGAAAAAATTAAGGGTATATAAACGATAAGAGCAATTTTAAAATGTTTCGTTTCTACGAGAACCCCACATTTCTGTCTAGAAAATTGCGTTCAATTATGATCTCCCTTGATTTAATCAAGTATTTTCGCTGTAATTTATTTAGCGATAAAAACTGGCGCAAGAATTATTGAGACGCGAAAACGTTTCAGAAGACGCTTCAATGCTTATTTTATCAGTTGTTATCAGTGTTTTCGCCATTTTACCGCTTCTCCTGCCCATGATAACTTTTCTTTATTTTTGTCTCTAGAAAATTTTTTCTTAAAAACCATTACAGTATGAAATGCTTATGGCCAAATACGGTAAGCTCGTTTTCTTGAAAGTAAGGTCGTCAAATTACTAGATCTTGGGCTGAAACACTACGAAGAATACAAAGAAGCGTACAACAACTGCTTCGAGTCGCTAGAAAAATGCGATGCCCAGCTTAATCATCTCAGATCACAAGTTTCTTCCTGCGATGAAAACTGCGAAATCGACCAAAAATACATTCGAGGAAACGGACGATTCAAAACTCTTGTTTTCAGAATTCAAAAGTTTGAAGAATTTCAGCTTCATTCTTAACTTCTCAATGCACGTGGTCCAATCATTGGACCACGGCGACTTTGACCCCCTGTAATTCCCGTTGTTGTTATCTGTTTGACCTGAATTATGTAATGTGAGCTGACAAGACAAAAACGAACCACTCTGTGAAGTTTCGAATGAAAACTCAAAAGTGGTGGCGTTTTGCGCCAGATTTCTCTTTCGCTCTCTGGTGAAAAATCGGAACGGATTTTTCGATTTACAATTGTTTACATTTATAGAAGAGGGTTCAAGCTTTCTAGCAATATATTCACGAGCTTTTTTACCCGACGGAAACGTCAATTAGAGCCAAAAGTCCTGAGCGCTGTTTTTCACACTCTGAATTTGGCGCGCCGCGCGGGGCTGGATAATGCATTGTGGTCCAATAATTGGACCCCGTGTATTGAGCGCTTAGTCGCGCGCCCGTGTATTGAGAAGTTAATAATTTAAAAATTCAGATTCGAGGCCGCTAACTTGGAAAATCTGGTCACGTGCGAAACCTACAAGTCGAAATGCGAACAGTGCAATTATTCTTGTTACTGTGATCGCTGCCCTAGATGCCTTGACACTGAATAAAATTTGTTCTTTCTTCTTTGAAAAAGATTTCGAGATAAGGATTGTTTGTCGATAATGAGCTTTTTACGCGTGTTCTTTTTGGAACGTGACATTCTGACGAGTTAAGAATTCGTGTCCGGTGAAGGATATACCGATAAGGTCTGTTGAAATTGAGATGATCTTTAATAAAAAAGAAGAAATGGTTTATCGAAGTTTATTTTACAAAAATATTTTTTAAAAAACGATTCAATCACAAAGGCCGATACAACCAGTCATATATGTGAACAAGTTTCCAATCTTTTAAGGTCTCTTTAATTTAATAGCTCTTTCGATATCATCTTTTTGAAATAAATTAGAAGACCGTCCCAGATGAAAAATATACATTGATGCTCTGACCCACTCATCCGGGTGGAAGCCGGAATAAGGGTCGATCATCAGGCGTATTGATGTCCATATTCCAATCGTAGCCGTGTAAATCATCAAAGCACTTTGTTGATAAATTAATGGAGAGTGGCGTAAAACTTGATTCTTACCAGACAAAGCCAAAGTACCAATCATAAGGCAATAAGAAATAGCCAAGAAATCCACATGGTAGAAGAAGAAGTAGGAAAATGACAGTAAGGAGGGTACTGATGTTAAATAAATCTGAATGAAAAGCGTACTTTCCGAAAGCAATACCGGTTTTACCTATTCCAGCAAGAGCTAAGCAAACTCCAATAAGCAGAACTGCAACAACGACCCCAAGAGAAATTCCCATAGTACCTGAGAAATAATCAGATTATTTTTTTGATCTTTCCTTAATTACCAGCAGCATTTGCGCTGCAAATTGCGGCACTTTCTTGATAAAACTCTTGGCCTAATGAATGTATACAGTTAGGCTTATCCAAAGAAACACTACAGCAAAAAGCTGTTTTGCAAATAGCGGTATTTCCAGTTGAACTGTTGACCGCCCAAAGATTCGCTAGAAAAGCATAGCCGGCTGACATGATAAAAGTCCAGAAAATCAGCACAAAGAGATTCAATGGCCACCTTCTCGTTAGCGTATCTGAGCAAAAAATAACCAACCCAACTAGCGGGACAAGAAGCGTAAAGACATAGTACAAGTACCACTCTGAAGTCAAAGTGCAGCCAACATTGTAATCGTATAAAAACCAAAAGGTCATTCCGACCATAACTGAGACCATGGCGCTAACTGTCAATAGAACTTTGATGATGAAATTTCGCCGCGAAATTGGATTGTGCATATTGCTTTGTATGTAACCAACAGTAGCCGCAGCACCGCCATGGCTACTGTAGTAATTTGGCGGAGTAGATGAATCATCAGAACTTGAAGAAAACCGAGAAACTTCGTCCCAGTGGTATCCTGGTAACGTTTGGGCGCCGTAAGTTACAGGCACTTCTGAGACAAGCTTTCCGTCATCGTCGTAGGTTTTCATAACGCTGATAAAAATGAAGATCACTTTCGATTCGAAATCATACCTGCTCTGAGGCGGAACCGGATAAACTTTGTTTTCATTCATTTTCTCTTCGTAATTTCACGCGGGTTTTAACGCGTAAGTACACATTGGCAAGAGTCGTATTTGCCCTCGTCGCTAAGCTATGCAAAAAATATTTATTGATCATCTGCATCCGACAATCATTTAACGAATGCTCTAATAAAATAATGGGATAACATATGTTTAGTTGAAACTAAGAAAGATCTTCTATTTTCTTGGGCCTGGGGCTGTTGGTGCCATTTGGTGGCCGATTAAAGTTTGAATAATTTCTCCCTTCCGAGAGAGTAAAAAAGGGAGGCATAATGAGAAAAGTCTGGCATTTTCACAGAGATGACCAGTGCGGAGTCGTTTTCCAATTCTGATGACAGCTATTATGAGTAAGTACTTCAGCTTTAGCTTGCAAGTGAAATCAACGAAGACTTTGGGGTATCTTTAGGTGACCCATTGATTATGTCTTAATAGATGTTATAACAAAGTTCATACAAGCCTAAGACCCTTATTGTCAATAAGTTATTGTCAATAAGTTATTGACCTAGATATCTGTACTTTAATTTGTATCCTTATTTTTGTCCGAAGTTATCCATTTGAAAATGAGCCTGGAGCTCTCTTTGAATAATTGATGGCGTCGAAATAGAAGATAATCGGCGGAGAAGTTGTCGGAATCTGCGCATATCGCAATCGCTCTTTACAACAGATGATCGCCTTCATGATTCGGCACTTATCCAGATCAGTGCATGGAGAATAGAAAATCATTGCATTTTGCAAGTTTAATATTTTAGCCGCAAAATAAGGGGTCGGCAAAGAAGTCCATTTTTAAAAAAGAAGAGGGTCTTTCAATCCATTTTCACTGAAAAAATCACACAAAAGAGACTTTTCTTGAGCTGAAAAATGGTCCAAAATAGGACACGAAGGACCTCAAGTTGAAGATTAAATTAAAAGAAGCGAACTCATATTTTATTCGCGGTACAAATATATTGAATTATTTGCAAATAACACTTGCCGCCAAGTCAATAACAATATATCTGGAGGAATGTAAAGAAAATAGAGACGATTTTTTTTTCGCGCAGGTGGCGCCAAAACAGGTTCTAGTTTAAAAATGCATAGACTTTTGGATTGTTATATGCAAAAATTATAGCCGACACAAGGCAGCCCGTTTAACTTTCTCGAGATCTAAACAATCAACGCCAAAAGAGAGACGGAAAAAAGAGAAAAAAACACGAAAATGAAGCTTCAAGCAAAAAAAATTGAAATCAAGGAAGACTTCTCAGATATTTTGTTTTTGTTTTTCGTTTCTGTTTATACGGTAAATTGGTTTTAGTTTGAAAAAAAACACGCTGTAAATTTTTAGCTTCTGCAAATAAATTATTTTTTGATTTCTTTCCAGCTCTGACTACTAAATTACTTTTCTCAATATTAAAAATGAATGTTCGAACTTGGCCATATTTTGATTAGTATTGGATACTCGTGTCCAAATCCTCCGACGCGATATTACCGCAAAATTGGTACCGATTGAGAGCAATTACAATAAGTGTGTCTCTCGGGAACACTTTGCCTTCAGTCAGGAAGAAATAATCCTTTTCCGACTGGTTAACTAATAACCGCAAAATTATTTTGCATTATTGATACTGCCACTCACCGATACTAAGACAATACTTAGTCGCATCCATTTTCTGCTGAATCAAACAAACAGAAAAAAAGAGGTTGAAAGGGAGGCCTCAAGAATCTAAGCCTTTTCTCTTTTATCAGCCGAGAAAGATAATTTTAATCTTCAGCTGCGGCGAAAAAGAGGGAAAATTTTCGATAGTTTTTTTTTATTTTTTAGAGAAGTTGAGAAAACTCGAACATAATTCTTTTCGCTTTCAGAATGATGGAATATAAGCTTCAAAACGGTATCGACGTGGATTACTATCAAATGGAAAGCTACCAGTAAATACATCAAAAATATACAGTTTATATACAAAAATCGTTTCAAATGGTCAATTCCGCCTCTTTTGAACAAAAACAAACAATTTTCCTAGATACACAGACACTCTCCTCGAGCAAGATGTCGACGGGAAAATCTACACAAATTCTTCGAGTCGGAAAACAGGTCCTCAACCAGATCGGGGGAGAAGACAATTGATAATCGCTACTGGCATTTGCGCAGTCTTCTTTGTCGCAGGTAGATTAGATGAGCTCTGAAAGAGAAAACTGACGATTCTAGAGCTTCTTGGTGGAATGTACTCGGGGTCTTTGGCAATTTTGACGGATGCGGCGCATCTTTTAACCGACATGAGCAGTTTTGTCATCTCTTTGGTGGCGATCCACTTGGCGGAACGGCCTCCTGTAAGTCGCATTGCGCGGATTCATTATTCATTTTGATCAATTTAAGACGAAAACTCTCACATATGGATGGCACAGGGCAGAAGTTCTTGGAGCTCTGATATCTGTCGAGGCCATTTGGATTCTTACAGGCATGATTCTATCTAGCAAGCTTGTTTTTGAGCGTTTTCTGTGATGAAAGTTTTTGAATCTTTTCGAAGCAATTTTATGTTATTCGGCAGTTCAAAGGATACGAACGATGGACTTTGAAATTCATAGCTCAACTATGGTCGGTTTGAGCGCCTGTGCCATTCTTGTAAATATACTGTAAGTTGAGCCAGTCGATTCTCTTTTGGCTTCAACAACTTTCAGGATGTTCTATGTTCTCTGGGGCAGTGGACATGGCCACACGCACGGCGGACTTTCCGGTGGACACGATCATTCTCACGGCGATTCGAGTGAAAAGAGCCATACTCACAGGTTAGTTTATCTGACTACTGTAGTTTCTAAATGAACTTTAGTCACGGCCACAGTCATTCTGGAGATGGCGAAACGCCTCTTAATGTTCGTGCTGCCATCATTCATGTCATCGGCGATTTATTACAGGTAGACTACTTTCGTTTCTTCAGTATATCTTTTCTCCCGTATTACTCTACTAATTCTAGAGCTGTGGAGTACTGATTGCCTCCATCGTCATCTACATCAACCCCGAGTACAAGATCGTCGATCCAATATGCACATTTATGTTTTCCGTCATCACCCTGATGACGACTCTTTCAGTAGTCAAGTGAGTCGTTCTTCTTCTCGCTGAATATTTAACCCCCTTATTTTGTCCAGAGACTTGATCAGATTTATTATGGAGGGCTCGCCAGCAGGGCTCAACTTGGAACAAGTCAAGAAGGATATCTCCGTTGATGGGGTTCTCAAAGTACACGATCTGCATGCGTGGGCGTTAACTCCTCAGCAGTGGGTTTTAACCGCTCATGTCGTCATAAGTAAATTAAAAGAAATGTCCAAAATTCTAAGGACTGTCCTTTCTAGATACTGTCAATTACAGTTGCGAAGACGTAGTTAAACGCGCGGTAGCTTCAGTCAAATCTGAAAAACGCTTTCTCTCCGTCACTCTTCAACCTGAAGCTCACGATCCCGATAAGCCGGTAGTAGCCGACCTTTGGAATTGTCAACTCAAATCAGCCTGGACTAATGAAGTCTAGTTTTTTATCAGAAAAAAATCTATTCTAAATCTGAAACGATTTCGAATATTGATTGCTCAATTGAGTGAAAATTCTTTTATAACTCTTTTTTATACCTTATTTATTTATCTTTTCCTGTCCTTTAAAAATATCGCGAATCATCAATATATAACAGATAAATATATTGATCACTGTCAAAATAAAAATCAAAATCAATTGATGAGTCAGTTTTTCTAGTGCATAAGAATGAGATACATGTCGACTTGCAAATCTCCGAAGCCAAAGCCAAGAACAAGACCGGGGACGAGACCAGGGAGTTCGGCGAGTCAGGAATGGTCCGCAAAGAGATTCTTCTTCTAGTGAAAATTCTTCAAGTAGGGGGGTCCTCCAGGGACAAAAAATAATATATGCTCGCTTGGTGACGCTAATATTTTCGGGTCAATCATCAAAAATCATCTATACTCCCAGTCAACCTTTATTTTGACAGGAAGATTGAAAATAACAAATGAAGAGGACCTTAAAAGCGGCAATCACTTTATTCTGTATCAGTAGCTTGATGCATCAAAATTTTTATTTTTCACTCTTAGTTTCATTTTTCATATTCCAATAAAATTAGTCTGCTATGCTTTAGTATTGTCGAAAATGAATCCATTTTTACGACGATAATTCTGCTTGATTGCTGCTTTTTAACAACAATCTTGAATCTTAGATTTTCAGACTCAGAAGCAGCCAATTTTATCTTAGTTGACCGTTTTTTAAACTGTCGTAAAATCGTGAAAATGCCAAAAAAACGATGATTAGAGTCGAAACATGTTTATTGTTTCTCACGCAAGGGCAAATGATGAGCGATCGGCGTAAATCGGCGCGCGGCGGATTTCCCGGTGGAAGAAGTGAGCTTCCGAAAGCGTGCCTTTTGGACAAATGGACGGAAACGAGGGATAGTGATTTTCTAGTAATGATGACAGCTGGTGACATTTCGGGGAAGATTGAAATCAAGGAGGAAAATAGTTTAGTGGACTTTTCGGTTATTCTAACTACGAATCATCGAGAAGAGAATATGTACCTCCTTCGAAAAATAACTTGAGTAGGACAAAAGCCTTTTCACTTTTGAGGTAAGTCCCACTTCTTGGCGTCGCTTCAATGCTGAATATTTAACAAAGCCGTGCAATCGCATCTCAGCGCTCGAACTTTTCTTTCAAAAAGATTAAAAAGAAAGAAGAAAAAATAGACGATTGAACATTTTCAACATTTTTTTTTCAGGCTCATTTGATTGAGGAATCCTAAATTTTAAAAGAGAGGGACTATTTGTTTTTGTGAAAAGTGACGAGTTTGAACTTCGGAACTGGCCAACAATTCCAAAAGAAAAAGCCATAAGAGAAAAGCAAAGACAATTATCACCGGAGAATTTGAAGTTTTGCAAACAAACAGAAGCCCACAAACCAAATTTTTCCTCATTATTAAAATCCAAAATTCAGAGAATTCCAATCAACTATGCAACTTAAAACAGCAAGATTTCAAAAGTAGGATTTTTCCTTTTTCTTGACTCAATTTTCCGGCGTGGCGCCAAAAAGAGGGATTTTCCCAAATCAGTCTCTCAATTAGCGCATTAGAATTTAATACTCGCCATGCCAGGCGAATCTCAATTACAACACAGTACAAGGCGGCGAAATTTCGTGCCGGAAGCCCGTTCGTGCTCACTCAACCGGAAGAGATGAAAGACAAGAGGAAATAACCTCCGAGGAATCAGCTGATTTATCCAAATAGCTTCTGACATTCGAGCATTCCTGCTTTTTGACTGCTTTGATCAGAGAAATCATAAAAGAGTTTCTCGCGCTCGTTAACATTTTTTAGAGTCGATGCAGGTTTGAAGTAGCTTCGTGCTCATTTACGATCAATCGCTCTCGCGCCAGCTCCGCAACTAGAGCCCCGGAATTAGAGAAAACATCATCGGAAAAGAGCTTTGAAGAATAAAGATAATAAGAAGAGGAGAAGAACCACGATGAAGATACTTTTCGCGCTCTTTGCTGGGTAAATTCGATTTTTAAGAGAAACCATAAATTTAAAAAAAACTTTATAAATTATGAATTTTACCGGAATTCTCGGCTTGGATGTGAAATTAATCATTTTTTATTTATTATTTATTTCAAGAAGTGACGGAATTTCAGCATTTCCACTAAATTCTAAGTTTCTATCGACAAAAAATCATTTCAAGCAAGGACGAAGATGAAGATCTTATCCCCAAAGTTTTCAAGAAAGCAAGAATTTGACATTGACTAGAGTCAAGCCATTCACTTTTGTGATTCATCAGTCGGCCTTTTTGACCTATTCAAAAATCATTTCAACCAAGCCGTTAACCTTTTCACCTTCAGGACTCTTTGCCAGACCGTAGTAGAGTCGACCAAATCAAATCCGATAGTGCTCACCGGCACCTGTCTCACGTTTTCGCAAGGCCAATGTCGAAAACTCGCCGCCTGGCACGTCTACAAAGGTACTTCTATTCACAATTCTCTTTAACAAAGCCGTTTTTATTGTTCATTTTTTGATCTGACAGGCGCCGCATCCAACGCGCTATAAATCATATGAACTTAATCCGTCCTGTAGTCAACAAAGAGAATCATCTTCTTTGTTTGTTCTTGAAACATATCTTTTAAGGCGCGAGTCTGGTAGACAAAATCAAGAAAACGGAGAACATTGACCGCTTCGAAACTGACGTTGTCGATGCTCTCGATGCTTCAAACCTCCATCGCTACTTTCGTCAGGACCAGACGAAAATTCTCTTCGGCGATGTTGTCGATGGAAAGCTCGTTCTTGGAAGAGAAGGTAACTTCTTCCCCAAGAGCCTTTCCTACAGTTTTATCTTTCAGTGAGCAATGTCTACTCGAAGAGCTTGAATACCATCACCGACGTCATCCGAATGGAAAGCGTCAACAGTAAAGAAGCCGATTTCGACGAACCAGCAGTTGACCGATACGAGCCGGAACCAACCGAGGCTTACGCACCCATTCCTCCAACTAAAAAGCCCGAGACAACAACAACTACCAAAAAGCAAGTGATTTCCATCGAACCAGAGTACTCTGATTCGTCGGACAGCAACAAAAGCGAAGATCAAACCGAGTCGCCACCGATTAATTTCCTCCCGGTTGAAGAAACTGAAGCTGAGCCTGATGAGAATATCTTCGAACCTCAAGTTATTGAGCCCGAGGTAAAAAATCAATCATAAATTAACGAAGAGAGTAAAACTCATTCTCAGCTTGAGCCAGTCGAATGCACCTACGAATTCGGCAACGAAGAGGAACTCTGCTCTTGTGCTCTTCCGTTCGAGCCGCTGCAAACTATCTACCTCGAAGCGTTCGGCGTTGGTTGTGAAAACATGTCGAAAGAAAAAGTGATTGACTGCCGGGAAGCGTGTGCTCATCTGTTCGAAGAAGCTTCCGGTGATGAAGAATCCTCTGGCGACAGAGTCGACGATGACGAAGATTACGACGATGAAGATTACGAAGATTATTCGAGCGAACGAGCATCGAATCCTTCTGGCTACTCTCTTGAATACGAAGGTCAGTTTTTCATCTTTCAACTTTGATTTTTCATTTCATTGTTTTCAGAAGATCCTTACAGAAGCTCAGCCCCGAGTGCTCGATCCTGATCTTGCTGAAAATGCAACTATTGAAATTCGCCTCTGATTCCAAATAATTCAATTTTAATATAATATTGCGACCTCCAATAAATATGAAACAGAGTTTATCTTTCTCGTGTTTTTTCTTTATTGTGGCAAAATGAAAAATAAAAAACTTAAAAAAAAACAGTGAAATAAAGCGTTTCTTTACGCCTTATGCTTCATCTTTTTGAGCGAAAACTCCAGTCTTGCGATGACGGTCTCGTTGGACTCGTAGTCGATCTGCTTTCCCGGCTGAGCTTCATGTTCGGACCACCTTTGGATCTGAAACTCTAGGCCGTAGTTTTCCAAGCGCTTCGTTGAATTTTCTTGCATGCTAGCGTGCTTGGCGAATAAAAATGCAGCCCGCCACTAAAATTACATTTTGCAAGAGAAAATCAAGTCAACTTACCTTAGTGCGATCTTTGCTTGGCTGCTTCAGTAAGACACTCTTTGCATCTTCTGGCCCGTAATCGTTGAAGGGTGTAACTTGATGCAGAGGAACCCATTTCGTAACTGGTCGTTGGAACTTCCCCAGCTCAGTTGGCATCATCGTCACGTGAATGCTTAAAATTTTCGTGAAATAGGCATTATCTATCTAAGCTCAACGGGAGACCGATTGAGGACTTCATGTCACTCACATCAGTTGTTTGGAATTTAAGCTACCTGTCAAAGTGTTTATTTTTCTTCATGAATTCGCCTATTGCTGGTTCAACTTCAACTTCCATGGTTTGAAATAAATATGCGTAAATTTTCGGCATAAAAGTAAATTTCAAACCAAGAACCTATGGCTGGCCATGGCAGTCGTTGCGAGTTGACTCCAATCCAGACGACGGAGCCGATTGTGCATCGCCAATCATAGTAAACCCAGTATTTGAAGGCACCCTTAACAAATTTGTCTCTGAGGAATTTCGACTTTGCTGATTGCTTACCGGTTGCGCAGGCTCATATTCAGCTTTCGAGCAGTCGTTGAATTCTTCATTTGGATTCATTTTGCAAATCCAGTCTTCCGGTAGCAGTGCAGGGTCTATGAATTGATGAGAGCCTATCTTTTAAAACTTTTATTTACCTTGAACATTTGGTAAGTATCGCCACTTTTTGCAATCAACACATTCGACCCAAGTTCCTTCTTCTTGAAGAACTTCGCTTGACCATTCGTTTCCGTGCCAATTTTTACCGTGAAGCTTGACAATTCCAATTCTGCTGTTCTCGCTTTCGGACGCTGTGCTGTCGTAATTTCGGATGAAATTTGTTCTGATGACCTTGGGTGCAGTTTTCGGTCGATCAGCTGAGTCTGTTGATGTCGAAGTTGTCTCTGACTGCGTTTTTCGGAAGGTGAAGGGAGCCTTTTTCTTCGAAAAATTCGTAATCGGCTGATTCTGATTTTGTTCGTTCTCGTTGTTGATTGCAATTTTAACCTGTTTGGGAAGAGGAATCTCGCTGCCCTGAGTGGATTGAAACGTCCTAGTAGTTTTCCGACCACGATTTCTGGACGGGACTTTCCTCAACTCTACTTCGTCATTACTTGTGCCCGTGCTTGGTATTTCTTCATTACTGCTCGACGGTATCGGATCGGGACTTGAGAAGCCCGGATGCGAAGCTGGTGGATTTGGCAAGACGAAGGCAGAGTCGTTTGAAGCTTGAGTGAAGGTTCGAGCAGATTCGAAGACAGGAATATCGTCGTCAACATTGTCAGAAGAGAAGTTGTCGAATCCAAGTTGACCAGGGGCCGCTTCTTGTCGATTTTCATCGTTCGGAGGGCAAATCAGCCTCGTGCTAGCCACTTTTTCTGGAGAAATCGGAAGAGGACTCGGTGATGCTGACGATTCCGACGAATCAGAGGCTTCTTCTTCTATTCTTTCAGAGTAGACTCGGTTTTGCTCATGTGCATCAATGTGGGTTTTGACGGAAGAATCTTGTCGGTTAATTCGATATGCGCCGACCAGTTGTGCTCTAAATTCATCTTCACTCATTCTTGACGAGATTGTCGACGAACTCAGACGCCGAAGTCGTTTGGGCTTGAGGATTTTGCCACCTAAAATCAAGGGTTTATTAATTTTAATTTCCATTTTCTATCGGCAAATTTTAGCGGAATAATTTATATCGGAAAATGAACAAAGAACTTACCATTATTACTAAATGACCTTCCAAAATCTTGGGGATTTTCTCTGTAGTCACGTGAGCTCATTTTTTTCGATTTATTTTTCGTAATGAAGGAAGGAGCTTTGCAAAGCAACGCTTCTAGAAAAAATTTTTGCCGGCTCGAACAGACGAACTTCGCTCCAGAAAAGAAACATCACAACGCTCTAGATTAGGGTCCGGCATGGATCAGGGTCAGATTTTTTTATAAGCCCATTTCACTTTTATCGAATTCCCTAGGTCAAAAAACATATTTTATTCCATTACAGTGAAGCTTGAAACCCAACAAGAAAAAATTTACAGGCAATTTTTAGGATTTTTAAGAGTTATTTTGGGTTATCATTGTTTTTATTAAGAAAAATTTTACTGTGGTCAAATTTTTTGATTGCTTGATTATTAAACCTGAAGAATAGACTCTGAGCTTCATTTATAGGGGTCTTTGATGGAATTTCATCAGTTTTTTCTTGGAAAATTTCCAAGTCAAAGTTCAAGAAACGCCAAAATTTCACCTTTCCATAAGTATAAATCAAGAATTTAATGCAGTAAACCTCAACTTGAAGCGAAAAACTTACTTGATTATAATAGCGCAGACGCTTATCTACAGATAGAAGTGTCAATCACTCTTTGCCGAGTTGGGAATCGTAAGATATTTAAGGTTTTCGAGGTTGAAATACGATATTTCAGCCTTGGGAAAGTCCTCCGGAGGACTTTTGCTTGAAGATACTTGCTTAGAAAGCGTTTACTCTTTAATTCAATGACCTCAGATTACTTCAGTCTTGAATCCTTCTTCAAGAAAAAATCTTCCAAAAACCGGATTTTATGGTGTAATAATGCATTTTTGGTGGTGCTCTTACTTAAAACATATGAACTTCGAATTCATAATATAAGTAACCTTAATTAAAAACAAAATTAAATTAACTTAAAAATAAAAATAAGTGATGCATATTATTTTGGTGTTTTGGTGCAAACTTGGTGGTGCAATACTAAAAATCTTTTTTAATAATCAACTCCATTTTTTAAATATTGGCATTCTGGGTTTCTGAAGGGCCAGTCTTATCCCAAATATTTTATCCCAAATAAAGAAAAAAAGATCTTCAATTGAAAACGAACCATAATAATAATTTAAAAAGGAACAATTTAAATTAAATAAATGATGGGTGAGGGTGGGGTTGGGGACAAAACTGAAATTGATCAACTCAGTCTTGTACCTTCCTATTTTGAAAGGTGAGACTTTCCTGCCTATATCAAGCACAAATTAAATTTAAAGCCAGGGGAGGGGGGGAAACGGCCCTTCGGGCCGTCAAGCCCAAATTAAATTTAAAGCCAGGGGAGGGGGGGAAACGGCCCTTCGGGCCGTCAAGCCCAAATTAAATTTAAAGCCAGGGGAGGGGGGGAAACGGCCCTTCGGGCCGTCAAGCCCAAATTAAATTTAAAGCCAGGGAGGGGAAACGGCCCTTCGGGCCGTCAAGCCCAAATTAAATTTAAAGCCAGGGGGGGGGAAACGGCCCTTCGGGCCGTCAAGCCCAAATTAAATTTAAAGCCAGGGGGGGGAAACGGCCCTTCGGGCCGTCAAGCCCAAATTAAATTTAAAGCCAGGGGAGGGGAAACGGCCCTTCGGGCCGTCAAGCCCAAATTAAATTTAAAGCCAGGGGAGGGGAAACGGCCCTTCGGGCCGTCAAGCCCAAATTAAATTTAAAGCCAGGGGAGGGGAAACGGCCCTTCGGGCCGTCAAGCCCAAATTAAATTTAAAGCCAGGGAGGGGAAACGGCCCTTCGGGCCGTCAAGCCCAAATTAAATTTAAAGCCAGGGGAGGGGAAACGGCCCTTCGGGCCGTCAAGCCCAAATTAAATTTAAAGCCAGGGGGGGAAACGGCCCTTCGGGCCGTCAAGCCCAAATTAAATTTAAAGCCAGGGGGGGGAAACGGCCCTTCGGGCCGTCAAGCCCAAATTAAATTTAAAGCCAGGGGAGGGGAAACGGCCCTTCGGGCCGTCAAGCCCAAATTAAATTTAAAGCCAGGGGGGGGAAACGGCCCTTCGGGCCGTCAAGCACAAATTAAATTTAAAGCCAGGGGAGGGGGAAACGGCCCTTCGGGCCGTCAAGCCCAAATTAAATTTAAAGCCAGGGGAGGGGAAACGGCCCTTCGGGCCGTCAAGCCCAAATTAAATTTAAAGCCAGGGGAGGGGGGGAAACGGCCCTTCGGGCCGTCAAGCCCAAATTAAATTTAAAGCCAGGGGAGGGGGGGAAACGGCCCTTCGGGCCGTCAAGCCCAAATTAAATTTAAAGCCAGGGGAGGGGGCTTTTGAGACAATATTTTTTGAAATGTGCGTGCCTTAAAACCCCATTGGGCATTCATTTTTAACAAAAAGAAAAAACTAAAAATTTCATTTTTTGGAACTTTAAACGGCTCTAGAATCCTATTCCCAACTCGTATGGTGATGAGTCATACATTTTTAGAATCCACAGATCATGGGGATCACGTGGGTATATATATGACCGCTTCAAGTTGACCACCCAAAACCACATGCCGGACCCTACTCTAGATTTAAGAGCGCGTCTAGAAAAAATAAACAACTAAAGCAAAGCATAATTTATCAATAGACATCCTTCGTTATTTCTGAGGAAAACCTCGTGAAAGAAAATTGCTTGATAATTTGGGTCTATTTATAAGTAAACACGGACCCATTGAATTACAACTCCAACTCCCTTTTAGTAGCCTATTTTCAGTAAAAGCGGCTTTACAATTATCATAAGCAACAATAATAATCTCCAATTTCCACTTATCATAAAGTCAAACTGACAGGAAAAACAAAGGTGCATAGAGAAACGCGTGTTCTATCAAATTGCAATTAAAAAGTGGCGGCTTGAATGTGGCTTGGAATGGCGGAATGAGTCTTGGCATGTTGGGTTGGTTTAGAGCGGTCCCGCTCGGCGGATGGTAAAATGTTTAGAGCAATGTTTTACAATGTTAATGTTTCATAACTCGCTGCTCTAATTTACCGCAAGACACGGCAACAGCTTTCTACGACCAACCAATAACAGTCGAAGGATAAACACTTGATGCTTGTCGGTACGCAGTGGGTACTTAATTCAATTATTAGATAGACTCCAGATTAGCGGGGTAATTTCTGGATAGCAGATTATTTTTCCAGAGTCATTAAGTTAATGAAATTAATGCGCCAGTGTTTGAGAAAAATGAAAAGTGTCGAAATAATTAATGAAATTATCAACGGGCAAGAACCGTTTTAAAGATCGCTTTTCGGAGCTCGGTATCCTATAAATCCTTTAATTTTTGATTTTTGCATTTCAAAATGGCAAAAAAAAAAACAAAATAGTGAGGCGGAACACGTGTGAGAAACGCTTTGAAGTGGTCCAAAGTCATCATAAAATCTAGGCCGCGTGTGTCGTGTTAGTTCTGATTAGTCTGTGTGCAACTAGGTCGCCATTTGGCCTGCTGCACACCCTCGAGATCCGGATCTCCTCCCTCTGATCTTATCGCTTTCATCCCAGCTGGAATCATGCTTGCCACATTTGCCACTCCCCGGTGGCGCTCCTGTCCGATCCGATAAATAGCCTGCCTTCGCAGAACTCTTCATACAGTCAGTTTCAACAGACAAACAAAAACACTCAAAAATGTTCGCTTGTTTCGGCCTCAAATCGTCGTCCAAGAAGCAAAAATCGTCCAGCAAATCGTCGAAAATGTCGACTCCTCAAGCCATCCGCCGATTTCTCGTCAACCAACTTCATTCAGCAAGCAGCGAAGAGAGCCTCAATTCATCAGGATTCGAGTCGGCCGACTTTGAGTTCAACTTTGGGAAAGAAATCGAAGAGAGAAGCGAAAAGAAGGAATTTCTGGAAGTCATGCAACGGGCGAAACGAGCATCTCTTCAAAGAAAATTGAGCCAGAGAAGCATCAGAAACCATCAAAACTCAAGATGAAGCTCTTTTTGTTCAAAATATTCATGTACAAATTTGATTGTAAAAACTTTCATATCAATAAAAATTCAAAAAAAAAAAATTAATCTCATTTTCTTAATTTTTTAATAATGTTGATTTATATAGACAAAAAATAGAAAGAAAAAAGTGAATGTACAAGGAAGTGACAAGTAACAACGTTAACAGCTCAGGATAAATGCAATCGAGTCGATTGAAAGTTCGTCAAAATGCTGATGCTAGTTTCATCGGCAGAGAAACGGGGGAGTCGACGATCGAACTGGTTGATGAGGAACTTGCTGACATTTTTCGCTCGAGTTTGTGGCTGCATTCGCGGGCGTGTGAGTAGTGCTCACTAAAATTGACATTTTTAAGGGTCGGTTGATTATTTGAGTTGAAGATTTCTCGAGGAAAAACTCATCAAAAAGGCGTTTTGGTATAAAAAAAAGGACTAACCGAACATCTCCTGTCGAAAATCCACATTCTTCGCAAACGTAAATCTTGTCTCTTCGTTGTTTGTAGGCGAGTTTGGGCTTTATGCCATGAATTTTATCCTGGTGGCTTTCCAAGGAACATCGTTGCGTGAAACTCTTGTCGCATTCGGTACACTTGTAGGGCTTTACTCCTAGAAAATCAGTTAACTTGGCGAATGATTGACAAAACAAGGGGTTTTTGAGGTGATACGATACCAGTATGAGTTCGGACGTGGCGTTTCAGATCGAAGGAATCGTTGAAACCTTTGCCGCAAAAGTTGCACTTGTATTTTTTGAACGGCGAGTGGTTGCGACGATGACGATTGAGCATCCTCACATGCTTGAATGTTTTGCCGCACAAGTCGCAGGAATAATTGGCTAGGTCGCTCTGGACTTGGGTCGATTCCTGAAAAACGGGGGATGAATTTCAAGACATTTTTATTGAACATTTGTCTTTCGATGTTCGAGAGTTGCCTAAACTTTGTCGACATCGTTAATAATTCCAGTGAAATCCTACTTTTCTTTAACAATTAATAAATCTTGGAAAACAAAACAGTTCGCCCAATTTACGGGGTAGACATTATTTCAATAAGACGGGTTTAGAAACAACGCTCTATTCGAAAGTTGCACTATTTTGGACAAAAACGAATTTCCGTTCTAAACTCCGTTGAGTGTTGTTCACCACACCGCGTAACATGCTCCACTGTTGATAGTCATAATATGCCAGCGAGATCCAGCTTTTGGAGAATTTTGAAAAATTTATTATGTAATTTTGCTCACTTCAGCAAATTTTCAACAAGCAAAGATTTCAATTAAAAAAATTCATATTTAGTCAATCATTTTCGATTCGAGCGCTACAAGCCTTAATTTTTGACAATCTAACCTCTTGTTTAATTTTCTGAAAACAAGCTGGAAGACCATGTTGATGCTGATTGTGATTTGGGGACGAAAGATGATGAGGATGAGGGGAATTTTCTCGTTGATGATGAAATATCGACGGGAAATTGGCGTGGATTTGCTGCACTGGGGACCAAAATTGAGTCGTTTTCGCTGGCGCTTTTGGTGCTTCGTCTTTGAGGAGGTTGCCAATGGAGAATTTGAGGCTGTTGGCGGAGACGCGAGTGACTTCGGAGGCAGAATCGTCGATGGTATCTACGTCAACCTAGGATGATAATGCTAGACAAATGGCCATCTATGATGAAAAACGATAGAAGATAAAAGTTTTAAGACTTCTTATCTCAACAAATTTTATTCAAAAATCTTTTTTGTCTTTATTTTCGCTCTTTTTTCCCCCACTACTGTACCTCATCCCCGGATCCATTCGTGTCGGATGCGTTCGACGCACTCGATCCTCCGCAAGAATCATGCTCTTGCTTCAGCTCTCGAGCTGGTATCTTTGGAACTGCTGTCGTTTGTGGAATCTGCGGAAAACCATGTGCCCAGGGAAGAGCTCCCGGAAGAAGCGGCTGAGCGGTGAGCTTCGATGCTAGATTCGGGTAGAGGTTGAAGATCGACCTGTTGAGCATCAGGTGGGTCGGATCCATCTTCTTCGGATTAGTCTCTTGTTCAAAATAAATCGAAAAGTCGTTGTGTTAATTTCTTTGTAAATCTCGGAATAGCAGCTTCTTTTCTCTGAAATTCCTTTTGATAGACGATATCAAAAAGTCTCGGGACCGTATAGAGCGAATTTCCGAAAACAGCGCCACCTCTAAATCTAAAGCTACGCGCTTGATCAGAGCGTAGAGCGCTACAGCGCGCCGTTTTCTACACCGTTTGGAGTGTTGCGCTGCTTGTCCGCATTAAATCCAACACGTTACCCAAAAGAAGCATAACTGGATGAGTTAGATTACACTGAAAACATTGGCTTTAGGAAGGAGCGTTTTAGAAAGAAAGTAATCTAGTTAACGGAAAAGTCTTTTTGACCAAGATCAGAAATATCGACTGATAAAATTTAAAGGGGTTGTCCTCCTCAAGTTCATTGACTCAAAGCTCTCAAAAAAGAAATGGTCGTAACTAAGGGCCTTAATTTTAGCCTGTAAAAATTAAGGGTATACCTCAATAAAAAATCCGAAAAAACCTGCTCCCAGCAACTTTACCGTTCACGGCCTGTATATCCTTAAATTTGATATCGAGAGATTATCATAAGGCAAACGATTGCAGAGGGTTTGATCTAAAAGTTCAAATTAGAATTAACCCTAGCCGGTCAAGGTACTCCAAATATGAAGCAGGTTTTTACTGATTTCCAAGTACCTCACAATACTTAACGTATAATTTCTAAGAAACTCATTCTGGAGCGGTTTTTTTTCTATTGCATCTTGATAGGCAGGGTTTAATCTATTTCCCCAAGACCATATAATTTGACCTTTATCATTTGTATAGTCTTATTTGCAGGTAAATCCCTGGCGCCAAATATGGAGTATCTTGACCGGTACCCGAGAAAAATCATTTTTGGCCGGCTAGGGTTAAGGGTGTATCTAAAATTGTTTTTTGAGAAAAACTTCTCCTAGGAAGCTCATTTTCGTGATTCTCGATCGGGGGTTCTAAAGACGGACAATTTTAAGGAATATTATCAGTTAAAAATCAGTTTCAAAACGCTATTTAGGATAATTTATCAACATTAAAAAACCCTTAATTTTTTTTTGAAAATAAAATTATTGAAAAGTTTCCTTTATTTCCGCTTCAGAAGTCGGAGTCTCTATAAAATGTCAATAATCAATTGGCCGCGGAAATGTCCAACGTGTGGGTGAACTTGCCGTGGCAATTATCAGGACAAAATTATTCTTCATTTTTGTGACAACTCTGAAAATGAGATTATCCCTCTTGGTGGTGCAAATAATTGCAATTAACGCGCTCCAAAGCGGACCCTGTAATGCTTTCATAAAAAGCCCTCTTTAGAAAAAGAAGAGAAGAAACATTTAAAATGTCTTCGAAAAAGTGCTTCCGGAAGTGGAGAGGTCGACTGGCCAAGTGATTTTAAGTGAACTGGCACTTTTCATGCAGAATGCATATTCTTGCAATAAAAGCATATCTTTAACCATTTTTTCGAGTGCGTGTGTTTATTTGCGGAATTCAAGGTGAAAGAAAAAAAAGGGGGTAAGAGGGACTCGTCTGCCCTGCTATCCGGCGGGTGACCAGAATGGCCGGACCAAGCGGGTGACAAGTCCGCCCTGGCCGGACTGCCCTTCTCCGCAGGGGACTGCGAGTCTCGGTGGGAAATTGCGAAGTGACCTTACAAAATCTTGATCATAAGGGTGTTCCGACAGTGCAGCTTATCTGCATTAGGTTCATTTTTCAGAGGATCAAGAGCATTTTTCTTCAAAAATTTTCAGGAAAAAGGCTATTTATACAAAAACGAATATGAAGATTCCGAAAATCGAGGTTATAACTTCTGAAAATGAAAGTTTCTTCATGAAAACATGCATCAAAGAACATCCTCTTCTTATCTAATTATATAACAGCTGTCTTATGATCTTCTTTTCTGTTTGAATTTCCTTTAACTTTCTTCCAGCTGATCTTCTGACTTTGTCGGAGTAATTACAGATGCTTCGTTTATGTTTTCACCTAACGGAAAGCTATTTAATTGTTCTCTCCTTCTCGTTCAACCAGAAAATAAAAGAAATGAGTGAGATATTTTCGAAACTCAAAAAAGCTTTGCCAATTGGTATTTACTTTAGCAGGCTCAGAGATTTTGCCACATCCCAGTAATAAACGATTCATCTTTACAGTCAGGGGCGCTTACAAAGATAGCGTACAGCTCACTTGTTTTCACCATGACGGTAAGAATAAGTGTCAGAAGATCAGCTGGAAGAACATTTAAGGAAATTCAAACAGGAAAGAAGATCATAAGACAGCTGTTATATAATTAGATAAGAAGAGGATGTTCTTTGATGCATGTTTTCATGAAGAAACTTTCATTTTCAGAAGTTATAACCTCGATTTTCGGAATTTTCATATTCGTTTTTGTATAAATAGCCTTTTTCCTGAAAATATTTGAAGAAAAATGCTCTTGATCCTCTGAAAAATGAACCTAGTGCAGATAAGCTCCATCATCGGAACACCCTTGTGATCAGGATTTTGCACGGTCACTTAGCAATTTCCCTCCGAGACTCGCAGTCCCCTGCGGAGAAGGGCAGTCCGGCCAGGGCGGACTTGTCACCCGCTTGGTCCGGCCATTCTGGTCACCCGCCGGATAGCAGGGCAGACGAGTCCCTCCTGACTCAAAAAAAGGAATACATATGACGAAATCGGAAAATTTGGGCGAGACAGCTTATAGAAGAGTTTACTTGGCGCTGGAGTTCAGGTAAAATGCGATGACACCTAAAAATTGAGTCAAAAAAATTTAAAAAATTGTGAAAATTGGACCCAAAAATGAAGATTTTTGTCCGACAATCAAAAATATCGACGATCATGGGTCCAATTTCGACGATTCTATTGACAAGGCCAGATATGGTCCCTTCTCTAGAACAAAAATAAGCATCGTACCAAGAATGCAGGAAGAAATGATGAGCCCAACCAAAGCAACAGCAACGTAGTAATCCTTTCTATCAATTTTTTCGGCGCTTGATGTCTCAAAAAAGGTCAAAACTTGCGATAAAATCATCAGAAGAAATGTTCATCAACCCTTTCCTGCAGAAGATCTCCTTCTTTTGTGAACGAAGATTTTCGCTCAAGTCGTTCGAGTTCTTCCAGCGGAGCGCGCATCAAACTTTTTTTGTTCTTTGAAATAAACTTTTTTTTCTAAAAGGGATGATTTTATTGAACATTCCTGTGTCGAACCATTTTGCTCTCTTTCGCTCTTTGTCAGGACGATTTTTTTGTGTATCGAGTCGAAACAATAATGCTCGAATGTCTGTATTCTAGAACTATTCGCACCTAATTAGCACAAGAAAGACATAACTCGACAACTTAGGCATGTTCCATTTGCATTTGCATCTTACGCGGCGGTTTCCGATGCTTGGAAAGCCAAAAGAGCGCGAAATAGTCACGCACGCTCCTAAAAATGATCAATCGAAAGGCGCCGCTCCTTCTCGTCCCCCGACAAAGTCCCTAATCACTAACAAAATAATCTCAGCTCTCTCCTCAGCTCGAAATTTTCCAATTGACCGGGCTCAGCCACGCGAGAAAAAAGGGGGGTTAATTATTGATACAGTGCAATTTCTGGAATCAGAGGACCGGAAGTTTGGATTCGAGCATTTTACACCTCAATTGCTCTTCAAATTCTAAGTTTTGAGAAAGCTGTTTATTGATAAGTTTGTCCAAGTAACAGGTAGTTAATAGATAATCAATAGATATCCAATTTGAATCCCTAATCTATCTTCTCCAAGCAAGCGTCAATATAAAATTCATTTATCATCGAAAAACCGTATGTTTCTGAAACCCTCGAAACTGTTTAGGGACCACAGATGTAAACTTTATTTACTGAAATAATTCGATGTAAATCTTGATGGTTCCTTGTTCAATTATTTTTTATCGATAAGCAATTGATAATTTTTGAGAGCCACAATAACTAGAGAGGGGTTCCTTTGACGAACCTGCTAAACTCGAGAGACCCTACTAGATGGTAAAACAAACAAGTAGGGGAATTTAGAAGCAATCGTCTGAGAAAGGTGCTGCGTGCATTTGGCGATGAGTGCAAGAGCATCGTGCAAATTGGGTTTACGACGTAATCTTGCATCATGACGCCGAGCGGACTTTAATCGGACTAGGCGGCGAGCAGCAGGCGGAGCCCTCTAAAAACAGCCTCCTGATGCAAAATCAAAAATTCAATTTGCACTTTCGCGAGTTTATTTTTCGCACTTGTGCTTTACACGCACCGCTTCTACAACAAATTCCATTACCAATTAGCAAAAAACATGTCCCAATGCAGCATCGCCTCAAATCATCAATCAAAGAAGACATTCATTTTGTCTGGGAACATTTTCAAGCAGTGTTTCCTGAAGCGCAAAAAATCAACCTCAGGTGCAGCGCTAATTTCTCCCTAAATGTGCGGCTAATAAGCTTTGGGCGCAGATTTTTTGGACAGAAAGTGTAAACAACAACACAGTACACAACACACGCGGTATTCAACACAAGGAAAAAAAGAGCATCCAGATGGTCAGGGGATGGAATTATAGAGTTGAGCTTCTTGTCGACGAAACCGAGTTGTAAAAGGAAATATCGGGGCCCTTTTCAAACTGGAAAATATTTGGGGAGACAAAAAAGACCCCTGAAATATTGGGGAGATGCCGAGAATAGTGACTATTCAATAGTCTATTCTGAATAGACATCAAAATTTCGACAAATTTTTCGTGGAGATTTTCAACCAATCAGAAGCCAGGATTCGGCTAACCGGCCAATCAGCAGCGGACTAGCCGCCCACGCAAATTTTGTCGAAATTTTTTGTCGGTTCCTGACACCCCCCCAAATTGGGGACCCCAATATTTCAGGGGTCTTTTTTGACGGAGACATACAGTAGTGGTTTAGTATGTTCCCTTATGACACCGAGTTTCACCCTCGATGCTGTGGTTTGCTAAAGCCCTCACGCTGTGTATCGATTAAAAGACTTGTGTTTTAACACTTTGTAACCGCCCGACATTGTCCAAGAGTGGTCAATGCCACTTCCGGTGCGAAATCTCCAAAAAGAGGAGAAGGGGCGCCGCGGTATCCGTGTTCGGCGGTTAGATTCACCCTTTCGAAATCGGAATTTCGCGCCGCCCGTCGACAGATTTCGCGCCTAATACAATTAGAGATGCACTTGTCAGACATTTTTTTTGATAATTTTTGAAAGGTTAAATTCTGGGAAAAAGAGAGATCTTTCCAAAAACCAATTGTAAGCACTTTCCATTTTACTAAAAAGAGGGTTTGGGCGCGAGTTGTTACAACGCTTGAGCCGACCACATGGATCGTCTGCGACCGAAAGAATTTGTCTCAGACATTGCCTTCGCCCGCAATTACAACCTCAACCAAAATAAGTCGCATGCAGAAATTACAAAACATTTTAGAAGCGTATTGCTCGCGTCAAAATTGCCGCCCATTGACCGGCCAAAAACAGATGATTTTCTGACTGTTTTTTTGCGATGATAAACGAATGTCTACTTCATAAATGACCAGACATTCAAAAATTTTTGAATACGTTTTGTTTTCAAGGTGAGCCAGCTAACGACTATTCTGAGTGGCGAAAAATAAGTGGCGGCCTCTCTTTTTGGTGCTTATCGTGTTTATTCTAGCCCGTGCCAGGAAAACAGAAAAAGTAAAAGATGCAGCTTCTCGCCACTTTTCGTATCCCGGCCATGATTATTATTTGTGCAGCGAGCCCGCACGTTCACGAAGATATTTTATCTTTCAAGAGTGCTACCTTTGCTAAAATGAAATTTTAAAGAGAAAAATGCAAGATTTTCTTTAAAATCGCGTTCCTACGTCATTCTGTTCAGAATTAACCGGCGATATTATGACTTTTTAAACTGGCCACGATTCCCGATATTGTCAAACAAATCGATAAAATCTTCGCTGATTCCGCCCGAATTATCCGAAAATCATAAATATCGAGAAAATAGTCGTATCGGAGATAAACTTGCATTCAACTTATATAATAAAAAACGACAATAACTTCAATAAGTTTGATAAGTTTAAGTTTGTATTATGCTGTTTGTTTTGGTTATCGCATTGCGTGTCACCTATTTTGGAAAGTAGAAAAAGAATGTACAGTAATCGCTGGCAGATGCAGGTGACACGCGGGCGCCGTCAAGCGGACAGAAGCAGAACTTTTGAACAGTCTAGGTTTTCATTCGAATTGTACAGGAATATACAGTAGTCGAGTTTTCGCAGATAGCTCGGGGTAAAAAAACGGGGCGCAAAGGGACCTCGGCGCTGCGTTGAGGTCGCTTGGTAAGGTTAAAAATGGTAAAGGTTGGAGGTCAGAAAAGAAGAGGATCAGTTGATTGGTTAGACAGAAAAAAATAACTGTTTTTGAGACACATGTTAGTCGCTCGGAAAAAAAGAACGGCGATAGAAATGTCCATTTTCGTCCATGTTATCTTCCTTGATTTTTCGCAAAGAGGGTCATTCGCATTTTTTTTATTCGCCTTGCTCGCATTTTTATGGTTGTCGCAATTCGCGCTCGCGCACAGCTGTGGGTTTTTTGAACTTCAGAAGGGCGGAATCGTCTACCAGACTGAGGGAGAGCTTGTTTTTTGTTGATTTGTAAGAGTTTCTTTACGACTCGTTGTATTCTCCAGAGTGATCGCAATCGCTTGTATCCACTGGAATTGTCACGACGTAACTAGAATCGATGATGCCACTGGCGAGTTTGACAAAGCCGCATCGCTCGCGCCCGCCATCGTTGAGACACATGCCCCAGGCGCTCTCGTTGTCACGTGAGTCGTCACCCCAGGAGTTGCGCGCGAGCCAGTATCCCTCGCCCCAGCCAACGAGGACCACACTGTGGAGTTGGCTATTAGTTTGAGTGGCGGGTGTTTGAACTGTTGGCGAGTAGATTCCATCCTGGTAGACGAAGAAGTCGCGGGACACGTTCAAGTACGCAATGACGGGGCCAACGGTGAGGACCTCACGTTTGATGTCGTCAACGCAGGCGAGTCGTTTTGCACCCGAAACTCGGACACAGGAATCGAACATCGGGCAGACGTTGCTTCCGTCGGAATCAGGCCAGAAACCAGTCTTGGCAGCATGATGAATGTCGAGAACATCACCAGGAATGCAGCCATTTCCACAAGATTTTAAGACCTCGAGAACATCGCCGTGGAAAGCGCGCTGATTCGTCGATAAGAGTTTGAAATTCACGAGATTGAAGAATGAGAAAGCAAATGATGCGCCGCAGTCTTCTTGGTGGAGGTTTTGAGGGATCACGTGATCAGCTGGAGAAGTAAAGTCGAAAGAAGATGGAAGCTCGGTAACTTCGAGAGTCTCGCAAGCTTCGGCAAAGTCGCTTGGGGGCGCTGTTCCAAGATAATTGCGATATCCATGGTTCAAGGTCTTTCCCCAAAAGAAAGAGTAATTGCCAGCCGTCCAAGAAGTTGCGTCTTGGCGGTCAGCAGCGTTGACGGTTGCAATCAGTTCAGGATCGATGAGGCAGATGTTGGTATCGCAGGAGAAGCGGAGCGAACCGTCTGGTTGCAAGCGGCAACGGCAGGAGTTGCAGTTTTCGCGGGTTTCAGTAGAGATAGGCACAATGCGCGTGCCTGTTGAATCGTAACAGGGGCCGGTAGGGGAATCGAGGTCAAGAGCTAAAAATGATTTGGATTTATAAATGGTTTGAGATCATGGAAGACACATTTTGAAAAATGTTTTCAAAATAGTTAAAATCAAGGTCATGCATTCAAAATTGCGGGGTTAAACGGATCAATGGTTTCTTTTTGTAATTGTAAATTATCTTACCGCAAATTTCAAGTCGTTATCACACAAAAGCACACAAAAGTGATCCTATTTTAATCCGTCAGAATCTCTCAAAATCGAGAGCAACTGGAGGATTAAAAAAGGAAGTCAATATCTCAAGCGTTCGTGTCACACATAGATTCACTCGTTGTCGAATTCCTACATGGCTCGCGAGTTGTGTAGACAGGAGGTGGAAGAGCTGTTGGTGGTATATCTAGGCAGGTCTCGGCATAGTCGGGGCAACAGTCGGACTCTTCACGAGCGCAATAGTTGTCACAGAAGCACTTACGCTAGAATTTTTTTTTTGAGATTAGTTTTTTTTCAAGTTATCTCACCCCATCGCCCATGTCAAAAGTACAGTCGTCATTTCGCTCATCACAACAGACAGCTGGTTCTTTTGTTCTGTAGTTGATTCGAGAAGAACAGTAGCGACCATCTTCGGGGGCTTCTGGAAGATCCGCTAAAATATTGATTGAGACAATTTCAATAAAAACAACCATAAATTTACAGAAAATTCGCAATTTTGTGTATTTTTAATGCGCCACTGTTACTGATGGAAAAATAAAATTAACAAGCGCATCGCTCTCTATTGCTCTATTGAATTAAAACTCATCAAACTTACGACAACACTGGGTATTGCAATCTTGCACTTCGTAAGCGTCTCCATCGCAATTACCGCAAGGGCAATTTCTAGATCTTGTCATTGTTCCCCCATTGCATGGTTTTGTACATTCGCTCCAAGGACACCATTCGTCAAACTCGCAAGTGCCTGAAAAACAAATAAGAACGTGAGAAAAATTATTTCTATTAAAAGTACACTCAGTCAACTCCTCCTCTGGGCACGGCTCGCTCTCAACAATATCCGGGCAAGTGCAGAGTCCATCTTCAACACATCCTCGGAAACGCTCTCGCTGGTTATTCTCGCAAGAGCACTCTGTCCACTCAGCCCAAGGAGTTGATGGACATTCGTTGTCACTTCCATCTCCACTGCTGGGCACACAGCCTTCGCAATCAGGGCAATCTCTGCAAGGAATATCACTTGATCCCTCCATCGTACAATCATCATCATCACAGTCTCCTGATCCGTCGAAATCGTCGGTTGGGGGAGCTGTAGTGAGCATGGTTGGTGGAACAGTGGAGAGGTATTCTTGAATTTGAGGAGTTGTCAAGTCTTCCGGTGTCACTTCAGTAGCTGGACCCGGAGTACAGTCAGCATCGCAATCAGGCGGCCTGTCTGGATTATCACTTGAGCATTCAGGGCACGGACACGGCTCTTTCTCAATATCTTCTCCAGGGCAAGGCGTTGGGCAATCGCAAGTTCTAACTCTTACGCGGAAACAATCAGGTGGCCCACCTCCGACGCATTCTGACCAACCACACCATTCGTTCCACGAGCAGCCTCCATTATCGTTGTTGTCACAGGGAGGCTCAGTTTCTTCAGCCGAAGTTGTAGTTGGTGGAGGAAGAGGGGTTGTATCAAGATCGATGATCGGTGGTGCTCCACTGCCTTCATCACAACCAGTGTTTTCGTCGCATTCTTCATCCCCGCCATCACCTGATGGGAGTTCCGGAGCTTCATCATCATCATCGCACGGAGATCCCTCTGGACACTCATCATTTTCATCGCAAGGAGATCCTTCTGGACACTCTTCTTTATCATTGCATGGAGATCCCTCGGGACACTCATCAACCGGTGGTGCTTCCTTTTCATCATCACAGTCTTCTGGGGCTTCTTCTGGAGCTTCTCCAGAGCCTTCAGGACAATTGTCATCTGGACACGGTTCGCTTCCAGATCCTTCTGGTGCACAATCATCGTTTTCACACTCAGGGGCATCATCATCTGGACAAGGGCAGGGTTCCGTCTCAATGACTTCCTCATCTGCGCAATCTCCACAGAGGCATTCTCTCGATCTCGACTGGAAGCACTGTCCTTCAAAGTAAGGATTGTCATCTTCGTACTCCATGCAATCGGACCAATCGCACCATGGGCCAAGTGTTTCTTCGCACTCAGGCTCAGGTTCTTAGAAGTGAGTTGAGAAGGATTTTTCTCGTTTATTGGTTTAGTTGGTCGATTTAGCTGCTTTTGAAGATCTTTTCTTCAGTAGCGATATGGTCGTTTTCAGTAGATTTCAGTTGTTGATTGATTCATGCCGTTATTTCGTGTTGTTTTTTCAGTTTTATGATGCTTTTGTTAGGAGTTGAGTTTTGAGTTTTGAGTTGTTTAGATTTTTTGTTTGTTTCTGTTAAAAATTATTGCTAGTAGTACCTAGAGGTGGATTGCCGTCATAATTGGTGGTGCCAGAGCAATCAGGTCCAGTACACTCACTGTCGCCATTACAATCTTCGTCTTCTCCACATTCAGAATCCACACCTGAGTCTGAGAATACAGTTTATACACGTCTTCATCTATTGATATTAGTGAGTTCATGATCATGAGTTCAAATGATATGAGCATGAGTCATGACTTTTGTCCAGTTTTCAAACGCATAAGCAATATTACTCTCTATTTTTGGGTAAATTATAAGTTATTTTTGTTGCCATGCATTAAAATTATTGGACTAAGAAAAGTATTAGCGAAGTAGCGGCGAATTACCGTCACCACTTCCTGTGGGTCCGAGATTTGGTGTTCCCTCACCGATGACTGGCGGATTGCCACCCGATCCTTCTGAAAATGAGCTCAGGTTAGAGAAAACTATGGGGCGTCAGATGGTTGTTCTTTGGTTAGGAATTAATTTGAATAAGGATATGAAATCCTTCGGGTGATGATTGTAAAACATGAGATACTGATATGAGATGATAGTGAAGCTCAATTCTTGAGATTTGAGCTTCGAGAGCATGCAGTTTTACAAAAATTGATGAATCCTAATTTGTTAGAAGATATTTACAGTGACGGTGTGAATAATCCGTACTAATAGAAGTACAGTGAGATAGTGAGATGGTAAATTCAGACGGTGCATAAAATGAAATTCAAATTTCTGATCTTTGATTCATGTTCTGGTGCTGGGTTAATTTAGCTTTTACGCGATTTTTTTTATTGGTGAGCGACGAGTTAGGGAGCTGGTGGCGAGACTATTAGGGGCTGCGTGCGCAGTGAGCACCGCGGCAACTGCGGCGCAGTTCTTCGCGTTCTGTGAACTTACCGAAATCGCAGGGAGGAACCTTAAGTTTATGTGTCAAAAAGGCCATTTTAGTCGTAGTCTTTTTACCTCGACGCAAGGCTCCTCTTCAATGGCATCTCCTGGGCATCCCTCGTCGCGCTCGTCTTGGCTGCACTCGTCCTCGCAGTCGCAGTTTCTAGTGCGGACGCGTGTTCCACCACTACCGCATGTCACATCGCAATCGGACCAAGAACACCATTCAGTCCATCCGCAGTTGGGCTTGTCGCAAGATCCATCTGGGCAAGTTCGATCCTCGCGTTCCTGGCACTCTGGTGTTTCTTCACGGCCTTGGCAGACATTCTCATCGCATTCTCGAACACGAGTTTGCTGACCGGTCTTGCACTCGCACTCAGACCAGTTGCACCAGTCGGTGCACTCTAAAGGTTATACTTACAAACTCATTGTTGTTGAATAAAAATTGAGAAGTTTTATTTATCAATTTTCTTTCAACCACAAGTTTTTTATCGTTTTGTTATTATAATGAAATGGACTGTTAATTGAAATCAACAAGGATTACGAAAACATGCAGTCAAAAATGTCACCTGGGGGACATTCATCCGGAACATTAGGGCATTTGCGTTCTTTGACCAGATCTTGGTCACAGCCGCAGGCGATGGGATTCGCGCCCTCGGGGCAATTGCAATCCCTGGTTTTGGTCATAATCGCCCGCGGACCACACGTGGCCGTGCAAGGTGACCAGTCAGACCACTGACCTGTTTACGAGGCTTTTTGAATGTTTGAGATTATAAATAATATGTTCATTATTATTTATAAAGTGAAGTGAGCCCGTGCCTGGTTTGCACTTAAAATCAGGGCACTCGTTCATCTCCGTAGTGGTGAACTGGCACCACTCGGCGTCGCACATGCATTCGCGTTCGCGCGTGCTAAGGCCGCCGCACTCGCCGCACGGCGACCACGGACTCCATTGAGTGTAGCAGACTATTGTCATGGTAAGTAAGAGCAAATGAAAGTCAATTTCATTTCGGTCTCATGCATATTATCTAGTGTTTTACTTACGGTCTTCGCAAGATCCAAGATCACAAGGTTCTTCTTCTTCCGAAGGTCCTTCACATCCGCACTCGGACTCATCGACACCAGGTGGGCAGTCGCAAGTTCGAGTTCTCTTCTTAGTTGACTCGCCACAGGGAGGTCCCTCCAACGAGTTCACGCCGCCGAGACACTCGGTCCACTCGGACCAGCAAGACCACATGCAAGAGTCACCAGGACAGAGTTCTTGCTCGATGTTGTCTTCTTCGTTGCAGTCCTCATCTTCGCAAATGCAAGGTCGCTCTCGAGTTCTAGTGTCAGTTCCACAACTGTTGGGGCACTCGCTCCATGGAGCCCAGTCTCCCCAGCAAGTACATGGAGCGTTCGGGCAGTCACCAGTCTCGAGGAAGTCATCAGGATTGGATCCTTCGGGTACTTCGCAACCGTCGCAGCTGTCTGAGCTCTTACAGTCACATTCTTTCTCTCGTTGACGAGATCCAGGGCCGCAAGTGGTTGTGCATGGACCCCATGGGGCCCAGTCGTCGCCAAATTCACAGTCAGGAGGGCAAGTGACATCTGTATTGCAATCTTGCTCTAGAATTAAAAAAATAAAGAGTGAAACATTTTTTTTCAATTTAACCTTCGATAGGCTCGCCATCGCACTGCCCATTGTTTTCGCATTCAGATTCTGGAACTCCTTCGGGACAGTTGCATGGTCGTTCACGTGACATTTTTCCACCGCCGCAAGTAGCACTGCATTCAGACCAGCAGCTCCATTCTCCAAATTCGCATTTTGGAGGACAAGCATCAAATGAGCAGGGAGTCTGTTCAGTAAAAGCACCAGGGCAGCCTTCTTCAATATCGGGGATTTTTTCACAGGTTCGTCGAGGGGCCTCTGGCGACTCGAATGACTTTGGTCTTTCGTTGCAAGTTCGATCACGTGGTTGAGTTCCGCCACCACAAGTAGCAGTGCATGGCGCTTTGGGCTCAGACCAGGGTGACCATTCACAAAGTGACTCACCCTTGCAGCTCAAGCATTCTTTCAAATCTCCACAGCCGCAATCGGGGTTGAGTTCGTCGCCACCAGGTGGGCAAGTGCAATCGCGCTCACGGAATTTCTGACCGTACTCGCCAGGCTCGGCATCGCACTCAGTCCATTCAGACCATTCTCCAGGCGTGCAAACTAAAGAGCGTCTGAATTTAATGCGTAAATGATGGAAACTTACTGATTTCTTCGCACTCTTCTTCCTCAATCTTTGGCTCGACACCTTCATCGCAAATGTTTTGAGATTCTCGAGTTCTAACTCCACCGCCACATGGACCGTCACATGGAGACCAAGGAGCCCATTCGCCCCAGCAGTTGCATGGCTTGCCTTGGCAAGATTTGCATTCGGTCAGTTCACTATTCAACAAAATAAAAAGTGAAAAACAGGTTCAAACTCACCCACAGCCGCATTCTTCATCATCCTCATCTGCTCCTTCTGGGCAAGCGCATTCTCTGCTTCTGGTCATTTGTCCAAATCCGTCGCACTCAGCATCGCACTCGCCGAATTCGCTCCATTCAGAAGCAACGCACATAATTGGCTCTTCGGCACAGGGTTCAGTAAGAACTTCTGGAGGAGCATCTGGGTTCGGGTCGCAAGGGTTGTATCGCACTCGCTCGCGGTATCCCGATCCGCTAGAATCGGATTTAGAAAGACCCGGGAAGTTATAATAAATCTAATTCCCAGTCTTTCTAAAATCCGTCACAAACACCGTCGCAGGGGCCCCATGGCTCCCACTCTGTTGGGCAGTTGCAGTTGCCAATGCACGATTTACATTCAGAAGTGCTCTCACATCCACAATCGGGATGGTCCTCGTCGATTCCGGGTGGACAGAAGCACTCTCTATTTCGGAACTGCTGGCCAGGCTCGTCGCATTTAGCATCACACTCGCCGAATTCCGACCAAGGCCCGGCTTCGCAAGGTTCTTGATCACCGATACATTCTTCTTCTTCGCTCGTTTCCTCACAACCAGGGCAGCCTGGTTGGCCACACTTGCAAGGACGTTCTCGTGTTCGAGTACCAACGCCGCAAACAGCATCGCATGGTCCCCAATCTTCCCAATCGCCCAAGCAGTCGTCCAGACTCATTTCAGGAACACACTCGCCCTGATAGGTTAAAAGTAAATCGACAAGACGACAGAATTATTTATTTACCGGTGGACAGGTCTCAGTCTCAACAAGAGGCACAGAGTCATCGCAACTGTCGCATTCTCGGAAGCGCGATCGCTCAGGGTTCTCCATTTCGCACTCACAAGGAGACCAACTTGTCCAGGGTTCGGGATTATTGTCGCATTCGCCACGGCAAGTTTTGCACTCGGAGGTTTCTCCACAGCCACACTCTTCGTGATCAGCTGGGATTCCTTCGGGACATTCACAAGATCGTTCTCGAGTTTGCTGTCTAGTTTCGCCACAAGGAGCATCGCAAGGGCCGAAATCAGACCATTGACCTTTAAGGGTATAGTCATCGATTAAAAATAATTACGAAAATTTTTGTAAGAAAGGTTTATGTCAGAATTATGAAAAATGCTTGGTCTAGAACTCTCGAGAGCTCTTTTTTGTGAGGAAAAACGCGAAAAGAACGTGCGTTCTCTTGATAACTGTTGCGTAATATCAAGTTCTCGAGACGAATTTCCAAAAATTAACGGGGTTGAAAGGAAAAGTTTACCTGGACTGCAAACAAGACCATTTTCCAAGCAATTTTCGGTTGGGTCACATGGTCCCTCATTACAAGGAACTTCCTCTTGGGGTTCTCCTTCGCAACCAGGCTGGGGCAAACCGATGGCTTCCTCATCTCCACAAAAGCATTTTCGCGTTCGAGCTTGGATGCCTTCATCACAGGATGCACTGCAGCCGCAGAAGCCGGACCATTCAGTCCATGCACACATTTCTTTCAGCTCATCGGGGCATTCGCAGTCCTAAGAGCTATTAATATCTCTTTCACAAAGAAAGAAAAAACAACCTTTGGCCGATCGCAAGCAGGAACAGAGCAATCGCATTCTTTCTTAGGACAGGGCGCGCAATCGCTAATATTTTTTGTATCCTATGCTAAGTGAGTCTTTTTTACCTTGCATCACAAGGCCCAGTTTCCTCCGGCCTTTCATCTTCTTTATCCGCGTCACAACCGCTTCCGCATGGTCTCTTACGGGTTCGAGTTCCCTCTTCACCACAAGTTGTTGAACAAGGACCCCATGGTTCCCAATTGCCTTTGTCGCACGCTAAATGTATCTTTAGAAAATGTTTGATCGACTGAAAAAGGTGAAATTGGTTTTTAGTAAAAACATGCACTAGTATTGCGATTTTGCTGCATTGGGATGAACCGGAGCGAATTTATGAGATTTGGTATTTGTATCAGCCAAGGAATTTTTCATTCAGAGCCAGGCAGGAGCAGGAAGCTTGGATCTTTTTGATTCCGACACCTTCGGGAGCGCTTGCAGTTGGCTCAAGAGGTGGACTTATGAGATTGGATCCACTTGTGACTTGCTCGTTGTTGTTGTTTCCAATAATGATGTCTGGGCGTCCAGGGATGGATATCAATTCAGGCTTTGTTGTGGTTGTTGTTGATGTTGTTGTAGTTGATGATGTTGTAGTTGATGATGTTGTAGTTGATGTTGTTGTTGTTGTTGAACTTTCTTCTGTCGGAGTCGTTGTAATCTCGATATAATCTGTAGTTGTGACGGGTTGGCATTCGCAGTCGGAATTATTTTTGCAATCACAGTCTTCTGATATATTTGGAGTTGAGATTGTTGCTGATGTCGTTGTTGACATTTGCTTCGTTGAGGTTGTTGTCGACGTTTCCTCTTTTGAGTGAACAGTTGATGTTGATGTTTTATCAGGAGCAGCGTCGCATCCATGTTTCTCAGTACATTCGCAGTCTTTTGATTTTTCGGTGAGCGGGGATTTTGTTGATGCTGATGTCGATGTTGTTGATTCTGACTTAGTTGAACGCGTTGTTGTTGATGTTGTTACTGTTGTAGTTGATATTTTCTGAGATGACGTTGAAGATGATGATGAGTTTGAATGGATGCAATTTTCTTCTTCATCACAATTGCAATCAGAATCCGTTGTCGTGATCGATGTTGTCACTTCCGCGGAAGACGTTTTTGGTTCGCTGTCTTCATCTTCTGTTTCGCATTCCTGACAATCAGGGATTTCCGTCGTCTTTGGTAATGGAATTTCTTCTCCACATTTCCCATCGCAGTTTCCAGTGGGCTGAATGGTGGAACTTGTTTGAACTGGGATCGTTGTTTGCTCAATAGATTGACCCGAACTGAACTCAAGTTCAGTTGTAGAATATGCGGTTGTTTCATCCGAAAACGGTGTCTGATCGTCGGCGGATTCAGTTGTATTGCAGTCCCAAACAGTGATGTATTCTTCAGTTGTAGATTCATTTGGCAGTGAAGTTTCTAAAGCAGATTGCGTAGTAAAACTGATGTCTTGAGTCGTTATTTCAACGAAGGGAGACTCAGTTTGAAATCCTTCAGTTGTTTCTGCAAAAACATCCAACTCAGTAGTCGACTCTTCAATAATGGGCTCTCTAGGTAAAATTGTCGGACTGATTTTACAACATGATTTGTATCCAGAGCCAGACTCGTCATCTCCGGATGCTTCGAAATCATCGCAATTACAATCATCCTCTTCATCATCTGTGATTGCCTCCGTTGACCATCGATCAGTCTTTTCCAATATCGTCTTTTGGGTTGTTTCCAGCGAAAAACTTGGACTTGGAGTTGTGGCTATTTTTGTCGTTGCTTCCAACTCATCGAGGTGAGTCATCGTTGTCTCCATCAAGGGCGCAAAGGTCGTGTCGGGCGAACTTGTTAATCCACTTTCTGTCCAATATTCCGTCACTGTGGACAAGGCGTCAGTCTCAGGACTGGACGACGGCCAAGTCGAAGCATCGTATAAATCATCATTCGAATTGGCTGTCCATGTTTCGTGCTAAAAAAAGAAGTTGAATGTCAAGCTCTAACCGAACCTGTCATCAGCGCGGTAAACGATTTGCACTTACGTTGGTACTTTGCCGAGTGGTGGAATCGTCTTCAGTACTGGTGCTAATTGTGTGAGAAGTGGTTAACTTTGCTAGGGTAGGTAAGTCTGAATTGACGGGCAATTCCATGCGATTTGTAGTTATACTCGTTCCCATGCTAATAGTTGTTCTAATTGGTTCTAATTTTGAAGTGGTTGGATTGGGCTCACTCGTACTTGGCTTTGGACTTGCTGTTGTTGGCTTGGCTTCCTGAAACTGATGAATTTCTTTTTTTATTTTTGGAGGCTTTTCCTACCTCACAAGGCTCAGTGCAAATTTCTTCTTCGAAAAGATCTTCCAAACAAAGTTCACAAAAACAAATTCTCTCTCTTGATCGCATCGATCTTTCTTCAATACAATCACAGGGAGACCATTCCGACCATGGCTCGACGCAGAGTTCTGGCTCTTCTGGTGGACCTGGAGGACCTTCAGTCGTAACAAGCGGTCCTTGGTTGTCGAAGTAAGTTACATATGGTCCAGCTGGCTCAGCAGTTGTCAGTTCGAATGTTAAACCATTGTCAGGCTCGGTTGTAGATTCAATATCCTCGGGATTACAATTTGGAGAATTATCACAGTTTGGCTTCGGTGCGCACTGCGGACTATCACACTCTGGTGGACAAACATTTGGACACTCGTCATCTTCACAATTACAGTCAGGAGCTTCTGTAGGCTCAATTGTGTCGCAGTCAAGCTCCGTGACGAAGGAAGTTTCGAGTTTTGGTTGAGTCGTTTCGGCTATTTCCGCGACGGTGGTTTCAATTATTTCTGCCATTGTGGTCTCAATTGTCATCGGTGTTGTAACTGGATTCTCAGGAGATTCCGTGGTGTTGCAATCGAGAACTGTAATGAAATCAGGACCTGATTCTTTCGTCGTCGTCTCGATCAGAGGTTCGGGAGTGGTCTCGATAGCGAGTTCCATTGTGGTTTCATCGATTTCCTCAATTTCAGTTGTGTTACAAATCACTTCTGTGGCTGTGTAATAATCTGGAGAGCTTTCAGTGGTCGCTTCAAGGTCTTCTGGTGTTGTCTCGATTTCTGGAATCTCCGTTGTCGTCTCAGGGGCACATCGCTCACCACTGAGGATATCACAGTCAAGAATCGGAGCCGAATGGTCTGGGTCTGGTTCTTCAATGAACTCAGAAACGCAGCTACAAGGAGAAGAAGACTCTTCAGAACATTCGCAAGGTTGAGAGCTTTCGCTTGTCGATGATTCCGAGGATGATGAGATCGAGGATGAGCTTGAGCTACTGAATGTATCTTCAGCTTCTGTCTCGTCCGCATCAATTTCTTCGATAACTGAGGCGGTTGTTTTCTTTGGAGTTGTTGTCGTCGAAGCAGAAGAAGTTGTTGATGTTGTTGTTTTTTCTGTGGTTGTGGTTGTTGCTGTCGATGTTCTAGTTGTACTTGTCGTTGAGGTCGTTTCGTTGGGCTCTGGTTCTTCGACAATAGGAGCAACAGTTTCAGATTCACCACCATAATAGTAGTTTGCTGTCGTAAATATACTGCCGCTGTCGAATATAATGGGATCGACATCTTCTGATTGTGGACTACTCGTCGTAACGACTTCGATTTCGGAAGAAACATTAATGTCGAAGGTTTCATCAATGTCAGGATAGTTTTCGTCCGGCATCGGAACTTCACTTCCATCCGGATAAACATTGTAATCAGGCCGCAAAGAAGGACCATCTCCAGAGGAGTAATCAAACTCGCCACCAGTCCAGGGCAAGTCACCGGAAGCGTCGTATGACTCTGCCGCCGGCCAATAATCACTATCATCGTTGACAGAAAAGTCGATGTAAGAGACTAAAGTGCAAATGCTGAGTTAGATGCTGGTAGTTATGCTGATTTGAGCTTATCGGTTAGGTACTGTTACAGTAGTTCGGATGGTTTAACGACTTTTGTTGAACGATCCTGGTTTTCGGCCCGATATTCGGTAATGAAGAGACTGTAATTGGATGTGGTGAGTCTGGGTTAAAATCCAGTACCAATTGGTTCTGGTGGTGGCATGTCACCATGTCCTGTTTTGAAGCTCTAGAATTTTAAGAGAACGATAAACGAGATTTAAAAATTGAAGAGTTACACTTGTCAAATTGCGTTGACCGTGAGGGGTGGCCAAAATGGCTTATCAGCTAGTTTTGAGTTCAGCAAAGCAAAATTCTTATTCTTGAGCCTTTCCCTGCTTCTAGAATTCCTTTTCCAGTGCTTCCAATATACAGTGTTTCGCAGGGCATTTTTTCGCAGGATCTCGCTTCTATGTTGTCTCCAGTTACGTAATCATCGCAACCTAAGAGGAGAATTGCAAGTTCTGAAGTTGCGAAGACATCGAAATTTACCTGGAGGAAAATCTCTTTTGCGGATTTGATTGCCCGGCCCGCAAGAAGCGGTGCACTCGGACCAGGTGCTCCATCCATCCCAAACGCAAGCTATTCGGTTAATTGGTTAGAGCACGGCATGCACAACAGATTAAAGCAAACATTCAAGCAAGATGTTAATTTCAAATCAGAGAAAAAAACTTGGTAAGACGCTGAATTACCTGATGGACAAACGCCATTGTTGCATGGCTCGTCCTCGCTCAAAAGTTCGTCGCCACAGCCGCCGCATTCATCTGGTGATTTGCCGTCTTAGAATAATAGAAAAAGGTTGAAACGGGACTTGAATACCTGGGCAAACGCAATCTCGACTTCTCGATCTTGACCCGTCGCCGCAAGTTGCTGAACATTCCGACCATGGCATCCAGTCGCCTGTCGGGCATTCTGAGCGACCGATTATTTTTCTGGTTAGGATTAATCGGAAGGGGTTAGGGTTAGGTTTGTTAATGAGATGATAAAGATACATTCAGAATCTGAATCAGATGACTTAGTATTAGTAATACTGTATTACGAAGTAAGCAAATCATAAAAAAGGCTTTTCAAAAAAAAAACAATTAACTCAAAAAAAAAAGACCACTAAAGCCACTCTTGCTTACTGAGCTCTGGACATGGCTCGTACTCAGTATCGTCGCCGGGGCAATTCGTGCACCCTGGCGGGCCGCAAGTGCACGCGCGCGAACGGGAGCGTTCACCCCCGCCACAATCGCCGCCGCAGCACTCGCCCCAGGCGCTCCAATCAGTCCAGCATGATTTTTCTATGAAACAATGATGATTTTTTGTTCATTTTTTTCCGAATAAACTGACTGGGACCGAAGAACTATTGAATATTTTTCAAATGAGATTTTAAATGGAAATTTTCGTGGATTTTATGATTTTTGTGCCCCGCGACTAACCGTCTTTTTCCTCCGGGCACTCGATATCGCCGCAGGGCTTTCCCTCGTGGGCCTCGCCGATGCACCCGCGCGAGGCTGGATCTATCAGCCCGTCGCAGATGCACTCGCGCGTGCGGGATTGCACGGCGTTCTTTCCGCACGAGGCGCCACAGGGCGACCAATCGCACCAACCGGCCCACTGGCACGGCACGTTCCGCCGGGCTAGACGCCCAAATGGACCTAGAACAGATTACGTAGTAACATGCAGACTTACGCATGCAGGCGATTACTGTTAGAATCGAAATTCTATCTTTCAAATCGATCTTTTTCATGCTCTTTTTTCAATAAAAGATTACCTGGAAGGTTGTTTCGCTCATCGCTCCGATAGTCTTCCCCAGAACTGAGCCCAACAAGGCCGAAAATTTTAACTAACTGGTTTCAAAGGTCAAATATTGAAATCAAGGAAGAAAAAAGATTTTCTCCTCTCTTTGAAAAATCACTTATCAAGACGTAAATTCGATTATTTGATGGTTAAAAAGCTTAATTTGACAATTTTGCTGTACCAAAATTTTTGGTAATCAAATAAATTAAAATATATTATTTTCAAAAATGCAGGAACTAAACCTTATTGAAAATTAATTGAAGATGAATTTGACCTTTTCCTTCATCGGATGAAATCTCTCATAAATTTCTTCTGTGTATCAAAATATCTGAATCGGCAAAAACGTTACTTTCGGACACAACCCCTCTCTCGTCCTAAACGGGCGAGAAAAAAACTCTCGCTAAAGGCAAAAGTGGCCTCGCCTTGGGGGTGAATTTAACACCAAGCTTTGCACGTCCAGCGAGCCTTTTTTTCGAGCCTTCAAAAAACCTTGGCTGAACTAGACGAAATAAAATGAGTAATAATCGCTCTTGAACGCGATAGAGTGCGAAAATATTTAGAAAATATAAAGAGGGATACCCTTAAGAATCCCCTCGCTAATCGGCTATTTTAGTACCTGTATTGTCTTTCGAAGAAGTATCAAATTGGAAGAGTTGTATCTCTATTTCTGAAATTCTAAGATCGCTCGGTTTTTTTCTCAGTTGAAAATGAAGAAAAAAAAATAATTTCGAAAAATATTTGTCGGATTCTTCGAAAGTGAGTTTCTGGGTTGAGCGTCCTCGCGAAACTATTCCGTCCTGTCCGAGCTATCTTGAGGAGCGCGTCGAGTTCTTTATTTACACTTGTGTGAGAAATCACTCTACGTACATGCCGGCCGATGACAAAACCTTTAATTATGTGGACCACCTTAATTGCCCTCTTCCTTTTTGTCTGGTACCTTCTCGGATTTTTGACAATTTTTACTCAGGTCTTAATCATCAGAATAACGAGTTTCCGCAATCATTTACAGTAACCCTCTTGTTTTTCGCGATTCGAGGAACCAGGAGACAGATATCTTTTTCTATACAAAATAAAATTGAAAATTTTCTCGGCCATCGGACTGAACTTTCGCCAAATTTCTTTCAAATAAGCCGTCGCAGCCATTTCAGAATCTGGCTTTGATTTGAAGTGATTTATGAGAAGGTGAGAACAAGACAAAGAATTGAACTTTCTCCCGGAAAAATAAGGGTGTCACCGTCTAAATATCATGGTTCATGAATCATCGAAAAAGTCTTCTTCTACGATGACTGGCGATTACTCTAGCCCTAATCCCTCATTTTTGCTAAAATTTAATTTTGCTTCGCACCTGAAGAATCTCAAAGGAACTCAAGGTGCATCTTCGGAAGGATGTCATCTCTCTTTTTATAAAAAAAAGGACGAGCTTCGAACAAAAAGCTGGGAAGAAATCATGGCCGGTGCATGTGCCCATAAATCGCCCCTTTTTGATTAATCAATTGATTGGATCATGTTGTATAAGTTCACAATTGACATCAACGAAATTAAACTTGACCTGCCTCTGCATTTTTTTTTGCCAGGTTTTTCAGTGAACTTTCTATTAAAAATTGTGTCACGAGAGCAATAATTTACCCCGATCGGATTCCGAAAAAAAGTTTCGGTCAAATGAATCAAAGATTTTAATGCGTTTTGATTAATTGTTTATAAGGACCTGTTGACTTTTCCGTGGCAGCTCGCCAAATCTTGAACTTGTCTGGTTCCTCAACACACAAATTTTTCGTCTCATCCTCCGCCGTCCTTTCAAAAAACACGATGAAAATTGAATTTTATGAGCTGCTGAAGTTTTGGGAATGTGATAATTAGATTGTGTCAAATTTTGTCAATCACACACTTTGACGCTAATTTTTCTATCAAATATCAATTTCCTCCCCTTTCAAAAGCACTTATTTATAAATCTTGAATTAAAGTATATTCTTATAAATAAAAAGATAATCTTTTAAAAATCATCTTAGATGATTCATCTACCAAAAAACAATTTTATATACAAAGCGAGGAAGGGACTCTAAAAACATATGTTTTCATCGGAAGAGTGAGCACAACTTTGTCAAAAGTAGACCTTCAAACTTAATCTTTTCCTCTTCACAAAATATGGACAAGAAGAAGAAAATTTATGTTTTCATCGCCATTTTGCTTTGGTTTGATTTGATTGCTTTTTTTTCAGAGAAAATGAGAGCCTTTTTAGTGCTGGAATTGCTACTTGGCCTCTTATCCTTGTTTTTCGGAAAATCAGTAAGTCCTAGAATTTTGCGTCCGCATGATTATATCTATTAAAGATGCCCCTAAAGACGACTGTAAAGATTCACCAGATGAAGGAGAAGAAGGATACGAGGAGCCCCACTTCAGGCCAATGCCATTAAGTGATAGTCAAGCGAAGCTTTTTGATGACTATTACAAGAATTTGACTGAATCGGTGGAAATTGAGGCTTTTATCGACGGAAAATCCTGGCCAGCATTGATTTCTACCTCTCGATTATGTAACTAGCAATCCATCTTGCCTCAAATTATGATTTTTCTAAAGCATACGACGGGGCGAAATCTTTCTGCGGGGATCGAAATACAACCTTGCTCCACAAAAAGACCAGTCAAATCATGCCAGTTCCAGAGCTGGGCTCGAAAGCCTGTGTAAAATCCTGAGACTGAATAAATTTCAGTACTCTTTCACAGGTTGCAAAGCCCAGTCACAGAGTTCGTTCGTATCGCAACTTACAAATACTGGATCTACGCAGAGTACACATCAGAGTTTGAGTTTATTGAAATCAACGAAGACATTCGGAAATCAATTCAACCCGATCTCGACAAAGCAAAACTAACAAAAGATCATATTTTTCTCTGTAGAGAGTGCAATCAAGAGGTCTATGATGAAAACTTGCCAACTGACTCAGTTACAGACTGCTTGAAAAATAGTGCCATTGGTACTCCGGAAGGAAAAGAAGTTGAATATATCTGTGCTGATAACGTTTTCGACGGCGGCAAAGTCGTAATTCATATTGAAAAGAAGGTGAAATGCGATTTGTTAAAGGTATTCCTTCTTGCATTTAAGCCGTCAGCTCAAAAACATCCTACTAGCTGAATGCGTCGTTTCTGGAGGATCATCAATTATGGAAAGAAGACAATCTTCCGGATATCATGGAAGGTTCCAAGAAAGGCGCTCGATTCATATCTGTAGAAGCTTTTGAATTTCATATAAATGAGATGCCTTCTTAGTGGAAACGAACTGCAAAAAGAACATCCTTTAGTCCTCTGATTCTCACTGCTTATCTTGCAGGTACAAATTTAGCTCATTCAGGCAAGCTTGTCTTTATTTATTCTTAGATGAGTACAGCGAAGAAATTGGCATTCCATGGTGCGAAAACAATCCCAACCGCCTCCTCGGTGTATATTATTACTTGAACAAGCTTCATCTTGGTCGAAAATTCGGAATGAAGTAAGCATCTTCTCAGTTTTGTTGAATTTTTCACCTTTTTGAACATAGTGCATTTGCAATCTGCTTGCATAGAAAATCTTCCTGAGAATCAACCCATCATTAAACATCAAAACATCCATCATTCCTGTCATGCATCTGTTGTCATAATAATTTTCTGCCAAAAGCAATTTGAAAAAGACAACTCCGCTTTTGATGATTCTTGAACCTCAATCGAACATTTATTGAAAATATAGTTATCTTTATTCGTAATATGTTTCTATTTTATGTAGAATGTATTATATACACTGTATATAAGTCATATAATATAACAAAACACTTGAAATGCAGATTTTTTTCTTCGAAGACGTAGATAATATTGGGAATCTATGATTGGTGATCAAACGGAGCATATTTAAATTGCAGCACGGCCGGTAAATATATAGATGCGTACATTTTCTGGGAGTCGGCAGTTTCGCAACGTCGGCTTTTTGTCTGGTATCTTCTCGGATTTTTGACAATTTTTACTCAGGTCTTAATCATCAAAATAACGAGTTTCCGCAATCATTTACAGTTACCCTCTTGTTTTTCGCGGAGACTGAAATCTTTTTATATACAAATAAAATTAAAATTTTCTCGGCCATCGAAATAAACTTTCGCCGAATTTCTTTCAAATAAGCTATCGCAGCCATTTCAGAATCTGGCTTTGATTTGAAGTGATTTATGAGAAGTTGAGAACAAGACAAAGAATTTATTTTTTTTATTTTTCCTGCATATCCTGCACAATCTTGCTGGATACCGGTCTTCTCAGGCATACAATATGACTTGTGGTTAGTCAAAAAGTCGCCCAAGAATTATTTTACTTTCTCGATTTTAGCTGTTTTGCAACAGCATCTGACCAAGCGAAAAACGAGCCAAACGAGTAAAAAACGAGCAAGACATGCTGATTCGCGTTTTGAACCAAATCAAGCGCCATGGCCACTACGATCCGAATAGTTTCAAAGTAAAAAATATTCTTTTCCACGTCCAAAGTTATTCAGTATTCTTAAGACCCTTCAAAAATAATTTATTTCGCCAATAAAAAAACGAAATAAAATTCGACTAGCATTGATATTTAAAAAATGATAGCAGGTGGTTACAGCGCAAGTTCAACGTTATCTCCAAAAGACTCGTATTTTTTTCTGAAAATCATCATTAACGCTCGCCACCAAATAAGGTTCGATTTTTCGCTCGCTTCGCTGATTTTAATCGGCGCAAAGAAAAGAGATTCCACAAGAACTGCAAAAGATGCTCCAAGAATCTCCGACAGCCACCAAACCCAGTGATAGTCGAAGTTCAACGAAACAAGAGCTGGTCCGAAAATTCTGAAATGCAAATCAAAACTCGCGCTCAAGACCTTAAAAGAAAGTACCTCGCAGGGTTCATACACCCAGCTCCAAGGAACCATCCCCCGAATACTCCTTGTGTAACAGTCAATCCGATGGCGACTGGCGTCAGCGAATGAAAATAGCCTGGGTCCATAATCGCCATTAACGCTGTTAGCGCCATCATAAAGGTAAACCAAAATTCTGCCCAGAAAATTGCATGCAGATCTGATTCTTCTGTGATTGGTATCATCCCAACAGGCGAGCCACGGAGATTGGAAGCCAACAAGGCTGCGAGATACGCCCCAAAGCATTGGAAAATTGGAAAGAGTGACATTTTCAGACGAACCCCGCTATCACAGTACCTTACTTGCCCTTATATCAGTGCCGAAATTACGAAAAAAAAATTCCGAATGTTGATTTTTTTTTTCTTAAGGATCCCCTGTCATCAATCTTCGAAAAATCGATATTCGGAATTTCAAAATTTTGAGCCCGAAAATGGATTCTACGGGCAAAAAAAAAAAAGATTGTGACGCTTCATTTTTTGCGGGTCTATCTCAACCCTAACACCAGAGTTCAAAAACACGCGTGCGTACGTGCGATTTTTGGAACTCTGCCTTTAACCCTTACAATCGCGTATGAAAATTCGACTTAACGCCGAAAAATGACGAAAATGGCCTTATTGTGAAAGAAAATCAGATTTTTCTTGGCGAAACTTGCTTTTTACAAATTCGAATGACGAATTAAGCCACAAGGTACACTAAGTAGCCATAATTCGTAAGCTTTTGTCGAAAAAAATGACGGGGGTAAGGGTGGTCGAGAATAAGGGTTCATTTTGATCCAAAACCACCTTTAATACGAAAAAAGATACAAACCATTTTTTTTTCATTCGTGAAAAAAAACTGCCCGACAAAAGGAATACTTAAATTTTTAGAAAAACCGGGTCTCAATCTCGACCACCACTCCCTTGATAGTGAGTGACAAAGGCGGGATAGCATGTTGTTTCCTGGAAATGTCACTTTGCCGGGAGGATAATGTTTGGCAGGCAAACTCGCCACGGGATTGAGCCAGCGAGGCAAAGAGCCACAGTTATGCAGGGATTGAACTGAATAATGCAAATCTCCCAAAACATTGTGATGATAATGATCAGATTGATTCCAGCTGCAAGAGCAGCAATCAACGGCCAGGCCGGATCAGAAGTGTTTTCGGGCGAGCTCGGCTGAAGCGGGGACGCTCGTCTAAATAACCAAAGATTTTGGTAATGCATTACCAAAAGTTGATAATCCATTACCAATTTTTTATTGACTTCGACTTTTTTGTCGAAAAATGAGTAAATCACTCCCAAACTTAACCTATCAAACAGGCAACGAGCGCACACAGACTCTCTCACTAAACGAAATTGGCCTTTTTCGGGAAGTTTGGTGATGTATTATCAAAAATTGGTACAGTGGGTTGCGCAGGTAGTTGCCCCCTAAAGAGCGGGTGAAGGATCAACAAATCCTGCAAGCACTTTGAGCGAGTCTAGAAAGGAACAATAGAAAAAGCGCGGGCAAAGAGGCAACCAAAGCTGCAATCGCAAAGGGGCAACCAACTGCGCAACCCACTGTAATGGATTACCAAAATTGGTTATGCATTAGCAATTGGTAATTTAGACGAGCGTTTCCCGGCTGAAGCATGCAAGCCCAAAAGACAAGCATAAACGTTGCGATGAATTCCGCTGCGATTGGCTTAATCCAGCGCTGGAAAATTCGAGCGAAAGTAATTGAGCTCTTGAAGTCAGCATTGAATAAATTTGGCAGGTTGGTAACGTTCGGCTCGCCTGGTCGATGGTTTTCAAAGTTTAAAAATTCTCATTTTGAGCGATAAATCAAAAAATCACATTCCTGAATGCCGATTGAAGTTTTCATTGCCATCCTCCCACCGAATTTTGTTGTACTCATCAATGAATCTTTTCGAAAACATTTTTAGAAAAAAAATGATGCTTACTGATTTATTTTAATTGGTAAAAATCTCCAGAATCAGCATTTTATATTCTGCTGTAAATATTTGCCTTCAAAAAGCAGAAAAAATCTAGACACAGCCGCTTTTCCAGATTTTATTCGGCTATTGATTGAAGCCAAACAATTAGGAATTTCAAAACCAAAATTGGGTCAAAATTTAAAAGATGACCCAGTTCTCGATTATTTCGCAAGGCCGTAGAACGCCAGAATAGCAAGAAATAGACTGAAAAAAATCAGGCAGCCTTAATATTTGTTTTTCATTAAAGGGTATTTTAAATAACTGCGGACGCTGAATTTTTTTGACACTTTTTCAAAGAATGATTTTTTCACTTCTTTTGCTGGATTTTCAAATTTCCGGATTCGCCTCTCAAATCAATTATGGAACAGGTTTAGAGGAGTGCATGTAAGTTGAGTTTCACGGCTTTACTGAAGATGTGTGCTTTCTTCTTACAGTGGTGTGTGGAGTTGCTGCACGGTGCAGCCTGCACCCCTAGACAGCGGGTAAAAGGTGCAGAAACGCAGCACTCACTTTTGCTACTTCTAGAAAAAAACAATAGAAAAAGTGCGGGTCAGGGGTGCAGCAACGAAGCACTCGGTAAGGGTGCAGCCACTTCACACACCACTGTAAATGAAGCGCATTTTTAAAGAAGACTGAGATGAGATAACTCTTTTTTAAAGCGACAAGGAGCTATACGATGAATGCTACGGTCTCTGTCGAGTAAGCTACTTGCAATGCAAGGCCGATTGCGAGACGGCTTCTTGTGATTCGGGCTGCGTTTTAGAATTCGGAGGTAAAAAATCATGAATTTTTTTTCTTACAGATTTCAGAATGCACCGCTCTCTGCCCCTGCGGTGAGTACTGTCAAAGCGGATGCACTGAATGTGCAAATGAAATTTGTCTCGGCGAATGCAGGAGAGCGGAAAGTGAAAATCAAGAATACATGAGTTGCCGAGAGAATGCCCTTGAAAATCAAGTATGTATATAATTTATTAAGCTTTAGAAAAAAACGTTCACTTTTAACTTTGCCCGATCGAAGGGCATAAGGCTTTGTTAAATGGGTCAAACTTGAAAACATGTCCCATTACTGGATTGTTGACATTTGCTGGGTGTTTGCGGCGAAAGGGCGTCTTGGGAGAAAGAAATATTTCTGGAAAAGTGTGTCAAGATGATGGTCCTATTTGATTTTGACGTAATCGACCGAAATCAGTCAAGTGAGAACGCTTTTCTAGCAAACAGCATTGTGTACGCTACTCCTCGATTTTTCAAACAAGATCTTAATATAAAAATTTTCAAAATTTATTTGTTTAGAAGTAAATTTTACTCAAAAACAAAGAATGGCATTCTCCAAATTGAGATTTTTCAAAGAAAAAAGGCCAACTGGGGTCCCTTGAATTTTTATTCTTTCAGGCACAGTGTGTTCGAAATTGTCCACCAGACTCTTATTGCTTCGGAGAATGCAATATCCTCTTCTCAAACGAAATAAATGAGTGTCCTTGTGTGGAGGTAATCTATCTTTGATTTTTTTAAACTTTCCATGAGTAATAAACTTAGCATTCAACAACAACTACTGCTAGAACACCTACAACTACTGCTCTGTCAGAATTGGTAAATTAAAATTTTTCTCTCAGAGATTTACTGATCAGAATGATGTGAGGATTCTCGTTCTTGGCTGGGATGATTTGACGGACTCTTTCATCTTTTCCGGCGATGGAGCAACGAAGAATTCGGCCTTTATTGACGCCTCTCACGACAGCTATGCAAAAAACAGCGCATTTTCTCTTGTGAAGGGAGAAATGTACATTTTTGGCGGCCAAACTGATTTTCAAAAGGCAAAAATAATGTTGCGAAAATTTCTAAATAGGACGATTTATTTCAGGTCGCGAAACTTGAAAATTGTAGATTTAATGAGCACCCTGTTCGACTGATCAATGAGTTCCGAACTGGCCATTCTGCAATTGCTATTCATCACGGAGATCAAGGTTTGCTTATTTTTTCTTTGTCCGTTTCTTTATTTTAAGCGCTCATCTGCTTCAATTACAATCTCTTCTACAAAAATTGCGAGTTGTTCAATGGAACCGCCTCAATATCCACACACTCGACCGAATTCCCGCATCAATTTGGCAGCCTTGGACACTACAAAGGACGGCCAACTACAGTCTCGAGTTATCTCCGCGACGGATATCAAAAAGTGGAAACCTACGCTTCTTCTGGATGGGAAAGCTTACCTGATCATCCGAGGTGATCAGTTACCGAATTTTTCATCGTTAAATTTAAGTTTCAAAGAAAAATAGACGGGCATACTCTTACCGGAGTGAAAAATGGAGTGTTGATGATGGTTGGTGGCTTCGACAATGAAGAAAGACAATACAGCCGGGAGATCTGGCGTCTGAAAAATGAAATTTGGAGAATGGTTGGGTCCCTTAACGAGGTGAAAATAATCATGTCTATTTTTTTCTTAATATCAGTTCTGCTACTTCGGCTCGGCATTGAACATCGACGGCTTCATCTTTATCATCTCCGGTTATAAATCGGCTTCCAATGGCGTGTACCCAGTGGAAAGAATTACAACAACCAGCGACGAAATAATCGATGTACAAGTAATCGGCGAACACGATTTTTTTGCCAAAACACCTGTCATTTTTCAAGCTCTTCCTGACTTCTGCGTCTAAAAATTTTTGTGATTCCAATGCTAATATTTTCGGTTAAAAAATTTGTTGCTCTCTTAAGGAGGGAGGGGGAATCGACGAGAAACGGGATTTTTTGGAACAAAATTCCGAGAAAACCTGATTTTCTGGAAAAATTAGGACTTTTCGGGTGAAATAAATAGGGTTGAAAAAATCTATCGGCGAAAAAAGGAAATATTTTGACCAGAAAAAATGGTCGAAAACTTGTCTCAAAATGGACCCCAAATGGCCATTTTTTAGTTATCTTTTTTTTCGGACCCTTTTGGTGAAGAAGTGCACGAATTTTCTGCGAAGACTCGCGAAACTCTTTTCCGATAGATTCTTTATACCCTTCTTATTCCAACCGAGAAGTCAAAATGTAATTGTACAATCGGATTTTTCCGACAATTTGTTCTGAAAATTCTTATTCTCGTCGATCTCCCCCTTAAGTGGGAGATTCCCGTAAGTAAAACGGAGTATTGCCATAAAAAATGTCTCTTCCGCTTCTTTATAATGGAACTTAAAGAATGTTTGCACGCTTTTGTGTTTGTGAGAATTAAAGCTTCCGAAAGAACGATGTGATTCAAAAACACTCGTAAAGAGATCCGAAAATGAGGGTTTTTGCGATGCTTTTCGCTATTTTTTGGAAAGTAGACGCGACTGGGATCACTACTCATGTTCTCGATTTAAGGGATCCCTTCCCGATTTCCCGAGTCTTTATGACGGGTGTCTATGCGGCATTTTTAAAATCCCCGTGCTCTGAGGATCATTTTGATATATTATATGGCCCCCTAACGAGCATCTTTACCCAAAATATTGACCCTCGAAAATCGAAAAAATGCATGAAATTTGTACTTAACGTTAAAATCGCAATTTTTTATCGACTTTTCGATGTCATCGAAAAAAGCCGTACAAGAGGTCTTTCGAACGCTTACAGTGCACTGAGTAAGAATCTGATCACCGCATTTGGATTTTTGACCATATATCTGCGCCAGAGAGCAACTGAAGGCCAGAAAAGGGCCAAAATAGCATCAAAATTTTTCTTAAGAAAAAAATTTTCTGACTTGACCAAACGATTTCTCTGAACAAGAGATTATAGATGAGGGATCAACAAAGAAAATAAAAATTGATTTAGGGCTCTTTAAATGAGCAAAAAAACTAGTTCGACTTTTAAAAAGGCCAAAATGGTGTTATCTATGTATTCAGCCCGCTTTTCGAGGTGTTTCCCCTTATGAAAATTTTTTTCTGTGCTAGAGTTTGTTCACTGAGAAACGGGCTTCAAAATGAGCCATATACCATTTAAAAAGCTAAGCCCAGAAAAAATAAGTTCGACGTCAAAGTTTGCGAAATCTAGGAGGGGATCCCTTAAGCACTGGCCGCCCCGGCTCTGGAATGAAAATCGATGTTTTCTTCCAAACTGATCAAGGAGAGGGTGTCGCTTCGAACTGGACTCCTCTCCGTACTCTGTAAGATTGCCGGAAAATTATTTTCACGCTGAAAATTATGCTTTCAGGAGAACCAATTCAGATGGTCGAACTGACACAGCAGTCCTCGGCGACGAAGAAATCCGCAAAATCAACGCCAACGCGGATGTCTTCTACAAACTCGTTTTCTTCACCGACGAGTACTACTCTGGAAGGGAAGTTTTTTACCGTCGACCAGAAATGGTCTTCCGAATCAAAAAAGAGCAAATTGAAGAGCATTTTCATGTGCCAATTCTCTGTACTCCCTTTTCCTACTCTACTTACAGGGGCTCCTGAACAATATAATAATTTCTCAAAAAATTTTTCAAAAAGATTTGTTCGGTATTTTATATTTGCAGATTTGACTCAAACTTAAGAATCAAATAAACGGAAAATCATGATTGAAAAGGTTCAACAGAAAAAAATGCAATTTATAAGAAAGAAAGAGCCTGAATGATGCCTTCGCCACGTTTTGCAGCAGAAATGAAATCTTCTTTCGAAAGCATGCCGTTACCGTCCTTAATTGGATATTCTTAACTGAGAACAAGTAAATTCGTCTTGCCTTGTCCATAAGGTCGTAAATCATCGCCACCCTTTTGTAAACATCCTCCTGTGGATTTTTGTCCCCTGCCATTGTTATCATCGCCCTGACAATTTGCTTCATTTTTTCACGATTGATGGTTCCCGTGTTGTCAACATCGTATACTTGAAACGCCTAAGACAACATCTAAAGTACCCCCAAAACTCGAACTCGTCTCTTACCCATTCGAGCTTCTCGTCCATCGTTCCTTTAGAAGTGATCGAGAGAGCACTAATTCATTTTTTTAGAAATTATGAAACTGAGTCTACGTGTCCTTTTTGACAAGTCTTCTCGAAAAAACGGAGACTTCTAAAAGAAACCAGACCTGAGAAATTCTTCAAAATCGATCGTTCCGTCGCCGTTTATATCAAAAACCTAAAAAATAAAAAAGCTATAAGATAGAAGCGGCGAATGGGTCTTTCCTTGAATATAATATTTGCAAAGTCGCAAGCATCTCCCTTCTCGAAGAAGCTTGCGTAGATGTCGATAAAATCTTCTCTGCTTAATTCTCCGGCGGGGCAATCCTAAAAAATATCTCTACCCCAATTAAAAGACCTATATCGATGTGCCTGCATAAAACCCTTGTGCCAGAGAAGAATCTCAGCTTTCGAAAAATGGGTTTTTGCTTCGAGTTTCTCTATCTCCGTGTTTGGTAACGTCGAGTTGCAGCTGCCCATGTGGAATAAAAATATGTGGCGGAGAAAGCCAATTACAAAAATGAGTCGAAAAGCTGCGGTGTCATTTTTATAAAGCTAAATTATTACAGCCCAAAGAGACGACGCCACTGATAAAATTTGATCTCTCAAGCTCTCAAAAATAGACTTCGGATAATTGTACCGTATACTATAAAATAGAGGGACCATCGATCTGGCTCGATATTCGTGTTTGAAATCTTTGAAAGTCGGACGAGCAGGGTTACTTTTTTGGTACCACAAACCAACTATAGTCGTATAAGCTAATAAGACATTTAAAATTTTCTAAAAGACAAAGGGTATCAGCCCAAAATCGATGTTTGAAAAGTTAATGCTTTTTTTCGTTTAAAATTAAGATTATATTTTTCTTGTCTTTTTCTGTCCAGCGAACAGAGCAATCCGCGGCCGGTTCCGATCAACGAGACTCATTGTTTTTGTTTTATTACCAGAAGCTAAGATAGGTTTAGAATGCCTTATAAAATAGACGCGAAAAAATAGACGCGAAAAAATGACGATAAAAGCGACCAAATAAACCTAAATAACGCATTCGAAAAATAGACAATCGAAAAATTAAGTTCAACAGAAAATACCCACATTTTCGGTTAACGATTCTGTCGCTCAAGATCTTCTCGGCAAGTCGGTTAAGCCTTAATTTGAAATCACGCTGAGTTCGCGAAATGAAGATTTTTCTATTTTTTGCTCTGGCCATGTCATCTCCGTACGAAAGGGTAAGAATTGAGAGATTGATGCCTTGTGTAGCAAATTATGTTTCATTTGCATTTCTTCAAATCTTGAGTTATTTTTGGGAAAAAACGCTCTCCAAATAGATAATTTTAAAATGATTTGAAGAAAAAAAATAAGATTTCTAATGATAAATTGAAGTCTCACGCGATACATGACTGCGGAAAATTGACAAGAAGACGATGCCCGTCCTACGATCGTCGCTCCGAAGAGAATAGAGGTAATCAATAGGTAGTCTGAAACTCTAACGACTCCTTACCAATATTTAAGAGTTACCAAATCGAGAATGTGCTCACTATTTTTGCAGCTGGGGATACTGCACATGCTTTCGCTGGCTTCCTGTAAATACTTCTGACTAAAAAGTCCGAAACAAAAAAGAGTGTTTTTGCATATTTATTCAATGAAAAGGAAAAAGGGTCTAAAATAATATGTCTTAATTTGATTATTTACGCAAAAATTATATTTGAATAAATTCAAGCTCATTTTGATTATTTGCGCCAATTTGAGCATCGTTTCTCGGCTCAATAATCATTGTCTTCGTGTTGTCAGTTTCCTTTTCTTTCTTCTTAATGAATTTCTTTGTGTCAAAGAAAAGATAAATGACGACGAAGATGCAAATCCCTGACGCGCCGGCCATTCCATACGAAACTGAACTTTTGAGCTTTTTAAGAATAAGAGAAAAATACTTTTTTCGAAATCAAAGTGTTCCGCGCTTGACTGTCCGCTTAGTATCAGCTTGTAAAGAGGGTCGTTGACAAGACTGACAAAAATCATCGGAGTCGTCAATATAGCGTACAGAAATTGAACCATCGGAGTCGGAAAGTAGGAAAACAGGAGCTAAATTAACTTGTTCAAAACTATCGAATATTTGAATAACTAACGAGCCATGGAGTCGAATAATGAATTGGCACAATCAGAAGAGAAAAGAAAATTAGAACCAAAGCAAGACTGTTTTCGGGATCCTGGATTATCCCGAAAAACGAAGACAATCAGTCAAAATTTTTCGAAAATCCCTAGCCATAGGAGTCTGGTGCAGTCGCCTGATGAGTCATGATTATCGAGGAAGCAATTGTGACAATTATGACAAAAGACATTTGAATCAGCAGCGCTTGAAGCTGAAAGTTAATTAGCGTCTCGTTTTTCTTCATTATTTAACCTTGGTTCGAAGTTCTCCGTAATGATAGTCACTTGGATATCGCCGGGCGAAAAATTTGATCAGAAATGCAGGGAAAAATGGAATTACGGCGAGGAAGAAATACGTGTACCCATTGATGTCGATAAGGAATGTTATTGATTTTTCGATTTCCTGAAGACATTCGTTTTCCGTAAATCTGTCACTGAAATCAGCACAGTCAAGTGATCTATATGCGTGTTGAATCCATGAAGTCATCCAACCTGAATCATCTCATCATTCAAAATCTAAAATGCATTACGCTTGCCTTTGATTGTATTTATTCTAAAAGTAATGATAGTATAGTAAACACCATAGATCGGAAACACTAGGTTTTTCATAAGAGGCAAGTGATCCTTTATGGGCGGTCGTTTTTCAGTAGATGCTCCCTCAATCGCCTCGATTTCGCTCTCCTTTCTTTTACAAAAAAGCTGCATCGCGATTGAAGTTTTCATCATGTCGAATGGCGGCTCTTTTATACCTGCGGGCTTATCCAGATCGTCTTGTGTTTTTGGAATCTTTATGTGGCGTATAAGTGCAAATATTGAGGAGGTATGATCTTGATTTAAAGCCTTTCCGGAACAGAAGGGATAAAAAAATAGGTTCTCACATGAATCACTGACGAGGCGATAAAAAGTATCAAAAAATAGGAGTTGAGAGGCAATCCAACTTCGTGGAGTTTTTTCGCCACCAGCATCGACGTTGCAGACGAGTTAATTAATCCTGGGATCATGACGATCAACGGCGTAGTGATGGACTTGTAAACTGGAGCGACGAAACTGTTGAGCATGATGTATGAAATCGAGGGAAAGGCGACGAAAGTAACCCCGATAAGAAGCAAATAAGCGCTTGATTGGTAGAACGACATCAGTAGAAGGCCTGTGGAGGTGAGGGAGCCTGCAATCACTCTAAAATTTGGCTGATCAATTTTGGTCGAGGTCACGTGGGGCCGATAATTTGACTGATTTCAATACCTAACTTGCGATTCGCAATGCAATAATAACCACTGACCTTGTCCAATGACTTCCAATGAGCGACTGCAAGCTTCCAAAGAAAATCGGTCCCGAGCACGAGAAAATTGTTCCGATCGTCCACATCGTCCCAATCATTTCGCTCGCTTGTGAGCAGTAAACGCCAGCGTCGAATTCAGCTAAAGAACAGTATTCTTTCATGAACACTTTTTCTCCCGTAAAAATTCGTTGGATGAACGGAATCCCATAAAAAATATTCGCAAACGTCATCATTTCTATGACTCCTAAGAAGCAGGGATTTAAAATTCAAAAAGTCAGCGCAGCTCTATGACAAAATACTGGAACTAATGTTTTTCGCCAAAATTTTTTCCAAGGCTTACCATGAAAAAATTAAGGCGATCTTTGTGACATACCTGTATCCAAGGTCATCGATTTACGTGATTTTAGGAGGTGGTGGTCGAGAATTATAAAATGATTTTTTATTATCGGCTTAAACTAACAGTGATTCGATAAAATAAGATATTTTTTCTCTTGAAAAATCCATTTGTAGTGTCAAAATCACGTTGCAAGCACATTGGCTTCAGACAGAGGCCAAGAATGACCAAAAGTCCGAAAAGATCTACAAAAAAAAAAGGTAAAAACGCGATTTCAGGTCGACTTTGACGCTCGATTTAGTCATTATTCCCTTAAAATCTATTTCTCAAACAAATCCGCCAACACAATTTCAACCCTTTTTCATTTATAAAGATTAAGATGAGAAATTTTTTTTTTTTTGAAAAGAATAGAGTTTTTAGGCTGAAATCCTTATTTACGACCACCACCCCCTTAAGGCGACACAGGCCGTCAAAAATTCCTTATTTTGCATTCTTACGAAAATTGGATAAGCGTGGACAAAAAAATAAGATCACCTATCTAAGCTTCACCCTTATGAGCATGTACTTATTATGGGAAGAAAATTATTTTCTTGTTTTGCTCAGTATGAAATATCGAGACGATGCTTTTTGATCTTAGATCCCTGCTAAAAAAAGGGAAATGTAATTTCCTATCATCTTTGGACCGCGACTTTTGACTGCTGTTTAAATCTCGGTTTTTTGCTGAAGTATGCTGAAAATGACGGAGCTTTCAAGGCTTTTATAAATCTCATATTTGGTGATAGGAAGGGAGAATAATCGGCGAATAAGGGAAGGAAGTTAAAATTTGAGCACCCTTTTAGAACGCTTTTATGGCAGAAGTTTTCGTCTTCCGTTGCTATGATGCTGAATGAAGCAGGGACAAATTGTAATGCTATTTTGAAATGGAAATTTTAGACTGACCTAGATTCGACTGACCAAGGCGTGTCTATTTTTTCCATTGATAAAAGACTTCCTCTCTGAACTCATTTTTTAAAGATTTCACAATAATGAACTTAGAGGAAGTCTTTTCGGAAAGAAAAGGCATCCAGGAAGTCTGCTTTTTTGACTTAAAAGCGTCAAACATCCTTAATGTCTATTTTCTCGAACGCCTTGATGCTGAAAATTCGTTCAAATCTTACCATATTTCGAAAATGTCTATTTTTTTCGAAAAAAAAATTTCGGTCTGTGCATGTTAACTCTGTATCAGTGCATTTATTTTTCAATAAGTATAATTAAACAACTATAAAAAATAATTTGTATTTGTCTTCAGCCAATTTTGGTTTTTAGGAGGCGTGTTGCAGGAGAAAGTTTCGTCTACCATTCCTTTGATGCTGAATGAAGCAGGGACAAATGGATATGCTATTTTGAAATGGAAGTTTTAGACTGACCTAGATTCGACTGACCAAGGCGTGTCTATTTTTTTCCTTTGATAAAAGACTTCCTCTCTGAACTCATTTTTAAAAGATTCCACAATAATGAACTGAGAGGAAGTCTTTTCGAAAAGAAAAGGCATCAAGGAAGTCTGTTTTTGACTTAAAAGCGTCGAACATCCTAAAAGTCTATTTTCTCGAACGCCTTTATGAAGAAAATCCGTTCAAATCTTACCATGTTTCGTCAGTGTCTATTTTTACGAAAACAATAAAATTTCGGTCTGTGGATGTTAACTCTGTATCTGTGCATCTATCTTTCAATAAGTGCAATTATACAACTAACAATAATCATTTTTGTTTTTCTACAGCCAATTTGGGTTTTATGGAGACGTGGGGCAGTTTTCGGAAAATTGACCCTTTTCAAACAGCCCTCAGGCTCAGTAGAGTAAGAATTTTTTAGAAACTCCTCTTCTACTTATAGATTGGACCATAAGGGGTCCCCAACGATTTTTCGATTTTGCCAATTAGGTTTTTTCCTCTTCAGATCTGAATTCCTCATGCAAAAAGCTGCAAAAAAGGTCACTAGCTTTTTTTTTTATTTTTGTACAAAAAAGTGACTGAAATCGATCTTAAAGTGACCAATTTTGCTGCATCTTCATCAAAATTAAAAGATCGACCCCTTTTACAGTTGTCTAAGGGTCGCACATGGCACATTTTTAGAAAGGCTATGTGCTCAATTTTCTGTTTATTCCCGAAAATATGGGTTAGGCAATTAACGTCGTTGACATTTCCAAAATCGTTCTTTTATTTAATCGTACATAATCATTTTTTGAAAATAATGAAAACTGAGAGACGCGTCACTAGTTTAGTGTTAGAACTTTAAAGAAGTCACTAGATCTAGGTTTTATCAACTTGTTAGTGAAAAAATTTCTGAAAAATATAAGTCTATGTATAGGTGTAACGGTAGAAAAATCAGCTCATCCTTATCTCTTTCTAAGGCTCTGGTTTTTTCTTTATTATGAATCGCCAGGTTCAAGCGATCATTTTGATGGTAAAATCTAGCGCTCGGAAGAGGGTGATTACTCCATCCTATTGGTCCGTCCTAAAATCAAAATGATCGCTGGAACCTGGCGATTCATAATAAAGAAAAACAGAGGCTTAGAAAGAGATAAGGATGAGCCGATTTTTCTGTGTGGGATGACTAAGTTCGTGGGGACTAGGTTCGTGAGACTAGGTTCGTGGGAGGCTGGCTGGAAAACGTGGTTCGTGGGACTAGGTTCGTGAGTTTTTGATTTTATATGTATATTTTTATTTATAATGATTAAGTGTTATTTATATGTATATATTTATTTATATATATTTATATATATGTATTGTAATTATATGATCATATAATATAATATTGCTATCTAAATATTGGTTCGGGGGTTTTTGATTGGTTAGAATTTTTATTCTATAAGGAAAAAATATGTGCGACTAGGTTCGTGGGACTAGGTTCGTGAGTTTTTAATGGGTAATTATTTTTATTCTATAAGGAGAAATTATGTGCGACTAGGTTCGTGGGACTAGGTTCGTGGGTTTTGAAATTTTTATAAGGAAAAGTGGGGTGCGACTAGGTTCGTGAGACTAGGTTCGTGGGTTTTGAAATTTTTTATAAGGAAAAGGGAGGTGCGACTAGGTTCGTGGGACTAGGTTCGTGGCTTTCAAAAATTTTTATAAGGAAAATGGGGTACGACTAGGTTCGTGGGTTTAGGTTCGTGGGTTTCTATTCTAAGGCAACCATTGTTATTCAGCGCTAACATAGAAATTCAGTTAAAGAGCCTAGCGGCTTATTTTGGGGGTGGGGGTGGGAAAGTCATTTTTTACCATTCAACTTTACCCAATTTTACAACCCACGAACCTAGTCCCACGAACCTAGTCCCACGAACCTAGTCTCACGAACCTAGTCTTCACGAACCTAGTCTTCACGAACCTAGTCCCACGAACCTAGTCCCACTAACCTAGTCTTCACGAACCTAGTCTTCACGAACCTAGTCCCACGAACCTAGTCGCACCCCCTTTTCCTTATAAAAAATTTCAAAACCCACGAACCTAGTCTCACGAACCTAGTCGCACCCTCCTTTTCCTTATAAAAAATTTCAAAACTCACGAACCTAGTCCCACGAACCTAGTCGCACTCAATTGTTCCTTATAAAAAAATTTCAAAACCCACGAACCTAGTCCCACGAACCTAGTCGCACTCAATTGTTCCTTATAAAAAATTTATAATTTTTATAATACTTATAATACTTATAGAAAAATCTCTAATTTCAAAACCCACGAACCTAGCACCCCTACGAACCTAGTCCCACGAACCTAGTCGCACCACATTGTTCCTTATAGAAAGGAAACCATACCCCATCTTGCATACTTTGGCATAACCACCTACGAACCTAGTCCCACGAACCTAGTCCCCACGAACTTAGTCATCAATCCCATTTTTCTACCGTTACACCTATCTATGTAGGCGTGAACGCCGGTCGAAAATGGCCATTTTCGGAAAAATCGTTAGGGACCCCCTAAAATTAAAGTTGAAAATTTTTCATAAGAAATAATAACAGTGGCATGCGCTGGTTCCGCCCTTGGAAAAAATCTCGCAAGCATTCACACAAACGTCAATTTTTAATCATTTTTTTCACTATCGATCTTTATCGATGAAAAAAAACATAGGAACCTTGTTGTTCTTGACCAAGCACATCTTAAAAACCTTTGAAATCCGGATATTTGCCAAACCCAAGAGTATTTTTTTTTGATAATTTAAGAACTCTAGCCGATAAATACCTCTTTAGGACTTATACTACACAAAATAAGGAACCCAAAATAATTTCGAATGATAAAGAATAGACTTCTTTTTAATTAAAAACTCTGAGAGAAAAGTGCTTTCATAAAAAAGTAGACTTCCTTTTTAAGTCTGCGCCACCGGAAAATAAGCTTTTATAAGCAAGTGAATTGATTTCAAATTCCGCGAACACAATGATTCTTATATTTTTGCTGCCCTTGTTTCAGGCAGAAATTATTTGCGAATACGATGAGCCATGTCTCAGGGCTTGCACTGACTCCGTTTGCGAGTATTTTTGGAACATCGAGCACCGATATAGTCAGACTTGGCGGACGAGCGACTTCGGCGAAAAAAGGAGCTACCCGAAAGGAGCGATGAGGGATTTTCCGCTTTCATGGAATTCGACGAAAAAAAATTTCGACATTTTCCAAGAAGGCATTAATGTAGGTATCAACGACGTCATCGACGAGAATGGACGCGCCAAAAACCCTCTTGACGAGCTTGAAAAGCTCTTACTCTTAGACGGCCAGCAAATGCGCAAAGTGATCACCATCAACGGGCAAGTTCCCGGGCCGAACATCGTCGTCAACAAAGGGGCACTTGTCAAGATCACTGTGAAAAGCACCTTGCATGAAGAGTCATGTAAGTCTTTTGACAGTCTCCACTATCTAACTTTTCCCGCAGTTTCTCTTCACTGGCACGGTTTGCATCAATACGACAACTATTGGAACGATGGCGCCGCAATGTTTTCACAATGCCCTGTCGACGCTTTCAACTCGTTCACATATGTGATGAAAGCGGAAAATGCGGGAACACATTGGTATCACTCGCATTACATCATTCAACGTGCGGATGGCCTTCATGGAGCTTTCATAATCTTAGATAAGGGTTCTTTACTAAATAAGCAATCGCTTAGATTGCCGTTATGGTCATGAAATAACCTTTTCTTTGTTTTGTGAGATAAAATTTATTTATGGGAACTTTATCAGAAAACATGGAATTCCCCCTTAAAGTCAATGTCGCCACCACTTGACCTTTCGATTCATAAAATGATCAATTCTTAAAAGAAAAGAACGCGTGGGGCCTAAAAGCAACTCAAGCGCGCCCGCTCTCTCGAAAAAGAGGAGACGATAGACTCTCTTATACAGTTATTTTCCTCTTTTGTGGACATTTTTTATCCCATTGTTTCATAAAAATGTCCACAAAAATGGGCAAGAGTCTTCAAAAAATGTCCAGCCGTAGAGCCTTAAAATTTTTTCTTCGATAAATTTTTCTTCGAAAAATGGAAAATTATATCATCAAAACGACTTTGTTCTGCCTTTTTTACCATTTTTAGTCAATAACACGGTCAAGGCCATTAATTTTTTATAAAAGACATCCTTATTTTTTGAAAAATACACCCTGTTAATTCCTCATAAATTTTCTTAGCTGGACAAATGTCCACAAAAGTGGAACATTATCCTTGCAAAAGTGTCCCACGAAAACCCCTTAAAATCAAGAAAATGTCCATAAAAATGGGATCAACAAAAGAGGAAAATACTGTATATAGACTCTGATATTTCCGATAAAATGACATCATGGCACGTGATCGAAGTCCCAAAAACAGGATTTTCGGCCTAGCTCTAGAATTTTTCCCCAAGACTCACGCCTGACAGAAACATATCATTCTAATCAGGAAAAAACGGGAATCATTTTTAGGTGCATTTCGTAGGAGAGAATTGACATCGCCTTTTTCTGGCGAGCCCTACGATAGAGCTACTGCCTTGGCTTGAGCGCACAATTTTTAAAGCTTTGACGCGCCGAGTCGGCCTGATTGAAATGTCTCTTAAATCGTTTTTTCGGAATAAGATAAAATTTCATCATCAATTTTGTAGATAGGGGTCGACAGAACGTATTTATCAAAAACTCAACCGTTGCAGCGGAAAAATTCGAAAAATCGTGATAATTAATTTTGTAATCGCTCTGGAGAGAAATATTAACCCTAACCCAATAACGCGTGATTGAAATAATACGATAACAAGAGCGGAAACACTTTTAATGTACCCGGGCCATCTAGAACAGTCTTTGAGATAATGGTCAAAACTCTCGTGAGCAAGTGAGCGCGAACAGAGGGCCCTGGATTTGTAACATGAGTGAGCGAGCGCGAGCAGACCCTTTAGATTTTTTCGTGAGCGAGCGAGCGCGAGCGCAGATACCGGAAATTCCGGAATTTTTCTATGAGTGAGCTCGCCCTCACCATTTATTCAAACACTGATCTAGAACAATTTTCGTCAAAAAAGGAAAAACCTGCTTGTTTTCTTGGTATAAAAGACGGATTTTTTGTCGGAATTTTGAAAAATGATCGTTGTAGAACGCTTGAGAACTCTTTCTCGTGAGTAAAAACGCGACACTCAATCAGGCTATAATTTGCTAGCCTTCGTGCAACCTCTTAATGGTAACCGTATGATAGTAATGATTTAGGTAGGACAAGTCCTTTTTTTCCATTTATTTTTCATTGCTTCGGAGCTTCGGTAAAAACGAGCAGAAAAAGATAAAGATTTCTTTTTCTATTTCTGTAGTTGAATAAGAGTGTCACAATGCTAAATCTTTCTTATATGTATGTTTATTAAATTTAATTTACTTTTTTGCTTAAAGAGTAACCGCCGCAGAAAATCTGCTGAATATTGTGCGCAGATGGCAGTGGACGTACCATGCGATTCACCTTCATGGTTACGAATTTGTCGTCACTGATATCGGCTTCGGACGGGCGAATCAGACGACTGGATTCATCGAAGGTCTTCATCCGGCAATTTCTTGCAAGGACGATCAAATAAAGTGCAATCGCGCTGAATTCGACGAGGAAATCTTCACTTCGCAGCGCTCAAATCGCGACGACCACATTCTCAAAAACACTGTCTTGGTTCCTTAGATTGCCGTTATGGTCATGAAATAACCTTTTCTTTGTTTTGTGAGATAAAATTTATTTATGGGAACTTTATCAGAAAACATGGAATTCCCCCTTAAAGTCAATGTCGCCACCACTTGACCTTTCGATTCATAAAATGATCAATTCTTAAAAGAAAAGAACGCGTGGGGCCTAAAAGCAACTCAAGCGCGCCCGCTCTCTCGAAAAGAGGAGACGATAGACTCTCTTATACAGTTATTTTCCTCTTTTGTGGACATTTTTTATCCCATTGTTTCATAAAAATGTCCACAAAAATGGGCAAGAGTCTTCAAAAAATGTCCAGCCGTAGAGCCTTAAAATTTTTCTTCGATAAATTTTTCTTCGAAAAATGGAAAATTATATCATCAAAACGACTTTGTTCTGCCTTTTTACCATTTTTAGTCAATAACACGGTCAAGGCCATTAATTTTTTATAAAAGACATCCTTATTTTTTGAAAAATACACCCTGTTAATTCCTCATAAATTTTCTTAGCTGGACAAATGTCCACAAAAGTGGAACATTATCCTTGCAAAAGTGTCCCACGAAAACCCCTTAAAATCAAGAAAATGTCCATAAAAATGGGATCAACAAAAGAGGAAAATACTGTATATAGACTCTGATATTTCCGATAAAATGACATCATGGCACGTGATCGAAGTCCCAAAAACAGGATTTTCGGCCTAGCTCTAGAATTTTTCCCCAAGACTCACGCCTGACAGAAACATATCATTCTAATCAGGAAAAAACGGGAATCATTTTTAGGTGCATTTCGTAGGAGAGAATTGACATCGCCTTTTTTCTGGCGAGCCCTACGATAGAGCTACTGCCTTGGCTTGAGCGCACAATTTTTAAAGCTTTGACGCGCCGAGTCGGCCTGATTGAAATGTCTCTTAAATCGTTTTTTTTTTTCGGAATAAGATAAAATTTCATCATCAATTTTGTAGATAGGGGTCGACAGAACGTATTTATCAAAAAAAACTCAACCGTTGCAGCGGAAAAAATTCGAAAAATCGTGATAATTAATTTTGTAATCGCTCTGGAGAGAAATATTAACCCTAACCCAATAACGCGTGATTGAAATAATACGATAACAAGAGCGGAAACACTTTTAATGTACCCGGGCCATCTAGAACAGTCTTTGAGATAATGGTCAAAACTCTCGTGAGCAAGTGAGCGCGAACAGAGGGCCCTGGATTTGTAACATGAGTGAGCGAGCGCGAGCAGACCCTTTAGATTTTTTCGTGAGCGAGCGAGCGCGAGCGCAGATACCGGAAATTCCGGAATTTTTCTATGAGTGAGCTCGCCCTCACCATTTATTCAAACACTGATCTAGAACAATTTTCGTCAAAAAAGGAAAAACCTGCTTGTTTTCTTGGTATAAAAGACGGATTTTTTGTCGGAATTTTGAAAAATGATCGTTGTAGAACGCTTGAGAACTCTTTCTCGTGAGTAAAAACGCGACACTCAATCAGGCTATAATTTGCTAGCCTTCGTGCAACCTCTTAATGGTAACCGTATGATAGTAATGAACCCTGAGTTCTAGATGAGGAGGATAAAAAGGATAAAGTGAGCTGGATGCCACTCGTTTTGACCGATTGGTGGAATTCTGACTCGACTTATCTTGCTGGAACTGATCCCTACAGATACGGAAACACAAACGGAAAGCGGATGACCGGTGCGGGAACGAAGCATTGCCGGACCGAGGATAAGCCTTTCTTGACAGGAGTGAAGATGAGCTCGCTCTGTGTCGACTCGATACTCGCGAACGGAAGGGGTCAATATCGACGGCTTCCGTCCGAAAAAGAAACTGGGTTCGAGTTCAGCGTCTTGGAGGAGTATCTGGTCTCACAAACTAGCAACAGGGTTCAGCTCAAAACAATTCATGCTGGATTCGAACACCCGATATTGATTCGGCCCACGGACGATCGAAAATTAATCATTAATGCTGCAGATGGGAGAAGAATTCTGCCTCGAGAAGGCGACGGAATTTTCATGGGTGTGGGCGAAACTCTGAACATAGAAGTTGATTTTCCGCTTGAGGAACAAAGACTGGAGTTGCTCGCTGAAATTATCTTTGAAGGGGTCGGCAAAAAAGCGAGACATTATGAAAATCCTTTTGTAAAGATTACTTTTGTTCGAGATTCAGCGATCTATGGCTCTAAAATTGAAAATCGACTGATCGCCGCATTTCCAGAGTCTGAGGCTCGTTACCCTTCCATCTTCGCTGCCGACAATGAAGTTGAAGACAAAATTCTCCTTAATTGCCCAGCGAAGAAGGTCGGAAAGATAACTTGCGTGACAGTGGTTGACTTCAAACGAGACCCGGAGTATGAGTCTCTTCTCGAGAAAACGCCTCCTTCTATAAATGAAGAGCCCGATCGGGTGATTGATCTCAACATGAATTTCGCAGTCGGGGCGGCAATCAACGGAATCGAATTCAAATATCCAGAAATGCCGTTTTTTGACGGGCCGAACAGCGCCGGAATCACAATATGCTCGGAAAAGGCGCTCAAAACTGGAGGACACTGTACTCAAATTTTGGAAGTGGAGAAGGGAGAGCTTATCGAATTTAGGTAGGACAAGTCCTTTTTTCCATTTATTTTTCATTGCTTCGGAGCTTCGGTAAAAACGAGCAGAAAAAGATAAAGATTTCTTTTTCTATTTCTGTAGTTGAATAAGAGTGTCACAATGCTAAATCTTTCTTATATGTATGTTTATTAAATTTAATTTACTTTTTTGCTTAAAGAGTAACCGCCGCAGAAAATCTGCTGAATATTGTGCGCAGATGGCAGTGGACGTACCATGCGATTCACCTTCATGGTTACGAATTTGTCGTCACTGATATCGGCTTCGGACGGGCGAATCAGACGACTGGATTCATCGAAGGTCTTCATCCGGCAATTTCTTGCAAGGACGATCAAATAAAGTGCAATCGCGCTGAATTCGACGAGGAAATCTTCACTTCGCAGCGCTCAAATCGCGACGACCACATTCTCAAAAACACTGTCTTGGTTCCTGCAATGGGTTTTGTTACCTTCCGGTAAGAGGATTTTCAATCAGGTTAAGAATTAATTTTATTGTTATAGAATTCGCGCTGACAATCCTGGAATCTGGCCTTTTCACTGCCACCAGCTCTTCCACAACTACGAGGGAATGGCAGTCGCCCTTTTCGTCAAGGATAGGGACGAAAACAAGCCGTTTTCGTACTTGCCAAAAAACATGCCCCGCTGTCATCATTATCACCCGAAAAACATCGCAATCGACGAAGAGCCTATCCGGCAAAATAGTTCCTCTGGAATAACTGCGTCAACTTTATTTCTCTTCATTTTCCTTATTTTGTAATTTTTTAAGCGAAATGTTACTTCGAATACAAAAAACGCGGTCAAAAAATTCATCTTTTTTTTTTGCAAAAATGATGGGGACATTCGGATAATTGGGGACATTTGGGGACATTCGGGGTCATTGGGGTGATTTGGGACATTCGTAGACACAATTTTTCTATACTTAGCAATGTAGTGACTTCAAAAACACATGTTTTCATCGGAAGAGTGAGCACAACTCTTTCAAAAGTAGCTCTTCAATCCGAATTATTTTCTTTCCACCAAAAAATGGACAAGAAGAAGAAAATTTATGTTTTCGTTGCCATTTTGCTTTGGTTTGATTTGATAGCTTTTTAAGAGAAAATAAGAGCCTTTCTAGTGCTGGAATTGCTAGCTGGCCTCTTATCCTGGTTTTTTTTGGAAAATCAGTAAGTCCTAGAATTTCGTGTCGGCATGATTATATCTATTAAAGATGCCCCTAAAGACGACCGTAAAGATTTATCAGATAAAGCAGAAGAAGGGTACGAGGAGCCCCACTTCAGGCCAATGCCATTGAGTGACAGTCAAGCAAAGCTTTTTGACGACTATTACAAGAATTTAGAAAGAAACTCATCTAGTCTCAAATTATCATTTTTCTAAAGCATACGACGGGGCGAAATCTTTCTGTGAGGATCGAAATACAACCTTGCTCCAGAAAAAGACAAGTCATATCATGCCCATTCCAGAGCTGGGCTCGGCAACCTGTTAAGAAACCTGAGTCTATGTCCTGAATAAATTTCAGCAGTATTTCTCAGGTTGCAAAGCCCTGTCACAGAATTTGTTAGAATCGCAACTTACAAATATTGGATCTATGCAGAATACACACCAGAGTTTGAGTTTATTGAAATCAACGAAGACATTCGGAAATCAATTCAACCCGATCTCGATATAGCAAAACTTACAAAAGATCATATTTTCCTTTGCAGAGAGTGCAATCAAGAGCTCTTTGATGAAAAATTGCCAACTGATTGCTTGAAAAATAGTGCTAGTGGTACTCCGGAAGGAAGAGAAGTTGAATATATCTGGGCTGATAAAGTTTTCGACGGCGGTAAAGTCGTGATTCATATTGAAAAGAAAGTGAAATGCGATTTGTTAAAGGTATTCTTGGTTCTAAAGCGTGAGCTCAACAATATCTAAAGATAGAAATCTAGTTGAATGCGTCATTTCTGGAATATCATCAATTACGGAAGACAATCTTCCGGATATCATGGAAGGTTCCAAGAAAGGCGCTCGATTCTTATCTGTAGGAGCTTTTGAATTTCATATAAATGAGATGCCTTCTCAGTGGAAACGAACAGCAAAAAGAACATCCTTCAGTCCTCTAATTCTCACTGCTTATCTTGCAGGTACAATTATAGCGGCAAGAAACTAAGTTTTTACTTATTCTAAGATGGTGGTATGCTGTCACCTGGGAACCAGGTTCCCAGATTAGAATTATTTACCAATCTGGGAACCTGGTTCCAAGATTCGATTTTATTTCTAATCTGGGAACTTAAGTTCCAAGATTGGAAAAATTTTCGAATCTGGGACCCAAGTTCCCAGGTGACAACGACGGCCAGTGAAGTGAATCTTGGAACCTTTTCTTTTCAAAAAAATGACATTTTTCCCGTTTTGACAATGTCAAACCTGAGATTTACTGTAAGACAGGCGCGGAGCGCACTCCCGCTCATTGACTGTAAAGTTAGTAACGTTAATATTGGTCTCAAGTTTCATTTATTGGGAGATTTGTTTTATTTGAAATGAGTGTTTTACACTAATAAGGGGCGCTCGACAAAAATACAAAACAGTTAAACGCAAGGGGCGAGTCTTCCAAGGTAAAGGTAACAGGGTTCTTTATTGAATTATGGTCAGAATAAGCCAATGATGTGAAAAATTCATAACAAATAATAACATAAATAGAGATTGTGCATCTAGAATCAGCACAATCAGTGAAATAATGAGGTTCCAAGATTCGCAACCGACTTTAGGGCAGGCCGTCGTTGTCACCTGGGAACTTGGGTCCCAGATTCGAAAATTTTTCCAATCTTGGAACTTTAGTTCCCAGATTAGAAATAAAATCGAATCTTGGAACCAGGTTCCCAGATTGGCAAAATTTTCTAATCTTGGAACCTGGTTCCCAGGTGACAACTTACGACCTCTAAGATGAGTACAACGATGAAATTGGTATTCCATGGTGCCAAAACAATCCCAACCGCCTTCTCGGTGTATACTATTACTTGAACATGCTTCATCTTGGTCGAAAATTCGGAATGAAGTAAGCATCTTCTCAGTTTTGATGAATTTTTCACCTTTTTGAACATAGTGCATTTGCAATCTGCTTGCATAGAAAATCTTCCTGAGAATCAACCCATCACTAAACATCAAAACATCCATCATTCCTGTCATGCATCTGTTGTCATAATAATTTTCTGCCAAAAGCAATTTGAAAAAGACAACTCCGCTTTTGATGATTCTTGAATCTCAATCGAACTTTTATTGAAAATATAGTTATCTTTATTCGTAATATGTTTCTATTTTATGTAGAATGTATTATATACACTGTATATAACAAAACACTTGAAATGCAGATTTTTTTCTTCGAAGACGTAGATAATATTGGGAATCTATGATTGGTGATCAAACGGAGCATTTTCAAATTGCAGCACGGCCGGTAAATATATAGATGTGTACATTTTCTGGGAGTCGGCAGTTTCGGAACGATCGTCAAATTGAAATCAGGATAACAGAAGAACCCGAGGTTTGGATTTGAAGAAGAGGCTCTAAGGGACTTATCGGACTTATTTCTGGGTCTTCAGCCAAGCTAGAAAAAAAGAATAGAAAGACTTTTTAGAAGAGAGACTTACCGTCGTATTTATCCTGAACTTCTTGATCAGGTTTTCCGTAATGCGGATCTTTTGAATGGACATCGTATCCAAGAGTTTTCATCATCGGCGCGATTTTGGGAAGATCAGCCATCACATCGTCTGGAATATGCCCGACCCAGCTCTTCAACGAATCCGTGTAGAGCGGCTTCACAACCTGAATAACAAATTCAAGATTATGAATAAAGGAACCATAAGAGAGTGCGATATCTTATGGGTTGGTCGAAAAATGATAGCGAGAGGGTAACTTTTCAAAATCATAAGGTCGAAGATGTCACACAACTTAGGACACCTCTTGAATGCCAAAAAGCATCATGAAGTCACAAAGTTATCCCTGTCTGAGGCCTACGAGCACCGCTCATCTTGTTTCCCAATCTGCAACCGCAGATATCATTAATGAATTCTACAGAAATCCAACACGTTTTCAAATCCCCTACTGCAGGTCACTAATGGCTCGGTAAAACACTCACCTGGTCAGTCGATTTCTCTACAGCTGATAGCGAAATGTCGTCCATGTGTTTCTCATGCTCCATGACATTTTCATTCCATTCCAGATCTGCGAATTCGAGGATTTTCTTGAGCGTTGGTCGGGGATGCAGAACAAGATCTTCGTAGTGAACTGGGAGACAGTACTTGGGGCCGACTTCTTTGCACTGATAGTACATTCCTTCAACAGCTTTGTTCCACTAGAAAAATTAAATTTCAAGACTAGAAAGAGCGGGGTTTTTTCATTCAAAAACAGCAGCGGCTTTATCGCCGTCAGAAATACCAGCTTTTCCTTACACACCTTTGTGATGACATCTCTGTAAGAAGTAATATCGAAGCCCGAGATGGTGACTTCTCTAGAAATGATCGAATGCGCAGACGCTCGACCATCACGAAGCATGAGAATAAATCGACTATTTGGAAACAGCTCGGTCAGGTATTTCGTCGATTTCAGCGTGAAGGGATCTTTGTTGCACAATCTTTCGGCTGGTTTTCCGTGTTTAACGATGATTTCAAGACTAAAACAAGAGTTAGCGGCACGAGTTCAAGCGAGGGAAATCATACAGGAATTCAGCTACAGCACTATCGACGACGTCTCTAGTTACTCCCGCTTCTTCCAATCTGTTTGCTTCTTTTTCGGACTTGTACCTGAGAAATTTAAGTTCGAGCGAAAAGCTAGAATTCTTACCAATTCGATCGCATTCCAAGCAATCTAGGAACAAGTCTGGTTTCTTCTCCACATCTCATTTTCGGATGAGCGTCTGAAAAGGATGATTTGCGAACTCTATTCCTGAAAGAACGTCTTACCCATCATAGAACGCATGAGAGTCGTCCCGGATCGTGGCATTCCTCCTATGAACAAAATCGGCGTCTCTCGATTATACACCTTTCCGGCATGCATCTTTTCCTTTTTATACCACATGATGTCATTTTCACTCTTTTTCGCAAGGGAACTCGACAAGCATTTTTCCTGAATAAAAAGTTTTTAAATGAAAATTGAAACTTCGAAAATACCTTTGTATAATGATGAACAATTGATAAGGAGACGAGCCAGAAAATAAACTGGGGAAGAAATTGACGTACGGTCATTCTCATACTACGATTTCTCTGAAAATCAGGCTCCTTTAGCTTCAGTCAGACATTTGTTGACTCGCACGTCTTTTTTTAATGACTCAGGTTGAGAACAAACACCTACGGATAGACCGGACAAGGGTAGATATAGAAGTGAAAGAAAATAGGCAATATTCGGTGAGAAAACTATGGTTGAATTCAAAAGTTCACGGCGGCCTCCGGCTCAAGCTGGTAAAGGTCAAATTCGGACTCGATATTATCCAGCGGGTTTCCTGCTTTCTCTGCCGCTGGATCGGATAAATGGTCTTATTTCTGAGTTGAGAAAATGAAATGGAAATATCAACGTAGTTTTGCCAACCTATGGTCAGATTCTTTTCAATAAACTTCAGATGAAAGCTGCGTAGAGGCTTTTTCAAGCTTCTTTGAAACCCTGACCAAGTTTTGTTCACATATTGCCGAGCCTAGAAGTCAATAATGACTAAAGATTTTAGAAAAAATATTCCTAACTCATTCCTAGTGGATATCTGAATCTTCGTAGCAATTCCTCGTGCTCTCTTAGCTTCTCTATCGTTCCTTCTGGCACAAAATCCTTCCATTTCGTCGCGTTTCGTTCTTCAGGAAATTCTCTCATTACCAAGTTATCATAAAGCTTTGCGGGCCGCAAAGCCGTTATTCTCGCTTTCGTGGATAAAATTGCTTTTAAAACAGCTCCTGGCCGCTCGAGCAAGTCTTCGTATCGCAGGTAAAAGCATCTTTGCCTGTTTTCGTCGCACATCTTCGTGATAGCAGTCATTATTGAAACCCAACTCTGGAGAAAATCGAAGAATTTGGCTTTGCGAGCGGTGCGGGAGGTCGCATGGGTAAGGCGCGACGCCGCGAGTGAGCGCGGATCCCGGACAAGGACGATAAACCGAAGATTTGAGAAAAGGTCAAACGCACTTTTTGTTGAGTTCTGAACGATGGACGTTATAACACTCTAAGGACCAAAGATAAAGAGGGCTCAGGAAAAGCTCTTGGCTCGCACTTAACCGGAAAAGAGGGTCTATTCTCCGCAAAACCTGAGTCTGGTATTCTAGCTTGCTCATTCAGAACCCTGACTCAGCGTTGGCTAGTGTACGGTCAAAGCCGCAAGCGGCATTTTTGGAAGATCAAAGCGTTATCGCGGCCCTTTTTTAGACAATAACGTCCAGTTTTGTCTGGCAATTTACCTGGTAATAATTCTCAGCCATCCAGTAAAGAGTACTCCCCGACACTGTCCTGACTTTTTTGTTCTCGTCTAATGAGAGAAGACGCAAGGCGCCCGTGTTAGTTGTATTCTTTTTGAATGCTTCTGTCTTCTTGATTTTAAAATGCGACTTTGCCAACTCGGGAAAGTGGATTAGTCCGCCGAATGGCAGCTCCGTTTCTCGCGGTGTCGTCATTCGCTTTGCTGAGAACATAAATCGTTAATGACGATATAGGATATTTGCTGGTTCGATTAATATAAAAATGCAACATACATGGTATATTCCAAACTCACTTTGATTCTGACTAACAAAATTGTCAAAGATTTGCCTCTTCGCTTCAAATTTCAGGTGATTGTCCAGCAGCCAGTCTCTGATGAAAAGCACTTTCTCCTGCCTTCTCCACTGGACATTATTAAAGAGGACCTGCGCAATTGCGTCATGGACAACGAATTCGTGAACGCCAGCTTCTCGCAGTCGCTTTGTCTCCTTTTCCGAGGAAAACTTAATTAATTTTTAGTGGCTGTTTATTTCTGAACTATGGTAAGCGGCCTTTCTGAATCGATAAAGATAACATGGAAAAAAAGAATAATAAAAGAGGAGTTCAAATTACTCTTTTTAACGTCAACTGTTCGTTTTTATGGTAAATATGCGTAGACTTACCCATTGAGCACTCCATTCTTCAAAATTCTCTGCCGTTTTTGGCGTCTCGAAGTTAACGAAGGAATCCGGCAGCTGCTTGAGATAGAATTCGAGGAGTCGCTGACCACTCTCTTATCAAAAATTGAATTCAAAGATATTTTGATTTCTCCTGGAAGAAAAACTATAAAAAGAATACAGAATAAGACTGAACCGTTGGAATACTGTCGTTCAAACAGGCTCTTTTCTGGCTACGATAGTGGCACTATTCTGAATAAAATATGAGCGATTGACTCATACCAATGGTTCTTTCGAATGCTGAGCCTAGTATGAATATCACTTGTAAATAAAAATTGATGCATATTTTTAAATATGCTTCGTTTAAAAAATAATTCACCTTCTTTTCATGCGTCATTTTTCATGCTCCCAAACCAGGAACTCCTGAAATCGCGACCATCGGGCTGATTCTAGCGACTCTGTGCGTCTGTTGCTCTTCTGTTTTACAATTTTGGCTTATTTTTCCGAGAAAAAGAGCGAGAAAAAGCTGGTAATCCAAATTCCGTTCGATAAATTGCCGATTTCTCTTTTTGTCATTTTCCGAAGCAGTCTTTTCTTGCCTGAAACAGAAAGATTCTTTTCTAAAATAAATAAATATTTATTATTTGCGAGAGGCACCAATTCGCATTTGCCAAAAAGAAGGAAAAAAGAAGTGGAGGTACATTCAATATTGAAAAAGGTATTTTTGCCGACGCGATGTGAGTAATTAGCAACGAAAGGGCATGAAAATGTCGGTCAGGTCCGCAGGCCTGGTTGTCGATTAGACACTTGCATATTGTCTTTCTCGGAGTCCGCGTGGATAAAGTGGGATTTTCAATCCAAATAAGAGTCGTATGCATGCATGCGGGTTTACTATTAATCCGATTTGACCGACCAATCTACTCCAATAATGAATCTAGGGTCATTCAATTGCATCTAGCTCAAGCAACCCTTAGACTGTCTTTAACCCGTTTTCGGTGGACCAAAAATTGTGTTGAGCCTTATTTTTTGTCGGAAAACTTGACAACCTCTTTCTTCTCTTGTATACATCTGCAAGAAGACTAAGGAAGAGAAAAATAAGTTCGATTGTGTCTGTATTAAAGTGACAGTAAAGTGTCATCTTGGCAGGTCTCAGCTTTGGCTTCACACAAACATAAGAAGAAATAGAAATAATTAATTAAAATAAAAAAAGGAAAACAAAAAAGAAGCAAACTTAAAAGGTTGAAAGTAAAGAGTTTTAAAGTAAGGCTGCATAATGACAGTATTTTGTTTAAATAATTTAAAGTTGAAATACCCGAAAAAATACTTTGAAAAATAAAATTTTCAGTTTGAAATTGTAACGCCGCATTTTTAAGATGAAAATAAATAACAAAAAAGTTGTGTTGCATTTTTGTACAGAAGCAGTTTTATGTTTAGCACAAGTACAAAAGAAATGAATGAATAAGGGAAGAAGACAATAAAGAAAAAGAGTAGCATCAAGATCAATGGTAATTTTTAGTATAAAAGGCTTGATACAGTCAAATAAATTAGGAAAAGAAGATAAAGTGAGGAGTGAGAAACAAGGAGGAGCACCAAGTTGGATACGATTTTAAAGTCTTAAAGTGTAGTGCGAAATTTTGGACTATTTGAGGCTTTTGATGAAATGCAAACCGTGTTGCTTCTCGTGTTGCTTGAGAACGACCTCGCTGTTGAACGATTTGTGACAGGCCTGAATTGAAAATGAATGATATTTTCTTTGAAATTGTCAGTAGACTCGAGTTCTTTTCAATTTGTGACTCTACCTTGCAACTGTAGGTTGTTGAACTTTTCAAATTCTTTGGCGCCATTGGTTCGCGGAAACCCTTGTCAATCCTGTCTAGCTGATGAATTGACACGATCTACAAATTCAAAACAATTATTTCATCGACTAACTGATGAATCTAACCTTATGAGACATGAAGAGGTGTTTTTCGAGCGCAGGCAGCGACGCAAAGGATTGCCCACATTCAGTGCACTGTTTTTCTTCTGTGTTGAAGTTCGAGTGGATTCGGATGTGGCGCTGGAAGTCCTCGCGCGAGCGGTGCTGGTAGTCGCATTTAGCGCACTTATAGACTTCTGGCAAGGGCGGATCTTCTTGAGCCTAAAAAGAATGACTTAATGTTTTATCCATGGAAGCCTTTCTTACCAATTCTTCCTGCGTCGGTTCTTTTCGCATGTTTCTCATCGGAATCGGTCCCTGTGGCGTCATGAGAACATTCCCACCGGTCGGTGGAAGCGTGGCCGAGACGCCATTGCTTCTGTTTGACAGACTCAAGGAGCTCGAAGAAATGGACGTCTGAGAGACCTTTGTCCGGATCATGTCAGCAGTGACGTAGTTGACTTTGTGGGTCTTCTTGAAATGGCGCTGCAGCTTTTCTGATTGTGAACTTGAGAAATCGCAGATTGAGCAAATGTAAGTTCGACGGGGCGTGCCTGGGCTGGGCTCGGGGCTTCGGGCGCGGGAACGATCTCTGCGATTTCGACCACGTCCTTTTGATATGCTAGAATCGACAATTTACTATCTTGCAAAGAGTAAGAATCTTACCTCTCTCCGTCGTCCGAGAATTCTTCATCTGTAAAAAGCTTGTTGTGATTGTCTATTTGTCCATTTTTGGAACTTAAAAAACTAGTTCTTGCATATTCAAGGGCACTCTCGAGCTCGGCGGCAGGTGTCTTATATTCAGATATATTGTGATCTAAACGAAAGATTTGATAAGAAAAGAGGAGGGTATGCATTACCGGCTAATAGGTGTTCCATGAGTTCTGACGAGTGTTCAAAAACTTCTGGGCAAACAAGGCAGTGATAAACTGTGTAAGTGTGATTTTTCGTGTGTTCCATTAGGTGCTTGGAAACGTTGGGCGACTCGCGATCTTCGAATAGTGTGTCGCATAATGGGCACTAGAATTCGATTGTTAAAAGCTGGCGACAAAGTGAAAGAGGGTAGATAACAAAAATACTCTAGAAAGCCAGTGGCCTTCGAGCTTCAAGGCAGTATCACATAACATCGAACAGCCGCCCGCTTTGAGCAGAAAACACAAAAAGGTGTTTCCAGAAAGAAACCATCAAAGTCGTTTTACCTGGAAGATCGACTTGTAAAGCATATTCGTTTTGGGATGTTTTTCTTGTTGGTGATTACGTATACTCTTCTGGCCTCGAAAGGCGATGGGACAGACAGAACATTTGTGAAATTTAATCAGGCAGTGATTTTGCCAATGAGCTCGGAGATGCTCGGCGCGGGAAAAGACCTTCCGGCTCGTCTGAAAATCGTGAGGGAGGGTTTAAGGATACTCGACTTACCGGGCAGCGAAAGCCTCGAATTTTGGAAGTGTGAGCGCAGTGGAGCTTGATGTGCTTGCGGAATTCGAGCTCGTCGGACTTAAAGTTTTCGCCGCATTCCGGACAGACGAAGGTGTTGCCACCCATGTCGTTGTGGATGCGACAATGAGCTTGATAAGCGCACCTGAATTTAATTCAATCAGACTGGGATGAGGTTAATTGTCTTGGATTGAAGACTTACCAATGAAAATGGCCATCAGACATGGCTACCATATAATCCTCTAAGTTACTCACATGTTAGGCAGTACAGTGTGACAAACGTCACACTCGGTCTCGTCAATCTTCTCCGACATGTGTTCCTGTAATCCAATACGGGTTGCGAAGCGTTTGCTGCATTCCGAGCACGATTTTGCGTACTTGGTGTTTTTGTCCGGCGCCGTCGTCTTTATATTTTGACACATGGACATTGTCAGCGGCATTATCTTCGGACGTACGAACTTCATTGGCTTCCCGTTGAGACTGTGCTCCCTGGCGTGGCGGAGCAGCTGGCATTTGTTTTTGAACACTTGTTGTAAATTGCAAACGATACAGTGGATCTACAAGATAATGTCAGGAAAATTCGCGGCAGAAAAATAGACGTAAAAGTCGTGATTTTGTTTTTAGTACTAATCTTTAAATAAATTTTAGTACTGCAAGCGGCTTCTCAATATTCTTTGATAGAGCCGCCTGAATCAAGACTTACATGAATAAGGATGCTTTCTCGATCATAATGATGCTTGAGTGACTTTTCAAAAAGGAACTCGTCATTGCATTCCTCGCATTTGAATGTATTCTTCATCAAATCATCGAGATGCAGGCGAGCAGGAGGTTTTGGAAGGACTCGTCGAGGAATAGGCGCCGACGAGTAAATTAATGATGAGAATTCCTGGTTTTCTTTGTCCTGAAAAAAAGATAAGAAAGTGGACTTTTCGTTCGAATATTACCGGTTGGGGCTTTTCGTCTTCGATCTGGATCGGCTCCATCGGCTTGTCTTCCTTGACCGGTTCTTCTACCCTCTGTTCTTTCTCCGGGATCTCATCTTCCTCAGGCAACCCGATCATCGCTCTCCGCCTCTTTCTACGCTTCTCTTCATAGCTCCTTTCCCAGCCGTACATTTCGCTCAAATCGACACTTCCAGACTCCAAGTCCTTCTTTGCCCTTCTACCGCGCGTCTTCACTGGTTTCTCATCCCCAGGCTTGAATTGATGGCTCAAATGAACGGTGCTTCCATTTAAAGATCGATACGTTGTAATTCTGACTTTTGGGATGTAACCAGGATCAGGCGGAAGTCGATGCTTTTGCAAAACGGACGATTCCTTAGCCTCGTCGTCGGAGTCTTTTGTCTTTCTTCGTCTCCGCTCTTCTTTTTTCTTCTTTCTCTTCTTCTTTTTCTCCTTCAGCTCGGCCGCGATGATGTCCGACAGAGGAGTTGCTTTAGCGATCGCGCTATCTTCCTTCGGACTAACGAGATTTGGATTCGACATAATGACGCTAGAAGTGCTCGATTTTCCCGAAAGTGGCGGCTTCGAGGTTGGAGTTGTCGGATCAGTGCTCGCGGAGCTTGCCATTTTTTTCTTCCAGTTGAAGGCTGATGGAGTCACTGGAGCAGCAGGAGTTGCTGAGCTTGGCGGTTTAATTGGAGTCGTTGATGCGGCCGCTTGTTTCTTTGATGGGTCGGGCGTAGATCGTAGAAGATCGACGATGGGAGTGTCATCATTCGAGTGCCCATCTTTCGTTTTCAACGAGGCTTTTCCCGGTTCAATCGTGTCCTTTTGCAGCTTTCGTCTGTTCTCAAGCTCTTGGACTTTCTGATTTTTCACTTCTTCTAGGATACTTTTTGCTTGAGAGTCCTTCGTGTTTTGCTTTGAAATTGTTTGCGAGAGAGCATTCATTAATCCACCAGAAGATACTGATGGTTTCTGAGCTGCTTTTTCAGTAGCAGCAGCAGAAGGCTGTTCAGGAATTTTACCGGCGAGGCCAGGAATCGCGCCAGGCATGCCAGGGATCATTCCATGTGCAGATTTGGTCATTTCAGCCTGTGCTTGGATCATTGAGCCGAGATAGTTGTCCAAGGGACGACCGTATGGATCGCGATGGACGCCCATTAGCGCATTCATCATTTGAGGAGTGATGCTTTCCATTGGGACACCCATTCGAATCAAGTCGGCGATATTCGGTGGCGTCATGGTTGGATGCCCAGCCGCAGCCATCGCTGATTGAAGTCCAGATTGAAGAGCGCCTGGAAAGGGATCATTTAGAATTGACAGTTTCCGATAAACTCAATTTTACCTTGCTTTGCTTTTGAAGCCGGGTCAAGAGGCGAAGCAGTAATCGTGGATGGGATTGAACTCACAGCTGACGAAGGAACCGCTGGAAGCCCAGGAATCTGACCCTGTTATGGAATGATAATTTGATATCCAGCTTTTACATAAAAAGTCCCAGTTTAAAAAAGTGCATCTATCATGCTTGATTCTGAAATTAAAGAAGCCGACACCGACATCATTAGAAATTGTGCTAAGAATTGAACCCACCACAAGCGATTTAAGCTAAGCGATTTTTCTAACTCTTACCCAATAATTAAACAAACCACTTTTCCGCAAATTTTTCATCCCAAACTTTGAGCTCTGCTTTGTGGCTTGCTGTGCTTGTGCTGGAGCTTTGATTGCTCCAGGTAGACCTGATTGAACAGTACTTGAGTGTTGACTGAGACTGCTGTGTGAGGAAACTCCCGTAGGAGTCAAAACGATGGGTGACTTTTCAGTTTGATTCAAGCTGGTGATTACAGAAGGTTTGGACGAAGCAGTAGTGACGGTAAGAGCAGGCTGGGTAAGCATTGAGTGCATGACGCTGGGATTTGTCTGGGCATTAGGGATGGCACCTAAGGCGCTACTCACAGAAGCGGGATGACCAGGAAAGGACTGTGGGATGCTCGTACTCATGCTCATCGGCATCGAACTTGGCAAACTCATACCGGGCATGCCAGTGAATCCAGGTGCTTTTGGTGCCACAGGCGCTGGAGCAGGTACTGATGGTTTTTTGAGAACCGAGCTTGAAACAGCACCAGCTGCTGTTTTCTCCGCAGCTTGTCGCATGTACGAGGTATCGATGGGCTCCTGCTTCAAGTTCAGCAGCATTTGTTGGCTATTCGTCATTTGTGGAGCTGGCGGTTGTGAAGGATGCGAGCTTGCCTGAGATTTTGACATATTAGGGGTCACATTCAAAAGCGAGCTTCTCGGCTTTGGCGGAGCTGCTGGTTGAGCGGCAGGAGCTGATGGTTGACTCGATGGTTGTTTGTTATTGTCGGTCATGATGCTACTTAGCCAATCGTTCAAGTTGTTGTCGTTCACGTTTCCTGGCTGAGCTTGGGAAGGTTGTTTTTGACCCATGTTTTGCATCGCCTGGCGCTGCTGCTGCTGTTGTTGTTGCTGAGAAGGGATACTTCGATTCATTTCATTCTGCATCGGAGTTGGCATATGCGATGGCATCGATGATGTTTGCTGAATTGGTTGAGCTTGTTTCGAGCTGGAGAATGTCGACACTGGCTGCCCAATGCTCGAGGAATTGAAAGATTGTTGAGCCATGCTTCCCGGGATGTTACTCATGCTAGTGCGAATATTCGGCGTCGCGGACGACGAGAGGGGCGCGCTCATTGATCCAGCTAGCGAAGACGGGATCGGCCCCGACGAGTTCGTTGGGTAACCTGGCTGGTTGATGTTCGATTGGGGTTGAGGTTGACTCGAAAGCTGGGTCGCTTGTTGATGAACTGAAGATGGAACAGACGTTTTTGACGCTTGATTTGGATCGTTGAAGGTTGAACCAAAGTCGAGGAAACCAAGGTCATCGTTCGTTTGGTTTCGATTTTCGGAGCTCTGTCGGCGGTTATTTGGTTGATTTTGAGGCATGCCCCGATTCTGATTTCCAGTTTGCTGATTCATTCCAGGATGCTGAGGATGGCCGACCGGGAATTTATTCTGACCACTTTGATTTTGAGGCTGTTGACTCATGCTAGAATTCCCTAAACTTGGCACTCGTTGATGCATACTCGGACTTTGATTAGTGCTCGGCTGATTTTGATTGTGCATTCGAGAGTTTTGAGGCTGCGTTCCAGGTGGACTCATAGGAAAGTTTGAATCCATAGATCCGCGGAATTGTGATTTTTGACCTTGCATTTGTCCAGGGTCAGGGCGCATACGATTTTGAGGAGCGTTTCTTTGCATTTGATTTTGACCTTGCATCGCATTTTGGCCTTGCGAATGCGACTGGCTTTGATAAGGACTTTTTGAAGATGTCAGTGGGCTGATCGGTTCCGATTCGTAAGGGCCAAGATTCGTATTTGAGTGCTGATTCATCGGCGAGTTCGTGTAGCGGCCTGGCTGCTGAGAATTTTGTTGATTCTGCTGGCCAGGTAAGCTTGCTCGTTTCTGCGAATTCGGCGGTCCGGAGCTAGAATTGTTTCCCATCGCGCGATCCCAGCTCTGCTCTGCCGTTAGCTGTTGCTTTTGCTGAGGTTGCATGGCAGGATTCATCCTCATATTCGCTCCTTGCTGCTGACTATTACGATTGTTCCCTGGCGAGTGACCGTGACCCATTTGCGGCCTGGAGTTATTCGGCGTTGGATTACGCTGCCTCGGCTGATGCTGCTGTTGATGCGTTCCTTCAGGACTTGGGCTTGACCAATCGTCGAATGACTGGCCCTGCGGCGTGTGCGAACGTACATTGCCATGATCGCCACTTGGTCCGGTAGGTTTTAAGCCGATATTTTGCGAAACTGGCCTTGGTTGGCCAACAGGATGCCGCCCGACTTGGCCGGGTGCCTTCTGTCGATTCTGGGAAGGGTTGAAGGACTGCCCGGATTGAAATTGGCCTTGGTTATTTCTTACAGGTCCCTTGTTGAAGCTCTGGTTAGGTCCAGAGCGCGTGTTATCGAATTGATTCTGTCGACCGTGAAGAGGAGCGTTGGATTGCTGGTTTTGACTAAACGAGGAGTTGTTGTCTTTGACAGGAACGCTCATTCCTCCGTAGCCATCATCTTGATTCTGCGGCGGTCCTCGATTCTGCCCACAATATTGGCTATTCTGTTGATTTCGCGGAAGCGCGTGTCCTCGTTGAAAGTTCTGATTAGAGCCAGCATTTGAAAAAGAGCCATCCATATCGTTCTGGCTCGCAGTTTGGACGGGCCCACGGTTCATCCTGTTCATCTGACTCTGCTTGTTTCTCATCGACGGGATAGAAGGCGCCTTCTCCGTCGGACGAATGGAAGGACCAGACTGGTTAGATTGGTAGCTTGGCTTCGGCTTGGCTCCACCAGGGCCGGCAATGGGAACACCACCTCCTGGTCGACGGATTTTTATTCCGGCGCCGATCGGAGTGCCAATAATTCGCTTTGGACCAGTTCCATTTTGTGTTTTTATAAATAAGTTCGGGCTCGCTTTCTGTACCTAAAATCAGATGACATGAGAATGGGGATAGTTTTATTTACCTTCGTATTCAGCGGTTTAGCCATTCGATTCATCGGTTGAATCTTGGGTCCTCCGACGATGTCTCCTTGCCTCGGCCGGACGATTTGACCTTGTTGAAACTGCTGCCGAGGACGCTGACGCATGGGAGGATTGGAGATCCCTATTCCCTGATCGGAGTTATCATAGCTTTGCTTGTTGCTATAAGAAGGCTGCTTTGGTGGCGTGGGCTTCGGAGCTGCAGGAGCGAAGCCAGCGTCGTCGCCTTAAAATTTAAATAAGCAATTTTGTAAGGAAGATCTTTAATTACCGATTGTATTGGCGACGAGATCAAGAAACTGCGCTCCAAGCGACATTCCTCCACCATCATCGCCACCTCCTCCGCCGCCAACAGAATCATCGGCCTGGCCGCCGTATCCATCGTCGTAGCCGAAGGACTGATTCTGGCCGCCGAGAGCGCCTTGATTCTGCGATTGGTCGACCTCGTAGTTGACGGACTGGTCGCCTCCTGGCTCTTCCAACAGACAAGCGAAGAGACCGTCTGCGTCTTCGTTGAACGACTCCATTTTTCTTCACCCTGGAAATACAGGATTAGTTAAAGAATGTTTCTTTCTCAAACTGGAATATAAATTGCCCAAAATTTCAACAAAATTGATAATTACGCCGCTATTTTGGGATAGAATTATATTTATTTAAGTCCAACTACTGAATTAACCTTTTAATTCTGACAAATAAAGGACTTTCGCTCATTAAAATAAGCGAAAAATACAGTTATAGCAACCAAAAGAACACTCAAAGTCCTGGACCAAATAAATTGCCACGAGAAAAGATAAAATAGCTCGCCAAAGAGGCTGTTTATGAGCTCGAAAACACGTTTATCGAGTACGTTTTTCGTCGATTTTCGACGAAAATTTCTTCCTGTTTGCTGCAAAAATAGCACGACGAAGGGCTTTCCTAACTACTTGGGCTAAAAAAACAAGTTTATTTTCAAAAATATGAAGCGAAAACGTATTTTCTTCCCGAAACGCGTCCTTCTATCGCATTTAAGTAAAGGAAAAGACATAGAAATGGACATTATTCAGTATTTTTCAATTGTATCTAGCAAAGAAAAGCCGGATTATCATGGATAGCCCGAAAAACCGGCATTTCGGGCTGCAAAAATGGCGATTTTGGCACTAAACCGGCCGTTTCTACGCAAAAATAAGCACCAAAATGTGTCAAAATCTAAGCTACAAGATTTCATGATATTTTTTTGTCCAGTCCATATGAACGAAATTCCAATTTCCAGATTTCTGCTCTTTTCTCGATTATCTTTTTCGGGCTCAACTCACTGGATGGGCGTTTTTTCCGACGAATGTCACAATGACTGTTTCATGGTTGCTTTTTCTAGAGACGAGCAAACTGCAACTGTAAACTGATACAGTAAAAATGCAGGGCCCTTCGGAAAGTCGAAACGGTTAAAAATTGAAAAGTCGCTTTAATTTTGTGATCGAACGGCACGACACGGGAGTAAAAAAATACCTGCCAAGTGTAGTATACCACACCGCCGCGACGCAGCGTTTTTCTTTACATTTCCCAACCGCCGAAGCTACCATCCCTAATCAACGAGGGGCGGAACGAACCACTCAAACGAAACGAGACAGAAAAAAAATAATGAAGAGCCGCGAGAGGGCGCCTATTTACTGGATGAGAGAAGGGTCCTCCGCTGCTGGAAGAGAGGAGAAATTTGCTGGAAGAAGAATGGGAGAAGAGAAAAATGATATTTTGAGTAATTTTTAAATGAGAGCATTTTTGTGAAGAAAAATCTTCAATAGTATACATTTATATTTTCAAGTCATTATTTATTAATATTCTTTTTTCATAAAAATTTTTTTTATCGAGAAACTTGAAAATTTTGGAAAATATCCGGCTCGATTTATATAAAAAAAAAACAAATTTCCAGAATTAAATAAATTTCTTTTTCTTTTAAATTCAAAATTTCATTTATATTTTTATTATATTTCTCTGAATTTCTCGCTTATTTATTTTTATTAAATGCGAGGCGTTTTCCAGTTGAGCTGGTCTTCCTCTTTCAAGGGGGTCCTCCACTACCAATAATGCAAGGGTCGGTAGTGGGAAGTCCCAGCCTATCAGAGGGGCTCGCCTGGGCGCCTACGCACGGGCTCGGTGCGAGTGGAAGTGGCTCGCAGCCTTGCCCCGGCCGAACTGAGCAAAATCGAAAAGGCGAAAACGGCAGCGACGGCACTCGGACGCCAACAAGCGGCCAGTAGAGCTTTGCTGCCTTTTCGCGTGTTTGATCAGTGTCGACTCGACCGCCCTCCAGCGACTCACGCGCCCGGAAAATACCCAAGACGGCGGTGTAGTAGCAACCACGCCGGGCGAATTGAGTTGAGTGCGCCGCGTCATGGAATTAGGGTAGACACGCGGTACTCGCTTTTTTGCGGCGAAATTCAATCAATAAGGGCTTCACAATGCAAAACTAAGGGTTGACATTCAAATTTTGAATATCACCCTGGTTTTATTAACTCTTATTGGCTGAATTTCGCCAGAAAAAAAGGCGAGACCGCGACAAATCTACCCTAATTTAAAAAAAAAACTTCCTGTTGTTTGAAGGAAAAGACCTTTATAAATATCGAAAATCGAATTCAATTGAGTAAAGAAGGCCTATTCTTGTAAATTTGTAATTCAAAACATGATTCTTTTTAAGCGTCGCTACCCTAAGTTGTGAGCTATCAGTGACAGGTAGCCTTTGTGAAAATCGCATCACGGCCGGGCTACCACACCGGCTTGGGATTTTAAAATAAATGGTCTTTTTGCATATTTTCTGTCCGCCAAGTGCAGAAAATATGGCAAAATCGACCTTCTTTTCATCCCAAATGTATAGATACATTCACTAGAGAAGGGATTTGTGTCCTTGGAGCGGTTTCAGAGCGGAAATAGAGCGAAATTAAGCGGGAAAATTAAGGCTATCTCTGTTTTACCTGTTTGAAAAGTGGAAGCTGAAATTTGGACAGCTGATTTCCCTTCTTAGTGGTAGGCTGGATTTTGATGTGAATAAGTACGGGACATTGTATTAGGCACAAGCTTTTGGAAAGCGAAGGGCCCTAGTAGAGTTAAGCCGCTATCGCGCGTTTGGTAAATGAGGCTACTCGTACCGCTGAATTTGCGAAAATGACACGGAGCTGGATGGCGAAGAAAAGCGAGGGCAAGCGCAGGGGGACGCGGCTCAAGGATTCGCTCACTTGAAGAACTTTTTTTTCAGCGATCGTCGATCGATTTTGTAATGCCCAATCGTTTAAGTCAACACAATTAATTGGCTGCTGCTAGAATTTAGATTTTATTCGTTGCAGAAATTCTTCAGTAATTTCTCAAATGTTTCTTGAAGCCTTTTGATATCTTCTTTTTCTCGTCAAGTTGACTCCTTATTCTACCATTGAAAATGACGACGAAGAGGAAAACGAAAATTTCTTTGACGTCTTAAAATTTTATCATTTTCGGATTTAACAGTTATCCAGATCATGACCTGGAAAAGAGAAATAAACAAGGAGATCGTCTTCTGTCTCGTCGTATTCTTCAAGATGAAGATGTTGCATGCCCCAGTTCCACGAATTTTTGATCATCTTTGTCAAGTTTGATAAGCTGTTTGATAAATTAAACGACCTGAGTCAGGATTTAAAGAGCTTTCAAACTTGTTACCGAAAAAAGAATCGATGAGGAACAAATGATAAACATCGAAAAGAAGAGTCGGTAAAAGGCATACTTCCACATGTAGGAATCCCTACCATTGTGAAGAACTCGGCTTTGTTCCAGCAGCAGAAGTATGAGCACCAATCTTATGAAGTCTAAAGTAAAAAAGATGATTTTATTAGACATTTTTTATAATCAAATAACCTGGAAGATCGCTTTTCTCTTTCCTCATTAATAAATTTAGAAAGAAAAGTGATGGGTAAACAAGCCAGATGTGAAGACTGTAGAAAAAAACTTTAGGGGATTTGAATTATAAAATTTCAATGTTAGAAATTCTTTAGATTTCAATCCGTTAACAAAGTACTTTGAGAACTTCTCGAGTAGCGGTATTCTTCTGATTGGAATGTCATAATTGAATGTCTCTCTTCTTGTTTGAATTTGGTCAACGAACGGATGTTCCATGATTTTCAGAATAAAGTCTCTGTACTTGGGAATCCGCCTAGAATCTTGTGGCCGAATTTCAACATCTTCATCATTTTCGTTTTCCCTCAAATACTCTCTCATGTCTATTCCTTCTTCAAAGAACATTTTCGCTTCTTGGGTTTTGCTTCAAGGAAGCCAAAAGTGTATTATCGAATAAAAGTCCAATTTAAACTACGTCAAAAGCCGACAAGACGGTCGCCTGAAATCAAGGAAGAAAACAATGGGGGCTTTTTCGCATCGATTTATTGTCTTTTTCTCATCACAATGCTGATTTACAATGTAAAGAACAGGTTTATTCAGGAATGAAGAAGTTCGTGAAATCTAGATAAGTCGCTCTATGTCAGGATATGGAATGAAGGGCAGGGCTTTTAGTTGGCTCAAGAAAGAAATGTCTCATTCGACTTGAGGAAGAAATCTTGACCCGATCCTTTTTCCGAAAAGACGCCGAATTTGAAGTACATCTCCATCGCTTCTTTTTCCGAAGGCCTTTTTCAGCTCAACATACTGTTCAGTTCTCAGAAAACAGTATAGTTAGAACCTTTCCTGTACTCGCCGTGTCCCTTTCTCTTCTTTTTGATCTTGCAGAGCATCCAAACCGTTACAATCAACACTTTTTCCGAGGATCAATAGTATTAGTTCATTAAGTTTAAGATTCTCAAGAAGATGCACTTTGATCCGCTTTTTCCTAGACAGAACAAGACAATCCCCCCGATCAATAGCATGATCGGGAGAGCTCCATTAGATAGAATTTTATCACGAAAGTAGAAGTAGATGTCGAGCCAGAATTCTCGCTCCCAGATTGAGTGGTTTGTTGAATGTTTATCGAGAATAACTGAAATAAAGAGTTGAAAAAGCGTCTCCTCGAACTCAGTTACCGTCAAAATCACCGGATCCATCTGCGGAAAAATACCCAGTCGTCATTTCTGAGATATTTCCTTGTGCTGTCGTAAGAGTTTCTTCCAAATTCGTTTCATTTTCGTGTCCAAAATCTACCAGAACTTGTTTTGTCGTATTCTCCAAATATTCTTCTGTAAAATTCATTCTCACTTTTTTCACTTTGTTTTTCTCTGCTTTGAAACGGCTTTCTCCTCGCTCGCGTCTTTTAGTCTTATCAAAACTGATAACAATTTAACCACTTTCTCACAGCGGCAAAAAATGACTAACAAACTCAAAAAAGGGCTTTTTTGACGACTTCCGCGAAAGAAAAAGAGGAGAACGCTTTCGTGTTTTTCGCAGTATTGATTTGGAAAGAAGGGATTTTCGGCGATGCCCCGCGGCGTGAACCAAATCGTCTCGAGGCCGCTATTATCTTGAGTAGAGAGATTAGGTCACAAACTATTGGAAAAGCGGTGATTGACCCGGGGGAGAAAAGGAAGCATTTGTTGACTGATGTTTGGAAGTTCTGGCTCTTCTTTTTGTTTCAAAGATGCTTAGATGGAGACTTTCAGAGTCTCTAGAACTCTGTTATGCTTTAATGACCTATTATTATTACAAATGGGAAAGAGTAGTTTGACAAGTAAGGAACAATCAATATACGATTTATGCATCAAGGATTTATTAATTGAAGATATGTGTCTTTTCGGCTCGGGTCCAAAAAAGTAAATCTTAGATTTTCATATTATCATCTATTTTTGAGCGATAAATAATATAATTTATATTCTAATGTTTAGATTACCAACTGGCTCTATTCGGCACAAGAAGCCACTCATAAAGAAAAAAGGCGTTTTTGTAATCGACGAGAATCAAGAGCTAGAATTGGCATCGGAAGCAACAGGAACAGGTTCGATCATTTTTATTTCGCAAAGAAATCCAGAATTCTTGAATCTAAAAAGGCATTGAGCTACATTCAAATGGAGACGTCAATCGACAGCAGCGAAATTTAAACATTTTGAAAGAAAAACAACCGGAAATATTTGAGATCCAAATCACTGTCTCTGATGGAGAGCGAGAAACAACTCAAGACAGCTACTTAAAATACACGAATTTGGAAAGAACGATGAGTTACCTAGGGAGCATGCGATCCAAGACTTCTTTGCTTTCTCGGATGTCTTCTTTGAATGTCAAGAGCGAGGAAAGTCTTCAAAGTGAGAACAGTCATCGAGAGAAAATCTCAATCAAAGACATCTTCGACGACATTGGAAAAAGCAGGGACGACGCAGAAGATTCAAGGAAAGGGTTTCAACAAGTTTTCTTTTTTTTAATTTTTTTCGCTTTCCTTGTTGATTTCACCCTTCTCAGAAAAACTCTTTCCCTGGAAGTCAATCGCAAGTCAGCATTAAATTTAAGATCGCACACGAATTCTACCCTGAAACTTTCTCCTCATCCTTCAAACAATCTTCTTGTATAAACTTAATTTTTATGTAATAAATATAATTTCATAAACTGTTTGCGTACCGCTAAATGTCCTGGGAAGCGAGTTTGAAAGCCGCCCTTTTTGGAAAACCTTTGAAAAGAACAAAGGGAGGAAATCTAAAGTGAATTTAATTGAAGGTCAAAAGGAAGGAGAAATGGACATTTTTTCTTTTATTTGATCAGGACAAACGAAATGATCCATGGAATTTCAGAAAGAGCACATTCTTCGAGAGCAGACTCCTTTCTCCGGTCGGATGCCGTCGGTCACTTTTACAACGTAGCAAGTGCTGAAGCCTTGAAGGCTTTGAGGCTCTCAGTCACTTGGATCGCCACTTTCATGTGGCGGGCGCGATTGCCTTCATGCGGAAATTCATCTGTCATCAGCCCGTGCCCCTCTTCTGATCTTTTTTCTTTCAAGACAGGACTCTGAAAAGTTTTTACTTTTTACGTAAACGGAAATCCCGATAATCTACTTGTAGTTTGAAGATAGCCATTTAAGCTTCAAGTTGAAGCCTTCAACTTTGATATTTATTGCGAAGAAGAATCTGCCTAGGAAGATAAAATAAGGGCATCACAATGTTAAATCCTTAGGGAAAATTCTAGTTTAGGATATTTTTTTCTTCGCACTTGATCTTCTTTAAATTCTTTCGACGACAATTGCGTGGATAGAAAAAGCGACCACCAAAGACGAAAGAGGTGGTATAAAAAGTGACGTCTTCTATGTTATCAGCTGTTGAACAAGCACTTGTGATAGAGCAGCAACCTTGGCCTCCCCTTGTTGCTCAACTTGTTGCATTTTGATTCAAGTTCAGAGTTTAAATTGCTGCTTCAGAGTCATTGAATCTCAATTTACAAATTTACAACAATCGTGAGATCGCCATTATCACCTCATAATTTTGCTGCAGATGGAGATGTACAGTGTTTTCAACAACCTGTAACTCAGCAAATTTAATGAAAATGACCTTTTTCTGTGCTGAGGGGGAAATTGCTGAGTCGGGGCATTCCGGTCGTAAGAGCTCTGGAAATTTTATCGCCTCTAATCGATGGAGCCTGGAGTCTTGTTTTGCGGCACCTGTCGACTTTCCTCTGGAATCAACCACTCCACCCTGTCAGTATAAATCGTCCCCTTACGTTCCACTCGAGGGGCCAACACGTTTTACACAAATTTTACAAAAATAAAGCAGATTTACAGGGCTAATTCGAATCAACAAAAAAGCCAAGCCAAAAAGCGTCTCGCCTCGCTTGAGACAGAAATCCCTTGATCTTTTTTTGAATGATTTCAGACATAACCAGATCATCATTAATTTTGCCTTTGTTGGCGATTTTATTGACCTTTTTTATCGGAAAATTTTCAAGGAAGAAGATTTTTCCCTCAATTTTTTCTGAAATAAGACTTTTTAAAAAGACATTTTCGCCCCTAAGTTCAACTCGAGCATGACAAACTAAGCAATTAGCCAGAGATGTACTCTGAGAGGCGGCCCGTCGCGAGTTCTATTGATCGGGAAATTCAGACAAAGCCTTCTGAAAATTCCTTGAACGTGAGAAAGTGGAGCTTGTGCCTTTTGTGATATCCGAAACAAACGATTATCTCCTTCAGTTGACACGTCAGTCGCTCCACCGTGAACTACCCTAGCGCTAGAATTTCAGCAAAATCAGCATATGCTGTTGTGTTCGAAAAAAGCTTAGTTTTTTTTAAGAAATGAGCTTTTATATTTCGACCTTTTCGAAAATTACCTTTTTTACTACAGTAAGTGATTTTTTATTTAGTTTTTTAGCAATATATTCAAGCTACAGGCTGGGCTTATTTGTGACGAGATAAGGAAAGGCTGATACAATGCTTGAGCAGCCTCTATCATAATTCCTTTAATCCGCCAGCATTGTTGATTTGAAGCGCGCGCAATAACCTCCAATAAGAGACATCCAGAATGATTCAACCTGTGGGTCGGATGATAGGAATTTTCGATAATAATGGCGTAGGGCCGCTATCAAAGGCCCCGCTATCTCGTCACAAATAAGCCCAGCCTGTAAATGATCGTTTTTATCGATATCAGTTCCGAATATTAGCACTTTTTAGGAAAATTAATAAAATAATAATGAAACTTTCAATGAAAATAATTAAATTTATCATTCAATTAAAAAAAATTATCACGCGAAAAAAAAAATTTTGCGGCGGCGCTCGATGCGCGCATAGATGGCGGCCAGGAGCGAGCGGAGAGTCCGCTCCTGCGCGGCAACCTGGGCGGGCTCGAGCTGCGGATTACAGCATACGATAGCAAAGGAAAATCTATTGAGAACTTGTTGAGAACAAAGTTATTTTTTGAAAGTTTCATCTTTTTTCTTGTTTTTGAACATGAAGGTTTTTTGAAAAAGAGATTGGAAAAACAGAGATTTGAAGAAAGAAAAGTAAGAAGATAATAAAAAATGAAGCTGTTTTGGTTGTTTTCAGGAAAGTTTTTGAACAAGAAAATTTTCAACACTGGCGTTTTTCTGTCATTCCTGACATTTGACTTTTTTCTGACTCGAAAAAGTGACGGAAAAGCTACAAAAATGTTGGTTTTGAATCAAAAATGCGCATTTGAGTTTAATTTTGTCAAGTTTTAAAACAATCAAAGCCATTTTCATCCCTCAAAATGCTTCTGAAAAACACGGATGCGAAGAAAAACCGCTCAAATCGGGCAAAATCGAGCTTGATTGTTCCCGTCGAGGATTCTCCGACTTTCCCGAAATCTCCCGAAACGAAGCCCAGAACATTGAACGACTGTAAGTATTCGTCTGAATGAGTACTTATTGAGAGGGCTTGGCATAACTCAGCTAAGGTGGCTGTCTCAGCAGTGCTGAGTCAGCACTCTTTCAACAAGTGCTAAGCTCCTTGGGACAGAGAAATCATCTTTGCTTTGATCTTGAAAGGAAGAACAGAATCATAAATTTCTCCCGAGTTCGCCCTATCACGTGGTCTCGTATTTTACACGCATGAAATCAGAATCGAAACATTACGATAACTTATCTGGCTATCTGAGAAAAATCTTGGCAATGGGGGGAGATAGATTTCAGGTCGTAATTTTCGATCGAGATTCAGCACTTGATACTTCATTTTTCAATTTTATGCTTGTTTTATCGACCTGGATCATGTCATAAAATATACTTTTTGGGAAAAAAAGCTTTTTTAGAATGAAAGGAAATGGATCTGAAAACCCTCAGAAATTTCGTTTTTCATTGTATATACCCTTAAAAATAAAAATCATCGAACCCTTTTCAATCTCATTTTAACCTATCCATGTCTTATCCTCCCTTTCATGTCCCTCAAAAAGCCGTTACTCCCCCTCTCCCCCCTCTTATCCAAAAAAGAAACGATCTTCGTGGCAAAAAGTCCTTGCCGTTTTGAAAATTTGATGGAGCCTCAGGAACGATGCCTTTGATGAAAACCTATGTGATCGTTTTTTTATTGATCCCATAGTTGTGATTGATGTGTGAATTTTACTGCGCCACTAAAAAAAATTCGCGAGTCGTGATAATCGGAAAATAATTGACCCCCATTTTGAGATGGACTTTTAATGCCAAGCAGATGGGGCTAGAAATTATAAGCCCTCTTTTTGATACAAAAAATTTTTCATTCAACGAAAAAACAGGTCAAAAAGAGGTCAAAAAGTGCTCTAAACAAGCACTTTTTTCCTTGCATTTCATATTATTACTCTCGAATCGGAAAAATACGCAGTTTATTGTGATAACTATCAAGTAGTGCCCGTCAAGTTTATAATTTGGCGGTTTGCTTCCGGTCCGTGGTTTTGGCGTGTTCTGCTGTTGCTTTTCCGGGCACAAACATTGGCAAAACGCCAGGGTATGGACCTTAAAAACCAATACGGAATAAATTGATTTAAAAATCATGAAAAGTCAACTTTTCTTTAGTCATCACAGTTTCGAACGCCGGGTTCCTTCTGATCCCGGCTTACCGGTTTTCCGATCCTTCAATCCGGCCCCGGATCGGTCGGTCCTTCTTTTTTTCTCGATCTTCTTCCGGTTTTTCATTGAACCGGTAAACCACCAACAGATCTTGATGCTCCTAATCAGATTGATCAGATTCAACGCCGGAAAACAAGAAAAATAGTTGCGGATTCGAAACTGTTGAAGATGATTCGAGTCGATGACCTTTTTAAAGCAAAGAACAAGAACCAAAATTCGCGCTTTGAAAAATTCATATTTTGATTTTGAAAATGTTAACTCAACAGGTGCGCCGACCCAGGTGGAGTTCTGTGAGAGAAGGATCCAGCTGCTTCTGAGCAGCGGGGTGGTCTTTTTGAAATATCAAAAAACGATGATTTTGTGGCTCATTTTTTCACTTGCTCATTTTTTCACTTGAAGAAACGATTTATCCATGGGAAGTTGAGAAGTTTTTAATTTCTTCAAATTCCATGGGTAGTCTTGACCGCGGTTGCGCATGTTTTCGCGCGGTTTCTCTTTTTGGGAAGAGAAACGACTTTTACTTCGTTTTGACAGTGCGGATTAAGGGACATGACAGCTGAAAAAAATCATCGAAAATTTTGAAAACTTTGAGTGAGAGTCTCGCTTGACATTTGGGAGATTGCAGAGCTCGATACTTCTGAGCGGAAACGGATGCCTTCAAAGGAACCGCGCAAACAAGGACAAATCCCTATCGTCGAGGGGTGTTTATTCGCAAATTACGCTGGGAAATAGGAAAAACGCAAGACTAGCGGTAACACCAACAAAATTGTTGGTCGAAGGTCAAGGCGGAATCCACAGGTCATCATCTCATATTATGAACTGACCATTTTTCGGAGAAATTCTGCATTGAAAAAAAATCTAACTGTGACGCAGGTCATATAACTATCCATCCGGCGGAAACATAAAGCCGGAAAAGAATTTGCAATTCATCTGATAAAAAATGCTTGTAAAATATATTCGCACCCATTCAGTACTTTTTTCCTCGCCAAGAAATCATCACCTTTATCATAAAACTGCTAATGAATCATTAGTACTTGTTTTGGTCATTTTTTTTAATTCATTGCTCCAATAATGAATAATTTCCAATAAAAATGTAAAAAAGAGTACCGGCTAGTCACTCTTCAAACTGGCTGGGACGAATTCCGAGCAACATTCCAGCGGAAAATTATCTGACAGCGGATTACTTCCACTCATTATGGCTTGACAGCGGGGATTTCAGGGCGAGAGATATCCACTCTCTATGCTGATTTGCTGTCCTTGGGACAGCAGACTAGATTGGAAGGCTTTTGAGAATCTTCAAGGACTGTAAAAAATCATTCTTATTAATCTAACAGGCTCAAAAATTAGGTGATATGATGTCAACTCCATTAGGTTTCGTGCAAATACTTTCACTGTCCTGAAAACAATGAGCGTAATTACCATTTAGGATAATCAAATCTCCGTAAATTTTCCCCTCAAATTTGAGCAATCGTATTGAGAAAAGCAGCATATTTTTATTGTCCCTCGCGTGGCTTTATTTGGAATCAGCCATGCATCCGATCTTCTCGATTTGGTGCCGCTCCGAAAGACAGACACTGGGCTCCCCACTGGACTCGTCACAGTAAATTGAAAGGGCACCCGGCCCGTAATAGGCGGTAATTACTGACGTTTGGGAATGGGTGGTTAATTTTACAAGGTGTTGAATTCCCATTCATAATCAAAAACAAAATGCTAATGGGAAAATAAAGTCGAAAATCACCAGTTTTTCCTGTGTAAAAACCTGACTCAGGGCCCTGAAAAAGCCTGAATGAAAAGCCGCTTACAAGATTTTATTTTCAAAAAATGCGGCTTCTTTTATAAAAGCCGCTGCGCGGCTTTCAATTCTAGCGATTACAGTACCCTGACTCAGGTTTCTACGCAGATTGTCGAGATGTCGCTTCTTTCACCTTTTTATTTATAATTATTGAGTTGAATCTCGAAATATTTTTTCTCGAAACAACGAAGTTGTATTAGGGTTATCTAAAAAATAATACCGAGGTCATATAAAACGGCAATTTGGCGATAACCAGCTCACGCGACGACTCCCGAACCGGGCACCGTCAATTATCAAAATGTAGCTTCGAAAATCGCTCAAGCGAGAATCTTCGTTCTAGTGAACATGACGTTCGTGGTTTTCCAAAATTTACATGGCAAGGGGGTAAATCAGCAAGAATCATGGCAGCGTAATGTGTGTTTTTTGATGATGATGGTTTTGTAACGGATTTATGGAGCGATCTGATAAATCAATCATGTGACGTTTCATTCGCCTTTACTTCCGATGCCACCTGGAGACATCCAACTCGATCGCTCGGTCAAAGTCTGAGCCAAAAATTTTTGCCAAATGAATTTTCCTTCTTCATTTGCTCTCTTTCCCACTTTTTCATACGATCAGACAATCGAACTCGACCTGAAGTGCTTCGTTCAAGATGCCGATCTGTTTGAATCGAGAATCTTTCAATTTGAACTATGAATTTCGAATCTTCCAAAATTCTTCGAATCCTCGAAGCGCGGCTTGGAATTTTGGGCTCAAGGGTTTGCCCATCAATCTGGAGAAACAAGACTGGTAACAAGTTGGACACACTTGACCTGGGCGATCGGGCTCAATTAAGCCCTTGCTCCCTAATTCGCGAAATACATGCGAAACATGACAGGTTTTCCAATTTCTCATTTGCGCCCCGAGTTCGAGCTGATTATTTTCCAATCTTTGAATTTCCTTTTCCAATTATGACGTCGACCAAAATCCCACTGGTTTCAGAAGCTCTGTCAGTGGTTTTAGTTTGTCCATTGGAATACGAAATTGGGCCGATTCTGAATCCATAGTTCTTCCGTTGGGCGGACAAAGCGCCGTCCGGAGTCAAATACTCGTCTGATAACGCCTCCCAAAAGCACTCTTCAAGTGGGAGACAATAGCTCGTGTGAAGTTGAACGTTTCTTTCCGACTCGCTTCAAAGGAAACTCGATTATAACTGTTAATAACTGTATTTATTTTACAGTTTGCTTTTTGAACAGACAGATTTGAGCTGAAACTTCTCGAAAATCAACCCCATTATTCATCAAAATTAACCCTTGGCCCGAGATTTGCGAATGTTGAAGCAGCCTTGAAAATATTCTGCCCAAAATGTTGCCACAGTCCCATCGTAAATAACCCCTCGCGCCGCCAGACTGCTTTACCCCCAGTCGCCGACCGCGATTTATTACAGTATTTCATCTGACTTTCGCTCTCTCTTTATCTTTTCTTTTCTCGGCACTTGGAGGAGAGCCATGATTTTCAAAGTTCTCCAGCTGCGTGATAGTCGCGAGTTGAATGAAACTAATGACGATTGGTGCGATTTAATGACCCGGGATTAAATTATTTCGGATTCGCCCTAAAATAATTGGAAAAGCAATTTGAACCAGGACCTAAGATAACCTTTGCAATATCGATAAAAGGCAATTTACCAACAAAATTATGAAAAAGTAAAGATTTCATAATCAAACATGCATTTTTAAGGGATCTTCGAGGCAACAACCTGACGAACATCTACCGAGAAGCTCTGCGCTACTTCGTCAATCTCAAAGTTCTGTAAGTACTGTTCGTCTTATTGGCTTTCCGCCACTTTGACAGAGGAAAAGGGACAAATTTACGTTTCAATTATTTCATTATTTGCGCTCACGCTGGGCTATTCAGCGCCATTTGATAGATGGAGGACCTCCTGGACGGAAAGATGACCAGGTCTAGATCATTCGTTTTTGTCCTCATTTTTCCAACCAAAAGTGTTAGAAATTAAATTCAGGAATGTCGGGCAGAATCAAATCGACCACATCGACCAGCAATCCTTCGAAAAGACTAAAAAACTAACTCGACTGTAAGTAAAAACAATAATCTGAATTCCCCCTTCCGGAATCAATTCAATCTCTTACGATTTGGCAGTGTGCCAGCACCATGTTCCATGTCATGTTCTGTTTAGGTACCTGGACGACAATGATCTCACCCGGCTTCCGTCGAAGCTGTTGCACCAACTCAAGCGTCTTCAAAAATTGGATATTTCCAACAACGGCCTTTTATCCTTAAACAAACGGCAATTTCGTCGCTCCAAAAAGCTCAAGACCATCCATTTGACCGGCAACAAGCTCTCTTGCCTCGACGAAAACTTGTTCAACTCCTGCCGACGATTGCGAGAGCTCCATTTGAAAGAAAACATGATCAGTTTCTTCCAGCCAGGGATCTTCGACAAGCTGAAAAAGCTGAAAGTGCTGAGCGTGGAGAAATTACCGCTTTACTGCGACTGCCAAATCAGCTACTTCATCAGCTACTTGGACAGTAAAAGGTGAGCCCAGAGTCAGTCGACCAATGCTCGATCAACATCTCGCGGTCGCGCTTAATTGAAGACCACAACAGAAAATTACCTTGATCAGGGTCAAAATCACTCTTCAAATTGCTTTTAGCATAACATGTTTCTTACCACAACTTTCAGGAGATCAGATGAAATCGCCCCTTACACGACTTGCTCCGGCGGGCGCCTCAAAGATGGCGACTTGTCGATGCATGAGCTTATCCGGGACTTGGACCCGAGCCGACTTTACTGCCCGACTTCGTACGATGTACCGGACTTGCGAAAATGCCCGGAAGAACCAACTTGCCCCGCAGAGTGCACTTGCAAAGAAGCAACTTCGGATACAATCCATATGAATTGCCGAGACAAGCGACTGCAAAAAGTTCCAAAGCACGGGCCTGAAAACGTCGTCAACCTGATTCTTGAAGACAACGAGCTAACTGAACTCCGCGCCCGCGAGTTCACCCAATATCGTCGAATCCAGGGACTCGATCTTTCAAAGAACAAAATCGAAACAATCGACGAGAAAGCGTTCGATGGCCTGGTGAACCTGCAAAAACTGTATTTGTACGAGAATCAATTAACGAGTATTGGCCCGGGCACCCTCAACGGGCTCAGAGGGCTACAGACGATCATGATGAACAGTAATAAGCTAAAGTGCTTACCAGCTGATTTGCTCAACGATCAGCGCGGCTCATTAATAATGTAAGTCTTCATTACTGACAATTAGCATTTTTGCTTTTCATTTTTTTTTCTTCCTTGATTTCAATTTCAATACTTTTTTCTTTCAGTGCTCTTCACAACAACGAGTTAACAACGCTGCCAAATGGTTTCTTTAGCTCGAATAAGAAGATTCAAACCCTGTAAGCCCTTCATAATTTGCGTCGTCTTTTTGAGCCGAGATTCAGCTGAGTGAACTTAAAACTGATCTACTCTCAAAGGCGCCTGATTTTCACGAAAAGACACATTTTTTTTAACAATCTCGCTTCTTTCATTGTGCCAGGGCATAATAGCAGATGTGTTACTTCGCCATTGTTTAGCGGATAATGAGACTAGTTTGAGTTACCGTGAGTTCAGAATTTAAAAATTGACACATTTGTTTCAGGATGCTGTTTGACAACCCATGGAACTGCGATTGTCAGCTGAAATGGCTTGCTGACTACTTTGATTCTTCTCGAACCCGAGCTCAGCGGGCCAAATGCGCTGGACCAGGAAATAAAGCCGGAACTCTTCTGCAAAATCTCAATAAGTCCGACTTGAAATGTTCTCGCTACGAAGAAAGAACAGTTTCCACATGCGACGTGAAGTGCCCTCGGGGCTGTTCCTGCGACGCACGCTCCGGCCAAGTCCGATGCGTTGGTCAAAACTGGAGCAGTGTCAATTTCCCTTTCCCCAGCTTCATGACATCTTTGGATCTTTCAAACAACCGTCTGAGAGAATTGCCAAAGAGTCTTTCCAGATATTCTCTGAAAGAACTGATCTTGAAAAACAATCAGCTGGAACTGACCGTCGATATGTTCAAGGACTTCAAAATGCTGGAAATCCTCAAGCTTGATTCAAACGCCATCAATGCTTTGCCTCAATTCGCTTTCTCCGGGCTCTCGAATCTCAAAGAACTGTCGCTCCGAGAGAACCAGATCTCCTGCATCGCCAATGATACCTTCATGCCTTTCGATCTCGAAAAGCTCTCCCGCCTCGACCTCTTCCAAAACAATCTTCAAGAAATCGGCGACGGAACGCTCCAGCAATTCAAAAACTTGGAATACTTCAACATCATGAAAAACCCAGTCAACTGCAATTGCCTCTTCCAAAGCACCGCGAAATATATGCAAAGCGTCAAGAATCAAATTGCGCTGGGCTTCCCGAAGTGTAACGAGCCACAGTATTTGCAAGGATATTATATTTTGGATATTCCACTTAGCGACTTGAAATGTGCGCAAGGCGAGACGGACCATGTTAAATGTCAGACTGGATCGAAGGTGAGAAAAATATAAAAAAGAATAAGAAACCATAATCAAAATATATATTTTTTTAAATGGTGTTTAATTTGCAGCTCTTATTCGGAATAATCACTAATAAACTAATATCGAAGCAAGGCATAATCCGACCCTCTTGAAAGAACAAGACTTATAATGTCAATTCTAGTGCCCTCGAAAATGCCACTGCAACGAAAAAACCAAACTCGTCGACTGCTCCAACCGCCAACTCACCTCAATCGAACTCGAAATGATTCCCACTGATACCAAAGAACTTCTCCTCAAAAACAACCAAATCGAGTCCCTCCCCGAGCTGCAAAATTTCAAAGAACTAGTCCTCCTTGATCTCAGTTCCAACCGCATTCGAGGCATTTCTCCGAACACCTTCTCCCTGCCAAAATTGAAGTTTCTCATGCTTGCTGGAAATCGGATCGGTTGTTTGATCGAAAACTCGTTCGCTGGTCTGCCAAATTTGAACATGCTGACGTTGAACGAAAACAGAATCAAGAGAATCCCAGAGAGCGCGTTTCCTTCTTCTGTGCTCAACTCCATCACTAGAATTTCCCTGTCAGACAATGAGCTCGACTGTGATTGCAAACTGGAATGGCTTGCCAGGTGGATACAGCAGGCACATACGGAGACGGGTGAAGCAACCTGTGCTAGTCCTGGACGACTCAAAGGCGCAACTTTGATCGATCGACAAATTCCGCCAACGATGAGGCAATTCTGCGACAGTGACAACAACGAGGACCAATGCAATGTCTGCGCTTCCAATCCTTGCAAAAACGATGGCAAATGCCTCAACTCTAGCTCCTCTCCTTTTTCCTTCCAATGCATTTGTCCAAAAGGTTTCAAGGGCAATACATGCGAACAAAGAGCTATTGCTGATCCTTGCGCTGACTCACCTTGCTTTAATGGAATCTGCCGCTCTGGTTTGAGCGAGGACGAGCCGCAAAACTACTGGTGCGATTGCTTAACTGGCTTTGGTGGGCAACACTGCGAGGAAAAGATCGACCTTTGTGCTACAAAATCTTGTCCAGCTGATTCTATCGGTTGTGTAGATTCGATCAACGCGCCACAATGCCTCTGTCCGGAAGGTAAACTTCTCTCCCTCGATGGATGCAAGCATGAGGACATGTGCATCTCTCGAAAACCCTGCCGAAACGACGGTCGATGCATTCCATCTCTTGGCGGCTACGAGTGCGAGTGCCCTCGAGGCTGGACAGGCAAAGACTGTGATCGACCCCAAAGTCCATGTCAATCTTCCGATGGCAGTCCTTGCTTCAATGGTGGCGTTTGCCAAGTTACTCACTCTGCGCCTCTTTTCTCCTGCAACTGTCCGAGCAATTTTACCGGGCAATATTGTGAGCTCGAGCGTCGATACGAGGTCTACATGAATGACGGCACTCAACAAATCCAGCGTGATGAGAGATGCAGAAATGGTCATTCATTCGACAAGAAAACCGACAGCTGCAGATGCTCCAATGGTTTTTCTGGACAACAGTGCGAGAATATCGAAACCATTTCTCTCTCTGAAAAAAGAAGCTACTCAAAGATCGTTCTTCCGACTCCTGCGTTTTCTTCAAGCTCAATCATGCGCACAAGATCAACCATCAATATCACTTTGACCATTCGCCCTGAAAGGAAAAGCGGAATTATTCTTTATCTCGGCGACGGGGAGAAAAATGACTTCATCGCGGTAGAACTAATTTCCGGAATGATCAGAGTTCGCCACGCAGATGTAGCGCTCTTCCTCGAGAAATCACTTGAAATCGATGTGGAGCATCGCCTTGAAGTTTTCATCAATAGAACTGCTGTCAAAGTTAAACTCAACGATCTGACCACCTCAGCGCTCAAGGCGAAACCGACCCAGATCATCGACCTTATTTACTCCGGTGATCTCTTCACTGGTGGTCTTTCTTCGACCCTCTTCGCCAAAGCACTCGCCGCAGGGCATATCACAAAGGAATCAGGAAGCTTCTCCGGCTGCATTGGTAAAATCAGCGTCAACGATAAAGCGATGTACTTCACCGGGGCGGAGAATTTGAAAAATGTCGCCCTGGGCTGTACTTTCAGACCGAGCTGTGTGGACGGCGCCAGTTGTGAGCATGGAACCTGTGTGAGCGCAGGGAACAGAAAAAGTTGCAAGTGTCAGTCTGGATGGACAGGTAAAGAATCGTCTTAAAGAATTGAATTCATTGATTTTTAGGTCCCTTGTGCAGTGTCAAGAAAGACGAATCCGAGTGCGAGGCAAACTGCGTCAACGGAAAATGCATCACGATTCGAGGAGAAGAAACTTGCCAATGCTCCAACGGATACAGGTAAGAATATTTTCATTGTTTTTGCCTTCATTTTTTCTGTTGTCTGACACTCGCAAATTAGATCCAAAAAGAATAGATACGGTCGCAAAAGGTAAAAAAAAGATCTTGAAAACCGCTTTTGATGCTTTGCTAAAAATGTTAATTTTCCGCTGCGCTTGTCGAAAAAGTTTGATCGAAGAAACAGTTTGCCGATTTTCTTAACTCTCAATAATAATGACTCATTCCAAAAATTATTTTCCCAATCAAAACTCAATTTTCTAGTGGTAAAGAATGCACGATAAAAGACCCGTGTGTGGGCTACGATTGTGGACATGGAAGATGTCAGATCGGAAGGAGAAACAAGCCAGTTTGCAAATGCCAGAGAAATTACTCCGGAGATCGATGTGAAATTCGTAAGTTACTTTTGATTTTGTAGAAGAATCTTTTTCAATCAATTTTTAGGGGAAAACAATTGCAAGCTGAGAAAGCACTTTGGAAGCTATTCTTACTCTGAAAGCAACAGTATCTATTGCAAGTAAGTTTCTTCCCTAATTTTCCTTTTATTCATCCTTTTCTAGAATCGAGGGAATCGAGAGAAACTGGTGTGAGGGACGAAGAATCAAGCACAGTCGGAAACAACTCTGCCATACTGGCTACGAATGCGTGGAGCAAAGTGAAGATCGAATCCTCACACTCACTTGCAAGTAGGACCCTTTTCTCTTTTACACGATTTTCATCTCTTTTCATAGCGACGGTTCAACGATCATGAAGCCAGTTCCGTTCGTCAAAAGCTGCAGTTGTCGCCGCGCAACGCGCCAGAGCTCGTTTTTCCTCAGCTGAAGTCTCCAAAATCTCCCGAAATTGAATTCATGACCTCCAGTGACCTCAAACCGCCTTCTTCATTGCCCGAGCTGATTCTTTTATAAAACGTCAAGCCACAGAGCCTCTTTCAGACTCGTTCTTCCCAAAAACTGAAAATCACTTTTTCACTATTTCTAGGCTTCAAAAAGTTCCAAAGCTAAATAATCTTCCTCTATCTGTTTATTCAATTCCTACTTTACAAACCTCAGTTCCTGAAAAAAAAACTTTAAAACTGTATAGAAAAATCCTGTTTTGTAAATATTTCTCTGTAAATAAAATATAAGTCTACCTAGGCAAGGAACCTTTGCTAATATCCTCTCTCATGAAAGGCTGAATATCAAGCATGAAGATGATTTTTATTATATATCTTCTACAGGATGCGTGATTTTTGAGCTTTCAGGGTTTTAAAAACAAGAATCGATCTCTATTTCAAAAACGACTGGAAGGGTGCTTTTGTCAATAAGCCGAGCAATCACTTTTGTCTCGATAACTTCATCATTGGAAACTTGAATTCTTTCAATCGGTAAAAGTCCATCCGAATCCTCGATTTCTCTGGGGACAATGTAGATATAGTCGCCAACCTTCAATGCTGAAGCCTCGGCCTGCGACTTAAAATATTTTAAAACAAGAGATCTCAAACCAAATCTATTCTTACATGTTGAAGGTATCCAATAAGGTCCCAAATTCCTTCTTTCAAAAGCCAAATATCGCGATTTTCTTCTGATTCAGCGTCTCTTCCGCCGACCATAAGCATTGCTCCACTGTCAAGTCCAGTCAATGTATGTCGGTAAATTTTTCTAAGTTCTTTATTATTTTTTGGTTTTTTTAAACTTAGGATAACTTTGGGTGATCTGCAAGCTCGTTCCATCCAGATGAGGAGTAAGTCTCTACTTTCTGAAAACTCCAGTAAAAGGCACTTCCAACCGTTGTTGGCTGCCCGTTATAGTAACCAAAGCCGCCAAAATGATGCTCGTATTTTGTGGAGTGAGTGGATGTCGATTCAACTGTGTCAAATATCTCACATTTTTCTCTGTGGTTTTGGGCAAAGCAGATTAATGCTTGGAAAAGAAATAAGTATAAATTTATGAAACTCAAACCTTTGTGGCCATTTTCTATTGCCAACGCTGCAGGAGCATATTCGTACGAGTTAATGAGTCTAATAGAGATCTCTGACAATCGACAGCTTTCCAGTTTTGCGATCTAAGGTTAACTTGAATTCATTCGTATAATTTTGGGATATTTACTTTGTGAGAATCCGAATAGCCCCCGAAAATGTACATCGTTCCCTGTACAACTGCGTAAGCACTTGTGTCGGCAAAATTTTGAGATGGTGCGAAAACAAAAGTCCTTTCTAAAATTTCTCCATCGCCGGAGAAAGTGACAGAATTTCTCAATCGCTTAGCAAGAACCAAAATTCGGACATTGCTCTGCTTTGAAATTATTTATTCGATCAAAAAATTTTAACAGACCGGGTGGCTTGGATCAAATGGAGTTGTTGAAACCGTAGAATTAGTTTGAATGCTAGTTTCTGTTGAAGATTGAGTTGTTATTGTAACGGAGAAAATTGAGAGTAAGACAATTTTCTTAGTCGATAAAGTAACCATATTTCCCTTGTCAGTATATTCTCTACACTGTTGAGTGAACAGAAAAATACCGCACTGAATTCGTGTGTTGCTGTTTATTCAAGTCTTTCGCAAATGTCATGTACAGTCGACTCTGGCAATTACGAGCCTTTTTTTGTCGGGAATTTTAGGCAAACGGCGTCAACGGAAAATGCAGAATTTATTGGTTCAGACATTATACGGTAAGAGGTCTTTCTTCTGTAATTTTTTGCTATAACTTAGAGCAAAGAATACTTTTAGTCTATAAGTACTCTTGATTGGTGCGCCAAGAAATAATTGATCTCACTTCGACTGAATATATTTCATAAAACATTCAAAATAACGATATTTAACGACTCCATTCCAAATATTTCTTCTAAGCTTTGCCTTGAAGATAAAAAATCTTGCTGATAATTCAACCAAGTAATGAAAAATTGTCATTTTAAATTATTCAAAACGACTTTCAATCAACTGTCAGTCTAATTATCTGATTTCAAATCTCCAGCAAATGGACTGAATGAGAAAAAAAGGAGTTTATTCGAGACCCCAAATGAGCCTCGTAAATCGTTAGAGAGAAGAAAAGCTCGAAGTTCAAAATGATCGAAAGTAAGAACTTTCGAGCTAATCCCAGGCTTGTTGATAACTCTAAATTGTGGTCGCAGTTGTCACTTTTTTGCATCTTAACTAGTCAAAAGCGAGATCATTTTAGGGCTTCCTTCAGGAAGAGGCGAGACAAATGAGAAGGGAAGAGCCTCATCCGGTTCCTCCTCAAGCTCCATAAAACTCGAGCAAAACCAACGCGAAGTTCAATTCTCTCCCTTTTCGAAATCGTCGATAGAGAAACTACGAAAGGCACATGAACGAGAGAAACATTTGAAGAAGAAGGACTGCTGCAAGATGAACGAGTACCTACTTCAAGTAACGCCTGAATCTTCATACGATCTATCAGAAGGTAAATCCTCCCTTTTTTCTTAAAAAATATGTAAACCACCCGTGTTTGAATGTAATCATAACTTATGATTCATAAGGCATTTTTGATATTTTGATGGGTTAAACTTGAAATCTCAAGAAGAAATTTTCAATGATTTCTTTTAAAACTATATTTTGACCTGATAAGGAATCGATTTTTTTGATAATTTTCTTGACGAAGCTTCAAGATTTTTTCTTAATTTTAAGTCTCTTGTAGCAAGAATAAATATATACTGTATTAATAGAACAGTAACTGATCGAAGAATGGGTGGATAGTTGAGGATGATAAATCTTCATGTCACATTTCTTCATTCTCACCTCGTTACGTCCAATGCTGCAAAACCTCTTAGTCAAAAAATGAAGATGGATAAATTTATTACTCATTATTTCAGGGCCCTTTATCCCGAATCGAACAGCCTGGCCGACGAGAAAGGTTGACACGGAGACTGACTTGGAAGCTGTGCAGACTCCAGAAGCTGCTAGATCTCCTAAAATAGGAAAGAATGCGAATCCAAAAGGAGTCGATTCAAAGGGCCGTCGTCAGTCGTATTTGTGGACCCCTGATGCCGTCGATGAGGGCATGTACTCCACGTATCTTTCGCAAAAGATTGTGTTCACGAAAGAATATCCCTATGCCAAGGCGATTCAAGGTACGAACGGAAGAAAAACCCATTTCTACTGTATTAAGTTTTGGTGAGAAAAGATCGTCTGCATGTTCACGAAGAGCCAAAAGAAATGAAAAAGCCAAAGTGGAGGCTCCAGCTTTGCGCACTCTTATGCTGCCCTTTTTTAGGTAGGGTTAATTTATCTGAGGCAAAACTTATCTAGAAATTGCAGGATTACTGGCTATTCTTCACAATTTCCGAGCAACAAACGCTTTCAACCTACAAAATGTCAAAAGCCAGCGAGACAATATGCGCTTCTCAAGATGGGTATGCATATGAGCTCATTTCTTTTCTGACTCTTCTCTTCTAGTTCTCTGTTTTCGCCATTATGCTCGGCACGATAACTTGGACCACTTTGCTCGTCCTAAGAAAGCACAAAAAGTCCCAACCATCATATGATCTATCAGAAGTGCTTTTTGATAGTTTCAACAGTACAATCAACGAAACAACTACAGACTCTTCAAGTTCAATAGTGCATTAGTTTCAAAACTCAACTCAATATTCATCAACTGTAAAATTCAATGTAAAGTTTTCTCATTCTTTCAAAATAAATCGAAAATATCATCAAACTTATCAATCTTACATTGCAAAAAATTCGAATAACTCCTGTATTTGTTCATTATAAGGGCTTGTGAGGAGAATTTTAAATTTGGCAGCTTTATATTGACCTTGCAATTTGTTCTTGGTAAATACCAGCATTCTGAAGCTCAGAGGCAAAAATTACTCTAAAAAAGAAGAGAAAATGTCTGAACGCAATAGAAGTTATTATGCAACTGGTATTCCTGAATATCTAACGGGATCAACTGATGGGAATCAAACATACAGTTCTTACGATAGAAATGGTAAAGCTTTTCATAATAGTATACTGAAAACATTCATTTATATTTTAGAAATTCAATCACTGAGAAACTCGTACCATCACTTGCAAAATCTTGTTTTTACTCTTCAAAAATCGCTGGAAAGAGAGCAAGAAAGGAACGATAGAAAAGGACTTTTTGCTCAAGAGCAGTTTGCAAAAGACTTCCAAAGAAAAATTGAAATCAAGGAGGACCAGCAGTCAACCCTTGTTGATTCGTTGAAACGACAGATCGAGGAGCTTTCCTTGAAGAATGATTTGCATGAGATGAAGTTCAAGATGATGGAAAAGAAGATTGATGAACTTGAGGAAGAAATAAAACGATCTAAAGAGAAAACCGTCGATGAAACAGGGCATCATGATCAATTGAGGCAAGAAAGAGTGCCAACACAACGGGTGAATATCAAAGTTTATCGCCCACGTCAACAACAATGGCCTCCAAAACCATGCTTTGGTTTGAGGAAAGATACGAGAAATATGTATTTTAAAACAACCATCTACGCCTCTGTGAGTAATTCCTTCAGTTAATATATCTAAAAATACATAAATAGGATAAATACAGAAATTCGACGGACCAAGAAATTCAAGAAAAGATGAACTCTGAATGTGCTTTCGACATTCTTCAAGAACTTCACCAAGAGAAGGAGATGCGTCTCGGTAAAAAGCCGCCATTCAGAAAAGTAGTAGAAAAAGGCGCACGATACATGCATTTCCTCGACAATAAAATTTATCAACAGATCGGTAACTTCTTTGTGAATATCTGAAATTTATGGAAAAATTAAGATGTGATTGATGGAAATCTAAGAAAAGTCCTAACAGATGGCGCGCAGAATGAAGGACTCTGGATAGCGAAAGAATGTGAAACACCTCAAATGCTTCCTGAGGACGCGGATGAAATAACCGAAGAGGAATTTTTGTCCATCGCGAACTCTGAAAATGAAGATTAACGAAAAATGTATTCAAATAAATAAAATGAAAAAACTCTTTTTGTTTTTTTTTCTTCTAGAATTTTTTGCCACAAAAGTTTTTTTTCTTGCAATTTTCATTCAAAATGAATATTTTAAAACTACTTGCAGTATTTTTTGTTGTTGCCAATGCAAAGAGAAAGAAACGGGGCAGAGTCAAAGGAGGGTCAAAAGTCACATCAGATACAAAGTATCCATCCTTTGTATCGATTGTCACTCAGAATGGCGGTCACTTCTGGTAAGCTCTTGTTCTTCTTGCTGTCTTACATCGATTATTAAGCGGCAGTGTAATTCTTGATGCAACAACTGTATTGTCTTCTTCTCACTGCGACATCGAAACATCGAATTTTGTTGTTTTTGGAACCCTGAAAAGATCAAACGACCGAAACTTTAATCCCAATCAAAACAACGTCGCTAGAATCAAAAGCGTCAAGAACTTTGGTAAAATTATGAACTCTGGTTTGTGGAAAGACGACTATACGAAGGGATTAAAACTTGATAAAAAATTTGAGAGATTTCTTCACCAATGGGATTTTTAGCCAATCATAAGCCACTTTTCTTTTCCGTAGCCAATAAGAAGCGACCTTCTTTTAATCTAAATCAGACTTGTCACCCTTTCTTCGCCGATTCGATTCAATTCAAAGGTCAAAGCTGCGAAATTGGGCACCTTCGACGAATTCGCCAATAATATTATGGTAAAAATTTGAATTCGACAAAGTTATCCAACCCGTTTTAGACCGGGAAAACAACTTGCATGATCGTCGGAAATGGACAAACAGACATGAGTGGCTCATATTCAGGTAATTTTATTCTTAGATCGGTTCTTTATCGCTGGTTTTCAGATACACTCAAAGAGGGAAGGACGAAAATACACTCGTATCAGCTCAAAGCAGTAGGATTTATGTATGGCGACAAAGAAAATGTTTTCTTGATGGACAATTCCGGCAAAGCAATCGCAGGAAAAGGCGATTCTGGTGGACCTTTGTACTGTCCCATAAACGGTGAGTGCGCTCTCTTTCCTTTTTATCGAAAAATTTGCTAGGAGTCCAAAAAGTCTTTGGTGTTGCTTCTTTTGCGCACAACGGAGAAGCTTCCTTTTTCGACGCTTATACGGGTTATGCTGCTGTTTTTACTCCCATCGCTCATCAATATCTTCGCCGCTGGAATCCAGCGAACAAGACTCCTAGAAATTTCGAAGAGTAAGTGATTCTTTCATGTTCTATCTGCTTATTTAAAAATTAAAGCATGGACATAATGGTGCGAAATTATGTCGCTCACAAGACAATTCTGACCTCTTCTTCTACTGCCGCGAAAACTGGAGAAATCAAAGTTAAAAGGAATCGGATTTGATAATTATTCTATCATAATTTTCAATTACCATCAAAAATCCCCTAAAAGACAAAGATATGACCAGGCTTCCAGGGAACGAGCGCGCCAAAGAACTATTGAATTCAACAAGAGATTCCCGCCCAAGCGAAGATATGGCACTCAAGCGACATTCAAAAGACCAACTTACAAGCAAAATTTCGGAACTCAAAAGAAACCAACATTTTCTCAGCCCAAAAAGTCAACTTCTTATTCCTGGAAATCATCAACGAATACTCAACAGAACAAATATTCGGGAAATAACTACAAATCGCAAAACAGCTACAAACGATATCAGCCTCCAGCTCAAAAGAAACCGACTTACAACTCTCAATCCAGACGAACTCAGCGAGAGCAGCCTGGAATCACGTGTTCCTGCGATTAAATTACTGTTAAAAATTTTAACTTAAAATCACTTACCCTGCCAATATATCTTCAAATTTAGAATTTCGTATTTATTATGGTCTTCGTCTCCCAAAGAGAAATAAGGGTTGGTTTTGCTGCGCGTCCGACCCGGAGCGATGTTATAGTATGTTTTGTCCATCAACAAGATACCAGCCAGAGATCAGACCCGCGTATTTTTTGCCAGTCTCAGCAAAAAATCTCCAATCAAAATCCGCAGATACTTTTTTTTCTTTCAATTCCAGAGGCATGTTTTTCTTCGTTTTGTTTTTTGTTGTTTATGCAGAAAATGAAGATAAACAGAGACACAAACAAAAACACGAAATGCAGCCGGATCTTCATCCGATCAAGAGATTGAAAGAACTGACGAATTATACCCGCGAATGGATCGGAGAAAATATGGCTCATCTGCCAGCGAAGTCTTCGAAAAAGTGGGATTCGCGGTTTGTACATTCTGAGAAGAGAATAAAACGGGCATTTTTGGAATTTGTCTGCGAATTCGACAATACTGATTTACCACACGGAAAGGTACTGTGCCAGGGTTTGGCAGCTTTGTTATTTTCCTCCGACAAGTTTAAATATTGAAGTTTTTCAGGAGGCGATGAATAAGGAAGCAAAACAGAATCTGGCAATAGGTGGCTATGATAAGGTACGCACTATTTATTCATGGCTAAAAGAAGTCTTTAATATCTCCTTGATACTCCTAAGTATTTGGCTTAACCCCTTAATATTCGTCTATTTTCAAGACTCGAGCGCTCACCGGCCTGGCACAAATCACTCATGGCTGGCGAAACCTCTTCTCAACATTCTACCGACAATGCAGAAGCGAGCGATTTGAAAAGTTCGAATTTAACCGCATCAAATCCTGGTTCGAGGAACTTTCCCAGGCTCTGATCATGTCCCAGCGGGATGAATTTTGAACACTTGAATTAATAAATAAATGGAAATTTATGACAAGAAGGATGTATTTTTTGAAGAATTTCTGGTGTGGTTTTTGTACAGAAGATATAAAAAAGAAATGGAAGCTGGTTTGAACTTTGTTAACATTAGATGAATGGATACAAAAGAAAGGACATTCTAAGGCAACGACCTTAAGGATTCAGAGGAGTTAGACAGTCTGCAGGCCCATTGTTTTGGTTCATCTCGCTGAAAAGGGTTAAAAATTCAAATAAAATGAGCTTTGATGGAAAAAAATTCAATACAGAGTTGAATTTTTCGGGCGCTTGAAGAGAAAAAAAAAGTTACCTGTCCAGAAGGCCTTGAAGATTTAGCAGGTTTGGGATCTCCGAAACCTTCTGATTTTTCAAGATCTCGATTACATAGCATTTTTTCGTTTTGCTTCACGATTTCAGATCTGTATTGAATTTTGTTAGTGAAATGGATGATGACAATTAGTAATGAAAAGGTAAGCAATGGAGCTATGATGCGATTTGTACTTACTGGTAAGCCCTGAAGTCTGGCGCTCGATGGCGGGAGTAAGCCATGAATAAAGCGACACAAGCAAAAGCCATCATTCCAATGCCGAGGAAGTATAAAACTTTGATCACTGAAACAAAGCTTTATTTTCATAATTCGGTATTCAATACGCTCTGACCATGTTTTTGATTATTCAATGTGCGGATTTTTTATAAAAACAATTAAATTTCTTGTTGAGATTTTAGTTCAATCGACGAGAATGTTTAATCTTAATCTTATTTTTCAATATTTAAAGTAAGGGGTCGCATTATTAAAAAGTATCGTTGAAAGAATCACTTTGAAACTAGGTAGCTTCTTCAAGAAAAGACTCAAGCGCTCGAAACCCGTTGAAGATAGGTTCAAGTGTTTGGGAACGATGGATTTTAGAATAGACTTACTTTTAGCGGATTCTTTTTCGAAGCATTTGTTGGCGGCGAATCTTATGTTGTTCGTGTTGCGATCGTTTGTTTCGCTGTTTTCCAGTAGAAGATCATTGCAATCTCCACCAGCTAAATTAATGAACTTGACTTTGATTTGAGAAGCGGGATGAGGCCCTTAGGAAGGCCTTTTGGTAAGGGGTGCCAGACTGATGATCTCCTCCTATTGCCTTTTAACTTGAGAATGATTCTGAATCGCTAATGATGCTTATTCAATTGTCTTTCATTCGATTGAATTTGAATTACTTTTCCTTCTTTCTCAGAGTCACCTGTTTTCAATTAAATTATTAATATCCCCTCCGTATCCTATTCCGAATTCCCTAATTTAATTGAATTTTAAACCCATTATGAATATCGAGATCCAATAAAAGCCATGTACAATAACTTATTGTCAATAAGCGTTTGTTGACTTACGACAAGTTTCGCCAATAAGGGACATGATTTTGGACTCCTCTTCTTGCTCAACTTTGCTATTGCAAAGATCTTCCGCGAAGCCGAATTGAATTCCATGATCGTTATGGTGACAACACATGACTTTTCCATTGTCTGTTGGGATTTCCGCTTGGAGGATTCCAGTGCAAAATGATAGTATTTTGTCATCTGAATGAGAAGGGGTAAGTCTTTGAATGATAAACCCTTCAATATAAAAAATCCGGTGCGGAGGGTGCAGAAATGAATATGTGTTCTCAAGTTGGCTAAAAATTGGCCAGTTGTATTTGACCTTTGATAGTCCGCTCGAGTGAAACATCGAAATAAAAGCATTTGGCGTCTTTCGCATCTAATTTGCGTCCAATGCAAGTTTTATACTGTGGCTTTGATACCGCAGAACTCGCCAATATTTGATGTTGGTAGTGTTCTTGTTGAACTTTGAGAATATGTTTATAAATTATAATTATAATTGTGAATGGAAAAAGATATGCTCGGTGCTTCGAAAAATGATAATATTGTACCATAAGAATTTATCATTTATTTTGTGGCGTGTAAAATGGATAACGAATGTTATATATCCGTTGTTATCCGATGTGCAATGTTAGTCACCTTTATTTGGTTGAGATATTTCAAGTCCTTAACTTATTAGTAAAAGCTCGATAATTTCGATTTGTCTCCAAAGGTAACATTTGAATAAGGGTGTCAGTACCCTAAGTAAGCTACGCCTATGCCATATTTTCTGCGCAGAATGTCTACTAGACATCCTTAAGTGGCTTTATGAAAAGCGAAATTTTGAGGGATCTTATTGGTTAGAATAAGATATAAAGGCTTCTGATTGGCTGAAGGGATACTTCTTTCCTCCATAAAATCCTACGACTATCTAGCAATATCAATAAAATAGTCGACTTACCATTATTTTTCTTGATAATCAAATTCACCAAATATTTGTCGCATGTTTTGCAAGTCCTGTCGTTGCAAATTTTCTGATACTGTTTTGGAATTTTCTGGCCGAATATGCAACCGATCAGTGAAACAATTAAAATCAGCATGGTTCCTCTCTCTTCCTTGATTTCAAATTGAATGAAAATGAAAAAAAGAAATATGATTTAGTTTATTTTTTATATGACGAGCACGGCAGGAGCGGGGCGCGAATAAATTTGGCAGCGCGCTTTGGCGCTCCCGAAAGCTGAAGAGATGGAAGTAGAATTGACGCCAAAGTCTGCTGACGTACTACTATACTCGCGAGACTGAATCTTCTTTGGTCATCCGTAGCGGCTATTTGATTTACGGATTTGTAGTTACATATCTCTGGTTAGATTCTCATTTAGTCTGTTGGTCAAATGACTTCTGGGAAAATCTTATAAAGTTGATATTCGATCAAACTTTTGTTAATTTTAAAACAATGGTCATCAACATAATAGTTGAAACTTTAGCTGGAAAAGCAAGATTTTCTGACGCCATGAATCGAAGAAGATCATTAATGCTCGTCTAGGACTCAATATTAATCAAAATGTGGCCATTTTATAGTCTGAAAATGCATCATTTACCCATTTAATTAACCAATCCTGGTGATTTCGGGACGGTTATGTCTGAAGAATTGGAGATCAGTGCTTCGTTTTTATATGGTTTTTAATTGGTTTTTAATTTCCATAACAGCAATTGACAATTGTATCAGAAGAATTTTATATTGACGGTGATTCTTACCATCTACACTGGCTATTCGCCAGAGTATCGGGGCAATATTCTTTCCGGGGGAAAATAAGAATATCGGACGTCTGGGCAATGATTTACAAAAATATATTATATAACTGAATTACAGATTTTGATAACAATCCTCTGTGCTAAAAATGAAATTGAGCTCACTTTCAAATTTCAAGAAGAAAGTACGTCATTTGCAAAACATACAAAGATGCCCTAGCAAAGCGGCCTGTCCCGTATTTCAAAGAGAAGTAATTATAATCGGTCAAAGGATTGTTTGTGCGTACCCAATCTGGCCATCCCAATACCCCTTCTTTGTTTCGCGAGATTATGTGTCGTAGCTTCATTTTCTCAAGATCTTCAATAGAATCAATAGCTTTTTTGCAGTATCAGCGTTTTTAAAACTTATTTATTATTGAGCATAATCGCCCCAAAAACAGATGTCAATTAGCTGTACTTTGGTTAGACAGATAGAAATAGAGTCACCTTGAGCAGACAAGATTTTAATAAGCAATAAATCGCAAGTAAAATTAACAAAGCTGCGTTTTTAAGAGCTCTCAAAATACCAGTCTGGGGAGACTGCGGTCGGAGAATTTTGCCAGATTTCCTACAAATCAAAGATGGAATTCCATCAAAATTCATAACAAGGATCAAAACGACATCAGCCATATTTAGACTCGTGCTTATTATACTGAGATTTTTCTGCTGCGAGAAGCAGAATAATAAATAAACATGGTTAGCTGGCAGGATATTCCTTCTTCAGTCAAGATTCTAGGGCCGACAAAGGAGCTCTTTACTTATTCCTTTTCTTCAAATCCTCAGTCAATTTGGCTGTCCTCGAAGAAGCAGTCAAATTTAATTTATTTTGAAGATCACCAACTGTAGCTAATTATCTCCGAAAGACACTATTCGCCATCCTGTCTGCCAGACAATCAAATATTGCAAAGTGAACTGGCTCCTTTATCAACAACAGGATGAGCATGTTGAATGAGGTTACTTGAAATATTAAATATCTTCTTGATTTTGTGGTTTTGACATATGTTCCTGTGTTCACAAGTTTGATCTACTGTACTACAACTCAAACAGCACAAATCAAGTGAATACCTTTGATGTTCTATTTTTAAAGTGATTCATGCCACTTTTCGGGCGACGTTCAAGTTAAATATGTAACTGATTGTTCAGACAATTCTCAAGTTTGGAATCTAAATTGTAAAACAAAACAATGTTTTCCTTTTTAGAAATGGTGACCTTTTCTCGACAACATGTCAAGGTTAACTTCGGCTGTTTTAATCCGGTCTAATTTTTATGACAAGAATGAGTCACCTTTTACTCCGAGGTACTAAACATGCGCCCGTAAAGAATCAGCATCGTTTTCATCAAATCCTATCATTTAGTATTGCAGAGAAAAATAGAAAAAGATGCCAAGCTTTAGTAGGTAAAAATTCATCATTTGGAAATATTTTCTTACTAAAATTTTGAAGAGAAAGCTCTAGAAGATCTGGTGTGTCCTCTGGCTGGGGCGATTCTGATGAAAGCTCGGCAGATGAATTTTCCAGAAAGGCCTCGAAGAAAATTTCCAGAGGAGCTCTTTCGACAAAAAGCTCTCACTGGGGAGATACAGACGAGTCATCTGACGATTCAAAGGTAAAAATAAGAGAAATGAGTAGGGCAAATTTTCCACCGCATTTACGATCGCTGCGTAGCGGCTAGCCATTCAAATAGAAGACAGTTAGTATGGATCATCTTAGGTGAGGAGAATCTACTCGCAGAATCCTTCTCGCCAGCCGTCGAAATTGTCCAGCTGGGGTGATTCTGGAACAAGTTCCGATTCCGATGCCCCGGCTTATGGAGGTGCTGTCAAACCAAAACCAATAAGGTAATCAATTTTTTCCACGAGAGAATCATCAAGACAATTTCACATACCGATTGTCTTAACTTAATTTCCATCGCTCCCAAATTAACATTGAATAAGTGCACGAGCAAGTGCACGCGAAAAAAGCACGCTCTCACGAGCATCAAAATGGTCTGATGAGGAGTCGGACGAGGAAGAGCATCATTTTTCGAAGAAATCGAAATCAAAGAAGATCTCAAGCGTCTCAAAATGGTCAGATGATCAATCCGAAGCTTCCATAAAAAGCCCACAACCATCGAAAAAGTCGCCCGAGTCGTCAAAAAAAGAGCCCGAACCGGCAAGAAAAAGCCTCGACGAACTGATGTCAAAAATTTCTTATGGCGAATCGAGAAATGAACCCTCCCGAAAAACAAGCAACATGTCAAAAAGACCTGTTTCGCTTAGAGCACCAGATAAAGCTCCACCAAAATCGCCGCCAAAAGCAAATCAAGAAAGTGAAGAAAAAAGAGAAACATCAATAAAGAAAATTGAAAAGCTTTTGGAGAAAAAACCGGTTCTACCGACGCCAAAATCAGAAAGCTCGAATGATTCTGATAAAGAACATTTTGTTCTTAACTCGACGAACTCAGAGAGGAAACAAGAATCGTCTGAGGATAATCAGTCCCGAAGCTCTCGTGTCAAGGGATCAAGAATATCCAAAATCTCCAGGATTTCGCAGTGGTCGGATGAGGACTCCGACGAAGAAGAACCTCCTAAAAGGTTTTTTAGCTTCTTGAACAATAATTGCATGCTTAAAAATAAATCAAGATCATCGTTTTTAAAGTTTATGAAAATGCATAAACTCGTTTAAAAACTGCTTTGGCATTCTTTTTTAATTTGATTAAAAACAATCAATTAGCGATCTGAAAGATGAAACTGGGAAGCTCCCAAAGAGAGTTAAAGAAATTTCATCAAGCGGATTGTCGAGGAAAAATGCTATTCGAGCTTCTGGGAGATCGAGCTCTAGAATTTCCTCGAAAGCAAATGAGAAAAACGAGTCACAAGAGCTGTCTGATTTGATGAAATTTTCCGCGAGCAACTCATCTTCATCGAAATTTGAAGTGAAAGAAGAAAAATCTGAAATTCGACCAAAAACTCGCGCTCAAATTCAACCAGAATTTTCGACTGCTTCAAAATGGTCAGACAATGATGATTCCTCTGATACAGAAGTAGAGATGGACAATAAACGATTCTCGGAAATCTTCAAAACTGAAGCAAACATTCCCATCAAGAAAGAAAAGTACGAGAAATCATCAAAAACACCACTGATTCCAAAATCAAACCAAGCTTCTGCTCTGTCAGAGTGGTCTGATCATGAGTCCGACAAAATGAAAATTCAAGAGAAGAAAGTTTCCTCCCTTTCAAAATGGTCAGACAACGAGTCCGACAAACATGAATCCAGACGATCTGAGTTTTCTAAAGCGGACATATCCGCCCTCTCAAAATGGTCAGATAACGAGTCAGAAAAGGACAAACCAAAATCAAGAATCTCAATGGCCCAACTTTCTTCCCTCTCGAAATGGTCGGACAACGAGTCAGAGAAAAATGAGTCAAGGCGATCCAAAGTTTCTAGAGCGGAAATATCCGCCCTGTCTAAATGGTCAGATAACGAGTCGGATAAGAATAAATCCCTTGGAAAATCAAGAATATCAAAGGCCCAAGTTTCGTCGCTCTCAAAATGGTCTGTCAACGAATCGGACAAAAATGAATCCAGACGATCCAAATTTTCTAGAGCGGAAATATCTGCCCTCTCAAAATGGTCAGATAATGAGTCTGAAAAGGATGAGTCGCTTAGAAAATCAAAAATATCGAAAGCCAAAGTTTCAGCGCTGTCGAAATGGTCGGACAACGAATCGGATAAACAAGAAATTGAAATCAAGGAAGAGAAACCTTCAACACCAGAATGGAGAAAAAGGATCAACATCGACGATTATTTCGCTGTTTTCAACAGAATGAGGGAAGAAAAAAACGCTCAGCCAATCAACTCTTCATCCCTTCAAAAAGAAAGTGAGACGAAGGAAGAACGAGAAATTTCTGCCTTGTCTGCTTGGACGGATAAACAATCGGTGAACAGGTCAAATATTTCAAAATGGACAGATAATGAGAGCGATGACGAAAATGAAATGACACCGAAGAATATCCCACTGGCGAGAGCACTGGATGTCCGGTCGAAGTCCTCAAAATGGTCAGATAATCAGTCAGAAATAAGATCAGCCTTGTCGAAATGGAGTGATCAAGAAAGCAACGATGAAAATCAAGGGAATAAAGATCAAAAAATAGAAGGAAAAGGTTATATTTTATTATTTATTAATTCAATTCATTTTTTAAAATCACTATAAAAATCAAATGCTTATTCCATAATCTTATCAAAGAAAACACTTGGCGAAAGGCCCCAAGCCGAGTAACAAGCATAGAGAGCCGAGCGTCATCAAAATGGGGAACTCAACGCGGTTCCTCGGTCTACTCCTCTCACACGGAGGCTGATTCCGCCAATGTTTCATCACTATCAAAATGGTCCGATAATCAGTCAGAAAAGCCAGAACTTTCGAATCAATCAGCATGGACTGACGTTCTTTCTGATCCTGAAAAGACACCAACAAATGCTGCTCAACAAAGGTTCGTTAGAAAAAATAAAAAAAAAAAGACTGAAAGTAGAACAAATCAAATCATGACTAGATAACTCATCGATAACTCTAGCGCTGAAAATCAAAAAGTTGAAATTGAAAACAAAGTCTCCCGACTTTCTTCCTGGACATCAACAGTTTCTTCCAAGTGGGGCGACGTTCAGCGCTCAAATAATTCATCGATTCGTTCTAGCGAATTAGGTACCATCCTCTTCTTTCTTAGCAATCAAGCTGACTCTGAGTAGCTTCAGGAACATCTGGAGAGCACTCGCTATCAAGTAAGCACTCTCTTCCTTCCTCTCGCCGTTCCCTGGATTATCCAAAAAATGATTTTGGTTCTCGCCTTTCCGAGGTTTCCGACAACATTCAGCTTCTTGAAGAGGAACCGACAAAGCTCGGTCCGCCTCCTGTTCCCTATCGGAATCCCTCCTGGCGCGGCTCATTCCGCTCTTCTGCGCTAGAATCGACGATCATGACTCCTTACACGCAAGATTTCACCCAAACACAAAGCGTCATCGCCAGCCAAGGCCAGACAGTCCGTCAAAAACGCATCAAACAAGCAATAGATTACACTATTTTAGAAATCTCAGAGCCAGACACAATGTACAGGTAGTTTCTTTTTAACTTCTTTTAACATCTTCTAGGGTAGAGCGAGATTTCTCATCCGGCTCCAACTGGACTGTCGAAAACTCTCAAAGGTTTCATTTTCAGCTCTCGCTAAGTGAAAATGATTTTGCATGTTTTCTCACAAATCATCGCTCTAATACATCTAACTAGAACGTCTCAAAAGCAGCTCCTAAAATGGATTCTAGAGTCGCGCCTGGAAGGATGAATAAGCTGAGCTCAATCGACTCGAATACGAATCAAAATCGGTAAGAAAAAAAAAGATGATCATGAATCTCAAGTTCTTTTTAGAGCCAATCCTTTCATGAATCCCTTCGATGCGACTGTCGCTCATAAAGAATCTCCACCACCAGCGATTCCTAAATCTGCGGTTCCCATGTCCTCCGGCACCGACTGGACAGACACTGAAGCAAAGCTCACCAAAGGTAGTTATTGAAACCAATCCATCATAACAAATTCTTGAGCAGAAGAGGAAGCGATTCCCGCGAAATATCTCATGACAACTGACAACATCGAATCCGATCCTGACGATTATGTGAATCAGTTCAACAGCAAAGCCATCAATGCAGATAATGACTTTGGCCCGATTAATGACGATACCTCCTTAATTGACGTTGACATGGAGCTTCCACCAAAACAAATGGTCGAAAGTAAAATTTTTCATCCTTTTCATTTTTAATCATTTCAATTTTTAAAGTTGTTCCGAAGAAAAAAGGTCTCTGCGGCGCTTCCTGCTCCGGGAGAAGCAACAAGAGCGTTTGGGAAAGTATCAAAAGTGCAACAAAACTCTGTAAAAAATAGAAAATCTGATAATAAAAGTTTGTACCCAGAATTTTGTGAATCAAACAGTTTCAGTTTTTGGCGAACCCCTTTCGTTGAAAATGAAGTTTTCGATTGCTCGATGTCTTGTTGTGGTCTTTTGATTTCGTGTAAAGTATTTTCTCGCTTTCTTCGGCACACAATGGTCTGGTAGACAGCCGTCAAGACATTCGAGCTTGTCTTCTTTTCTATTGAACTATTATTAGTAGTAAAATAAAGAATGCTTTTTACTTACCCAATAACAGAAGCCATTGCAAACGATAAGAGTCGCAACCAAAGTCGCTATAAAAATAAGCTCGTATTTTAAATCGAGAGTTTTGATAAACGGCATGTTAAATTCTCGAGTCTTTTGGCATCAGATAGAAAGAAGGGGAGAAGAGTGGATCCCTTCGATCGACAGATCCGTTAAGCCGCTTTTGATGCGCATGGGGCGATTATTTTAATAGGAGATACATTTCCATTTTGTCATACGGTTTTTGCTTAAAGAGGGAAATCGTTAATACTTCCTGTTTTATAATGATAGAGGGGGCAATTTTTGATGTTTATGGCAGGTAGCATTTAAAATTGCTCTCAGACCTAAGATAGTGGACATTTATTGCAGTTTTTTGTTATGATTTAATCGCCTACCATCTGGCTTGGGTGAAAATTTGAGAAGTTAGAGAAGAAAGATAACATGATTTTGCTGATTTTTTCTGTTTGCATTTTTAGTTGCAAAGCTAAGAGAGGTGAGATTCAACAGATAAATCAGAAGTTTTATCAACAAAAATTTTTCTAGGAGGAGGAAGTGGAGGAAGTTCAAGCACTGGAGAATCAACTCTTTCAAATGAGTCAAGTCTGGTAGACGCGATAGCCTTCACACCTCGAGAACTCTTCATTGGCCTTGGAATACTTGTCGCTGTTTTCTGGGTAACTCCATCGAATAATTTTTCAACTCATTTGTTTATTGAAGATTTATGTTATTTCTCGGAACATATCACGAATTCCGAAGAAAACAAAAATGCCTTGCGATTTTAATCATATAAACGACCCAATAAAGCGACAACAAGAAATCAGGTACTGTGTCATCAGATTATGATTATAAATTAAAGATAAGATATGTCTTGACACAGTCGAAAATACTGCTTGAAGATCGGAAGTCCGAGCACCGTCAAATCATTCGCCGGCTTTGGGGCGATAAAGATTTACTTGACAAATCGTTTATGGATTTTTATGAAAAATAAAAGGAGATAGAAAAGTGATAGGGACCAGTATATAATATACTGTATATTTGTTGAAATCGACAGAGAGAAAAAGCGAGCATGAGAATTAAGCAGTGATACAGCTCTTATCGTTGATCTCATCGGTAGCTTCGAAAAGTGCTTCAAAGAGGGTCTGGTTGACGTCCATACAGTGTTCTTCTTCAAGGATTTCGTCGTATTCGCACTCAGTTTTTTTGTTATCACATTCGTAGTCTTCGAAGTTCATCTTGCTCTGGTAGAAGCAATCAACGACGGAGACACTGGTGTCATTAGCGTTTTTAAAGACCTAAAATATCTGAAAAAAAAGGTGAAAAATCTTGTGGATACCATTGGAGAGAGCTTGCCATCAGGCTGTTCCTCGGCGTAGAGGAAGAATCGAATTCGATCTGGAGTAAAGCACTTGGCAGGGTCGACAGTGTTGAAAACTGGCAAGTCGGAGGTGAGCTGGAGCTGGACGGTATCAGCATTAGGCTTGACGTAAACCCATCCGTTTCGGCTCTTCCACTCCTGGTTTCGCTCAAGAACATTGAGTTGTCTGTTCCTCATGTCAGCGAGCTCAGTTGTTGTGTAACCCATGTGCTGTCCGAGAGAATCGTATTTCTTCGTAAACTAGAGAGCAGAATTTTAAAGAACTTTATAAAAAGATTAATGTAACCTGGACATAGGCCTTGGATTTTTTGTCATTTCCTGCCTGGGAAACGTAGTATCCGGTTACTTCAACGACTTCGTAAAGTGAATCAATTTCGTTGCCGTCTTTGTCAGTGAAGGAAACAGTGTCGATAACTCGAGCTTGAATTTGTCCTAAAAATCAAGCCAATCAAAGAAAAGTTGTCAAACACCGACTTACCCTTAGCAAAAGCTTGGATGAAATCCGCCCCACATCCGTAGGCGCCAAACTCAATGAGACCAGAGTAGGCTTTTCCGTTGAGCATAGGGGTCTTGTAATTGTAAGCTCCGTTAGTGATGTCAAGGGTGTAAGAAGTCTCGTCACCGGCGGCTGAAAGTCGGAAGTCGGGCTTCTTGGAAGTCAAGAGAAACCATTGAGAAGTGTCTAGCTGATCGCAAGTGCTGGCACCATCTTCTATTGCTTGAACAGAGAGGCTTGGAGCGACGGCGACGCAGTTTGGTGGAAGACCTTCGAAGCCTTCCTGGCAAGAGCAATCAATGAAGGGCTTTCTTTCAATCTCAGTGCACACGGCGTTTTCTCCGCATCTGTAGCCCCACTTCTCGCAGTGATCGCCACCGCCGACTTTTTCCCGGCAGCCTTTGCGGCCATATCCTTTTCCGAAGAAGCCATCATTGCAGACGCACATGAATCCTTGCTTGAGGAAAGTCGGGTCAATATCGGTCTCAGAAGCGTCGATGAGATCGGTGTCAAGGTCTTCGCAGGTGGCATCTTCGTGGCAGAAGTCCGCGTTGTACTCGCATCCGAGAGCTTCTTCTTCACAACCATCGGTAGGGTCGCCGTTGGCGTCGATAAAACCGGGTGCGCACTCGCAGCAGCCATCTCGCTTGTTGTCAGAGCCTTCAGCTGGCATACAGACGGTGTTGAAAGAGACTGGGTTGACGGCGTCGATGTCAGGAGCGCAGGACTCCTTGAATCCAACTGGAAAGTCAGCGTACTTGTGGCCACAGGAACCAAAGCTGTCGACGCCGCAGATGCCTTCGTCCAACCAGCATCGGCCGCCATTACCAACATATCCGTTTGCTTCGTCACAGACGCACTCGGGCTCACCAGATTCTTCGACACAGATGGCGCCCTCCTTGCATTTTTTGGTCTCACAAGTTGGGATTTCTGGATCTTCTGGATCCTCACGCTCATCAACGCAGAGACCCTCTTGGTCGATGTATGGGAAATCGAGGGTACAGCCGCAGATAGAAGTTTCTCCATCTTGATCACCAACGCACATAACTCGCTCGGCAGCCTCGATTTCAGTGAGGTTGTAAGCGAGGTATGGCGCGTAGCAGTCTTCGGAGAGTTCGCAGACAGTTGGAGCAGGGATGCACGATTTTGGATCGGAGCCGACGACGTAGCCATCAATGCACTCGCACGAGAATTGGTTACCGTCAGTGGAGACAACGCACTGATGGAACTCAGAATATCGGTCGATACACTTATCATCGCACGACTCTTCGATCGATTCGCACTTCTCTCCGTTACCGTAGAATCCCTCGTTGCAAACGCACTCTGGGAAATCAATGCCCTCGGTGATGCAGGTGGCATTGGAGTGGCAGACTTCATAGTCATCGTCCCAAACATCGGGCTTTCCTTTCCGTGCGGATCGTCGGCCTCGCTTCTTCTTTTCCCACTTGCCCTTCCATTTCTTCTTCTGATCAACCTCTGGCACTGTTGGATCCTCCGGCTCTTCGGGGCCGTCACCGGAACCGTCCCCGGAACCGCCTCCGGAGCCTTCTCCCCATCCACAAAGTGGCTCACAAGAGCCCATTTCGGACATTCCAAAGCCTTCAGTACACATGCACTTGTTCATGTACTGACCCTTGAATTCGGTCTCTTCGCAGACCATGCCATCCTCGCAATCAGCATCGACAGAACATTCGTCCAAGATAGCGACACACTCATCATCTCTCTTCGAGTAGTAAGCGCCTTCGTCACAAACGCATCGAGTTCGGCCGTTGTGATCGTAGAAGCATGTTGAGAGCTCACCGAGCTTATCAATGCACTTGAGTTCGTCCTCAGCATCGCAAAATTCGATGTATGGATCGCCAGATCCTTCGCCGGATCCTTCTCCAGAGCCGTCGCCGGAGCCAGATCCTTCACCAGACCCGTCGCCAGATTCTTCAGTATCTTCCCACCAGCAAACGTCATACACAGATTCCTGTTCTTCGAGACATCGCCTTGTCCATGGGAACTTGCAGAAAGCCTCGCAGTTGGAGTTAATTCCATCAAGATTACCGTAGACACCGGACTTAGATTCCTTGCAAACGCATCGAGATTCGCCTTCGCCTTCCTTTTCGTAAGTTGCGCACATCATATTTTCGCCACAATCTTTACTACTTTCGCATACTTTTCATAGGATTTTTTCTATTTTTTCTCTCAAAAATTTTTGATTAATATAAAAAAAATCCGATCCTTCACAATGTTGGGCAACAGCCGCGGCAAGCACGACGGACGGTAAAAGCTTCATCTTTTAAGTTTTGGTTGTTCAGAAATCAAGCTTATCCTGATTCTGCGTTGCTCATACTCAGCTCCCTCTTTTTATTCTCTTCTGATAAGCGCGAACACCCGAACGCGCGTGTCTTGAAGCAGCTGTTGAAAGAAGTTGTCCTGCGAGAAAAAATAACTGATAGCGTTGTCATATCAATGCATTCGTCGTCACTAGGCAGAAGGTTGAGATCAGTTCTGGGCAAATCTGAACGGCAAACGTAACAATAAGCCTGATAGAATTCAGAAACATGATAACTTTTGAAAAACAAGTTCCAGAGCATTCGAATTCCGTTTCGTCTATTTTTAATAAGATCAGTTTCTTGTATTTTTCTTATATTTCTTATATTTCTTTTTATTATTTCTTATTATTTTTATTATTATTATTATTCTTATTATTATTGTTTCTTATATTTTTTCTTGTCAATAATTTTTATTCTCTAAACAGATTGAAATTATTTCAGAACAGTCTGATGGCTTCGTGCTTCTTGAAAGATTTTCTGCACTTCGGACAGGAACCAGATAATTTTTGAACACAAGGAAAGCAAAATTGATGACCACATACAGTTAGACATGATCGCTGACGCTTGTCTTTTTCATATGTTTCGAAGCAAACTGAGCATCTGTTCTGATCAGAGTCCTTTTGATCATCTTTTACTCCTTCGTTTTCTTTAATCTTAGCCATCAAATTTTGATATCGCTCCTTGTCTCTTTTACGCTCTTTCTCTAGATCAGATCGTAAGTTAGTCACGTGAGCGTCAATCCCTTTAATTTTAAGGTTCAATTTATCAATATCCGTCAAACATCTCTTCCGTTCGCTCTCAAGCTTTCCAATGTAATTAGATAATTTTGTTGATTTTTGGAAGGTATTATGGGTTGCAATGAAATCTTGAAGCAACACCGCTTCTTTCTGTCGCTCAGAAGGTTGCTTCTTGATTTCATTTGATTTCTTCTGCAAATTTGCCGTGAATTTCAGGTAATTCGTGTAGAGCACATCTGTTTGATGAATAATCGCTTGGACCCAATCCACATTATAGGCTTCATTAAGTAGTAAACGTCTGTCAAGAAGGTATGCTTTGTCGCTCATCCAGTCATCAAAATCACTATCAAACTTGTTGTACTTGAATTTATACCAGGTTGTATCGATAAAGCTTCCGTTTCTTCGAGTTATAACGATTTCAATGGCCCCATCAATATTTCCATCAAGAGCAGTGTCTATGTGAATAACCAGAAAATAGTCGTTCACTAGGGAGTCCGCCAGGATCTTTAGTGTTACATTTTTCTTGATTTTCGCCTTGAAATCGAAAAGTTTTGATGACATTGAATAATTTGCATATTGAAGATTCACAGATAGTAGCCCGAGAATCTCTTCTGTGGAAAGAAAGTTTCCAGTCTCATCAACGATATCAATTACTGATTTCTCCTTACGTTCCTTGTCGGTTAACTTGTCAGTGATGATATAACCTCTTTTCTCATCGAAAAAAATAAAAGATTTTTTATAAATTGTCATTTTTTGATCTGGTAGAGCTAGGAGCGCATTGGAGACAAAACTATCACATTGGTGCGATCTTGATCTATTCCAAGGATAAAAACTAGAGAGTGAATCAGTAAAGCACACATATATTCTCATGCAACGCTTACAGTAATTAAGCTTTATACAGTTGAAGAGAAAATTTTCTAGCATCGATCTCCAAGTAAAAGGTCAGGCTTGTTCTCCATGATTTTCAGAAGCAAGTTATCGATGTATCTCTTCAAATCGCGGATTTCCATGTCCTTTGAAACAAGTTTGCGACTTTCTTGCGAAGAAATAAATCTTACCTTCATTTTGACAGCGTATCTGAGCTCCCTATTCTTCGCCTCCAACAAATCATTCGCCTTTTCAAGCGGATCGTCTTCAAAAATCACTCTCTCCTTTGGCCTTCCTTCCTCGACAGGCTTCTTTTTAATTGACTTGCTGCGCTTGAATCCGCCAAATGACGCCGTCTTTAATTTTTGGATAATCCCCTTCTTAGGAACACATGTTTTTTAATGACTTGGTCCGAAAATTTCAAGAAATTTCGAGAATCAAAATTTGATGATAAATTTTGATAAAATTTTTTTAGCAAAAAAAGGGAGCTTGGTTATTTGCTTGATTGATTTGCTTCATTTTCTTACCTTACTGTCAGCTGGATCATCTGAGCTAGCATCAGACCCAGCAAAAGGATTGCCTGGAATAGGCTCTGGTCGACTGGCGGAAAGATCGATCATGCTCAACGACCTATCCCGCTGCATTGACGGACTTGTATTGGTCTTTGCGATCATTTCGGCTTCCGATGACTAAAGAAAATGACATCAATGGATTCACGCAAGTCTAGGAGAATCAAAAGACAAATGAGTTTGAATTAAAGTGCCAGCTTTGACTTTGAATGACGACAACCGCATTTTACGATGTTGGTACCACAAAACTGGGAGTTTAATAATTATTAACGATGAGTAATTATTCATCGAAATTGACCAGTTTTTACCTTTTTCGCGTTTCCAAGGACTTTCGGATTGGGAGGAATCGAAACTCGCATGGAAATTTTTCCACGATATTTGCCAGATTTCGACTTTAGTTCGAGATCTGGAACGTCTTTCACGGAGGATTCTGATCGATCGAAACAGATTGCGTATTTCGCTCGGCCGAACATTTTGTGATCCTAAATTTTCAAGAAAATGGAAAAAAGTAATTGACTTACATCGAGCTTTCCTTTGCCTTCTTTTGTGCAAACTTGAACCCGCAAGTTTGCAGTTTTTCTGATGTCAAAATCGGCTTCTTCGTTCCATCTATTTTTGGTATAAATTTGAAAAGGGACAAAAGCAAGAAAACAGCCAAAAGGGTCCAAATTTGTACCATTTTCCTGACACTGTTGGCGGATCTTACTGGATTAGAATCTGTCGCAAGACCTTTACCGTCGAATTCGAGAAGACAGAAAAGGTTTTCTGGAATATTGTCGCCCTTTTGTTGTTTTACAATCGAAGTTCAATGATTTGGTCAAAAAAATTTCTCGGTGAAATTTCTTTATTTTGAATGATTCTTGTTTAGCTTCGTAAAACAATTCCTCAAGGTCGTATGCTTTGTCGACCGTAATCTTTAGCTTTCCATTTGTCATTTTTAGAAAGTATCTGCGCTGTCGATCTTGTTCTCTTGGTTTCCCACTCGTTCAATGTATTTAGAGTGGATCTGTGGCTCTTTTGTGGTCGCTGGTCTTCTCGCTGGGGAAGTAAGGTTCTGAGCGTGTGCCAGAAGACTCAAGGACCGTAAAAAACGGAGCGGCCGCCTTGAGACTAGTGAGTAATAGAATTTTACATTTATGACATGGGCAAATAGACTTTCCTTTGGATGTTTGTTCTGACGACAATTGATTGTTCAACAAAAAGATACGTTTATTAAATATTCAAAAACAAGTTCTCTCAAAAAAAATATCTTGATTTCGATTGCTTCAGCCTCAGGGTCAAATCATTTGACCAAATGAGAGTAATTTGGAGCAGTTAGATTGATCACAGAAGGAAATATTCTATTACAAATATAAGACACCATAATGTTGATATTTATTTCAAAAATTAATACATTTCACTTTTTCCTGTGATTGAGAATCTAACAAAAACATTTTCACTAAACCAATCTAGCCGTCCATCCCCAAGCTGAAATTGTTACTAAAAATACAAGCGCCAAATCGTCATGGAGAAAAATCTCATGGTGTCCTCCTCTCTCATAAAAACCAGGAAAATGAAGAATCACATCCAAAAATGAACTGCTTTATTATTCTATTTCTGTCATTTTCTAGAGCTCAAGATTGCCCAGCTCTTGGTAAGAACGAGATTGGGACCGAAGGCTAAAATTTTTTTAGGGATTGTTGCTGATGGAAATTGCATTTACTGTAATGAAACGCAGTGCATAGGAATGAGTTTTCTTTACATTTTCTTTCAATAAAAATCACAGTTAGAGACGCAGTAAATAGGACTGAACTTCGGAGGCGCCTTTCTTTGCCACTGCGAAGCTGGACAGAAGTACAACCAGGATCGAGTTTGCGTTGATGAAGCCGACTGTTTTCCGGAAACAACGACTGTTGCAACAACAACTGAGAGAACAACAACGGCAGAAATGATCCATCATCAGATGGGGGGACAGAATAGCATGAGACCTGCTTCAACGACTTCTGTGCCGACAGCTGCGACGTCAGAAGCGATTCATATGACAGAACAAATGCTTGCAGGAAGGGTTTAAAGTATCTTTCTTCAAATATTTATAAAAAAATGACACCCTTATTTCGCATTCTGAGTCTTCTATCCCTTTTCAAGAAACAACTTCTGGATCTCCGGCAACTTACAGTCATCTCTCAATTTCTCTCTTTTTGTCGATTATCTGTGCAAAATTTCTAGGTGACATCGTTATGTCAATATCATAAACCAAAACCTTAAAGACATAACAGAACGTCAAACCTACTAATTTTACCCACTCTTTTAGTCGAATAAAATAACTTTTTTTGCAATTATTGGTCTCTCTTTGCTTGTGTTTTTGTTGAATGAGCTGTGGAGCTCGAGAAAAAAAGTGTTGGAAAGTGGGAGAAGTGCCCTTTTCGCTCATTTGGTAAACAGCTCGGCCTAGGGTTGCTACAAATTTCAGTTAACCAACGCGTAAATGCCATTCAAGCCAAATAAAAAAGAAAATGTATTTGTTGTTTTTTTTTTCTCTCTTTTTTTGGCCAAAATTCTTCGCCGATTCTTTGCAAATTAGCTTACCAGTAGCGTTTTACTGATAAAAAGTTGGACCAATCATGGCTGCTTCTTTTTTCTAAATCTTGATAAAATAATGCATTTTGTTTAAACTATCTTAATTTATTTTTTCATTAATGATGTGTTCAACAAGAAAAAGAGCAAGTTAGAATCAAAAGACAATAAATTTTGCTAAGCAAATGCTTTCCTTGCCCATTTCCTATTTAGATTAATCATCCCTCCGGCCGAGTAGAGTTAGTGCTGCTCCCAATCGACTGTGGAAAGTTTCTTTGTAAACGCAGTCCTCCAGGAGAGAGAAGTGGCACAAGCAAAATAGATTCGCATGATTACAAGGGCCAAATAACAAGGAGAGAATAGAGAGCCGAGACGAAAATGAGAACTTCTGTAAGATTACGAAAAAAAGCTTCTTTATAATGCTTTTTAGATTCAAAAGAAACAAATAGTCAAATCGTCAGGCAACGAAATTTCCCGCCCGAGAAAGTATTCTAAAGGTACCTCGGCAAATTGCTCTAGAAATCAAAAAATTTAAGCGTTTATCGAAATCAACGACGAAATCAAATTGACAAAAACAGAAGAAGACTTCGGAAATCCATTTTGTGAGAAAATTTTAGATGCTGAAACTTGTTTTCTATCCCAAGGTAATTAGCGCAAAAGCCGTTCAATAATAAGTTTTGGCTTTCAGAATCAAAATCAAAATGGACTTTGACCGTAAAACACGCTGAAAAAACCTACAAACTGAAGCCATCAAAAGAAACCGATCCGGTTCTGGTCGATCGAATTCTCGAAATTCTTCAAGCAAAGAAGATTGAGTTCCTGAAAAAGAGCGCGGAAGAAGCTGAGAGTCTAATCAAATCACAAGGTACACCTGAACATCTTTCGTAAGCGATAAACTCATTTACAAGCACGCTCATTAATTAGACCGTGAGCAACGGGTTAATTTATTTACAGGATCCTTTTCTGATGTCACGTTTTTTGACACGAATTCGACTCGAAAAAGGGTCCCCTTCAAAAAGGCCAAAGAAAAAATTTTGTTCAAAATTTGTTAAAAAATTTTTTTTAGTCAAAAATCAGCTCCAAAAACGCCAACACGAATTGGAAGTGCTCGTCCCAATCGCCGAAAATTTGGAACGAGACTCTGAGAAATTCGAGAAAACGACCAAAATCGTGAAACAGAAGAAAAAGCACCCATTTTTATTCAAAATAAAAAGGGCTTTGCTTTGCGGTTACCCAAAGGAAGGATTCGGCAGAAGAGCGGAAAATAATGAGGAAGAAGACATTGATAAGGCTTTCGAAAGCTTTAGGCGAAAAACGATCGCGACTGCTGCTAGTTTTGCTTCACCAATAAAATAAAAAAAATTTTCATTAAAAATATTTTTCGCATAAAAATTCAGCTTTTTTGATAATCAGTTTTGTCGAAAGAGACCCGTTATTGACTCAAGATTGTAAATCTGCAAAAAGCTTTTCGAATTTTGCGGAATGTTTTGCGGTCAAGAAGAAGCTGCAAGTATTCAACTTTAGTCGCTAAAAATATTTTTTGAAGAAATACCTCCTGTAACCGCTAGAAATTAAACAATGATGGATAATGCCATTTCTAAGAATTCATAAGAAAATCAAGAGGGTCCCTATTAAAATAAAGACTTGCAGCTGTATAAATAAGGGTTGCATCGGAAAAAATGTCAAAAATGTCAAATTCAAAACTTCACGTTTTATATAACCGGGAATCATATTTTTTTCATTTTTGAAGTCATTTCTAGTCGAAAACTTTGATAATTTTGCGATTTTTTTTTTTGACAAAATCGGCTTGAAAATGGCAATTTTTCACATCTTTTTCATTGATTGGACTCAAAGTGGCGCCCTGAGAATTCAGAAAGCTCGTTTATTCGATTTTTTGCTAGCTTTTTTTACCGAAAAATATCTATTTTTTCTATTCTGAGGATATTAACGCGAATACGATGGGAAATATTCTCAAAAACAATCCGGTAGAAGAAGCGATCGATCAAAATTAGCGAAATCCTATTCTCTTCCAAACATTCGTCATTTTACGCCGAAAGATTACGACTCCAATCATTTTTTTCTGGTCCCTAGTAGTTTGCATCCCAAACACCTCAAAACATTTTCGGCCAAAGCAAGAAAAAAAAAAAGAAAGTAGAGAAATTTGCGGAACGAAGCGGGCGCCCGTGAGCGCGCTAGAAAAAAAAACTTGAAGAAAAAGCGCGCGTTTTTTCTTTTAGAAAATATAAGTTTTCAAGATGCTTGAAATAGGAAGATCGAATAGAGATTGCTTGGCTATACTTGCTTTTATCGCACTGGCGGGGTTCTTTTATTTGAATCTTTTCGCTAAAGAGAGATTTTTCGGAGAAGTGGAAGAGTACCAGATTGATAAGGAAAGAGAGAAAAAAATGAAAAAAATAATTTCATATTTTTTTAATAAAAATAATTTTAATATTTCGGAAAAAAATAATTATCTCTTGAAAAGATCAGCGTTCAATACGAGCTTCTTGGTGAAAAAATCCGTCTTTTGGAAGAAAAACTAGAAGAGACAGACGAAGAAAATTCTGTCACTGAAAATGAAGTCGAAAGTCTCCGTGAAGAAATTCAATTTCTTCAAAATAATGCGGCAGCTGGAGAGTTAATGAAGAGTGATTCCCTCGAAACCCTTGGTGGAAGATTTTATCCAGCGCCAAAGGCGGAAGAGACGATTTCTGATGAGGAGTGGGAAGAGATAACCGGTAAGAAATCAGGATTTTCGGCTCGAAAATCTGCATCGAAACCTGAGTCAGCTCTTATCGTGAATTTCAGAGGACGAAGACGAAGATGAGTCATCAGAAAGCGAAGAAGAAAACTACGATGATCTGTACGAAAACGCGGTTGAAGAATCACAAAAAATCTGCCCCCTTTCAGCCGAATACACCGCCGCAGAATTCCGAGAAGAAAACGTTCTGGCAAAGTACGAAACCCGACCTGACAAATTCCTGACCTCTGTGCTGATGAATGGGCCCAACAATCAACTCTTGGGTTTGAGGGAAACAATGTTCATCGCCATTAAATTGAAGAGATCTTACATTATGGTAAGTTTGCTTGAACATCCGTAGGAGTCTTATCGACGCGATAATCGTATAATGAACATGCAAAATTGGCTTTTCAGGAATCTTAGAAAACACCCTTTGAGTAGGAAAAGTTCTAAAACGGAATTTTTTGTAATAAGAATATCAAAGTTATGACCACTTTTGAAACCATCAAATCCTCTTTCGTGGCCAGAAAAGATCATCCAGATTTTCCAGAAAACGGGATTTCCTGTCATAAGCGCGCCTTGAGCTATTTCTTGAGCCCTTCTTGAAATCCGATTTACAAAATTTCTTCTTTTCAGCCAAAATTCTTCAAACACGACCGAGCCGACCCAACAGCTGTCCACGAGTATTTGGAAGAAGTCGAGCCAAATGAGCGAGTTTCGATCCTGAAGATGCGACGATTAATGAACACAAAGCCTCTCGAATCCGTTCCAGATATTTGCGAAAACGGCGAATTCAGGAAACGGGCTTGAAATACGGTTGATTGAACGTTGCATGTTTTTTGGGTAGAAGACATGATTATGGCACTAACAACATCGGCGAGGGGTAAACATTTAGACCCAAAGCGGTGCTGTTTGCAGGAACAATACGGAGAGAGAAGTGCTCTTGAGGGGATTAAATTGAAAGAATTATGTAATAAATTATCGTCTATTTTTTATTTTGATCATTATTTCAAGCCAAACATAGTGTCTTTTACCAACTTGCCAGAAAAGGTGGTTCTCAAAATCAAGGCCGTCTGATCAAAACTTGCGAAAAGGTCGATTGCGAAGTTGACAATGTCAATTGCGATGAATGGAACGAAGGAGTTTGCTTGGAAAATGTGAGCCTGCCGAAGGTTCCGAATTTGAACAAAACTCCGATGAAGCTCTCTAGACTGGCGCAGGATGGAAATAATACGTGAGTCGATTTTGTATGCATATTTATTCAAAAAACTTAATTTTGTTACGCGCAGATGTTCCTAAGATTTTTCATAATCAAACCAAGCCAAAATCAGCTTTTCTTCTATTTTTATCCTAGTTATCCTAGACACCCTTATTTTATTATGTCTGATAAAAAAATGAAGCACTTTTTGCTAAAATCTCCTTGAAACTGAGCATTACCTGAGCTCTAGAATCATGGAAACAATCTACGACTCCGACCACTCTTGCGCAATCATGGCCTATCCCTACATGGACATCAACTTCGCCCGGAACCTCTTCCACCCAAAAATCAACGACGAAGACAAAGAACTGATGAAAGACATCATGAAAGCTACTGGTAGACCTTTGCATATCGAAGAAGTCGTGCAAGAATTCGTCAAGAACGCGATCGGAGGAGATGAAACGTATGTTTCTATGCACTGGAGGTACAATGCTGGAGACTGGTGGCATGGAGGCTGCGATATTAAGGATGGACATTATAAGGCAGCTAAGGTAAGTCCTGAAAGATTTTATCAATTTTTGAAGTAGATAGTAACTGATAAGTACAGTTCGATTTTACCATTGATGCTAGAAGGATAAGATTTCATCAGCCTCAGTGAGCCATATAAGCAGATTTTTTTCACAATTTTTTATTGTAGAAAAAATGAAGCCTTAGTTTGCTCAATTCGCTCATAACATTTCCTGCTCTGCAGTTTCATAAAATGAATGCACATTTTTTCTGACACTTAACTATGAAATATAGATCATTAACTTGAACCTTCGAAAAATAATGATTTTAAAATAACTCTTAAGCGTAATGGGGATGGTGAGGATAAAATCCCCGAAATCTGCCGAAAACTAACCTACATGCGCGATCCTCGAAATTTCGCAATGCAGGTCAACGAATTCCTGACAAAAACCTGGGCGAATGTCAACAACGAAAAAGGCCGAATCATTCCCAATATCATCAAGGTAGACATTTCTTTTGAAAGCAGAAATCAAAACATCTTGTAGACAATGTACATTGCAACTCCTCCATCAGAACTGGATTTGATGGAACGAATGCGAGAAGAATTGAAGAAGATCAACCCGGAGTTGAAAATCTTCGTTCAAACTGATGTAAGAAGGAAAAATGATGAATTTTTATTTACTAAAAAAATTAAGATTGAGCCCTTCATCAGAAAATACTACAAGAACGCTGGTTGCTCTGAGCTCGATGATCGATTCTGGGAAATTCTTTCGATGGCCGAGCAAGAGGTTTGCCTCCAATCTTCCGTCTTCCTTCATTCAGCCGGATCATCGTGGAGTAAAAACACGAACATTGAAAGAAGCATTCATGACTACCCTGTGAGAGATGGTGAAGTTGAAGCTTCCATTATGCCAAGAGGGGACTTCCGATAAAGTTCTTGATTAATTTATTATTTTTTTTTCTGTTTACCAGTTCACGATTCTGCCCTGCTTCAAACCTCGTTTGTAAATAAAATTTATACTATTTGGACTCATTTTCATTTAAAATAGAAATCATTTTTTAAAAGAAGCTCTTGACCAATCAAAAGCCTGCATTTTCTAAATGAGCCAATCAGAAGCCAAACTTGAAATTATGCTTCAAAAGTCGCCAATTTTTCGTCTTTATAGGAAAATGAATTTATTTGCAGCTTGAATTATCAATAAAAATCATTACAGGCTTCGATATTTGTTGTAAAGTCTTCTCACGCGATCTCGATCTTGCCTTATTTCAACTCCTTCGAAATCTTCAGCATTGAAATTCAAAAATTTCTCGCTCTTGTAATAGTTTGGCATTGGTGGGAGACCAGCTTCCTCGATAGCCTGTGATAGTTGGTAGATTGCTGCATCGACAGCTTCGATTTTCGTCGCGTTCCAGATTTCAAAGTCGAGTTCTTGTTTTGGTCGCTTGAATTTTTCGAATTCGGCTTCGGACTAAAATATCGTAGATAAGTATTTATGGTATCAACGCCCTTACATTTCTGATGCAATCGAGTCGTTTTTCAGCATCATCCGGTCTGAAGCCAATATTTTGCTCCAGAAAATAAAGCACTTTTTCCATCTCTTTCGCAGCGTTTTCCTTCAAATCTTCAAAGTAGACAATTTGGATTGGAATTTCACTTTCAATCTGCCCTTCTCGAATGTAAGCCTCGTTGATGCCCAACCATCGGCGAATCATGACTTGGACGAAGATGTCCCACTTTTCAGAGAGGAAGAGATGTTCTTTTGCGAGACCGGTGTGCCCGCCGTTTCGGTCGTATTCTCGAGAGTTTTTTCGGTTGAATTCGGCTTTGAAGACATCGTATGGATTTCTGAAAAGATTTTCCTGAGAAACCATATATCAATTTTTTTATTCGACAAAAGGGAGTTTCTTATTACTCCATCGTCGATTCTCGAGAAAAATGGCCTGAGTCTTTTTCAGTCTTAAGGATAATAGAAGTGTACCTGATAATAAGAATCGCCCCGTAAGCAAAGCTCAAAAAGCTCTTTCCATGATTTTTATTCCCAATCGTTCGCCCCGAGAGCATTTTCGCCGCTTCTCCAACAAAGCCATCCTCCGTTATCACTCTCGTTTCATTGTAAATACTCCCCGTATAAATCCCAGTAGCAGCTTCGAGCAACTGCCTGGTCCAAGTGTTCCCCGATCCCTGGGTAGAAGCAAGAGGAATTAGAGGAAATTCGCCGTCGTAGCCAAGTCGGACATTTTCTCTGCAATTTTCAGCCAAGAAAGCTGAGAAAAAGATGGTAAAAAGCTTCATTCGAGTCTTTTTTTTTTATATATTTTTTGATGGAACAAAAATGGAACCGCGCGTTTTTGGTTAAAACCAGCGGTAAGAGACAATGTTTTGAGATGAAATAATAAATTTGCTCGGAGAACTAGTTTTAGCTTTAAACAAAAAATTCGAACATTTTTTCATAACCATTTATTGCCAAAACATGGCTCGGAAAATTAAATAATTATTGAGCGGTCCAACCACCGTCCATGGAAAAATCAGAGCCGCGAATGTTCGCGCCTGCTTCTGAGCAGAGAAAGACGACCATTGCCCCTGAAAATGCTTGATTTTTAGATGAAAAAAGAATCTGAGTACCTAAATCTTCGATTTTCACGAAATCTCCAGAGGGCTGTTTTTCTTCTAGCAGCTTTTTCTTTTCGACTTCAAAAGTTTCGTTTTCAGCAGCGCGTTTTCGAATTTGAGTCTAAATCGATAAACGATATCTCAGAAAAAATTCTAGCTCGAACCTCAACTAAGGGTGTCAAAACCCAACCAGGACAAATCGCATTGCAGGTGATCCCGGTTTTCGCTGTTTCTAGAGCCACAACCTGAGGAATTCGAAAAAAAAAGACTCAACAATATATTTTCCAACCTTTGTCATTCCCAAAACACCGTGTTTTGCGGCGACATAAGCGATCTTGTTCGCCGAAGCGACTTTTCCATGAGCGGAGGAAATGTTTATGATTCGGCCCCAATTCTGCGCCTTCATATCTTCTCAAATAGAACGATTTTTATCACAAAAATTCGAACCTGGCAAAACCGCCTTGATCGCGTAGAAATTCGAAGACATGTTGATCTTGATGATTTGGTCGAATTTTTCCACCGGAAAGTCTTCGGTCGGAGAAGTGAATTGAATACCAGCATTGTTGACCAAAATATCAACTGGTTGGCCGAAGATTTCTTTGGCCTTTTTGATCCCTTCTTCGACTTTTTCAGCGTCAGAAACGTCGAAGCTCACGAACTCCGCTTTCGAAGCGTTCAAATTGGCAAAATTCATTGAAAGAAAACAATCACGTGACTTTCTTTTGGAACTTTTCCTTTGACATTTTTCGCTCTAAGAGAACCAAGAATTTTTTGAATCTCTTCATCCGGCCCAAATCCATTTATCGCCAAATTCGCCCCTGCATCAGCCAGAGACGTGGCTATTCCAAGACCGATGCCACTTGTACTGAGCGAAAAAATCAGGCGGAAAACTTAAATTCTCTTCAAACCTGCCGGTAACAAGCGCTAGGTGTCCTTTCAAGCTCATATTTTTACAAATGGCGGAGTTTTGATTTTTAAAAATTTCGAAAGTTCTTTATTGATTCTTCAAATCTGACGCAAGGAATGACTCATTATCTTTACTGAGACAAGATTTTTTGTATGAAATAGATCATGGTTTATTATCAAACGGAGAAAATAACAGAAAAGGTAGAGAGCGAGTGAGTTAGAGTCCTCTAGCAAGGATTTTCTTTTTAACCCAATCGTACGTAGTAGACAAAGAAGTGTAGAGACCTGGGTAGCCTTCCCACGCGCAGCCGTATCCTCTTGAAACAACACCCATCAGCGTAGCTTTTCCATCGACTGGGCAAATGAGAGGTCCTCCGGAATCACCCTGGCAAGCATCAGCACCCGCGTCGGTTTTTCCATCTCCGTCGAGATCGGGTTTGGCGGCGCAAATATCATCTTCGGCGAGTTTGTAATTGAGATTGGCGAAATTTGAGTTGTTCATGCTTTTTAACGGTTTTTTTTATCTTAAAGTCGACTAATTTTCAAAAGTGAAAAAAATCATTTTTATCAAGAAAAAAACCCGTGCCAATAATCATGTCCCATAATATTGACGCCAACAGACATCAACTCAGGAGAAAGCGAACCACCGGATTTCAATGTGCCCCAGCCAGCGACCCAACAGCCTGCGCCGTGAACTTCCTTTTTCTTTGGAATACAAGCGATTCGCGTCTTCTTCTCAGGATCTGCTTCGAGAATGTCTTCGTTGAATTTGATGATGCAGACGTCGTTGTTTCCAGAGTTTCCATCGCCTCTCTGTCCGTATTCCCAGTGATTGTAGAACTTGTCAGTGGTGAGTCTGTACTCTTGGCCTTTAAAAAAACGGTTAAATAAGGAAGGATGTTGTGAGCTTACTGTCAAATCCATATCTTCTGAGATCACCAAATACTCCCGTTATGCTCCTCATTCCTCTGCAGCAATGAGCGGCAGTGGCAACCCATCGATTCGCAATGATACTTCCACCGCAACTGTAAACAGCGTTGCTGTATGCTCTCAATTCAAGTCGAACGATCCAAGGCCATGCATTGTCAGCAGCGGCTACTCCACCGACGATTCTGTTCTCTTCGTCGTCGGAATCTGAAGATGCGCCGAAGAGGGATTTTTCGGTGAGATCGAAGTTTTCTTCTTGAGTGCAAGTGTTCAGATTCGCGGTGATTTCGTTTGTCAGAGCAACGAATTCGCCGCTTGGAGTCTTGTCCGATTCGTCATCTGGAACTTCTGGTTCTGTTGGTTCTTCGGGAGTTTCAGGTTCTTCAGGTGTTTCTGGTTCTTCGGGTGTTTCGGGTTCTTCTGGTTCCTCTGGCTTTTCGCAAGCCGGCATCTGATTACTCCAAACTTTTTTCTAGAACAAAGAAAATAAGATTTTTTTCGAGATGAATTTAAGTTTTATTTTACCGTTTTCCAAGTGTTTCTGTTTCTAGCAAATATTCTTTTGCAAAGATGCCAGGTCTTCTCCTTATTTTCACATTCAAGTGTGTACATCGCTCTCGCTCTGTTGATCTTTTTCTGCATCTTTAACGTGCCGTACACCGTGGAATGATCGATTCCCTTTTCACAAGCATGACTTTTTGATCCTTTTTGAGCGACATCGTCACATGCCAGAGCGAAGTTGTCAGGGAGATTTCTACAAAGATTTTTTGATTTCTCTTTAAAATTTCAGAATGATCTTTTTATGTGTCAGTAACAGACTGTAATTGATAACATGCTATGGTACTTACTGTTTCATGACACTTGGTGGATTGCCGCACATGACCTTCAGCTCAGGAACGGAATTCGAAGGCCAGTTAGCCTTCTTTCCACTTGGACACTTTGGGTAGCAAAACACCTTTGGATTTCCAGATCCATAGCCTTGGCAATCCCACCAGCCTTGGCCTCCAATGCTGTAGGTCTCTTTTACTTCATCGACTTTCGCATCGCATTTAGCAGTTCTCTCCTCGAGCTCTTTTCCTGCCAGATGTTTGTGGCCTTGATAGTATCCCGCCGAGACGGAGGCGATAAGGACGCTCGAAAGTTTCATTCTCTAGTTTATTCTTTGAAAATTTATACTTTTTGAAAGATGTGTTTCTTATAAATTTCCGAAACGAGAATGAACTATTTTCTGGCGATTCTCTTCGAGTTCTCTCTCCATCTCTCTATCGCGATGTTGAAGTAACAAACATGAGTTTTAACCGCGAAATGTTTATCATCGGAACAAGGCTAAGAGACCTACCTCTCAAGAATTGCATGTTGTTATTTGCATCTATCAATACTTTGAAATAAGATCAACTCTCAGGCACAATTTCTATATAACTATTGCAGAGAAAACAATAATAAATAATTATAAATATTAGTAAAAAAGTTTTAAAGCAAAATTAAGGGTGTCAACATCGATTTTGTCAAAGTTTGCCAAGTTTGCCAATTTTGACAAAATCGATGTTGACACCCTGAAACGGCTTCTTTTAAATCTATTAGAGCAATAATCAACTTATAGAAGAACGAGGTCTCGTGACCAGTTAATTAATTTTTATCAATCTCTGAATACCGTTTTTAAATTATTTCAGGGTACAGAAAGATCAAGACGCTCCCCTTGGGGGTTGAATCCCTTCATACAACATCGATTCTGTTCTTTTCTCGCTCAAAAAAACGGAGTGGTTAGTGTAAGAGGATGATGCTTTTATAATGAGATTTCGAATAGTTGATTTTTATAAATGATGCCGCGACAAAAGTCACTTTTGTAAGGAAAAATAATACTGGAGAGATTTTTATGATTTTTAAGAGAATCTGTTGATGATGCTGGACTCTCGTTTTACTGGCTTTGTGGTTTTTCAGTAACCATAATGGGGCTTATTCTGGTAAGAATGTGTGTTTATGGATAAGATGGTGATTGAGTACAACTAACAGCAATAAAAAAAGTGCAGAAATTATTTGCTACTGAGACAATATCTAACCTCAAGTTTTTTGAGCCGATTAACATAATTTCAAAGTATTACATTCGATATTTGGAGCGATGGTCCGCCACGAAGCATGAAAAATTATTCAATTCTCACGTGGGAAATATTTGCTCCCTTCCATCATCGTTTTCCGGCAATCAAATTGTAATTAATAAATGTGAAGATGTTTAAATTTTAAATTTGAAATCTGCGAACTTTTTATTCTGAATTTAAATACAGTCATTTTTGAAGCAAGTTTCCAGAGCGGCAGTCATTAATTTTTGCATGAAATCTTGAATCTCGAGCTCTGTAATTGTCATCTTGTCCGCTGCGGCGTTTCCATCGACGTTGACCGAGTTAAGGAGGCCTCGGGAAGTGCTTTGATCGACGTTTTCGTAGAACTTTGACATCATTCCGCCCATGGCGATTACTTCGGTCATTCCATTGAGCGCTCCGTTCTAGGTTGAAAAGTTGGTTCTCTTCCTTGATTTCAGAAAAAAAAAGAAAAGAAAGAAAGGTACAAAAAATAAGGGGCAACTTGAAAAGCTCTTAGAGAGGAGTCAACTAAAGTATCAAAATTTGAATAATTTATCCTCCTCAACACTGTAGAGTTAACACTACAGACGGGTCAGTATCTGTACAGACGGTCTTGGAAAAGTACAATTATTAAAACAACTGAAGTGCAAAAATTAATCGACTTACTGGTTCGCTGCCATCGATGCCATCAAAAATTGAAATGATCGTCTGCGCGAAGCTTTTGTTCAAAACCGCACACGATGTGGCGAATTCGCTCTGAGATCCGATTAGGAAGCGTTCGCCCGAGAAAAAAGTCACCTTTGAGAGCACTCTGTCATGGTCGAAATCGAACTTCTTTCGGGCGCGCATGCCGATTTTTGGCAGTTCCTCGGTTTCGCCGATTTGCGCGCTCATGATTTTCATCGCTTTTTCGGTGCATTTGGGAATTTCTTTTTTGATGTTGATCTTTGAAAAAAGTCATGTCCGGGAGCGAATTATTGATAAATAATATACTTACGACTCCATCGCCATTATCGTCGCAGAAATCAAACGCAAGGTCAAAATCCGCTGAAAAATGAAATAAACGGTCACAAATTTGACCTTTACTAATTTTTTAAAAAAGCCGACAGTGCTGAAAATGTCACGACTGTCACGAATGTCACGAATGGCACGACTGTCACGAATGACAGGAATGGCACGAATGGCACGAACGTCAGGACTGTGACGCTTGTCACGAGTGGCACGAACATCACGACTGTGACGAATGTCACGACTGTAACGAATGCCACGAATGTCACGAATGGCACTAATGTCACGAATATCACAAATGGCACGAATGCGATGAATATCACAAGTTGCATGAATGTCACGAATGTCACAAAATCGTGACAGTCGTGACATTTTCAGAACTGACCTTAAAAAGCGCCTATTTTTCGCTGTTAATCAATTTTTACCTTCTTTCAATGAGAGTCCATAGGGAAGTTTATTTGCTTCGTCGAGTCTTCGATAGGTTTTCTAAAACAGAAAACGTGATTGCTCTCGCCGCGCCCCAAAACGCGATGAAAGTGGAAAGTTGAGTAAATTCATTAAAATCGTGTTTGCTTCGAAAATAAGCCAACTTTCTGGGCTGGGAGGAATAAACTCACATTGCGACCTTTTCCATTCGATTTCGTGTAGTACTTCACGTTGTGCTTCAAATTCCCTTCGAACTCGCTTTTGAATTTCGCCCCGATTTCCTCCATCTAAAATTTCATAAAAATCCAAGACCAATTTTTATTTAACCTGATCAGACGCAGCAAGGCCCAATAAAGCCAAAGAAAAAATTTTCATGTCTTTTTTTTCGCTCAAAATTTCTCAATTCTTTCCTATTGAAATCAGGTTATTGAATGAAAAGCCATGTTTATTTGAAATCTAAACAAACAAATTTGAAAAAGACGTCCTCGACGGACTTTTTCGAAAAAGAAAAAAGAGCGAAGATCAGCGAGAAAATCAACCAAAAATGGATAAAATGATGCTTTTTCATTTGGCGCAGTGATAGATGCAGAAAGATTGTTAAAATGAAAAGCTTTTACTGAAAATGATGCTAGACAAAAAGATCCCGGAGCGAGACGTTCTCTTCAAAAGAAGAACTTGAGAATCTCTAGAAGCTGGAATTTTTGTTTTGCCACACTTAGATAAAATTTTAAGCCACAGTCAATAAACTGAAAATTCTCTAGAAAAACTGTTGTTGTCAGGGCAAAAATCTTGATAGGATCAGTCCTTGGCTTTCAATGTCCGAGCAAGAGCAACTTACAGTAAGTTTTATGCAAAATTTTCGAAAAAAGAGAAAGTATTTTCAGGTTATTTTCTTCAAACGGAGGAAGAGAAAAGTTTAATCATTTCCTAAATCAAGGAAGTGCTCACTGAATATTGTCGAATTCATCGACTACATTTTGAAACTCAACTTCAAGCAATGATAACCTTTCGCAAAACTGACTGTTCAAGAAAATCAATAAAGTGACTTTTCTTTTAACATTTTTTTCTTGAACTTGCCCGGCCTTTTAAATTGCGCCTCAAGTTCAAGAGAAAAATTAAGCGGTAAAAGGGGATGAAATTTGGTTTGGTGGTTGATCCAGGAAATCAGATTGACGCAGTTGTAGTCTTGTTGTGTTTTTCTGGAGCATTGTTGACCGCAGGATGAGGTAAGTGTGGCGCGAAATTTACAGATTGAAATTTCCTGGCGGCCGTTGTTTGCGGGCCGAGACAACTGGCCAGGGAGGAGATTTTATTAGTTGCAATTAGTGGAGCTGACGTCTCGAGCTAAATTCAATTCGTTTCTAGTGATAAGAGTTTTTTTAGAGTTGGTTCAAGAAAATTGATCGAGCCTGTGACCTCTGCCTTCGTTGTAGCCAATCATATTTCAGAATTTTTTGAAAAGCCAATGGGAAGGCGTTAAAGGCTCTCTTTCCATTGGTCTTCCAAAATATTATGAAATCTGATTGGCTGAAACGAAAGCACATTCGATAATAGCTTAATCGATAATATAATTTATTTTATATTAATTTTACATTTTTGTCCATTTTTGGAAGAGTCGGTTTCTTCAATCAAAAAAAATTTATAAAAAAACTTTTCTAGAGCCTCAACTTTCTTTTGAAACAAGTCCTGGGAGCAAAAAAACACGTGTTCCCCGAAAAACCTCAGAACTGACGTTCCTCTCAAAACACAGCTTGTTCCTTTTTATTTGATTCAATAAAAATAGAATCCTTGGAAAAAAGAGAAAGCAATGAAATTATTGCCCTTCTTGCAAGCTTGATCTTGAAGCCTAAGAAACAAATTCTGTTGCGTCATAATAATCCACGATTTTCGTATCGTTCGGATTGATAAATTTATCAAGTTTTGGAAGGGAGAAGCTTACGTCGCGAGCCATTTTTCGAACTTTCGATCGCTGAACTCGCATTTTTTACAAAAAAACGGAATCGGACTTGAGGATGATCTCTCTAAAATATTCTAGACAGAAGTATCTAAAACGAACTCATATCAGCTCCGGAATAATCTGATCTTTAGATCGCGGCGAAAATAAACGATCTACAACGCGAAATAAACTTTTCCTGACCCTACAACTCAAATTTTGCTGATCAAAAAAAGAGAAGAAGCGAGGAAAAACGGTGGTTCTAAACGAAGAGAAGATAGGATTTGGAGTAAGGAGATGCTAGCCGGTTATGCAAGTTGATGACACACGAAAGTATCAAATTTGCAAATTGCTAATTTTTTGATTGGATAAGAGTGAGTTTTGAGATAAACACTCTGAGAATAATATGAATGGTAAAAAAGGGCGAAACTAACCATCAGCTTTATCAAGGGGTCTACCCTTAAGGTGACCCCCCTCAATAAAAGACCTTAACCGGGTGGCGGGCGCCCAGGTTCACAATCGATTGGTTCACAATTTTGTGAACCCGGTTCCGGAACCCGAATTCTGTGAATTTCGGTCAAAGAGTGAATCAAATTGACTAAAGGCGCGGTTGTAGAGAAAGCTTATAACGTCAAAAATGAGTTTCTCTAATAGAGAATTCTTAATGAAATCAGGCGCGAAGCGCATAAAGACCCCTGATTTCATTCTTTTAAAAATTTTGTGAACCGGGTTCACACAGATTGTGAACCTGGGCGCCCTACACCCCCTTAACCCGACGGGAACCCCCAGTGGATACTCCCTAACCCTATCCCTAAATTTGTTATTTGAAATCTTTAGCCGAAAAACCCGAAAAACACGTACTACTAGCAAATATCACGTGAAAAAAGCTCTTTCGTTAGTCACATGATCAATGATCACCGATCAGCCCTAGCCTTAGTATATTTTTAACTTCGAGACGGGGGCATAATCCATGCGTAATTCAGCGCTGCTCGGTTATTTTTAATTGAGTTTTCTTTTTTCTTCATTTTGACTTGGCGGCGGGTGATTACGGCCCAAACATGGGCTTCCTGCTTTAGAACAAATTCGAGCGCGTTGCTAAAACATCCAAATTCGACAACGCATATGCGTGACCTGTTCTGTAAATATTCAATCACACGCGATAATTAATCGCAATTGACATCATAATTGCCAGTGAAGACAAACGAGAGGAAAATATTGATACAAAGCGGCGCCGAGATGGCATTTTTTTCTTTTATTGAAAAATGATAGATTCATTTTAGAAGATATTTTTCATTTTTCCGAGGAAAGCAAAAGAGTGAACATGGTTGATGGGATCTTTTTCTTTATCGTCCTGTTTGAGTGGCTTAAATATTATGTGATTTATCAGATAGCGAAGCCGATTCTAGAGCTAGACAATCCTTCATCCCTAGCACTAGAATATTTTACCCTCGGCTCGGCAACCTGAGTGAAAAACCTGACTTAGACTCTGAAAAAACTAAAATGAAAAGCCGCGTAGCGGCTTTTTTTTCGAACGAAGCCGCGAAGCGGCTTCGCAAGAAGAAACATATCGGTAAAAAAGATTTACTTTCGAAGCCGCCCTGCGGCTTCGTTTTTCAAAAAACCGCTACGTGGTTTTTCATTAAAGCTTTTTTTTAGAGCCTGACTAAGGTTTCAGGCTGCCGAGCCCAGATTTTACCATCCCACGTAGCTCCCACAGCTTCTTGATAAAGTTATCGCACGTGATCTCAATTTCCCTATTTGAAAAACCGCTGCTCGGGGAATAAGGATACTGCTCATCCACAGATTTGTTCTTGATCATCCCTAAAATACAATACATGATGTATGAACTTACGTCTGGAGATCGTTACCTCTGATGCATGAAGTGTAGACCTTGTGAAAATCGTAAAGATTGATTCGATAGTAAGCTGGATTCGCGAGGGTAGAAAGAAAAGGAGAGAAAAATATAATATTTGCTACTTTCATTTTGAACCCTTTTCAATAGGTGAATCAAATGAGGAAGTGTACTTCTTTATATACTTTTTGAGAATCTTGTTCATAATTAAGGCTTCTCTTGAGAACGAAGGACGAAATGAAATCTCAGCAGATCTAACTGTATTTCAAGATTGAAGTGAGAAATAATTGATAGTCGTTGAGTTGGGATACTGGACTCCTCAAGATTCGATGACACTTTAGAATGGACAGCTACTCTTGGAGAGGGTTTTAATGCAACAGTGGATGAAAATGTTGGAGCCCTTGTTAAAGCTGACTGTAAGGAGCGAGAGGGCCAAGTGGATTTGATTGGTTTTTGAGATTTGAAGATGGTGCTCAATTGCAAGAAAAAAGTCGAAATCTTATTTCCTAATTCTATTTTTGAGACAAACTTGCTTGTTAATGAAGTACGATATCGGCATCCGTTCATTTTGTCCCGAAACTTCCGTTGATGTTGCAGAATCGCATGAACTTGTAAAAGTAGCTTTATTGTGTAACCAGAATTTGTCGTGGAGAAATCTCGTTTGGAAAAGCGCGATGGCGCGGAGGGTGCCGCCGTTGCGCCACCACGGAGCACCAAGATCGAGCCGACCCCAACCCAAAATCTGGTGCAAGTTACTCTTCGATCAAGGAGATTCGGTAATACTTACGGTCTTTTTACACTTTTTGTTTTGTCTTCAAGAAGAAATAGAGCAGCGGAAAAATGAAACTTTTGGCAGTCACAGCTTTTTCAGCAGGTATGTTTTCATTGTTTTTTATCGAAGAAAGATTTTAATGATAAGGGGTAGCCGCGTGCGGCTTTTATCAGAAGACGGGTTATTTTTATGGAAATTCTTATGGCGATGAATAGTTTCTAAGAATAGTTGGAAGATAGCCGCAAACGGCTTTCTTGTCAATTGATTATCTGAAGCAAAGTGCGGCTAGACGCATTTTTCGACTCGAAAGTTGCAAGAGACTTTCTCGCTTGTCGATTTCCCCTAAGATCTAGAAAGCTTTCTGCGTTTTATAAGTTGATATATTTCTTTTATTTTTCAAAAAAGCCGCACGCGGCTTTGATTGCGTTATTATTCTTTCCAGTCGTAGCGTGTTTTTTGATGACATTAATCTTCTGTTGAATTTTTTCTGAGTCGTGTTGGGTTTTTTCTGATCCATTTTGTTTAATCAAAAATCAAGTTTTCATCATTCTTGTCAAAATCCTGCCTCTCTGATCTTTTTGCTTGGTGTATAAAACAAACCACGCGTTCAATTTTTTCCTGATTTTTTTTAAAAATTCACGGAAATCCGAATCCATGATCAATAATTTTTTTTTTGAAAAAAAGACCATAAGTCAATTTTCTGTTTACAAAATTTAGAATTTCACTTTTTCATGAATGATGTTAAAGTTCAAAAAAGTCCGTTAAGTATCTCATTGAAATCTTCTTGCAGTAAATATTCGTTAATAAGAATTTCACGCCATTGATTAATTCAAGCCCGTTACAAAACCTGCCGTTCAACTTTGCGGCTGCTAACGATCTGTTAACAACACTCATTACCACATTTTCCTCTTTAGTTTTCGGACAGAGCTCGGTTCTCTTCGGAGGCGGAGACGATTACATGACTGAGGAGTATGGAGACGATGGCGCAGATCAGGATGCTCTCGACCTGGCGCGAGCGAACAAGACGCCGGGCAAGATTCCTGGCTCTCGAAAAGGAGGAAGAAGGAAGATGATCAACGGAATGGCGACAAAGAACTTTTGGGAATTCGAGCAGTACGGCTGCTGGTGCTTGGAGAATAAGGGTCGAGGACAGCCACAGGTAAAATCGAAAGAAAAAGAAGACCTTCTATTTGACCCTCTGTTCAATTTAGGACGAGCTCGATTTCGCCTGCTTCGCCCATTCCAAATGCTGGGGCTGTGCCCGAGCTGAAAACGGCAAGGAATGCGATGGCCTTCAAACTTCCTACAATTGGCGATTCATCAAGGATGGCTCCACCGGCGTCAACATCGAAATCGCCTGCCGTAAGTTCCAGCAGTATTATATTAATCCAGCTTAAAATATTCCACCCAGTTTTGGTGTTTATGATTTTGAGCGAACGTAAAATATTATTTCTTACGTGTTCGTTCTGTTTTAGAAAACTTGTTCAAAACGATAAGAACATGAAATGCGATAAGGATCTACTTCGGAGGCAATTTTCAAATTGGAAAAGCGAGTTTGACCCACAGTTGAACTTCTATTTTTTAGTTGATCAGGATCCATGCAAGCGGGCGATTTGCGAGTGCGACAGAAAATTGGCGCTGAATCTTCGCGACTTCGAATACGTCTACAACTCTCAATTAAGGTAAAGGGTCCCCTTATTTTTGGAAGTAAAATAAAGGGTGTTCCTCTTTCGAGAAGAAGATAGTATAAATCATCGAGGCATTGTTTGTCAAAATTTTGGTTAACCAATCAGATTTCCCCATTTCGCCGGTAGGCCAATCAGATTCATGATTTTTTTTTGATGATTTGGATCTGAGACGGATTCCCTCTTTCTAAGTCCAATTTTTTTCTCGCGCCGAATTACCATAATATCATCATCCGAATAACCCACGCCCTAAATATTTTTCCTTAGAGACCAATCTTTAAAAGCCGACCAGTGCAAGACTGCCAACAAGGGCCCGGTTTTAGCTGGACGATCACTAGCTCTTGGAGAAAAAGAGAAGAAGGCAGAACTGGACTCTTGCTGCGGCGATGAGATTTTCAGGTATCCTTTTGCGACAAATGGTGGACTAAGAGCTTGCTGTGGAACGAGGACTTACAATACGGAGACATTGGAATGTTGCTCGCAGGAATGTGGTTCAGATTGAAGCCAAGATATTGCATTTATAGTTGCTTTCTTTTCTGAAGGCTCCAAAAATTCGAACCTTTATATAGGAGGATTCAGATATCCGGTCGATTGGAATGTGTCCTCTTTAAAATCTTCGATTCCAGGTATTTATTCTTATATTTTTTATTTCTTTTCTTTCAAATTTTCAATCAAAAAACGCATCATCTTAAATATTCAATTTTAAATCATAAATTATGATGAGTCAGAAACGCCGCTTGAAAGCTTCAAATCTTCAAATCTAATTTCGTGAAAACATGGCGCGACGTTTGTTTCAAAATACGGAAGTGAGTTGGAGAAACTCTCACACAACGTGTTTGAAATTAAACACCATTCCGACAAATGAAGATTAGAATCATCCTTTTTTTATAAAAACAGAATCTTCAGAATATTCTGATCTTTTTGATTGAAATCTGGGGGAATACCCTTAATTGTTTTCAAGTTATATTTAATTCATTTTTTTGATTGAAGATTTGATTTAAGGAGAAAGTAAGAATAAACTCGTTTAAAATGTCAGATAATGACCTTTTCACAATATTTTAAAAATTAAAAAAAAAACTGCTTTCAAGTTCAAAGAACACACTTTTTTTCGAAATGTGATGGACATTTCGCGCTAACTGTACATAATTTCAAGTTTAAATAAACATCTGAATATACTGACTCTCGAATTTTTTATGCAGTTTTATTCACAAAAGGGTCATTGTCTGATTGAAACTGGCGATTCTGGCGGCTGGAGCAGATTTGATTTGGAAAGAGTGCAATTTGTTTGTGAAATATTGTTGTTGTTGGTGCAGGCAACGGTAAGTTGAAAGGAACTCGGTCGGGAGGACGAGCTGTCCAGTTTTTTGATTGTTGAATATCTAGAATTTGTTGAGATAAAATAGCTTCAGAAAAGAGAAAGATGAAAAATTCTCAGAGGCTACTCTTTTTCGTTCGAAAAATGGATTTATTTTGTACCTGGCAAAATCAAATTCGGATTTGCGCCGTGGCCTGCGCACAGTGGCGCTGACATCGCCGAACAAGTCCGAAATTCCATTTGGACGCGACAGGAACCACGTTATTGGAATCAACACAGGATGCAGGTACGCCATCACGACGCTCCATCGCAAGGCTAGGCAACGTAAAAAAGGTTTTTTTATTTTCATTATTTACCTGCGTGGAACCACGAAAAATTCATACTAAGAGGGTGAAGTAGCTGCAGTAACATGAGAATGTTTCGCGGGAGCCAACATATTGAGTACGCAAATATTATCAGGAGAACTAATCAATGCTCTTTTACCAAGATAAACTTCCATAATCAATAAAGGGGTCATAATAAGGCTGGCGTCAGAAATCGACAAAAAATTCGACAAATTTTGCTTGGGCTACTACTCGGCTGCTGATTTGTCGGTTAACCGAATCCAGGCTTCTGATTGGTTGAAAATTCCAAGGCAAAAATTGTCGAAATTTTTTTGTCGATTCGTGACACCTGCCCCTTAATATCCCGTTTTTAAGGGGGATGCCCTTAAGCATGATAATTTTTTAGTTGAGAACATTTCCTTGTTTGTTCGTATCAGATACAGTTTTGCTTCTTTTTGACATATTCTTCACGACAGTAGATGAAAATGAACCCTGAAAGCCTCAATCAATATTCTAACGAAAACAAATTCAATAAAATAAAGAATGCTAAGCAAATGAAAAATCAATGATTAAAAATTGGCATCCTCACGTGACCGAGCTTATTGCTGGCCGATTCAGGATTATCCATCGTGATTTCCTTAAAATCATTGCTTGTTTTTTTCCTTCTGTATCAATTCGATTGTTGGTCAAAATTACCTGGCGGCTGAGCATGCTGGAGCTTCGTCCATTGCCTCTGATAGAGTCTTCGCTGAGCCTCTCCAGGTCGCCAGATCGGGATAAGCTCGACTTGCACACCTTTTAACAGCTCAAGTTATTTAATATTCGCATCAATCTTCTTCCAAGATAGATGGGATCAAGCTATTTTCATCTGGAAGGGATTTTTGATAATTCAATGGATTAAAAAAGATCTTGAAATAGGGATAACTTATCCCTCTTTTAGGATTTTTACATTTGAGTTCAGAGTCTGAACTTCAGACATTGGCAACCTCTGTAGAAAACCTGAGTCAGGGTTAGGGTTACTTACGATGAAGCCAATGATCAAAAAGGCCAAATTGGCGAACGCCTGACCAAGTCGAAAATACAAAAATCGTTGTGGTTTTTCCCAGTTCCACACGCATCTGCAACGGTTATCTTCGTAGATGCTCTTTGTTTCCGAAATATCTTGGATTGTGCAATTGTTTCCTTGATATGGCAACGCAGTTTTCGTCAGAAAAGACTAGAAACTGATATCAACAAGGAAATTGAGGGCGCATGATATTTACGTTTTTCGGAAGAAGACTTCGATTTTGCCAGGCCGGAAAGCTCAGGAGAATTGCGAGAATCCATATGTAGATGCTGATGATTTGCGCTCTTTTGACCGTCCTCCATTTGATCACTTTGAGCGTGAATTTTGCGATAATTGTTCTGTCCAAAACGACAACGATCAAAAACAAAATCGAGCAGTTCAGATTCAGGAGTGATATCAAACTCGATGCTTTGCAGACTGTTTTGCCAAGCGTCCAAAACTAAAAATGAACAAGGGTAAGTCCACATTTATATTAATAGATTTCTACCAGTGGCCTCTGAAATAAACGGCTTGTAATGAAAACTGGCAGCGCCGTCAGTTACAGTTCAAGACGGATTAATGTTGTTTTTTTTTCATTGCTTTTTTATACCTTTTTATTGACAGTTTCGATAATCCAAAAAGGCATGGCGACGGTAAAGAGCGCATTCGTAATTGCTAAGTGGAGGAGGAACACGCCCGCAACACTTTTTGTCAGACTGTCATCTTGGGTTAATAATTGCGAGAAGTCTTTCCGCGAAAGTGAACTTCAAAAAACAGCTTGAATTTATTGACAGTAAAACCCAGTCCTTGCGTAGATTCCAAGCGCCATCAAGACGTTTAAGATAAATCCGATTCCACCGATGAAGCCAAATGCACAGATTTCAAGGCGATCTAAAACTTGAATTTTAAAATATTTTATTTCCTATTTAATTTTTAATAATTCATCGAGGATGTCCTAGTTCAGAGAATTGTTGATATTTTTCGAATAGACTATTAATCAATTCAAAATTGTCAAAAAAAAATATTATTCTTGAAGGAACTTGTCTTTTGCTTCAAGCTAAAAGCATTTTCATCAGGTCATCAAATCCAATGTAAGCCTTGACCTTGGTTAATGATATTATCCTATTCCCATTAGAGGGGTGAGAAATTCAAATTGACGAATATTGTTAAAAAAACAATCTGCTTCTTTTTATAATTCAGTAGTTTTGACTCCTTCCAAGGCGATTAACAAAGTACCAGTATTTGTACGCGTTTAGTTACTGACTTATTGCCAAGTGAACTCTTTCTTTGTCTTGTAGACAAAAAGAGTTTTGACAGAAGAGCACTCCTTGCAAAAGGTTCTTTAGCCATGTGGTTGTATCCCGACCACGGTTCAAAGATGAATTGATCTTAATTCATAGGAATAAGTTATTCCGAATAACGGATAAAATGACCTATCCCAAAAATTTACGGGCTCTACGGACGGAAGACTAAGTATTTTTTTTTAATTGATTTTGATCTTGTTGCTTAAAAAGTATAGTCATTCAAAATCGCCTTTTGAGAAGCATATATTTCAGACTAACAAACCTAGATAACTCATTGAAACAATTTCGGTCGAAACATTCATCTCTCTTCTGTCGCTTCTCTCCCAATTCGTATTCTGTTAAAAATTGAAGCTGCAAGAAAATAGATGCGCGATAATTTTTCTCAATCTGATGGAACATAAGGGCGCCACGTTAGGCCACAACCAATTTTAATTTTCAGTTGCATATACAGGGACCGCCTCATGAATTATTTTAAGTCCTTTATGATAAGGCTTCATCATCAATCTTATTTCATCACATCAAATAACTTATTCAAAATATATCAAGATTGAAGATAAAAACCCTTTTTTGTCTAATTGACATTTTTTATCAATTAAGTTAAAGATTAAGGATATATAATTTTAACATCATCGAATTTTCAAAAAAGGGCTGAAAAGTTTAAAGAAAAAAGGGTGAAAAAGATTTGACTGAAGTGGGATTCGAACCCACGCCCCCGAAGAGATTGGAGCCTTAATCCAACGCCTTAGACCGCTCGGCCATCCAGTCTTGCCCTCAGGCGTGAGTCTTAGGTTCAAACCCTAACCCATTTCAACGGGGCCATTTGATATGATGCGAGTCTTCCTTGATTTCACTTTTTAAGAGAAACAATAAAGAATGGAAGTGAGAGAATAATGTATATTTATTAAAGATGTGCAGCAGTTGGTGATAAGTATATTCAGAGAATGAACAGTGGATGCTGGTAGACGGCGGGTTCCATTCTTTGTGAAGAATGATTCTTTTTTCAAAGAATGGTTCTTTTTCGCAAAGAATCATTCTTTTTTAGGAATACCTGAAAGGACGCATAAAAGACAGTCAAAAGTTCAGAAACAAAATCCTGTCAATGAAAATAACTCAGGAGCGAGTCTGCGCTTCGCGCCAGTTATAAGGGAAACTTCAGAGAGTTTGACATCCAAGAATTCTTATGTATCCGAAAAACCTATTTTTACCTAATTTTCTCTAGAATATTGAGAAAAAGAATGATTCTTTAAAAAGAATGGAACCCGCCGTCACCCGTGGATGCTCCCGAGCGGCAATCTACCGCTCCCCCACTTGGGGAGCGATCGGCCCCTCACACAAAGGAAATGCGTTAACTTTCCTACCGGAGATGAGCTTGTTTTAAACCTGTCGGCGGTAACATGCTACATTTAGGTCGCCGAGCGAGGTTCATCGCCAGTATGGAGCAAGCCGGGCCGCGTGAAGCAAGAGCATCCGTAAAAAATAGGGTTCGTAAGCACGAGAACCAATCCACGCTAAGTTACAATCTACGCTCGCTTCGACCCTATCCACTCAGTTGTCCGAGGGGTCAGGAAGCGATGAGCCCGGAACTGTCCCCGCGACACCTGTCGATCGCGAGGCCATTCATGGGGCGCATACAAAGGGCTGACTTCACCCTCGTTCAGGGCAAACACCCCCTAGGGGCAGGGCCTACAACACATGAAAACTGCAGCCCCTGCTCCCCTAGGCCGGCACTGGACTTAAAGGCGAGGACGCTGGTCGAGACAACGACAATGTTAACAAGCTAATCTCTAGAATAGTAAATGAATCGTCTGATCAAACGATTTTTGATAAGTTACGCTAGAAATTCATACGATTTTTCGTCCGATGAGAGGAGAAGGGCGCCACCAAGCGACGTCTACGTTATCATTCCCCGGTTCGAATTGAAAAGGCTCAGGCGGAAGCTTCGAAATCCGAATGGCCTCGGAATCGATGCTTTTTTCGCGGAGCGTAAACAAGACTAACCGTTTTATGGGAAGAAAAGTGTCAGTGACTAGATGACTCCTGGGTTCTCGCTTTGGTCCTCATAAGGGAACAATTGACAAGTTGTTAATAAAGGTTTGTTTCGGTCACGATGCGTCACCAGAGCCCTCGCCCGCCCGGGTTTTTGCTTTCCAACATTTCGCCGATCTGCTGCAGTGTCAGCGAAATTACGGCTCAGGAATTGTGCTGCGCGAGGGTTGAGCCTTAGCCGCTGCAAAGAACAACTGCTAAGGGAACAACGCCCGCGCCGTGCTGCCCTCGTCAGCCCCCGCAAGCTCCATCCACCTTGGGCTGATTGTATAGGGGCAAAGCTACAACTCTTACACATGACTTGCCCCAGGGCGGGAGCGTTGTGAATTCTGTTCTGTTCAAGTCACAACTGTCCTATCCCTAACATGTTTTATTTTTACGTCGTACATAAATAATGGCCTTTTACTGTCCTTTAACCGTGCTCAAACGGAAATTTGACCCTAATGTTCGTCAAATCGGCTCGATAGCGACGGCCCGTGATCCTTAATTCTTAAGGTCGACCATATGAATTACTCTTAGCCGCCCTGGGTCAAGCGGCCTTTATGAGCGCACCTGTACTTGCGTGGAATTTGACCCCGAACATGCACATGCAGTTTGGGGAAGAAGGAAAGAGAAAAGAAGAAATAAAAAGGGGTCAGCTGGGCCGCGTACTTACTGGGGGTTGAAATTGCCTTCTTGCTGATAAGGTCGTTTTATGATTTTTTTGGGTTTTTAAGTTCCGGTTTTAAGGTAGTCAGACAAGGTAGTGTGTAAGCGCCAAAGTTTTTTTTTGGTATTTTTTTGTTTTTTTTGTGGGGCGGGAATTAATTTTACCATAATCAAACGGGTAATCCGGCCCGTTGATTATTGAAAATCAGCACGTGATTTATGACCAGGTCTCGACAGACTCACTGACTGTTGAGTTAGCAGTGCATCGGTTACCGTTGTAGAGACCTGATGTGTTGCAGTCGATGTCGATGGAAGAGACCTTGATTATGTTAAAGTTGCATTATAAAAATGTAAATATTACCTCGAAGGCGTTGAAGAGCATGTTTGGCGCCTGGTAACAGCCATAATTGTTTCGCTCGCATGCAACATTCGTGGCTGTTGATGGCATGTAGTACTCGAATTGGAACCAGAATTCTTGGTGCGTTCCATATTCTTGCTGAGCGTACTCGTCGTAGGTGTTCATCAAGCTTTAAAAATTATGAGAAAATGGAAATGCAAACTTTATCTACCCAGCGACTTTGTATTTTGTTCCACAAGACATTTTGTCTTCGCTGTATGTAGTTGAGCAGACAGCGTTGTTTACAGTGCCGTCGAGGAAGCTTTCGAGGAAAGTTGCCGCCTCATTATCCTCATGGTTATTATCGACGCTAACCCAGCTGATGTGACCGTTCTTTCTGCCACTCTGATCAGCGCTGTCCATGCATCTGAAGGAGCCCTTGGTAGAGCCATCAACGTAGGTGTCCCAAGGGCAGCCAACAACAGCAGGGAAAGTAATGGTAACGTCATTGACTTTGTACCAGTAGTAAGAGTCAATTGCTTCCGTCTGGTCACCTTCGCCCATCTTGTGAAGGATTCTGATGTTAAATCGGAAGTCCTTGCCAAGATCGTTATGAGGGAACGAACTGATGGCAACATTTTCGTTCCATGTTCCAGCACCATCAATACCAGAGTTGGCTTCAAATGTGGAATACCAGCTGCCAGTAGCCGCTGAGATTGAAATTTGGTTGTTGGCAGCGAATGCGTCGGTATGAAGACTCTCGTCAGTGTTGATGTATGTGCCAAGAGATCCGTCAATGACAGTTGTCTTCGCGATGAAAGTGATAATAAAGTTCAAGTAACCAAGACCTTCATAGGTGGGATTGGCCATGACGATTTTGTGAGCTTTTTTGGTTCCACCAGGAAGTACGTGAGCATTGAAATAGTGCCACCAGACGGGAGAAAGAGTTCCCTCGGTAAAAGTGATATCATAGTACTTGCTGTACGTTCCAGAACCATAGGTGAAGCTTGATAACTCGTAGATGCAACCAGAGAGTCGATGATCGTATGCATCGAGCGAGTGGGCGTTATGAGCTGTTGAGGTTGTATTGTGGTTGGCGTGGATATTGCGCCAGCCATAGACATCTCTGTTCTCAAGAGCGTCCGAAGAGGCTTTAGGACTGAGACCTTCGTGGCTGTGCTGATCGAAAGCGGTGCTGTCGTGGGTACCCATGTTGTTAGATTCCCAGCAGGTGACGGCGGTTGGGTTGGAACCTGATCTACCATAGTAGTCATCGTTGTTGTAAGACAGCTGGTAGTTGTTGTTGTAACTGCTTACAGGCTGGTACTGGTTCTTGATTTTGCCACGTTCAGACTCATCAGAGTAATCAGTGACAGAATCAGTATAGTCTTGTCCGCTACCCTCGTAATCTTGGGCAGCGATAACCCCGAACAACGTCGAGGCGAGCTTCATTTCAAAACAAGCTCTTATCGATCTAAAACGAAGATTTAGAGATCCCCTTAGAACAGCATGTTTCTAGTTTTCGAATAATCATGATGAAATATCTCATCAATTTACAATAAAATCTGTATTTTATGAAAACCCGAAAATTAAAAAAAACTTTGAAAACATAGAGGAACATCTCTAACTCTCTTGATATAATTTCTCTTGAGCGATTCTCGATAGAAGAAAAATGAATTACCTTGTTCTTGTGTCCTAAGAGTGGCCCACTTCAGATGATTTTCGCTTTCATTTATATGTCGGCGGAGAGAAATTTGGAAACATTTTTGCTCCTTTGGGTGCACTGGGCTCAAACAAACCGTCGGGTCGCGTTTAGATGACGGTTAAATGACCGGCTCGGTGAAATGCCGCCCAAGTGACGTATATTTGAACCGCATTGATTTATTGTGTTTGGGCCATAATCAAAACAGAAAGCAAATTCGAGCGTCAACAAAGGAACGTGGAATCAGACTTTTTGGAGCTCATGAGGAAATGTAAACAGCTTCCTGCTTTTCTATAATTTATTTAGACAATCGATTCCGCTGGTTTCTAATCAGCTCATGATCAGGTTTGGAAGAAATGAAAATTTTCAACTTGCGTTTCTTTTATTTGTTGTTTAGTACAGATCTCGAATTTACTTGTTCTCAATAACGTAGTTGATAACCTTGTGCATGGCGGCGTCGATTTCTTCGCAGTTTGGCTGGATCTGGTTGGCTGGGAGAAGGAAGCCAAATCGACCTTCGTCTCGGAGCTCGAAAGTGTAGGATAGGGTCGGCCAAAAAATTTTTTGATCTCCTATTCTTTTGAAACCAGTTTCAGTGGATTCGCAGTGCTCAAAAACCTTTATAGACCAAAAATTGCTGAGATCCGATGTTCAGGTCTCACTCAAGGGCATTTTTTCCAAAAATTGGGACTTGAATTTGACATACTTGCTTAAAAAAATTAAATTCACTATATATTCAAGGCAAATGATATATCTGGTGGCAGAATACGATAGAGAAGGGTTCAAATTATACAGGTTGTGAACAAAAGAGAGATTGAATACTCATATACCATTTTTATGGAAGGGTGTTTTGTGCCAATTACCCTTATATATGGTTAACTCAGGTATTCATTCATTCATAAATCAATAAAAAAAGATGTTTCAATCCCAAATTTTTGCTCATAAGTTAGATTAAACACTTAGGAATAACTTTGTTCTTTCAGAATGCTTATATGAGTTGGGGAATTTTTTCTAATAATTTTTAAATAAAACTGCTGGATATTTACGAGAACTTAAAAATGAAGAAAAAAGTCTTTTAAAAGGACAAAACGGGTTCAAATTCTTATGTATATGTTTGAACAATGATAAAAAATTATTAACTAAGTATTGTGTGGATATCATCGGTGATATTCATGAGAGTCTATTATCAGAGGATCTGTTGGTCTCTATCTGTATCATTAAGAGGTCTTGAATGACCTTCAGCACTGTGAATGTAGTTTCTAGTCGTTCAAATTACACGAAATGTCTTTTGAATTATGATAACATCATCAGAAGTCCTGCTACTGATACCTATGATCTGTAAGGTAATGTCTGTATTAGAAACGCTTAGTCAATGACTCCGAAAATTGCATACAGTCATATACAGGGCTAAAGATGCCCAAAATGTCTTTTGGAAAATTGTCAAAGTATCAGAAGTCCTCCAACTGATACCTATCATCTGTTAGTCAGTGTCTGTATTAGAAACGCATTGTCGATGACTCCGTAAATTGCATACAGTCATTAACAGGGCTAAAGATGCCCAAAATGTCTTTTTGGAAAATCGTCAAACTATCAGAAGTCCTCCAACTGATACCTATGATCCGTTAGTCAGTGTCTGTGTTAGAAACGCATTGTCGATGACTCCGAAAATTGCATACAGTCATTAACAGGGCTAAAGATGCCCAAAATGTCTTTTTGGAAAATCGTCAAAGTATCAGAAGTCCTCCAACTGATACCTATCATCTGTAAGTCAGTGTCTGTATTAGGAAGGCTTAGTCAATGACTTCCCAAATTGCATACAGTCACAAAAAGGGCTAAAGATGCTCAAAACGTCTTTTTGCATAATCCTCAAAGTATCAGAAGTCTTCCAACTGATACCTGTTGTCTGCAAGTCTGTGTTTGTATTAGAAAGGCTTAGTCAATGACTTCTGAAATTGCGTACAGTCATTAACAGGGTTCAAGATGCACAAAATGTCTTTTTGAAAAATCCTAAAAGTATTAAAAGTCTCACTCGGGGCACGCCAATAAAACCGAGGATCGCCATTTTTCACTCATTTGCTCATGCTGACTCATTTTCACTCAGTTCTATCTAAATGACTCTTGAATTCGAAGCCGACCCGAAGGATAAGCAAGCCCCGTTTCTTTGATTTAGTTAGGTAAGGGACTGTGGGAGAAGGTCCCCTCCTCTTAGGCATAGTAACTGGCTCTAATGGCGGACAAAGTCCCCAGGAGAAGTAGTGCAGTGGTAGCACACCGGTTCATGAACACGGAGGTCCCTGGTTCGACCCCAGGCTTCTTCAATACTTTTCACTCGCCTTTGCCTGATCCTACAGGACCAAGCCGATGCGTACCTACCTGAATCCAAGAAACGGGGCTAGCGTCCCCTCCGGTTCGCATTGGCCCCTAACCTAACTGAATCCAAGAAACGAGGCTGGCCTCCCCTCCGGGTCGGCTTGGCCCCTTACCTGACTGAATCCAAGAAACGGGGCTTGCCTCCCCTTCGGGTCGGCTTGGCTCCTTACCTAACTGAATCCAAGAAACGGGGCTGGCCTCCCCTCCAGGCCGGCTTGGCCCCTAACCTAACTGAATCCAAAAAACGAGGCTGGCCTCCCCTCCGGGTCGGCTTGGCCCCTTACCTGACTGAATCCAAGAAACGGGGCTTGCCTCCCCTCCAGGCCGGCTTCAGGAGTGCACGATCTGCGCAACCCACTGTACCTGACTGAATTTAAGAGACAGGCTTATTCGCCTCAAGTCATCCAGGAGTTGGTCTTTCAACTGGGTTCCTTCGGAAGGTTTACGGCAGACAGTAAACGAAAGTGGTTTAATGTGGCAGTTTTCGGCCAAGCAAGGCTATTTATATATTTATTTGAATATTGGTCTTCAACCAGTTGGTCTTCTATTCAGGGGGTCCTCCGGGAGGTCCTCCGGCAATAAGTGGCCAAACTTGACCGAGGTCGGCAATCACTTGCCAATCAAGGCTTGATATTTGGCGTAGCCAAAAATTTGATATTTAGAAACGTCCAAGATTCACGTTTTTAGTGACGAAAATCACGATTTTCAAAAAATTCTAAAAAAATTTCCCCAACTCGCACAGACAAATGGTTAGTACCATTCGAATCGTCTCGTTTTCCTCTTTCTAACAAGGTATAATTCGTAATTGAAACACGAGATCGATTTTTTTTTGGCCGACCCTAGTGTAGGAGAGAGGACCAGAGTTGCCAGCGCTGAGCATGGCATCGTAAGCCCAATCGTCGGAACCACCGGCGGCGGGGTAGAGAATATCTGTTCCCTGGCCGGGCTGGTAGCTCTGTCGGTGCACTTCTCGGATAGCAGCGGCCATCTCGTCACCGACCTGCTGAAGTTCGGCCTTGTTGGGGGCCTGTGAAGTGTAGTCGTAAGAGTAGGGGAAGATGATGAGCTGAGAGTAGCTGTGGAAGGTCAAGAAGGCCTTGAGGCTGCCGTCATCGATGTATGGCTGGATAGCGTCCTGTTGGGCCTTAGACTCGGGCTCGGAGAAAGCGGATGGACCGTGGTAGGTGTCGGAGCATGGTCGGTCAGAAGCACCTGGTCCGGCGTGGTTGGCGGCGTAGTTTCGGTTGAGATCGACACCAACGCAGGCACCGTAGCCAGTGGCTCGGTTCTTTCGCCACATTCGGTCGCCATTCCAGGTCTGGACATAGCCGTCAGGATTGATGGATGGCATAACGACGAAGGTAACATCGCTGAGGTACTGGTTAAACTGGCCGTTCTTGGCTTCGTTCATGAACCACTGGCAGTAGGCGGGCGAGATCCATTCTCGAGCATGGATACCGCAGTCGACGGAGATGACCTTGGCTCCGGTTCCGAACTTGACACCGAAAAGATCTCGGCCTTCGAAGGAAGAACCGTAGGTGAAGTAGCCATCGAAAGACTGAGAGTAAGACTTGATGGTATCGTAGTCATTGTACTGGAGAAGATCGTGGGCTTTTCCGTGGTTTCGAGAGAACATGGTCTCGATGTCAATTTGTTCTTGGAGGTTCTGGATGGTGAACTCGTAGTCGACATCAGCGGCTCGGAAGGCATCCTCGAGCTCGTTGGCGAAGAATCGGGAAACGTGGATGTCAGCAGTGCCGCCGGGGACGAGCTCGTCGACGCTCTCGGGAGACCAGAAGTCGAAGTTCATGACTCGATCCAAGGTCTTGATCGTCTGGATCTGGCCGATGGTGAGATTATCGACGGAAACGACCTAAAGCATCATTTCGGATCTAGAATATCAAGAAGTTCTTACCTTGTCCTCATCGAATCGTCGGTTAGCGAGGGCAGATGCGATCAAACAGGCGAGCTTCATGATTTCTCTTTTTTGAAGAAGGAGAATGATCGCTTTTTCATCGAAGTTGTAAAAATGTTCTCTCCAGATGGCCGATTCCCATACCGTTTTTACGTATTTGAAATAGAAAGAGCGTTCTTCCAGAGCACGTGCTTTGCGCGTAAATTTCACACGGGGTCAACAATTTTGAAATTTTGTCGAAATATTATTTCATCGATTATTGATAGTTCTTGAAACCGAGTTTAGTACTCTGAGTGCCGTATGAGTAGTCACTTACAACGCGTCAAAAGAAGTCGTTTCGTCTTTAAAAATTCAAGGAACACTTAAATACCTTTACTTGTTGTGTTCATCTGGCCGTTAAGAATTCATCCTTCCTTTTTGTCAGTTGAATACACGGATATCCACATACACAATATCTCTATATTTGCCGCAAATTCAAATGATATTTTCTTTAATTCTTTTGATGAAAGAAGCCAAGGGGGAAAGACGAGAGTTTTGCGAGATGTCTTACTGTTCCGATTGTAAAAGGTAGGATTGCCAATTCTGTGGCGATGGTGCGCCAGGAGGTTAAAAACAAACTAAGTGTGGTTGGTCAAAATCGAAATAATTATTCGTCCATCACATTTGACATGTGCCGAATTCAACTTTTGAGGTTTGTTTGAAATTCCACATCGGCGGCTAAATATTTTCAAAGAGTCGACTGCTGCGAGAACTTTGTAGACATCATGTCTATCGACCATGGTGTCTGGCTGCCCGGACATGAGAGGAAATGTGGGTTTGAAAATTGGGCGGAAATGGAGCCTCAGTTTCCTTCGAGTATTTATCCAAAGGGTTGAAGATAGACTGTTTTGAATATTTTTAAGATAAGAAAAATTTAACCCGTAAAAGGTCATAAAAATGGAATTCGCAAGATACATCAAAGACGAAAATTTCTACTGCGAATCGACAAGTTTATGCGACGAAGTGAGGGAGATCAATAGAGAGCTGGATAAATACTGCTTCACGGATGCAAAAATAGGGCGCGTTTTTGGCTTTGCTATTCTTATCGTCGGACTTTTGTTCATAACAACCGCGTGAGACGCATAAACGGGGAAGATTTGATTTTTTAACGCGGCGCATTTCAGATTTATAACAGTGCAAGAAAAGGAAATAAGGAAGAGGAAATGCAATACCGTTCCAGTCTTTCAGGAACGGGTTTTCAGAGGCCGTAGAATTATAAAGAAGGCCCCTTACTTGAAAATCCTCAAATTAGCCTCGTCCAAAAGGCGACAAGTCTCTTTATGCCGCCATTGCCATCATCCAAAGTAGACCAGAATACGAACACTTCGTCTGAGATATCTTCCTCTTACTGTAAATACAGAACTAGAATACAACTTTCCAAAAAGATTTGACTGAAGTGGGATTCGAACCCACGCCCCCGAAGAGATTGGAGCCTTAATCCAACGCCTTAGACCGCTCGGCCATCCAGTCTTGACGGGAAGTCTACAGCCGACATACAGACCACATGTTAAAATTCAGGGCGTCAATACAGCCTAGCTATCTCTGCATATTTCTGATAAAAGTATCCCAGTGAAATCGATCAGTCATGACTTCTTCCTCGATTAAGATTTGTTCTTTGCTTTTAATTTAAAAATGAAGCAAAATGGTTGAAGAGGTGTCTCAAAAATCATTTTTTTGCGGATGTACTTTAGTGATAACTTATCACTGATAAGACTTTAGTGATAACGAAAAAGAGAGGTCCTACCGAGATTTGAACTCGGATCGCTGGATTCAGAGTCCAGAGTGCTAACCGTTACACCATAAGACCACGATGTCAAGCATACCAAACTGTATTGTAATCAATGCTTGTTCAATCATATCAGTAAGAGTTGCATTTCTTTGTCTTAACTGTGTAATTTCTTTCGGAGGAATTCAAGAATTGATCAATTGACATCAACAACGGTAAGCTTTGATCCTTTCCTATAATCAATGGTGCGATTATTCCGAAAAAGTTCATCGTAGAATCTTCCTTTCATCGGGACAATGACGACTGGTATTCCTGTAGTGTTATTTCTCAACAAATCATTCGATGTTCCTCCTTTTTCTAGCTCAACAACGCTATCAATTTTCTCAAAAAAAAAGCCTTCTCGAGCCCGATCCTACTTCGTATCGATTTTCGGAAGACCCGAAGACTTGGCCAGACGATTTCGTTGAAGAAATGATAATCTTTGCGTTGATCTTTTTCGCGTGATCGAGAATTGTCTCTGAGACGGGACTTGATTTAGGAGTTATGAATCATAACTTATGATAGGAATAAATTCCCATGCGACGGTTTCGCATTCCATCATCTTCATCAGATACTTTTTCATCGATTTCGCTGTTGCCCATTCTTTCGAAAAAGCTCCTCGTTTTCTTCTTTTTCAAAAAGAGATTTATATTCTGAACCTTCTTATTCTTGTCGGGATTGACGTTTACCTGAGCAATTTTCATGCGGAATGACAAACATAATTTCAAGCCGATCATTTTTCTGATGAAGGCATTTCAAGTAGTAATTGATCGTCGGGGGGCCAGAACAACTGTTGTCCACGAGCAAAAGTACTGTCTCTCCTAAAGGGGTCATCTCGCAAATGACTCAGATTCACACATCCTCTCCTTATCGATATTAACAAGGAAGACTAACTTAATAATGATTGACATCAATTAGTAATTGGCTTATTAGATGAAAATTCGGCCCATCTTTATAAGTAAGTTTAGGGGTTATATGACACAGTTTTGGAAAGCTCAGAAGCTGAGCTTTCATTTGGGCACCATATCAAGGGGTCTGGTTTATGCCCGCAAGGCAATTCATGAGACCGGAAGTTCCGAAATCGGCACTAGATCTCTTCAATCGAATTTTTTAGTACCGGTAGTCACTCGAAATGGCTTCAGAGTAAGCGCGTTAGAAAGCCCAGTGTCTGAGCTTTCCAAAACGCTAATAAAATCTAGCTGCCCTGCTATCTAGTGGCCGCTAGGGGCGCTAGAATAGTGAATTTTAAGGATTTCTAGGAAGAAAACTGCATAATCCTGGTCTCGACCGGTTGGTTTTGTCACCGTTAAACATCATTTCTAAGATGTTTACGTCTTTATTAACAAATTTAAGCCTTTAATTTCGACCAAATGAGCAAGTTCTAGTGCAAGAAATCCCATTTACGGTGCCAAATTTGAGTTTCTAGCATCCCTAGCGGCCACTAGGTAGCAGGGCAGCTAGATTTTATTAGCGTTTTGGAAAGCTCAGACACTGGGCTTTCTAACGCGCTTACTCTGAAGCCATTTCGAGTGACTACCGGTACTAAAAAATTCGATTGAAGAGATCTAGTGCCGATTTCGGAACTTCCGGTCTCATGAATTGCCTTGCGGGCATAAACCAGACCCCTTGATATGGTGCCCAAATGAAAGCTCAGCTTCTGGGCTTTCCAAAACTGTGTCATATAACCCCTAAACTAAGCTAGAAAAATCGGCCAAGTTTTCATCTTATAAGCCAATTAAATTGACAATTACGAGCCCGATTGAAGATATCAATTCTTAGATTTGTCGAATTCTTCAGAGCGTATACGTACGGTACGTATACTGACTTTACGCTCGTAAAAAAGATTATTCAAAATGTCGAGGCTGAAATAGAAAAGAAGAAAACTGGCTCTCTCAAGTGACAACTCGATTTTAAAATGAGTGGTTATTTGTGCAGTTACTATTTCAAAAAGTGTAACTCTTGTTATTCCTCGTCATTTACGTCTTGCTCGAAATATAAATGCTCGGACAAGTGTCGAGATCCATCAGAGAGATGCTGGATTCTCATCAACATTTTCATCGTCATCGCGTTTTTTGTCATCGTTGCTTTCAATAGAGAGATTATTTATGGAAAGATCTTTAATGAGTTATTTGGGGCCGAGGAGTTAAAATGTGTTGAATTTGGGAGAATTTCTGATGGAAAACTAAGTTTTTATGATGCCCAGGATCAGGATTCTTAATTATATTCTTGATGAATTTTTGACGAAATAGAACCCTTTGCAGGCAATGTGCGAAAGAGCCGGAGGAAATCTTCCATTTTTTTCTAGTCAAGGGGAAGAAGATATGTACAGAGAGGTAAGGAGAGGAGAATTAATGGCCAATTATCTTCGTAATTCCTCAGGCAGCTGATAATCAACCGGTCGATGAATGGATTGGATACAGAAAAGAATCCAGCTCATCGACAACTTGGAGAACGGTGACAAATGAAAAAGAAAAGTACGAAGATTTCGTCAGAACTAGCAGTGGAGATCAATGCGCTGTTATCCAATCAAGCAATCGGGCTTGCGAAAAAGGAGTTTACTACATTTATTAATCATATGGTTCTTGCATCCCCCACACAGATATGGCCATGACGGAGGAAAATGGCTATCTGCGGCTTGTGATAAACCCCATACGTTTTTATGCAGATTCGATTTTGGGGCGGAAGAGGGCACTTGTAAAAGAGGCTCACTGGAGATAACGGAAAGATTCTCATAATAATTTTCATCTTTTTTTCTTTTGAATATTTCATTGAAAATTTTTTTCAAAGACAGTGAAAACAACAACGGAGACGTACAAGAAAAGTAATTTTTTTCTCAATACCAGATGATAAAAATATTGCTAGCAACGACAACAGAAGGCATGAGTGATCAGAAAAAACAAGATATCAAAGGAGGAATCATCATGTTCTGCATCTTCATCGCGATGATCTTATTCTGCTGTGGTCTTGCTTTCGGTTGCAGAAAATTAGACAAGAAACTTGGAATTTCTAATGCAATGATTTGTTGAAACCATCTCAAAATGTTAATAAACAAAAATGTCAATAAAAATAGATTTGAAAAAATATTGATCCGACTCAAGAACAAGTTTTTCTTTCAAAATTGAAATCATAAAACTTCCCTTTTCAAATATTGAGAAAGTCCTTCTGATTTGAAAAACCTCAAATAATGAGTCCTTGATGTCTCCAAGGCAACGAGTTGCTTGTCGATTCGTTCAGCGTGTCAACATCAATCCATTGTTCCACAAAGAAAAAAAGCCACTGCTAGAAATTATTTTGGAGATCAACTTCTGACAATAAGCCAGAGATAAGCCAGATAAGAGCAGTGGGCAGCGATTGACCAGGGAATATGTTGGCTAGTCAGTCTGGAGTGAGGACTTATGGGGACAAAACGCTTGTAGGAAATTGGTAAGACAAAAAATATATAAAATTAATTCGAGTAAATCTTGATTTTTGACTTCAAGAATTATGCAAAAAGCATTTTTCAAGTCAAAAATTTTCAGGGTTGAAAACCGAAATCGTCACAACTACCGACCTTCGACTCGATCATACAAGTCCGCGCGAACAATTTATGGGGGAGATTTTCTTCCAAAAATCGCTCCGGTATCTCCTCATCCCCTTTTCTATTTCTGACACTTTTTCAGGTCGATAATGAAACGAAAGCAATTCTGATGGAAAGATCTCGAGGTCAAACTCGATCAAAGACTCCCGCTTGTGATTTGACGACTTCGTATGCTTATGATTTCAGCCCGCGAAAGGTACAAGTAGAAGGAGTCTTTGTTGATTTCAAAACTTACTTTTCAAGTCTCGGGATGAGCGAAATTGGCGAATCATCCACAACGAATGGGGCCCGGAACCAGCAATGACTGACATGCGCGAAACGAAGGGGCACCTGAACTGGGGACTTTGGGAGCGAAAGAAGGCTAGGATGACTGCTGAGGAAGATGTTCGCAAATCAGATTACCAGAGCCATTTCAAAGGTAGTCGTCAAAATTTAAATTCAAAACCAAGTTTTTTTCTTGAAGATTGGAAGCTTCCTCGCCAAACAGCTCCGAATCGCCGCCACCCAGACATTCCCTCAGCTGTGACTTATGATCTCAACAATTCGTTGTCGAACATGAGGCTTCGAAACCAGCGAATAATGCTTGCTCCGGACACGACTAGACCTGCTTATAATCAGTTTCAATATGATCAAAAATAAAACATTTTATTTCAAACTAAGAATTTTATGGCTGTTAACGAGTAAATTATATTCAGAAAAATTAAAATGCCGGAATAAAATGACGAAAAGTAACTAAGCTTGCCTAGTAAATAAAGCCAAAATCGATGTTGACACCCTTAAACTTGCCAATAAAGTATCAAAATCCATATCTTCCATGAAATTTTGAGTCGTTGCCGAGTGTTTTGCGCGATCCGGAAGGGTCGAAAGCAGAAGTATTATTCCAATGGATTCATGAATTGGTAATCCTGCTCAATATCAAATGAGTTCTTTTCTAATCCAAAAATCACTAGTCCTCGATTTCTTATTCTGTTTCTTCCTCCCGACATGAAAAGAATATTCTTTTTATTTATCCCACTTTTAGCATCAGAGAAATTCAAAGAGACAAGTTGTCAAGAAAGTTACGACGTTACCGGAGGCATCTACGTTCACAGTCGAGGTTTACAATGAAATTTTCATTTTCGGCTCATTTTTCGAAGCTCTTTCATTCTGAAAACCTAATCAAGTTCTGGATCCCACGGTTTTTCATGGTTTCAAGCAGCAGATCGATGCCACTCTTCCGGTGGTCACCTGATTTCCACTCAAGGAAATATCCTCTCTCCCATCGTTCGAAAAATCGCCTCCGAACCTTGCCTCAAAAACACTTGGTTCTGGATCGAGTCTTTTGAAGGACAAACAAAAGGTGAATTCTGCCCGATTCTTGAGACGAAGAAAAGAAAGGATGGAGAAGTAACGGACAAATTTCGTTATAGAAACTGCTTTGATTCGTCGTTTATCAATCAGAGAGAGAATAGATATTTTGGATTTATTTGCCAAACGGAAGATTTTGAGACGAATCCGACGAGGAGCTCTTTTCTTAGCAGGAATGATATCACGAAAAATTTTGGGCAGGGTCGAGGAAAAGGGACCGCTCGAAGAACTACTGTTTTCCGATAACCCTCTACTACCTTTTTGATATCAAGGAAGACTAATCCCGCGCTGTACAAAAATCTGTCCCGCAAATAGTTATTGCCAAGGCTCCACCTGCGAATGCGAATATGGTTTCAGCCCAGACCCTTCCTCTCGCGAACTTATGTGTATTGATATCAACGAATGCTTATTCGGAATGCACGACTGCGATTTGAAAAGCGAGTCTTGCCAGAACTCCGAAGGTTCCTACATATGCGTCCCAGTATGGCCGAAATACTCGGAGGAGTATTTTTATCGTTGAGTTTTTAAAAGGGATTTTGAAGATAAATGGCTGCAGCGAAGGATTTGTGTATAATTCTGATTGGAAGCGATGTGAGGACATTGACGAGTGCAAAATGAATAGCAGTATTTGTCAGCAGCAATGTACAAATACTGAAGGTGCCTTTTTTATTTGAATTGTCGATTTTCGTGTTTCGATTTTAAAATCGCTGTTTTCATTCATTATTAAATTTTTGATCAGGAAGTTTCTTCTGTGAGTGCAACGAAGGATATGAACAAAGTTCTCGAAATGCCCCTTGCTATGATATCGATGAGTGCGAGGAGAATGAAGAAGCTTGTGGGGAAAATTCAATCTGCGAAAATTCTCCTGGAAGTTTTTCTTGCTCATGCTTAGAAGGTAATTTTAGGAGTCCACGATCAGATCCTTATTGAGAATGATTTATCTAAAAATACTGCTTCGATTAAGCAGGGTATATTAAAAAAGAAACGCATAAAATAATTATTTTCATTATGGCCTTTCACTTTCATTTCTCAGCCCGGCTTAAAAATTGATAGATTGTTGTGGACCTCAAAACAAAACCACTTAGTGGTTTCTAAGTATCTTCTGGAGCAGACCTCGATTCTCGCCCTTTTTTTCTTTTGAAAAAGAGAAAATAAGAAAAGAGGATGAAAGAGTAGAAAAATGTCATGGATTTGCAGAATTGCCCCTGTTTTTATAAGAACGAGTGATTTTTCAGGGTTTGTGCTGAAGGATGGAAATTGCAAGAGCAGCGCTGTCAATGAATGTCTTTTGGGGACGCATACTTGTGACGAAAATGCTAATTGCATAGGTAAGGCCGTTTTTTGATAATTTGATGACTTTTTTACCCAAAAGATACGAAAAACAGCTTCAATTGTCAGTGTAATCCAGGTTTCCTCGGCGACGGGGATGTCTGCGATGACATGGACGAATGCGCCCTCAGATCTGGAGACGAAGATTACTGCGACGGCATTCTCGAAAATTCAGCCTGCGTCAATACTGTTGGTAGTTTCGAGTGTCAATGCAAACCTGGTTATTTTCTGAAAAACGATCAGTGTGAAGATATCGACGAATGCGCCTCGACCCATCTTTGTCCAAGCAATTCTTTTTGCGTTAACACTATTGGTTCCGCTCACTGCGAATGCTTCGAAGGATTTGAAGAGAGGGATGGCTTCTGTGAGGATATCAACGAGTGCCAGGGAGAGGAATACCCTTGTGATGAAAATGCGAGATGTACAAATACAGTCGGCAGCTATGAATGCGCATGTCGCGGCGGCTATTTCATGAAAGAAGAAGGTGGAAAATGCGAAAAGAAGCCAATTAATGAGTGCGTTCAAAAGACCCATAATTGCGACCAAGTTTGTAACGACGAAGTTATTGGCTTTTCTTGCTCCTGCTTTCCAGGTAAAGTTGCTCAAGAGCTCTTTCCTTGCGAACCACTTAGACTTTCTGTTTTTTTTCGTTCAGTTGTTGATAATAAGCAATAATTTTGATGTCACCTTGATAATTTTATAATGATTATTTGAAAATTCACTTTGTCGGAATTTATTTGTAACGTAACTGAATTATCAACAAATGAATGCTATTTATCACCTCGCTTGCTCGCTGGCTGCTCGTTGATGGAGTGTTTATTTGGCGGCGTGTTTAGGTTACAAACTGGCTGAGATCGGGGGCAACGTCTGTGAAGATAGTGACGAGTGTTTGGAAGAGAACACCTGCGGCGAGCACCAAAAATGCACAAACAGCATTGGCTCCTTTGATTCCGGGTTCGGCAATTTTTTCAACAAAATGGAACCGTTCATTTTATACAAAAAAAAACCTTGTCGAACCCTTTATTTTGCCTGCCACTGCAATTCTGGGTACGAGTCGACCTCTGCTCCTGGGGAACCAAAAATATGCGAGGATATAAATGAATGCACAAATGGCGAGAATCGATGTGATGAGGTCACGCAAATTTGCCAGAATTTGGCGGGATCATACGAGTGTATATGCAAACATGGTTTTGAAATATCTTCCGAAGGGGAGAGTACTGGAAAATGCGCTGATATCAATGGTGAGAGATTTCTTCTATTATTGGCCTTTAGAATCATTTCAGAGTGCGAAATGGAAAAAAAATGTCCCGTCAAAACAAAATGCGTCAATTCTTTTGGGTTCTATTCTTGCCCCTGCCTTCCAGGATACGAAGACAATTTGGATTCCGAAAACTCGGCGCTAGAATTTCCGCCTAATAAATGTATAGACATCGACGAGTGCGCGATGACAGATGTCTGTCACACTCCAAATACAGTGTGTTCAAACTTAGATGGCTCATTTGAGTGCTCTTGTGCTCAAGGGTTCATGTGGTCAGCTGATTCAGGAAATGGGGCGGTTGGGGTAGACCCGTTTGCTCAAGGGTGTCTTGAATATTAATGAGCAGTGGAGAGTTTTGATCATTGTTTTTGCCGAAATTTCTCGCACAGGAATTTTTTTATAAGCGGATTACTTTTCCAACTCTAAATTGGGGCATGGATACTTATTCGTAGAACTACCACTTCAATTTAAGGATCTCACCCTTATATAGCAAGTTTTCTTGAGAGAACAGCTAGAAATAAGGACCGTTCATTTTTTCGCGTGAAATTTTTAATACTGTTAGTTTGAGCTCGGTTTAAAAATACTTATTTTCTAAATTGATGTTAAATGATCCGTTAACTCGTTCTCGCCTTTGCAATAAAAATGTTCGATGATGTCACGAGGTGGCAATTAGATTGGTCATAACCTCCTGTAAGAGCTAGCTTGACTTATGTTCATTTCAACCGCCGCGATCAGAGAACGATCTTGGCACCACGTGCGCGGATGTGGACGAATGCGATCAGCACGAAACCGGGCAACAGGCTTGCGGTGCCAACCAGGAATGCAGATACAAAAGAGAATTTCCGAATTTCCTGATTACATCTTCTAGATTTCGGTCTTGGTTAAAAAGTCCATATCGCGATAGATTTAAATTTAAGTTAAGATAGTGATAAAATTTTTTGATAACAACATGTTTTGAAACTTTGACACGATGTTTAAATTTCGACATTTTCCGACATTTTGCGACATTTGGAGACATTTGGTGACTTTTGGCCAATCATCAATTTTATTAATCGTATCTCGAAAAAGAAATGCACAAATACAGTCGGCTCCTACACTTGCTCCTGTTCCGTTGGCTATGAAAAATCCCCTTTCCATAATCCCACCGATCAGTTCATTTGCATAGATATTGATGAGTGCTCCCTCAATACCACCACGTTTTGTGGCCCCTTTTCAATTTGTCACAACAACGATGGCTCATACGATTGTTCTTGCATCGATGGCTTTCAGATGAACATGACGAGCTCTCTTTGCGAAGATGTGGACGAATGCGCGGAGGAAGATACCGGTAGATGTGGCGAGTTTGGAACTTGTGAGAACACTCTTGGCGGATTTGAGTGCATTTGTGACGAAGGATTTGAAAATTCAAAAGGGAAGAGCTCTCAAAAAGACGCTCGAAAATTCTACTTTTTATCACTCGTTATCATTTTTAGTTAGAAAAGCTTCGCTAAAGTACTACTTGATTTCTGACCACAATTATCGAACGACTCACTGCGCTCATAAAGATAGTGTAATCATAAAAAGCCTAGCGAAGAAAAAAATCTAAGAGAGCTCCATTTCAGAAAATCCCATCTGCCAGGACATTGATGAATGCTCAACTGGTCTGGTAACGTGTCTAAATGGAATGTGCCTAAATCAGCTGGGATCGTTTGACTGCGAATGTAATGAAGGCTTCTTCAACGATGATGATTCCTACGACTGTGTGGACGTAGACGAGTGCGCAACTGCGAGTCACGACTGCTCTCCCCGTGGAAATTGCTCCAATACGGTGGGCTCGTTCACTTGCGCCTGTCCATCGAATTTGATCGGTGATGGATTCAAGTGCGTCTCTGACGACGACCCTTACGACGTCGAGCTCGCAGATGACAGCGAAGAAGCAACGGTTGACATTTGCGACTTTGGAGTCGTCAAATTTAGGCCAGGATATATTTACAGAAGCGATAGGTTAAGGATACCGAGGGAGATAAAATTTGAGGCTTTAGAGACCCAGTTCCACGTAAGAGAGGGGGTCGTGCTATTCAAACATATCCTCTTGAGTTTTTCTATAAAAGAACTCTTCGATCGAACAGTGAAATCACTCTGCTTGGAAGTTTTCAGCTCCGACGATTTAGCCAGAACCGACCCACAAATAATCCGAGATGTAAAAGGCTTCACGAAATACGAAGTTGCTCTCCTTGCAGATTTGACCGATGTGAACGAGCGGCCGTACATCAGCGTTTGCCCGTGCAATCAAACTTGCCAGGGCAATGATTTGTTCATAAACATGATTGATGATGAGTGTTATAGCCAATCCTCGCAGGCCTGGTTCAAAAACGAAAGGCGGAAGAATTTCCCGGAAGGAAGTCCCTTTTTTTTCACATTAAATTTTCTTCAAAAATTACCGTAGTGATACCCTTATTTATCCATTTAAAATCAAGCTAAAACAACGTGAGAACCAGAATGTTAGGATTTCGGCAAATCGCTGACAGCTTCTTATTCCGAAAAGCGCACTTATGCTCAGGGAAGGGTTTCTCCAAACAAGCTCTGACCACAGAGGTTCACCACGCCTGGTACTTGAACAAGTCGTAAATATGGGTTGAAGTTGAAAACAAAAACGTGCGAAAGATTGAACTGAGAAACTCGAAAAACAGACGAAAATGAAATTTGTCGTGGATACGGATGAAACTCTTGCTAGAACTGGTGAAGAAAATGGGATCAAATCACAAATATTTTAAATATAATATAATATAATATAATATAATATAATATAATATAATATAATATAATATAATATAATATAATATAATATAATATAATATAATATAATATAATATAATATAATATAATATAATATAATATAATATAATATAATATAATATAATATAATATAGCGTATTTTGCTCCTTATCTTTTGTTTTCTTAGCCGTTTTTTGATCCCTCCATTTCGTGATGCTCCAAAATTGTTACGAAAAATTCAAAGACGACGGGCTCATATCCTGCAAAATTCTAGCCTCGGCGGAGCTTGGATCATCATCTGATGGCAGATCTAAACGTGCGCGCTCTTCAAAGGTATAATTTCGACTTTAGAGTTTTGACGTGCTATTTGGAAAGTGTCAAAAGAATCAACAGTAATTTCAGAGCATGTCCGTCGGCGCAACATTTAAAAATCAAAGTGCCGCTGATGCTGGAGCGTCACGTTCAAAAGAGGTGGCCGAAGCAGCTGCCAATATTGTGGGCTCCGTAATACCGCTTATTTCGACGGCGTCAGGACTTGGTTTTTATCATTTATAGATAAACATGAAGTTATGCTGTATTTTTTGCGAAAAAGGCTGAAATTCAAAACCGATAAAAAGGAACTGGCGCTTTTATCACGCAACTCATCATTCTTTTAATTTGTTCCTGCGCTGCCGGTTACGCTACTTACTCAAAGGCGCCGGGTTCAGTTGAATTTCCGCCTCTAGAATTGTCATGAATCAAACGCGAGCGGCACTCTCGTAATCCCGGCATTAGATAGAATTCTGGCTGGACAAGCCGCGCTCGGAGCAAGAATCTAAAAAGGACCTGGCTTTTGCGATCGGACTCGACTACATTTGGCCGATTTTGGGGGTTTATCCAAGCATCGTCGTGTGGTTTGAATACAGGAATAGAGGATCGAGAATTCGAAAACTTCCGCAAGATGATTTTAAGAAGCCTAAGATTCTAAATCAATACACGTCAGAGTCAGGAGTTCTGTACTGATGAAGAGATGAGTCATTTTTTCCGCCCTTTTTCGCGCTAAATTTGAAAATTTCGCAACAAATCCTCCGCCAGAGTCAACGAAAACCTCTTCACCGACCCCCTCGAAGACATCGGAAGCTGCATGATCTACATTTCCGTCTGCAAGCTCTACCTTTACCTGATCAATTTGTTCTTCATGGATCAAGTCTACCGGGAAACGCAATTCATAGCCGACTACCCAATTCTCAACGATATTTTTCTCGATCATGGGATTATTTCGTTTATTATGTGCGACTCAGTCGATACTTTTATTGTATATTTTTACTCTTCACGATATCAAGGAAAGGGTTGAAAATGTCAAATTTGTACTCAAAATTTTGAACATTTGAGCCCAAAATAGTATTAATTATTGCAGCAATTATCGATCGCTACACCCTTAATTATCAAAATTATCTTCTTTTATTCAAAATTCTAGCGCTATTAATTCATAAATGATATTTTAATATGGCTATTTTAAAACTGCTCTACTTGATTTTTCGCCATTTATAAATCGTTAGCCCCACCCTTAATTGGATGAGCAAATCATCCTTATTTTTATCCCAAAACATAATTAAGGGTCCTCCACGAAAACTGGCACGTAATTCATCCCGTTCTACTTTAAGGATATCTCTAAATTTAGCCAATTTAAAAATTCCAAGACGAAAAAGAATCAACAAAACTTCAACCTGGAAAAAAGCGCCGGATAAAGAAGTTGGAATTGCAAATTTTTGGCTTCCGACATTTCAGTTCTTGATGGCCTTTATTCCGGCTGTAATCAGCATAGTGGGCAGCGTACGCGAATATTTTGCGGAAGGCGGCGGGCAAAAGGACGAAAAGTGGTGGATTAGGTTTATTGCTGAAGTTATTGGTACTTTTGGCACTATTCTTTCGACAGGTTACTAAATATGATGAATCATTGATGATAAACCACAACTTTATATCGAACGATAACCTTTCGTTAGAGAAATCTATCAGTCAATAATTTGTCAGAAAAATCAAAGTTTACGAAAATATCATGAATCTTATGATTTTCAAGAAAAAAAAAATTAGAAGTTCTATTCTCGAGAAAAAATAATAATCCTTTGTTTTCTCATCTAAGACCTCAATCTTCCTGTCAAAAAATCATTCATTTTAGTCATGTTTATCTGCTGCACTGCCATAACGATCTGTATCAAATCCGAGTCCGCCCTTGATCCGAGGTACATCTTTCTTTCTTTATGTAACTGTAATGCTTGCAGGTTGAATCGAGTTTTGCCAGATGGAACAATTGTGGCGAAGAACAACACTTTTACAACTGCTGTTTCGGAAGTTGAAAGACACTGGTTTTGCATGATGCTTGATGAATCTTGGTTTACTGACATCAGGTTTGATTTTTCAGAATTTTTTTTTCTAAAAAATATTTCTAAGATTCACCTCTCGATGCGCCCCAGTAGAACCCAACAAAGACGGTTTCCAAACAAAAGCAAAACCATTTTCTGACTCGTAAGCGGCTGACGGTTAGATTACGCCACATAACCACGTGCTATGTTTAGATGTTTCAATCCGTTAGAAGTTATCGCGCTGGGCACGATCATCGCAATTATCGCCTTCCAGCTTTGTCTTCTGCTTTTACTAGGACACGGATTTTGATATTAAAAAAACAGTGAAAAGAGCGCAAAGATTGTCAAAAAATTGATCGCAAAAATTGTTTGATAAAAAAAGCCCTAGAACAGCTGTGAGGAGAAAAATTAACAATAAAAAGCCTGAAAATCATGAAAATATCTATTTGAACAATCAATATGAATTTTCCTTTTCATAATCTTTTGATCGACGATAAATAGCACGAGAAGAATGTAGTATCTCTACAGGAGTACTCTAAGGTGTTGTTCTTTCAAAGTTAAAGAATCCTTCTGAAAGTCTTTGTCTACTACTACAAAGATATAAAAAAGATTGCTCCGGAAGAAAAGAAAAAAGCTGATGATTTCAAGCTCAAATACAAGGCCCGAACAAGAAACCGAATCATGGCAAGAGTCTCAAGAAGATAAAAAGCTATTCTTAACGCCTTACTGTAAGATAATGACTGTAACATTTCGAAAAACATGTTCTCATAACGCTTCTGCACTGCCAAATAAATAAAAATATAAAACTCCCTTAATAAATTTCAGTAAAAAAAAGCCATTAAATTTTCCTTTGCGAGAATTCTCCGAGGGCGCTCGCAAGCCAAGGCGCATCACGGACCGCGCGCGCTCCCCGCTACCGCGTTTTCGAAACTTCCCTGAAACGAAAAATTTTCTCAAGAAACTTCTTTCACCCTTGCTTGCTTCAGAAAAAGTAACAATTTTCTGACTCCTTTGCTCTTTTTTTTTCAAAAACCGAGAATCTCAAGAAAGAAAAAAAACAACGAAAAATGACCGAGACTGCTCAAAAACTTTCATGTGGTCAGATTTTCGCAACGTGGTTTTGCTGTAGAGATAGCGAAGATTTCCAGAAGGAAGAGAAAGATGGACAATTTGGCGATCTACATTCAGGTTTTTATCAGGGGCAATTTTCTCAACACTGCGTCCCCCTAGAAAAAGAATGAAGAGCATTTTCCAATGCTCCGAGAGGAATATTTCGCGCGTTATAAATATTGAGATTTTGTTTGATTCTCAACATGAAAATTTAAAACGAGAAACAACGGTCTTCGAGACATTTTTTGATGAGTATTTCTCTAGAAATAATTCTTGGTAAAAACGGTAAATTTCTGAGGAAGCGATAAAAAAAGCGACAATTTTGACCAAAATTTTTGTCAAATTTTACTCAATTCCGATTTTAGGAAAAATTCTCGCGAAACTCTGATTGTTTCAATTTTTTGTCGATTCGTGCCTCTCTTTAAAATTTTGTGTTTTTGTAAACCATAAAAAGATTTTTTTCGGATGAAATTTGTTTTTTCTTAAAATTAAAGTTCTGAAAAAATCGACTTTATGTTTGAAGTTTGATGATAAGAGCAAAGAAAGTTTCACTGAACGTAAATACGTTCGAATTCGAACAATCAAAAATGAATTATTTCCACCCCAAAACCAAAATCCTAGATCTGTTGTTTCGTGAAAACTCAAAACTTAAGAGACTTCTCGCTTGAACCGTTAGAAAAAGTCTTTTGATCTTCTTCGTGTTTCTGAAGAAAAATAAAAATTCGTATACGCTCGGCATAATATTTTCACAAGTCGCGGGTCGGTGCGGTTTTCGTCTGTCTCCCCTTAGATCATTTTCAAGATCGTTTTCATTTGTAGTGAGCTGCTGTACTAAAAAACTCGATAAAAAAGTAACTGTTCATTTTCGAGTCGAAAAATTGTAACAATTTATTTTCTTCCCCCAGTGTTAAGAAAACCCCCTTATCATTTATTTTCGTCTGCTGCTGAAAAACTGGCTAAACGAAGGTAAGAAACCCCTTCTTTATTTACCCAATCTATTACAATTTCTCTCTTCAGAAGCCAGCCCGCGTCATCTTCACTATTATAACAACTAGGTTACTATCCGACCATAATTGCCCGCGCCCGCGTTGATGGGTTAACGCGAGGCACAAATTTTTGCGGCGCCGTTTAGTTTACTCTTCAAATGAGTCTCATCCTTTTCACTATTTGTTTCCTTTTATATGTTCAATAAGCTGCTTCATTTCTTGATTAAGGGTGTACATCTCCTATTTGATAATCAAAATTTCTCAAAATCAAAACCAAAATAGCCTCTAATCTGTATTTGAAACTCCATTCAAAATATCAAACTTCCTAAAGCATAAAGAGTAGATCTTTTACTATTTTCTCGGCGGAAATCGCGACTAACCCGCAAAAGAACCACAGGTAACCGCAATTTGTCCCTCTCTTATCTCACGCACATCCTTAAGGACGATCATATCTGCTGCTCTCTGTTTAATTAAAACAGGTAAGAGAAAAAAAATAAGGAAAATTCAAAAAACGGTTCATTTCAAAGCCAAATTTTCAAAATATTCTTCCTCAAGACGGTTGTAATTTTTTTCATAACAGTAATTACTGACGACTCTTAATCAGATCATTGAGATCAGAATCATGAGAAAACATGTTTTCAAAGCCGCAAAAATCTCTTGAAAACCTGGCTCAAATACTTCACATTTTAAAAACACAATCAAAAGCGCCTGTTTTCCATTATAATAGAAATCAAATTCAAAGGAAAACTCAACTGCCCTCATTCTTTTTGAGGGTTTTCGGGGCTTTTGTATTGATGAGCTTATACAGGCGGACCAGTCACCACTCCCTTTTTCTTGGAGAGATAAGGATATTTGGCACAAATAGAGCTTTCTAGCGAAAAGTCGAACTGATAATGAGCTGTGTTCAAAAAGATGAAGATCAAAAAATAAGGGCGTCTTCTCATTTTTGCCTCTTCTTTGAACCTAATTTCCAGGGCGCTAGAATCGACAAAAGAAGCTGGAAACTCTTGGCTTAAATTTCGCCGCGCTATTATTATGAAACCCAAAACGCCCAAGTGTGAACTTAACGACTTCTCATGCATTCTAAGCCGCTTTCAATAAGCTCTAATTCGTTCAAATCGCCGAAGAGTAACTGCTTAGAATCTAAGAACTCGCTGGTTTTTCATATGTACGCGGAGCATAAAACCCCGCAATTTAGAATGTTAGTGTTTATTAATGAGAGAAAAAAAGGAGGCCGACACGTGATTTTAGCATGTTGCCTATCGCAACACAGCTCATCTCCCGCGGAGGATTCACTTTGAGCTTAAATTCGCCGTGGCTTTTTTTCTATTCTTTTTGCGGCGGCTTGACATTTTTCCATCATCACCGAGAGTTTCAAAACAAAGTACTTACAACCTAACTGCTCAACAATAATCATGATGTGTTTTATTCTTAATTTAAAAGGTGGACAAGATTGAAATTTTTAAGAATTCCATTTCTTAAGGGTATACCTTCGATTTCCCAAATCACCGAAAAATTTGGGAAATCGAAGGTGGTACCCTTAAAATCATCAATGAAAAAGCCGCGGAGCGGCTTTTTTGAAAACGAAGCCGCGAAGCGGCTTCGCAACAACTTGAAATTAGACTTGAATAATAATTTTGAAAAGCCGCTTCGCGGCTTTCTGTTTAAAAAAGCCGCTACTTTTCGATAAAGATCTTTTAAGTGTGATAAAAGTCTGAATTTAAAATTCCCGTGCGAGTTTTTTCTCATTAACGAAAAAACTCGTGTTTGCTCCTGTGCCGCGTGTGATCACAGTGAGTGGTGATTTTCGCGTCATAAAGTGACGCCGGCGAGTTCCATTAGTAACTCGCGAGCACCTTGGAGCTCCTCCCTGGCCGCCCGTGAGAGTAGTGGTCATCAATTTCAAGGTGCTCAATTTGAGAGAGAAGAAAGCTGTACTTTGGCGTAAAAGCCGCCTCTTGACGAGTCGCCTTGCATCTTGATTATGCTAAAAGGATGAAAGGGGGCTCGGCTTTTTGATCAGAAAGAAAAACCTGATTTTTAACCCGCTAACACGTCGAGGGCCTCGGACGAAAATGATGAGATTACAGTTTTTTATTTGAAAAATTTTCTTTTTTTTTCAATTTGTAAAAAAACCGCGTCAACTTCTGAGAAAAAGATAAGCAAAGAAAAAGTGATTTCAATCCTCTTAAAAATGTCAACCCTTATCCGGCTTTTGAGGCGACAATGTGAGCCCATGTCCATGGAAGATCGATTATCTGGCTGGCTCCATTCATTCGCAATTTACGTAACTCTTGAGTTCTGACCTTTTTGCTTTGCCAAATTTTCTGATGAATATTTTTCGACTTCTGAGAAGCGAAAAATGACATTTTCTGCCAAAGACGTTCAAAAACGCTTTTTGCAAAAAAAAAATTTCGTTTAACAAATTTCATAACAGCAAATTAGGAAAAAGCTTACGAAACTACTCAAAATAGTTTAGACGCAATTTGGTGCAGAGTAATTGCCAGCCGCTCATGACCCCAAAAAGATTACCAGTGCTTACGAGGTGTTAGTTTACGACACGTGGAACAGAAAGCTGTGAGATACATACATGTGTTAGTCTAATTAAGGGCTTTTTAGAGGCTTTCTAGAGGCATTGAAAAAAATTAAGTGAAAATACTAGCAATGAACCATGATTTTCAATAATCCGCATGAAAAGTGAATCTCGCGGCTTAATACGCCCAGCTGAGCAAGCGAAAGTAATCGGAGTAGCCCTATTGCCGCACCTGTTGCGAAATCGGACTCAAACCGAAAACGTGTGTTTCTACACCACTTTTCGTACATGTATACCCCGACCAATGCGAAAAGTGACACATGCGAGGCGATACACGATCGCGTTTTATCGCAACCAGGAAATAGCCACTACACGTTTACGACTTCAAAAAATGCTCATCCCTTCTGCTTATCCTCAGATTCAACATTTTCGATGTCCTTAGCGAGAAGCCGCTTGCGGTTTCGAGTCGAAAAATATCTAACACTCCTTATCGCCTCTTAGGATCTCCAATTTTCTCATCGAAAACCCTTTTCATTTATTTTCACCGGAGATCGAGAAGCCGCTTGCGGCTTCGAGTCGAAAAATGCGTAGCCGCGCTTTGCGCGGCTTTTTCTGTTATTTTTTGAATGATCATTTAATCATTGAATTAAGTACAGGAAAAGCCGCGCTAAGCGCGGCTCCGGGTTTTTGGCTCGAAGCCGCAAGCGGCTTCTCGGTCTTCTGTGGAAATCCAAACAAAGGGTCTTCGAAGAAAAAAGACGAATATTCAAAATCCGACACAATTGAATTCCCAAAAAATGGCGATAAGGAGCGCCGGTTTCATTTTACGTTCACTGGAAATATTTTGTTTTTGAAAATTGGATCAATCCGCGGCCGTGGACAGAAAATATGATAAGAGGCCGACCCTGCTTAAATTTGTACTGATTGTATCAGCAGATTGTTGATGCCACTTATACTCAAAACATGTTGCTGATCAACGTGCTAATCTCGTTTTGCTAAAAAGAAGAAAACAGTTCAACAGAGAATAAGGGACCGGCCAGGCGGTGGATACCTAATTACGGGAGAGCAAAAGGTGCGCGTAAATCGAATCAGTCCGCAACCTGTGAGAAGAGAAAATTACCAAAAGAGACGGGATCGGTAAACACTTGCGTTGATAAATTTTCTTGGAAAAAAAGATCGTTTCTTCATCTCTAGAAAATTTTCTTGAAAAAAAGTTCTCCGATAAAATAATTCATCAATTTTTATCAATCTTAAACCAGATCAATCTTTCCATAAATCCACGGGGGTACCCTTAAAATTCAAAGAACAGCGCCCTTGACTTGACTTATCATCTGAGCTGTCTTTCACTAGATATTCATCGATAAGCGATGTTTTTTACTTGAATCTGTCATGTTCCAAATCTTGGTTTTTGAATATTCATTCCTCTTCTTTCCGCACTCGAAATTTTATTTCTTGAGAACTGTAATTACAAAGAGGGGAGGGCCCTAACGAGCAAAACAGCGCGGTCATAATAGAGCAGGTCGAGAACTTTGAGGAGATGATGAGCCTGGTCCAAGTCTTGATGGATTAAGGGTGGTTATATAAGGTGGGAGCAGGGAACAAATAAGGGCATCGGGGGAGATTAGGGGATAATTTAAAAATTTTAAGATTTTGAAGAATGTTTCTAAAGAGTTCTTTTTTGAGTCGAAAATTGCTTCACGTTTTTTGCAAACTCTGAATTTTGATTGGCAATTCTGAAAAACTCGCCTCAAATCTCCAAAAGTCTATCGATTGAATAATTCGCCACAAGCTTCAAACATCGGTCGGATTTGGCCATTTTAGGAAGCGGCTCTTCTTCAAATTCGAAAGCATTTGTTTTCAAGCGACCGCGAAACAGGTGTCGCCAAATAAAGTCATACGTAATCGCGGTTGAGAGTTTTTTAAGGGTGTCACTATCGATACCGCAAAAACGACGCGAAAGAGTCGTATTAACACCTTCTTTGAAGTTAAATAAAATAAAATTGAGTTTCGAGTTTTTAAACAAAGGAAAGGGATGAGCTCTGCACGTATAAATGACGAGTAAGAAAGTTGTAACTCGGGCGTGTTTTTGGTCAGAAAGACATTTTTGGAGCAATGAAACACGTCCGTTATTCTTTGGCTTTTTATCTTGCGGAATGACGATCTGATAATTTTTGAACAAAAATTCTCACAGCCTTTTTTCAGTATTATCTTTAATATTACATACCGATCAAAGAAGGGGTTTGCCCTGAACAAAAGCTCGAATAAGCGACACCGTGTGAGGGTATTTCGTTTTTTCATGCAGAGCGGAGGACCCCGCCTGCTAGAAGACTTCCTCTGTATGAGAAGAAGTCTCTTTTTACTGAAATCTTTCATTTTTGAACATTTTTCTTACGTATGTTTGTTTGATGACCCTTCCTTCTTTCTTGTCATGATTTCTGAATATTTGAAATTTGAGTTTTCTAAGACGACGGCTGAAGAAAATTTTAGATGAGCGGAAGTCGCCGCCGGGTCAACATTCAACTTTCTCATGTTATTTTTTCAGAATCCGATCTTTGAAGCTCTTCTTTGTCTAGTATGTATGTTTCCTGTCGGAATATTTTTTTGACATTTTATGCAACTCCCTTTTTTGAACTCGCCCGGATGCCCGACCGGAGACAGGTGTAAGGGCTTGGCGCGGAAATCTAGAATCATGATTGACGACTTGCTTTTTTGAGTCGGAAAATTATACTCAGCTCTTTTTGATGGAGCACGATTTCCGATGCTTTCTTTTCTGCTATATTTTTAACAAGTTATTTTTTAAAAAATATTTTTATTAAAAAATTTCTTAAATTTCTTCGTTAATTCGATGAAGAAACTGATGACATCATCCCTCCTCGAGAAATCGTTCAAAAAGCCCTTGAATCGGATTTGCCTTGAAAAATAAGCAAAACTCAAAAGGCAGTGCCGCGTTGCCAAGCCTAAACAACCAAAGTGGTTATCACCAAGAGAGCTTCGACCTTTCAGTTTCCGGCTCAGAATGGATTAGCCAAAAGATTAGCTCAGATGTTTCCACAGCTGCTTTTGCTAAAGCCGCCGATTTCTTTCGTGGAAATCTCAAAAAAGAAGACCGATTTATTCTGTCGAAAAATTTGAAGATTTCGGGTTTTCTTTTTGTTGTTTTTCTTGGGATTTTTCTGTTTTGAAAGTCAGTTCTAGCGCTTAAAATGGGGGATAAGCTGACCCACGTTGGGGAAGATTTTTTGTCTTGGTAGAAATTAGGCTTCGCAAAGTTGCGGTCAGTTCTCTTGCGGTAAGTCAATAATTTCGCGCTAATTAGATAATAACTCATAAGTACTTAGACTAGAAAAGTGCATTTTAGAATTATCGATAGAAGAATAATTTTGTGAAACTATTGATGAGCGAAAGAAAGAAGAGCGAAATAATTTTGTTTTCAGCGATCTTGAGCTCTAGAATTTATTTACCAAAATAAAATTTTGGCTGTTTATGGTCTCCGAAATATTACTTAGTAAGATTGACATTTTTTTCACGTTTTGAGTCTTGTTTTTTTGTAAACACGAACTGACAGAAATTCAGAATTGCATTTATTTCAAGAGCAAAGTCTGGACCCAGTCAAGACGTGTAAAGAAACGTGAATAAATTACATGATAAAATTTGATATTTTTGATTTGGAAGGCGGGGCTTTTCCGAGTTGGAATGTTTATTAATATTTAATATTGACTGATTTGATTTGATGATTTATTTGATTCTTCCCCTAAAAATAAGGCACAGAAACATGGTCAAAAAGGGCACCTTCGTTACTTCCATTATAATGGTTTCACTTTAATTTATAAATTTTGTTTGAGCAAGAGAAAATTGCGTTTATCAAACAAAAGCTTATTTTTTGTTTCCGATCTATTTTGCCTCGATTTATTTTCGAAGGTGTCCACGTTGCGCAGGAAAAGCTGCAGATAAACCAATGCAATAACATTAAGTCTCCCTCCAACAACGGATAAACAAAGGTTTTTTGATTTCAATCCTGATCGTGATGATAAAAAACTGCTCGAGAAATTGGCGAAAAAAATGGTGTTTAAAAAAGTTTGTCTAATCAGCCGCGTAAAAATGTCCATTACGAAGGAGGGTTAGGCCAGTAGACATATTTTTGCTGTTTTAAGAAGATTGGATTTTGGTTTTTTTGAACATGATTTTTTTCTTCAAAATAATTTTGATCAACAAAAATGATTTCTAACTTCTCTCTTTCAGAAAGGCGGAAAACAAGGAGATATTGAAAATAACAAGGTAAAATAGAAGAATCACATGGCAAATGCTAACCTCCAGGTAAATACAGCAAAAAGGGGGGCAAAACCAAGAAAAGTAAGTGATTTTATGGATCTGGGTTTTAATTGGCTGGAAGGCCGAATACAGCTTTCTTATTGGTCTTCCAAAAATGCACTTCCTTTTCTTCAGTTTTGCCAAAACTGTAAAAATTCGACTTTGATAATGAATTTTAAATTTTGAAATCTGAAATCTACTTCCGAAAAACGGTATCCACTCGCGTCAGAGGTCATTTTTTAGGTCATCCGGGGTGAGTCCCGCTAAATCTTCCTCTCCGCCACGTTTCTTTCTTTTCGATAATTTAAGAACAGAAATTGAAAGACCGTGTTTTTAGATAAGAAAGCTTAAATTTAATAAAACTTGAAATCTTGCGTCCTGTCACGTGTTCCCTTTGCCTTGTCACGCGCACTTAGGCGATACCGTCCAAATACCGCCTCATCATGTTCCGGTCCATATTCATAATTTCACTTTTCAAAAATTCAAAATCCGAGTTTTCACGTGACTCAATTTTTCGCTCGTCTGGGTGAGTCACTGAACCCAGCTGTGGATACGTAGTTGTCTAATACGCAAGCTTGGGATGAAAGTGGATTTCTGAGATTTGAAGTTGGTGTCACATGACGCAGTTTTGGAATTAGCACAAATCGGATTTTTTCAGACATGACGTTTTTGGTTGAAAAAACAACCAAGGCCTTGTTCAATAAAAAGGCCTTTCATTACAGCTCTTTCAGGACCCTGACTCAGGTTTCTACACAGGGTTATTTATCCGAAGATACAGCGCTAAGCCTGATTATACCCTTATTTATCAGTATCAGAAATTTTCATCCTCTAATAAATTGAATTTTCTAGCGAATCAATCTCGCCCCCTAATCGGCTTAAAACTATCCACTCAAGCCTCCCTTTCCTTCCCCTCCAGCTCCTTATCGCAAATTAAAAAATGGACTCTAAGACAGTCTCGTTGAACGTCAGCGGATTAAGAATACGCGTCCGTATACGTACAACAGATTAGCAGCGTTTTTCCCACGTACTTGAATTCGCACTCCGTGAGATGCGATCAACCCTTGCTCGGTTTCATCACGGCTAATCCTGGCATCTGGGCAGCTCGGACAAATCAAATTTATCGAAAGAGATAGAACGCGAATCACTATTTAGTTGATCGCTCCAGAATTTAAGATCTCGCTCTCAAAAATTAACGTTAATCGAGAAGCCGCTTGCGGCTTCGAGCTATCAAAAAAGAAGCCTCGCCTCGCGCGGCTTTTAATCGTTCAAGCTCGAAGCCGCAAACGGCTTCTCGATTTATTATAATAAATATTTGTTAAAAATTTTGAACACATGACCATCGAGGATCCTTTTTTTTGGAGGACTCCTCTACTGGAAGATTCTTTTTGCTGGAAGACCAAAGTTTATAGTAAACATTTTTACGAAATATTTTAACGACGTGATCTCGGAGGACTCCGGAGGACTTTTTTGCTTGAGGACCTCTTTTCCCATTTTTACCAAATAGACACGCATTACGGTATTTTATTTAGCCGTGAACTGAAAAAACAAAATTCAAAATTTCCAAAACGGCTCTCCTCTTTTTTAATTTTCTAACACTATTTTTCAAGTGCGTCAGAAACTGACCACTCCGAAAAACTGAGTTGCGTCAAAACAGAAATCAAAAAGGCTAAGCCGAAATATCTCTGAGCACCCAAGTCATGATAACAAGTACCCAGAAATAGTCAAAGCGGATTGGAAGGATGAGGGGAAGGGACTGAGATTCACGCTTTATCGGAAACTGATACAGGGGGATTTTAGCTTGTTACAGTTTGACGGCGGATTTACTTGTTTGTTTGGAGAGATACAGGTGTTTTCCTGGCGATGGATTACGCGAATCATGAATATTCGATTTCAAAATAATTTCAAATCTTTTCTGACTTTATCTTTTTAGGTAACGATTGATCCAAAAATGAAAAATGTAGCTTGGCGCGCGTAATTTTTTACGCGTTTTGGTACTTCTTGTGCAATGCGCCGCCGCATACCACCACATAAGGTAAGGATCAAGGCCCACGACCAAGACCCACTTTGTGAAAACATCGTCGATGGTCAAATCGCTCGCGTCAAAAATGCACAAAATACCGAAACATTCCAAAGGGTCCATTTTCGTCCAAAAATTCTTCCTTCTTCAATCAATGACCTTCTTTTTTCAATTCAATGACCGTTTTTTCACTAGAAACGATTCAATAAGTAAGTAGAAAATCCCTAAAATATACATTCTTCAGACAATTTCTTCTCTAGCAAAGATGATAAATTTGTAAATGTTTGACGGATTATCCATTATATTTAACCGTTTTTACTCTTTTCTTTGAGAATAAGCGCTCGTTTATTAGTACAGTTATTTTCCTCTTTTGTGGACATTTTTTGTCCCAAATTTTTATAAAACTGTCCACAAAAGTGGGCAAGAGTCTTCAAAAAAATGTCCCGCCGTAGGGCCTTAAAATTTTTTCTTCGTTAAATTTTTCTTCGAAAAATGGCAAATTTTATCTAGGAAACACCTTATTTTCGCCTCTTTTACCATTTTTGGTCAGTTAAACTCTATAGTCCATTGATTTCATCCAAAAAATTGAAAATCATCCAAATTTTAGAAAAATAACACCCTGTTTCTTCCTCTTAAATTTTCTCGGCTGGACAAATGTCCACAAAAGGGAAATATTATCCTTGCAAAAGTGTCCCTCGAAAACCCCTTATAATGAAGAAAATGTCCACAAAATGGGGGTCCACAAAAGAGGAAAAAAACTGTATTCTAGAGCTAATTAAAGGCTTTGACTTATAGCTCGAAGTCAAATTTTTAAGCAAGCCAGTTAAAATCATCCTCAAATGCTATTTGAAGAGATGTTCTCAAGATACTTCAAGCTATCAATAAATCAAATATTAGATAATATCCTTCAATATGTCAAATTTTCGATGTATAATTAGAGTCTCCAAGTCTTGAAAAATCATCATGAATGATTTTTGAAGAAAAAAATATATTTAAAAAAGAGCTTGATTTTCATAGCTCTCTTTGAAAACCCTGAGTTTATTATTATTGTGTCATATGTTTTTTAACGTGGCGGGACACGTCTTGGAGCTTGAAAACGAGCTTAATTCTGGAACTTTGTCGCAAGAATGCGGCGCATCATAGAGCGAATGCGTTAAACCGTGTAGGAATGGAATGGAAGGGTATTTCCCAGCAGAATGGGAATTATTTCATGACGCAACGGAGCAAATTGCGGGAGGGTACTTTTCCCCTGAAATCCGGTTTCTTCAAATTCAACAGTACATTTTCGGATGTCTTCAATTTCAAGAACCCACGTGACTTTGATCTAACTTTGAACCTCAAAATGTAACACCGTTAACCTCAAATACGGTTCTCTATCTCGCCGCTGTTCGAGTATCATCGCTCATTTTAGAACACTTTTTGAGAAGAAAAATTTTTTTTAGATAAGAGAGGGTGTATAATTATTTGGCCGAGCGGGTGGGAAATTAATTGCCAAGGAAACTCGCGCTTCAAACGAGTGTTGTTTCAAATGGCAGCCGACAACACTCGTGGATTTCTAAATTGCGTCATCCTTGGAGTTCCTCTTAGGTTTTGGCTGATAAATAATATTGAAAAAGGAAGAAGAAGAGGGTTCTCGAGAAGGGACTTTCCAATTTCTCCCTGTTTATTCCATCTGAAAAGGGCATACAGGTCGATGTTCCAAGCGGTCATTTATTGGGGAAAAGAAACAGGGACCTTTTTGAACTAGCTCAAGGTGTCATTATCCGAATTTCCCGACCGCCAAACATGATTTCAATGATCATCATACCACAAAATTCAAGAAAGCCATCAAAAACAAAGCAAAAGAAAAGTTTAAATTTATGATAGGCAGAGCCCTAAAGAAAAGTTCAACAGTTGTTCACTCGCAGACTTTTTATTTAAAAAATTCTTTTGTATATTTCTGTAATTTTGTTCTCCCCACAAGTTTTATTCAAAAAAATACTCAGCACGTCTTTTGCGGGTGTTCCTTATTGTTCGGTATTTTCTGCTTTTTTGACAAAATCCTTCTTTTTTGAACTCTTTTTAAGCTCTTTGAACTTTATGGCGGCAGTGGAAATTTGTGGAAATTCTCGTTTGGAACTGGACTAACCGCCTGCTTCCAGGCAGTGTTTAGGTAAGAACTGTATAAAATTAAAGACGATTAAAGATGCATCGTACGCAAATCTCGATGTAGATACTCTCACTTTGACAAGCGCGCATGAACATTCTAACGTACGTGTCGGATGCTGATTTTACTAGCGCGAGGGATTTACCGATTCAATTTTTTTTCTTCGACAAGTCTAGATTTTGAAAATTTCTAATGCGCTTCAAAAACAAAATTGAAAAAAACATTTTTTGAAAAAAAAATCAATATTTTTTGCAATATTTTTTTTTCTAAAATCTTATTGGCGAACCGGCTGAATTCTGATTGGTCTCTCTTATGATTTTTAATTTAAAAACGATCGGAATTCGACCTAGAAGATCATTTTTATGATAATTTCTCTCCATCTAAAAACTCGAACTCAAATTAGCCAGCATTCGTGAAAAAGAAAAATCTCAGCTGGTAATTATGATGAACGCAGAAATGTTGCAAACGTCTTGTCTTTTAGAATTTTCTTGTTCTAGCGTCTCTCTTTCGTTAAAATGCATAATTGATGCCTTTTGCATGAACTCGTGCTTTTTAGAAAAAAAATTGTCAATGGTATTTTTCAGGTTTAGGAATTAAAAACGAAGTGGTGACGAGTCCAAATGGCAAGCAGCTTCCGGGATATCTGAACCGGTTCGTCTACAAAGCCGAGACTGAGACCGACTGTAACACAAATTCGGACTCGGGAGTTTCCGATTCGGAGAATTTCAAAAGGGGAAAAAATGGGTCTCTCGGCGGGAAAAGTATTTCTTCCGAAGGAAACAGGTAAAAATTCAATTTTTCCCGTCTTTTCAACACTTTTTCAAGCGAATGCGATTCGGGAGTTGGCTCAAATCGATCAAACAAATCCGACTCCGACAAGTCCGACAACGAAAATTCCTCAAAACTCGAAGATGGAATCACTTATGAACAAATCAAGGCGCATTACTCCAAGCCTGTTTCGACAAAAGTCAAAAGAACGGAGTCTACTTTTTCGAGATTCTCCGCGATTTTTAAATCTGATGGAAAGAAATTGACCGACGTGATGGTGGAAGAATTCCGATTGAACGACCGGTTCAGTGGTAAGACAACAAAGAACGAAGCCGAATAAGTAGCTTTTGGCTTTCTCGGTCAAGATTTTTGTGTTAAAAAAAATGTTAAAAAAGTTCGTTCCAGCCCGTTTTTTGGATAATTATTTTGACGTGAGAAGTTCTAAATATGGGTTGAAAATGTAAACAACAGGTGATAACGGGCTCCCGCGGCGCTCTCCGCTTTTCTTATCAATTGCGACTTTTCCCTTATCAATTAGTAAGCCTAGCTCAACCCTAGTTTGATACAACATAACTTATTCACAATAATTTTCGAGGCGAAAAATGACTTATTTTTCAGGACTTTCGATGGATCGAATCTGGGGCGGTTTCATGAACGACATTAAGGAAGACATTCGCCAACCAGGTAACTCTTTAGACACGATCGATGAAATCGACACCGACGCGCCAGATGCTCACAAAACAATAAACAACAACGCCAACAAGACGCAGAAACGACGAAAACGCCGCCAGAGGAAGCAGATGTCACCAACTCAGATTTCTAGCGCCAGCTCTTGGCAGTCCGACTTGCCAGCAGATTGGCAGAACGTTATCACGCTCTAAAATGGTTGTTTTTCGTCATTATCGGTCTTGTTTTTATAAATTTTTAGAAAAAATGCAGTTAAATTAAACAAGACTTTTGTAAATATCTCAGAAGATGACAAAAACTGTAAATACGAAGCTCGAAAAAGAAGAAAATAAATAAAAAAAATATTTCACTCACATTCGACTTGCAGCTTATTTTGAAGACATAAGCTCTCAATGACTAATATAATGCCAACTTTTCTTAATGATTCTTTCCTGCAAATAAAGTTTTAATTCTTTCTGTTACAAATCGTTTTCTTCCTTGATTTCCTTATTTGGTGAGATGCATGAGCTGGAGGAGAGCTAGCCGGCGGATTTAACGGCATTGCAAATATTAAAGTAATAAGGAGCAATACCCCGACAAAGATATCAAAGATTCTAAGAGACATGTTACGCTTGATTATCTACTGGATAACTTTTCTTGAAGCTTTTCGTCCCACTGTTCGGAATGCTACTTGCCCGTAAGTATCCGTCCCAAGCAATTGTGATTTATGTTCTTATTATTATAATGAGCATATAAGGGATGAAGATCTGGGGCTGCTCTGTGACTCGTATTGCTACACCGAGTTTGTCGAGTGTAAGGATGCTTGCGAAAGCTCATCCTGCGAGAGGCATTGTTTGACGCTTTATACAGGTTGATTTATTATTCATTATTCAGCCATAATAATAATGTAGATTGCTACCGAGGTTGTCCATGTTTCGATGATTGTATGGCCGGTTGTGATGGGTGCCCGAATTCGATTTGTGGCTGCAAAGACCCGCAAATCAACAATGGATATTACAAGCAATGTATTAAGGAGAACAGCAATGAGCTCATGACTTGTCTTGAGAATTGCCCTGCTGATGCTACATGTTATGATGATTGCTACAATGAGTTCAAAGAAAAATCAAAGAAATGTCCCTGTAATAGTGGATGTGAAACAGGATGTCCCTGTTCCGAGGGGCACAAATGTGTACCCTATGTGACCGCATTATGCCAGAGCTCAGCAACAAATTATGTCGATTTCAGTTATATTATTGCAAGTGATGGACACTTTCAGAAAGAGTCAGCGAGTGTGATATTTCATTCAAGTAGGAAACAATGTTAACTCATGACAGGAAAATCGTTATTATAAGTCACCTTCTACGAATTCAAAGTATTTAATTAAAGCGGGAACAGCATTACTGAATGGAATCAATTATATATTTGGTGGAATTTCAGATGGTCGAAAAGTACTTATTACATTTCACTTAAATCTTTATTATGAAAGTGATTTAGATCGCTACGATCACAGATTGTGAGATAACAGATACTGGAAAGAAACTTGTTCAGTATTTCGAAACCTATCATGCATCGTTGATTACTGTTAATGAAATCGAAGAAGAAGTGGTCCTCTGTGGCTATGAAAAAGGGCACAAAGCTTGTCAAAGCTTTGACGGAAACATTCGAAATGCCAGATTTACAAGAACAGCATCCTATTGGATGCATGGGACTTATTAATAATCAAGCAGTAATGATTGCCGGCTTAAGTTCCGCATCAGTCGAAGTTTTTTCTGTTAGGTAATCAGTTATCAATAGTTTTTCATCATTTTTAGTGGCTGGTGTCATGAACAGCCTCAACCAGCGGGAGCAATTCGATACCATTCCTGCGTCACACTTTCCGACGGAATCCTTACTCTTGGTGGTTATGTTAGTAGTGACATAAAGGATGTGTATCTTTTACGAGATGAAAAATGGAGCGTCGTTGGACAACTTCAAAATGTAAGCAAAATCATTTTGAGAATTAAATAAGTTTGAGGTGTTTCGACAAGGTTCTGCAATCTTTCTGGAAGATCATTTTATTATTTTTGGTGGAGAAAAAGAGTGAGAGCAAAAATAAGATCGCTTAATTTTTTCAATTAGAAATTATCAATCTGTTGAGCGAGGAGAATGGAATGGAACAGAAGTCACATCCACAAGAAAACTCTTTGAACACGAGGGAGTATGCTTCACACCGATTATTTTTAAATCCGAACCAGATGAATGCGCATATCCTTGCACTGAAGATTTCTGCTTTCAACCCTAGTTTGCTCAGGATCCCAACCAGAAATCCTGAATACAATTTATTTTCAATAATATAATCTTCGTTGATTTCAAATCATAAAAAGGTCAATTATGCACTCAATCAAATCAAGTTTATTTCGTCTGTCAAGGGAGGCTTTAGTTTTATGAAGCGTAAAAAGACTTGTCGGAGAAGAGATCTTTGATCCAGTCAGTGCAAATTTCTCGCACCTGGTTCGTCCAAAATCCGCTGCACGGGTCAGCTCAGTAGGAGCTCCCTCTTTTATCGCTCGGAATTTCGAGACTGCTCATTTTTAGTTAAAAAGCTCCATAAAAAAAGAGGCATCTTCGTTATTTCACGAAAGATTTTGATCCCTCAGGCGTGTGCGAAAAGAGCTGCCTAATCTTAAAGCACTCCTTATTGCGCATTTATTTTGAAAATGCCACTCGAGCAATTCGCACGGAAACGACCTACTTCCTCGGCTTGAGCTGGATTTTGAAATTTTTAGGTCGCCGGAAGCGCCACTTCATACATTTTGAATCAAAAAGGCACTTTCCGCTTTGGATTTGTATTTTAATATTGGGCGATCCATTTAAGAATATTGAGCTCTCTCCTGTGTTTATCAAAAGAACTCATCGATCAGACATGGATAGATGGATTTTTTCAAAGAAAAGGGGCGACATATGCTCGATGAGTACTTTTTGAAGCAAAAAAATGTAAAAGCTTCAATTTTAAAAGAATTTTCTTTCAATTTTATCGAAACTTGAGTTTCGAACTGTTTTTTTAGCGAAATATAATTGAGAATATAAAGCTATTAAGAAATATGAAGAGAGAAATTTCAAAAATTATTATTTTAAGTCTCAATTTGGAGATTTTTCGAACAAAATTTTTCACAAAAGATTAAAAAGAAAACCTGTTTTGACTTTGACCCAAAACAATGTCATTTTTCACGAAGATAAGAAGCATTAAAAAAGAGAAAATCTTATATTTAGATCGCTTAAACTGAATTTTGAAAGCTCTATTAAATGAAGGCCTATTCGAACTTATTACTAAAGAGAAGCGTTCCTCATTAGTCCACCGAAAACAAACGTGAAGCCCTTTACTAACCCCCTGGTCCCCCATTCTGCCTATATCAAAGCGGCCATTTGGCGCAAAAAAGTAGCGCTCTTTACGCGCCGCGGGAGACCAAATCAACCCTCTTCCCAAGTCGGCGGTCTCACCTGATGGCGCTCTCATCTTTGCTTTTATATAATTTTTCGACTCCGAATTTCAAAAAATTTCATAAAATGAGAATCCTCCAAATCTTATCCTTTTCTATATTTTTGCTGAGTATTTTGGAATCAAAGAGGATCAGGAAGACGGAGAAGGCGAGATTGAAGCAGATTGTCCAGAGCTTTCATTTTATCGACATTGAGTATAATTACTCGAGAGCGCGGCTGAGGCAGCTCTACTGCAAGACTGGATTTCATTTGGAGATTTTGCCCGATGGAACGATCAGGGGAACAAGAGAGCCGGAGAGTAGATACAGTAAGTACGATTTGAATAGAAAACGAATTTGAATAAAACCCCATTTACGTTACTGAATCGTTATTACTAGGCATCATGGAATTCAAGGTAATGGCCTACCAAGTCGTCTCTATCCAATCCGTCTACACTGGCCTCTATCTCAGCATGACTGCATCAGGAGAAATCGTCGGAACAGTAAGTCCTTCCTCCCCCTCTTCCATTTCTAACAACTCAATTTCAGAAGGAACTAACGAAAAATGGCCTGTTCGCAGAAAGCCTTTCCCGGAATCTCTTCAACACCTACACTTCCATTTCAAACTACAAGTCGCGCACCTGTCGATTGGCGATAGCTCGCAGCGGGAGAGCGCGGAATGGATGCAAGACCCGCGCACGACAGAAGTCCTCACAATTCCTGCCGAGACCACTCGATCATCGACTGCGGAAATACCTCATTGCCCGTGGCTCTACTGCGTGAAATCTGCAATCATTTTATTTGATAACTAAACCTGATGTAAATATGAAAATATATGCAAGAAAATAAGACAAGGCGGGTTTTTGTGAAAGAAATTGATTTTATTCAGGACAATGAATGAGGCGAAGGCTTAAACTCATTTAGACAGGCAGTTGACAGGCTCCAACCATTCTTCTTCTTTCTCGATGCCGAAGAAATCGCCCGCTGCTAAAAACCTTCGCCCATTCTTGGCATTCCTTGACACTAGAAATTATTCAATTCATACTAAAATAGAATAAATTTTTTAGAATTTACCTCTTTTTTCTGCTTATCGGACCGGAAAAATCCAAAGACTGAGCAGTTCTGTTCTTGAGCTCTGATAACAACAATTTATCTAGAGACTTTTTTTAGAAAATTTTGAAAACATTTACGCTCTCTACAGAAATTTGCTTTTGGCTTTGCGTTAGATGTCAGAATGCTTTTTAAGATGGCCCATCTCAGATGGGGAATCAGAATTAATTTATTTTTATTTCAATTATAATGACTTTATAGCAAGCGAAAGGTGATATAAGTTGAAATTCTTACTCGGTCGCGATGGCAAATCACTCGAGAACTTCCATCAATAAATGCCAAGATCGCTCCCCTCATCATATAAAAAATTCTATTAACATTTCTTTATCGTTCGCGGAGCCATGTTTCTTTCGTAAGCCGACGTTAGTATTTGCAGAAATTGCATAAATGGTCTGAATTAATGCGGGTGGAATCAGATCGTAGGAAAGATGACCGGAGAGATGGTCGATTTAGAGGAGAATTTCTCGATTGGATCAAGTAGATATTCCAGAACGAATTCCTCGATTTCCTCGAAGTCAAGTGGATCGGGCGGGTCGGGCGATTCTGGAGATAGCTATGTCGCGGTATGAATGTTATTTTTTGATAGTGAATAATTCGATCAAAGGTGAAACATGGAACTTTCATAAGAGCATGTTGCAGCGGATTTTGGAAGTATTTCTGGTTTACTTTTGCCGTTGTATTAGCAATGGGCTCTGTTGTTGGGCTGGCATTCCTTCGTTAGTTTCGATTTTTTTTAAATCATGTGTTATCGATTAACCTTATTCAGTGGCATACACAACGACTGGAAATTCACCGGCGACAACTCCCGGTGAAATCACGGTTCGACAATAATTTTATTAATTCTTAAATTTTCTGACAAAGACTGGAGTCATTGATTCGACAATTTCTTTTACTGCCACCATCGAATGGTTAAATTCAACGACGACAACCATGACGACAACTGCCACTGATTCCGGAGATCTGACGACAACAATAATGCCCTCAAAATCGACAACAACTTCAACTATCAATCCAGAAACTTTTCCTTCTGAATTGATAACAGAGCCGAATTTTCAATCAACAATAAATGAATTACCAGTTGAAACAACGGTTCGGTATCTTCTTTTATGACTTATAAAAAAAAACTTTCAAAGACGATTGAACTTTACTCGTCGGAAACAACCACTCTACTGGTTGACTCCTCAACAACGAACCTTCTTTCTAAAACAACGACATTGATAATGGACACTGAGGAAGCAACTGCAGATAGCTCGACAACAGCTTCGATAGAAACAACGGTTTTGCTCGATGCCTTGTTGATTTTTATGATTTTTTTTAAATTTTTTTTAGGCAGATGAAGGCTTAACAGAAGCTTCAACTTTATTAACAGAAGTGATAACGAAATCGCTATCTACAGATACAACAGTGGTAGATATTGATCAAACAACCATCTCTGACGACTCAACATTATCTACAAACACTGGAGACTCAATGGAAACGAAGACAACTGATTCAACAACGACAACATCAACGACATCAACAACGTCAACTACAACTACAACGACAACAACAACGACAACAATCCTTGGGCAATGAAACAGCCAAGTTAATGACCTTTTTAAAAGGTCTTGATTCGGAATAAAAAATTACAAACTGAAAATTTTCTTTTCTTTTTATTATTTCAAGCTTTAAAATATATGGTGAGTCAAGAGTAAATATCGCCCAGGTATATCACAGAAAAACAAATAGAAAGCTTACAGAAGTGAGTCATTAATATGATATTCGTGAATTCAATTTCGATGAACCTGTCACTCCGATAATAAATGGGAAAAATTTTACCGTAAAACTCATTCTGAGATGGATACAGTGTCATACTTTAGGAATGACAAAGAACGAAAAACCACAAAGCCAATCTTGTTAGTCTCGTTCAACCGGAACTGCTTTCAATTTCTTACCTTTTGAATATATAGACAACAATGAGTACAGAAAGTCTCAATAACAAAAGCTCCTTAGAATACCCCTTTCGTTCCAAATTTCTCCTTACAAAATCATTTCTGAGAATTATGTTCAAGTAGCATAAAATTCTTGTTTGTCGTAAAAGTATTCCGCAGTCTGGTGTTTAAGGTAGATTGTAGCTGTGATAAATCTAAATCGGCTGAATAACGCGTGACCTAGAGCTTCATAAAAGTGGACGCACTCGACCATTTCGACCATTTTGCATGAAAGAAGAAACTCTGAGAGAGAATCTGAATCGCACTTAAATAATCGCCCGCGGTCATAAGAACGCCCTTGCTGGATAAAAGTTGTTAGTCACGTGGAACCATTTTTTGCACGATATAAGAGAGAAAAACGAAAGAAAATCGACGAATCAGAAAAATGCCCATTTATGCAACGTAAGTTATTTGAAAATAAAACAAAAAAAGGAGAGTGAGCGATCTTTATCTCTCTTCTAGAGCTCCGAATCGGACTGAGTTCATGCTCAATCTGCAGCAGCTGATGATCAAATACAACGGAACATTACCCGGTTCCGACATCCCAAACTCTGTAGTTGGTGATGGAGCCTTTTGGACCCTTGTCATCGGAATGCTTGCGATGGGATTGGCAACAGACCCGCATCAAATGTTCAAATATATCAAGAAGCCAGTAGGGCCCCTTGTCGGAATGCTCTGTCAATTTGTAATAATGCCATGTCTTGCGATGATTTTTCTTTCCGCAGCGAAGATTGGCACCTATGAAGCACTGGTCATCATGCTTTACGGTTGTGCTCCTGGCGGCGGAATCAGGTAGAAACTGCTCTAGAATTTACCTTTACTCCTTCAGTAATATCATCATCTACTACATGGGCGGCGACTTGGATCTTTCCATCACTATGACAATGCTCTCCTGTGTCCTCGCTCTTGGACTGACTCCAGCTTGGCTCCAAGTTGTCCCCGTCATGGTTGATTCCGAAGATGCCATCAAAATTCCCTTCGCAGAAATTGGAACTACTCTAGCCGCAGTTATTGTACCTGCGCTCATCGGCTCATTTATCAACTGGCTTGGAAAGGTTTGCCTTTTTTTAAAAAATTGACTGTTATCTTTTTTCTAGCGCTACAAGTTCTCAAAAGCAGTTAGAATTTCAAATATCCTCCTTGCAGCTGGAACTACTCTTACTCTCATCGCTATTCTCATCATTGGAATTTACAAATACTACTTGACCGCGATTATAACCGTCGTAAGTACTCAGCTTCTCGAGTTATCGAAACAACACCCTTATTATTCATCCAAAGCCCCTTTTCTCACTCTTCTCCTTGATTTCAACGCTTCTTTTAGTCCCAGCTAGTCTACGCAGCTCTCCTTCCATACGTTGGTTTCGCAGTTGCTGCCACCATGAGTTTCAGTGTTGTCTGGTTGATAAGAAAATGTGGAAAAAATTTCAAAATCGAAGCTCTCCAGCATCTCACGATTGGTGTTGAAACCGCCGTACAAAATGGACGGATGGTCAATGCGATCACTTTGGTTCTCTATTCCGGTATTATCTGATCAATATGAGCAGGGATTCAAGGCTTTTAAGACCCGTCCAAGATGTATGAAAACGCTCAAACTTTCTTCTTCCCGATAATCGCCGTTGCGTTTCAAATTGTCTTCGGGATTGTCCTCGTCGCTATTTTGAGGATACCTGCGGTTCGAAAAAGAATCGCGAAGATAGAAGATGAGGAGTTCGGGCTTCAAAACATCGGATATACTGACAAATAACACCCTTGAAATAATATAACTACTTACATTCCAAAATCAGAGTTATGATTACTTATCAGAGGGCGTCAAGCCTGGTTAGCTCAGTCGGTAGAGCGTTGGACTCTTAATCCAACGGTCGCGGGTTCGAGCCCCGCATTAGGCTTACTTTTTACCGTGTACCTAGTAGGTACTACCTACTGTTACCCTTCTTAAAGGATTCGAGAAAAGACAGACGATTGGCATTGATACTTTATTCGGCAATTTGAATCGACAAGAAAAGAGATCAGTTTTTGTAAATACAAAGAGTGCACGCATTCCTCTGTCGAAAGATCTCCAGTCTCTCTCGTTGAACTAAACGACACTGTGCCGCATAGCTGCACAATTTGAGTCCCGAGTCAGTCAAGTCGTCAGAGAGTTTCCAACCAGATACAAGCCTCGCATAGGCTCCGGGACCGATGACTTTGGATACCCAAGTTTCTGAAAATTAGGTTCTTATTAAAATAACAAGTGTTTTAGTCCGACCGCCTTTGAAGTTACGATCGAGGATATGATAGTCTTGGATATGAGTGATGTTCATCTTCTGCAAATCGCACAGGATTTCTTGACTTTGGTAAAGAACTGCTCGTCCTAACTCGTCAGTTGTGTTTTTGCAAAGATACTGCTTCTGGAAATCTAGGAAAACAATAGGCCAACATCATCGTTAAACACTCTTACTGTCAATCAAAGATTGTTGATTTGGCCAGAGGCATGCAGACAACCCCGCTTCCGAATTTTTCTCGATTAAAATCAGCGTTTGGTACTCTTGAACAAATTTCTTCATAAGATTATCAAGAGACGCTTTGCTGAAAAATAATCGATTCGAAAAATAATCAAGTGACTGGTTCACCTTATTTCGTTGGAAGCTTGGATCGTCTCATCAAAATAATTGCATTCCGATTCAATCCAAAACTGTCTTGTTGGAAGAAGGTTTGATTTCGCAAGTTCGAACCAGGGCAAAACTGCTCCTCTTTCTTCGCAGAACTGTTTTGCTTCAAAGGGATGTATTTCATTTTCTCTATTCAACGACGTCGATAAAAGTGTCCCTGTTCCTTCATCATATGTTACCATGGACCAATCATCAACTTTTATGCCTTTGAAGACCTGGCCCTTCAAATTCATGACTGTAATGTTTGATATATCTTTCTCCGTTATTGTTTTTGGCTTGTGTTGTTTAGATGGTTTAACATTTATTTGTCCGAAAAATTGCCTATCGAACTCGTCAATACTTCCAGCAGGAAGCTGCATCATCAATTCAGGAGAGACTTCAAATTCATTTTATTTGTGCCAAATTCATTTTTTACTTACGAGCAGAACGGGTTTTGGAAATCAAATTCAGACCAGGTTTGGTCATCATCAATCTAAAATTCTTTTCTGAGTGGTGGTTTTTCGAGATAAACTTACATTGTCAAAGCAAAGCTAAAGATAATCAAGACCCATTTTTTCCGAAAAAAGAGCTCTCTCAAAAACGTCTCCTCCATTTCTAAAACACCAGATCTCGAAGGATCGAAGCATCGTAATTACTGATAGTTTATCAGTAGAAAGCGTTACGGCTGATGATTCTTTTCAAAGACGCAGCTTTTCGATAGCCAGATCATGTGGTCCACATGGTTTGATAAAACTTAGATTTAGAATAGATCAAAAGGAAAATTTGGAACTCAGGGCTTTTTGCTTACTTCAATCAATCAGAATCAAAATTTGAAGTTCAGAATTTATTCTGTTGCGTCATAAATTTGAACATTTTTTCTCCGAAAGCAAATATGTTTTTAATAACCCTCAGAAGCCCTACAACCCGAAGAGTCTAAAACCTAGGCCTGGTAAAATCCCTGGTGATTAATTACGATATCTGCGAGTTGAGGGTCCTCCACTTTGTAAACATGCGAATCAGACCCTTTTGAAAAAATTTCAAGACCTAAGAGTGGAGTGGCGATTTCTGCTTAGACCAGAAAAATTACCGACGAATCTGATAGCGTTACAATCTGACCCAGAGTCAGCACTCTTTGTTGTTGAAGTTTGTTGTTTTGGTAACGTTGAGAAGGTGATAGGTTTATCAGCCAGGCAAATCCCCCGCAGAGGGTAACGCGCAGAGATACCAACCGTAAGGAACATTCTAACAAGAAGCGGCTTCTCCAATCTTGTTTTAAAAATGTAAGAGCAGCAGATTATGAATGATAAAAAGCGTTTTATCAATTATAAGTACATTCTACCCAAAAATTTCTGAGAAAAATTCAAAAACAAAAGCGTTATTTTCGAAAAAAAACACCTGAAAAAATTCTCAATTATTTTTCGTCACGGTGACGACTTCAATTCGTCACCAACAAAACAAGTCGAAAATTTCGCTTTAAAATTTGAACTCTCGAAATCATAAATTACCACTCAAAAAAGCATCATTTTCGAAAAAAACTTTCTTTCCCACACTTTTAGCTCTTGATTCATCCCTTTGAAATCTCAAATTTGCCACTTTAACTGGTCGAAAGTTCTTAAAAAAGGAAGTGCTTGTTTTTTCCATTTTGTTTTTATTTCTGATTTTTAAAACAAGAAACAGAAACGCTAAACACTAGAAACGGTGAAATGTGATTAGAACGACGAGAGCGTCTAAAATCGTTGGCGATTTTCTCATTCGATCGGGGAAGTCGCCCAAGCTGCTGCGAGTCCCGTTGATAAGTCGTCTTCTCTTGGCCGAAAGAGATGTTCGATTGCATGAACTTCTGGCGCAAGCTCTTTGACTAAACAAACAGTCGTAAATATTCACTTCTAAATTCATGATTTTAATTTACCGCGGGGCCTCTAGGCGTAGAAACGCTGGAAGGTCCAGTGCCAGATTTAGCTGTGGCTCCAGAGGTTGTTTCGAAGTTCATCTTCTTGCTAGAACCCATTTGCAAATAGCTCTAGAATGGCTTGTCGATTGTTGGTTGAGAAATAGACCTTACCTTTCGAGGGTCAACATTTGTAGGATTTCCCTCTCGCTTGGCAGTTCTCGAGCCGGAAAGTGTCTCCATTTGATTCTCGCTGATTTGTTGAGAATCGCAAGCGTTTTCTTGCTTTTAAATGGCGATTCTAGCGCCAGAAAGGGTCTTCAATAATTGAAAGAGCGTATTTATGGAGATGATGAATAATTGAAAGAGGAGGGGAAATCGTCTTTTCCGAGTACGTAGACGTCAAAAATAAATGATAAAACAGGCGGACAGACTTATCTTATTTAAACGATAAGAATAAGGGATCGAAGGGTCTTAGTCAATGCTCGTGGGAGATAAACGCATTAGTTTGGATTATGAATAACTGCACATTTATGCCTGATTGAAAAATTACCGTTTTTATCCATTTATGTCTGTAGTTTTCTTTAGTTTTCGTTTTAATGGGATAGTTTTCTGTAGAATGAGGAGATTGTACCCTTCAAGGATACTTTTTTTGGGAAATGCAAGTACTGATGAATTTTTTAAATAAAAGTTGAAACTGCAATAAGACCTAAAAAAGCAATTTTTCAAAATTAGACAAGAAAAGTCTCATGTTAGAAAATCGTCTTCTTCGAAAATTTCCTTACTCGAGGCTTTTAAAAACCACTGCGAGGGGCTTTGACAAATTTTATCATGAAAAATCATTACTAGCGCCACCGTTATAGCGCGCGCCACGTGCGATTCCTTTCCGCAAAAGATTTTATAAGCCGCAGTTTTTCAAACAGTGCAGAAAAAGTAAAGGATTGGCGATTTCTGAGCAAGAAATTTTTCAATCATGAAAACAGCCCTTTTTTCTAACGCTCTTTTTTGTGGACTCGTTGTGGGGGAACTTACTGTTAGAGAGCTGAGAACTGCTTTTGAGAATTCTAGAGATGGAATTAACAGGTTTAGTAACTTAGCTCTTTGGAACTTACTTGCTACTTTTTTGAGTGGTGGCTCGAATTATAAGAAAAATCGACAAAATATTTAAATTTTTTGATATTTTTTCTGAAATCTGGTTGGCCAAGCGAGTAAACGCTGACATTTGATCGGTCTTTATTTTAAATTAACCCATCCGACCCAAATTTTCAATAAAAAAGACCTCAAAAAAGACGATATTTATTTTATAGATATCTTAACGACAACTTCCAATTTCTCCCATACGAGCATCTAACAGAATTCGACGAATTCACCTCGATTGGATCAAAACTCGACTCCAAAAACTCGCGAATTCTTCCAAAAAACATCCCGGGCGCCCTGTCGCTTTTCAAAAAGCTCAACATCCGCGCACTTCTGTACGACTACTCAAAGATGCAAGACGACTTTGAATTTCAATACCAGGTAAATGGGCTTTATGCGTTTTTTCTTAAGGAATACGGCTGCTTCTGTCTGCCAAATCAGCAAGACAAAGAGATTCTTCATGGACAGCCGGTTGATGAGCTCGATGAAATTTGCAAGAATTTTCAATTATGCAAGAGCTGCTTAGCTACCGGATTTTTAATGTCGAAAAATTTGACCATTTTTGCTGTCTCTCGATTTTCGGGGCTTAACCTAAGCCACGAGAAACGAAAAAGCTTCGAAATCCGCTAAATAGGCTACGACGGGTGTAACATCTCCGAAACCTCTTACGAATGGACCTTGAATAAAGGCGCCCGTGACATTTCTTGTAAAGACCCTCTAAACTCGTGCTCAAGAAATTTATGCGAGTGCGAAGCCGATCTGGCGCGGCAGCTGGTGCAGAAGGCGCACTTGTTCAATCCATCTTATTCGGGAATCAATGTAAGTGTCATCGCCGTCTAAAATTTGTCTCTCTTGAAGGTCTTTTTCTGTATTTATTCTTTCAATTTAGGGTTTTGATCGGCAAGAATCTTGCCGAGCACAGCACGGAAGTCATCAAATACCGACTCAGAAAATGACAACAACAACGACTATTCCTTCCACAACAACTGAGACTATTTCAACAACAACAGCTGATCTTGAGACGTTTTCCTCAAATCCAGATTATTATCAGGCCAGGATACAAATAGAGGGTGTTTTACTTTGTAGGAATTTGCTTTTTATCCTCATAAGTCGACAACAGAGCCAAATACGGTGGCTTTGGAACCCTTCAACTACGATGACCTAAATATTGATATGGAAGAACTGATGGATCTTTTCAATGGCCTGACCGCTACTAGTCCCCCTGTCACGGGAAAGGACGAGCGATCGAAACCCATCAAAATGACATCAGGTAAAAATCATCAGTGGAAATCTTTCTATTATTTTTTGAAGGTGGCAGCTCAAGAATCTTTGGGAAATTTATCGAGGATGCTCCGGTGCTAAAATCAGCATTTTCTGCTCCCAAAATCGAGCTTCCTAAAAAACCATCGGCAACATCACCAACTACTCCAAAAACACCGACAACACCGTTCATCCCTTCTGAGCCAAAGTGCTGCGGGGACTATCCAAATATGAAACTGTACAATCCTGACAGGTAGGAATTCTCTCTGGGCTCAAATTGATTCATTTCAAAGGAGAAAATGCTGTGATGGCCGGATTCGATCGCTGGGGAGCTGTTGAATATTTTTTGATAAAACAATGTTGTAAATAAATCTGCACAAAAATAGCAATTTGCTTCGATTACAAAAATATATTCGCGGGATTTCTTTTTGGCGAGAAGAATAATTAGAAGTCTTAATAATTTATTTGGATATTTATGTACAGTACAAAACAAATTGAAAAGGCAAATGTGCTTCAAATGGCCAATTTTGAAGCACAAGATCCAACTTTCAATTTTCGGGCATGAAAATGTTGCTTTTTAAAATGTTCAAAAATGTGCGATCAAGTTGATCAAGAATATCGTGACCTCACACTTTTGAGCAGCGCGTGTAAAAGGGATGAAACATGCTGGATTCATGTTTAACATCGGGGCTTGAATTGGGTGAGACGATTGACAAATTGGAATTGACGGGTCTTCTTGTTCTTCTCGCAGCGAGCGATGAAGGGAGGATTTGTTGACGCGCCGTTTAGACAGAAAAATCTAAAAGAAAATGAGGAAAAGGACTGATTTTTAAAGACTTACGAGCAGTGAGACTGATCAGGACGCTTGCAAGCTCTTCCGTTCGAGCATTTCGGCTGACAATCGACCCCAATGTGGGGATTTTTCTTGAAAAACTGCCTGAATGCTTGATGCTTTCGAATATTTCGACAGCCCATTCTTGGCTTCTCAGCGTTCGTGAACGGCTGATCACGAGGATGTTGCGTCGCTTTCGTGATTTCAGTTGATTCTTCTTTTGGTTTTGCGTTCTTGATGCATTGGATCGGTGTCCCCTGAAGAGAAAAATCTGAAAGAGAAGAAGTCGTGTTTACTTACAGCGGGTGGGAAGGTTTTTCGAATCGCGACTTTTACACACGTGATCTTCTCGTGGCTAGGAGCGCTTCCTTCCGGACACTTGACCTCGCAGAACTTTCCACCGTCGCAGCTGACACTTGCCAAAGGATCGATACTCTAGAAAAGGAAAGCGTAAGACACGCAAGCTGTTCTCGAGAAATATTACGGGGAAAAGGGAGGAAATCGGTCCACAAGCATTCTTCTTCGTCAGATCCTCACATCTGATGACTCCGGTTTTTGGCGAGGGAGGAAGCCATCTTTGCTTTCGGGGATTGATGCATCGGACTTTCTTCACTGTTGGTGACGTTCCAGCAGAGGTACATGAGAAGGTACACTGTTCAGGTTTTATAAATTTTTCTCTGTTTTCCGACTTTCGAAAATTTAAAACCACAATCCTTATTTGCAGCGCAGTCGATTCTGACATCATTACCAACAACCTTAAAATTGCTCATTAGTTGGACCTTCCCACATAAAAGGTGATTAGTGAAACCAGCGATTATTTATAGTGGAGTAGCTGGGCGGTAATTAGATTAACTGTACGTCCGTCACTGTATTTTGATGGAGGGTCTACTATTTTAGGATTAATTTTACCTGGTATGCGGATCGAACTGCTCCACAACTTGTTCTGGCAAGCATACGCTGGATAGTAGAATCGATCCAGTCGATATATGACGACACCCTAAATATAAAAAAATAATTTTTTGAAATCATGATTGGGCAGTTTTTTTTGATAGAACTTACCGAACATAAATTCCTGGAAATCCAGCCCGGCCGCATCCCTTTCCAAAACTCGTGATTCCGTGCAGCACTGGTTCTCCATTTTCGATGCAAATCAGCGGTCCACCAGAGTCTCCCTGGCACGAGTCAGTTTGATTTCCGCCAAAGCACATCATTTCGTGCTCCTTGAGAACGGACGCTTTGAATATCTTCGAGCATTTCGCATGATTGACGAGAGGAACTGCGGCTTCCATAAGGGTGTCGGGCTGGATCATTTCTCCTTCGGCGAGGGTTCCCCAACCAGCGATGAAACATTCACCTTGGAAATTTTCGTCGATTCTTTTGCTCGGAAGACATGCGGGGCCGATGTTAGCATTGGCCTAAAATTGATGATCTTTCATCCTAGCAAGAGGGATTGCCATACCTTGACATTATCAGAAAGCTGCAACAAGCAAATATCATTGATAAAAGCTCCTCGATGCCCTCCTACATTTCCAAATTGCTCGTGGTTCTGGAAATCAACGATTGTCACCGTCTTCGTGTCTTTTCCGCTTCCATCCAATTTTGTCGTTCCGAATGTGATCGGCTTGCCAATCACACTTGGGCTGCAACAATGGGCCGCGCTCAAAGCCCACCGTTCAGCAATCAAGGTAACTCCGCAATTTCCCTGAAGACTGGCAATCCACTTCCAGTGGTTAGTGTCGACCTGTTGCCCTAGAATGATCCGGTCGAAGAGACCTGCAGTGATCATGCTTCTATAAAGCCGAGAGCCGTATCGATCATCAATCGTATTCGCACTGCAGCGCAAGTTCGGCGCAAAAAGAGCTCCTTTCATCGGCGGCATCGTAGCTGGAGGCGCGTTTTTCGGCGGTGTAAACATTGGCGTCGTAGTTGGCTCGGGCATGATAATTTCATCCTCGAGCGTCGCTGGATCAGCTGGCTGCCCTAGCCAGACAGATTTTTCAATCCAAAGGCGGGAGTTTGCAATTCTGTTGTACACTCCTGGTTTCTTCGGCTGAGCACAGCCGACACCCCAGGAGACAACTCCTTGCAAAACTGGGACATTTCCTTCGACACAAATCAATGGCCCGCCAGAATCTCCTTGGCAAGAATCAGTTCCTCCTTCATCGAATTTTCCAGCGCAAAGCATAGTTTCTTTCTTGTACCAGCTTCCGTACGATTGGCTGGACGAGCAATGGTGATCTGGGATGGTTTCTACTTTCGCTTCCAAAAGTCGTTCCGAGCTCATTCCACCTTGGCTTGTCGCTCCCCAGCCAGCGACAAAACAGCTTGTTCCAGGAGCTGGAACTGTTTTCGCCAAACAAACAGGTTGAATTTTCTCGGTGAAGGGGACGGCTTTGTTGAGTTTTATCAGAGCGACGTCGTTGACCATACTGGTAGGGTTGAAGTCCGGATGGATGAAGAAATGATCTGGAGTGACTTGAATCTCGTCCTCTTCTTGGAACAGTTTTGAGCGATCCCCGAGCGTTACAACCACGTGATTCATGTTTCTCAAGCAATGCGCTGCAGTCACAATCCACTGCTCGTTCAAAATTGCTCCGCCGCAGAGAAACATCTTGTCGACCTTGATTCTAACGATAAACGGCCAGTTTGTTCCAGCAGTGGTCCCGTTGATGATCCGCTCGACCATGAATCGTGAACCACTGTTAGGTACAGTATCGTGACAGATAAGACCCGTAGGGAGGAGGCCATTCGCTGTGTTGGCCTCTGCGAAGTTTTTTGCTGAAAAGAATTTTGAGATGAGGTGCTGAATATGGAATCGTTTTCACGGTCAATGGAAAGGTCACATTTTTCATAGAAAGCGTTACACTGATACTTGATTTTTTTTTGCAAAAATGATATGAAAACCTCATTTGGTGGAAATTATATAGAGTCTTTATTAAAAACCATAATACTACCAATTTTTGTCAAGATAAGAATTTTAATAGAACAGTCATTTGAGTCTCGAACAAAACCATTTTTAGCTGTATTGGTATTAGTTGCACCACCTAATTATGATCAGAAGCGCAAGAACTTGAGCAATTAAGAAAGGTGTAATAAATTTTATATAAGTGACAAGGTCAGCATATAAGTAAAAGTTCTCAAGTTACCTGAAGTAGACCTTTGAGTCCATTGACTAAAGAAATTCGGCCCGAAAGCCTGGGCCCTCGCCGCAAGAAGGGCCCAGCAAAACCCAATCAGTTTCATCCCAAATCAGTCAAATAGTCTCTTCTTTCTCTTTACAATTTTTTTCACCTCCCGGTTGCTAGTGAGTTCGTGGTCCGCCTTCAACCAGGATGTGGACTTCACGAGACAGAAAACATTCCCTAAACGCGGCGCTGGATCTGGCCACGAGGCGCCACCACCACCGAGCAAAACCGACATAATTTCATAGACATGCCTCTCGCAGCCGATTATATTCGTGAATATTAAGACACGCAAATTGAACAAGAACGAAATTTGTCACTTTCGCCATTTAGACTTCATCTTGAGCGAAAATTTCGTAACAAAAAGAAGCTTCGATTACGTTCCAAGATGATTTTTTTCATAAATGGTCGTTTATTTTACAAGTAATTTTCATCAGTTACATCTTCTTCAATCTGCCTAGCAAGTCTGTTCGCCATCATTTCGAGAAGCAAGTCTTGTCGCTAGAATAATGTTATGATTTTTATGGTATTTATGGTGTTTGCTTACCTTTTCGAATTGCTTCTTGTCTCGTTTCTTGTCAGTGAGCTTTTTGCCGAAGATGAACCAGATGCTCACCCCAACGATGTACAAGATTGTCAAGAGGAACGCTAGAATTCCAAAGATATGGAACCAGCCGACGACAAGAAAAGCAAACGCCATAATGAGGACAGCAATTATTGCTGTATAGCATTCTTTCTTTGCTTTTTCTACGGAAAATTTAGAATATGACTTGTTTTATGGTGAGCCTAAATAGTTAGATACACTGTATATACACCGGTATACCTGTAGTATCCCTTATCTTCTTCATCTTCTTCTGAAGCATTACCACTTTCACAGAATCATCGTAATCAACCCCAGCTCCAGCCGCAAAATTCACCTCATTGAAAATATCCTTCGCCTTCTCCAACTCCCACTTCGCCGGAATCGCCATCAGCGGATTCAACAAAGTCGCAAAAACCAAAAAGTCTCCTTCTTCGACCAGCATTTCTTCGTACTGATCCAAAAGCTCCGCCACGCCGTTTTCATAAATCTTTTGGGCTTGTTTTGCGTCTTCTATTTTTGTCATGGGCGGGCTTGAGTAAACAGGAGGGAGATAATTTTGCTGACGCTTTTCGACTTTTGCTTCGTAAATTGCATAGTCAAGCCTTTTTTCTTGTGTTGACATTCGCCTCACCATCTTGCCTGTTGCTTTGTTTCTCTTGTACTTTGATTTTTGAAGATTTTTTTTTGAAGTAATGAGTAATTTCTAATTATCACCACTAATCCTCTAGCGTACCAGAAGTCAAAGGACCGTTGTAAAACGCTTTTATTGCCCTTGGAAGCTCAAGATCAACATTTTTTTCACAGACTTATTTATTTTCAAATTCTATTTTACTTTTGGCAGACAAAAAGGTGATTCGATTATGCAATCAAAACATGTTTGTAACAGCTACTAGCCAGCTTCTTCCGCGCAGAATTCAGCATATTTCTCTTCATCCATCAATTCTTCCAGCTCGCTTTCGTCTGACATCACGATTTTTACAAGCCATCCTTAAAATTTTACTTCAAAATCTAGTTAAATCATCTGAATACCTTCTTCGAAAGGATATCGGTTGACAACAGCAGCATCATCAGCTAGTTCTTCGTTGATTTCAGTTATTTCGCCGCTCACTGGAGAGATGATGTTTCCGACGGATTTGACGGACTCGATGACTCCGATGTCATCTAAAACAAAAATTCTTATCCTATCAAAAAACCTACTTCAAACCTCCTTTTGAAACTTCTTCACCAGTTTCGGGCAGTTCGACGTAAACGATATCACCAAGTGCATCAGCAGCGTGTTGAGAAATGCCAATCAGAGCAACGCCGTTGTCGACCTTGACCCACTCGTGATCATCTGTGAACAAAAGTCCAAAGTGTCTGTGCGTCACTGACAACTGTCGTGTGAACTGGCTCGTGATGAAATTCTATCGAAGAAAAATGGGCGTAAATTGGGATAAGACATAAACTAGGGTTGAGTATTTCATTATATCTTGAATAAGGGTATCACTATACATTTTTTCTTCATAAAAGATCGTCTTCAAAATTGTCTTTTATAAGAATTAAAAATTCATACCTGAACAAATCTTCGAGTAAACAAGCTCATCTTTGAAACAAAAATGTGAAACAGTGAAAATAAAAAAAGGGTTTTTGAGTTTTTTTTCTTGTCGCAATAAAAATGTGTCGAGTGAAATCTCAAAGTGCCAAGAAGAAGAAAAAAAATCTCGTGAAAAGTGGATGGGGCTTGTTGATGAACACCCAAATAAGGGAGCCTGTCTCGACAACGATAAATAAGGGCTTTCCAAAAATGAAAGCCTCGTTAACTTTTATTCCTCATTTTGGAAAATGTTCCTTATTTCCAAATAAGGGCATGGTCGGTTAAATAAAATTTAAACTTGTTCGTGTAAAAAGCATTGCCTGAGTTTAGATCCCATGATATTTATCTTACATGTAGCATGCCTTTCCGGCTATAGTTTCATATCCACCATCTATCTGAGGCGAAAGATGATTTTTCTTCAGTTTTTACTATTTTTCGGAGGTGAATGCGGTCGACCATGCCAATTGGGTGATTTCGATGAGGATCGTTTCGGAAACCCGCTCAATATCTACTCCGGCAGGGGTCTTATCGTCCCTCAGGAAGAGACTTGTCCGTCAGTGTATTTACATCCTTTCAGCTTCCCTTTTCTCCCAACCAGAGACCCGAAATCAAGACCATCTGATTTTTAATTCCAAAAAATTTTTTAGCGATATCGATTTGAAACAAGAATGCGAAGCCTTATGCAGAGCTGAATACAATCGCTGTCGACTTCTGTGTAAAACAGAATATTGCCAATCTATTTGCGAACGAGAATACGCAAGTAAGATTCAAAGTACAGATTCGAGTACGAGAAATATTTCTTGTTTGCCTCGACAATTGCCCTTGTTGAGAAAATTGCCCTAACGGATGTGTCGGTTGCGACAACCCCATTTGCCCTTCATGCGTTGGTGACGACCGATGCCTTGGTATAGAAAACTGTGAGACTTTTCTCGATTCCTGTGAAGTCCGCCCGATAAAAAACAATCAACTGACCAACATCACAGCCTCGGTCAACCACGTCACATCTGTTGATGTCCTCTGCTCTCACTCCGATACAGAATCATACAAAAACTTCGTGCAGATCACTAACGAGTCTCCATCCATCCAGGACACCGTTTCTTCGCTGTTAGCCGCCAACCTGATAACAGAATGACTGTTTCTTTCAACAATCCAGATGCTCCACGATATTATTAAGGAACTAACCCATTCGAATGCGTTCCAGGGGAATGGTACACTATCAAACTCGAGCAGAAACAAATTGAAACGAACAATGCTGTGACCAACATGATTGTTAAAGTCAACGAAAAAGTAATCTACCAGAGACCAACTCGAACCGCCAGAGTTCTAGAAGGAGAAGAACTCAAAGCAGGGTTGGAAATTTTGATTAATTTTTCTGAGCTAAGCTGAGCTGACCTAAGTAAAAATTTCTCTGAGCTGAGCTGAGCTGAGCTGGCCTATTTTGGAGGATTCTGAGCTGAGCTGGCCTTTTTCAGAGGTCATTGAGCGGAGCTGAGCTGAGCAGACCTTTTGTTCAAGAGAGTTGAGCTGAGCAGAGCCTAATTAGAGCTTAGCTGAGCTGATTGAGCTGAGATGAGCTGTTTTTTACTGTTTTTTGGTAGTAAATTGTATTCAAATCATCGAGCTGAGCTAAGATGAGCTAAGTGATAATCGTCTGATCTGAGCTGAGCAGAACAGATCATGTTCGAAAATAATTGAGCTGAGCTGAGCTCAGCTGAGCTCAGCTGAGTGAAAATTGTCTGAGCTGAGCTGAGCTGAGCAGATCAGATCATTTTCCAAAATCACTAAGCTGAGCTGAGCTGCTCAGCTCACTCAGCCAGCTCAGCTCACTCAGCTCAGCAAATTTGCAACTCTGACTCAAAGTGATCGCGTCGAATAAAGATTGGCTCGCTGCTGACGACACTCTTATCAGAATCTTCTTTTATCAGACCTTCCCTTATATTGTAGGATAAAATCAGAAATTCAGCCCCATCTAAACGATATTTTTTTGGAACCCTGCGTTGGCGATGACCCATGCGATGGTAAAGACAACTGCGTGACTTTCTTTGATTCTTGCACGATTAATCCCGTCAAAAACCTTCAACTCGCCAACCTTACCGCGGAAACAATTGAATACGACATATCTGTTGATATGCGCTGCGCCCATGCAGATTCAGACGACTTTATCAACCTCGTGCAAATCACGAATGAATCTGGAGAGGGCAATGCTTCGCGATCAACCTCAAAAGGATCAAAATCACTGTCACATTCAGCAGAGGCACAAATGGAGATTATGGTGGATCATATCCATGGGAGTGCGTTCCAGGCGAATGGTTCACTTTCTTACTAATGCAAAGACTTTATGTAAATAATCCGCGATGGACGGATGTTTTTATTCGTCGCGACGGCGAATATTATCATTTTGACGATTACTATACCGACTACGTTCTGGTTGGCGAATTCAAAGCTATGGCTTCGAATAGAGATATTAGCGCCGCTGAGGATACCCTTATTCGAAACTTCTACTTAAAGTACTGAAATTCAGTCCTACCCTTGAAATCAAGAGCTATGATTCCTACTGCCTTTTATAATGAGCAAGCGAAATAAAGAATAATCTCAGTAAAAGTTGACTTTTATCAAGGCCATTAACATATTTTCCTGTAGAAAAAAAGCATTATTTGAGCTCTTCATCATCACGCTTCAATAAATCAAAGCTTTCCCATGCGAAAAATTGTACTCGGAAGTTCCAGAAGAATTTTAATTGCAGTTTCTCATTGGCAAAATTTGAGAAAAATATAAGTGGGCTGCAATTTTCCACATTTCTTGCGCTACATTTTTATTCCCATCAAATTTAAAGTCATCTATTTCGAAGGAAACGATTCTGAATCAAGAGCAGTATTTTCGGATCTTCGGGGCTGAGTGGCTCAATAATAACCTTCTCAAAATACAGTAAATACGCCCAATTCAGTCAGAATAAAATTATCCCCGATTTCCTATTTTTAGCGGTGGAGCTATTAAAAGATCGAACTTCAAGACGTCGGTCCGTGCCTCAATGAGATGGAAAAATTCGTCGCGGTTCCGCTACTTTCGGAAATTAATCATTCTCTTGATAAATTGCTGGAAAGGGGAGATTCTGACACAGATATCTTATCTTACGGTGTCCTTTTTTGCCTGGAATTAGCGAAGTTAAATCTGCTCATAAATCATAGATCTACGGCTCATTTTCTTGCTGAAATGATTGGTGAAAACGATAGTTGGAAATAAGCCTACCGATAGTTTACCACAGGTGCCGCGAAATTCGTAAAAACCATCGATTTACCAGGCGATTCCCAAATAGCGCCATAAATCTTAAAAATCGTCAAGAATCAAGTCCCAATACATGTATTTGATATTTACTTTCTTCGCTCGAAATGAAAGATGATTCTTGCGAAAAAGCATAAAAACAAAAAAATCCTTAACTTCTCATTACACGGGCGCGCGACTAAGCGCTCAAAACACGGGGTCCAATTATTGGACCACAATGCATTATCCAGCCCCGCGCGGCGCGCCAAATTCAGAGTGTGAAAAATAGCGCTCAGGACTTTTGGCTCTAATTGACGTTTCCGTCAAGTAAAAAAGCTCGTAAATTCATTGCTAGAAAGCTTGAACCTTCTTTTATAAAAATTTTTAATTGCAAATCGAAAAATCAGCTCTGATTTTCCACCAAAGAGTGAAAGAGAAATCTGGCGCAAAACGCCACCACTTTTGAGTTTTCATTCGAAATTTCTCACAGTGGTTCGTTTCCGTCCTGTCAACTCACATTACAAAATTCAGGTCAAAAAGATTACTAGAATTGGAATTACAGGGGGTCAAAGTCGCCGTGGTCCAATGATTGGACCACGTGTATTGAGAAGTTAATAATTTTCACCACCTCTGAATATATTTTTTTTTTGTTTCTTTTTTCGGCAAAATTGTTGACGTCCATAAATAAGTTTTATGCCATGAATCAGATAAAGATGTCGTTAGATGGTTGTTTCAAGCTAAATATTCCACTTAGTTACAATTTTTAAATGAAACACGACCAGACAGCACTTTTGAGCCCGCTTTCGATGTAAACCCAAAGAAAACAAAGAGTAGCCAGCCTTATCCCGCCATTTCGCGCGAGTGTTACATTTACCAAAATACACCTGCGAGATAATTACAATGATGACCCATTTTAAGGCCGGCCCTTTTAAGGCCACTTTTTCTTCGTATATGAAAATGTTTTCTTTGTTTTGCCAACCTTGATTGTTGCTTTTCTACTTAAATGTTGCAGGGATTGCTACGTCTCTGATCTTGCGGACAACAAAGAAAAAGACGGAAAAGAATCCGAAGAATCGGGGGAAAATATTCATCAATAAAGACTTTCGAATGGACCGCAAAATTATATTTTTGCACCTTTCCAAAATATTTCTTCTTTGAATAAAATCAATTATTGCTAATTCTGCATAAAAATTCTTCGCCAAGCCAATTCAGGCTATAGACTACACAAGGATAGATGCAAAAAAAGAAAGCTTATTCGGGCTCGGCGAAAATATAGCTTGGGTTAGGGGTAAAGAAAAAGAAACAAATAGTCATTTCTCTTAATTCTTATATATGGATAGGTTGATTATTGTTGGAATCATTTCGACAACTGCGTGGTGTTGTCAAAAAGCTGCTTTGTTTGTGGTTTTGTATTATAGGAAGAAAGCCAAAACTCAGGAGAAAATATTCCATTGACTGCTCGATAAAAGTTTACACTAAAAAAATTTTTATAACATGAGTTTTTTCATAACAAAAACAACATTTTCCGAATCAGATGCGATTTATTCAAAGAAGGTATTTTCTGATGAAAAACAGAGAAAAATCAGAAAGTTAAATTTGAATTTGTTGACAACGATTCGTCATTTTTCTTGGCGCTTAGTTTCCGCAGTTCATCTGCTTGAGCTTTCGGGTGACGATCTGGTTATGCTGCCGCTGTATGAGTCTGGTCAATTTGATTGGATTGTATTCGGCGTCGGGCATGCAGACGTAGGAGTCGGTGAAGGACGCGAGAGAGGCGAAAAGGCCTTGCAATTCCACGCAACCGTCGGCAGAGTCGATAGGTGAGACGAAAGTTGAGTGATCGTTCGAGCCAGCAGGGAAGTTGCAGGCATCGGCGGAAGAGAAGGAGTTGAGCTTTTGCATCTTGGCGAAGAAATCGTTGAATCGAGCAAGCTTCTTGGATGCAAGGACCGAGTTGGCACCTAGGCCAGGGAGAGCGGCGTAGAAGTCGTTGACGACGGTGCCCAAAGCAGCAGCAGCGGCTTCGATCTGGCCCCAAGCTTCGGCTGGAGAAAGAGTAGCTGGAGCCGCTGGTGCAGGTGGGATGCAGACCGTGGCCATATCATCTCCATCAGCGTAAATGCAGATTTCGAAACCCCTCATAGCGTATGAGTCATCGGAGACAAAGCTGATAGATCCGGTGTTTCCGTTGATAGTCTGCGCAGGCATGCCACTTTTACTGTGGTTAGGAGGGGAGGTGCGAGATTCCAGACCGAGAGCGGTCTCAGCCTCTCGCCTTCGTCGCGATGCCCAGCCGCAGTAGCTCGATTGGTTTCCAGCGCCATCGTCGAGGATGACCGCGTCACAAAGGCATTCATCGCACTTCTCGACGGCGAACTTATTGGGAAAGATGTGGAAGCTGGTGACCGATTCTGGGAATTGGATTTTCCAGACGCAGTTCATGTTTTTGTAGTAGAAACCATTTTCATCCTGAGGAGGGAGGAGTAGCTGTGACCCGGTGATTATTCCGCCGCACGTTGCATCCGCTGGAAAATCATTATCGACGTAGTCGGCACTAGCGTATGAGGTCGAGTATGCAGAGGCAGATGCAATGGATGCAATAATGAGCTAAATAAATTTTTATTTATGTCGCATAAAAATTATCTCTGATTTTTACCTTCATTTCTTTTTATCCTGATGTTTTATCAGAAAAAGAGACTCGTTGAGATCTGCCCGTATTCATGAAAACTCTCGATTTTATTTCTTTCGACTCGGAGCGCCGCTGCTGGTCGGCGCTAGAAAACCATGCTGATCATCGCATGGTTTAAAGTTACAGTATGAAGAATTTTTAAGGCCGATTTTTGGATGACATCGAATTTCAAAAGTGGCCTTAAAATGGATATTTTTTGTCTCAAGTCAGATGACAACAAATTTTGAAGACCGATCGGATTTTTTTTGACGGAAGAGGTGAAATTCCATCTTTATTTTCGATTTCTCCAAAAGAAAGAATTCAAAAAAGCAATGCCTGACCCCCATTTGAAATTTTGACCTTTTCCCGCTGTGTTCTTTGGGTCAGGGAAGGAGGAAGACATTTGCATTTTTAGCGGCATTCACGAAAATGGATTATTTAGGCGGCGAAATATACAATTGCGCGATTTGTGCAAAGGGGTTAAATTTGGCATGTCCGATTTATTTCGGCGGAAGCTGCTTGAAAATGAAGGGATGAACTTTCTCGCCAGAATCGGATGATAAACAATCATGAAATTTACGACCTCCGAAAATTTAACTTCCGATTTTTTCTCGAGAAAAATACTCAAATCAGCTGAACCCAACAAAGCATGAAAAAGAAGCAGCACGCGTGTTCGACTAGGCTTGACTGAAGAAAAGCACTTGCAGGAAAGAAAGCTGCAACCTTGTAATCCAAACAGATGCAGCAAGTGTGTCCGCTTGTTCTCGATATCCGATTAGCAAATTACACCGGAAACGACTAGTCACGTGACCAAGTGGTTAACCAAACATATCTGATCCTGGACCAGAAGTCACGAGCGATTTCCTTCCTCAAAAGTCGAGAAGCCGCTTGCGGCTTCGAGCTAAATTATATTTTAGCCGCACGAAGCGCGGCTTTTTTTCGCTCGAAGCGGCAAGCGGCTTTTCGATTCTTAGTTTTTTTCATTTGATTGAGAATTTGGACATCCGAGAATATTATTAATGGGAAGCGAGACCGCCTTCTGTTACCATCGCGTTATTGAAAATAAGCATCGTCATAGAATGTCAATTTGACCGACTTGAGACGGATGAGCAAAATTGTCGTCATCAGAATATATTGAAGGTTATTGATCGCTAGCAAGTTGATTGAGATCAATGGAAAGGACTCAGGGACTAGCGTTAATGATGATATAAGGTGACACGTGACTTCTGCACTTGGATTCGAACCAGATCAGAATTGGCTTCGGGCGAGTTTCAGCGGGACCTAATTGCTTTTTTTTGGTCAAAAAGAAACCTCATTTTTGCTGGCAAAAACAAATATCCATTCTTTCAGATGGTAATCAAGACATCTTTTGATCCCTAAAACGCCTTTCCCCGAAAATGATAAATATCGATGCGTGCCAAAATTGCCCCATTTCTACCGTCGGCCTCCTCTGATCTCTCTTCTGATTTGTTGTCGCTTGTTTCACTTTTCTAAGAACTACAGGCTTATTGACATGTCACGTGATATGGCATCAAACCTTTTGACCTGAAACTGACACTCATTGCTTGTTTGCTGTTTGCTGTTTTTCCAGTCTGAAAGACTTGCTTTTTCAAGCAGCGGAAAAAAGAAACATTGAAAAATTCAAAATTGAAAGTTTTTCTCGAAAGAAATTTTTGGTGGTAAGTAAATTGGCGACTTCCGACATTGCGGTGGATAAAAAGGTCAGAAGACGTTATATAAACACGACGCGTTTCCGAGAGTCTTCGAAAACTCGATACATCCGGACTTCTGAAGGGTTATAAAAGGGGAGTACTAATCCGCTGAGAAGGAGGGAGGAAACATGGGCTGTTTTGGGTTCAAAAAGATTCTTGGAAAAAAAAAAGAAATTCATTCCGACGTCATAAAATACCGTTTTTCAGTATTATTTTGTACTTAAATATTAATTATCAGGTGAATGCTTTTACTGAATTGCCTCTGTAAATCATTACAAATCTCTAATTTTATTGGCGGAGATACAATTTTATTTAAATTATAAAAATAAGTTATAAGTCTCAATTTTGTGGTTTCTTAAAATGACAAAATGAATAATGTTATTCTAAAACAAATCCTTTGATTTTATTGTCGGAGCTACTATTTTATTTAAATTATAAAAATGAGTAATTTGACTCAATTTTATGGTTTCTTAAAATGGCAAAATGAAGAATTTTATTCTAAGAAAAATCCAATAGAGATACATGAAAATCACTTCAAAAAATAATTCAATTTTATAGAAGCACATGCTTTCTATTCACCCATCTTTTCATCAATTCTGAACAGTACATACAGTAAATCTGATCCAGTTTGATACAGTGTTCTTTTCTTCTTGTTCAACAGGGCGCGGGTCAAATTGCCGATTCTGGATCTTGTGACTCGGCAGCGCCGTCAAGTTTGGCGCCGGGCAGGATAAAAATAGAAAATTCTTCAAATCCCCATATATCCACAGTTCTTATTGATCCACAAAATTATTTATAGGAAGGAAAGACTTTTGAGAAAACAGAAAAAAATTATGATAAATCCAAACCAGAGCAGCGTAGAGACGCCGAGAAGCAGCAAATTGAGAAGATATTCGTTAATGATTGAAAGTAAGTAAATTTAAAACAGGTCACAAGGCCAGATCTATCTGAAAGTAAAAAAAGATGTGTAGACATGTTCAAGAGTGTATGAAAGGTTAGCTAGCTTATCTGCTCTATTTTTTGGCCCTTGACTTCAAAAAAGATGGTTTTTTCCGAAAAGTTCAAGTTAAAAAATTCTCGACTCAAAAAAAATTTTTTTTCAAAAAAGAGATTTTTTTAAGAAAAATAAAAATGTTTGATTTTCTCTTTGCCCAACAAAATTTCAGAGATTTTGAATTTCATCAAAAAAGTAGGAAAAGTAGTCAGAAAAAAGGAGTTAGCTTGTTTTTTTCGCTTCCATGTGATAATTATTTATTTTAGGAAAAAAGACCTTCCTCTTGGAAAAAATCGGCGTCCGTCCGAAACCCCGGCGCCGCACCAGCTGCGTCAACCTCGTGCGCGACTTTTCCGCTTCGCATCCGAACTGCTACCAGCTGGTGAACTCTTCAAGCTCATCCTCTCAACTGCCAAAAAGTCCCTCTGTAGAAGAGGCCTCCAAGATCAGGAATCTTACTCTCCTCCTTCACGACGAAAATTGCCGGCAAATTTTCAAGGCGTTTTTGACCAAAGAACATTCGGCCGAAAATCTTGAGTTTTGGGTTGCTGTTGATAGATATCGGTAAGAAATCAATTGTTTTCGAAAGTCAATCTCCTTACCAATTTTTTCAGAAAAGAAGATCTATCAAAAGCGCTGTCAATCTTCAATCGTTTTCTCGCCCCCGGCGCTCCGGACGAGGTCAACATCGAGTCAAACCTAATCAGCCAGATTCGCGATTCGCTCGCCTCGGGGCACGCCGCCGCCAATATCTTTGACGACGCCAAATACAGCATTTTCTTATTGATCAAACGCGACAGCTACAGAAGATTCAGAAGATGGTACGATGCCCATCACTTGTAAAGTAAAAAATAGAGCCGGTTCAGCTATTTAAATTTCCAATTCTAGAATTTTCTTTTTATCTTGCTTTTTTAAATTTTTTTTTGATAGAAAAAATTTCAATCAAACTCGTTCGCTGCTTAGCCTGTACATTACTTTATCTAAAATATATTAAATAAACTTATTTTCTTTGTTTTCTTGTATTTTGAAAATCATTCCATGGCGACCTTGGATAGGAAAATTTTCAGATGTATTTTTGACGTAATGTTCAAATAATTCTCACACTTGGCCAAATGTCACTGTGGTTGCAAGCAGAAGTAGGGTGTCGAGGGCCGGAAGAACTGATACGACCTTCAGATTTTTTCGATGATTCGGGCTTTTCAAGGACTTTTGCTCTTAAAAAATTTTCATCATCAATAATGAGGATCTTGATTAGGTTTTTTCATATTTTGTTGATTTCCTTGTCTATTTGTGGTTTTTAAGCGCTACGGTTTTTATCATTTTTAGTGCGAAAAAGTTTAACTACCCGTCTCGACGCCATTTTTGATGATCGAAAGTGCCACTTGAACGAAATCAAGACAAAACTCAGTTTCGAAAACTGTAAATTTTTTTTTCTCATTTTCAATTTTATTATTTGCGGATTTGATAGCCGCCGCGGAGCTTGTTTTTCGCATTTTTGATGGTGATTAATTTAAATAAAAAATCATTTCGATTCCTTTCTGTGCTTCATTTTGTGAGGGAAGATAACAAGGACCGGCCCTGCTGGTCCGGTAGGAGCAGAACCAATTTATTTTACTGAATAAAATTTATTTAAAAAGGAGGCTTATGACGAAGGTAATTAACTAATTTTTATGAAATTCAAAAGTGCACCTTTCAATTTTTGGCAACTTGAGTTCTCATTTCTCAATTCGTTCATAATTCAGCAGATAAATGGTATGTACCCGTAAAAATGTTATGAGGCGCTCTCGTCTTTCAGGTTTGTCAGAAAGAGCGGTTCTCGCTTTTATAATAAACGAGCCGGAGAAATAATCTTTTGTTTTCCCGCAAAACCAGAGGATAGAAACGAAAATCGGTGAAGACATAGAGGAGGGTCAATTATGAGACTGCTGGCGTTAGCGAATTTTGGTAATTTTTTGAAAGCGAAAATGAGTCAAAAGGAATTTACGACTTCCAAAACTATTTTTATGGCCGTTGAAAAATAAAAGATTTTTTTAGCTTTCGCGAGTAAGATTCAGGCGACGGAATTTTGGGTCAACAACTATGACTCCAGCGCCACTATCCCTTGCGGAAATCTTCGATCCCTCGGAGATGTCAGTCGAATTAGCTGGCGAAGAATCAAGCTAGAAGATCAAGAGGCGGAAGGAATCAAACTTGGAGAAGTCGGGGGAAGTCGGGATGCAGAAATATCTGAGAACATTCTTGGCTTCAAAATTGGATTCAAAGGAGAATTGAAAATCAATAAAAAAGAGCTCAAAGAAGATGGATTTTCGCCGGAAGACATTGCTTTTTACAGATGCAGAGTAGTAATGAGAGACGATGAGGAAATAATCGAGACGAACTACAAACTGCTGGTGAATTTTTTGCTCGATAGGGACAATTTAAGCCCGATAGTCAGACGTAAGTTCAAGCGAATAGAATTTTTTAATTTGCAAAAAATCATTTTTTATTTAGACAAAAGACTTGGCGAACGGGGGAAAAAGCAGTACAAGGAAAATATAAAATACAACATCGCGGAATGCGAGTCGAAAGTGGCGGGGCCAGATCCAGCGGTTCTCGTCTGGAAAGCTTTCGATGAGTTTGGCCGAAACATCAGCGACAGTAATCAATTCGGCGCTTGCAAAGTTAGCGATTCCGAATTTGGCGACAGCAATTTTTGCGGCAAAACGACAGGTGATATTTTTTGCTCGAAAAAATAAGTTTGATGATTGTTTTTTTAGATTTTTTGAGCATCGACAAAAAAGACAAGCGAAAAATGCAGACAACGACTTTACCACTTGCTTTTGACGCTGAAGATGGAAGCGGGCTGACCAGTAGTTTTGATCGAACATACTTTATCTGTGAGGCGCACTACAAAGAAGCGATTGATGGCGAATTGGAGGAATTTGTCGAGATTTCCAGGTGGCCAAAAGGAGATGAGCTCGTCCGAGTATTACGTAAGAGCTGAAATAGGGGGATGAAAACGGTTGAACAAATTCTAGATCCGGTGAAAACCGTTGAAATCCTCGTCAATGGCGAGTCGATTAAAGCTGCGGTGCTTGACATCAGCTACGATCTTCCCAAAATGACATGCGATTCGGACGGATTCGACAACGATAGCGAAAATATTGTGATGGAGGAACCACTTGATCCGCCTAAAGGGTTTATCCGAGTCAGGTGCAAAGCCAGAAATGGGAGGAATGAAGGAAATTGGATCGTGCAAGAATTTGACTTCGTCAAAGCCAGTAAGTCTAAGAGAACAAAATTCATGAAAATTTTTTTTTAGAAATTTCCGAACCGACGATTACCAGTGAGCATCATGGGATGTTCGTCAACGTTGAAGCCTCCTTCGAACCGATCAAAGCGGATTTGATGACAAAAGTCTTCAGCTGCAAGAACTCCCCGCCAGAATCAGGAAAGAAAGGAGTCGAGGAAAACGAACGTATGTACGAATACCTGCTCGATAATTGCGAACAAGGAAGAGCGACGAAAGAAGGGCACAAGCACTACATCAGTCGGCAAGTTTCAAAAGGTGAGGAAAAGGGATATTTTGGAAGATCTTACGCAATGATTTTGTTAAGAGTATCAATTGCTTTACACTGTTGCAATTCTGGAAGTCCTCGATCCGTACGGAAACACCGGACGAATTTATAATTATGCGCCGCCAGGCGGAAACATTCGACAACAGGCGCAAATTGAAGAAGAAGAGGGAGAATTTCCAATCAAAGCCACTTTCACCAAAATGCAAGTTTTTCTCCTTACTCTCAATTTAATCAATTTTCAGGCCTCTGCTAGACAACTGGCGATCCGGACGTGCTCGAAGACGAACGTCTCAACTTATCGATTTTATGGTGGCGTTTTTTTACGACGAGGAAAGAAAAGAGCTCGTGGAGATTTCTGACGACGTCAAAATCGAGTCGGAAGATGAAAAGACTGGAGAATTCGAAGTCGTCATGGATCCGATGCCCGAAGAGCCAGGCCACTACATCGTGAGTCCACTTTTTTGAGCATTAAATCGCTGATTTGTTTAGATTTGCTACGACTTTGCGGATGAAATCGACGCGCAAAAATACAATGGTTCTGAGTACGACTTTATTCACGACGATCTGCTCGAAAATTATTTCGAATTCTGCCAGTTTTTTTACAAACCCAAGTTTCCCTGGTGGATCATTTTTATGCTTTTGGCGATCTTTTTGTCCGCCGCGCTCGTCTATTTCCTTTACAAACATCCTGAATATTTCCGATGCGAGAAGGAAAATGGCGAAGTCGATTATGAAGGTAAGGGTGGACACAGCTTAAAACCAGCAAGGAATTTTCAGAGGGGCAAAACATCGCGAATATACCGGACTCTCTTTCCCGAAAATCTTCCGTTTCTTCAAGTTCATCCAGTTCTTCAAGTTCTTCAAGCTCCTCAAGCTCATCTGACTCCTCCGCCGACAGAGGCAAATCTAGAATCCAAAAAGACTCCGCCGGGGTTGTTTTCCCCACCAACTTCGGTTCACAAAGTCAAAAGCAACGAAAACCGTCGGTAGGCCCATCTTTAGGAGCCGTCGAAAAATCAAGACGAGCAAACTCCGATGCAAGAGAAGAGTTTGACTTTGTTCAAGCTGCTGAAACAACGGTAAATCATAGTATCTTTGAAAAATGTCAATTTTGATTTTTAGCCGCTGAAATGAGCTGAAATAAGCCGACACTGTTAGAAACGAGAGTAAATGAAAAAGTTCAAAATCAAAAGTTTAATAAAATAAATGTATTTTTCGTCCAAAAATTTTTTCCTCAATTTCAAGACCAGCAAAATCAGCTGTGCATCGAATTTGAAAGACAAGTTCGACATATGTTCCGCGCGCTTTTTTAAATACCCTGGGGCGTGTGGCATCCCGCCTGTAAGAAATCGAAGGCTCAATATGCAAGTCGTCCCCTGAGGCCCGTGCCCGATTGCTACATGAGTAAGCGGCGGGCGAAAAAGGGAGAAAATAAAATCGAGAAAATGGATTATTTTTAAAACCCAGATTTGTAAGATTCGGAAAGGGTTCATTTTTCAAAAAAAGGGCGAAAAAAGAAGAGAAGAGAAAATTAATCAATTCGAGAAAAAAAATGAAGATGAGAGCAGAAGAGCGAAATGATTTGAGTCAAATGAAGGTAATGCATATTTCGATGGCGCGTGAGGTAAATTTAATGCTTCAAAAAAGATGCTTTTAGATTTTAAAGATAAGATGATTAAATAAATAAATTATTGATAATGATTCTTTATTTCGAAGGCTTTTGGGAAATTTAATCTGGAAAACCATAAAGATCTTATAAATTTGGGCACTTCAGCGAGAAAATAAGAGTTTAAGGTTGGTTTTAGGATAAAACGATTTACACGTCTTTCAAAAGTCCGAGTGGTTTTTTAGTGAAGTTAAAGTTTTAATTGGATTTTGTTTAATTAATTTTCTGTTATTTCTTGACATTATGAAATCCGTCCTATGTCAGATATCGGCTCGTAGTCCAAGCAGTGATTAGAATCCCCAGATCAGCTGTTGATTTTTTTCGTGTGCCTCGAGGGACACTACGGGCAAATGAATAAATCAGAGCACCAAAGCAGCGCCGAGAATATCCAAACCTTCGAGGCATAGGAAAAGTGTCATCAAATACACCAAAAACCTTTTCTTCTTCATCTCCCGAAAAATAAGCATCAAAAATGAGGACCAGCGAGCACTTCTTCTCACTCAAAGCATTTGAGTTTATTAAAGGTAGAAGCCAAAACTTGCCTGAGGGGCGAGAAAGTCAGTATTTTAAAAAATGAAAGGTGCTAAGCTTCAGTAAATGTATATGCCAAAAATCTTGGCAGAGAATAAGATCTGAGCAGAGTTTTTTAGAGAACAGAATTCAAGGAACAAAAACGCAAAAGGTAATTTTTGAAGTTAAACAAGAAAAGTCTTCCTTGATTGCAAAAAACAGCAAATCTTAAAATCAATTTTGGCAATGGCGAGGGAGAGAAAAAATATAATTATAATCAGCGAAGCTTGAGTAACGCAGCGGGCTGCCTATTCAACATGAAACGGGTTTCATCCCTTTTTCGCTTAATTACTATCAATACTTCATTAACCAGACGCTGATCTTGATATCTTTTTTGAGCACAGAAAATCTGCTAAAAACAGCAGCCAAACCGACAATTTTTAAGAAAAAGAGATGCTCAAATTCGAAATTGAAAGCATGAAAAAAGAGTAAAAAAGGTATTGAAACCAAATTTAATTGAATATCATAAATTTGAGTTGAAGTCTTCTTTTTTGCTCTCTATTTTTTCTTCTGAAATTTGACAGAAACGCATGAAAAATCAGGGAGCCGGCTCAGCCGGCAGTGAATCTCGCAAAAATGTGCATTAAAATGGATATTAAAAAATGGGGGCTGAGTAATTCTCACAGTTTGAGTGAGTGGATGTGGCCCTCTCTTTCAGCGTTAAAGAGAAGACAAAAAAGGACTCTTCGAGAATCAGAGATAAGAAACAAAAATTAACGCTGATGAAAACATGGATCAGCAGCCGGTGAGAAAATACTAACGTTTATTTTTTAATAAATCAGATTTCTTAACCCCTATAAGCGAAGCAGTCTAAAGAACCCCCTTAGACGAAGTGTACAATTTTTGTCGATTTGGCCTTCCTCTTGAGATAATCTCCTGAAAATCACAAATTATACATAAACGAACATTCTCTTTCAAACTGCACTTTTAGATTTTCTAAAAAAACTATACTACGCACTAGAATTTGTTTTTCTTATATAATTAATTATGTCGAAATTATTAAAAATCTTCATCCAATCTTTTCAAAGATCCCAGATTCGAATTCTCCATACTTAAAAACCTCTAAATAAGTTAAAAACAATAGCTCAGAGACGCCTGAAAGATAAATAGAAATTTTTGTTCCTTTGAAGCGCGCAGGTGGAGGTGAGAAAAACGGTGCTCACGCAGTACTCGTGGGTCTTATCAGGCTGAAACTTTTTAGGGAGGTGCGTAATGCGTGTGCAAATACTCATTTAAGTTTTCAGATCGTTCCGATTTACCAGTTCTGTTTGGCAGGCGATAATAACCCGAAATCGACAAAAATTGTACACTTCGTTTATAGGGGTTAAAAATAATTTCCTAAAATTCGAAAATTTTATTAGATTTTTTTAGGGCAGGTCTTTCGAAAATCAACCTCTGACTTCAATGCCAAATCAGAGAGCCAGCCTTATTTTTTCCGTCGGCGGCGGTGTTATAGCCCTTCCTAGACACCAAGTAGAAGGTATCTCACTCAGGGTGAAATTCTCGGCTTGAGAGCAGGATGAGCTAATAATGCACAGTTGTTACAGTATCAGCTTTAATCGCAAGTTACAACTGTACCTGTCGATCACCGAAATACATTGATTTCATAATCAAAAAATTGATTGGCGGATAAATATTTCGGACTCAGAAGTATAAAACGAACGGCGAAAAGTAGCGAAAGAATAGCTATTGTCGGGAATAAAATCAATAATTTTGATGCTAAGGTGTGGAAAAGTAGCCTCAACTTCTGGCGGAAGAATAAAAATGAGCCCCTGGTATCAGTCGTTTTAAATAGAAAGAATAAACGAGACTCTCACCAGTTCCATTTTCTTTTCTTACTTAATACTCGTCACGACTGAGTAGAGCTGCGATACCTAGTTATTGAAAATAATAAATCGCTTCAGTAATTATTGAAAACCTATTCGAGAGCAGAACGTCTTTTCCTTCAAACAAAAAACTCAAATTGCAGCAAAGCAAGAGGGAGGAAGGGGAAATGAAGGAAGGGTTTATTGACTAAAAAAATGACTTTTCGAGCCGGACAATTATCTGTTCTTTTTAACGATTTTTAAGGCAAATAAGGCAAAAAAGGAGGCTTGAATGTCCGGTGTAAGCATGCTTATCATGCTTCATGATCTTAGGAGCTCCAATCTACTATATATATATTCTCCCTCTTATGTAAAACTACGTAATACCCGAGAAGTAATTATACTCTACTCACTTATTATGTAAAAAAGATGCACTGGGATCTCTAGTTCTAATAGCTTAGATTATACATAAGTTATTATATTATTATTTAGTTAGCAAATAAGTTGATTACCAACTTATCATTCAGGAGGGGGGGAAGTTAACAGAAATTATGAAAAGATTTATAAATCCATAATTCAGAGAAAGATAACCACGGTTCGCGATGGCCTAGGTCACGAAAAACATAATTTTTCAAAGTCGATTAAAACTACTTTTTTTAGCGGAGTCTTCCACCACTTCTTCAGACCAAGGCCAATCTAATCGTTTTAATGAGAATGAAACGCTTCAGGCACAGATGTCTTGACTCTAGAATTTTACCAATTTTATTAATTTGAAAACGGATTTTTATTTGACAAAAAATTGTTATGACTTCTGTTAAAAAAGGAATGATGTGAAACTCGGGCTAAAACGATTTTTTAGTCTCATTTGAGATTCACATCGCTTCAGGGAACTTCAGTAATTAAAACTTTGGGTGTTGCATTCTCAGTCCCTCCCAGCATGAAAATGGAAAGTAGCGTGGGAGACTCTTCCCGCGACTTAGTCAAAACTAGCACTTCGCAAAATATATTCTCAAGGAAAAACTCGCTTGCTCCTCGTGATGAGTTGTTACAGTATATTGTTAAGTTGTCTCCTGTTCCTGAGCCAACGGTCGGCGAGGAGAATAAAGCCTTGAAACCCGGGACATCGAGATCTGCTGCTGGAATAACAAGTCAATTCAATATTCCGTCAACTTCCAGAAACTGCCCAAGGAAAAGATCAAAGAACAAAAGTCCTCCTTTCAGAAAGGGCCTTTCTTATCTTCTCAAAAAGCCCCAGCCCTTCTTGTTCATCAAGCAATTCGATTTCGACGTGCTCGGTCAACTCATCGAGCTCAAAGTCGACGAATCGCAGCTCCAACTCTGAAGTCTGGTAAGCTATCCCTGGGAACTTGACAAAACGAACTCTTCGATTAGCGATATTAAAATCTTATGAATATCGTCATAGCTAGCCCTCTTCTAAAAAAGTGAAAAGATAAGAATGGATAGTATCAGTTCCATATAGCTTCGGATTTGTTTTCATCGTCATTTCATTTTTTTGAAAATGGATGTTTTAAGCTTTTTGAAACCGGAAGTGGGGCGATTCGCGACAGAGAAGTACGAGCCAGCCAGTTCCACTTTTGCAGTTCCTCCGCCGATTCTCGTCAGATTGGAAGAAAATATCCGCGTAAGTCGCTTTTGAAACCCCCTAGATACAGTACCTGCTCCTTATCCCTAGATTTCTTGCTGAAGACGCATCTCTAGAGTTTCTCTTCAGTCAAGAAATCGATCATGATCTTCTCGAAAATTTCAAGAAAGCAATTTTTTCAGAAAGAAGCAGACAAATTCCTCACTTCCGATTCATCCCTAACTTCCGAGGATTCTGAGTCCGAAGCGCGAAGTTATAAAACTCTCCGCCCAAAGAAAAGCGAGACCCCTCGAAAATCTAGAGCCAGAAGTCAGAGCTCGAAGCACAAGCTCCCAAAAACCAACCAAACCGAATCAGAAAGCCCAAAAGAAGCAAACCAGAAGCAATCAGAACTAGAATCAGCGAGTTCCTCGTCGACAAAAAAATCGTCTCCGAAAGTCGCCAAAAAAGGACCGGCAAAGCGAATGGGGGCAAAATGCTGCAAAATAAAACCAGTTCAAAAGGTAACATAAAATGCAGTTTTTCAATGTCAATTTGGATTCACGAAGTCTTCAAAATTCTTTAGTCGAATATCATCATCACGAATTTCTCCGCTGTGCTTGAAGACAAACCGACTGAAATCAAGGAAGAGTCCAAAATCGTCCTCCGATATAAGGTCAAACTTGTTTCGAAAAATCGATCTACTTACGTACCGTTTAGTCACCATACTTTCTCGCCGACGCCACAGTTATTTTTCCTCCAGTGATGAAAAACGAGACATGGACGGTCGGATGGATTCAAGGTTAGAATATTTTTCTCTCATGATAATTTAACGTACTCGTCTACTGTAGCTTGTTCGGAAATGCAGTTTGTCAACACTTACGGAGAGCTGGGCTGCTCAAGTTGGGAAATTCCAGCCTTGATAAAAAACGAGATCGCTTTTGTTTCCGATTCCGACGGAGTTAGTTATCCCTGGTATGGATCAGGGTCCGAGATCGCCACGATAAAAGGTCCCTGCCCGTCCTACTCCGAGCTGAATGTCAAGTAAGAATTTCCACTCTCAAACAAAGAGAGCATATGTTAGAGAACTTATGTTTCTTGTCAGGATGAACGACAATTTCCATCCTTCTGTAACCTGGGACGTTCCAGTTTCCGAGCGAGAAAATGTTCATTTGACGAGTATTATGAGAGATCAAAGCTTTATCACGTGGCTTGCCGCTGTTAATGAAAGCACTGGAAAGATAATTGTGCTTAAAACTGTCAGGTTAGATTTTTTTTCAGCTCTCGAAAAAAAAAATGATTTTTAGATGGAGATTCAAGCTTAAAATCGAGGTAGATCCGACCAAAGACCTCGGGGAGCGGGGAAAACTTGTTCCAGTCAAACAAGAAAAACCTTCAATCCAAAGTGGAGGAAATATCATTCCCGTAAGTACTGCTTCTTCGGCTCTGGAATATAAACACTTTAGAAAACTGCGCTTATAAAACCCTCGGCGAATAATTCTCAAGTGCTCGTTTGGCGACCGAAAAGTGGGACGGAAAAAGTCGTTGTCAGCGCAAAAGAGGCTTACAACAAAGATGAAAAAGTTTCGTTTTTTAATGGCGCTTCTGTAATGGACAGAAAGAGGCATTTAGTCAGATTTATTTCCGACGAGGTGAGAAAGATGTTGGTTTCTTTAGCATTTTTAACATTTTTTTCAGGAAGCGAAAAAAGCTTGTGAAAACGCAAAAAGCTGATGCATCAAATTTAAATTGTCCGCCACCAATTCTTCATCAAAGCCTGTACTTCAGTACTCGAGTTCTTTAAGACTCTTTACTTTGTAATTATTATTCTCTTTGGAAGCAAATGAGTCCCAAGATTGCGGAAAACCCAGTTGCGATTTAAGTTTTTACCTTCTTTTTTATTTCTGTGTGGAGCCTGTCTTTTTCATTCTGCATTTTTATTTTCAATAAATGATAAACAATCTTCATTGATACTACGAGTTCTTGGGAGACGAAAATCTAGCTAGTTTTTTCTACTGAGAGTTTCGATTTTCATGCTCAAGTCAAGAACCTTAAGTTATCAACGACTTATATAAGGTTTTTCAGAATTCTAATTTTATAGAGCCCCTCTGGCTATGCCAAGGCCTCTAGGAGTAACTTCTGACCAAGGCTCGCCTCACTTTGCTGAGCTTGCTAAATCTTTGCGGGTGTAACCTAGTTCCAGAAGAGGAACCCGCGGTTACTCGAGGTCGAAGGGTCAGATCTCAAAAGCTTGTTTTTAAGACAAGAAGAGAAAAAATAGAAGAAAACGAAAGATGTTGCCAATTCGATCAGCGCTTCGACTTTCATCAAGATTTGCTTCGGTTTTGAAGGTTTCAAGCGCCGAGAGGGATATTATTCTCAACTCTTTCAGCAATGCTGGTAAAGTTTTTTGCCAATAATTTTCCTTAATTCTCTTCAGAAAACAAAGCAGCCTTCCAAAGTCTCGGCAATTCAGTCCCTGTCGATTCCCTGAACAACCTTTTCGCTAAAGACCCCGTCGCGATTGAAAAATTCCTCGAAGCAATCATGGACACAATCGAAGTCGACCAAGAAAAGAAGCTCTCCTTCGCCGAGTTTTTGGTCATCATGGTCAAGAGAAAGGGAGTCAACGGCGTCCAAAACGCTTTCCTTTCACAAGACAAGGACCGATCTGGCTCGATTTCAAGAGATGAGCTCAAGGTGATTATTTCTTTTCCTTTTGAGAAAGTCAATGTTTTCGAAAGGAATGGATGACCAAATACGGCCACTTCCTTACGCGAAAACAGGTTCAAACAATGGTCGACGCTGTTGATGTTAACGGCGATGGCGAGATTGATTATGGAGAGTTTTTGGTAAGAAAAAGGGCTATTCTAAGAGAGTAAGTATTATTTATAGAATCTTGTCTGCCAAGAAGTTCTTCAAATGAAATCAGAATGAAGTTGATCAAACATAACTTTTCGGCAAATTTCTGAAATAAAAAAATGACAAAATAGGCATTTCGTCGTTGTTTATTTATAATTTCAATAGTCATCATTGAGGTAAGAGTTTCTAGCAGGTTGTGTGAGGTCTATCCAGTTATTTCCAAAGTCATCCTCTCCCAGAAAAATTGGCGGGTCGTATGGAGCGCTCCAGCGGGAAGAATCGTTCTGCTATGAGTTCTAGAGATTTCGAACGAGTGGATATTTTTACCTGATGAATTGGAGTCTTCCTTGATTTCGGTTCGTGGTAGAGCACTTCGACGACTCTTGAAGAAGTGTGGGTGTTCGCGTTTTTCAAGATCCCGGGTCGTTTTTTCTCCGTTTTTAGCTCGTTAATCAGATTCTCTTCGGATGGGAAATCCGAGCTTTGGAATCTGTGAGACTTTTTACTGCGCGGCGGAATAGGCTCGGCCAAAATGGAAACGAGATCTTCAATCGAGGGACGTAGCGTTTTCGGAAGGCCTGATTTAATCTGAAAATAACCACTGAGGTGAGATCATGGGCTAAAAATAGCGGTCTAGGAATGAAAGAAGAACTTACCAGATTTGAAGATCTTTCCGTGTTATCGAATATAATATCCTTATACACACGATCTTGCACCTCCGATCTTGGCCTTTCTCTTGCCACAGTAGATGGCCTTAATCGTTCGGGTGAGACAGAAAATTCATGAAGACCGTTTCGTTGATGATTGATTTGAGGCGGCCGAAGTGGAACTGGAGGAGGTGAGTTTATGCTGTTTTTCTGGTAGCGTCCAGCGGGGGTAAATTTTTGAACTGGCTTGAATTCGTTGACTGGCGGCCAGTGAAGATTTTGAGGCTTTTGAATGGGAGCTTGGACTGATCGAATCACTAGAATGGTAATTGCTAAACATTAAGCTTGTAATTACAAATTGATGTATTTACATCAATTGAATTGTCAAATTGCCAACATTAAAAAAAATTAGGAAATATCCAATTTATACAGGTATTATGGTTTTTTGAAATACCTCTTTGAAGTGGCTGAGATCCAAAAGGTGCCGGATTGGACCACAATAAATTCTTTCTCCCAATTTCCGGACTGTATCTGGATTCTCCTGGATCGTTATTTTTCTCAGCTACTGTCAGGGGAGGTATTTGAGGTATTGTTCGAACTAGAGTTTTTTGTAAGTAAAAGATGATAGAGAGTATTATACTTTGAAGAGCATCATCATCATCATCGCCTTCTTCAGAATCATCTGAGTACGCTGAAATCTTTGCCGAATCCGAGAGATGCACTGCATGAGGACTTTCTGCAAGAGAACGATCCGGTAGAGTCGAGAAATTCGCGCTCGACGGCAAGTGATAGCTTCCACTTTGACTTGAGAGAGAATTAAGGGTCTCCACGCTGCCGTAATTGTGATTTTGGTTGTTGTGGTTTATGTTTGCTTGCTGCTGATAGGCGGGCTCGTGTTTGGTCAGTTTTGGTCTGGAAGAGAAATAAGGGGGTGATTCAAAAAGGAGAGCCTTACGATGTCTGTTGGACTAAGTGCGCGAGCTCAGAAAGCTTCTGTTTTCGAGGAGGAATTGGCGGTTTTGGAAAATGCTGAGCGGCGAGTTTTTGAAGACGTGTTTCGGAAACTTAAATCGAACGACTTTAACAAAGTGATACCCTTAATTTGACGTTTACCTGATTTGTCTTTTGCTGTTCGAGAGATGAAATTTTGCTTTGGCTTGAGGTCGTGCTCCTTCCGGCTCGTTTGGGAGGTAAGATTTGGAAAGCTGCGCCGAAGTGCACGTGGAGCCACTCTGTTTGTTTGAGGAATGGGGCCGCTCTTCGCCGAGCTTCCGAATAATCGAAAGAGTTTCGGCTCCACCTGGTAAAGGCAATTAGTTGGCAAAACGGAACGCAATGAGCTCTCTTTTTTAAATTTTGTAAAAATTGGTACCTGTTCGAAGGAAATGCCAATTTCGTCGTGCTGCGCCGCGCTGATCACGTTTTCTGTCCCGTCTCGCGGTTGAAATGAGCGATCTACCCTCGCTAAGCCTTCTTCTTCCCGATAATTTGTCATTCTAGCGGGAACGGCTGTCGCGGAGGATTCCGCGCTTTTTCGCGGATGATTCTGTACCACATTCGACGGTTTTTTGAACTGTTGTTTTTGGCTTTCAAAAGGCTAAAATCAGGGTTAGGGTTAGGATGAGAGTCAGACTTAGGGTTAGGGGAAAACTAACAAAGCCTGAAAAATGATTGCTTACCTTCAATCCATTTTGATAAAACGGCGCCAATTCAAGTTCCCTTCTCACTTTTCTCGGCGGACTAGCACTCGCTGATTTTCTCGGCGCTCTGAGATTGACCTTACTTTGCCGATCTAAGGGCGGCTCCGAGCGACAACGAACAACGCAAAACCAAGTTCCAGATCTTCTCGAAACTGAGGAATGTTAACTTATGTTTCGCGCCATGTACTTACAATTCCGTCCTCGTTGCGCTTCCGAATTCCGCTGCGCCAAAGTCTGAAATTTCTCGCTCGACATTTTCTGTGGTTGCAGCTGCGTTTTTGAATTTTCGAGGTTCTTAATTTTCAAATTTTCAATTTACATTTTGTCAAATTCGAAATTCCAATTCCTCCCGGTTTAAAAAATATATATCAATTGGGGAAAAATATTCAAGCAGGGATTATGCCCGGATGCCCAAGGGAAGATTATTTCGGACATTGATATCATCAGCTAATCGCGGATCAACGATTTCACGCGGCGCTAAAACCGCAGCAAACCGACCCTCTCCCGCACAGATTTCTGCTTCGTCTGACATTTTACATGCTCTTACATAATATTCTACCAAGAGAAATTTTCATTAAGGGTTTTTTGTCTATTAGACTGTCTATCAGACAATTTTCATAAAAAATTAGAAACTTACGGATCTGGAATGACGTTTAGGACTTCTTCCTCTAGAATCTCTTGAATGACTGCGATTACGCTTCGTTCTATTTACAGCTTCGCGCTGGCGCCGTTCAAGTGTGTCGATTTTCTCCGGACTCGGTTCTCTCCATCTTCCAGATTTTCCAGCAGATCTTCTGAAAAGAGATTTTACCTTGAAAAAATATTTTATAAAGCATTTTTTACTACTAAAAATACGCATTTTTGAGTTTGTTGAACCTTTTTTTTAATTATATAAAAATTAAATAAATTATTTATTATTTAAATAAATTACTTTTATTTAATAAAAATCGCTTTTCTACAAACCGGTAAATTTAAAACTAAGCTTGTCGTTATTTTAATCCTCTTATTTTCGAAACAATTTGTTAGCTATATATTTATGCAGCTTTCTAAATAAAGTGTTGCTTTATGTCAACCTTGAGGCGCCGCATAATCGGACGGAGATAAAGTTACTCCTTTCCGCAGTGGAAGAACAAAACTTTCCCACTCGTCCTAACTGCAATTTTTTACCTTTCATTTCGCTGTAATTCAGTTCTGGAAGTCTGATTTTCCTGATTCTGTAGAGAGTAGCGTGTTTGCTCATGTGTCACGTGTTCGATTCTTCGGCGAGCTCGACCCTTTTAATAATCATTTGACTTTGTTGAAGAATCAATGTAAAGGCGGATTAAGGGCGTACCTGGCGTTGTTTCTTGCGCTTGGACTGAGCATGTCCCATTTTTGAATTAGCGGGATCAGCTAATTTCAACTCCCTGAGCTACTTTTTGAATCGGCATTTGGTCAATTTACATTCTAAACGGGGAATTATCATATTTTTACATCATCATTGCTTGACACCTCTAAAAATAGAGGTCTCAGAAAAGTAGTAGCGGAATTCGACTTTTTGCTTTTCTATAAATATTTGATTATCCAAAAGAAAAGAAAAACGTTGAATCGAAAAGTATTCTTTTTTCCTTGATTTACGGTTTCCAAGTCCAGATTAAGGGTATCGCGTCGAAAACGGGATTTTTATCAAAGCGACACTATTTATATAAAATATCCCATTCTTGTAATATTTCCAAAACTTTGTCAAAATATTTTTAACCACTTGTTCCTACACTTTTTTCATCTCAGATTATTTCTATCTCTCTGGCTCTCTTTTCGTATTTTTTAAATTATGTAACATCAAATACCCGGTTCGAAAAAGGGCAAAACGAAATTTATCATCAATATCAGCAGCATCACCCGCCAGTATCCCGCCGAGCGCACCTTATCATCAAGTTTTTTTTTTGACTCGGCAACTTGTCAGCAAGAAGTTGCCAAAATAAAAAATCGCTCTCAAGAAGCGGTTAAAAAGAGGGTCGAAAAGGGGTTGATAAAATTCGCTCGGAAATTCTCCATATCTTCAAGGAGGAAAAATCGCTTCGAATGGGCATTTCTCTGGAATTTTTTGCACATGAACGTCACGTGAGTAAATCTGACGTGTGGAATGCGTCGCGGCTAATTACCCACTTGGCTCCATCTTCCTTTCAAAAATTTAGAGTTTCTCTTTTTTCTTGTGATTTTAGGCGCTCTTCAATTTCTTTATTTTAGAAGATCAAAACCTCGAATTTTGAATTTCTCGATTCCAAAGAAAAAAAGGAGAAAAGGGGGACAAGCATTCTCTCTCTCTTTTCTTCCGATTAAAACTTTATTCTTCTACTAATCCGGATCACGCGCTCGGAAGAGTGGATAATCTTCCCGTTCTCTTACCAAAAACCCTCAAAACTAATTTCCACTAATAAAACTGATCGTTATCAATACTTGGTAGAACTTCTCCCTAAAAGAAAAACTTCGGCAAAAACTCAAAAAGCCGCGCGCAGCTTCCAGCCCTGTCAGATTTCCTTTCGACTCAGATTCTTTATTAAAATTTGGTTGTTTTGTTTTTCATTTTTATACAACCCAAAACAAGAAAAGCTCGATAAAAGTTAATCTCCGATAAAACCTAATCTCTACCCCCTCTCTTTCCCTCTCGCGTTCCTTATTCAATTAAGGGTGTGCCGCACGCTGCATATCTAGGATTTCCAGCTCAGAAGATTTTCTTTTCTCTTAGTTTTTTTTTTGCTCTTTTTTAAGATTTTTGATGATGATTTAGAAAACAGAAAATTAGAAAATTAAAGGTAGTGAAGTGGTAGTTCAGTAACGTGGTGGTGGTTTGTTTGGGACCCTTTTTTGTTGGCGCTGATCATCGTGAAGCTGCCCCGGGGAGATGCACTTTACAAATTCTGAATCGACTGCACGTAAGGCACCTAATTTCCCTCAGAGTTATGTCGCACGATGGTAAATTACGCCGCTCACTGAGCAGCTCTGCAGAAATTTAACCCGGAGTCGAATTTTTTGTTCGTCCACCAATCGCCAAATCTTCCGTCTCCCGCTTTTGTAGTAGAATTTTATAAAAATATGCGGAAATTCTAAATAAAATGACTTCGGTCAGCAGAATACAACTTGCCCTTGAGTCGATCTAAAACCCAATCATCATTTATTCCAGTGTCGAGCAAGTTGGCCTTTTCAATCAATTTAATGACCGGAATCAGCGACTCATATCGACTTTTTTCATTCCATCAACAAATATTCACTCTCTCTTTTTTATATCAAGTATAAAAAGAGACGAATCAACGCGCTGAATCACGAGTTCTTTTGAAAATAAAAGGACGGGCGTCATATTTGGAATCGGTAAGAAATAAGGTGTTTCAATTTTGCGAGTCCGTTATTTGTGAAGTAAAACAAAAGGGTATTTCAGTGCGCCTCCGCGATTTACGACGCCAGTCAACAAAAAAGAAGAGGACGACGAAAAATTAGTCAGAGAAATAAAATTATGAGAATTTTCAATTGATCTTCTTAGATTGAAAAAGAAGAAAATGGAGGGGAAACCTAGATTTCGACTTCAAAATGCTGACTCGGGTAGGAATTGGCTCTAATTTATAGATTTCTATGCTTTTGCATTAATAATTTTGAATTTCTCTGCATCCTTTATTTGGTACATTTGGTTAAACTTGTGTTTCATAGTTATTTGAATCTGAAAATCATTAAAACTTCTGAACTATTAAAGTAAAATAATGGTTTTCGAAAACATCCATCTCTAGAACATTTTAGGTCTTCTTTTCGGCGGCTACGATTTCGGCTTCGGAGATCCTCCGCACTGGGGTCTTGTTTGCCAAGGTTCATCGACTCATCCCTTTGACCAAACATTCGCCGATCTTCTTTGCCAAAATCTAGGCTTTGACAATGCAGAATTTATTGGAACACGAGATAACTATCCAGGAAATGCAACAGAAACAACAAATAGTTGTGATTTGGAATATTCAATGTCCGGCTCTGATTGTGGCGATGCTTCAAGTTTGGATGAGGTGAGTCCTTGTTGATTTCAACGATGAATTTTTAAGGATATACCCGATAAAATTGAACTTTCATAGCGCCTAAATACGAAGTCGGATCATTTTTATTTCAAAAGCAATCCTACTTAAAATTGTGCGTAGAATTCAATTCTGGTACTTTTTTAGATATTTTCATTAGAATTTTCCTCTCTAGAGCGATTTGAAAACGAACTCTCTCGATTGCTCGAAATTTTTCCACTAAATCGCTAAAACTGAACAGTATTCTGTATTGCAATGATGCTAAGCTACAAAATTGATGGGATCAAATTCTTAAACTCGATCGAATTTCCATTCTAGTGATTTTCTTCTCTGCGCGTTTTTTCGCGTGCTACCAATCAGAGCGGTGCGCTCAACCACGCACTTTCTCTCGGAAAAGAGGAGTCGAGTGAGTGAGCTCCCAGCGCGCCGCTTTGTAGAGCTTTTACGCGTTGAGTAGCCCTCAATGAAATGGCTCTAGAATCCGTTTTCTTCGGAATTAACGAAAAGTAAACCATCAAAATTGTAGATAACTGTCTAAAGAACTTATCTATCGAAAAATCTCGACCGATTTATACAAAAAATTTCGAGTAATCGAGAGAGTAAGATTTGAAATCGCTCTAAAGAGAAAAATTCAAGTGAGAAAATATAAAGAAGTACCAGATTTGAGTTCTACGTGCATTTTAACGTAGAATTGCTTTTGAAATATAAATGATCCTACGTCGCATTTCGACGCTATGAAAGTTCAATTTTATCGGGTATATCCTTAAGCAAAGATTCTAGTGCAAAATCAAAAATTATCGAATTCACGGAGGAAGTTGTATTCACGGCAAATCAGAAGTCTACATGAGTTGCTCCTCTTCCCGATCATCAGCAATTCCTGGTTCTTGGTCAGAGTGGTCTAAGCCTGGCTATTGTGACAATGACAGTGTTTTTACACAACGAACTCGGACTTGCATGACGGACCAAGAAGGGTAAGCTCTTGAATTTAGAGATAATATTGAGATGAGATGAAAAAATCATGACTCTTTTTTTCCTAGCGCTCTTAGTTCATGCGAAGGTCATTGGCTCGAGTTCCTACCCTGTCCTGGTTGCAATAACCATGAGGTTGACTATGACTACAATGAGGACTACTACATTTATTCGGACGATGAAAATTCAAGTTCAACAGCTGTCCCGGTCTACCGACCAAAACGTGAAGTGGATGACCCTTGCCAATGCTCTTTCCCGACAAATTCTTATTTAGAAATCTTTGAAAGTAAGAAATCTATAAATCTCAAAGTCAATAACTGTTGAAGATAATTCTGGATCATCAACATATCTGCTTTCCAGCTTTTTAAGCATCGCGCTTATCAGTGGAGTGGTTCTATTCGTCGCCAAGAAGAAAAAATCAGGAAAAGAAGCAATAAAAGATGAAGAAAATCTTGAAGAAGAAAAATATTTGGTCGAAGAAAAAGTAGTGGATGAGACGGGGAATGAGCTGTTGTCGGCATAATATGTCTTGCTGCTACTGTTTTGCACTGTAATTATGTGAATAAACACTTTCAATTACATACCTTCGCTTTTTCTTTTTAATTAAACGTACTCAGAGCTAATTCTATAAGTTTGAAAGCTCATATAAGTCCATGACTCGAACTAGAAGCTTTGTGATTGAGTGCTGCTACTTTTTCCATAAAATATTCAACCCTTTATATGAATATTTTAAGCGCACTGGACATGGAGATTCAAGCCATGTGTCTATCAACTATCCCGAAAGAAGAAACTAAAGTGAACGAGAAATAAAAATTGAAAGAGGCTGAAAAAAGAACAAGAGATAATTGAATGCAAAAGAAGCTGAAAAAATTCTTCACGTATTTGATTATGGCAGCAATTGTTTTGGGCAAAAATTATGGAATGTTTATGCACAGTAGGTTTTTGTTTTGATTAATTTTCGATAAAAGCGTTTAGTTTTCTATGACTTTATGAATTATAATACAGTCGAAGCCATTCTTAGAAGATATAGGAAATGTTGAAAATCATGGTCACCAAAAAATTTTGAAAAATTCTGCGTGGGCGGCTTCACGGGTGCTGATTGGCCGTTGAGCCGAATCCGGGCTTCTGATTGGTTAAAATTTTGTCGCAAAATTTTTCGAATTTTTCGTTTGTTCCAGACACCTTCCCGAAATTTTTGTTTAAAAAAAAATTAAATTGGGAAAATTATTGAAAGAAAGACACGATCTGAAAGGCTCCGAGTCGATTGAATTCAACCAAAAAACAAAGAATCCATGTTCTTCTGATAATCTGCACGGACTTTCTTTTAATGCGGTCGCTTTTCTGGTGCCTTTCACTCCTCGCCGACCCCAGTATCGAGTGGACTGGGGCAATTCAGGTCTCAATTATTCATTCACCAGTGGTAAGACACTCATTCTAGAGTAAACTCGGCAGGAAAAAAGACAAGTTCCGTCGCAAGGTAAGGAAGTTGTTAACCACAAAGGCTGCTGAAAAGAAATCACCGTTCTTGACATTCTCTATTCAGCAAGAAAATGGAATCTCAAGAGAATTCGTTGTGAATCTGAATCAACGAGCTTCAACTAGCTGCTCCCCAAGAGGTTTGATTTTCTTGTTTGAGTTTCAAGTTGAGAAAAAATTTTAGATTCGAATGAAACATCTTTTCGAGTTCAAAAAGTAGAATATCTCGACGAAAAACGACGACTATCCGGCATTCCCCGACCAAAAAGCTTGTCGATTCAGTCTGATATCGTCACACACAGGACTCGCTCAAAGAAATTCTAGCGCTAAAGCAAACTTAAAAGGATTTGAACAAGGTATCAAGAGCGCTGTCTACCAGACGTCAAGTAGCCGAGAGGATGAGAAAACTGACTGGAATCTCTTCAAACTCCAAAACTTCGCAATAATCAACAAACTGCCCTTTTCTTTAAAATATAAAAAATATACAATGAAAGCCTAAAGAACAATGGCATTGCCACTTATGTGCCTTAGTTGAACAATGATTCATCAATTGTCAATTGATCAAATAGCAAACTACCGCGACGATTTTTTACGATGAAAGTGACCTTGTTACATAACGACCGGAATTTCCTGGTCTATATTTGTGCGTATTGAAAATACCTAAATACCCCGCGGCAATTTCTCAATAATTTCTTGCGCCGGGTTACGCATCGTGTCTTTATTTCAAGAGAAAAAGCGACAGAAAGTTCCATTGTGGCGAAGTTTTGAAAGAATCTTGGCTGAGAATCGTGCCTAAGCCTGGAGATATCCTCCCAAAATGTCAGGGCAGACGTAGAGAGCAAAAATATTGCGAGAAGACTACTAGTAAACAAACTTTGTCCAAGGCGGCTTATTTTCGGATCAGAGGAGATAGAGAAACGAGATGGCGGATAATGATGAAAATGAAAACTTGCTTGGAGAAGATGGGCAATCCAGACCGAAAATTATTAAGAAGCTCAATTTAGAGGGAAAAGATATAATAAGTAAAAGATGTACGTACAAAATTATTAAGAATTTATTTCAAATATAAAATAGAAAAAAAAAATCTTCGAAAATTACTTTTCACCGAAAAAAAATTTCAAAAATATATTTTTTAATAATTTTTTTTTAGATTTATCTGGTGCAAAAAGAAGACCTGCCTTAATCCTTTTGGTGCTATTTATTGTTATCAGGAATGGAGTTTTAAATATTCGAGATCTTTTTCAAAGGAGAAAGTTTGCCCTCGGTTTGAGCCGGTTTATTCTAGTGGTCGGAGTGGCTTATGTTTTCTTTATGCCGTTGGGCAGATTTGAGCCTTTTTTATTGCGAGCAAATTTCAAATTTTATTGAATATGCAATTTTCGCACAGGTGTGCGTTTTTTCGGGATATCCTTAAACTTTGAATATCAAAGGGAAAACCTCTGATATTCATGAAAACTCATGAAAAACTCTAGGAAAGCCTTATTCAAGTCAAACGCGATCTCTTCATCCGCAAAAGCATCTTTTCCGCTTCTTCAAGTCAGCCTTCGATTGAAGTAACTTATGGAGGCGTCAAACAAAATCTCACAGGCGACGACCTGGAAAGTCTCCGAAATTACATTTTGATGAATGTTCCTCCAGAAGACTTTGCAGGAGTCAAATCGAATCTGGTCATCACTGATGTCCTGAGAGAGGCTGGAAGGGATGCTGCTTATTTTAATGGAAGTGTGTTGGATCATGCTTGTCCAATGACAATTCGAAAGGTAAAAGAAAGAGAAAAATATTAAGATAAAATAATAATGATTTCAGTCGACAAAGAAGCTGCAAAAAAGAGTCCCAGATGTGATTGGAATCGGATTCGCCAAGTGTGGAACTGGCTCCCTCGACTTTCTCGACTGCCATCCTTCAAGTAAGCTCTCTCTTCTTTCATTCCTCTTCATCACATCCTTCAAGTTACTTTTCGAACATCCGAGCCAAAGTTTTTCTCAACGGACAAAATCGTCGACCGGATCATCGAAAAGACAGAAAGTTTTCCGAATCCGGATTTCATGAGCGACGTTGATTTCAAAAATATGCAATACGAGTTGAAAGATATCAAAGAAGACTACATGCGCAGAGTTCCCTTAGCAGCAGACGACGAAATTCTCATTGAAAAATCTCCGCAATACAGTGGCGGCGGAAGCACAGAAGTGAGAATCAAGCGAGCTAAGGCGATGAAGGCCCTGAACCCGAAAGTGAAGATTATTGGCATTGCTTGCGATCCGGTTAAAAGAGCGTACTCCCAGCTCTCGTGAGTGGACAGAATGGAGGGAGATGATTAAAGGTTTTTGTAGGATGAAAGAGCGAAGAACGGAGCAAATGAAAAGCCAAGGGAAGAAATGCGGAACCAAGGGTTGTCTCAAGGGAACAATCGAAGAAGTAAGGCTCATCGATTTCTCTCGAAATTCTTGATAAAAAAAATCTAGGCGTTTGAAGCATTCACCGAAAAGCAAAAGCAAATCAAAGAACACGACCTGCCCATGGGTTTCGCTGACTACGCAAATCAATGCAAACCCTTTGTGGACATCGTTGGCGCTAAAAACTTTCACCTTGTCGACGGCGAAAATCTCGTTCAAAACCCAAATCATGAGTGGGGAAAGCTGCTGGACTTTCTCGAAGTTGACAAGGAGCATTTTCAATTTTACAAAGAAGAAGAAAAGGGATTCCCTTGTCTTGATAAGCCAATCAAACATTGTTTAAACAGTTCAAAAGGTAGCGCTTTTCAAAAAGTTCGCTGAAAATAATTTGATTCAGGAACTTCGCGAAAAACCGATGTTCGAGTTCAATACGGAAATTTCACCCAAGTCTGGGACCGACTTTACAAAGAAACGGTTCTAGAAATGATTCCCTTTTTCAATATTTGCGAGGAGATCGACGATGCCTGCTGCGAAAAACTCGCCGACGAGAACAGTTCATTTTCGTGGATTCACCGTTATGCCTGTACAGATATTTAGGCGAATAAATTATTATATGAAATATGAAATGAATTTCAATAAATATGTTTGTGAAGTCAGTGAGGCGGATAATAAAGTTCTGAAATCGGTAGAGCGTAAAATTTTATTAAGAAAGTGATTATATTCTGAATTAGACTAAGTGAGAGAAAAACAGAGGGAAAACGAGGAAAATGAATTCAAGAGATTTGTTCTTTGGAATAGCGAATTTGCCCAAGATGAGAAATGGGGGCTATATTGATGAGGAACTTGCTTTCCATGTGTAAGAATAATCTCAAATCGAGTCACTAATCGACTTTTATCAAGAGTGCGGTAGTACTGGCTTATAATCATCACCCTTGAAATTTTCAGTTTTCCCCAATAATTTATCCGAAAACGGATTTATGGTGTTTCTTTAATTGCAATTTTCAGCCATCCTCTTATGACAATCGCTGCTTCCGTGGTCGACCTCGCTGAAGATATCACAACCAATTTCACCATCGTAATATAATATTACTAATACTCATCCCTTGTCTCTCCTTCATTTTCTTTCAGTTCACTGATGCTCAAACACTTCAGGCATATTCTGACATTTTGAAAAAAGCCCAGCTTGCGAAAAGGCTGATCAAGAGCATCATCAACAAGGGGGAATCTTCCGTCCCGCTCTTTTTCGAGTTTTGCCGAAATTTTCGAAAAAGATCTTGCTCTGACTACAATGAATCGTACTTGTACGACCTTTTTGTTGGATGTGCTACACAGGAAAGTACTCATTCTTCCACAAAAATTCGAAAAAGCTGCAAACATGAATACTCTGAAATTAAGTTCGACTTTTTGATCGTCAATCTTTGCAAACAGCTCACGGATGTTGTCCATATTCGAAAGATTCATACATTCTTCCAGGTAGTATTGCGCTCTTTTCTGCCTCTGATGGAATTGAAAAGGCAATCGTGAAAGAACGCTCAACAAAGATGTCGGCTGTCATCTCGCAAATTGTGAAAAACGAGCCTTTCGAAGATTCCAGGGAGCGATTTCAAACATTATTTTTTTCAAAATCGCATAAAAATTGAAATCGTTTTCAAGAAAAGACAAAACTGCAGCTCTTTTTCTCTGGCTTTTCCTGAACTGCGACCATCCGTATCCCTCCGAAGGTACCTTGTTTTTTCTGAAAGATAAAGTGACAATTTTCAAGATGAGAAAAATGAGCTTGCCGCGAAAACCGGAATGCAAAAGGCTCAGATTCAAAACTGGCTCAGGTACTTTCTCAAAAATATATTTGACAAGAAATTCTTTTCTAGCAATGCTCGAAGACGATATCTCCCGAAGCTCAAAATCTCGAATAGCTGCGTCATTCCCTACGGAAAACCAGACGAATAAAAAGTTCATTTTCCTAGCAATGTATTTTTTCGACGTAATTTTTCGTCAAATCGAACTGACAATTTTCTCAAAAGCAGCAGTCAGATTCTCTTCAAAAGAGTTGGAAAAGACCTTCTGAACATTTTCTGGTCGAGAAGCGAGATGAGTTGAGATGAATTCTTCGTTGTTATTGCTTGCTCGGTTGTCACGAACGATGATTGGGAAGATTTCGTAGTGCTGTTTTGCTCGCGCGGTCACCTTTAAAAAATTCAAGTGATGGAACAACAACCAGAAGTCATTTTTTACCTCTTCTTCAGTAGCTTCCGTTCCTTCCGGTGTTCTAAGCCCGTTCATATCCCACTCTGAAAACAATTTCATAAACAAAGTTGGCCTCAACTTCATTACCGTCGTCAGTGATGACCAGAAGATATTGCTTTCTTTCTCTGTCTTTGCTTATCGGAAGCATTTTGTCCAAATCCGTGATGAAATTCTCCAAGCTCAAATCTTGAAGACACAAAAACAACTGGCCATTTCCGTCGAAAGAGCTACTCTCTGGATTTATTTTCGCGTTGGAGGGGTGCACGTGATCGCATTCAATTTGCCAGTGAGCTAGGACTCCTGATGAATCTGCTTTTCCACCAGAACCTAGAAAAAAGACTTGACTCTAGAACAGAGCCTTTTTTATTACCCGGAACGTATGATTTGGTCAGCTTTTTGATCCCAGAGAACTGAACGAGACTCATCCCACAATTCTTGCCAAATTTCTCAGCAAGTCGAGGAGCCAAATCGTCAAAAACCAATTTTTGTGCCACATCAAAAGCTTCCGAATTGAAAGTCCTATTGAAGGAATCCGATCCGTCGAGAACAACGATTACATCGTGAAATATTTCATCGTCACTTTTACGGGGTGTAAAAAAGCAGTAACAAAAAGGGAGACAAGTTGCCGCGGCAAAACTCAAACTAAGAAAGCGATTTTCTTCATGAAAAACCATTTCGCTCTGATTTGAATGAAAACGAATTTCAGAAGAAAGTATAGAATTATGCATACTGGACAAATAAGCGGCACTTTTTTCTTTGTACTCGTTTTTTCACTACCCTGGACCTGACCATCGAGCTTTCAACTACAGTATTCGTCTGGATTGAAATTTCCGGTAAATCATCCTCGTCTGATGATGACTCATCAGAAGATTCGTTTCCTGGACGATTGTTCTTGACCTGCGTACTTCCGGTGAAATGGATATCAATTTCTTCTATGTCTTCGTCTGAGGACTCTTTTTCCCGAAGGCCGCTTTTTACTTCTGAATTTTGTGCTATTTTTAGTTCAAAGTCATCCATTTCGTCATCTTCACTTTCTTTATTTCGAAGAGACGGAGCGTTCTCAACGACATTCGGTCGCAGAATCGTGATTTCCATCTCTTCATCTTCATCTTTGTCCTGTTCGTCTGTTTTCCCCTTTTCTTTCGTATTGCGTATTGCCGATTTCCAGCGAGCCCGTTTTTCTACCGCCGCGTAGGGGTTTAATTTGAGCATCGCCTTGATGTTCTTCAACGGATTCTTCTTAACTGTTGTTCGTTTTGATGCAAAACCTCTTGGTTTCAAGGCTGCTCTGACTTCATCAGCTTGGAGGACTCGTTGAAGGTCTGGATTCGAAACAGTCGAGCGAGGCATCGAGAAACCCTTCTTGTTCTTCGCTGAGTAGACCCGATCAAGAGCCTCGAAAGCAGCCTGCGTGTAAATGGTAAACCGGCCGACGTGACCTCCAGGAGCCAGTTTCAAAAGGTTCAACTGATCAACCGGAAGCAGCGTGACACCAGGAAGATTTCTCATCGCGCGCACGATTCCATCGTCGTTTTTGTACACTTGAAAGGGATAATTTACGACTTTCGATAAAAAAAAGACATGAAAATGAATAAAAACTAAGGTGGAAAAAAAGTTATTATTTCCGGCATATCCGATCGTCATTAATCATCCGATCCTATTAGCGGCCCTCTTTTCTGAACTCGTCTTCGATTTCGTATTTTTCCTCGCCCTGCTCTGAATCTTCTCGTCTCCCTTACTCTTCTGATGTCTTCTAGAGCTCCGACGTTTCTCAATACTTTTGCCGCTTCTTTTGTCTTTTTTATGCTTTCAACCGCGCTCTCAAGGACAAGAGGAAATTCAGGAACGCTTTCAATCCTGTGGCCTTTGGCCATCGCGAGAGCAGGAATACCAGTAGCGGCGATAGCAGAAACCGTCGCAAATCGCCTCTGAGTTATGTTAACCCGACGATGCCAGTTGCGCCAGGTCTTGGTCGGGTTGAACATTCTCCCCCCGCGACACATGTTTCCAAAAGCCGCTGCTCCAGATCGCGAAGTTCCGCCGCCACGAACTCGGGGAATTCGAGCTACTGCTCGGCCAGTTCCCCACGATTCGGCAGAAGTTTGCTCCCCAGCTACCTTTGAGACGGCATACGGTTGTCTTGCGTTTTTGCTCAGATTTGTGTGGACGAATTGAACGATATCTGTTCGAATAGGAGCCTTCACAAGCGATTACAGTAAGTTATCCTGCAAAACCTAACTAACCTTGAAAACAGCTGGAAGATTGACAGTATCTTCAGTTGGTTTTCCATCTCTAGAATAGACCGAAACGACCGGCCGCGCTGCTGCCATTTTGATGAGTGAAAGAGCATGAACGCATTCGTTTCCACTGAAAAAAGTAATGTAGACTTTTACGACGCCGTTAAGGCTGAGGAAGAAAAAAAGCTAGAGAACAAGATGTCGTCATAAGTCGACCCTACTCGGCCTTTCCCATTTTTTATATTGAACAAAGAATTTTGTTATGAAAAACAACAAAACTTATTTTCGCACGTGTTAATCGACATTCTCCTTATGATTAATAATTCACGCTTTTTTTATTTTTAGATGACAAAATTTCGGTAAAACTTGTTCTTTTTTCATTTTTCTATATTTTGGCATGAATGAATTACTTTTTAATTTTTTGACTTTAATAACAGCGAAACATAACCGAGTGGAATTCGAGCAGTATCCTGGAGTCTTGAAAACATGGGATGAGGCCGTTGAATGCTGCAAAGATAAAGGAGGAGAACTCGCTTGGTTTGAAGATAAATCGCAGTTTGACGAAGTAAGATCAAAAGTTTCTTAAAAATCAAAAATTTGAAATAGTTTTTGGAGCTAAACCCAACAAGAACATGGCTAGGAGGATCCGATTCTGTTAACGAAGGGACCTGGCTTTCGGTTTCTCGAGGTTTATCAAAATTTTGTCTTTTTCTTTGGATTTTTTTTATAGAATCAATGCATTTGAAATGGTCCTCCGGTCAGCCAGACAACTGGAATGGAGGAGAAGACTGTTTGGTGTTTAATTATTGGGGCAACAATCTGATGAACGACTGGAAATGCTATTACATAGCTGGAGTTTCTTGCAGATTTGAGCCCGAGCAAGACCCGGATGTCTTCATAAGCGTTGACGAAATACCAGGATATGAAACTTATAAAGTTTGTTCGACAAACGAGATTTATACGAGGATAAGGGATGAATATTTTTCAAAAATTCAACGCCTGAAAGGAACCCTCTTCTATTCAGACTTGAAAAAAAGCCTTGCAAGAGGATGCCCTTAAATATCATTATTTTTTTAGAAAAGAAAAGCATATATTTTCAGAAAAAAATAAAATTTAGAAAAGAAAAAAGATCTCAAATATGTTTTTAGGCGGATGTGTTTGTTGCAGCGCAGCAGGAACATTTGCAGCCATTTGCGGAGCATTTTGAGCATTTGCACGGGTCACATCCTGGAGGACAGTCTCGGCAGCCTTGAGAATAGAAGAAATAGGGGGTGGCCCTTTTTGATAAAAAAATTACCTTGGCAAACTTTCTTGCAAGAATCCAAAGAGCATTTGCAAGGATCACATCCTGGCGGACAAGAGACGCAACCTTCGCAGGAAGCTAAAAATTTCCACTTGCTAGACCCTTTCGCGGAATAAATTTACCTTCGCAGCATCGAGTAGAACAATCCATTTTCTGCCTTTTACGTTGTCAAAAATTTGAGAACTGAATTCGAAATTGATTTTTTTCATCCTTTGTCAATAATTCTAGAAAAAAAAATTTGTCATAATTTATCGAAATTCAATTTTGAGAAAAGGATACATATTTTTTTAATAATTTGACGCCGACAGGAAGTGGCTTACATTGAAAATTAGCTTCAAGAGATAACAACAACATTTTTCAAGGGATGTTCACAATTGAAATTACTTTATTGGTAAGTTCTTTGCTTTTTTAACATTAAGGGGGAGGTGGTCGGTTTTTAGAGGTGCTTTTAACAAGCATAACTCCATAAATTTATTATGAAAAATTTTTATTCGTTTTTTGTCTGATAGAAAAGGGTTAAATGGAGGGGCCAACGTGGGAAAAATTGACAAAAAAATATGTGATGTTGGAGAAAATTTTACTTAAAGATGACCCTACTCTTAACAAGGATTTCGGCCAAATCCTCGAAAATTTTAAAAATTTTACTTATGGAAAATACTCTTCAGACGAAGATTTAGAGGCCAACGTGGAAGAAAAATAGGCTTGCAATGGTAATTAAGGTCGTAACGGCCGATTTAAAAATGTCGCTTTTGCTAAAAATCGTTATTTTTCACTTATTTTTCTTGAAATTTTCCAAAAAATTGCCAAAACCCGTAATTTTTTGATATTAACAGTTCTAATCTGATAAGAAAAATATATAATTCATAAGAAAATTAAGTTTTATTGGTTTAAGTGCGAAAAAACAAATTCTAAAATTCCGAAATATCTCGACTTAATGACCTAAAATCGAAAATTTTCTATATCAAAGTTTATCCAATCAAAAAAAGCTGGAGACCAAAAGTGATTCTTTTTTTATGGAGAATTCAAAAAAATAATCAAAAATTTGAAAATCGACAAAAAAATTTCCGACGACCTCCCCCTTAAAAATTGATCTTTGCAGATGTGTTTTCTTACCTTATTGCAAGTCTACGCTGTTTTTGGATTGGTTCCTACATTTCTATCAAGAGAAAATTGTTTGAGACTCAAGAAAACTGATTATTTTACAAGATTTAAAGCAGCCGAAATTATCAACTCGTTTTTCATGACTCTCGGTAAGCAATATTTTTCGGCATCATTCCTATATTTTTCCCATACTTCTAGTTGTTTCATTATTTTCTCTTTGGGCTTTGCTATTCGATGAAGCAGGGGTCTGGATTCGCTTTGCGAAATCGCCATATAGCGAAGCGAAGCGAGGCGAAGCGAATTCGCTTTAATTCGCTTCGCTTCGCCTTCACTAAAATTTTTTTAAAAAATTTCGCCTTCGCTTCGCTTTCGCTTTTCACTTTCGGGCAAAATCCAGACCCCTTGATGAAGAACTTATTGAAAATCCGATAAGTGGAAGCTCGCGAATCTCAACATTCATTCTTTCATTAGTTTTTAGGACTTGGTCAGAGCACATTTTCAATTTCTCGTCAAAAAGTGTCATATTTTTGACCGTGGAAATAGTTTTTTTGCCTTTGAAACTCTGGTTCTGGGTTTATCTTTGGCTGGATATTATTTGTTCGATGATTTTACCGCCGCGAAAATGGCTGAAAACGACAAATTTTACCAATATTTGATCGATGAAACGATTCAACCAGATTGTAAAATCCTTTCTTTGCTAAAAGTTTGCCTCTGCAAGTACTGTTTTTATCAGGTTCTTTTGCAGATGATTCTTTCAGAGAGTTTAAAGATAACCCTCAAGAACAATGGCCGATTTTCGGCCATCATCTATTCGGATTACTTGGATTTTTTATGACTCTCAAATGGGATGTTCTTTCTTACTTTGCGATTTATCGACTAACTTCTGAACTTTCAACGCCTCTTGTCAATCTTATGTTTCTTTCCGGGATTTCTACAATATTTTCAACCCAAGCTAATGATGCAATAAGCATAAGGTAAATCAGCATTTAAGGGGGTAGAACTAGATTTTCGGAAAAACCGTGATTTTCGGGAGGCACTTTAATTAAGAAAAACCTGTTATTGCTTATAATTACGCAATTTCCTCAAAAATAATGCTAGATAAATGGCTAAACAATCTTAAAATGAGATTTTAAAAATTTGGCTAGTCACGTGACTCGATAAATTTGAGGACGCGAATACGCTAAAATTGCAATTTTTGAAGAGGTGGGTTGACGTTTCGCTCTCTAGCGCCAAAATGTGTTAACGAAAAAAAATTTTAAGAAAAATGTTGTACGATCTAAGTTTGTTTATTCTTAAACCGAAGAGAGAATTTGAAAATCTAAGCTCTCCTGGCTTTGAGCGCCGGTTTAGAATCGGCTTTTTTCGAAAAACCTAGTTCTACCCCTTAAGGGCACCAACCTTAGGATCGTCAATATTTACTGTTAGGTCAGCAAGAAGCCGTTAGATCTGATAGAGATCTGGAGGCGCCCGCCGCTTTTCCACTGCGTTCAGTCTGTGCAACCATAACACAATTCAGTGTACAAGTCAGTGTTCACCTAACTGGAATACAACACCAAAACTACCCTTTTCCGTGTTATCTAGAGGCTACAGTTAGACTAGAGAGCAGAGCAGGACCACAATAGAGTGGAGGCATTCTTGACCTATCAACTGGTGACAACAGATGTGCTCATTTGCTTTCGCCGGACACTGGACTACTTCACGATAAGTAACACGCTCGATCGCCTGGTTTCACTCGGCCACTACGCGATCTGGGAGACTCCTGGAGACCTTTGAACCGCTGGATTTCTGCTGATACTTGCTCCGCCACGAACGGTGATTCTTACCTCGGAACTGCCTGAATTTGCTCGTCACAAAGCCCCTGAAGGAGTAAATAAACTTAATCAGTTTATTACTCGGGGTCAACGCAGGTACTTGTTTCGACTTCATCGATTCTGCCGCCAAGTTAAGCACTACCGGAATTCTGCCGCTCAACTCTGGACCTAGACGAACTTGTTTTCGACTGTTTGCTGACGTGTCGACCGCCGCACCACAGTCAACTTGGCCCAACCTTCGCGCGCCAGGTCAAAAACAACCGTTGCCGTTGCTGATTCCGCCAACTCCCGCGCGCAATCACAACATCTCCCGCCAACACCGCTACTTCTGCTTGGACCAACCGAATTGTTGCTGATGGACTTCTGCTAGTAAAGTCACGACCCAAAGACGCGTACAACGCGCCGCTCATAGTTTTTCAAAAACTTGAGCGCTTCTTTGAGGTAAATCAAGTCTCGTGTACACTCGACCGCTCTTTTCATCACGCCAACGACCAGGCCAACAGTGACCGCGCTGTTCGCAACACCTTCGACTTCAACAACGACGCCAACGGAAGCGCCCTTTCTACCACTGCCTCGTACTGGTCGACTCAAACTTCCCGAGACGTACTGCCCGACTTGTTATCTTCTAGCCCGCCTAGCTGGGTCAACTTTAACTCATCACCGCCGTTGCTGAACTCCTCTTTACTTGTTCAACGTCGCCCGAAACAGCTGGAGCTGAAAAAGACGCGGAATCGCGCCACTCGAAGTAATTCGACTTGGAATCAACTTCAGTGCTCTCCACAGGTAGAAAGCCTCTTCTTCTGCCGCCGCTGATTTTCGCCAGCGCACGATTGCCCAAGAACCCGACCACTATTTTCCACAAGTCCGCTGGGTTTCAAACGCGAAGAAATCCGTTGGAATTGCTGATCGCCCCCATTTCGCCGACTACGCTGCTGCTCATGATGCGATCTTAACGGCAAAATTTTTTGGCCTGGTTTCGCTCACCGCCAAAAAGTTCACTGCGCATCTGCACTCATGACGCACGTACTTCTGCACCCCCATGAACTCATCGATACTGCCGACTTCGAATACGCTTGTCGACTTCAATCGGACCTTCTCGACGCCATCGTTTCCCGCGAGCTACCTCCCGTTTTCTCCACTTCCGCCGATGTTGGCGAAAGGTTGATTCGGCTGACACGTCGCACCATCGACGCAAGCGCTCATGAATCTGTAAGTGAGGCTTGTCTCAACCACGATGAACGTCTGGAAATCTTCAACTGCTTGGAATCATCATCTCAATACGACTTGATCAGTCGTAAAAGCGTCGAAGATTTTACCTCAATGGTAAAAGAGGCGTATGATGTCTTTGTTCTGTGGCACCCTTCGACTCGACAACATGAAGCAGATTTAATTCTAGCCGTTGCCGCGAAGATGTCTTTGGCCACGAGTATTTTGGAGAGATTGCTGCTTCTTGATGCTCAAACAGACACCACTCTGGAACTTCTGGTCGCGATTCACACGCACTTCCCGTTGAACTCGCCAGATCCAGAATCTTCTCAAAAGTCGCATAACAGACACGCCGCCGACCCTACTTCAACTCAGGAATCCGAGCAAAAGCCAGCTGATGTAAGTGCTGACTCGTCGATTTCGTCTGAAGATAGCTACAGTGAACTGCTCGACCATGCTACTTCTGTTGCTTTTTGCAGCTACGCCCGAGCGCCTCTGGCTCAAAAGAGCTTCAGCTCGCCGAAATTTTTGGACGCGCACTGGTCCGAAACTAGCGAGAATTCAAGTGCCGCGATAATCCGAAGTACTCTTCTCGTCGATGTCGACATTTCCTGGACTTCAAATGCTCATTGGAGAAGAAATATGTACTTGGGGATGCTTACCTGGACGCGATGCGAAACCGCCCGTCTGCTTCATCTAGAACCTTCTTCCAACTTCATGCCTTGCCGAAAGTTTGGGGAGCTGGATGATATTCAAAACCTCCGTCAAAGTTGCGCCTTTGATTGGCAACAGGTTCTGATCAGCCAACTGGAACTATGCTCAAACCAAGTCGCTAACGCGCCACTCATTGTTCCAAAACATGAGTGCCCAACCAAGGTAAACCTTCTTGTTTGGCCAATTGACTGCATATTTTCTACTCGCTTGGTTCGATCTTATCAACGCGCATCAGAAATTGAAACGCTTGGCTCAGCACCGCTTTCATCTCTACTCCTATTGGACATCTTCCGCTGGATCATCTCTACACTTCTTTCTTCACTTCTAGAGTCTCCAATCGTCAGAAGACTTCGAAGACTGGGGAGCTGTTAGGTCAGCAAGAAGCCGTTAGATCTGATAGAGATCTGGAGGCGCCCGCCGCTTTTCCACTGCGTTCAGTCTGTGCAACCATAACACAATTCAGTGTACAAGTCAGTGTTCACCTAACTGGAATACAACACCAAAACTACCCTTTTCCGTGTTATCTAGAGGCTACAGTTAGACTAGAGAGCAGAGCAGGACCACAATAGAGTGGAGGCATTCTTGACCTATCATTTACATACTTTCAAGCTTCGCTGTTGTATTTTTCTGCTGTCGAATTTTCCCAATGCCCCATTATTGGATCACTTTTCTCCCTGTCATTTTGAATGCTGGTAATGATGAGATCCCGTTTTTCTGGAAAATTGGATCTTGCCTAACCTGCCTCTTTCTTGACATTCTTTTTATCTACTGGGCGATTATTATCATTAAGAAAGCTGTTAAACTTATCAAAGGGAAAAGTAAAAATCAATAAAACCTTATCTGGGTTTGAATTTTTGTGTTTTATTGGCGTCAAAGAAACAGTGGTCGGTATTTTATATTTTAAAAGTTGAAAAAGGTTGAAACAGATATTGGATAAGAAGGGCGTAACAGTGAATAAGGATTGCTTTTAACAGCGATTTTTTTTACTTTGAAGTTGGGTTTTGCCTTGTTTTTGGCTTGGGAACGAAAATGATTTGTCAAAAATCATGTTTTTTTTTTGGATTTTTATGAATTAAATACGAACAGTTTTTGTTTTCGATTCTTATTTTCTTCCCCAGAAGCTCCAAAAAGCTGGAGAACTTGAGATGCGGAGATCATAAGTCTTTGACTCTGGGGACTCATAATCGGCAGAGGATTCTTCTTCGTAGTCTGCAGAGGATTCGTATTCGACTTGTTGGATGATGTTCTTTTCAATTTTCTCGATTTCTTTTTCCATTTCGCCGATTATGGAGCTTTTGAGGCCGAAGCGCTCGGGAAGTTTTTCAAAAGCGCTGTCGATTTTGAACGCTGATTTCATCATCTTGAATTTTTATCACGAAAAATTCGCGCATCAAAACTTACAGAATTGAGCTCTTCATCCATGCTGCCAAAAGAAAATGGCGGCAACTGGACATCTGGGACTCCGTCCTTGTTGTTGTCACTCGAAAAGTGCATCTCGGCGTGATATTTGTAGTTGCCATCCTTAATTATTTTTGACATTTGAAGAGAAAGATTTGCTTCTACCTTTGACTCGTAGTCTTGATAGATGTCTTTGCCGTTATCTCGGATGATTTCTTTTTGAAGGGGCTAAAATGAAAAACCATAAAATTTAGAAAAATACTGAAAATATATAAAATAATATTTTCTATTCACTGAACTACGCAGATTATCTTCTTTACATTCTTAGACAAATAGCCATACAAATTTATCATTATCGTCGACTTACAATTTGCCGATTAAACTCCAAAACAGCTCCGGAAGCCGCAGCAAAAAGACAAGTACTCGATAATTTGCTCATTTTTTCAGTCTGAATTTTCGATCCATCAAAAAACGCACTTAGGACTTATATAACACTTTTGAAGATGAGTAAATACGGGATAACAGTGCGCAGAGAAAATATTTTAAACTACAAGCCTTGCTTTTTATAAAAGTAAGGCGAACTGATGATTGGAAACTATTGTTTTATAGGTGATTGTGAACGGATTGTGCATTTGCCACGGGTTTGTTTAAAAATTAATTCTTTGATGTCAGTAGACCATCAGATTCGCCTTCGTCTTGAGTGTTGCCGTATTTTTCTTTGAGATATTTGACGTTTCGTACTCTCGAATATCCCGCGCACGCGAGGAGGAATAAAATCGACCCGCTGGAATATAAATTAGACATGTTTTTCATTGGAAGAAAATACCTAAGGACAATGACGAAGATATCAAAGTACTCATCAAGCGTGTCCCTGTATCTGTAATCAGCCATATTCGCATGACCTTGCTCGTTCAAATGCGGGAAGGGGTAAGCCGTAACCCTTTCGTATTTAGCATCTTCCTCGTCTTCGTAAAGACTTTTGTCGTAATCTTCGTTGTTGAACGTATTCCACCTAGACACATGTTTCCCTCGATTCAATCGTACTAATGACTTACCAATCTTCAACAATGGCGGATCCTTCGTACTCGAAATCGTCCACATCGTCATTTCCGAAGATGTTCATGAATTTGCTTCCCACACCCTTGAAGGTATCAAACCAAGTGCCACTGGAAAAAAAATTTTTACAAAGTGATTTCTCCAGCTTCAATTTCTATTGAAAAATGCTGTCTTACCTGCCCTCGTATTCTTCATAATAATCGGACATATCGTAGCTATCTTCATCACTAAGAGCAGAGTCAAGAACTCCCTCAGCAACATCATCGTCGGGAATATCTGCTGGCTCTCCTTCAACCCCCTCTTCTGAAACAAAAAAGAATGACAGCTGAAATTTTCGGGCGAGTTTTAAAAATTCAAAAGAAAGAAAAGCGGTCCTAAAAATTGACAAAATTTGAAATTTTCAAGAGCAAAAAGAGCGTTTGGCTTCCGATGGTGACAATTTTTGAGAGCGAGCAGGTTCAATCAAACTCTCAAATCCACGAAAATTTCAAGAAAAGTTGCAAAAAAATATGAAAATTGGAATCAAAAATAAACGATATTGTTTTATTTGAAAAAAAAAAACGAAAGTGAAATCACTGTTCATACCTCTAGAAACTCGTCTTGCCACGGCACAGGCGTAGATAATATGCCAAAGCTTCATATTTTTCTCTTTTTTCTTTTGCTAATCCCGGTTCCTCGTGAAAACAATGGCGAGGTTGTTAAACCAATTTTTACAACTTGCAATTTAAATGATTTTTTTTCTATTCTTTGTCCGGAAAAATTATGAAAGTGATAAGAAATTTGAAGCAAACGCGGGGATAGGAGGAAGGGCCGCGAAGGCAGAAAACGCTGAGAGGGATTTAAACTGCCTTCGGGGAGGGATGAGTTTTCAGAATTAGCTTTTCCTCCGCCAAGCGATATTTACACCAAGTACAAGTTGTAAACGCGAATTCTTTGTTATAGTTAGTGATCATTTTTTGATTGAGTAATAATTAATAAAGATTGAATAACTTGACAATTGCAATTTCAACTTTCTTTTGATATGAAAAATAATTTTAAAATAACTCATTCCCTTTTAAATTTAATATGGCATGTCGTTAATCAGTTGTTTTGGTCAAAATGAAAATGATTGATAGTTGATAGTTTTTTTTTTGGCTTCTTTTCAAAAGAATTAAAATCTATAATTCTCCTCCATGATTACATTATTTCGAAAAATTGCAAAATAGCGTAGCTTAAGGGATCCCCCCTGTTTTTTCAGGTCTTTCATAGGGTGTTATATCTGACATATTTAGATTTCTCGTGATCTGAGGATCATTTTGATGTGTTATATGACCCATTTACGAACATCTATCCCTGAAATTTTAGCCTTCGAAAATTGCAAAAATGCATGTAATTCATACTTAGCGTAAAAATTGGTAATTTTTTCGACTTTTCAATAACATCGAAATAAGACATATGAGGGATCTATCGAAAGCTTAGAATGTGCTGATTCAGAATTTTGTAACCGCACTAGACTTTTGAACCAAATGTTGGCGCTAGAGAGCATTTAAACTCCAAAAAACGCCAAAAATGGCCCCAATCGGTTGTTCTTAAGAAAATTTTTTACTTACTTGACCAAACTATTTTTCTGTACTAGAGATTGAAGATTAGGCTTCGGTCTATCTAAATCTAGCCGAGGATGGTGGCTATCTAAGCCCAAATCGGCTGAATTTCGAGTCAAAGATGGCCTAAAATGGCGTTTTTTCGAAATTCTCGAACTTTGCCCCCTCCTAGTGGTAGGTTTACCTTGAGCGAAAGACTTCTCTGTACTAGAGAATAGCGGATAGCATCTAAGCTTTCCGAAGAGCTATTGTCCGCCGAAATTCATACGCGCAAATCGGCTGAATTTCCAGTCAAAGATGGCCAAAACGGGGGTCCCTTAATCTTAGGTACTAAGATAGGGGTCAATTTTCAGGTCACTTGAGGTCACCTGAGGTCAGAGATTCTGAACTATACGGACGGATAAAATGGGGGCGTGTTCCCGTGTCAGGATGGCCGAGTGGTCTAAGGCGCCAGACTCAAGCCTGTGCTTGCGCTGTAACAGCGTACCGAGTGTTCTGGTCTCCGATTGGAGGCGTGGGTTCGAATCCCACTTCTGACACAGATTTTTCGAAAATAATGAGTGTTCATGATAAAATTTTGACAGTTTTCACGGTCAAACAATTAGGTCAATCGAAAATAACCGAACTTACAAAGAAATTATTTGATAATTCAAAGTGAATTAATCGGTAGTATAAAACCGCATTCCTAAGAAGTCGACCTATTCACGGCTGGTAGTTGCCAACCATTAAAGAAATTTCTTTACGATTTCGAGCGTAACGCGCGTAATTTAAGCCCGCCCTCGCTGACTAGGCGTCCCACTCTTTGTTAGATCAGACGATAAAAGCAGCGTTTTTTTAGAGCGACGCTCATTTCGAAAAGAGAGCTCATCAAAAATGGCCACTTCGAAATTCTTTGGCTGCCGTCAACTTGAGTTCACGCTCGCCATCGCGATTTCTGTCCTCAATGCGGTCGTGTTCGCGCTTGCTTTTGCGAATCACTACACTTTCGGTAAGTTCACAACAGTAGATAAATATTCATAAATTTGAATATTCAAAGAGCTTGGAGATCGAAGAAACTAAAACTGCGTAAAGCCTGTCTTTTTACTTATATTTTGTTTGAAGCCGCAAGCGGCTTCTCGGCTTTCACTAGGAGTTCTAGTGGAATATAACGAAAATTAGTCATCGAAAAATGCAAATCGTAGAAAAAAAATTTTGTTTGAAATCGGCGGGTAGACAGATTTCCATCGATATCATGCTCAAGAGTTCAAAATTTGAACTTTGAAGCTATTATCTTTGCAAACCGACATTTTTATTGATAAAAAATACACAAAAGAAGCGTTGCTAAGAGTGCGTACTCTGTCAGACCTTTGATGATAGGCAATTTGCCTTTCTCAGCATTTTTGATACGTTTCTGAAGAGAATCCTCAAAACAATCATCATTGTTCGCAACTTAGTTTTGAAAAGGAAAAATAATCCGCCGTCTTTTCAGACAACGGCAACGGAAAAACTTGGACCTGGGAGCTGACTGGGGCCATCGCCACTTTTGGCACTTCCGGTTTTTGGATGCCGCTTGAATTTCGACCCAGCCAGTGCCGGCGATTCTGGTCGACTGTCCGTCCTCTCCAGCTGATTGCTTTCTGCTTCTCGCATGTTGGAGTGATGTCGTTTATGCTCATGAACGGTGCCACAACTGGCTGGCCGAGTAAGCACGTCGACATGCTCATCGCCATGGATGTTTTGGCTTCAATCAGTGGCTTCTTGGCTTTCTGGCTTGGACTCAGCATGAATTACAGAGGAGACGAATAAAGATAAGCTGTAGCAGCTTGAGTTTGATTTCGATTAACGCTTATGATGTTTTCTGCTAACAAAAACTTTTCAATAAAATACATAATGTTCTTTTCAATGATGTTTCTTAATAAGTTTTGTAAAATAGGGGTTGAGCAAAACGAAGGAAATTGTACGCCTAAGATAGGGCGTATATATTTTCGTAGAGAGGGGGATTTTTTCTAGCCTTAGGGTTAGGGTTAGGGTTAGTTTGATTCATGTTTGAAGATCGATTTTAAATTAGAATAGACATCAAAGAAACTTAAAAGAGGTTCAATATATCACGAACAGCGACAAACACGCTGAAATTACTCAGTGAATCAGTGATCATGTTATCATCATAAGGATGTTCGTTCTGTAAGGAACATTATTCTTTTGTCCCTACTATACAATTGTATGTTTGATGGCCTATTATTTGTGACGCATCTGCACGAGTTCGGTACATGCTGCTGGAGTTGGTGAACTGGAAATTATCTACGAAGAAAGTAGATCATAAATAATTAAATTTCTTTTTACTCATTTCTTCGCCCAAAAGCAAAAAGGTCATTATTAATGACTCATTACCAAAGCAAATTATTAAATTGCTTTTTTAGTCGACCAGGTAGTTATCGAGAAGACAAGTAGTTCAAGTAGAAGTGAATCTTTTATTACAAAAGCGATAATTAGACAATGAATGATGATCCGTGATAACACGGGCTGTACAGGATAGTTCAGATCTTTTTGAATAAAAAATGGATTTTTCTAACCCTTTTTATTCGTCGCAGGAGCCGATGCCCTTCAAGCTGCCGTCGCGGGCGCAGCATTCGAGTCGCATTGGGTTGTAGCTCTTGCCGTAGCCGGTGTCGGAGACGCAGCACTGCTTGATGTTTCCGTAGCCGTCGTCAGCGCGGAATGGGTATCGTCTGAAATGAGCGGTTTTGAATGAGGTCATATGGGGGCTTGAAACCAATCAGAAGTCTTTTTTACCTTGGGTATTTTCCGCAGCATTCCATGGCAGAAGGCTCGTTGAATCGTTCGCCTCTGTCAGCTCCACCACCTCCGACTCGAACGCAGTTCATCTCGAGATCGAAGTTACCCCACTTGGCGTGATGGAGAATGTTCCACTCGCGTTCGGCATCGGAGAGATCGTAGGCAAGAGCTTTGTCGCACTCGCAAAGAGCTCGGGCACAGGAGCCTTCTTCATCAACGCACTGGATTTTGAAAGTTACGATGTTTGAAAGAAGGAAGATTGAATTACCTGGATCCATGCGATTCCAGTGACTTCATCTTGCTTAGCGATGAAGTTGTAAGGATCAGTTGCGGAGCAGGTCTCGCCGAAGTCCAATTTCGAGCACTCGTTGCATTGCTAGGTTTTGAATAAGTGATCATTATTTTTCCCCCGTAAGCAAATTTAAAGAAAAAAGACATCTAAGTTTTCCCTTTTCAAGCTGTTTTTGAAATAAATCATAGAATAGAAAGCTCTTTCTTTAAAACAAAAAGAAAGTTTTCTTCAATACAGGTTTCAATTACAGTCAGTTGATTTGAGTAGCTCTATCGAGTTCATGTAACTTATGTTTTGTTTTGATGAAAATCATGTTGGCATGTTTCTCATTCTATTGAGATTCGGCTCATGTCAGCCTTCGTTATTCTCAATTTTCTATGACTGTATGAACTTACAAGATGTCGTTTGCAAGCCGAATCAGCACCGTCCATGGGAGCAGTGTTTCCTCCTGGGACAAGGAGATTTCTTGGGCCCTTGGCGAAACAGTAGCAGCCGTAGAAGCAGAACTTTCCGAAGAGCTTGATCTGCTGGAGGTAGACAATCATGTTTTTGATGAGCTAAAATTCCTCGATTAGGGAAAGAAGGAAAGAAAAAAGTACCTTGAACTTTCGGATCATTTTCTTTTCTTCCTCTGTAAATTGAGATCGGCTCATTTGATCAATATCGACGGCGTAAAACTCGTCTTCGAATTCTCGGAAGAGATCGTCTTCGGCGTTTTCGAGGACGACTTGAGTGGCGTTGAATCCTTCGAAGCTTCCTCCATATCTAGAATTTTCGAATAAAAGTTTGTCAAGGACATCACTTCTTATAGCTTTCAATAAAAAACGAGGAAAGTTCAAGATCTACTTCAATCTCTGGCAAGGTATTTTTTGCTCTCTGGAAGTATTTTGATATCTCTTGATCTTACCCTTCTGGGACGATGACAAAAGTCTCCTCAATCTGCTGGCTCGATCTTTTGAATCCCTGTGCCACGGCGGCGGCGACTGTAGCGGCGAAAAGTTTCATTTTTTCAGAAATTTATCAACCTCGAAATATAAAAAAGGAAAAAAAGTGATTGCTTTCGGATTCCTTATCGGAATAGCCGTAATGAGTAGAAACCGTCGGTCGAAGCTTTATGAGGAGCGTGGCTTCCAGCGCGCCATGGTGGTCGACTGTTTGGATTTTCGATAAACAACACATTGAAACCGACTTTTCAAGGGTTATTCCCTGTTCCAAAAAAGGCATAAAAACCTTTTAGTTGTAGAGGGGTCAAGATTTATCTAATCAGTTCTTCTTATATCTTCTCCTTTCTGACTTATCTCTTCGCTGGAGTAATAAGACGAAAATGGGGATTTCTGGCATGCAGCCTGTATAATACCAGGGTACAGGTCATTTAAACTTCCACCCGTCATCTGCTTCTCAGACGAAAAATCCGGGATAGAGATGGAGGTAACTGCTAAAGAGGCTTTTCCCTAGGGTCGGCACCGACCTCCCTTTTCCAAGGTCGGAGTCGGTCAGGTGACTCAAGAGTTCATCTGATTCGTGGTCGGGTCGGTCAGTCTTTGGTCGGTCGGTGGTTGGTCGGTAGGTCATTTTTTGCTTCCTTTTATCCGAAACAAGACCGACCGGCCACCCGATCAGGTCGGATTGGTCGGTGCCGGCCGCAATCAATTGTACGATATTGAATATAAATTATAATACATAATAATTTATTGAAATTCTTGTTCCAAGTCACTCCAGGACTGAAAATCCTTGATTTTCATTTTCATTTTTTTTAAACCAATCGAGCCCTGATAAGTCCGGTTATCAGGAAATAAACCCTTATAATTAAAAAACGAGAGTGCACGTCAAGGCAAATCCCTACCAGCGCCATGGATAAATATATAATAAGAAGCTTATTTGGTATTCCAGCGGCTGCATATAAAGTAAGCACCAATGATTTAGAAATTAGAAGAAGAGAAAAAGTGTGACAAGATTTTTTAAAAGATGAGATTTTCCTATTTGATCAGTGTTTGCACCGCAGCCCCTTGGGTACGGCTCGAATTTCTTTTAAACAATTATGATTTTCTAACTTAAAAGAGCCAAAAAAGCTTCAACAATGGTACAATCAGCAATTGGTACAGACAAGGTCAGTTCAACCGGAAGAATATCAAGACGACGGAGTTTTTTCGGCGAGTTTAAATGGCTTAGACCTTGATCTTGGCGAGGAAAGAGTCCTGAAAAATTTTTAAATTGAATTTTGTGAAAATTGATTGTCAAAGTCACCGGAATTTTGAAATTTAAAAACAAAAATTTTGCGAAAACTATTTTCGAACTTGAAATTTTGTTTTTTAATTTTTGTTTTAATTTAAAAATTTTATTAAGGATATAGCCTTGAATATTGAACTTTCGTAGCGCCGAATCCCTGTTACGAATTTATTCATTTTTCAAAGAAACCCTACCTAAAATGCAGCGTAGATTTCGAAAATGACCTTATTTTTAGTACTTTCTATGGTGTTTGTACCTAAAAATCGCCTTTAAAATAAAACAGACCGTCGTTCTCTGAAAATTTCCATTAATAAGGTAAATTTGGATTGATGATATGAAAGATTGAAGCCTTATCTCCAATCTAGCGGTGGATTTTGTAAAAATATTGAAGATTACGGCTTCTAGGAACTGGTTTTTGATTGTACTTCGAAAAGGAGAGTGGCGCGCGCAGCCAATGAGAGCGAGGGGAAAATCTCACTCAGCCATCGCTCATCCTATTTTACGCGAGAAATTTTGTCGACAGCTTGGACGAAATCTAACTGAGATTCTCCCCTCGCTCTGATTGGCAGCGCGCGCCACTCTCCATTTCGAAGTACAATCATAAACCAGTTAGTAGAAGCCATAATCTTCAATATTTTTACAAAATCCACCGCTAGATTGGAGATAAGGCTTCAATCTTTCATATCATCAATCCAAATTTACCTTATTAATGGAAATTTTCAGAGAACGACGGTCTGTTTTATTTTAAAGGCGATTTTTAGGTACAAACACCATAGAAAGTACTAAAAATAAGGTCATTTTCGAAATCTACGATAAATTTTAGGTAGGGTTAATTTGAAAAATGAATGAATTCGTAACAGGGATTCGGCGCTACGAAAGTTCAATATTCAAGGCTATATCCTTAAATATTTTTTTTCAATTTAACTTTGACTCTATTCAGTATTTGGATCTGATGCGTCACAACATGTCATTTTAACAAAAAACTGCCATTGAAACAAGTTCACCAAATAAAAAAAATCAACAATAGAAATTTGTTTTCATAAATGATAATTTATTGTTATGGACGCCACCACGTTGAAAACTCGAGCCTCATCGGAAAATATTTATGCCCTGGTCATTTGTTTGTAAACGCGGGATGGCAGATCAACATGAGAAAAAAACGGAGCTTGTTTGGATTTGCAACGAGAGGGGGGCGAATTTGAAATTATCTAACCGCAGAATCATCCTTTTTTCTTTAATTGAAATCCAATTGAAGAGGGCTTAGTTTACATTTTTCACGAAAACGACTTCTGAATTCAATGCTACCGGAAACGATTTTACAATTAAGCCAAGCATTGTCGCCTAAGAAGAGTCATTTGAGGACTCGTACTAACCAAAGAGAAAAATGGAGCACCCTCTTCTTGCTGGAATTCCTCTTTTTCTGGATGCATTCAATAGTATTGCCGATGAAGAGGGCAAGGTTTCAAGAGCAAAATTTTTCGGATTTTTGAAGAAAGGTGAGCAAAATCGGTTAAAAACGGCAGTAATTAATTCATCATTTGAAGAGCTTGGAGATCAAGCAGAAGAGTTGCTCGCGAGGGTTGATGAGAACGAAGAAGGGATGATGGATTTCAAGGAATTCTGCTTTTTTGCCTGGTTTATTTTCGGCAACCAAAATGAACTGAAAGACAACGAAGACTCCCGACAGCCAAAAATGACGTCCGAAGAATTCTTTGAGTTTAAAAAATTCTTGCAGCAGATTCGTCCTGATCTTTTTGAATAAATTTAACAAATTTTACCGAAGCTATCTCTCCGAACACTCCAGAAAGTGTATCGAGTTCGATCTGAGGTGAAAGGTTAACCAAGTTCGCACAACGAAATGGCAGAGAAGACAGACGGTATTTCAAGTCGGAATTAGACTGACAGTTTTTTATCACACGCAAGGAGCAGGGCGCAAGTTCACAGAGAATCATCTCTTCCCCTGGAGTATTTTTCATTCTTAGAAATAACAACTTGAAATGAAAGCTGGAAGAAAAAAAGAAAAACAAGCCGTTTTAATCTTTCAAAAAAGAATTGAGGTAACTGAGAGATTTTGACCTTCAATTGATCTTCAACTAGTGCTTGGACTGTCAATGTGTTGGAACTTTGAGAAAAAAGGGAAGAAAAGTTTACTTATTCCCCGAAGAAATTTTGACTACCCGCAGTATCTTGACTCAAGAGGAAGATTTGAAAAAGCCTTCTTTGAAGAAAAAAATCACTGAAAACCTGAGCTTGTCTGAGCATGGATTCGCGACAAACAAGCAGAAATGGACTTATGTCGGGCTTGGGAGTCTCTTTTGGGTGGCGATCATGCTTCTAAGTAAATTTTAAAAAATGACCGAAATAATTTTTTTAGCAAACTTCATCTCTCTTGAAAAATCTCGCGCCGTCACGACTTTTCTGACTTCTACTTGCAATCGAAACTACAAACAATGTATTCGGCTAGAAACCATGGACTACTGCGGCCATCTGATGAAGAAATGCTACGAAACTAAGCAATTCAAACTCCCTGTGCGAATTTCTCAGATTGAGCGACAGAAAAAGCCAGCAGAAAAATTCACTGAGGAAGAAAATAAAATAAATCTCCTTCGCTGCCAAAAGAAAAAGTTTTACGATACAAAGATCTGCCGCCATCTTTGTTCAAAGACCCTCGTACTCGAATCGACAAGGAACAACCCGATTTCCCCCTGTGAATCAATTTGTTTCGAACTCACGCGATCATTTGATTCCGCCGGAGCTGTTTGCCCTACTGAACAATACTGTGCTAAAGGATGTCCTTGTCCTCATTATCAGTGCGAAAAGAATAACTCGCCGCAGAAATTGATTCCCACCTTTAACCTTGAAGAGGAAGAAACAATCAGTTTTCTTTCAACGACTGAAGAGCCCCGTACTTTTTCAACAACAGAAATGGCAACTCTTTGGACCTCAATGACCGCGACACCGTGGTTGAAAATTCAAGAAAATGCTGAAAAAGCGATTTTAAATACTCGAATAGAAGAGAAAAATAGATCAAAGCGTAGTACGAATGAACAAGAATGCCACGAAAAAGAAGAGAAATATAATTTTGAATTGATAACTGGCCGCTGGGAGAACAAAAATTCGAAGCAAAAAAATTTTACACTTATTTTTACCGACTTTAATGAAAAAGAGACAAACACCCCGATTATTCCTAGTTGCAAATTTTACTCTCACGAACGGTTTTAGCATCTTTTTGGAGATACGAGTTAAACAAATGCGAAAAACTTTAAAGTCAACCGGTGCGACTTTTCTCACTGGGGAGCATTACCTTGTTGATGCAAAGGGAAATTTAATGATTTTAAACGAAAGTGGTACCCGTTACAAGTTTTTTCCCAATGGAAATCATGCACTGTAAGTACAGTCGGAGTATAAAATAACATTATTTGAAGTAATTTCTTACAAATATGTAGGGGAAATCACTAATTATTCGACTTTTTTCTGGGCTTAGTAGGGTGGGCATATAATACAGATTTAGAAAGCCCAAGAGCTGGCGATCATTTCGACTATTGAAAGTAGGGGTGATTTTGTACTCTGAGGGAGTCCTTAAATCTGGCCAATTTCGGAAATGTGAATTTTCGAAGCCCTAACTAACCGAAAATTCACATTTCCGAAATTGGCCAGATTTTGGGACTTCAGGGGTACCTTAACGCCCTCAGGGTACGAAATCACCCCCCACTTTCAATAGTCAAAATGATCGCCAGCTCTTGGGCTTTCTAAATCTGTATTATATGCCCACCCTATTAAGCCCAGAAAAAAGTCGAATTATAAGTGATTTCCCCTACAAATAAGGGACTTATTCTGCTCCGAAAAGAGTCCCTTAAATTAGCTCAATTTAGCATTGAAATTTTCAACAATTTATTTAAAAATTTTATCCCCTTTTATAAAACCATAATTTTATTTTTAAAAGGGGTTTCTTCGTCTTTCACTTCGGATCTTCAATTGGAACCCATCAAATAGAGATCCCACTCAAAGAAGACGGCGTGCAAACTTTTCCCGTTGTCGTCATCTGAAAACGGTCTAAATTTCTTTGTTCGCTTTCAACAAAATGTCAAATATTGATCGTGAAAAGTTCCCCAACACAAAGGTCTGATAAATGTTTCTATTATGCTCCAGAATACAACATGGAACGCTTTGAAGAGGCTCAAGGCTTTATTGCTAGTAATCATTTCAACGCAAAGATGTCTTCTATCAGCTTCAAAGGTGTCTTCTATCTGATGAGTGTCAGGATGGGTGAGCGCTCGATCAAACTGTCTACAACAGTTGCCCTGAGTAGAATAAGAAGAAGCGAAGAACTTGAAAAAGGATGGAGAAAAAATGAAATATCTTTGATGGCGGAATATAACGATTTGGATCCTGTTCATGTGGTTCCATTGGAACGGATTAAAATTTAAAAAAAAACGCAAGATTTTCCTTGAAATTTTCATTCGTTTATCTCATCGAGTCTATTTTTCGACAAAGACTTTTCTTCATTTAATCCTTATAAGATCGATGTTGACAGACTGGGCTCGGCAACCTGTGAAGAAAATCTGAGTCAGGCTATTGTTGAAACGCTGCTAAAGTAGAACAAAGCCGCAAAGTTTCTACGCGGCTTTTCATTTAAGTTTTTCAAGACCCTTACTCAGGTTTTCTTTATAGGTTGCCGAGCCGAGTTGACAGATTAATGCTCATTCTCGTTACAAGGCACATCAAGCTTTCAAACACCCAGTACGCTTTGCTACTCGAAGCAGAAGGACAGTTTCTCACTCTCGGCAGCGAGTGGATCGGCTCACTCGTCAAGTATGAAGAAATGTCCGTCTGCTTCTCGAAGTTGTTCTCTCAAGACGACACATTCTATACAGACACAATGGAGAACAACAACGATGAATGCGAGTATTTTGTCAATGGCTTTGTCAACAACGAAAAAATCTTCATCCAAAACTACGTATTCGACGCGACCTTTGAGATCAGATTTAACTTCGAACGAATTGAGCTCGATTTTTATCAGAAAACGTCGATTAAGAAAATGCACGTCACAAGCAATCCCTTCTTCTCATTCCACGACGATGTTTTTCCCGGTTTTGCAAAGAATGCTGCTAAACAATTGAAATTCCCTATGTCCGCTACGTCCATGACAAGACCGTACCCGAAAATAATTGTCCCGAAGCACCCGTTTGGCTCGCTTGAAAAATTCAATCACATTTCAACTCTGGAATTGTCTTTAAATGGAACTGAAAATTTCGAATTTCAGCTAACTATGAACAAGACGGCAATAACTAAACAGCTAAAAATAATTGAAATGCAGTTTTTTGATGGAAAAACTTTGCTCGAAGTCAGCATTAAACAAAATGGAACGATTATGATGGCTTCCGATTATTTCGAAAGCTTTCTTATCGACGCTTTTCAAGAGGCCGTGGAAATTTTCCAACTTCAACTGAAGACTATGAGTTCTTCGAATCTTACGCTCTTCAAAATGAATCGTCCCCAAAAGACGAAGATTGAGATATCCGGCCTTTCAAATAAAATTGACAAAAGAATCAGGATCTTCAAATTCGATCGTCGCACGAAGATCGAGGATTTTATCTTTTTTACTGACCAACCAACTCAACTTAGCGTCATAATTCCTGACGAAGAGGGTCGTTACAAGATTCAAGAATACGCATTACTTGGCGACGGAAGTCTCAACAAAGAACTGTTCCTCAAAACCCCAAAAGACATTGACTATGCGGTGAGTGCATATGTTCACCGCTCAAGATTTGCACTCGTCAAAGATCAGCTACACATTTTTGGAGGCCATGTTGACGGTCATAGGGTAATAAAATATAAGATAAAAAATTGAAAAGCAGATATTTTCAAAGATTGCACGGCTAGACAAATGCAGATTTACTACACTGCAAGTCGAACTCAATGCTGAATATCGTCATGGACATGATGCGATGAGTTTTGATCTGGGCTCGGCAATCCATAAAAACCTAAGTAAGGGTCTAAGCGACTAAACTGAAAAGCCGCGTAGCGGATTTTTAAAAATAACAAAGCCGCTAATGACTTTGCCTAATAACCTTTTGAATCTGTTACAATTCTATTTTTGTATAATCAGCTACTCGGCTTTTGCTTAAGGACCCCCGTCAGCTCTTCCCTTCAAAAAATGGAAATTGAAAAAAAAACAGATTTTCGGTTAGGGTTAGAGGTCATGAGTACTCAGGTTAAACTTGCTTCAAAAACTTGATAGGATGAATATTTGACCAAGAAAAATCAATATTTTTGCCTAAATTAGGGCAAATTCGTCATTTTTCGAGCAAAATTAAAATTTTCAAATGCGATCTTGGGAGTGAAGGAGTCGAGAAAGACCCCCAAAAAATGAAGCCTCAAAATCGTTTTTTGACCCATAGAATCAATGTCCGGATTCAAAATTTTAAAATTCCGAAATTTGATTATTCGAAAAAAGCTGACGGGGGGGGGGTCCTTAAGTCTTTCACACCTTGCCTCAAGTCTTCTACACAAATTGCCGAGCCCAGACATAGACAGAGGAAGCAAAGGTATTTTTTAAGCAGGTGTTGTTACTTTATTAAACTTAAAAGCGATGGTTTGCTTTGACTGGAAATCAGAGAGATCCTGTGAAGAATTTGATGGAGAAAAAGCGAAAAAACTTCAGCGAACAGAAAAGCGACATGACTCAGGTGGTCTTGGCCTCTACAACAATCAGCCTACAGTTGTCGGAGGCTGGGAAAACGAAGGTGAAGTTGAAACACTGACGAAAGAGGGCTGGATACCACTCCCTCCTCATCCCAAGTTTGATTTAAAATAACAATTATATTTCTGAATGTTTCTAGAATTATCTCTTATACTTATGTCGTCAGCATGCCGTCAGGCTCGATGCTTACTGTTGGAGGTTTGGACTACAAAAGTTGGGAGAAACTTTATCAAATATTTTGTCTGTCAAAGAATCAATGGTCAAAAATTGGAATTCTTACGAAAGTAATTTGTCGAATTTTAGAGTTTTTTTTTCGATTTTAAGGCTGTGGATGAACCAACAGCGATCTTGATCGGCGACTTCATTTATATCTTTCCGGGTTACACGGATGATTACGAATCTTGGATTCAAAGAGTTAATTTAGGCAGAGATTTCGAAATTTAATTATTTTTTTTATTTCATTTTTTTTCAATAAGCCAATTCGAGATCCTTTTGAGATTCTGAAGAAAATTTTATTTCCTCGGCTGTTATTGCGGAGCAAAAAGTAAATAACAGAGGTCCTGTTCTCTTTCTGAGCCCGTTTAATTACTGTAGCACATGATTTTATTCGATTGAAGAAAATTCAGTAGTGTTCCCAGAGCTGTTGTCATTTTCTATATTTAATAAAGCGAAAAACTTCGCGGAGCACATCTGTTCGATGAATTTCCAAGAGAAGCCTTGACAATTCTTTCGAGCATGAAAATCATGATAACAAACGCAAGCAGAGATACAGTAATGCAAACAAGCGCGAATGCAGAGAAATCATCTCGTTCTTGGAAAAAATCCGCAGTGGTCGTAATTTTAACAGGATCGAGTTTGTCTTCTTCGTCAGTTGCTCCAGTTAATCCGCTGAATCGATCGTTGTAGACTTCGCAGCAGCTAGATCGCTGGAGGCACCAGTTGTTCATGATGTTGTTTCGCTCAAGGTGCTCACAGGCCTTGCAAAACTTCATGTTGCAGGAGCTGCCCAAAGCGGAAGAAATGACCAAAAAGAGGCCGAAAAAGCTCATCATTTCGCAAAATATGATATCCTACGATTTATCTGATGGATTGGTGATTCTAGGCGCGCTTTTATGGACCAAGCCCAGGTGTGATTTATGCGCAGGATGAGGAAAATCAATGGAAAGATTCGTTTCGAACGCTGGAGAGTCATTTTTATGGTAATTCTCAGATCCATCCGAACAAATGGAATACTGAAGAACATTCGAGTGAGAAAAATTACGATTCAAGGAATCGAGAAAATATCGATTTTTTCTGTTTTTGACAAATAAAGTCTATTTTTTATTGAAGTTTAATAAAAAACTTGATGATATTTCGGCGAATTCAGCTTTTAAATTTCATATTTGTACTTCCCCGAAAAGACATCACTCCGGAATAACAGCCACTCTAAAACTGTGTGGAGCAAATATCAGAATGGCTTTTCTAAGATTGTTGAACAAACACCTTCTCTCACTTTTGAAAGAGATGAAAACCGAAAATCATTAGGAAGAGATCAATCATTTCTTGGTAGGAATGGTTCAGAGTAGAGTTGGTTTATTTTTCTTTCTCGGAAGATTTATCGACGCTCAATATGTAAGAGAAATACAGTACGAGACTTTTTATCTTTTAGTGATATTTTATGTCATCATTTTTGTCTTTTAGTAACTGCTGGAGTTTCAGAATGAACTTTCATTTCATGGTGTTGACTTTGCTTTTGTTATTTTATCACGTTATCGTAGATATTTTTAACCAAATTTCTATTTGAAGGAGTTCTTTATGGTTTTTTCTTAGTACCGAGATGTGCCAGGAATCGAATATGTTCGCGAAACTTCTTTTTACAACAATAAAGCCGCACCAAATTCGCCATTCTACGACTCAGAGGAACTCGGATCATCCCTTTTTTAAACCCTTTCTCCAGTTTTTCATGATCCAAGTTACCAGAGCTATGTTAATATGGCTTTTTCATCGTCAAGTTCGGACTCGAGTGAATTCAACATCGACCCGATCGTTGAGGAGGAAGTAGTTTGGAGAACGGAGAAGGTCAAAAATATTGCAATGGTTGTGAAATTCGAGAAACTACCAATGTTCACTCAGGAAGCAGATCTTTTTTTTTAATTTTTGGTGGTGAATATCGAAAACTTTTTGAAATCTGCGTAAAAGATTCAATGGCGATGTCCGAAAGAAGCTCAATACTGCGATATGAGCTCATTTTACGACGAAAAGAAGACATACGCGAATATTTTCGAGGATGACTCCGACGGCGAATATGAATGCTTTTTCTTCCTGAATCAAGACCCGGTCTACGTGAAGCGATTCATTCTTAAATCAACGGAAAAATTTATCGCCCTCCGGAAATCAACGAAAACTGATGGGGAGGAGAATACTGTTCAACTTAGGCAAGATCGATTTTCCTTTTTGTTTAGAGAAATGGTAAATCTTTAAGAGGAATGGCAGCGGTGACATCAGATGTCGTAACAATCAACACAAAATACTGCGAGGAGTTTTCCAAGGCTACTCGCTCCAGACAAGAACATTCATCGAGAGATGCTCAAGAATCGTGCTGTGACTCATTCTCTATCCGCCTTGATAGATTTTCAAGAGTATCAGGGACGTATTCGAGGCTGAGGAAAACAGTCAATAATAGGCCTATTTGGAAGAATCGCGCCTTTGCTCTTTGGGCAAGCAAGGAGGGAAACTGGATGATTGGATCGGTCAAATCGATCGGGAAGAATAGAGGATTTCTCATTGCAAGTACAGTTTTTCGTCTTTAAGAATAAGTTAATGACATTTTTCTTCAGAAAACTCAATAAACTGCCCGAACAAATTGTCATCCATCTTTGATGCGAAAGCACAAGAATCTATCCCCATCCACACATCCTGCGACTGCTGCGAGGTCTTGCTTGTACAATCATGTCTTTCCTCATCGATAATTAATTCAGGTCCTTACAGTGAAAGGATCCACACACCAACAAAACTCGAAATATGGAATTTACATTCGCTCCTCACATCTGTCTTCTCTCCCTGGCGAATATCGCCAAATTTGGCCATCGAGTAAACATGGCAATGTCATTTACAACGAGTCTGGACAGTACTACATCAGCGACAGACCAAGGTTGGTAGGCTTGTTGCATCTGTTGGAAATCAGACGCGCGAAATTCTTCTTTTTTAGGGCGACAGTAGGCCATTTGGGAATTTTTTCAGACAAAACTCGAGGCTGTCCAAGTGACGCCAAAGGCAATGGATTGCAGATTCTTTTCTTTCACAATAGGCCAGAGAAGTAATCCTCGAAGCAGGTTGGAAATCATGGGTTGGATTCGACAAAACGATCATCGACAGTGAATTCAAAGTCTCCTGTTTCTCGGGGAATTCCGAATGCATTTACGCGTACAATTTTTGTGAAGCCAAAGAAGATGCTAAATTGTGTCTTGAAAGTATTTTCCATTGCAAGGTAAAATACTGGCCATTCATTCGTTCAAGCTTATTTAAAAGGGACTGGATGCATCTCTTTGCAACGAACAGCGCGAACAACTGACTAGTGAATGTTTCTACGGAAAATGTTCTTAGACTACTCAATTTTAGACATATTCATATGCCATTAAATGAATAAAAAATTGAACTGGAAGCTCATTTATTCACACGGTCATCTCATAGGCGTAGTTTTCAGGGAGATCGATCTGGAATTCTTGCTTCATATGAGTTTTTCTTTCGTAATCAAGAAGAAATATTTCTGACCCAGTCACCAAGACTCTTTCGCATCTTTGTCCATAAAATTTTCCAAAGCAAGTCTCGATTTTTCGATCGACGAAGATTTTTCCCTGAAGGATGAAAGCCGTATCAAGAAAGCTGTCAAATGGTCGGAACTATGGTCCATAGTTTTGTTGTCTAAACTAAGTCGATTCGAGCCATTTCCTTATATCGACAAGTCGATTTCTTATCTTCGGAATTTTAAAAACAACGACGTAAAACCAGTTGTTCTTATAAATACGATTTATGGTTATTCTATCCACCGATGAAAGAATATCAAAGTTTGACGTGAGTAAGAGGACTCCCTCGTTGTCTGGCAAAGCGGCTAGAAAGAACGATCCTTCGATGACATTCCCATATCTGTCTTTCTTTGAACGGTAAGTTGATGATCGATAGACAGATTCGTAGCTCCATTCCGGAACAGTTTTTTTCATTCCCAAAAATTTATCAATTTCGATTGTACTTAACAGAGAATTGTAGCTTACGATCGTCTTAAAAATATATTTTAATCCTTGTTTTCGTACAACCGAGCTTACAAAATATCCATTCAATTTCATCGTCGATATTCCATTACCATCGTGAGTTATCACTGCTCCTAGCCTTGATGACCCGAGACTGCGTAAATATAACTTGAAATTTTGGTTGAATACTTTTGATTCAGATGATCTTAAAATGAAGAAAAGATTTTAACCAAAATCCTTGTTTTCATTACTAGCATCAATAAAGTAGCAATCAGAAGCAAAGTGTGTATTTGGACAAAAGAAAATTCTTTCTTCTTTTACGTACTGTTTTGTTTCTTTATCGGGGATTTTAAACTAAACAGGCGCAACGAGGCAAATTGTAGTGTTTCTCATTAGTCATCCGCCACTTGAGTTCACCGCGCCGCGCTGCGCGCAGTTCACGACCCGCGAAGCGCTATTCACGACTCGCGAAGCGCATTTCACCACGCGCAAACGCTCCGCCGCGAACCGCGAAAGCACAGTTCACCATGGACTAGGATCAACTCACAACTCACGAAATAGTCACTCACCACGATCTAACAGCTCACCACGGTTTACGAAAACCATATATAAACGATCTTATTTCTCACTGAGACACAACACACATATACTCTACAATTTTACGCTCAGAGACTCAACAATAAACTTGCTCTTTTTATACAAACTTCGTCGCTCACTTGTATCCAGCTCGCGAATACAGTAAACGCAGTTAGTTATCCAACTTATGTACTGTGAGAAACACGTACATATTTTGGTGACTGAAGAAAACGCTTCGCCCATGTAGAGATTAACGATCGAAGAGAGCTGCTGTTAAGAAACATGACTCGATATTTCAAACTTGCCGCTGATCTGAACCGACAAGAACTGCTCACGATCTTTGAAAATTTGAATCAGTCGTTTCCGCCACAGCATCCAATTATAGAGAAGCAATCAATTGTTCTGAACATCCATAAATTGGATGAGGGGGTTTTCGCCAAAAATCGAAAGTTTGTGTTCCACGATAATGGTGAAATCATCAATTACTTACCGAATGATGACGCTATTGGTATGGATCAAAAGTTCGCTTATAAGAATCACCGTCTGGATGTTACCAAGATCCTCGCCTCTGCTAGAGCAACGACACTTGCAGAGCTTATGGCCTTGATGAAATTGCAAGATCAAAAAGAACGTGAAAACTTAGAAGAATCCCTCTTGGACTCATATTCTCCGGACTGGTGCGAAATTGATGATTATGTTCGACAAAAACAACGATCACATCTGAAGAAGAACAAAAACACCAAGGACCGAATCCGGAACCAGAAGATCAAAGTCCAGAAAGTTCATACTGAGGATCATTTGAAGCCAAATGAAAGAAATCGAAAACAAACCAGAATCGACACATCAAAGATCGATGGATTCTGTATCAGCTTCGTGAAACGGAGATCATGCAAATACGGCTCGAAATGCAAATTTATCCACTCAGACTATGTTCCAAGTCACATAAAGCAATTGATCAAAAACGAAGATTAAACAATTCGCTCAATTTCAAGTTTATCTCGAACTCGTATTCGACGTTAACCGCTCAATATTCTTCGACCATCGTTCATCGAAGACCGACAATTTTCCGAATTCGACACATCAGAACAACTGTTAACTACTCGAGATGAAATGGAAAATGCGATAAATATCTACCATCAATTTTATCAAAAGCTCAAAGCTCAACTCGTAACGAATCGCTCATGGAAGCCATTATGGACTACCAAGCAATCAATGTGTATTTGGACGACAATTTCATGTTCCGTTTCCGCTCAAAAAAGCTGCCGTCCACATCTTGGAATCGTTCATCAAAAAAATAAATCAATACATGATAACACTTCATTCTGCTCTGCTCAACTTCGAAGATCAACAATACCAGAAGCTCCTAAAAGACACAAGAAAATTGCCCTGCGCTCGAGATCTACACATCTGTTCTCTGCGGGAAAGCAGATCATTTCTCTGGAAAGTTACCTTGTCAAATGCCCGCTTACACCTGCGACATACCAGCCTGATCCGACCGCTCCAACTGTAATGGCTGAAAATCAAACAAAATTTGTTCTCAATAAAAATGAGGATCCTAAAGCGGAAGAAGATCAGCTCGATCAAGATCTTGCTCCAGCTCCTGCTCATAATGATACGAAAAGAAGATCAAAGTATCAGAAGCCCTCATAAAGATCAACATGAGCCTGTTGATAGAGATGATGGACTTCAAGTTCAAGCTCCGAAATTGAAACATCGCCTTCGCTCACGACGATGTAAATCAAACCATTAAGCTCTTGCTCCTGCTCCTATTCACACTTGGTTACGAAGTTCGCTCGACATCTGTTTTTCGAAGTCCTGTTCTTAAGGTATACCTGAAGCTCGTTTATTGGATCAAAAACTTCGGCAATGTTTATGCACACTGGAATGGCTCACTTCAGAGCTCGAAGTAATCCCCGCTGATGATCAAAGGGAATCCAGTTCCGCTCATTTGCTGTGCAGAAGTTTCATACAGGCCTCTTTGGACTTGTGTTCTCATGACCCAGCTAATGTGTTTATCAATTGCGCACACGATGAACACCGCTTATCTGAACCTTGGTCCACTCCTCTAAAGATGTGAAGCAATGCGTGCAGTTGCTTTGTCACATTCAGATAATTCATAATCAAGTTACTCAAGGATGATTCTGCTCGCTCGAAGATTCATCTGCTCAAACGATCGAGATCAAGTTGTTCAAAGACGTTTCTGCTCGCTCATGGGACCGTCTGCTCAATTCATTATCAAAGACGATTTCGACGTTCATGTCTTCTCTAACAATTAACCTGCAATGAAGCTCATAGACGATTTTGACGCTCATGGAACCGTCCTCTCAATCAGTTCAGCTGATTCTTATCAAGTTGCTCATAGACAATTTTGAGCCTCACGGAATTGTCCTCTCAATCAGCGAAAATCACTCTTATCAAGCTGCTCACCAACGATTTTGAAGCTCATGAAATCGTTATATAATACAATACAGCTCACTCTTATCGAGACTCCGACTACGATCCTGCTCGCCCATGAAATATTGCTCAAAGACGATTTTGCTCAAATATGCTCACTAATGAAATCATCTGCTCAAACAATCAGCTCATACAAGATGCTCGCTCAGAAGATCCAAATGCTCAAAAAGAAGAGGGAAGAGTATGCTGGCCTCCAAATTCTAGAAATTAAAGAAGTAACGGCGCTCTAGCTCCTTATTGGTCGATCGAAAAATGGACACCCTTTAGCCTCCACTTCCAAAAAGAGCTTCTGAAAAGACTTGAAAATATCGAAATGCCGATCGACGATTTCTGAAATCTTAGGTCACCTTCATAATACACGAACACCTGAAACACCTTGGGTTAAAAGATTCATCAACAAACACCTCGGATCGTTCAGAAATACAGTTCATCGAAAGCGAAAACTCAATAATCAACTACGTTCCGGTTGATCTTGCTCGACAGCCGCCATTGATGCTGACAACCAAATGGAAAACGATCCTTTACAACAATCACTGATTATGGACAAACATCCTTGATGATATCTTGGACTCACAAACACAGGACATTCCTCTACCAGAAAGACAAACGATCTAAAAATAAATGGAGGAGGAATTATGTAGTGTTTCTCATTAGTCATCCGCCACTTGAGTTCACCGCGCCGCGCTGCGCGCAGTTCACGACCCGCGAAGCGCTATTCACGACTCGCGAAGCGCATTTCACCACGCGCAAACGCTCCGCCGCGAACCGCGAAAGCACAGTTCACCATGGACTAGGATCAACTCACAACTCACGAAATAGTCACTCACCACGATCTAACAGCTCACCACGGTTTACGAAAACCATATATAAACGATCTTATTTCTCACTGAGACACAACACACATATACTCTACTATTTTACGCTCAGAGACTCAACAATAAACTTGCTCTTTTTATACAAACTTCGTCGCTCACTTGTATCCAGCTCGCGAATACAGTAAACGCAGTTAGTTATCCAACTTATGTACTGTGAGAAACACGTACAAAATGTGCCCCATTTCGCAAAGAGTCAAGTTTAAGAGCCCCATCACTATATCGAATAGGCTTTTATATAGGCCGGTGCCACAAATTTTGTATCTTGATGAAAATAATACTGGCTCTCGTAATTGGAAAAGTTGAAGGAAGTGGAGCTCGCCTGAGTCAAGCATCTTGTAGACCTCAATATCAGTGTTGCCTGACATTGATCGAGACTGACTGGTCAATGCAACGAGGATAAAATGAGCTCCCTCGAACCAAACTGAGCAGAAAGTGCCGTGATGACTTATAAATAGGGTAAACTTACAAAAAATGAGCTTTTGAAAGGGACATCCTACAGGGCTCATTTTCGGCAAGAATACTCTTTGAAGGTTGCTGATCAACATCAGATAAAAAAATTAATGAAAAAATATGAATGACGTCATTCTAGAGCCGTGTAAAAGTGCTAAAAATCTAAAATTTTTTAGCAATCAGATGGAAAAAAATGAAGGCGACCAATAGATTCGCCTTGAATCACTGATTATTTTCCAAAAAAAAAATTTAGTAATCGACCTCACATGACTGCAGAAAAAGAAAAAGAAGCTGAAAGTCTTTGTTATTGTCTTGGAGGACCCCCTTGGAGGACTTTATCTGCTGGAAGACCAATATTATAAATATTCAATATATGGCCGTGCTCGGCCAGTATATGGCCACCTATGGTCAACTTTGGTCTAGTTCGGCCGGAGGACCCCGGAGGACCTCCCTGGTGGAAGACCATCAGCTGGAAGACGAAAATTAAATTTTGAAATAATATGTCTAGCTTGGCTAGAAATTGCCACTTTCAGCCAACTTTGGTCACTTTCTGCCGGAGGACCCCCGGAGGACCCCTTATGCTGGAAGACACAACATCAGTGGAAGACCAACATTCAAAAAAATAAGAAATAAATCACATTAAATTCAGTGATGAAGGGGGCCAAACCGACCTGCATGAGAGGTCAACTAAGCATACTCTATTCGGATAAAGACAGGGCAAGACTAGCCCGTAGAAAAGGC